CACTGCATCGCGGATTGGGCACGTATATAAATGCGACACTCAGTCTTACGGGCGTATATCCCCATGCAGGAATCATCGACAGAACTATGTGCCTCGATACCGAACACCGACAGATATCCATTCAATCCGAGACAAATCAATTCAATTGAGTTCAACTCGAGGTATCACATAGGTGCTTACACTGCTATGTTAGCAGCCAGTAAGCTGACCTTGGGCTTCTGCCGGAGTCGCTTAACCGGGCATGGGAGGGTTGCGTGCAAGGGGGGACAAATATGTCCGCTGACCACATGATGATGGGCCACCAAGATCGACGTCTAAGTCCGGGGGGAAGATCAGTGGTGGAAGTTACATCGATACAACTCCGCTTGAAACGGGCCCAGGGGCTGGACTTAGACTTGGACATGGGATGAAAATGCCTGCATGACTAGGTTAGCGAGAAAGAGGCGTATATATCACGAGTCATAACGTGGCGTATAAACCATGCAGCATTTTGTAATTTCAGAGCTTCCTAAAGTGATCTGGTGTTATACTAAAAGTTCTAGACTCTAAAGATAGTACCCTGTCTACAGTGATTGTCGAATCAACAAGAAGGACCGATAGGTCGTTCAAGACCCCTCATCTGCAGGCCACGCCGCCCAACCAAACATGACAATAATCTTGAGCGCAGCGGCTATCCACAGCGCACCAGAAGTTCCCAGCTCGCTCTTCGCAATGAGTCCTCCAATTATAGCACCGATGAGGAGCAGGACCGGTGCTGCAACACGCCTGTTTCTCTCCGCATTGACAAAAATGCTCTCAAACAGTTCCGCGTCGGAGAACAAGTCGCAGTAGATACTCGTAAGGACAACACTGGTCAAAGCGTTGAACTTGAGTGCTCTACTTGCAACAGCTTGTCCACAGCTCTGAAATGCCACGAGAGCGATTGGTACAATGACATACCAGGGTGTATCATCTGGACCTGCACCTTTTGGTCCCCAAGTAACGATACAAGCAGCTGCAACAATGAAGATAGTCTGAATGCCAAAGGACAAGCAAAACACCCATTTTCGTCTAGGCGTAGGTGTAAACACCCTATGCAGACGACTAAAGAAGAATGAACCGATACAAAAAGCCAGAATCGAAGATCCAGACTTTTTCCAGCGGTTAGTCCCAGCCGTAGGTCCAAGACCAAGATAAACAGTATTTCCTACACATGTCAGATCAGATCGGATTGAAATGATGGGAAGGATTTACCGGTCTGCATAGATACGAAGGCACCCCATGTTGATATGGAAGCACTGTCAAGAATGCCTGTTATGATGTAGCATGCCAAAAGCATAACATCAGCCCAATCTCGGCGGACATCAGAACTTAATCTCTTCCGCAACCAAGATCTAGATCCAGGTTTTGGAGTGAGGAGAGCTTGTGTCTCATCGCTCTGTGCGGAGATGCCGTTTTCAGCTCTGCCCTCACTGTTGGTGACGGTGCCGTATGGTTGAGACATTGAGTAAGATGCTGTGTGTGTTGGATGATGTGAAAGTGGTTCGAGATATGCGTTTCTTTGCTACGTCGGTTAGAGAGGGGCATAAATAAACGAAAATCGCCAAGGGGAAATTACGATAGAGTCGAAGCACCAGCCAAGCAAAAGATCACCGGAAACGAAAACCTGCTCCCCCAGACTCCGCGTCTTCGCCGAGCTAGACAAAGACAAGGTTTCAAACAAAGCCAAGCTTAGCTCCGCCTTTAAAGGTAGGCTAGACACTGCGTCGTTCCCGATCGTCACTTGCAGAACTATTCTTGGCATAAGCGGGGAAATCTCGCAAATCCCGGGTCTAGTTTTATCTCCGGCTCATAGCAACCCCACATCCCGGATTCTTCTTTTACCATGCACGCTATCACGGCGTCATCTTTACACACCATCTTGTTTCCCCTCATTCATACCACGTTGAGTATACGGCTCGAGGTGATCACACCCTAACAGGTTACGCTGAAACCTGTAAGCGCTCACAACGCCCTGAAGCTCGTTGCGTTATTGAGTGTTACGCCGCATCCACACATATGAGGTGCAATACCACGTAGGCAAGGTTGTTAACTTGTTTGTCTTGGAGGGGGCTATGTGCCGGATAACCGAGCCCCGCGTTGGCAACGGCAGTCATGATCGTTATGCGCTGCTACCTCAGACGGATTTGCATACCAAACAAGACGTAACTCGGTGATTCGCCGGTGATCGCTTTCTCGGCGTCATGAACTTCGTTTGGCGCAGTATCTTGGCATTGTTTACCCTGAACTTTGAGAAGCCTACTTAACGTGAGTGACGATTGAGCAATTGGTGCCCATCCATCGTTCATCAATGTCAACCAAATATTCATCTTGCCAAAATTAGCACTCCTTTTTACAAGTCAATTGAACCTGTCTGTGACAGCCCCGCAATATGCATCTCCCTCACCTTGCCTATCTCGCAGTCCTTTTGGACATCTGCGCAGGCGTTCCCGTAGAGGACAGTCCTCGCCAGAGGCTCCTCAAAGGGTTGGGACTACCACCCAACTATCGCGGTGTGACGGGCGGCAAGAAGGTGCCGTTCACACCCGGTCACAGAGACCCAATTGATAAGCCCGTCGACTCTGTCGGCGACGAGCTTGATCCTCTTCCCTGGCGCAACGGTCTCGGAGCTTCTGTTTTGGGACCGTGGAATGAGGCGCGCTCGCGTCAGAATCCTGATCTCGTTAGACCACCTAGCACAGATCATGGAAATCTGGCGAATATGCGCTGGAGTTTTGCAGACTCGCATATTCGCATTGAGGTTTGTGCAGATTGGTAATGTGCAGAGTTTTTTGACTAATTTGAGAATAGGAGGGCGGCTGGACCCGTCAGACCACCATTCGTGAGCTGCCAACGAGCGTTGAGCTTGCGGGTGTGAACATGCGTCTTGGTGAGGGCGTTTATCGTGAACTTCACTGGCATCAGGAGGCGGAGTGGGCTTACGTGCTGGACGGAGAAGTCCGAGTTACGGCTCTTGATTACGAAGGCGGGAACTTTATTGATGACTTGAAGAAGGGAGATTTATGGGTAAGTAAAGCGGATTTTGTGCTGATCGCCATCTAACAACCTGCAGTACTTCCCAAGTGGAGTTCCTCACTCCCTGCAGGGTCTGAGCCCAAATGGCACGGAATTCCTTCTCATCTTTGACAATGGGCACTTTTCTGAGGAATCGACCTTTGTTCTTACAGACTGGCTGGGTACGTTTTAGCCCGATTCTGAGATACACTCGACTAACGAAAGTAGCTCATACTCCAAAATCTGTGATCGCCAAGAACTTTGACTTGGACCCTGAGGTCTTTGCTCGTCTTCCCGAGAGCGAGAAGTACATCTTCAAAGGCCGCACCCCCGGCTCCATCAAAGATGAAGCCCCCAAGGGCAAGAAGGCCAAGAAGTCCAAGTACAACTTCACCCACCGCATGCTCGACCAAGAGCCCCTCAAGACAAGCGGAGGACAAGTCCGCATCACCGACTCCAAGAACTTCCCCATCTCCAAGACCGTGGCAGCAGCCCACGCCATCATTGAGCCCGGCGCCATTCGCGAGATGCACTGGCATCCCTCTGCAGATGAGTGGTCATTCTTCATCAAAGGACGCGCTCGCGTGACAATCTTTGCTTCTGAGGGTAACGCACGAACATTTGACTACGTTCCCGGTGATGTTGGTATTGTTCCAAAGAACATGGGACACTTTGTTGAGAACATTGGAGATGAGCCTATTGAGATGTTGGAGATCTTCAGGTCTGATGAGTTTAGAGACATTTCGTTGTTCAAGTGGATGGGCGAGACGCCAAAGAAGCAGGTCATTGATACGCTGTTTGCGGATGACCCTAAGAATGCTGCAAAGTTTTGGGATAGGATTAAGGATGCGGATAATGATGTTATTACTAAGCCTGACTTTGTTAGGTCAAAGCCTGAGGCTGATGAGGAGCTGTAAGCTCTGCCACAAAGATTGGCCAGGCGAGTTTGGCTCTGGAAGGGTACATATAAGACACATAATGAATGTACTAGTCCTCGTGATTGCTGGTGAAAGTGACGAGTCCAGACTGAGGCAGGAGGTAATAAATGTGAGCCCACCACGATATGACGCAAATGGTAATGATGTAAGCATAAGTGGTAAAGTGTTAGCTAGAAGTATGAAGGTCGTTTGAACATACATAGGTAAGCCTTTGTTTTCAACTGACTCTTGAGCATGAGTATCGTGAAGTTTGCTTTTGCAGGGAAGGCAAACATCAAGATGGATCATTCTACTATAAAAAACATATTTTAGAGAGAGCTATATAGTAGAAACTTGATATCAGTAGATAGTCTAATTTTATTCATTTCAAGTTGCTTGTAAAATCTATCCTTTTCTTCATCCTGTTGTCTTCCCCTGGAGATCGCCGATTTCATTTGAGACCTTGATTGGCCCCGAGGCCTATGATTGGCCACTCACCGATAAGCCGGCAGCAGTTCCAGCCCAAACGGCTTTAAGACGGGTGAACCTTGCTTGTACACTCACAGACGCTTTGTTTTCGGCTTTATTAATCTTTAATTTGCCCGTTATCTTCGTAGCCTGTCAATGGCTACTGTGAAAGCGGATCGCCCAAGAGTCGCACACGACCACGTCGCGCAGTAGCCGTTTGCTTCTCTCAATGACTAATCATACAAAGGTTGCGTGGTCTAGTTGGTTATGGCATCTCGCTCACACCGAGAAGGTCCCCGGTTCGATCCCGGGCGGAACCATTTCTTTTGCTTGCACGGCTTATATGTTTGCGACTTTGATTCTATTTCTCTTCTTACCCAGGCAATAGTTAAATTGTTTTGAAATAATCTGGCTCCGCAAAACTAATAGATGCAATTCTATCAACAATTGCTGCTATGGAATAGGTAATGGAATATCAGCATGTGTTCTCCTAACTTGCATTTCGCTACCGCGTATTCGTGATGACCGGGCTTGACGACTGAAACTTCCGGCCAACTAGCAATTGACCTGTGGCGGTCTACATTACTGGAGATCCAGCTCTCTACCGTCGTCTTCACTTCCCTCCTTCGGGGTAACCCAGCTTTCCGCTACGTGACCCAACCAAGCAAACAGTTCCCATACTCCCCCCTCAAGAATTAGTATCTGGAGCTGAAACTCGGTCTCGATAGCCTCTAAGATCTCTCCGATTGAACGCCCATTAGCCTTTGCAGCGGAATTGGCTGGCTTGGTATCCGTAGGCACCGCAGCCTCCGCCAAGGTTGTAGAGTTAGGTGCAGACTTGGAACCAGGCATCCCAGACTTGGTTGTATCGTAGACGCTGAATAGTGCCGAGCCAAGAGTATAAAGATATCCACCACAAGGCTTATTGCCACATCGTTGTGAACACATCTCCCCCGGAACACGATCAAGTGTCCTTTGCGACGGAGTTGAGTCGGTGCAAAAACACTGCTTGTTGTATATCATCAATGTTTTCTTTTTGAGATTTCTGCAGTATTTGCGACAGCTTTGAATGCCACTACCGCTTCCATACTTTGTAAAGACTGCGTCGGCGGGTAACTTCATAGCGCAGCCTTGAGTCTCTGGTAGTGGATCGTAGGGGTCCCCGTCTTCATCGGGATACAGCTCAAGGCCAGTGTGGATAATGCTAAAGCTCTGGTAAGCCGTACTACCACAGGCAATGCGCTTGTCTGGGTTGCCACCGGGGCACGCATCATGGCAGTACATGTCGCCGATGAAATATCGCTCAGCGGGCCGGGTGTATGAGCAGTAGCACTGTACTCCGCGAATGAGGCCAAGAGGTTTTCCTTCATCTCTGCAGTGTTGACCGCAAGCGGTCCAGGAGTTGGTCGAGTCATAGGCTTTCACTTCGAAGACTGGGTCAACGGTGTTTGAGATGTTGCGATAACAGCCTTGCGAAACGAGTTTGCCTGCGACAGGACGTCTAGCGGGACGCTGAACCGCTGGTTCCTCAACTGGGATGGTGTTGACAGATCCCAATGCCGATAAAAGCAACAGCGCTATGTTGGTCAAATGGACCATGTCTGAGGGTTGACTGTCTGTTCGTGTTATGTGACAGGGACGAAAAAAAAGTAGGTTACGGGTCAGAAACAGGAAGACGTGTACCCATACTTATCCCCAACGAAGGGCCAAAGCACGGTTGACAACGTGCAGATGTTGGTGATCTTGAAACACTGTTGGTTGTGTTGTTGGTCCGTAGCGTGCATTGTTGCTGGGATTGATCCATTGTTTGTTTAGACAGTTGGTGCGGATCAGGGCCAAAACGCACGACAGGCTGTTCCTTGTGCCAATGAGAAATAACGAGATTTATGAATTACTTAAGCTCTGACACAGGATGCAAAACCCTGACTCCGCGTTCTATTTATGTATAATTGCTTATCTGCTCTGTGTCGAAGTGGTGTGATGACAGAACATGAGTCTACCCGAAAACCTTCCATTTATCTGCCGCCTGCGCTCTCTACTTATCAGTGTAGATGGCAATTGAGTAAATGCTTTCCCGTCGCCATAAGACGTAAGGCTGCACCTTTAATGATAGAATTGTCCCAACTCCCGAAACTGATTGAGACATGCCACTTTTCAAAACAGGCATTTCACAAATCTCCAGGAAGTGAGTTACCGAGTCGAAATTCCAGCGATGCAGAAATCTGCACGCCCGAAGAAAATGTGAGAGTAAGATACTCTTTTTCAGGGTCTGCGTTACTACCGGATGCCCGAGATGGGGCGTCGAAAAGCTGGAGAGGTTGTTGCGGCGATGTACCCTGAATTGAGTCCTCTTCTTCGACAAGCGGTCGAGCTTGATTCTTTTGTTGCGTATTGAGGAGCCAGGAATTTGCTTCGTAGACGTCTAGAACTCTCACGTAGTTCTCCCAATCATATCCACCACAGCCCGCACTTTTGTCGCCAACACAAGCCATGTCGCACTTTCCCTCAGGGACAATCATATCTGAAGATGGATAGAAGTCGGAGCAAAAGCACTTATTACGAGTCAATAACAAGATCATCTTGCCACTGGCCTCGCAAGCCTGATGGCATGCCCCTGGACTGTTCCGTGGCAGTTCATGCATTATATCGTCGCTCCGGGTTCCTTTGACACATCCCCAATGCTTCTGAAGACCTTTCATAGGAGTCTCCACGTGGTCCAGACGGATAGGTTCATGCTCTCCATATCCAGGATACAGTTCAAGGCCACTATTGGTAACACTATATGCCTCCTGCTCGAAACCACCGCAGGCGTAGCGAGGATACGCACGACACCTCCAGTTGCAAACGCTATCGTTGACTAGGGTGTTGGCAGGAGGGTATGTGCCCGCGCAGTAGCATTTCGCTTTGCGTACTAGCGCTACAGGCTTCTGCTTTTCAGACTTGCAACGCATGGCGCAGGTTTCTGCAGTGTTGATCTCGCTGTCCGTATAAAGCCATGTTGATGTATCAGATATTGAGCTGAAGCATCCTTGCGAAGTGACCCGGTTTAGTTCTGGTGGACTGGCTGGTAGTTGGGCTCCTGCCATAACGACGGTTTCCATTGTTACCCATTCCCCCATGATGAATCTCGCCTGAGTTTGTTATGGCGTATAGAATATTGATGTTGTTATTGCGAATAAAGGATTTTGTAAAAAAGTACTTTTAGAGAGTTAAAAGTCTTCCTGTTTAGTGATGTAATTAGGCAGCATAGCACGGCCCTCGTTGGAGGTTGGTCATGATCACTATCAAACGCCGTTGGTTGCTAGCGTCTTGGCCGCAAGGATCATCATGGAAAGGGCCGAGTCAGAAAATTTCGGGGTTATGAAGATCAAAACACCGAGACTCATGAAGCTATAATGGCTAGAAATGCAGAATTTGACGGAATAGAGATGATATCGAAAGACTTCAGTCTGTATTGCTTTATGAGATTATCGCATCAAGAAAGATAGACTACGTTGCTGAGTCTCATATACATGACTCAGTTGACCCAACAGCAGACCCCACCATGGGATATCCGACCAGAAACCGACTAACTGGATCTCTGAGAACAAATACCCACCCGCTATTTACAAGTCTCTATGACCTTTGACCATATATCAAGATATGCTCTAATCGGTATATCCCCCAACTTCATCCAAGAACTTGTAATACCTCGGCCCTTTAGCGATGCGCCATCTCTTCCCAAACAGGACGAGAGGAATCGCAGCAAGAACAGACATCAAAACCATTATACCAAAGCAAGTCATGGTCCAACCATATCCAACTGCTTCAATGAATGGCTGGACGGAGTACGAGATGGCAAAGTTGACCATTGAGGAGCACATCGCTAGTACAACGACCAGCTCTCCAGATATCTGCAATTGTTAGTCTTGTCGCTGACATGGAAAGGGCTGCAAAACTCACTCCAGGGAAGCAGTCCATAGCATATGCAGTAGCGATCGTGCAAGCTCCAACCTGATGCGAGATCATCGCACCAATGCCAATCGCGATGGTGATCCAATGCGCCTCTGTCTGCGCACCCCAGCCATAAAGCATGTACCCAAGGGCAGCAAAGACAAAACAAGGTGCAAGCGTATAGAGTCGCATCTCAGGCTCCTTGACACCACCGTTTCGCCGCGCCAGAGAAATGACCACTTGGTCGCTCAGTACACCGATGCTCCAGCCGATGATGTCTCCCACTAGAGCGGCGAAGAAGACGAGACCAGTATTGGTGGTGCTGAAGTTGTATGGCGGTTCGGTCAAGATCTCGGAGATGGTGTTGAAGGAGACGATTCCGGCGGTGGCCCCGAAAGCATAGATAAACGCGGCCTAGGTTTGTTCATCAGTGAGGGACAGTGGCGACTTGTAGAAAATACTTACGATGACGACGTTAGGAAAGCCCCAGAGAAAGAAGGGACGTCGGAAGTATTGCCAGAAAGTTGTTTTGTTCTGCGGATATCTCACCCACGGCTTCAAGATCTGTCGGTAAGATCGCTTGGGAAAGTCATCGACAATGCCATTGGTTTGGCTCGGAACCGACCTAAGCTCCAGCTTCTTGCCCTCAGTTTCTTTCTCTGCTGTCTCTTCATCCTTTTGGGAGGGAAGAGGGGCTGACTGCGATCCCGCAAATAGGAAACGAGGGAAGAGTGTCTCCTCGAAAGAAAACGTGAAGGCAATCAGGACAAACGCGAAGATGAAGCCCACGATGTTCTGCGACCATCTCCATCCGACGGTGTCGGACATGCTACCACCAGAAATCAGCCCCAGGCTGCAGTAAAGTTAGAATTAAGTCCCAAATGCGTGTGTTGGGGACAGTCTTACATAGAGCCAAGCTGCTGAGCGAAAAGATAAACCGAGAGCATGCGACCGCGTTCATGAACAAAGAACATGTCGAAGATCTACAGTCAAGTCAGTAACCTTGCGGGAGCTTGATTCCGGTCAGGTACTTACAGTAAGTTGAATGATCGCTTGATATGCAGATGTCCCGATTCCGTTTACGATCATGTTAAGCATCCATTGAACTGTCCCCTCAATGGCAGCGAGCCAAAAGCCGGTAGCAAGGCAGAGGCAGGTTGTCACAAGGAAGACTAGCTTTCGGCCTAGGATGTTTGCAGTAGGCATCCACCAAATGTTGACGAAGCCCTTGATACGTGGTGAGTAGTGTGGAATGAGAGGGACCGAGAGCTAATATACCAGTAAAAGATAGTTCAAGGCGCTTCCGCCGTTCATGTTTGTCAAAGTCACGCCTGTGTCTTTACTGACAGTAGTCCAAGCCGCTATTGTCGTATTAGTATCGATGGATGAAGAGATGTTCCCAACACTGACCTCCAAGGGTGTTTTCACCAAATGAAAAGGCGCAAGCATATAGGGCGACTAGGAGCAGCTGGTAGTACTTTTTTCGCTTCGACCATGTCTATAGAAATGTCAGATGATACACGAAAAACAGGTGCTCGACTGGGCATACCAATGGATCACTTCCGCAGCTCGTCGGCTGCGGAATGAGAACAATGTCAGATTGTCCAACATGACCGCTGTTCTCCAACTTGTGATTCACTTTCGGTACTGTCAGCTGTAGTCAAGACTAGAATGCATGGGCTTGCATACCGTCGATGAGCTGTTCAGTTCCTGGAACTGCCTCACGATCGATCTGTAGAGCCATGGTCAAGAATCCGATGTGCTGATAATCCCTGGCGGCTTTGTTTATGGGAACAAATAGTAGGTGCCAAGAAGGCGGTTTATATGCTTCAGCAATGGTATCTGTTGGTTGCAAACTCCGGATGATTGATTCCGAGATGGCTTATCAGTTGGTTGGTTGTTGATACCAGCTTAGATGTGGCCCTGAAGGTCCAAGCGAGGGGGTAGATCGCCTGATAACAGCCACATCTGATAGTCCCCGAGAAGCGCCTATCTGGAATCTGGGGTAATGGCTAGTAAAGATAAAGGGCGCGTTAATCTCCATCTTTACCCCGGATTTACACTGGAGCCTGATCCTTCGGCATTCACTAGTCTTTCATGAGCATAGTCACCTTATGAGTTGGCCATTGTCACGTAATAGCGCGGTGGAGAATGCGAAACGACTCGGATAGCGGGATAGTGGATTGAGAAATGTGCAAGTTACCTTCTAAAAGTAGTAAGATCGAGGCGAATCTTAAGATGCTGTTGGTATCGGTTATGATGAAATATCGATGTCAGGCCGGGGCGATAGTTGATAATCTTGCCCCGCGTTCGGCTGGACCTTCCCTACGCTAGGCCACCAAACGCTTATCTCAACGGCTGACTTGACAAGCTTATCAGAGGCCACCCTTGCATTTCACTCTAACGCCATGTGCTTAGTGGATTGTTGATAGTAAGACCTCAAGTTGGCTATCGCTTTGCAGACGTCGTCCGATTACAAAGCTTGTATCCGTCCAAGGCCAGAGGTTGCTCCTTGTCACGGTCTTAGCTACAAGCTACCAAAAGTGGAACAGTCAAGGGTAAAGCTTCAATTATGCACCTGATGTAAGAGGGAAAAGAGTGTTGCACTAAGGTTGAATAGATAGCAAAGATATCATATTGTATACTATGAAGATGGAAATTATTGATCCAAAGAACAAGACCGGGCAGGCCAATGCGACCTTGTCTTAATAAACAGGATGTCCGTCGAGAACCCTCCTTGGACAAGAGTCGAAAGAAAGCAATGTGCTTTCGAGACATCATCAATTAAAAGTGACCACTCGAAACCTAGCACTTGCCCTTCTCGAGGGTAGTCCTATAGAATGTTAGTATCATCTCATATTAGAATCTATCAGTAGGAAGACTTACTCCATGTGCCAGCTCTTGACTCGTCCTTGACCTCCCTCAGGGCATCCATCGATAGGCAGGACCAAGTTCTTTCTGCACTCAGTAGGAAGAATAGCCTGACGAATACCCCACTCATTGTAGATCTCAAAGATAAACTTGCCATCACCAGAAGGCGCATCAACACACTTGCTCCTCTTCTCACCAATGTTATAGATACCATTAGCACCCTTTTGACACCACTCAGCAGCAGCCCTTCTAGCGTCAGGCTTGTTATTTCCCCAAGGGAGAATGTCCTCGCTGACGTAGCAAGCAGCAATCTCAGGGTACTTGAAGCCAATCGTGCGCACACAAACATTGGCATCAGCCCAGAGGCTGAGACAATCCTTGCCGACGGTGGGGTTCCATTCTTTGAATTGGTCAAAGGAGATGCCGAATTGGGCGGAGATGATGAGGCAGTTGTCGCCTGGCTTGACGTAGTAGAAGGCGTCGCAGTCGTCGACCATGCCAGGTTGGATGGGGAGTGGAGTGGTGATGCCGTTGTCGCCCTTGATGGACTCAATGGCTGTGGCCTTCTTGGCGGTGGCGCTGGGACCGGCGAGGACACCTGCGCTGGTGGAGAGAAGGGTTGCGATGGTAGAGAACTTCATTTCGGCGGTGAAGTTGTTGATATTGAACTCTTTGTGTGCTTATTGTTTGAATGGCTGATTGAGCTTAGGAAAATGTCTCCTGATCGCAGAAATTCCGCTGCTTTATATAGATTTTCTTCATGAGTATTATCCTCCGATTCAACCTCGCCGAGCAAAAGATATCTCTCAAAAACTATACCCGTCCCATTCTCACAACACTAATGCACGGCAAATTAGGCTGCTGCCGCCCGCACCAACAAAAAGTCCCCTGAACATCACTTTCTCACCAATAATAACCTCCGCCAAGGTTGGGTTGGTTCGTTTGTAGAAATAACCGAAGGCCTTGGCATGAGGCACGGAGCGGCACAGGTGGATAGACAAATATTTCCGCTTTCCAAATGACTCGAAAAGTCGTATCATTCGAGCCCTATGAGGCCTAAGGCTGACGCCGAGGGTCCGGAGAATTCTTTCACGACGTGGAGAGTTGATGTGTTTTTGCGGTGTGAGAAGAATAATGCTACGGTTGTGACCCACTAAGACCGGAGATTTCCTGGTTGGGAAGGCAATGCGAGTTCTATTGATATACTAGGTTGTATTGGAAGTAAGCTTCTATTCAGCCGCAGACTATATTGTGAATAATAATCCTTAGAGCTGCATTTAACCTCGTATTTCACAGATGTATCATGGCACTTATTGACCCCGAACCAATAAGACGATACACGTGTGTCGCCAGCGTAAGATCGTAACCTTCAACATCCTGTCGGCTGTTGCTTGTCGAAGCCCACGATACGAGTAAATGTTACCGTGCAGCCTAATCTCCCTTCACGATCTCTGAACTTCGAAGTGCATGGTATTCAGCCGTCGGATGAGTCCCCTCCAACGTCTGTACAGCCGCCATCCGTCTGGCATTCAGAAGATCCAGATTGATCTGAGGCCCCGTGAAGGTACCCTTTTTGGTTGTGAACCAGAGTGCTATGACAAACGCTACTAGTCCGGTGAAGACGACTGAGACATAGCTCATGTTCTCAGGTGTGACGGGCATGGCTGTTGGAAAACAGTACAATATGTCCAGGAATACTACCCAAGCGACGGATATGCCGTTGATGGCAGCACCGTATCTGCCGAGACTGAAGTATCGGAGTGGTAAGACGCGGTCTCGTCCTCGATAAAGGAGAACAGCTTGAGGGATTACGCATGAGGTTTGGAGAAAGATGATGGCCGCGCTGACCATGGCAGAAAATGCGGTTGACGAACCGAGAAAAATGAGGCCATATAACTAGAATGAACTGTAAGCACGACACATACAAGGGTTTTTGTTCTGGAATATACTGACAGTGATAAAGCCAGCAGAAAGAAGGAGTGCGTTGACAGGAACTTGAAACGTGGGATGAACACGGCCCCAAATCTGTGAGTATGGCAAGGCACCGTCACGTGAAACGGCCCAGAGCGTGCGTGATGAAGTTGTCGCTATAAAGTCAGAGCGGGTTTTGTTGTGAGAAGTAAACTTACCATTGGCGACAAGATTGGCAAAGAAACAGAAGGCGAACAGTGACATCAGCACTGACGCGGCTGGCCGAGATCCAGTTCCTTGATAGTAAATCTCAAACAACGGCAGGCCAGTTGTCGTGTTGAGCACGGCTGGCACATCAGAAATGGCATACATGAGAGATGTTGCAAAAGGGAAAGCAGTTAGTAAGCCCATGAGCAAAGGATATATCATGACCTTGGGAACGTTCTTGGCTGGATTGGGTATCTCCTCACAGAGGTGAGCACCGCAATCACTACCTAGAAATGCATAAACCGCATTACCCACCGCCAACATGAAAGCAAACCCGTCGCTCGACCAGCCAGTTCGGTTGGTAGTATCGGTAAAGATAAACTCGGCTGATGCATGATGTTTCGCTACGATGAAGAGCGTTATCGTGGTAGCGCTGAGGGTTAGGACCGATAGGATGAAGACCATTTTGTTGAATAGAGGTATCCACTGCGCCGTGAAGATATTGGCGGCTGTAGCGATCCAGATGAGTGCGACGTATATCAGATACTGATGCCATCGCTTTTGATCCCAATCCGGATGCCATGCGCCGACGATGTCGAGGATCATGGATGAAACGAAGTTGGAGACTGAGCTTGAGGCGAGCCACCAACCGATAACACTCATCCAGCCATTTCTTTTCACCCTGTTAGTATCTCAATAATCTCAGATAAGATTGAAGTACTGACAGATATGATGCGAATGCCTTGTAGTCATCCCGCGCAACCATAAAAGACCAATAGTACTGCGCCCCAGCGACAGGATACGCCGATGCAAGCTCCGCCATACCCAGCGAGACAATAGTAGTCATTACGCCAGCGATAGGTAACGACCATAAAGTCCCAGCTGATGAAGCTTCGGTCAAGCTAATTCCGACTGAAGATCCAGTTCCGAGCCATGTACAGGTCAAGGTGAATGATAAAGCGCCTAAAGACCAGAGCGAGAAGCGTCTCGGCATGGCTTGGGTATATCCCGCGGCTTCCAGCTCAAGAGCATCGTCATTGCTGGCTGTACTTGAGGAGGCACGCGACATCTCGGCGATGTTTGTGATATGAGGGACAAGGGAGAGTAAACCGTTGGGTGAAAACTTGGTGATGGTCGCTACGTCGTGAAAATTGTTGTCAATAAGGTTTGCACAAGAAGCCAAACTGTAATGGTGACACTTCAAGCCACTTTGCTAGGAAATGGAGGATCGCGATGAAGCGCAGAAAGGAAAATGAATACTGGCCGATCCTAACCCCCTCATTCTGATGCGCTGTCGATCACGAGGCGATGTCTCACTTGAGTTGCACAAGTTGTCTGAGCGACGCCCAATGAGAGTTCCAAAGGGCATTGAGTTGTGCAAAGAGATAAGAGATTAGAAATTATGCTTATGTGCAGCATTAGGAAACTTTTCATAATCAAGTTTCTCAGCTCGTGTGACGTATCCAGTTATTTAGGTTGCATAAACACTTGCATTTCAAGCGAAAAGCATTTAAGCTTCCAATCATGTAATATAGCATCAATCAAGAAGGGTGTTGGAGCAACATTGATCTCAAAACAAAGACGAAAACCTAGTAGTAGCCTCCTCCGGGATATCCAATCCAGCCACGCAAAAGACCATTTAGAATGGGGAAAATGATAGACAAAGCAGATACAGTTCCGATAGCCGACCCAGAAATACAGAAGTCTCCATTCATGACAGCATAGTCAAAGCCTATTAATCCCATTAGCTGTCAAGAACCTCAGCATCGTTGGTAGTCTTACCGATCCAGAGAACCCAAGCAGACACAAATGCGCCAATACAGGGAATCATGGCCAACAAGCCGAGATGTCTCTTGAGAAAGCGACGTTTCCAAAGCATGGATATTCCGACAAACAAGAGTATCGCACCGCATGCCACAAGGCTGCTTGAGCCACTGCGCAGGAAAAGATTGGCATCACCATTTGTACCCATCGAATAAGTATCGTACATGTCAAGTGTATCACAGCCATCGGGCGCCTCGCCAAAACCACTGACCCTCAAGAACATCAGCGCACCAGGAAGTGTCAACACCCCAAGCACACATTCTTGGAAGAGTACATCGGTGGCTGTATCGGTGAGAGGTTCGTAGAAGCAAGACGATAACATGACAACTACCCAACCAACACGAGGCTTTGTCATGTAGAACATGATGAGAGGTCCGATGCTGACATTCAGCCCGGAAGCCTTGACAGCCACGGCGCTGACAACGCATTGTACTACTGTCATGGCGATAGTGGCCAAAGTGTTGTAGGGCGTCCATGATAAGGCATCTTTCGGTGACCCGTTGAGATGGTTGTAATCCCAGAACTTCAACTTATTTCTTGCTTTTCGATTACCGAGAGTGAGGTGGGTGACTATCGCTGAGAGATGATTGACAATAAAAGGCAAGAGTATGAGAATGGTGGCATTGCAGTCTTTGCGGGGGAGGGAGCTGAGTCCTGTCGGGACTTGACAATTGGGCGCATTTTTATCACCGTATACCATTTTGACCGCCAGAAATTGGACTTGGGTAACGTTTCACAGAAATGGCTTCATTTGAGAATTTTATGAACCAGTCGTTGGATTTAGATCTGCTTATAAGTCGCACGACCGCCAACATTAGTCTAATGCTTTCATTCAGCTAAACATGCTTTCATTCAGCCTTGCGTGCAAAACGCCAGTGCATATCGTAGCAGATGATCGTCTCTCCCAATAGCAAGGTCTCGACGCAGCCAATATCGACGCCAATTCGTTTGCAGCTCATGATGATTCGTCGGGGTCTGATAGTCGACATGCCAAGACGCGCCATAACTACAGGGGTAGGGAAAGCTGAAAATTAGGGGTTGGAGATGTTACATTGAGCCGCCTCTTAAACTCGTTAAGCATATTAATGGGAGACACTCAGCAGGGGCCTGGTGGAAAGTGCTCGGTCTGGATGCTGTTCAGCGTTGCATCGAAGAGGTGAGTGATTAAATTGTGGTTTGAACGTGGCGAATCTGATCAAGAAATGCCGTTCATTTTGAGTACTGACTGTTAGCCAGCTCTAATATCTGTGACCAAGATCTTAACATCATGTCCCGGTTTCGGAGAGATGATACCCAGCGTCGGCACCTTATCATTCGCTTCTGGAAAAGCCTGACTCTCACAACCCCCGACGACCTGAATGTCATATCGCGTGACAAGGATCGCAAGATAAACTAAAGCCATCTGCCGCGCTAGGAGCCTTCCAGGACATAATGTCGTGCCTCCGCCGAATGGCTTATACGTTCTCGCCGAATGTAAGTTCGGATTGTAAACGAACTTGCTGATATCGAACTGTTCCGCGTTTTCGCCCCAGTATTCCTTGTTGAGATGAAGTTGACGATAGGGCATCATTACATCGTTCCCAGCTTTGAACTCAAAGCCAGCGATAGTTGTGTCTTGGACGACGCGCCTAAAGCTCGATGAGCCGCTATGGATTCGCATCGTTTCGTAGTATGTCGCGTTGAGCTTTGGACACCCTTTGAGGTATTCTACATCAGGTTGCCGGTGAATCCCGTTCTTAAAAGCTGGTGAGACCTCTTTTTTTATGTCCGCCTTGAGATTAGGAGTGTACAGAGTTCGAGCAAGAAGCCAGAACGCCAAAACAGACGGGTTTCCGTTAATGCTTGAAGCTGTTAGTTTGAGGTGGGCTATAGCTTCATCTACTTACGCCCAGTATAGCTTGAATAAAACTGCAGCGATATCGCGATTTATTATCCCGTGTTTTCGCATCTCATCCTCAGCCTTGATCACAAACGGAGCCGCGTCTCGTCTTTGGTCTTGTGGCATCTCAAAGTACCTCTCTAGAGCATCAATGGCAGAGTCTCTCGAGTCATAAGCTGTTCTCGATAGAAATCTCGGGTATTTGTACAAGAGTTTCCATGTCTGACGATTGAACATGCGAAAGTCATCGACAAGTCCAGGTGACTTCTCAAAAAGAGCAGTGCCGAAGAAGCTCTTTGTCGAAGCCTTGACTATAATGTCGCTAGTCCACTTGAGCATGTCATGCTCGTTGCTCTTCCCGGTCGTGAAAGGACTACCCCGTTGCAGAACGCTGTCCAATTCTGATAAGAAGTCGCTGTAGAACTTTCGGGATGAAATTTGAGTCATATCTGCTCGTATCCAGGATCGAAGAGAATTTGGGACTGATAAAGACGTCTCGCCGACAGTAGTCCGCCATAGAATATCTCTGGCTTTTTTAGAGACTGAGACGTATTCCATGAACTGGTCGATATAGGCGTCAAAGTGCAGCTCTTTGGTTCTGTGGTGAGTCTCGGCAATAACGCGAGGGTCGAGAATTACATATGTGCGGCGATCCCCGATTAAGACACTGAAAGGTTGCGCTGGGACCCGAAAATATGTTCTTGCTGGTAATGAGCACTACTGACAAGGGCAACTTGGTAAATACTTACCTTGCAGCCACCAACAGCTCCTCAACATCTCTGAAAAACGAGAGATTATGGCCAAGACCTAAAGGTGTTCAGATTAGATAGCTGGTCAGTATGAGGACAGCTTTCTCACCAGGTATCCAGTATGGTAGCATTGGAGGCTCGGATCGGGAGTTCCATAGCGCACCGTTTCTCAGCAAGTACTGCCATACAACATATGCAGCTAGGCATGTTCCCAGGATTCGGAGCAAGATCTGGTGGCACAGACCCAATGCCGATGACTCGATATCCCCTGCCCCGAGAGTGGCGTTGATCCCTGGCGTAAGAATTATCGCACTCATTTCTCAGCTTCTGCAGTTCACAACTCATGATCAAGGTTGCAAGGGACCAAGGCATATTTGTATTGCGCGGCGCAAATACTAATCCCGAACTTAGAAACATCTTGACTCCTTTTGTCGCATTCTTTTCTTGGCAGGTCTACAAGGAACTGGCTCTCAGTGTTGTGTGTCTCAGTATCACCCTAGGGACGGCCGATGCTGATATTCTGAGTAAGACATGCTCGGGATTGTGAGTCTTATGGATATAAAGTAACACTATTGAGAGCACAGAGGGTCTCCGTAACGAATCCTTTCCGGTGATGAAGATTCACATGGATATGTTCCTTGATATTGATGCTGCACCCTGGTTTTTGAATGTGCAGGTAAGGGCTCTTCTGAGCTTTCTGCCGAAAACCTACTCATGAGACCTAAGATTCCCCAGGTGAGCCACATTCAGGGCTGAGAACCCCCTTTACCGGAAATACGTATCATATTTGTGAGACATGCCATTCTCAAAACCTTGCAATCTCCCTTGTCTCAGCCCACTAGACGAAAAAGACCGGCCACGGAGAATATGATGTTAGGCGCTAAAATTATTTCCATTTGGAGTTTCTCCACACAGTCCTTGGTGTTTGTTATAATTGCATGACGAGTTCAGAGTGTCACCAAACCGTTCAGCTCGTGGAAGTGACGGAGGAGATCCTTTCTCAGACAGTAATGGGCAAGTTGCAAAGGACAAATATGACACATAATAGGAAGTTTCATTACTGTAACCTTCAAGACTTGTTCTATCAATATGGTCATTCCCGCTCAGTAATGGGGCATCCATGGAAAGACGCACAATTGCTGAGGTCGGTGAGGGCATGCATGAGTAATCCTTGAGGCTTAGATTATTTTCTAGTGATACTAAAAGCTTATGAAAAAAGCCTTTCGCGTAACATTGACACATGTGGCTAATACCTGATAAGGTTCATCGAGTCAAGCCCAACTTGCAGATTAAACATTAGCATCCCCAGATATTTTGTGCCAAATGGTTGCAAGAGTTTTCAAATCTGAGAAAGCTTACATCAAGCTCTGAAATTCAGGCTCTGGCTTTGCCGAGAATGGCTTTCTTGGTTGTTCATTCGTCGAAGCTTCCGAAAATATTAGGCAATATCATAAAGGTTTTCTTTCTTAGAAATAAACCCAGGGGAAAGTTTTTCTTCATAGCCGAAGAACGTTGATAAGTTGAACTTCTCCAGGTGAACCAAGACCTACATTTCTCTCCATATTGCCCTTACCCATTCGGTTCTATTCTGCTCGCCTCGCTTTTACAACAGCCCAGCCTCACAAAATTAGAGTACCAGTTCTCTGTGAAGATCCATTCGACTTCACCATGGTATTGTTATATGTTATCTGGTTCACCACTCTGTTCATATTCACCATCATTTCTGGCTACTATGAAACAATCCTCTGTGGCATAATAGAGGAACTACACCACTTAGGTATGCAAATCATTTCGCTTAAATACAATTACTGACCAGCAGAAGATCATTACTATCACGATTCAGGCGCCGAAACAGATAGTGATGATTGGGACTCTGACGAAACTGATGACGATGAATCAGGTATGCATATTCACTCACTTGAAGCTGCATACACTGACCAACTACAAAAAGATGACGAAGGATATTGTTCTGCGATATCCCAAACATAACAGCCCGAGGGTAAATTGAGTTGCTCTAATGAGGAAATATATAATGAATCCAGCATTTCGGATTCAGAAGCACAGGCAAATGAGGATAAAGCAGGTAGGTTTACGAATCTTCACGAATTTATAAGCACTAAGCAGTCCTTCTAGGTACAATAGAAGGCAAACATGTGTGATAACTACTCCGCCTTTTGACGCCAAGATTAAGTTACTCTTCATCGATCCAGGTACCAGTGTCCAATGCGCCGTACGCCCAGGAATATCTTACGCATATGAGACTTCAGAAACGTTTGAAGAGCTTTATATATTCAGAGCCAAACGATCGTGCAAATTCATAATCGATCCTCAGAGACCAAGACTTACGAGAGTCATAGCCATAGGTTACCCATGTTCTCATCGTAAAAGATATCTGGACTTGGACCAGTCCTTCGATTTAGTAAAAACTTGCTTAAATACATCAGATTCGCATACACATTAGTAAGAAGATTCGTTGATGTTCTGTTTCCAAGTCACTTGTTGCTTATCTTCCAGGTTCCATGTAAACACTTAAACGATACGGTGTTCGTGATGAAAATGGATAAGATCTTCGTAAAGGCAGGGTTGCATCGAAACTCTCATGGCCCATTCACAATGTACCTCCTCCCCACAGAACACTTCACCCATGCATGAAATAGGTGGGGGAGTCAGGCAATGCGAGATAAATAATTTGACCGCCATCTGAGTTTTTTTCCTGTCACAAACCGTTTTACCTTTCTGCAAGCTGCAGTCAGACTGAGGCCAACAGAGTTTACCTGTCAGATCTCTTGGCTTTTTCGCTTACACCACGATGTCTTCGCCAAAGTCCCCTGCGAAATCACCAAAGTCTCCTCAGTCTCCTCCTGGGGCAGTGGAGGCAGCTGAAGCCCCCGCGGCGCAGGCACGGGATGGATTCATTCAGCCTGTCAGTTCAGACCTTTTCTGTAGTTCTACTGCCCTGCTGATGTACTCTTTCAGGATACTGATTCTGACTCTGCGTATTCTTTGTCGTAAGATGCATGCACTGACACCGGGGTAGGCTTCGCTAATATGGCCCAGAACGGATGTTACTGATACTGAGTCCCTGCGCTCTTCCATTTTGAACTACAAGTGGGTTCATGGCAGACGCTTCCATGCATATGGCGATGGAACCTACTGGTGAGCTTCAGAATCCACAAGGTATTAAAAGTACTCACACGATTAGGGGAGCGAATGACGATCGCCAACAAGAGGCTGAAGATTTGATGTAAGTCTCATTTCTAAAGCCTATTAGTCTCATTCCTATCTAACAGATCTTAGTCATGAGTTGTTTCGGGTAGTCCTCGATGGCAAGCTATACGAAGCGCCGATCGGCAAGAATCCGCAGGTTTGTCTCTTCTTATCCAATTTGATCTCCATTTACTGATTCTCTTTAGAATGTGCTTGATGTTGGCTGTGGCACCGGTATTTGGGCCATGTGAGTCATCATAATCCTACGAGGATATCCCCAATTGAGCTGATAATACCAGTGATATGGCAGACCTGCACCCATCAGCTGAAGTCATTGGTGTTGATCTCTCGCCAATCCAACCAAACTTCATCCCACCTAACTGCAGATTTGAAGTTGACGATATTAATAAAGAATGGACGTTTCCCGAGAATAAGTTTGACTTTATTCACATTCGTTACATGACTGGAACTGTCCCGGATTGGACTGAACTTCTCAAGAAGGCTCAAAGGTGCATTGCATCCTCTATTTCGTCTTTGGTAAGCGTTTCTAATTTGGCTACAGACATCTCAAACCCGGAGGCTGGATCGAGCATGTTGAACTCTGGGGAGACGCTCGAGCTGACGACGACACCATGAGCCCCGAATCTCCGCTCAAAACTTGGGTCAAGATCTTTGAGCAAGTAGGAGAAAAGATCGGCAATCCCTTCTTCTGGAATCCCGCCGATGAATTCGAGAAGGCCGGACTGAAGAACATCACCGAGAAGAAGGTCAAAGTTCCTATCGGCACGTGGGCAAAAGATAAGGACCTCAAACAGTGGGGTGCATGGAACCGGCAGTTTCTGCTGCAAGGATTGGAAGGCTTCTCAATCCGCAGCTTGACGGAGCTTCTAGGAGTACGTTTCAGATATTCTTTCCTGCAAAGACTGCGTGTAGTGAGCTGACATTTAAACCACCAGTGGGAATACGAAAAAGCGCAGGTCTTCCTGGTGGAGATGCGTAAAGAGCTGTTGAACCCAAAGCTTCACTCATACGTCTTGGTGTACGTTTTCCGCAAAATTGATATAATTTTCTCTCAAGCTAACATGTATCTTCGCAGAACTACTGTATACGGTCAAAAGCCTGAGGAATAATTGGGGAATCTCGAGCGTCAGCTATGGACCTTCATCATTTCTTATCAAGATTTGGCTAGATACCCTTTTGGTGTCCTGACACGACTTATGAATACAAGAATAGTTATCGTTGCGACGAATTCTAAATGTACGTTCAAAGTCTGGTTCAATCGGCTGAGAACTGAGCCCTTCCAGTTCGCCAATGTTCCCGATCAAAGGACCCAAGTATCCCCGTCGTTAACCTATTCAAATAAAAGCAGATGGGGGATGCACTTGGGGCTAGAGCTTCTTCCGACCCCTTAACCTTATAAAGATCCCATGGCGTAAAAGCCGGTCTACCGTCCTCATAAGGCTGCTTCGGTTTGTCCGCGAACGTACAGCTCCTGTCCCCAGAATGATTGTCGCCAATTTCGCAGAACCAATTGACCATTTGTGACCACTGATCAACCTGGTCATCTTTGCCCTTATAGTAGTTGCGACATCCGTCATCATGGCAGGTCTCAGGCACGCCAACAGTTCCATTGTAGACATATGACTTCCTGTCAATGGCATGGAACCATTCGTGAGGCGGCCCGTGAAAACCCCCATCCGTAAAGCGTATCTTGCTATGGTAATTGACGACAATGCAGCTCTTGTCGTTCTTGCAGTGACCGCATGCTATCCTCTCAGGGCCGAGATGAGTCAAATCGTGTCGGCGTTCGCGATTCATATAGCCCCAGCCACCACGAAGCTTGATAAGATCTTCCTCTGTTGATACAACTTCAGAGCGGTCGATCTCGGAGATTGCATTCCATTCAGGGAGAGTATTGGTGCCACTTTGTGGTAGTAGATGACGTCCCCCTTTCTGCCGGATCTTTTTGAGTGACTCGTTGAGTTTGTGTCGATGCAAATAGCCACTTTGGTGGAGGATAGATGGATCGCTACCCGAATGCCCTTGCCATAGAATATGCAACATAATCCCATATCCGCTATAGTTTGTGGCAAAGACTCGTGGAGACTGGTCGGTAGTATCGACGCTGGAGCTACAGGGTGTCTTGTGATCGGGATGTTCACAACTGGTCAGGAACAACGGCTTGTCTTCAGGTACTTCGCTAGGGAGAAGAATTCGTATATCAGCCCGGGTGAGTGTTATGTGGTCACAAACTCGAATGAAGCCCTCAGTTGCAATGCAAACTCGTCCATTCGTCAAATCTGCTTGATCCTGGGAAAAACAAGCAGAAGGGTGATCCACTTTGCAGGAGTGACAATGGAGGAAGTCGTGAGAATGACAAGCTGAAAATTTGCAAGCCGTCGAATATCCGGCCTTTATCCTCTCCTCCCGGTTTTCCTGGCAGTTTTTGCATGTGGTGTAACTCCTAATGAAGTCTCCAAATCCTCCAGCCTCCCATCTTCCCTTGATCCGCACTGCCCCTGCCATGATCTTCGCTTCTCCAACTGACTTATACTCGAAGCAATGGTGACCAGCCGGTGGACAGATTGGCATCGTATGTCTGTTTCTGTAACCATCTGAACACTGTTGGCAACATCCGCTATGGGAGAAAGGGTGGTAGATAAAATCTTCCGCTTTCAAGAAGCGTCTAAACCGACGAGAGACCTGACGCAGGGCGTAGAAGGCGAAGAGGGATGGTTTGTCGCTTGGGTCTGATATGTTGGAGACGATCATCAAGAGGATCTCATCAGGGACTCTTTGGAACATCGAATGTTCGCACTGGCTAGAAGCCAGTTGATCCTTTTGTGGTCCTAGATACTGAGCAAGCTCAGTGCCTTGAGTTGGGATCAATGGCTCGCTTCCAATATGTCTCTCCATCTGTGATTCGTGGTCCATCTCGATTTCTTTCGGCGTTTTATCCCATGGCGTGCGCAAGTCCAACGCGCGTTGCCCCTCTATATAATCCTCTATGGCAAAGCCATCCGAAACCACGTCGAGGAAGGCTGTCATTTTGACTGGACCTCCAGGGGCGGACGCTTGATTGGCAGTGTGAAATCGAGTTGATAGTGATGAGAAAGAAAAGTAGAAAGCAAGAGAAGGTATCAAGACCTTATAAGAATGCAAAAACCCTGTAGCGTTAAAGTTTCATCACTTCGTGGACTCTCAAAACGCAACGTGTGTGTTTGGATATCAAAACCTTCTTCCTAAAGTTTAACTCAACAATTCATAATCTGTCTCGCTGAGAATTTGCAAGGTTTACACAAACTAATAATAACAGGTAGGGCACGCGATTTAGGCGTCAGCTTTCGGCCACAACAACTCTGGATAACACATCTCAAAAACACACTTCAGGTAGGCATAGCCACTCATAGTGCTTAGGCAAATTACTTATGAGACTTTAAATATCTTACCCAATAAACTCATCAATCTTTAGTCTAAGTTTATGTAGCTCTTAGGATGATCTTCTCAAATGTGGGCCAATGGCCCTGATCGCAGTGGTCCTCCCTCTACTTACTCTCGCAGCTCACCTCACCGGCTAGAGGAACCGCAGAAGCCCCGGAACTCTACTATAGTTTCAATCACGGACTAATTTCCGCTGGAGTTCAATTAATCCTTCATCACTTCATATTCGTGCTGCAAAAGAACATGGTCCGTTCGCCTACTGAACGATGGAGCTGCATGCCTCCGGCTTGCTTGCACCAGTTTTGTACCTGGTCATCTCGCCGAATCGGCACTGAAAGTATTCACTGAAGAGTAAAAGATCATTCAGACACTGTGACCAGTGATACGGCACTTAGGAGCAAATCCTGTCTGTTTGTCTGCATCCCGCCAAAGTGGCGAATCACGGAACGTACGGGAACGAAGCAGATCAGCCAGTCTGAGATGCCGCACCGTGGCAGTTTAGAGAAGAGACGAAAAGTCAAATACCTTAGTTAGGCGAACCCATTATCATTATATCACAGATATTACATATCATGAAGGCCAATTGCGTGGTATGTTGGGTGTCCAAAGTCTTGTTAGGTACTAGAATAACACTATAGGCTGGACCCATGCATCAACGTCGCTTGCTAGTCATTCCAATCATCACCAAATATCCATTACATCAACTCAAAGTATCATCAAATAATTAAAGCTTCTTGGTTCCCTCAATCTCGGCAGCAGCAGTGTTAGTGTTGACAGGAGTGACAACATCAACGCCCTGAAGCTTATCGGCAGTCCTGTCGGGTCCGACAATCTCGAACACTGTTCCACGATTAGTGATGATTCAATAGGAGATATAACGGATAACTTACAGTCAACAGGAGTGGAAGTGAACTTGCGAGCGTTGACCTTCTTCTGGAAGAGGTAGTCAAGATCGGCAAAGCTACGGTTCATGGTCTCAGGCAGGAAGAAGAAGATCCAAACAGCCCAGATAAAGCAGAGACCAAAGTAGAACATTCCGGTCTTGGCTCCCCAGTTCCAAGCATCACTGCTGGAGTTGAGCATACGGGGGTTGAGCTGCTGGACGATGATCTGACCACAGACGTAGACAGCACGACCGATGACAATGGTCTGAGCGCGAACACGGTTGGAGGCAGTCTCAGCAACGACGACGTAAGTGGTAGGACCAAGAGAGACCTTGAAGATGCACTGGACGACAACAAGGAAGGCGGCTGTGACGATGGCGACACTGTCAACCTTGGGAACAAAGCCGAGGATACCAATGATCAACATGCAGGCACCGATACCAGATGAACCGTAGAAGTAAAATGTTCGACGTCCGATCCTACCCATGAGGCAGATGGCAATACCGGTGGCGATGATGTTGACGGACTGGATGATCATGTTGTAGTTGAAAGCCATGGTAGCGCTCATACCAATGGACTTAAGCATGATAGCGGCGAAACTGGTGATGGATTGACCGTTGAGAATCTGAATGACCCAAGCCATACAGACAATACCAGTTCGGCGAAGGTTAGTTCCCCTGAAACAGTCCTTGAAGCTAGCAGCCTCAGCCTCAACCTTCTCCATCTCGTTGGTATGCTTCATGAGAGCAAGAGTCTGAGCCATAGACTCATCAGTGTAGTGGCCCTTGCGAGCAAGACGACGAAGAGCATGCTCAGCAGCCTCGAGCTTACCGCGACGGACGAGGTACCAGGGAGACTCGGGGGCGAAGAAAGCGACGGTGATCAAAGGAGGAATCCACATCCACTGAAGACCGTAGGGGACTCGCCATCCAGCGTCGCCCTTGAGATCGAGTGAGCCACGGAGGACACCGGTGGCGAGGAAACTTCCGGCACCCCAGCACATGGAGACCCAGGCGGTGAGGTAGCCACGGAGGGCAGCGGGGCAGATCTCGGCGGCGTAGGCGGTGGTAAGGGTCTGGAAGATACCCCAGGGGATACCGCAGAGGAGGTTACCGACGAGGAGCATTTCGACGTTGACGGCGAAGAAGAGGACGAAGATGGTGCAGGCCATGAGAGACATGGCGAACTAATGAGATTAGCTAAGTTCGAACGAGACGCGATGAGAAATGACATACCATGTAAACTCGTCGAGAGCCGAATCGGGATTGCAGATAACCATTGATCAAAAGACCGATAATAGAACCACAGTTATTTCCAGCACCAATAGCACCCTGCCACTTCGTAGAAATATGCTGGTCGCCATTGGCATCAGGCCAACCGAAACGCTTGAGATAAGCAGGATGGGCGAAGAAGTTGTTGATGAGACCAACATCCATACCCTCCATGACCAAAGCAACACTCAGGAGCATACTGAACGTCACGGCGGGCCAGTATCGCGAGAAGAGCTCCTTCTTGGGGAGGAGACACTCTGCATCACTGGCTGCCACGGCAGCCTCGATGAGCTCGACTTGGGAGTTGTAGCCGGAGAACTCTGTGTGATGAACGGGGGCTTTCTGCCCGTCCTCCACGTGGGCTGGTTCCTTCGAGGGCGCCATTGTCGGTCGAGGGGATACTAGAGAAAAGTGATGAAGGAGAAGGAGAGAGAGTGCTCAATGCAGATCTGGGGAAAATAACGGGGGAGGATATCAGGATAAATATAAAGACTCCGCACACCAGTCCGATGATCAAACAGGGATTTCTCGGTGGTACTTCCCCACGGGGGACTGGTCAATCAGTCTATCTTCCCCGCATTGCAACGAAATGACTTCGGTGTCGATACCCCGAAGTAACGAGCCATTCCTGATCCAGGATCGAATGTCCTGTTTTCTTGGCTATTCGGCGGAGAGAAGTCCGAGTGAATGGCACTGAAACGGGTAGTTTTATGGGGTTGATTAAGGTTAAGCTGTTATTAACGTTTGGGTGTCCCCATGGGGGTTCCCACGCGGACTCGGGGTCCATTTCTGGGGTACGAAATAACACGAGGTTGACAGATGAGATGGGTATTTGATCTGTCAAAGTCTATTCCATCTTGTGTAATGGGAAACATGTTGATGCTTAATCCCCATATGATGAAGAAACTGTACTGTCTCCTCACTGATGGGTTGCATGCTGCATCTCAACAACCCCATTCCCTGGCAGACTGCTATGGTCACAAAAGGCCTCGGCTAACCTCCTTCATGCGACGGCGCGGCAAATGCCGTGCCATATCCCATTGGCCGATTCTCCGTGTCTGACTCTCTTGGCCCGTGAGTCTAGACCAGGTTGAGCTCTCAGCTCCCTCGACTGAGTCATGAGGCACCATCTCGACTAAAATAATGGAGAAATTCGCAGTCAGAGCCGAAAAACGGTCGATGCTTTTTGTTTTCCCTCCGCATGACTTGATACGACGTCGGTTCGCCGAAGAGTTCTTCCCAGCTCCTCAGCTCCCAGGCTACACTCAGATCAAAGGCTCAGACAACAGCACGACAGGGGTTGGCTGTGAACCAATAGCAACTCCCTGAGCCCCCGTTCGACGTTCCCTTTTCTGTCGTCAAGGTTGTGTCACTGAAGATTTCCTTCCCCACAGCGGGCAACCCCAAAGTTTGCCCCCCATTTTTTCTGCACAAGCTTATTTTAAAGGAGGTCCAAGCGCATAGAAAAGACGCGAGCTATCTTGGCTTATGCAAGCCACGACAAAGCATCGTACGCTTTCTCCTCACGGTTTGTCCGCGTTCCAGCAAAGCTATTAGCAAATGCCGGAATGACTGCCGTTATCAGCGGCATCGCAAATTTACTCATAGTGACATTGAGCCTCGTGAGGATAAAGAATTAAGCAAGGGCATAATACTGAAACTCGTCTGATCTTGCCCAGCTCATTGCGCCCTGAAATTGTCTTCAATGCAACCCTGGCTGATCCTCGGCATCTCGGTCGAGTTCCATGCGCTCTCCAACCGTTTGGGCCAAGTCCGCGCCGCCTTTTGATGGCATATTGGGGTTGGAGCCCCCAAAGTGTCTGTCGCTTAACCTTTCCGTTGTTGCATCTTGCATCGCCAAGGCTTCAAACCGAAACTCGATGCTGAATCCGAGGGTTTGGGCCGTGCCTGTGCGTTTATTGTGATGTTTATCTCTGTTGGTACGCGTACATGATGTTTTTGGTTGGGTTCATGGTTTTTGCAAGCCAAGATTGGCTTTGGGGTTCCTGAATCTTGCCCCCGCACTTGGCAGATGGAGATCTTGAGATTCAGGAAACACAAGAGGTTGCTCGCTTCAGAAAGGACCGAAAGACGAAGAAAATTGTATTTCAACGTGAAATAAGTTATGTAAGGGGTATGTGAATATTGGGCTCTTAGCTCGACAGCTGTTCAGCTTTGACCGTGCCAAACTTTTAGGCGACAGGATATTGGGGATGTTATACCGCCGAAAGGCGATGTTTCTAGCCGCTTAGACTAATTTTTAATTCTGTAAGATTGACCTAGCGAAGCTGCATTTTTGTCAAAGGACCATACGAGATCAAATATGGCCTGAGATGACAACGCAAGGTGACTTTAACGGTACAAGCTGTCAAGCTGGGCTTCATGCAAGTTTGAGCCTCAAGGGATCTTGACAGCTCGGAGCAAATGCACGATACAACAAGCCCAAGCTATGATTATGGAGAAACGTCGTATTGATCCATCATGGGTTCCCTGTCTAGTTTGTTGAGACTGTTGACACTTTCTGAAAATGGCCAGCTATCTTGAGAACACCAGGTTTAGCAGATTGAATCAATATGTGCAGGGTAGGTAATACGTCTTGTTCAAATGAAACGTCCGTTCAGGTTTAGCTACCTCTGGGGTAATAATGAGCATATCTGAAAGGTTCTTTCAGTATTTGATCAGCTAGTAGAGCGGATTCGTACCCGTAGTTCCGGGTAAGTGATCAAGTTTGCCCACTTTCCCAACGTTTCGGCACCCCATACCCGAAAGATCAACAAATAGATCTTCAACTGCCATACCAAAAATCTGTGGAGTTGATCCTTCGCGCAAGCAACTATCCATTCTCGATCTCTTGGCGTCTAGTAGGACCGAAAACGTTGATCACTTATGCTGCACTACAACGTTTGATGTGACACAGACTTCCCCGGAGATTCGTGCCACATGCTTCGTTGTCAATTACCCCAGGCTTGCGAGTGAGATCCTCCAACGGGGCGGGGATGTCTCTATGCGACCCAATAGTGGGACATGCCCAGCGGCGCAGTTGCGCAAGAACCAACATGCTAAATGAAAACTTGGTGGGGAATGCGGCGCAGTTATTTCAAGCCTGTTGATGAATTGCACCAAGGAAAGGTGAGCAGACAGGTTGATGACCCGGAGATTCTTTGGAATGTGTATCTATCATGCGCGCCAAGGTGTTGGTATCGCTCATTTGTGCCAAGTTTTCGACAGGAATTCACCAACATTGAGATTGCTACTGAGAAATAAAAACTTCAAATTTGCAAGAAGCATATGAGGAGGAAAAATTGAACAAATTTTCAAGAAAAGGAAAAAGAGCTCAAGCCACCTACTCTGATAGCCAGGATAACTTGCCAGGCTAAATGCTCCACGTCTTCATCATCATACCACCGACTTCTAATCACTTGGTCAATCTCCTTCTCAATCGTCTCCAGACCATCCCTTTATCCCACCAGCGTTGTTTTCGAACAACCAGAACCTGCTGAGTGGAATCCGTGATTCCCCCTTCTCTCTCGAAATGTCTTTTCCGGTAGCCGTCCCATATTTCTTGCCTGTTTCTCTCATCAATGCGAGCCTGATCCTGTTGGTCCAGGGGAAGAGCGTTGATCGCGTCTCGAATCAGATCACGTCGAACCCTCTCAGCTTTGATTGCCTCCGGGCTGAAAGAACCGGGTGAATTCACTACCATCCGGTATTAGCATTCCGTTCCTAAGCTGTTGAAGCTGTACTAGTCTTACTGTCGGCGATGGAAGAAGTCTCAAGGTACTGCAGCGCAGAGCTATAGTGACTGATTAGCCGAATGTTGTAAAGATCTCCAAAGTCTTGTTCCGGAACAAGACTATTATCGACCACATCAAGCTCGTATTGCGAAAATACGTCGTGTTCAAAAATGAAATGACTGCTCAATATGATATCTGCTTTGAGACCATCAAGTACATAAAAGTTACAGTGGATCTTGTCCCACGAACTGCGGAACTGCCAAGTAGTACTGTGAACGATACCAGCAGTGATATCCAGAGAACCATCGGCGTATTCAATGATGCGCCTGTGCTCCACATCCCGATCAATTTCCAGGGAGTGTCGCTTAGCAAAGTTTGTTGATATCAACATTGCGTCGCAGCCTGTGTCGGCCAGAGCAAGTGAAGGTATGTCATCAAACCTTCCCTGCAGACAACAGGTATCGTTCTCGATAAGATTAAACCTAAGACGAGAGGTAAACTTTCTCAACGATTTTGTGATACGGTGAGTGAATTTGGTCAGAGTACCCGTAGCTTTGAGAAAAGCTTGACACAGGATGAGATCTTGAGTGCATTTGGGGAGGATACAACAGTCAAGCAAGTGTTGCTCTGATTCTCCTAAGAAAGTGAAAGGGACATCTACTGTGCCGTAAGACTTGATTGTTGCCCCCGTAGGTAGCCGGAACTTTTCTTTTGTGCTGACTTTGGGTACGAGTCCAAGCTTCACGACAAGCTGCTGGGAAACGAAGTTACGTTTGGCGCCAGTATCAGGTAATGCATCGATTCGATATCTGTCGGGGCCAACCAACGCTTTCACCCTATACTCCATCGAGCCACTGGAATAGGTCTGAGCCGAGCTTTTGAGGACGGGCAGAAGTAAAGCCTTTTCGTTCTTTTTGACGAAGAGTTTGGGTTGGAGAAGCTTGGAAAGTTGCTCAGAAGTGAAGCTAGATTGATTGTATTGATCCCGTTCATCGTCTATCGAGTCATCAGAATATGACGGAGTCGAGGTATTATGGTTGGGCGGTACGGATAGTATATATTCTTTTTTATTGTTGAAGCGTCTCCGTGCGAGATGTTCCGTGAAAACCTGTACATTCAAGAGGTTATGATTTTCGCCAGCAACAACTTCAGAGGGTTTTTGGCCAGCTGATGCTTCCATTTTGTTGGCTATCGAGTGACCAAAAGCTGACGGAGCCGAGCTGTTATAGGCGTGAGATGGAGGTTCAGCATTCATTTGCTCCGGATTGAAACTTATATGAAAGTCAGCAGCTGATAGCGTACGAGTGATGTTGAAAAGACATACCGAGTTGGAGGAGGTTGTGATTGGTCCGAGGATATTTGGGTAGAACTGGACCCTGGAGGAATGAATTGTTCTGGCAGAGGGTGTGGATCCTCTTGATTGAAGTTATCAGAATGCGCACTGCCATATTCTGTCCCAACGGCAGAGCTCGCATCATCCACCTGATCATCTATCTCTACCGTGCTAGGGCGGGGCATTTCATTCCGTACCCAGGGGTCCCCTGGAAGCCAGAAGTAAGAGACCATAGGGACGGCGCGGATTAGAGGAATAAACGATGCATCTGAAAACTGCCGAAATTATTCTAGGTAATCAGGGAGGGTTAATGCGAAGAATTTAAGAGCTTGGTGTAAGTAATGCCGATGCGCTGATAAAGTATTTTGTTTCAGAAAAGGACAGGAAAAGGAAAGAGAAATTCTTCTGGAACTCAGAAGGGGGTGACTTAAGGGTATTCGATTGCTACATGTCGGGCGGCGGTGGCTGGACATAAACCGCATCGTTGTTGGGCTTCTTGTTGGGCTTTTTCAACCTTCTGCCAATCATCTTCTTTAAACAGATGCTAGCTGATATTGTGTAATTGTAAATTGTACATTCACACGTCATCATTAGGTGGCAGGCATCAGGCTGTCACCCAAATTTCCAACGATATCGGATTAGTCCATTTCGCTGTTTCTGACTGTGATTTCTTGGAGGTTTAAGCTCTATTCAAGCATCCATGCGTATCTGTGAGTCAAAAGCTTATGCGTAACATTCTCGATATCGAAATGAATGCAGGTCAGGCTTTGACTCGACCCTCGCTTGGATTCGCAGCCCTTTCGTCCTGGATCGTTTCAGACAGAGATCAAGAACTCCTATTATTTCGAAAGTTTGGAGAAATAAGCGCTCGAAATCTTCTTTATCTACAATGTGAATTATTAAGCATCGAAGGCAGACTGAGAGCCTGGGATAAGAAAGTTGAAGGTAGCAACGACACGGCATTTGAGCAGGCTGCAGAAACATGGGAAATGACGATCGAACAGGCCGAGGCAGGGAAGCCAGAAGCGAGGGAGATCCTGGAGTTGATGAATCAACTTCGTATCAAGATTAAAGAATATCGTATGTGAAATGGACCCAACTATAAGAATCTGCTTACTCTCGTATAGACGAAGCGCTAGATCTACAGAGCAAGATTTCTCAGCTCAACGGCCCCGACCCAAGGGCTCTTGAAGTGGCTCGAAACGAACTCCACGGAGGGCCTTTACGACGAGACAGGCAAAAGCCGAATCCCATACTAGGTGGGAGAGGGAAGGATTACCTGGATGAAGCGGAGGATCTCGTTTCGCTCAAGACGCCAGCAGCTGTCGACCCATTATCAAAATTACTCCGGGCCTACTGGCCAGGTCGAGTGCGTTTCATCATCCTTTCTAACTATTGCAGTTAATTGAGAATAATTGACTAATGCGAAGATTTTGGAAACAGGAGGAACTATCAAGGGACGGCCGGCGTCGAATTAGCCGTTTTGAAGAACGATCAATCACGATAGCAGTTGCCCTCGTCAATGTTTTGCTCGCGATGGTCTTGTTGGTCGGTTCGATAAGTAGTCTCTACTACGTGAAGTCACCACCAGCAATTCTTGGTACTATATGCGGGTTTACGATACTATTTGCGTTGAGCGTGGGTTTGATCACAAACGCAAAACGAGTAGAGATATTTGCAGGCAGCGCAGCGTAAGTACTGTTCTATCCTTAATTTCAAGAGATATAGGGAGTAACTTGATATGCTGATTCGTAAGAAACCAGATATGCGGCTGTCTTGGTGGTTTTCGTCGGCAATGGGGATCAATCGGGTTGTAAGTGTAGCTAGAGGTTGGAACTATCCTCGGGGAGATTATAGTTATAATTGGCCCTTTATAATGCAGGACAACATGGAAATTGACAAGAGCTTGACGCGAGGTCGTGCAGCAAGAATACAGCATCATGAGCGGGCTGATGTAAGCTAGTTTCAATGCAACTTTTGTTAGGCCACAGATGGACCAAAAGTCGAATCTCATAATGTTCCAATGAATGACTAAAGTTTCAAAGCATACATTGCCAAGCCTAACGTTATTGATCACGAATTGCTAGTTGTGAGCTGGTTTGGTTACGACTGTTTGTCCGCCCGAGGTTCCCTGCTCAGGCTAGGTTGCAAAAATGAGGTCATATTTATCAGCAAGACTGGCACGCCCTACAGACTACATATCAATCACCCACTTCTTAAACCCCTCAAAGCGCAGTGATTTTAACAACAAGAAAAATAATAATACCTACTTTAAAAGTAAATCAGGCATTGAAAATGTCAGACGGTTATGCAAAGATTCCTTCAGGTGCTCTGGTTCAGCCAACGCCTTTCCAAGTCTCCATCGCGGACGACAAGGTCGATGAGCTCAAGCAGCTTGTGAAGCTGGGAAGAATCGCGCCGCCGACCTACGAATCTACGCAGCAAGAACACAACTATGGCGTCAGTCACCAGTGGCTAACTGATGCGAAAGCTGCTTGGATTGACTTTGACTGGTATGTTCTATCTTCTGTCTCTAAATTTGCAGTGCTGAGAGCTGACCTTTGGAATAGGCGCGCTGCGGAAAAGCATATCAATTCCTTCAACCACTGGACTGTGCCCATCGAGGACGAGAAGGGAGACTTCCAAATCCACTTCACGGGTCTCTTCTCCTCTAAGCCCGACGCCGTCCCTGTGGTGATGCTTCATGGCTGGCCCGGTAGCTTTCTAGAGTTTCTAAAGATCCTGTCCATTTTCAAGGAGCGCTACACCCCGGAGACGCTACCTTACCATGTCATTGTACCGTCTCTCCCTGGTTATGCCTTCTCGAGCAAGCCGCCGCTGGACAAGGACTTCGGTGTTCAGGATGTCGCCCGCATCGTGAACAGCCTCATGGTTCAGTTGGGTTTTGGAAGTGGCTATGTTGCCCAAGGAGGAGATATTGGAAGCAGGGTTTCTCGTGTGCTCGCGGCTATGTATGAAGAGTGTAAAGGTATGTGATCATCATGCAAGTTTCTGGCATTGACGGGAAATATCGCTAACGCGCTTTCTTTTATAGCCGCTCACATCAACTTCTGCATCATGCCCGAGCCCTCGGACGCACAGGGAGAGATCTCAGATGCAGAAAAGAAAGGTCTCGAACGCGCGAAGGACTTTGATAAACTGGGCTCTGCCTATGCACTCATGCACGCGACCAGACCAAGCACCATCGGCCTCATCCTATCGTCATCGCCTCTCGCGCTTCTCGCCTGGGTTGGCGAGAAGTTTCTCACCTGGAGTGACGAAGATCCTCCGCTAGAGGAGATTTTGACCTCGGTGACTCTATACTGGCTGACAGACAGTTTCCCAACCTCAATCTACCCGTACCGCCAGCGTTTCAACCCAGAGAACCCCGGTGCACATGATCACCCAAACTGGCAGATCAGCAAGCCGCTGGGTTATAGCTGGTTCCCGTTTGAGCTTGCTCCCATTCCCGTAAGCTGGGTGAAGACTACAGGAAATCTGGTGTTTTGGAGAGATCATGAGCGAGGAGGTCATTTTGCTGCCCTGGAGAGGCCTGAAGAGTTGTTGAGGGACTTTGGAGAGTTTGTGGAGCAGATCTTGAAGGATGGGTCTTTGAAGATCCAGTGAATGAATTTGTAGATAGCGGCGCTTTAACTCGCCCGAAGCTAAGTTAAAAGGCCATGAATTAACGGAAGAAGTATCAGTCAGCCTAGAAACGTGAGTATATCATTTTCTTCTCTCTTTGTTGTAGTTATGAGAATTATTGAGTTGTTCTTGATCACTAGAGGGATTGACCGACCTGCCTTCTACGACGAATTTCTAGGGACAAGCCGTTGCACTTAGAACTTCCCAGACTTGATCTTAATATTAATATTCTAGATCTTTTAGTAATTAATAGGTTGGTCTATTCCTCAGAATCTATTCAATAGACTAAGTAAAATAGACGAAATTCTCCGACATCTTCAGAGTGCTATTGGTCTCACATGATTCGGCACGTGACACATTTCAGCGATTTTGGGTCGAGAAGAATTCACGGTCTAGAGGCGCCAATTGACAGGCACTCACCCCGAGGGCCATTAGCTATGGCCATTTCTCATGTCATATATTACAGATCGGTTTGCGCAACAAGCAAGGCCTACTAGATTCCGGAGAAGGAGCCCGAACGCGGAACTGAGAACGCGCCCACTTTGACCTTGGCGGTCGCAAAGCGCGCCATGCCCTCTACCATCAAGCAAGCCGCTCTACTCGATGCCATTGACAATGAACAGCGCTGTCGCTGCGATTCCGAACCGGACTGTCACTGATACAGCACCCGCAGCTCCACTCGCCCCCGAACATAGCCTTTGACCGAACGTGCCCCTACCGAACCCCCCAGATCGACGCCGTGTCAATCCCCATTCGTTGCCTGACAATGCCGAACGAGACTAGAACACACTGAGCGCCACGACCGATCGAGAGAACATGAAGCCAACAGGAGTCAAGGACCGCGACGGTTGTTGTGCAATAGGGTCGGCGCTGTGCCTTCAGCCAGCACGATTGAGTTTGGCGTTCTTGTGATGCCACTCGCCAATGCCGCGCTTTCGAGCACTAGTCTTGGGAACACATAACCCATCGCGTGTCCCGTCTACCAGAGTTTGCCCGACTCTCGTCATCGCACAACCGGCCGGTCGCGCCGCAGCCGTTCACGATGCAAGTCTTGAGCCTCAAGAAATGTACAAGTCCAGTCGATCGCGCGACCTCTCCCGTACCTCGTCCGAGCCAGCGCTCCAATACCTCATCTAATTGTGATGTCGCTCTGAAGCAGCGCATGCACCGCAACGTCGTCCGGGTGATAGCGCTGCAGATATAGACAAATCGCCGGACATTCCACCCTCGCTCGAAGCTCAACCCACCATATACTTCGTCCTGCCTTGCGATACCATACATACAACAAGAGCAACGCAACAGGGTCCCTCGCAAGGAGTAGTTCCTTGAAGGCCCCGTCAATTCTGTGCGTGAACAGCTGTGTCTGGCCCGTTGTAACCTCGCTATCCGGTATATGAAGGACACGCGAAACTGCATGCGCAGCGTAGAAGTAAGGATTCTCCGGCGTAGATGTCTCGTTCAAAAGACAAACCGCAGCCAACACCGTCGGTATACCATCTCTGCCTACGTCCGGCAAAGGCGCTTGCATCTGCGCAATAGTCACAGCCATAACGCGAAACAGACTGTCATTTCGTAGAGGATCTACCATATTCCACAACGACATCTTTCCACTGATCATGGACGCCCAATCAAGGTCATCATCACCAGTCTTTAAAGGCCAAGAGTCTTCAGGTCTGTATGCATCTGGTGATGAGAACGTCAAGACGGCTAGAGCAGCTGCTGTACCCCAAATCGGGTCTTTGTCTTGTGTCTTGACGGGTTCTCGGAGCTTCTTGTTGAAGAGTGCTGTGCTTTGGGACCAGTGGTAGCATTCTTCTAGACTCCTGGGAGAACTTGAGGTTTTTAGATAGCGATCGTATGTGAGTGCTACTGCCAGAGAGGCGTGCATCAAGCAAGGGTTCTGTGCCAATTAGCTCAAGTTAGTTGGACACACTCTGGCGCGTGGCTCTTACAGTGAAGGCGAGTTTGAACAACCTCCGATTGACGTCGATCATGTTCCCATCAGGCGTCAAAAGACTTCTCGCATAATATCTCGTCACAAAGTCCTGACACTTCGCATTCAGCTGGTAGATCGAATACTCATCAGATGTCCATATAGCACTTGTGACAGGTCTTTGCGGCGATGGCTTGCAACGAACCATAGCCCTCACTGTGTCGGAAGTGATTGGATGTAGATCAGGTATGTTCAGCCCGAAGTTACAGAGTACTCCGAATGAACTGCATTTCTTACAGCGAGGTTTGCTTTCATCGCACTAAGCAGAGTCAGTCGAGGCTCACAAATGAAGGGCAATACCAAACCTTGAGTTTTCTCAGCTTGCAATTTCGGCAGCCATATCTTGACCTTCGCGCCGGTTTCTTCTGGCATGCCTGATTCGCGGAATTAGAAGACATTTCTGGAACCCTTGATGAGTTGTCAGCAATTATAGAATGTTGTCATCATTGAGAGAATTTGAGTCTGAGTTGAGAGGATCTGGAGTACGATCTATTTCGCGATGCACTAACCTCAACTTGGCTGGAGGCTCTCTCACGCTAGCTGTTCTGCGGATGCACGGTGATTTGATTGGCGGGTTGGCGACCCCAGACTTCTGGGTATTATCGCGAAGAGATCAATGTGATTTGAGGAAACCCTCACAGGAATGCTGTAATTCAGGTACAAAGAAGACATTCCCTTCCGATATCTTACAGTCTTTCACCTTTACTGTTCATTCCTCAGATTTACCTCTATTACAAGTCAAAATGGCTACTCATCTCGCCGCTCTTTGCCCAGGTAAAGGCCAACCCTTCCAAATACAGCCCCGATCCACTCCAAAACCAGGGCCAGATGAGCTTCTCATCGCCGTCAAGTCCGTCGCTCTCAACCCAGCAGACATCATCATGCGCGATCAAGGTCTTTTCATAACCGAGTATCCCACCGTCCTTGGCTTCGACATGTCCGGTTTGGTACTAGACCTCGGCGAAAACGTTCCGGTTGGTGATGATGGCTTCCAACCTGGCACTCGAGTCGCTGCCTATTCAGCTTCCGCTTGGAAAGGATGCGCTCCAGATTATGGCCCTTTTCAAGAGAGGTGTCTTGTTCCTTGGCAGCATGCTGTGCGTCTTCCTGGTCAGAACATGTCGTGGAATCATGCTGCAACTCTGCCTGTTTCTGTACAAGTCCCTCTTAGCGCATGGGATATGATGGGCATACCCAGAATGGATGACAAAGCTTCATCTGATGACTCTCAAGATGATGACCGTGTTGAGAAGAAAGAAGCGCTTCTAATCTGGGGCGCATCATCCAGCATCGGCACCATGGGCGTACAAACAGCTCGTCTAATGTGCCAGGATCCCAAGTCTCCCTTCGCAGCCGTCTATGCTACTTCTGGTCCAACAAACCACGAGTATATACGCTCACTTGGTGCCGATCGTGCGTTCAACTATAAAGACCCAAAGGCTGTCGAGTCAATCGTCTCCGCCGCAAAAGAAGATGGGCTAGTCATTCGACATTGCTTTCTCGCGACCGGACAACTTTCTTTGTGTCAGGCTGTGCTGAAGGAATTTGTTGATCTGAGTCCAGCAGAAGGCAAGACAACGGCCAAGATTGGGTCGGCGCCTTGGATTCCAGCAGACGCTCAAGACGTGGATGGAGTCGAGGTCATTTTTGTGATGCCGTCGACGGTTGAAGAGGAAAGACTGGAGCAGTTCAAGTACTGGATTGGTACTTATTTGAGAAAGCACCTGTCCAATGGTAGCATTAGACCTAGCCCCGAGCCAACGGTTGTGGGAAACGGTTTGGACTTTATCAACAGTGCTTTAGAAAAAATGTCTCAAGGTGTTAGTTGTACCAAGTTAGTGGTCGAAGTTGGTGAGTAAGATAGCATCATTGGCTAGTATGATTAGACAAACGGGTAATCATTATAAAGATGAAACTTAATGGTTAAAGAAAAAGGAGTAAAAGAACCGTCTGAATCGCGTCATAAAGGACTTTGCAAAATGTTTAAACGTTTCTGTGCTATCTGCCTCAATCTTGCCGGCACTGCAGGGTAGTCGCCCATCATTTTCTTCAAAAGAGTTCCAATGGTAGTGATCCCTGGCCTTCACTTCCATCTCGGAACTTCCCGTACTCAAAATCTTTGCTTCATCAAGCTTAACTCCTAATGATGACATTTTCGCATGGTCTTGTGGATAAAAACGGCTCAGCTGTCGCGAGACCACGTTCCATGCTCCGATCTTCGGCAGACTAATTTCCTAAAACGGACATTCTACCAGCGCCCACCAACGCCAATTAGCAAACAGAATGCCCCTGTACAACTGTCTCGGTTTCCGTTACCTTATTGTCACTCTTCTAACCGAATATTACCTTTGACCATCCCACAATATCCACGCGATCGGGTGAAAGGGTGGATCGCGTTGCATCAATTGGTTCCGTAGCCTCGATCGCTAGCTTCCTGAAACGACCTCGCCATGCACTGCATTGGCCAATCAAGAACCGCCATGATTCACCAAGTCACGTTAACCATGATCGATGATGAAATGTCCTCGCCCCGACACCCTCTCCGCTCAATTAACATAAGCATAATACGCCGTAAAAATAAGGTTAAAACATCGCCAAGCTCAGCTCTCTCATCAATAGCGAAACAAGTTCCCATCGCAAGTCAATGATGTCTTCTCCCAAATCAGGGGATACAAATTTCTCGGTCTTGTCCGACTAGACTAATCCAGCATGAGAAAAGATCATCACCCCGTGCATTGGCCCCCCGGCCTGGAGTAGAAAATCCGGGGTGAGTCCTTATCGGACCGACAGGACTCAAAACTCCACGATCTCATGACCCGTTTCCCCATACAAAATTCCTTCTAAAATTCATGGTCTGACGAGAAATCGAAGATCATGTCGGTCCGACATAGAGAATCTCGAGAGATTGAAGCTATCACGAGGCTCAGCTCTTGGCGATGGTGAGCTCAGTCTCGCGTTGAGACGTATGTCGGTCCGACATGCTTGGCTAGACTGTTCTTGGAGTCCGGGGGTGAACCCAACCTAGAGAGACGGGTTGTTTGTGGAGTTTTAGCATAAGAATCCCCAGATTCCCCGGTTTCCTCTCTTGTTTTCCAGCATCAGCTTCACTCACTTCTTCTCTCCATACAAGGGATCCTCCTACATATTATCTCTTATCTTGGACGACATCATGTCTTCACCAAAGGATCTCGCTCAGGTTGAGCACATCGATCCAGACAAAATGGCCTTCGACGAAGTTGAGCGCCCTGCTGCGCGAGAGGCAAATGATCGCGAACACACCCTCACTATCCGCGAGGCACTTCGCCTGTATCCCAAAGCCATTGCCTTCTCCCTTCTTTTCTCAACGGCTATCATCATGGAAGGTTATGATCTAAGTTTGTTGGGTAGTTTCTACGGTTATGATGCGTAAGTTGCAGTTAGCCTGGTATCGACAATCGTCGACCATGAAACTGACAACCTCCAGATTCAAGCAGAAGTTCGGTAACGAAGTCGACTCGAGCGGAAATCCTATTATCTCGGCCGATTGGCAGACTTATATCCAAGTTGGTGGCATGTGCGGTCAGATCATCGGTCTTTACATCAACGGTTGGGTATCTGATGCCTTCGGTTACAAGAAGACCATGATGGCAAGTCAGATTCTCATGATTGGACTCATCTTCTTTCCCTTCTTTGCACCAAACCTTCAGGTCCTCTTGGCTGGAAACATCCTCCTCGGTCTGCCTTGGGGTATTTTCCAGACTCTCACTCTCGCATATGCTTCTGATGTTGCGCCCGTTGTGCTGAGACCGTATCTTACTGCATATGTCAACCTTTGCTGGGTCATCGGTCAACTCATCGGTGCAGGCGTTCTTCGCGGGTTCAGCACCATGGGTGGTGATTGGTCCTACAGAATCCCCTTTGCTCTTCAGTGGGCTTGGCCTCCGTTCATCATGCTTGGTACTCTCTTCGCTCCCGAGTCCCCTTGGTGGCTTGTGCGAAAGGAGCGATATGAGGATGCTAAGCGATCTATCCTTGCGCTTATTACCCAGTGCGACGTTCCCTTTGATGCTGATGCTCAGGTTGAGCTTCTCAAGGCTACCAACCAGATGGAGATCGAGAACTCTGCTGGAACAAACTACTGGCATTGCTTCATGCGCAGCGATCTCCGCCGAACTGAAGTCGCTTCTATCAGCTACACTGCCCAGGCCCTCTGCGGTAGCTCTCTCATGGGTTACGCCGTTCAGTTCTACCTTGAAGCTGGTCTTTCACCCGAGCGAGCTCTCGACTTCAACGTCATCCAATACTCAGTCGGCGCTATCGGTGTTGTTCTATCCTGGTTCCTCATGTCTCGCTTCGGCCGTCGCCATATCTACATCTGTGGTATGGCATCTCTCTTCTTCATCCTCATCGCTGTCGGAGCCCTCGGCTTCGCCAAGAAGACTGAGCAAACCGGCTGGGCCATTGGTAGCTTGCTCGTCGTGTACACCTTCGTGTACGACATGACCATCGGTCCTATCGCCTATACCATCGTCGCCGAGATCTCCTCCACCCGTCTCAAGGCCAAGACCATCGTGTTGGCTCGTAACTTCAGCAACATCGCCGGTCTCGTCACCAACACTCTCATGCCCCGTATGCTTGGTCGAAACTCGTGGAACTGGGGCGCCAAGACTGGTCTGTTCTGGGCTGGATGGTGTCTTTTGATCTTTATCTGGGCCTTCTTCCGTCTGCCTGAGCCCAAGGGTCGAACATATGGTGAGCTCGATCTTCTCTTCGAGCACAAGGTTCCTGCGCGCAAGTTTGCAAGCACCAAGGTTGATCAGTTCCCTACTTCTGGATCAACAGAGAAGGTTCAGGAGGAGTAAAAAGTTAAAGACTTGTTGTAATTAGAAAAAGCGCCTGAAGACGTTGAAATGAAGTCATTGTTTGTATTCTATAGCAATTTAGCGCAATACCTGATCTCTATTGAAACTGCCTATCGTCCCATGAACACGTGTCTCATTACCTTGACTCCCGATTTCTCTTTGGCACTGTGTAATGAATGATATGCCCAAGGATTCGGAAATTCCACTGAAATCTGTCGCGACGCGGAAGACGCGTAAATGCTACAGGGCGTTCGTTCTTAGTCAGCAGACATGCCACGTTTTTTAATTTCCGCTAACAGTCCATTCGTCAGTCATCCAACTGCCATCTCCACAACGAATGTCAAGTCCGATAATGTACGTCCTGTTACCTACTACGCTCATTGCTTCTAGTGTTGGACGTTAGGCGATCACTCAGACTTCATCAATTTAGCGAATAATGCCAGCGATTCCGCTTCACTCGACTCCAGTATGTCAACAACAGGCTACGTCCCTCCGCCTGACCAAACCGCTACTCAACATGAAGGAACATTCTCCTTGGCCATCAAGAATACATTCCCTCGTCGCTTAATGACACTCATCGCCCTGAAAACATCCGCGCGCTTCTACAATTACGATGGACCTTGTATACCCATATCGAAATCCCTCATCGTCAAGAAGGGGCCATTTGTTCATCTCACTGAAGCAGCTACCATGCAATTCGTAGCAGCCAACACTTCTATTCCTGTCCCGACTGTTCACTGTTCGTTCGTACATAAGGACCGAGCATACATAGTTATGCAGCGCATTCGTGGAACTTCTCTCGCAGAGGCCTGGAAAGCTCTGTCTGATGCCGATCTATCAAATATCTTCGCTCAGCTTCGGCACATGTTTCAGGAACTACGGGCTCTTGTGCCACCAACTGGCGCTGGGGTCGAGAGCTGCATCGGCGGCTCATTACGCGACTCCCGTATACCGCGTTCAAGACCCCGATTTGGGCCTTTCAAGACAATCCAGGATTTCCATCGATGGCTACGGGAAGATCTCGAGCCCGACAACCATCCAGATCGCGTCGAGGATCAGGATTGGAAAGAGATAAAAGAAATGGTTACCAAACAGGACGGTCCCTGGCCCCCAACGGTGTTCACTCATGGAGACCTTAACCCTTTCAACATCTTGGTGCGGGGTGATCAAGTCGTTGGTATCATTGATTGGGAGTTTGCCGGGTGGTATCCATATTACTGGGAGTATACTTCTGCATGGTATGGAAATCGCATTCGGCAAGGCTGGCAAGAGTTACTTACGAAGTTCTTGGACAAATATCCTGCAGAGCTGGAGATGGAGAAAACAAGGCAAAGATGGTGGGGTGATTTTTAAGGCACAGGGAATTTTAAGTGCTTATAAAATATCTTCTTATTTTAGTAAAGATTTATTATTAATTTATCCTAAATTTATATTAATTTTTAAAGTTCTTTGTAGGATTAATGAGTATGTTTTACCAGCATTATTATCTCTAGAGAAGGTCTCACGGCATTGGACATGAGGCAAAGATCGCCGTTCCTCGCAGTGTTGGTCTTGGGGCTGAAAGTTTTGTTTCCAAAAATACCAACAAACAACCAACATAGACTGTTTGTTGGCGCGCGCTTCATTAAATACAACGTCGACCCTCGAGAACGGGCATGTTAATACTTTAAGCGCCCGACTATTTCTAGATCTATACTATTTTTACTTACTCAGGGTCGTTCGTCAACAACATAAAAGGGATCCAGATGAGCAGTATCGTGCCGACTTAAGTTTGTGGAAACCTGATCTCATGTCCCAGCAAGAATGATCGATTCAACTAATCGAAAGGAACTATTTTATCTCCTTTTCCTTTAAGTTAGCATCGAACTTCCTGACACCCGAAATATTCCCCAGGAATCACGCCAGTATTACACGCCTTTCCACAAAACAACTAACAAGCCATATTCCTTCCAGGTTCAAGTCATTTCTTGTCCTTAAGTACATCCAGAATACTCTTTCAACCTTGGTAATTATAAACTTGCCAAATGGGTTTCAATAAGAACCGGCTTTACATCGCTTTGTACCCCAGCGGGGTTGTCAACAACGAAGAGCGCCGGTAATTACCCTTCATCGTTCCTCAGCCGCTACCCGAGTCTAAGGTAATATAATTTCTAGCTATCATTGGGGATTTCTCATCGGTCCCAAAAACGAATCAGGCACCGAAGTGCCCGGCATGCGCTACCATGTCAAGAATCACCCAATGCGCGGCTGGATTTATGAAGAGATTGATCTTCCTAATGTCCGAAGCACGAACAATCTACTCGCCCGCATTATCATTGCCAAAGTCGAAGACGAGAAACGGCTTGTCGAAATTATTCGTAGCACGCCGGTCGTTCAGAACGATCCCAACTGGCGTTGCCGAACATGGGTCGCCGACGTCCTTTCGAGGATAGCTATGGGCGGCGGCAGGGCTGTTGGCACGTCGGAGCTAGAGTGGGCAAAGATTGAGAGTGTTGCTCGTGCGTATGTGGCGAGTAAGACAGCGACTGGAAGATACCTGGATCCGGTCGTCATGACGTTGCCGAAGCCGACCTGGGACATGCTACAGGGAAAAGAGGTTGTTCCTTAGATAGCCAGAAGGGTATGTTGTGACCCCAAAACACAAGATAAGTACATGTCAGGATCAGGTATAGAGTTGATGTTATTTTAGTAGATCCTGCAAGTAATGGGTTTCTCTTATCAACGTCCGGGCATACGTCCTGGGTCCGATGAGAGTTGATGATCACAAATAACTTTAGATTAAAGACTGTTTGATACTTGATAAAGACGAGGGCTAGAACTAATGAGTGACATTTCCAACCTTCTGGTACATCGCTGGAAGAATCTATTGCATGGACAAGAGTCCATTGGTGTTGAAGTCCCAATGTAACTGGCCACCTATTTCCAAGATTATCCACCGTTGTTCGGCCGCAACCTGTTAACGACCGTGTCCAAGCCAAGATTACCCACAAGTACATCGTAGAGATACCCAACTCTAGCACTTGACATTCTCATTGCCAGTGCTGCAGCCTGTGTTCAAGTTCTTACCGGGATCAGAACTATAACATGTTAGTCTCTTACTTCATACAACGTCAAACTTAACATACCCGTCTGTTGGAGCTTTGACAAATCCAGCTTCTTTCCAATCACCAAGGCACTTTTGGCCAGAGGCGCCACAAGACTGGCACATTCTCTTCCACATATGTGCTATTCTAGTTAGCTCTCTTCTCAAAATATAACAAGAGTGTAAACTTACCTTCTCCCAGGTATTTCTGCGCCCAAATTTGACCGACTGATCCAGCAGGGATGTTACAGTCAATCTTACCACCATCAGTCCAGGTGTTTGTAACAGCAAGACCAAGAGAGACACCCAAGACGTCCTTGATCGGGTTCCAATCCAATCCACCTGAGACTTCAACAGAGACTGATTTGGACCAACTTATAGTTCGGGTACCTGAACCTTCACTCAGGCCGGTGTAAAGGCAGCCAGAAGCTGTTTCCCATGGACCCCAGTAGGATTGGGAATCACGGGCTTGCCACTGGTCATAGACATAACAAGGGCCAGTATACTGACGCTTGGATTTGCCGTCTTTAGTTTCCTTATCTTCGAGCACTGAGACGCTCGATAATGGTACGAAGGACTGCTTGTCCTTCAGATAGACTACGCTATCTGAATTAGGGTGTTTCTTGATGTAGTCATTGAGATCCCCTGAGTCTATGATGAGGTCTTTGGGGTGATTGGCGAGGGCTCGAGAGTGAAGCTCATCGGCGTGAATCTCTCTGACTTGTAGATCATGGGAAGTGGTAAGAAGACCGGTAGGAGAGGCACTGCCAAGGCTAGTGAGGGCCAAGAGGAGGAAGCTTGGATGCATGTTGGGCAATGGCGAGTATAGCTTGTAAGTTGAAGTGATAAGATGCTTTGGTGATAATATCAAGAGCAGTGAGGAACCGCTGAGATTTTATAATTGAAGCAGTACTACAATATTCCGAGTCAGGCCATATCTTGACAACTCTTTCACAAAACCTGTTCATTCGAAGGATTTGCCCGATTCAAGCAATTCTCACAATCATCCCATTGAGTCCATCATCAATTACATCAGTGATCAGACCAACACAATCCATTTCGACTCTAACAGGAAGTGATCTCATAACCTCAGGAGATCAGCAGCACTTTCACAACTACCGATATGCATAATTGCATATGTCAGCCTAGAAGGATTTTTAGAGTTTCGGACTCTAGGCTCTCGCATTGGGGTTAAGCTTATTGGACGACCTAGCGCAGTGCACTTTACGAACTACTTGATTAGGAAGGCTGTGCTAGAACGGAATTCCGGCATGATTTGTATGGCTACTAAAATCCTTTACGATCCTGCTATGCAAGGCATGGCATGACTGTTATGCATGTATTAGTAGTAAGCGGGCACATGAAAGTGGTGATGCTGTCAGATGGGTCCATAGTCGAACCAGTCGAGGGCAAAACCAAGTTGATCATTCTTTAAAGTAAGAGACTTGGCATACTGTTTCAAGGTAGCTTTAGTATCTTGTAAGGTATTCAGTGCGAGACAGAAATGAAAATTCTATCAAAATGTTTCCCAAAGATACAATAAGAGAACAGCAACTGTATCTCGATACATAGTAATGCAGAAACGTTTCTAAGCATACTTATCATTTAACCCTACGTATGGCTGTTTCAAGCCTGAGACAAAAGTCGCAAACAATGAAATGTAATTACAAGATTCATCGAACTACACACTTACACAAGTCTAGTAGTGATCCGCTTTGGGATCGTACCAATGATGTCAAACAGCAAGGAACATGGGTATGCGGCATTTAGAGCTAGCCCACTCAGAACGTGGAGAAGACAGCGGGGGATTGGGGGCCGTCCAAGAACATGAGATCCATAGCCATGAAACTAAAGACGAGGTAACATGGCATGCTTTAGGGCTGACTGATCTGCATTCACTATAAGCTGAAACAAGAATCTGAACCCAAATTCCTTAGAGGACCATACTATGCCAGCGGAGAAATGCCATGTTCAAGGAATAGCTACATTGTAGCCGGGCGACACTAATTCCCTGCGTGGAGGATCCGTCACATGTCAATGCCAGTAGCTCACGAAACAGCAAACCGAGATTGCTATCAATCTCCCTGTACCTGAAATTGGGAGACTTGTCTTTGTTGAGGATATGTACATATTGCCTTTTAAAAGCTTGAGTTAATTGGGATTTTCAATGTGTTGGCTTGGTATATCTCGTTGAGATATCATAAGCTTTAACTATAGGGAACGGACACGCTGTTCACCTACCGTCACTACGAAATGTGGAACTATCGATAGATGCTAGACTCAATCCGCGACCACAAAGTCGCCACAGCAGTCACCCACCAAAGCCAAAGAACCCCTTCAACAGCACGTCGGAATCGAATTCTAGAAATTTGAGATAGAAGGGCTTCTGAAGCTCGCCGAGATCCGCGGAGGGAAGACATCGACAAGCTTCTTGAGTCAGTCTAACCCGGTTTGTTCAACCCGTGTACTGGAAGAGCGCAACAGATTCTACTTGAATGGTCTATCCGGTATCAAACACGATGCTTGGGGAAGCGAACGGAGCACATGGTTAGGGAGAATGTTGCCCAAGGAGCAGCTCGCGAAATGGGAGGGGAGACAGAATCGTGAATACGTGGCAAAGAATCCAAGCGTGAGCCAACGAGAGGAGGATACAGATAAGAATTAACAAAGGAATAAGAATCTCTAGTTATACGTATCAGATAAGAAAAGCAGTTGAGGGCATAGTTTGACACAAGGACTTAGCTATTATTCTCAGAAACCCAGGTCTTTCTCAAACTTCTTCCACTTCGTACCAATTGGCTGAACAAGGGTAAAAGCCGCACCAGTCTGATTCATCTCTTGGACCCCATTAGTCAAATACAGCGGCGTCATCTCCCCATCATCACTAAAGAATAACTTCGGTCTCTCCCTTCTTTTAAACACCTGCCAAGATCCATCTGTGAAGCTGACATTTGAACTAAAAGCCTCTTGGAGCTTGAAATGCCACGGTCCTGTGAGTTTTCGCGAGAAGAGATGGGATCCGACGCGAGGCCATTGCTGTTTGTCATTTTCAACGTAGTCTATCATCCAATGGTTTATGGAGTGCCAGTTCCCTCGTTTGTCGCGCCATATGAACGGGTCTTCGGTCCATTCTGGGTTTTCTTGCTCTGTGACGTTCCATGTTGCTTGGTATTTGAGCCTATAGTCACTATTCCAAGACTTCGCGGTGAAGATTGAATAGTCTTTGATCCCAAGCACTATTTCGCCTGTTGGGTTGTTGCGCGTCCAAAGAGGGAATGCGGAAGGGTTGGTAGCGTGGACACCCGCTGGACGGTCACTATCAAGGATCATCTTGAATGGCGACCATGGGCCACGAATATTATCGGCAGCTGAAACGGAAATATTGTTTGGCCATTTAGTGTAGCTGATGCTTTCGCACTTCGTAAACCTCTTGTCGTATTCCACGCCAATGCTGTATAAGAGGTACTTCTTATCGGCGTGGCTCCAGACGACGTCTGGATTATGCGCAAAGTTCTTCGACACATCTTGAGCATATTTATATGGTCCTTGAGGCCCGTCATGCGATTCAGCACGGATGATGTAAGAATGAGGACGCCAGCCCTTCAGACCGCATCCATGACTGAACTGCACTGTGAGTAGATGAAATAGTCGCTTGTTGTCACGATCTTGGATAATTCGACCTCCCCAAGAGGCATTAGGCCAACTGCTGAAATCACCGGTTCTTGGAGGCTCGTATGTATGGTTGTAGCCAGTATATCGTGTTGTCGGAGCAAGATCAAGACGGCCGCAATCGCTGCCAATCCAACCTGGATCACAGCGGCAGGTTTTATTCCGTCTCAAGCATATTCCGTTCAGACTACAGTCTTCATCATTCTTACAACCGTTGGCGAAGCCGATGGAGATAATAGCCAGTAGGTGGAAGAGATGCGAGGTACGCATGATGTTCTGAGTATCAATGACTCAAAGCCCTGGTCTCACAAGTTGACTTTGTTAACCTGATGGGCAATATGTCTTTATTCTAGAGTTATGTACCCAGAATTCCGTGGCAAATCATTATTCTGGAACAGCAAGATTTGATAGGAGGATTATCTCACGCCTCAATCATGCATACAGCTACAGAGGATCATCTTGCTGCTTACTCTCAAAGGTTTACACCCCGCAATTGCTCTGAAGATCAACGTATCAGCTCGGTGTAAATCTCACCGAAATGCCTAAAGCTCAGAAGACGTCATATCCTGATGCAAAGAAGCAATTACTCGAGGTCGCGTGAGCATGTCTCAATATGTCTATATTTGTTAGCTATGGAACATAGACTTTCCCAATTATTGACGAAGATAAGACATATTTAACGAGTCAATCTTTATCTTTATCTATAAATGCTTAGGGAGATTTACAGGAACTCAGAGATTTCCGTCTCTGGTAAATTGTCGCTGTGTGTAAAGATTGTTTTATGTTCGTCGGCAAGGGCAATCGCCGCAATGGCCAACATGTCAGAGTGATCGGGGCATTCTGTTGAGTCATGGCTTTGGGGTCAGATGACAGTCGAATGGATATTCTCCAAGAGAAAGAGGAAGCCTCAGGCTACAGATCTCAAACATCCCTGGTCTATATTTCTCAAGCAATATCAACAGATGCTGGGGGGAAATATCGGAGCAAAGATCCAAAAGTCATCTCAAGTGCATAGGAAATAGTGTCCTAACTCTTGACTACATTGTTGTCATTGACATTTGCATGTGGACTCTAGCTGCATCAGGCAACTACATTGGTAAGCTCAAGCAAGAGGTACAAAACTCAGGTTGCCTGCAGGGTGATGAGAATGGTTCCAATGCTAAGAACTAGGCCACTTCATTCGGTTCAATTGTCTTGATCTTCACATTTGGCCTGGTGGACTTTACATTTCTCGAGATAATCAGTAGTGTGTCTTACAAAAGAGCCTTAAGGGTTCTGCTTTTTTACTCACTTATACCGCTCTCCTTTCAGCTTTCATGTCATATCGGAGAGATGCTAAAGGGTGCCAGTGTGTATAAGAAATCATTGATAAGGAACAGCCTTTTATAGTGTCCTCTTAGGACTCCGACAAGCCTGAGTATACATCCCAGACAAAGCCGGTATGGCCGATACCTTCACCAGAGCCGGTTCAGCCATTGCCCGATGAAATAACTGTTACTTCCACCATCAAAAGAGCTCGCAAGTAAAGTAATTATCTTTACCTCCTAATTTTATGCCAGAAGATCCTGCCCTTAGAGAGTAAAAAAACTCCTGACTTAAACCTGGTTGTTAATATTGACTAGTCTAAAGCCTGCTAAATCTAGACTAAGTCTACACTAAATTTACCTAAGTTCCTTATGAAAATAAGCTATAGATGTCATCATGTACGATTTCGTGGTGAAAAGATGTGATATTGTGCGAACGGAAGGTGTTGAGAGAAAGCCCTATTTCCGCACTCGAATATCAATCACAACAACAAAACTTTCAACTCCGCATAATTTCAACTTCTCAACATCTCGTCGTGATTTCAACCTTTCCACGCTGACAACACGATCCATCTCGTTTACCAGAGATCTTTTTTTATTTGCCAGACCTACAACAATGGTCTGCTATCGATCCATAGCTTGCTCTGCCTTCATTTCGCGATGAAGAGCTAACTTCTTATGTTCGCCCTTGTGGCATCTTTCGTCTGCCTTTGCTAGGGTGGCAACATTAGAGGAGCAGAATGAGCTTGGGAGAGACTTGAGACTCGGAAACTGATAGCTAGGCTCTAGTGATCAAGTAGTGAAGGTGTGACGACCAGCTAAGATGAGATGACTGAAGTGAGACCAATTTATCTAGGCGACTCGGTTCAGATAAGGGAAATCGCGCTAAGATATGGATGGTCAGGTCGATACGGACCATAGATTTCCCGACAGAAGGTCTCGGGGTAGTCTATTCTCACTTTCTCAACTTCTTTAATATCTCCTCAACTCGTGACATGACCTTGTTTAACTCTTGTTCCAGCTGTTGACCTTGAAACTCGCCAGGCAACCACCAAGGTGCACTCTTTCCAACCAGCTCTTCCAATAATGCCATCTGCTCCCATTGGCCGTTCTTTATTCCTTCCAAGGGCGTTAGTACACCATTGCTCTCCAACCGCCCCAAATATGTCTCGTACATATCTTTAGGCCAATCACCATCGTTGGCGATACAGTCGTTCAGGAATTCATCGAGCGGTGGAAAGAACCCAGAGAACTCAAAGTCCACGATGCCAGTGATTCGAGGGGGCTGGCCAGATGTGAGGATGTTTCGGGGGGATAGGTCGTAATGAGTGAATACAAAGGAGTCATCCTCGGTGGTCAATACCCCAATGGTAGGGAGGTCTTGTCGTATGAACGTTTGCAGAGGCTGCACGAGACCTCTGTTTGGCGCAAACGTCGCGTTCGTCTCCAAGGTCTTTATCTTGTTCTCTATCCTCAGCCTGTAATAGCCTGCAAGCGAAGCAATAACTTCTTTGGAATAAAGTTCCTCTCCTAGCATGCCTCTGACTATGAGCCCCGTTCCGTTTGGGAGGGCGATATCAGGCCGAGAGTTTGGTTCATTCGCAACCTGGAAGCAGAGATTCCCGGCATATACCTGAGGAGGAATGTTTTGTCGCCAGTTGGTAACATGATCTGCCAACTGTGTCGCTAGATGAACTTTGTCGTCATCATTGATTGCAAATAGGTTGATGGGCCGTCCCGGAACTCTCGTCATCAATATCCAACCACCCGGGGCCTCATCCATACCATTGAGCTTCATCTCCCTGTGCTGCGCGTCTTTGGTATCGAAAGTCGATCCATCCTGAGACCAAGCTACCGCACGAGGCGCTGGGATCTCAGGACAAAAGTGCTCCAGCAGGCGTAGACAAGAAACCTCATTTTGAATCTTCTCTGGCCCAAATCCTCGACCATTGATCTTGAGAACAAGCTCATCAATACGAGCTGTATTGCCACCTCCTTGGGCTTTTATATGACATTTGAGATAGTAGATCCGGTTATTGAAGGACTTCAAAGACGGAAGAGGTTCCAAGTCTATCTGGGTATCGTCGGGAAGTACGTGGCGCCCCAAACGGTTGATGCTCTCACTGGACATGCGCACACCAAAGTTCGGATGATGAGGCGGTGTTAATGGTCGCGAATCAGGTGACATTTTGTTTTCTTATAGATGGCGAGAGTCATATGGGAGAACAGAATGTTTATTTTTATGGCGATAAAAGCTCAATTTCAAGGTCACCAAACCTCGGTGCGGGGTGACTCATTCCCCGGCGCCAAATCTGAACGTGATGGTCTGATCCTTCATCGCTATCTTCATCTCTCAAGCTATGTCGTAGATATGTACACCAGGACCCATTTCTCTCAGTAAAATAGCAAAGTCCAAAATAACCTCATTCACAGCTGCGTAACCAGTACGAAATCATCTCCCCCAACTCAACCGCATCACTCATCCTCAGGCGCAAGAACGGAAGCCCAATCCTCTTGCTCCGCGTGGCTGAAAGCGACAATGCATGCTTTCTCCAGATCCATGGCACGCTCATCAGTCTCACTTAGAAGATCAAGTATCTTTTGTCGATAGCCCTTGGCCTCCTTGTAGTTCTCATGGATTGATCGCGCCTTTTCGATATGGTTAAGCGCTTGAACTTGTTTCTTTTCTTTGTCAGCCTTATCGACTGCTTCGGCACGTTGCGCTTGTAAGTCTCTCACTGTACGTCCATCTTGAGAGCCAGATAACGACTGGAGAAGGGAGTCAAGTAACCTATTGATGCCGTTGAAGTATGCCGTTCCTGTACTTGCCAGTACCCCAGCTAGGACACCCTGATTACCCTGCTCTTTTATCCCACTGCTCATCTCATCAATCAAGGTCTTGCCTTGATCGCGGATTTGTTTCATCTGGTCTTCCTTCTCATTTAAATATGCAAGTGCACAGTCACATCTGGCTTTGTCGGACTCTGCTCGTTCCAGGTTCTTAATCGCCTGAGCTCGTAGTTGCGCAATCTTATCTGGCTTGAGGTTCGAAACGAGCGTTTCGTATTTGGTATAAGAAGAAATCTCTGCACCGTTCATTTGCTCAAATGTGCGCTTTTTGCTTGTTGGAGGAGTGGTCGCTTTTGCATCTTTTGTGAGAGGTGAGGGCTGAGACTGCTTTGGTGCGCTATTGTCTTGAGAAGCTCTGTAGTCCAGGGACTCTGGAAGAGTATGTTCTCGGTTCGCTAGAGGAAGTTTGTTGCTGGGATCTTTGGTAATGGGTCTCGTCTCATTGGATCTGCCCATGCCGGCTTCATCGCTGTTGGCGAGATCAATGACTGTCTTGTCTTGAACTGAATTCTTGAGAGCCTTTGAGGCCTCTTTAACGCTCCTACCGTTGATTTCTTTGATGACACTGTTGACCATTTGACGAGTAAGGTATTGCAAAGCGTCCTTCCTCATCGCGACCCTGAGAGTGTGAAGGCCCATTCCCTTGGCCTGAGCTGCCTTGGTAATCTCAACCAGCATATGAACATAGGTTGATGGCTCTGAATTACCAAATAAGCTCTCAGCGGCAGTTCGGATATCAGCAGGGAGCCAAGGCTTACCACCCCACTGGTTCGTCAACCATTGCGCATCGGCCGCGACTTTCCGAAAGTACGTGGTCCAGTGGCCGTCGTACACTATTAGCCGTTCTCTGTGGGCTTGGCGATGTATTCGCGTGCCGTCTTTGTAGTGCTGTATGATTTGTGCAAGGATGGATAACACGTCGGTGGTGTTCTTGGCCATTACCTGGAGCTCGCTGGTAAAGATTTCTGTCGCTTCTTTGGGTGAAGTGGAATTATTGAGGATCGTAGAAAGGCCCCGGAGCCGCTCCAATAAGTTAGCACCGATGGGAAGTGATGGTATAGTCTTGAAATGTACTTACGGCAACTCGAATGTCTGCCATTGCTGGCGGAGCAGGTGCTTGCCGAACTGGAGACGCGAGAACTTGTTGAAGCGAACCAGAAGCGCGCTGGGTTTTTGGCGTAGGGATATAGGTAACACGCGGGTATGGTGAGTTGGAGTTCATGTTCGCGGCATGAGTGGCTGCTGGCGTTCCCAGATTCTCGCGAGAAGCGAAGTCAGATTGAGATTTGTTGATGAATTTCACCATCATGAGGCGAGGCTGCAAGGCCCAGGTTGCAGGCTCTTGCGTTGTGTGATAAATAAACAAGCAGAAAAACGTGGCGGCAGAGAAGGCGCATGAAGGATATGAGAAAGTATTTGCATAGAGAATAGCTGAAAGCCGCTGGTGGTTGTATAAAAAGGTTGAGCCTAGCTTCGCACTGAGCCCGTAGACTCCCGTGCGTTTGCCGATTGAGGAGTTGCGTGGAAACGGATCTTTATTGTTATGTGAGGTCACTTCGTGTTATAATAAATTAAGTATTATAATCGTGGCAGAGGTGGCACAATCTGGCTAACCCAGCCGATAATCTGCGGTGTTCCAAAACTGACCCTACAGCCAGTTGAAGTTGAATCAATTCTGATCTGCTCGGCCGCAGCACTGCTTGACACTGACCAAGGCCCATATCCGACCGTCACACCGCTAGGCCTCCAAAACTCCTCTATAGCCTTAGTTTCTCCCTTGAACTCAACCATTGTATCAGCAGCAATGATAAAAAAGGTTGGGTAAGTAGGGAAGCTCCATTCGTCACTCTCCCCATCCTTCTGGGCCTGGATGATTTCTTGGAGGCGACTTGGGCCAGGGCTGACTTTGGCACCTCTTTGTACCTCGAGATCAGTGTCGCTGAAGAGTTCGCCGTGCAGCCATGGGCGGTTGATGTTGACGACGAGGGCAGAAAAGGAAATGCTCACATCACAGGCTGCCATCTCTCTGCGTAGTTTCTCATGCAACTGAGCGCCGCCAACGGTCCAAAGTCCATAGCCCAGGGGCTCACTTTCGTGGGTCTGGATATCCGATGCAGAGTAGGAAACTGTGATTCTGCTCCACACAGTCCTATCGTCGCCGTTCAGCTGCCCACGATCATTCTGCTTATGCCACTCCTCGGCCTTGACTTTACAGGAAGTTGCCCAAGTCTTAGGTGTGAGGCTAACACCGTAGACTTCCCCGCTGCCACTGGCAGTATCAATTGCGGAGTTCCTCATCGCCTCCTTGCTTGACTCGATGCGCTCCATGGAGTCCATCTGGATCATGCCAAAGTTAAAGTCCACAGCATATTTCTTTCCATTAACAACCCAATCCATCCAAGCAGCTTGGACCGCAGACTTGTAAGACTTGCTCTCTTCCTTGCACCAATCGTCGAAGTACTTCTGTCGCTTTTCGACGTAGTCCTTAGTCCCCTCGCGAAAGGCGTCTTCGGCATCACGAGCGGCCTGGATCTTCGCCTTTTCCCAGATTTGTTGTTGTTCAGCCCACTTCATTTCCTTATCGCGATAAACCTCAACGATGGTCTTTGAGGTTCCAGGAACTTTTTGTTTAAGAAACTCCATCGACTTTGCGTAGTCCATCTTCCCGTGGCTGGGGATACCTGGGCTGGGGGTGAATGTCGGCCTTGCGGGAATTAAAGTGTCGATCGCGTGAGCATAACCACTTGCGACGCTCTTCCTCTCATTCCCGACCTGTGAGGTGTTAGCACTTACATTTGGGTGAGATGGGGCTATGCATACCGCCAATTTGACTATTGGCATCATTCCGTCAACTAAGCTGGCTTCGGATTGTCTGACATTTGCTGGAGCGAAGACATGTTTGGAATCATTGTATACAAATGGGCCTCCATGGTCTGAGTAAGTCAGATCGATCGCAGTTCCTGGAACAGTGATAGTCAAGTACTGCTCGGGAGCGATGGGGAGAGATGCGGAGATGGCATCCCGGAGACGTGCGCTCACGCTCGCAATGGAGGTGAGCGCGTTTTTGGGGAGTTTCTCAAGTGTTGTGGCCATAGCTGATTCTCAAGAACATTAAAGTATGAGTCTGGATCAGATCTTGGAAGTTGCATCAAGGTCGCAGAACACGAGATAATAAACTCTCACGGTTTTAAACCTCGGGTTGCTTGCTGTCAACATCTGGTGGACTTCAGCAAGCCACATTTTACCCGATTATAGGCCATGTATAGAGGTATGAAAACTTAAGACTTCTATCCTAAATGACAAAAAGACTCAGGTAAATTCAGTGTAGATTTAGTGTAGCTTTAGGCTAGTATTTTTTGGCATATTGATTCACTGTCTGAAGTTTTCTTGCACTCTGCGGTCTTCAATCAATAGCGCGCTGGATCAAGTGGGCTGACAGACCCGGAATGGTAAAGACGACTGCTAGTTTGCTGCAAGTCTTGGTGAAACTGACCAATGGTTCCTTGTCTTCGTGATGGTGGGATGGTCAAGCGACCATAAGATTATCGATTGCGCTGAATGGCCAGGTTAAGGAACAGTATTGGTGTGAGACATGAGATGGCAAAAGAAAATGGACATGACAGGTAGTAGAGTAGGTAGGTAGGTATATAGAATTGGAGGAGATATTGGCAAAAACAAAGTTTTTGCGGTTTGTGTGGATCGAACACACGACCTTCAGATATCAATTGATTGAAGTTTGACTTCAGTCTGACGCTCTCCCAACTGAGCTAAACCCGCTGACTAACAATTAGTTCTCAAGAGTTTACAAATGCAGCTCATCAATGCTACAGAAAAAGAACATATATTCGTCTTTTCCTTCCCATAACCTTAAACTATACAGAAACGTCACATAATAGACTTCAAGACCATCATATACTTTATACTCAAGGTTTTAGATCATGCGAACAAGTGGTCATTACATCTTGGTGTGAATATTTAATCCTCTTGGTGCCCTGCCCCGCCTACTTCTCCTGTCCTCTTATAAACGCTTTACTTTCCAATCCAATCCCGCCATAATGCCGACATGGCTTTGGTATACGGGGACAGTACTGGGATTCATATTGATAGCCGGTGCATGGAAAGCGTTACGTATGAAATATATTCGGTACAGCAACACGGTAACTAACTCCTGTGGCAGAAGATCCTGATCCAACCGACCCAAATAGAAATGCATCTAACAATGCTTTAAGTATAGCGATATAGTCGTTTCAATGTTTTAAATACTGATCATGATTAACTAGGATATAATGAAGCGATGAGGAGCGCCGATGCCGACACTCACAAGACGGAATCAGCAATCGAACGAAGTCTTTGGAGAGAACCACTGAATCCAACACTTGGGAAGGATGGCATAAAGCCTCTTTATAATGAACCCTCTTTTGGGCCAGCTGAGAGTACTGGGCTACATAGACTTCCCGATGAGATACTGTTGCTTATTATCTTCAAGCTCTCACCGCCAACAGACAAAGGATGTCTTCTTGCTTTCTTTGCACTGCGGGAAGTTTCCAGACGGTTTAGGCGCCTTATGGAAGGGAACGAATTTCTACACCACCCTTTCTCATATAATGACTGCTGCCAGTGGTGTTCTGGTGGCTAGAAAGATCAAAACACGATGTTGGAATGTCCGTCGCAGGAGCGTCACTGTTTCCAACACAAAGTCGGAGCATCTGAAGCCAAGGGACTCGGAAGGCTAATGAGGAAGGATAACACGTGTAAAAAGTGTCAAGAACGCCGAGACCGAAGGGATAGCGCCTTGGATTTCATCACTTGCAAGTTTCAAGCCCTCTATTCCCATGGCTGGTTACGTTGTTCCTCCTGCGGCGTGGAGCATCCTGTCTCGTGCTTTACCCGGAAGCAACTCTTGAAGCTCTCCAAACGAATCTGTATCGGGAAGGAAGGTTGCATTCGACTGTGTCGCCATAAAACACTAACATGGGACGATATAAAAAGCCGCATAGACAATGGGCAACCCAACGAAGGTCGGATATTCCTAGGGAGCTGTGACGACGAGGATCACGCCAGACCGTGCACCGAGGGTCAAGGTCCGCGAGCTTTTGCCACAAAGCTTCCAGGGGAAATGACAGTGGTTCTTATCTTCTGGAGAGGACACTCCGGCGGCGACCCTTCCATCTTCCATCCCAGTGGCTATTTATACAAGAAAAACCTACAGGATGCCATTCAGAAGATCAGATTAACAGGAGGCTATCATTTGATACCACGACGAGGAGTAAAAGCGATGGCCGAATGGGATTCTATTGTCGAAATCGACAGATCAGAAGCTATCTCACCAGACCTGATCAAGCTTCGCGGTGGCTGGGCATCCATGGACCGTGGACGTCCGCACGCCTGCAGCCCGTTTCGGCCCTTGAAGGTGGCATGTGGCCACTGCGAAAAGGAAAAAGGCTGTATTGCTTTGACGTATCTCAGAAGGATATGCTTTGACATGCCAAAGTCAAATATGGGAGGCCTGCCCCATGATTGGTTCCACGCCATCGACACAGCCTCTTATATATACTTTGGCCACTCTGGTGTACCTGAGACCTGTAGTGACACGAGCTGTCGCTATCACTACGGCGAGGAGATGGTCACAGGCTATCCTGTGGTCAACAAGTGATATAGGGAAGGCGAGGCAATTTGCCGGAGCTGGGCTTGTGAGAACGAACAGAAAATGGAGAGGGAATTTACCGCTCTTCCAATCGAGCTAACTTGTCGACTAATGGTTAAGGTATTGTCAGCAACATCTAAGCTTATCAGCCACTGCGCTGCGCCAATACAGAATTTCCCGTGGTAAGGATATCAGGTCCATCCTGGTCTGACAGGGGGAAAGAAAAGATCACATGTACAAGGTTTATATGTAACTCAACTCTCCTAGTACCTAACGTCAGATTATCAAGACGATTAAAACTATTACTAAGCCTTTTTTCTTTTCTTGGGAATAAACACAGAAGGTACTAAAAATGACTAGTCTAAAGGTCTCCTAGGTTATCCTAAACTTACCTAAGTCTCTTTAATATTTAGGATAAAGATCCTAAGTGTTCTTATCCCCCCTAGCCCGATGACAGAGAAGCCGGTTGCTTTAACGTAGCATTTCCCTTTTTCTGGCATGTGACGTGGTAGACATCTGCCGTTGTCTTTTTCCCCAATCATCCAACTGCCGAGAGATGGAAGTTTCCGTGCCATGGCACTTTGGCTCCTGTTCTATGTTGAGTGACGTCAATCTCTCGTGGAGGTTCCCGTGCACTAAGAATAACCTCTCGGTACTTAACAGTCGAACCGGCCAGCTTCAATCGATCATGAAGTTAGAGGCCTTCGCTCATTTCATTACTTATTCCACAAAGCCCAACTACAAATATGGGCAGTCTCGATGACGCCATTCCTCCATTCCCAGATGATGTGCCAACAGTGCCAATCGCCCGGATCTCATACTCCAAGCTCAAAAACTTTGACCAAGATGAGATGATAAAAGTCCTTGAAGCCTCACAATCAGACGGCTTCTTCTATCTAGACCTGACCGATGATCCAACGGGGAAAGCTCTTCTGAACGACACTGAAGATGTCCTCGCCATCTCAAAACGCGCGCTCAACATTCCTCTAGACCAAAAGACGGAATGTCTTGCAGAGAGGGGAAAAGAAATGTTCGGCTACAAACCAGCTGGTGCAGTTAAGCAGACAGACAAAGACTCGCGACCTGATACTACTGAGTTCTTCAACGTGAGCAAGGATCACTTGTTGGGAAACTCAGAGACGCGGAAATATCCGGCAGAGATCACTGATCGTTGGGCAGAGTTGGGAAAGTTTGCTGAAGATTGTCATTCTTTGGGTCTTCACATCCTTCGAATCTTGGCGGAACAGCTTGATCTACCGTCTGATGAGTTTTTGAAAAGAAACAAGATTTCTTCACTTTCTGGAGATCATATCCGGATGACCAAAATGCCAGGTTGCGACTCTGCAGATGCTAAAACAATTGGTCTTGCCTCCCATACAGACTTCGGCAGCATCACCGTCCTGTTTAACTGGGTCGGCGGTCTCCAGATCCAATCTCACGATCCCGCAAAACAAGGAGATTGGGCATTTGTCAAGCCCTTACCAGGGCACGCTATTATTAATCTGGGCGATGCGATGGTTAAGTTTAGTAATGGTCGTCTCAAGTCTGGAAAACACCGTGTTGTACCTTTGCCGGGACCGCAAGGAAAACGAGATCGATATAGTTTGGTGTATTTCGTGAGACCAGCCGATGATGTTTTGATGGAACCGGTTGAGAAGTACAAGGATGAGCCTGTTGTCGCTGTTGGGGGAAAGGTTGGTGAGGAGAGGGTCTATACGGCTGGGGAGTGGTTGGCACGCAGGTTGAAACAGATGTCAAAGTGAAACAGCAATTTAATTAACAAGCTTTCCGGGAGTTCCGAATGAGCCGTGATATCCGAAGTACACTCTTTCCCCAGCGATATCGCATCATGACTGCATGACTCAGATCTAAACGCAGAATTAACAGGCCATGGCTTTCAAAGCGCGCAAAAGACACGATCCCAACCATCCTCAGGAATATGCTGCCCAATAAGACCTTCTGTATCTACCATAAAGATAACATCAATCACCTCGGGATGACCATCCTCGCTACTAGTCCCCTTGTACAAAGCCACAGCCTCAGCATACTGCTCAGGGCTCGACGACGGGAGTCCACTCGGTGGGATGGAGGACTTCGCTTATTGGGAGATCGAGGAAGAGTTGCTCTACCAGCTTTGTATGTGCGTGCTTTTGTTCATCTAGGATCCTAGCATCTTAAGAGTTAAGGAGAGTAAAGGGAAAAACTGTAATTTAGGGAAAATACCTTTTATCAATCAATTTGTATACTATGGGAGCATTGAAGTCATCAGTTTTAAATTAGAGGTTTTCTTGCTTCCTTGGGGCGGGTTTATCTGTTATGGCAGTCGTCCAATATTTAAAGACCAGTCCCTAAGGCATGGATTAGTATTGTTCGATGCAAAAGATAATCGCTGTATATTTATTCTATGTTTCGTAATGTTTAACCAACTCCATTATTCTATCCAATGCCAATCATCTATTCATCATCATCTAGATCCCCTCCAATAACATTTAAATGCAACTGCTCCTGCTTCTTAACCGCCTCCAAAACCTCCTTCGGAACCTCATCCTCATCAACTAAAACAATCAACTCCTTCAATTTCCTAGCAGTTATATGCAAGCTCTCAATAGCACTAACAAACAAATCTGTAACTTCTTCATCTGTACCCAACGGATTAAAAAACTCTAATGTTTCTAATTCAGGCGGTAGTCCAACAGAGTGTAGCCGTGGTTTCTTTGTAGACTTTCCAAAAAGCTGATAGTCCCAGTTTAAGCGCAGTGTTTTTAACGCGGTGAATTCGCGGAGGGCGAGGGGCCGCGCGCTGGCTAGCATGGGGAAGTCGATGGTGATGGTTTCTAAAGAGTGGCATTGTTCTTTTAGGGAGAGGATGTAGTCGCGGATACTAGCTGAGCTTTCTTCGAGTTCGGGCTCGGGTTCTTCTTTTTGAGTCAGGACGAATTCTTTGAGGGCTTCGGGGAACATGAGGACGTCTGAGAGGGCGTCGTCGTTGATGTCGCATTCTATCAGGTGAAGTTTGCTGAGCGCTGTGTTGTGCGGACGCTCGATTAACTCAAAGCCTCTGTCGTCTAATTTTGCTCGCTTTATGACCAGTGTTTCGAGAGTTGGGTGTGTAAAGATGTGGATGTTCTCTTGAAGATCCCAGTATTGATCGGCCTCATCCTGGTAGAACAGGGTACAGGATTGCAGACAAGCGAGATCGAACGGCCCGTTGAAGAGATTCCCTATACTGTGTAGAAGACCAACTGGTACGGCGATATCCAATGTTTTGAGATTTGACATGGTTGAGATTGTATGCGACACGGAATTGGTTGGCTCTAGCGTGTCGGAGATGAGACGTGTTAACTCTGAAGCCGGATACGCGAGCTTGACCCCCTCAATAGCTGATCCGCGTCTTGGCCGTCGATTAAGCGATTGACTAAAGATAAGATGGAGCTCCGGTCTGAGCCACTGAACCGTATTATACAGGACAGCATCGGCGAGGGCATGATAGCGCTTGTTCAAGCGCGAGACGCTGCAGAGGTCATGCTTGGGCAGTGTTTCCATTATCGACACGAGAATCTCATCTGTGAGACGCGCGAGGCTGTCGCAGTGAGCGCCATGATGAAGAGGAATGGCCACCATGTCTAAATTGTCGGGTAAGGATGGTGAGGAGGGACGTGATACGATATTTTGAGTGGTGTGTTGTGGACTCAAGGTTGAAGTCACTAGCGCGTCTAGTGACGTAGCGGATTGAGCCATTTTATGTGGACCGTATGGGGTAAGCGGGTTATGTAAGCGAGAATGAGTGAGGCTTGGCGAGGTTAGGGCGATCAAGACGGATTTCAGAATGCGGAGTGAAGGAGCACAGACGCGGATCATGCCGGGGTACGAAATATTTATAGATTTAGGGGGGGAGAGAGTTGTCTATCTATTTATGCGAAGGGGATTTATTCTGTCTAAATTCTGGTATAGATGCCTGGAATGACTCAGATATAACGTTTGTCATTCGCCGAGAATAATGAGCGATGAGAGGTCAGAAAGTCAGTTATGAAATGTTAAATCAATCGATCGTGAATCTTGATGCGACTTTGACACGAAGGCAGGTGACCTTGCGTCGCTGCGAGTGGTACTGACATTGACTTGCGTGTTGCTACGCCGTATCGATTCCCTCATTCGCCTAGCATTCATGACAAACTCAACGCAAGATCAGAGGAATAATTAACGAATATTCATTCATTCATTCACAGATAATTTCCGTCTTGGCGTTCTGCGCGCATCTTTCACACGTGGCTTAAAAAGCCTTCCAGCGCAACGTCTATATTCGCACCAAACATTTCGCAACGACAACCCCAGGTCTCGTGACCTTGCCTTGCCTTGTAAAAGTATAACGATAGAATACCTCGTGCTATCGCAAAGCTTTTCACCTCTAATGTTGCTAATGAGACTTTGCTGAATGTAGTGCTTGGCAACGACATTTACGCCAATCAATTTGTCACAATTAGCACGTGGAAAGAATTGCGCCTCATCAAATTACTTGGCAAATCGTTCGTTCAATGTCTTTAACCAAGGTTCGCCCACTAAAATAAAAGATCATCCCCTTAATATTCTTTTTGAAAACTTTATCATGGATGAGTATGTTCGTGCCATCGTGCAATGGGTTCAGCCGTCGGTCAAAGCCTCACCCTACATCTGGAGCGCAGCTGGGCTCACCTTTCTCCTCGGCGTGCAAGTACTCTTGGCCGTGGCCATTCTTCATGGTGATGAGGCCACTGTTCGGAGGCAACTGATCTCTCTGCAACGAATTGATGCCGACGAAGATGAGTCCCCGGAAATAGACGGTACCGAAAAGAAAGACAGCAAAGGCCACCCAAAGCAACAGGTCGTCGAAATATCTCCCGTCGCTTCATGCGCACCTATCAAAGTCAATTTGAATCAGCACCCTGACGCTCAAGGCAAATACCACAACTGTTACATGTTTGCCGTCGACTTTCATCAAGTAGACGAACACGGCTTTGCCATTTGGAAATCTCTGGAACAGCAGACCAAACCTGCATTGTCACAAATAAAGACCGAATTATGGCTGCCGAAACCCCATGCCGACAAAAATGATCTTTTGGCCCTGGCCGGCGGCTGCATCGTCATGTCATTTGCTGACCCTGCCGTTCCAAGCTGGCTGAATCAAATCGCCGGAATGATAGGCAAGAATTTAAAGGCGCCTCAAGTTGCTTGCATCCTGCCACTGCAATTCTCACTGGAGGATATTGAGCAGAATAAGCTCAGTATGAGACCTTTCAAGATTGATGGACGAGATGGGAGGGGGTTGGATATGGAGAAGCTACCGGCATTCTCTGACATCTTGCCGAAGCTCAAGCTTTTCCTTAGGTATCCCGAGCCGCAAGGGATCACCATCTTCAAGCAAGTATAGAATGAGAATAAGACCAAGAAAGACGAATCTGTTGTATATTATGATATTGGCATGTATATCTTTTCGTCACGCCTCAAGCTGCTGCTGATAAGTGTGGATATCGCTCTGTAAACGGCTCTCTGCTAAATCAGCAGCAGCATTGCTTCCCCAAACCCCATCTGTGAACCGATATTGTCGTAAAATGCCTATAGCCTGTTGTCTCAAGTCCCAGTCCTCGGAATTGACAGCGACGAAGTAGAGTGCTTCGACAAGGCCGTTGGCCAGATAGAATCCAGCTTGGGCAGGTCGGAGGCCCAGGTCGTTTATTAGCTGGAGCGCCAAATCCAAAATGGTCTTGCAATTGATATCGACAGTGCTTTTTACACCATCAGTTGTGTTAATTGACATATTCATGGTCACTTCAACCATCTTCCGTCGCATTCTGAGGGCGGTCACATGATTCTCTTCTTCTTGAGAGGTAACAGTTAGGCTCTGAAAACGCAGGTCCCAAATTCCTAAAGACTGTTCGCGACATGGATCAAAGTTGGAATTGTCATAAATGAGTGGAGACCCTAGCAATCGGCTGTGTATGGCGTCAAGCTGTCGCAGCAACGGACATATCGAGTTGCCCCCGGAATTCTCACCCCAAGATGATTGGATCAACCGATCTCCCCAGCAAAGCGACACACAGTCGGCTGTTGAGATGACCCGCGTTTGTGTATCCAACCTCATGTATAGGCCTAGTATATCCGTCATCATATGCTGGCCATGACCTCTCAGGTCACCCCATTCATTGATGAGTGCTAGTCCGTTTCTGAGATGAATAAGAGCTTCTTCACGAAGACCTTGCAAAGAGCAAAGATAAGTGAAGAGAAAGTTTGCCACCAAAGCAGCCAGTTTTCCTCCTGTAGAGAGGGTCTTGCTCTGTTGAAAGCAGGTGTAAAGAGACTTTATGGCTTTATCGTACTGGGAAAATATGAATCTGTCGCATGAAGCGGATTGGATCCCAAGAAGGATAGATTTCTGGTATGCTGATGCCAGAGCTGCAAGCGCATGGCGCACGGGCGCATATCTATCTGCCTTATGTAACACGTCGTATGTCCAGAAGTCGGCATCGAAAGAAGAGGCGATGAGCGTTGCGATTCGGGTTCGGAATTGGTAGATTGCCTGACTTTCAGAATCAGTGCCTCCAGAGACTATCGGGCGAAGTTGAACTCTGCCGCTGGGGGCTAGGGTAGCCAGGTCATAACCGTCGCACTTGCGGCCGGTGGAGGTGCAACGATGACAACTTGGCTTGTCTTCGTCACACTTCACTCGCCGAATCCTATCACGGTTAGTTACTGGCTGCGGTTGCAAGGATCATGACTGACCGACAGGTGATACAGCCGGTTTTCCCCTTTGTAGCGTATCTTTTCTTCCGAGGTGCCTTGGCATTCATGGTTGAAGATGCCTTGAATATCTGAGCAAAGTGACTGAATCAACTGATTCCTAGACTTGACGGGGGGAGGATTGCAACATAGCGGCACGACAAGTATTAGTAATGGGCTGGCTGTACCGTTGTGGAGACTCATCCTTGCGGTCCATTGGCCAGCTCGTTCAATTGAATGCACTAGTCCCAAAATGTCAAGCCGAGACTCGTATACTTGATGGTTGAAGGGGGGCTTTTATATAACGACATTAAGGATCGAGAGGTGATTGATAATATACTTAGAGTACATTTCGGACAAATGATGTCCGATGGGATTCCTCTGTGGCGGCCTTGAGGTATAAAGCTGTCCTATCTCGCGGTGCAAGATGACAGTCTACTTCAGCCTTCCCCAACCTGAAGCCAAGACACTGAAAAGTCCAGCTCAGCGGGAGTAATTGCCTATCGAAATGTCCTTGCAAAAGACCATCCCGTTGTACTCTCACGTGGCACCCGTGCCAGGTACACCGCTCTCAGACAATGAAGCCAATTCGACCCTCTTCTCCTCGCTACAGGTCCGAGGGCTGACTCTCCAAAACCGCATCGCTGTCTCTCCCATGGGCATGTTCAGTGCCAATGATGGACATCTGACAGACTTCCATCTGGTACATTACGGCTCTTTCGCTACCAAAGGTGCAGCCCTCGTCATAGTTGAAGCTACAGCCGTAGCTCCGAATGGCAGAGTCTCAACAGGAGATTCAGGTCTTTGGAAGGATAGCCAGATTGCACCTTTGAAGAGAGTTGTTGACTACATCCACGCTCAGGGCCAGAATGCAGGTATCCAGCTTTGCCATTCTGGTCGAAAGGGTTCCATGCATCCGCCGTGGCTTGCCAAGGGTGATCCTATGGTGATCTTCCCACTTGCAACCAAGGAAGAAGGCGGCTGGCCGAATGATGTCTGGGCACCAAGTGCGATTTGTCATGGCCCTGGATACCCTATGCCAAAAGAAATGGGACACAAACAAATTGATCTTGCGGTTGAGCAGTTTGCTAGGGCGGCTAGAAGAGCTGCTGAAGCTGGCGTTGGTATGTATTGTATACCCGATCATCGAATTACAACTAATTGTTGAAGATTTTATCGAACTCCACGGCGCTCACGGATATTTAATCAACGCGTTCCTCTCGCCTCTCACGAATTATCGAACGGACGAATATGGTGGCTCTTTTGAGAACAGAACGAAATTCCTTTTCCGTGTTCTTGAAGCTGTCCGTGATGCTATACCAGAGACTGTTGTTCTCTCATTGCGCATTTCTGCGGTTGAGTGGATGGAGTGGAGTGGTCAGGATTGCTGGACATTGGAAGACTCCATCAGACTTGCTAAGCTTCTTCCCCAAGCGGGCGTTGACATTCTTGATGTCTCGTCTGGTGGTAACCATAATGACCAAAAGATCGACATTCACCCCTACTATCAGATCGATCTTGCATACCAGCTCCGACAGGCCATCAAAGCTGATGGTATCGAACTGCTGATCGCCGCAGTGGGGTTTATCGACAACCCTGCCATGGCTGAGAGTGTCGTTCATGGTAATGACGCTTTTAAGGCAGTACAAGAGACGAGCGGAACAAACGGAAAGGTTGGGAAAGGAAAGTATGAGGATTCTCAGGCGGACTTGGTTATGGTTGGAAGACAGTTCTTACGAGATGCGGGTTTTGTGCTGACAGCTGCGAAGGAGTTGGGCGTGAAAGTCCAGTGGCCTCTGCAGTATACCAAGGTTCGATAGGGAACCACTTCCTAACTTGGTGACGACACTGAAATTTCAACATTATGATCTCGTTTTTTTATGTCCCAAGGTGAAGACGATTCTTTCAGTAGACAATGTATAGTAGATGAGAATTTGGATTCATGAAGATGACACCAGCAATACAGTACACAATGTTTAAAACAGTCTATAGCTGCACAATACTGCGCCTTACACCACAAGCCACGATTTCATCGTAGCTGTCAGCATGTATCTTAAAGCCCGATAACGCTGGCGGGTCTCAGTGACGTGATAACTGACCAACCAATTAAGCAAGTTTCACAAACCGATTTGTGTGTCATGGTCATGGTATTTAGCGCAAAGCCCACCGGCGTCACCGGGCTTAAGGACATTTACGAAAGGAATCCTTTAGGCTGATATCCATTGAGGTTTAGCAATAAGTTAATAGTTTCTGTCAAAATCAATAGCGCCTTACAGCAAAGCACGACGCTAGGCCAAAAGTTCAGGGGTAAACAATTTTAAATCTGCAAGGCACAGCAGCTAACAAACGCCCCCAACGTCTCGATACAGTTACTTCCGATCCACATTGAGTATTCTAGCCAATCTTAGCTATACACTAGATAAGGTCTACCAAACTATTGATCCTTCACGAGCCACTAAATGCAATTCAGCTGGTCAAAAGTCAACGTTTAACGACCGATTCAGACTCCCGTTGACAGTTTAGGTCTAAGTTGTACGCGTGCCAAAATGGTCTGACTTGGCGTTTGATACGGAATTTTCTCTTCGAGTTTGCCATGGAGATTATATGTTATGGGGCTGCTCTAATGTCGAGTCAGTCTTCCTACGCTCTGTCCTTTGTTCACCAGGTCGTGAAATAGTCATTCCTTTAATAGTCACTCGTTTAAAATGGTGTCGCTCAAGGCTATTGGAGTTGCTTATGTAGCAGCGAACCTCTTAGGGGTCAACGCAGGTCTGTGTCGCCCATCGACCAGGACTTCGCTTAGCCAGTCCGGTTCCGAAACCCCGACCTCGGGCAGTAGTACCATCCCGGCAACATCATCGGATCATACCTCCTCGACTGATGGAACAACTGCTACCAATCCCACGACATCTGGAACTCAAACTTTATCCAGCAGTGAAACTCTTGTTTCGTCTAGCAACACAGCAACATCAGGTGTTTCAACATTATCGACTGTTGAGACCTCCAGTAATCCTACGATCTCTGTTGATCTTACCACGTCTGGTAACCCTACCACGTCAAGCGATGCCGTGACCTCTGTTGGGTCCACGACCTCTGGTGCTTCTACCATGTCTACTGAGACCTCAGTATCCATCGAACCCACAACGTCAAGCATTCCTACCACCACTGCTGAAACCTCAGCGCCCACTGATACCACGACATCCACTGGAGCTACGACGTCTGATGAATTTACGACTACTGCCGATACAACAACAACTGCTAATCCTACGACCTCCGCAGATACCACAACAACTTCGTCAGAGCCTACAACTACAACCCCAGTCTGTGTTGAGCCCACCAACTTGCTTAGACAACCCGGCTTCGAGCCTTCAGACGACGGAACCGTCTGGGGTTTCTACTGGGGCGGTGGCGATATTGAGAATGACCCCGACCAAGCTCGAACTGGTGATTACCTCGCGTACGTTATCCCTCTCACTTTGTTCCGAACTCAAGCTAACTCAAAGAAGTGTTCTACCTGTTCCTGACGGACAGGAACGACGCATGGAGCAGCGCATCCACATAACGCCGGGCACAGAGTATACTGTCAGCTTCTGGTATTCTGTCGCAAACCCACCATCCGTCAACACGCAATGTTTCCTGTTTGCTACTTTCGATTACTACACGACACTGAAGCAAGTTCCGCTTCCGTCTGACTCTGAATACCATCAGTACACGTCGAGCTTCATTGCAGCGGATAACTTGGATCCTGCTATTGAGATCGGCGTCTCTTGTCCGGGTGTAGGCAATGGATATACTGCTACAATTAACATTGATGATACATCTGTTCTGGATTCTACCAACGAGTGCGATGCTACTCCCGTCGAACCCAACGCTCCCCCCAAGTCCACGCTCCTTGTTCCCGCACAGCCTGAGGCACCTCACTGCCCTGTGAATCTGGTCCAAGTCCCTGGCTTTGAGGCTGATGATGCCGACCAGGCATGGGCTTTCTACAACAGGGGAGAATTTGTGCAGGATGAGTCCAATGCTCGAACCGGAGAGAGGGAGGCGTAAGTTTACAATTGCTTGTACGCTGTACATTAAGGAAACTAACAATTGCCAGGCTTCTCCCTAGTGGAACTAGAAACGATGCCATCTTCCTCGAGCAAAACATCGACTCATCAGATCTCGTAGCCGGCGAAACCTACGATTACCACTTTTTCTGGAAGCCCAAGACTCTGCCAGACAACGGCCAGTGCTACATGTACGGTGGTTACAATGACCAAATCGGCTTTCAGACGGCCGCGATCAATTTCGGAGCAACATCATCGACTGGCTACACTCTCTACTCAGCTCGTTTCACAATGCCAGCTGGTAACCTCCTTCTTCAAATCGTCTTCTTTTGCGATTACAGCTCTGGCAATACAGTGCTTGGATCGGTTTACGTCGATGATACGGCACTGATCAAAGTTGGTGGTTGCGAGGCATATCCTGTCACAGGGGCGCTCATTGAGAACCCTAGCTTTGAGATCCAGGCGACCGAAGATAGTACCTATGCTTGGTTTGGCACCAATGGCATGAGAATCAGGGCCGGAAGCACAGCTGACGGCCCCTCCCCTAACTCGGGCAACAACTTCTTGTGAGTATCTTACACTTTGCTTCGTCTGTAATAGTCTCCTAACTCAGCCTAGATATGTTCAACTTGGGTCGAGCAAGAAATCTGCCACGGTTACCAAACCACTGGCTAGTGCCTTGGTTGCAAGCCAGACGTATACCCTCGAGTTCAACTGGTCGGCCGGCTCCGCGTACGTGCCGAGCACTTGCTCATTCAAGATCGACTTTGGTTCAGTTTCCGAGACTCTTGAACTCAACGACCAGATCACTGCGTATCAGTACCAACCGTTCCAGTACAGTTTCACGGCGGCTGATGATGCGGAATCCATGTCCGTCACTGTTGAGTGCACAGATGCAAGTGGATTCCCTGACTTCGTGTTTGATGATTTTTCCCTTCAGTAAAGGAATGGAGATTGGAAATGACTAGGACAGCGCCATTTTTTCACTTATATATTCATCGGTATCTATAGTTCTATTCACAGTATGTTTCTATTGTGGCTTCAGGCCAGCACATAATACACATTTCATCACCCCATCACTTTGTAGCACCCTCTGACAATACATGATGTGCCTGTGTGAATGAGAAACTGGGAATACTGGGATTTACTGCTGCCAACTTAATTCATAGTTACACCGAGTAGCAAAAACCCCTCCTTTTACCTCAGATATTTTGCAACAAGCAAGACAACTTAACAATGAACAACAGCATAGGCGAAGACTATATATTGTCCCGATACTTTCGAAGTGTAGAACCTTCCACTCTTCAAAATCCAAAGAAAACATATCTCTACGAAACTCAAACCTCTGACTTTGCTGTTTAACATTCGCAGACCTTGCCGAAGACTAACAAACCCAAGGATACTAACCATGTGTTATATGTACCATTTGTCGACACTCTGTTTGACCTGCAGGCATCCTTACAAGACCAACTCAACCAGTGACACTTGCGATAAGTTACCAGAACTGGCGATGTGGGGAGAATGCGAGACGGGAGTCATGGAGGTGGAGTTGGAGGAGGAAGGCGGAGAATGTGACAAGTGCCGGGAGAAGCGCGAGGAAGCAGAGAGAAAGGCACTCGAAACCATTCTGGAAGAGTCGTAGTTAGGGTTGACATAGCTAGGTAGGACTTAGAATACGGTAAACATAATAAAGGGCTTAGCAGCCTTGGGATTCAGAAACGTGGCAGTGTCTCCAGCAGAATCAGTCATAGGAGCAACTTTTAATAAGACTCGATAACGATTCGTGAAGAGTCTAAGTCGACAATCAAAGGTGAATGGGCTGTTGCTGACGAGCTCATCACTGCACGCCATGGACTCCAGATTGTGTTACCAGCAGATGGGATAGGAAAGAATTGATATCAACAATCGCTTCCAGAGCATTGAGTGTCTTCAATGGAAATCTACCAATTCAATCTCATCAATATCCCCCAAGAATCACCTGCCCTAAAACTACATACATCCTCACATCTCGCACCACCACCCGTATATTCATTACGAAGGAAAGCTGTTATTTAGAAAATGTGTTCCGAAACCCTGGTGTTCCTTCTTTGCAAAACCTGCCGAGTTTACTACTCATACGAATTCGATAGACAGTTGTGTGGAAGCGTAAAGACAAAATCCGGTTGGGGACAATGTAGATTAGGTCGGACCATGCCTAATCGAAAGGAAATTGGAGAGGGAATGCGCTAAGTGCTTTGAAAAGCGGGACGAGTCAGAGCGTGAAGAGATCAGAGAGCTTGCTGAAGAGCGGAAACTGCTGGATACTTTGTTAGTGGATGACGAAGATTTATGGATTGATTAGACTTTTTGGAAGCATCCCTTGGATACAGAATCACATGAACTTACAGGCCTCACTGGAAGTGAAAGAGGTGCTTGTCTATTATGCTTATCACCACATATGCCACTGGCCATGCATTATATCATTAGCAAACGCCCATAAAGGGGGACTATAAAATCTCGGTCGCAGCAATAAGAATGAGGATATTCTTCCACTTTCAAACTTCAACAAACTTGCTACATCTCTATCTAACATTCAAAACTTCCAGCTCACAACGTAACACGAGTTATCATATACAACCCACGAGGCTTAGTACAACCATGTGTTACTGGCTCCGCACATCTATTCAATGCAAGTCATGCATTACAGAATGTTCATACCGAAACAAACTAGACAAATGCGACGAGGCCAACGCCCGCGGAGACCTCGCATCGTGCTTAATGGGCATATCAAAGACTTACGATACTGAAAAGGGCAATGACGAATGCACTACATGCCGCATCAAGCGAGAGGAGAAGGAGCTTATTGAAAAGCTAAAATGAGGGAAGGCCGCTGTGGTGGTGAGACGTGATCAAGAGGGTAAGGTGCTTAACACACTATTGGTGGATGGTAAATCCTGATGATACAGCCAGTCCTCATACTGCCCCTGTCATGTACACAGTACCAGGTAGCTAGTGAGCCTTGAGAGGACTGCGAATATAGTTTCATTTCACAGCAGAGAATATGTGACCTCATGGCCTACGCGGCCAATTTGTTCATTTACTTCCTAGTTACATGTACTATGTCTTCTCAAGCTCCCATGAATCAGTAAGTGACACTGAAGACTTTCCAGAAAGTCTGGTTCTTCTGCCAACCCAGCTTCTCCTTTCTGCCAGTAGTCAGATACTGCCCAGACTTCTGATCCTTGAAAGAATGACCATTGCTTGGCTTGAAGTCCACGATAAACAATGAAGCAGAACCAGAATCCTTGCAGAGCTTGAGGTTCTTGCAGATGTACTGGCCGTTGTTGGCAGAGCTGATAGTGAATTGATCGCCACCAATATCAACAGCATGAAGGACCCATCCATGCTGGATGTTGTCGTGATTCTTTGACGCCTTGCTCAGTGAAACCTTGTTACCATATGGCGCAGTACTAACAGCCTGGCCGGATGCTTCGAGAACAAGTGTACGGCCTTCAGTGAGCAATCCGCGAACAGGCTTGAAACCAGCCTCGGCAAGACTTGCAGTATCATTGTTGACACCCTCACCAGTGTAGGGAACAGGAGGTCGACCATTACCATACTGGGAAGAACAGTATGATGAGCCATCGTAAACACCCTTGCTGTTGGTATGAGGTTGAGGAGCTTCAGGGAGGTTGGGAATACTGTAGTCAGGGTTCTTGAAGTCAAAGGCGTTGACGAGATCAGCCATGTTCTCGCGACGCCAGGGAACCATCTCATCGGTGGTGACATCTCGACCCTTAGCAGCCTGCCATTTCTCAATGAAGGACACCTGAGAAGTGTGGTCGCAATGCTCAGTGTAGACACCTCCCTTACGGGTGAAGGGTGAAATGATGTAGAAGGGGACGCGGAAGCCGGGACCTGTAGCAGTGCGACCGGCTGCACCATAAGGATCATCAATCCATTCACCAGCAGTGCCATCGGGAGAAGTGTAAGGACTGACATGGTCGGCCCAGCCACCCGTCTCATCATATGAGACGATCAAGACCGACCTGGAGTACTTGGGGGAGTTGATGACAGCCTCAGCAACCTTTCGCTGGAGCCAAGAGCCATCGTGGGGAGAGTAAGGAGGATGCTCTGAGAGCTGCATGGGACCGACGATGTATGAGACCTCAGGGAGGGTTCCGGCGGCAGCCTGAGCATAGAAAGCGTCCAAGGACTGTCCTTTCATACCCTTGTTGTTCAAGTCCGATCCCTTCTTGGAATCTTGGAACTGTTCGAACCAAGCATAAGGGTTGTCGTCAAAGTTGTCAGCATCTTGGAAGACACTCCATGAGACACCAGCAGCCTCATACTTCTCAGCAGCAGTGGACCACTTGAGAGGGTAGCAGTTGATGCCATTCTTGTCACAACCAGGTGTCTCATTGTTATCGATGTAAGGGTATCCACCCTCATCCTTGGTCTGAGGTGAACCAGGGACATTAATGGATCCACTGATCCACATGACGCGGTTGGGGTTGGTAGAAGCGATGACGGACTCTTGGTACATATCACCAACAGTCCACTCTTCAGCAAGGGCAAAGTGAACAGGGAGATCCTCACGCTTGTAGTAGCCAATACTGTAGGGGGTGTTCTTGACAGCCCACTGGTTGTTGGCACCATGGTTCCAAGCAGCTTGGTTGGCATCCCAGCCGTTGGACCCGGCACTCATGCACTGAGTAGCTTCAGGCCATGTTCCGCCGAGGTAGTTGATGTACCAGGGTGTGATGTAATCAGTGTCTTTGCTCTGTTGAGGAGTGACTTGCTGTTTCCAGACAGGGATGCCGTTGTTGTACTGAACATTTGGATCCGCAAAGCCACGAACTCCGGGCATCGTACCGAAGTAGTGATCAAAAGCACGGTTCTCTATCAACACATTAGAAAGGCCATTATAAGAGACTCATTAAAGGATTTCACCTTGCATAAACAAGATGACATGGTCGATATCAGCCAGACTCTCAGTCCGAGCCGTTTTCGAAGACGCCAACAAAGCCGCAAAGGCCCAACGAAGTCTCGGAGAGAAAATCATATCAGATAACCAAGGCCAATCCTTAACCAGCTGGTAAAACCAGAGGAGCCAAGACTCAATACACTGCCACATCTTGGCAACTTATACGTCTTTCGTTCTTATCGGAAATAATCGTACGAAAAGCAGAATAGAAAAAACCCTCGTCGACGGTGGAGTAGCGTAGCACCGCAAGATCTGGCTCTAAAAGCGACGATCACAAGATTCCTCAACTCACACGTTTCAAATCATATTCATCTGATTAGCAAGATGAAGATGACCATGCATCGGATGTAAATTGCAACGTTGAATATCTTTCCTAAGTGGGAGGTCTTGCTTTAATACTAACTAATTCGCTGACCGATGATGCTGTTGGGTGGGGAGCCAATTAGCGTGCGAGGATTGATCTCGTGGGGGGAACATGTGCACCATCTTGTGAGACTTGGGATCACAAGCGCTCGGAAATTTCTTATCGGGATGCGGATGTACGGCACGAAAATGGGACTTGAAACTCGCTCGCTTCCATCACAAAAGAGCTTCAATCATGCGCTTTGAGAGTTTGGGTTGAAAGGTGCATTCAAAATGGTTGCTCACGATGAAGAAGCTGATGCTTTGCTTGAGGAGTTTGAACTGCGAGAGGAGGTCAAGGTCCGAGATGATCGAACCCCGCCTTCAGTATGTCGCACGTGCGGTTGGAGATGGACAACAGCTCTTATCTTGGTCACACTATTATCGGCCATTGGGGTCATAGTGACATTGCATGGTCCGTCAAGTAACCAGTCGAGCGATGACACTACCGACCATCTTGGGTACCAACTCCATCCCAAAGATCATGTATCGCGTCCCCCAACAACACTCTCTTTCAACTGGACTATTGCAACTGGGACCAGATCACCAGATGGGGTCGAAAAACAAGTGTATCTTGTCAACGGTAGGTGCTTCATCAAACATGGTGTGTACTGTTACTGACTTTCGTAGATGAGTTTCCAGGACCCCTCATCGAAGCTCGCTCTGGTGACAGACTTGTGATTCATGTTCACAATGGCGTCCAAGACGAGGGTGTATCCCTTCACTGGCATGGTCTACGCATGAAAGACCAGAATAACATGGACGGCGCTGTTGGGTTTACTCAATGTCACATCGCTCCTGGTAGAAGTTTCACTTACAACTTCACTATTGGCGCTGAGGAACACGGCACCTTCTGGTGGCATAGCCATTCTGACGTTCAACGTGCTGATGGTCTATGGGGAGGTCTCATCGTGCACTCTCCAGATGAGGTTGGCCTGCCACCAGAAGATTACCTACTCATGATCGGTGATTGGTTTCACCAAAACCAAACCGAAGTGCTAGGGTGGTATGCAGATGCAAGTAGTCGAGGGAACGAACCTGCCCCAGATTCGTTGTTGGTGAATGGTCAGGGACGCTTCAACTGCTCTATGGCTGTTCCTGCAAGACCAGTTGTCTGCTCGCAGGTCCATTTCACTGACCTCAAACCCCTCTTGGTATCTAGGAGCCAGAAGAAGACCAGACTCAGAGTTGTCAACACAGGTTCCGTCGCAGGTCTTTCCATCAGAATTGGCGGAGCCATGATCCGGCCAGTTCGTGTTGATGGAGGTTTTGGTGTTAGGGCTGAAGCTAGTGAAACAGTCGGCATTCTGTATCCTGGTGAGCGCGTTGACCTCGACGTTGAGTGGAAAGAGCACCACGCGGGAGACGTTTGGCTTACCGTTTATATGGATGACGAGTGCGTTTTCATCTATTCCAGTATTAATCGAGATGAAGGCTAACCAGCTTCGCAGGAACTTTGGTTATCCCAACCCAGCGTTGAATCCAATTCAGAACTTCCCAATATTCAGCCTAGATGGCAAAGCATCATCCAACGAACCGCCCTCTCAGACTTTAGAGTCGGCTGATATCCAAGTCCTCGACGCGCAGTACATCAAAGCTGCAACAAAGGTATTTGACCTTCCAGCAAAAGCAGAACAGACTATTCTTCTTTACGCTAAAGTTGAGAAGCTGGCGCACATGGACTATGCACCAGTCGGATTCATCAACCATACATCCTGGACGCCACAAACTCCACCTCTCCTCGATCAAAATCGAACTTCATGGGACGAGAACCAACTCATCCCGTTTATTGGAATATCACACAATAAACCGAAAAGAGTTGACATAATCATCAACAACCTAGATGATGGCGCGCATCCATTTCACCTTCATGGCCATTCGTTCTACGTTTTATCATCATACAGAAATCCAGGGCGCGGGAGCTGGGGCAGTTATAATCCCTACGCCGATGAGGCGCCACCAAACGGCTTGAATCTTGAGTTTCCGGTGCGAAAGGACACTGTTAGTGTACCGCGTCGAGGTCATGTTGTAGTGGCGTTGGTCGCTGATAACCCGGGAATATGGGCGTTGCATTGCCACATGCTTGTTCACATGGCGCGGGGCATGGCGATGGGGTTACATGTTGGCGATATTGACGATCCAGAGCATGCAAGCTCGGTAGATGTACGTGCGGAGGATCTATGTAAATAACTAGTTGTTTTGGAGTTGATCGTACGAGTTTTGAACATTTTATTCGTGGCTGAATGATATATTTTCCTGACATTGCGTAGCCTGCTTAGGAAATGGTGATTAGCCTGATCTGGGTATTATCCGAAGCCAAGGACCCCACCATCTCCGACTGCCAGTCGCCAATTCTTGAAACAATAAGCTATAAATCGCATTCAAGTCAAGTATAAAACTATATTTCGACCGGTTACGTAGTAATCACGGTCAGCGGTGATACAAATATATATAAAACTGTTTTAATCTGCTTTGTAACCATTTTGCCTGGTGGCTTCATACTTCAGTGCCACGAGTCTAGACCCAAGGGATGTTCCCATTAAGGCAGCTCTCAGAACTTCCCAGGCCAATCGTGAGAGTTACACTCGCATGGGTTTCCCCGGAGCAGTATTTAGTCCGTGCTACCCTGCCAAACGAATCAGTCCACTCTGTCTCTAATCTTTAATCCCTCATGTGTTTCCACCTGACTGACGCTTTGATTCTCTTTTCTTCGCTTTGAGTTATTGCAACTGTAGATCTGCCCTGTGTTTTGGGACGGAAACAATGTCTGAAACGCCTGAGCCAACACGCCAAGCCTCGGCTGCTCCCGAGGCCCCAGCGGCTACTGGAGCGTCTCCAGCTCCTGCGGCTGAGAGTGCTCCAGTGACTGCAACTACCGGGTCAGCAGCCTCGCCACCCGCTGCCACGTCGGGTCCTATTCTTGACCCGCAGCATTGGGCGCAGGTAAATGAGGTGCGTAGATAAAGTTGATGAGGTGTGGTTGAGATGCTTATTGGATACTGCAGGAACAAGCACAGGCTGAGGCTGAGGCTGCCGGTGATGACAATGCAGATGCTGACTCAACCCTTGACTCGGATAACGCTTCCTCTACTGCATCTATTACGTCCAGCATCCTCGAATACAGAACCATCCATGGTCGCACTTATCACAGCGAGCAAGGTAATGCTCAATATTGGTACATTGACATAACCTCAATTGGATCTCGAAATATTTCTGACATTTCTGAAGGGCCTCCAACGATGAACAGCAAAATGATTTGATGGATCTCACGTAAGTTGACTGTATCAGTCGATGGCCAAAGCTCTAACGTGATATCAGCCACCATATTCTTACACTTGGTCTTGGAGATAAGCTTCACCTAGCACCTCTGAAAGAAGAAAAGCTTCAAGTAAGTCATTTATTGTTTGTCTCACATTCTATACTGACCCGTTTTGTAGCAAGCTATCGATATCGGTACCGGTACAGGCATCTGGGCCATGTAAGTAAAACGCTGCCTTCAATAGATAGAGCTAATAGCAGATTTAGTGATTTCGCCGACCAATACCCTGGCGCTGAGATTATTGGAACCGACCTCTCTCCCATCCAGCCCTCTTGGGTTCCCCCAAATGTTCAATTGTAGGCGATATCTCTACCTGTCTGACTCAACTAACCCCTGTATAGTGAGATCGAAGACTGTACCCGCGAATGGACTTTTAAGTCTGACTTCGCCGATTACATCCACGTCAGATGGTTGATGGGCAGCGTAAGAGATTGGGACGCCTTCTTCTCCGAAGCCTACAGAGTCTGCAAACCCGGTGCCTGGATTGAAAGCCACGAAGCCTCATGCAACGTCAGTAGCGATGATGGTACTGTTGCTCCTAATTCTGCTATGGGTCACTGGGGTGAGTTCTTCAAGGAGGGCGGTAAGAAAATCGGTACGAGCTTCAGTGTCGTCGAGGACGGCACTCAGCGCAAGGCGATGGAGAAGGCCGGTTTTATCAACATTCAAGAGTTCGACTTCAGAGTAAGTGACCCCCGTACCCTTTGAGACAGGGTGCTAACAGATGTGATAGAATCCTGTCGGCACTTGGCCCAAGGACCCTGTTGAGAAGCGAATGGGTGCTTACTCCAAATATGGTCTTGAGACTGATAGTGAAGGCTTTATTCTGTTTATGGCGCATACTCTCGGATGGACGAGAGAGGAGATTCTTGTTTATGTCGCCCAGTTCCGAAGAGAGATTCGTTCTGGAAAGCATCACGGATATTTTGCTCAAAAGGTTGTTTGGGGACAGAAGCCCGAGACCACGTCTGCTTGAGCTGCTTAGAACACGAAACCTCCTCACAATGCCTCAAAGGGCTATTACGACTATCAAAACAAATTCTATTATCCATCAAAGTGGCTTTGACTTGAACTGCCTTCTTTTCAAAAGGATTCTGGGCATGAATGTTCCATTTGTTTCGCGACTACTCACGCCACTATCTTCATCACGGATCTCGGCTTCCTACCCTGGAGAGTTCTGTGCGTTGTAACATCTCATGTCCATCCTAGTTCCAGCGAGTCAATATAAGTGTTTCAATAATGGTGGAAGGTAAACCTACTTGAATCCTAGGGTCAGGAAAATGGTTTTTAAAAGGTTGCTGCTCAGTACTGCGTTAAGCGGTCGAATCGGCTTGACAGTGTCCTGCGGATCCTCAGCATTTAGCCAAGCACGGCCTATTGTCGGCCTTGTTAGGGGAAGATCTCCGAATAGTCATCCGCACCTCTCACCATCGCGCTCTCGCTACCAAATGCTCCGAAGACCAAGATTTCCTATTCTAGCGCTTCCAATACCGAGGATCCTTCGCGCTATTCAGACTCGTGATAGTCACCCCGCATCTTTGACCAGGGGATTTGCGGGGTCGGGGATACCGGAGCCGAAGCGCACAGGGCACTCTGAAGTCGCATCGACGCTGAATGTTTATTATGCGGGGAAGACAAGCATCTGAATAGCGTCAAGATCGACAGTTTGTTTCCCTGGATTGGGGGAATATTTGTCTTCCCCAGCTTTTCGCTGGTCGCAACCCCTGTTCCTCGTACCATTAGTTCAGGAGGACATACGTCAGGTGTTGTTGAGCGTCTAATTCAAGATGAAAACTGCCAAGACGCCCGGTCCGCTCCGGAGCGTCGGTGTTTTTGAGTTTAATTCGGTGTCGTATTGGAAAAGTATAAGGTCTCAAAGATTCTCATGCAAGTTCATTCCTTCGAATCAGGATCCAACTCCCAGCTTCATCAATCTTCTCCACCATGAAGCTATTCGTTAGCCCTCTCCTGGCACTCAGCTGCCTCATCGGCAATGCCGTAGCAGCGTGGCCCAATGGACCTTTCAAAACCGAAGGTCGTTGGATCGTCAACTCCAATGGTGACAAGATCAGTCTCGCTGGAGCTAACTGGCCCGGCCACGGCGAAGTCATGGTCCCCGAAGGTCTGCAGTATCAATCCATCAAGGATGTTCTGTCCGACATCAAGAGCATCGGCATGAACGCAATTCGCCTCACCTTCGCCACTGAGCTTGTTGATCAAATCTATGCCAACGGTGGTAAGGATGTTGATCTCAAGACTGCGTTTGAGGAAGGTCTTGGAAAGGAGAATGGCACAATTATTCTTCAGAAGGTGTTGAAGAACAACCCTTCTTTCACCGCTAAGACAACACGTCTTGAGGTAAGCATAATTAATGTCTGCTAATTGAGGTCATACTAACAAGTTATTAGGTCTACGACGCCATTGCTGCTGAGTGTCTTCGTCAAGAGATCTACATCGACCTTGACAACCACATCTCCGAGGCTAAATGGTGCTGCGGCGGTACAGATGGCAACACTTGGTGGGGAGATACCCAGTTTGATGTCGATAAGTGGGTTCGAGGCGGCAAATACATGGCAGCTCACGTATGTTCTTTCACTACTCCCCGTACCCAAGGTTTCAATACTGATTGTAAACAGAGCAAGAAATGGCCTGCCAAGATCACCCAGTCTCTGCGCAACGAGCCCCGTGAGCCTACAAACAACAATGCGCTCCGTGACAAGTCATACAACTGGAGTGATCTCTACAAATACATGCGTCAAGGTGCTGATGCAGTCCACGAGGCCGATCCCAAGGCAATCATCGTCATCTCCGGCATGAACTACGACACCTACGTTACTCCTCTGTACTCTGGTGAGAAGCTCCAGCCAGGAGGTGAGGTCTTCAACCGAGATGACTTTATCGGCTACGGCAAGGATAAGCTCGTTCTTGAGATTCACAACTATGAGAACAAGGGAACAAGCTGCTCTTCCCTCCGCTATAACCTCTACAACAAGGGTTTCCAGGCCATGAACGAGAGTGATTCCAACGTCGCCGAGGTCTTCCCCGTCATGTTGACTGAGTTTGGTCAAGCTATGAACGGTGCTGATTACAACACTGCCAACACATATGTCAGCTGCTTGTCGGAATATCTGCCTGAGATCAAGGCTAGTTGGTTCATTTGGGTTATTGTTGGTCGTTACTATACGCGTCAGGGCATTCAGGAGTTTGATGATTCTTGGGGAATGAAAAAACCTGATTGGTCTGGCTGGAGGAACGATGAGTACATTGAGAAGTATCTCAAGCCTCAGATTGCGGGTACACTGAAGAAGTAGGTTACAGCGGCATTGAATTTGACCCTTATATGATTGAAGTGAATTGTGCTTCATCTGTATAGCCTCAGTCTCCCGTATGCATTTCCCCGTGTTCATGACCTATAGTTGCTTTAATTGTTTCTATCAGCGAATACACTGAGGTTGACCATTGTAGTTGTAGTTTACATTAACTGTTACTATCTTCCAAGACCCGGTGTGGGTAAGAGAAATGTAGCAGAAAGGCTCACTTATATAGGTTGGAAATCCTGCTGTAAGTAGTTTCAGAGGCTGGCCAGGTGCATACCGCAATTGGTATTCTTAAATAGCTAGTAATTTATTATTCATTAGGTACGGTCTGCAAAGTATGGTACGCTAGTATAATTAAGAAGAGGAATGTTCATCTCCATAGTAGCTCAAACCACGTTGAAGTGAATAGAGTGCTGCAGAGCCTAGCAGAGGGACAAGACACAATCCGCAGAGCTTGGAAGACAGTTGATACTCTGACTAAAGTCAGGCTAACAAAATGAATGCATTGCAACATTACGGGCTAGGAAATACCACTGATGAAATCCCTTTCCTTCTTTATTTTGTCCTCATTATCTGTGTTAGCAGCCTAAGGTTTGACCTTATGGCCAACAATCATTCAAATAACCCTTTCCTTCTTATAGGATAATAACGCCTCAGACTGGCTTTTCAGCCTCGATAGTTTACTATGAAGCTGTGTCGGACCCCCCCCTCTTCGTATTACCGAAAGCATGTGCGGCGACACAAACACTTAGAATATACTTGAGTTGTCTAATATCCAATGTCTCTACCATCATTTGGCAATAAGCTACTGCACTATTCTATTGACATTACAAGTACTGCTCCCTAATCAAGTGCTGATATGGGGGGATGATCAGCAAGCTACTGGCGTTCATACTGCTTACGAGCTTCTTCAACCCACCTCCACAATCGATGATCAGCAAGAAAGGCGAGGTTCATTTCCGACATCAGCGTCAACCTTCTCGCCACAGCAATGGCGTCCGTGTTTACAGTTCTCTTAGGGGGGAAGCAAGCTCGCTCCCTTTCCTGCAGCTCTTCCACCGGAAGATCATCCTCCTGAAGTTCATATTTTCGTCTCGGCTAGCGCGATTTTAGAAGAGCCACAAAACCCCATCTCCTCCACCCACATAGGTGTCCCTCCCGTATATGAGTTCAAATAGCCTCTCGAAGAGCTGGTAGTCGTTTTTGGAAAGTAAACGCGTTAGTCGAGTGAAATGTCACATTCTCTCCGAGGTCTTCCAGAGAATCGCATCAGGCACCTCTTGGGCTGTTTTGGTAACTTCCTGGATAAAACTTGACCGATACGCAGCAGTGAGAAACGCTGATGGTGGCGCGGCTGAGCTACCCAGAGACGGGGCAGTGAGGATCTCAGACACTGGGCCAGTTGACGATGAACTCCAGTCGATAATAGAGGTGATGTTGAAGTTTTCATCAATATAGATGTTGCCAAGATGAAGGTCTGGATGGGAGATCGTGAAGCTACTTGCCGCGTTTGAGGAGAGATCAGGTATCATCTCAGACAGAAATTGCCCTGCAATGCAGTAGAAGAGGATATTTTTACTGTGTTCAATCTTTTGGCCGATTGCCATAAAGCCGTTCCACCACCTCGATGCTTTCTGATAACTTGATAAGCTTTCATAATCCAACATGTCAGGAACTGGCGCGAAAAAGGTGTGAGGCGTGAGCGAAAGGTCTTTAGCATGGAGATGAGAGAAACAAGATAGTCGTGTTCAGTAATGAAAGGACCGCGGTCAAGTTCAAGTGAGTCTCTCTCTTGCCACGTAAGAGATGGTGAGAGGCATTCACCAACGGCGTAGCTAGCATCTCCATATTGGAAAAGGGAACCATTCCTATCAAATCGGTGCGTGGATAGTTCTGACATGAAGACACCAAGCTGGCTCATGACTTTCCCTCGGTTCTCATCGGAGATACCCATTGGGGGGCGACGATGCTGGAGTCCTGGGACTTAGTATCGAGGTGGACTCCAGGCATACGATCCTAGAGAACAGCCAGTAGCTTTGCTCTGAAGAATATATGGAATACCCATATCATTATCTCTAGATCCACTAGGCAAGGTCAATACTAAGAGCCCAAACATAGAAAATACTGCTGACCTGTATGGTATGAAAAAGCCTCGGGAACTGGAATTGAGGTGTTTGCCTTGAGATATAGTAACGCAGATGCTTCGCTAACAAGAACCTTAGAGGTGGTTTCATCGGAGTAAAAACTATCAAGGCCGCTCTTTGGGGAGCGAAAAACCCATTCCACCCCATCTTGGAAACATAGAAAGGTAACCCAGTTTAGGCTGCCGCATTTTGGCATCTGGGTTATATCGCAAGTACATGGTTGGCCGAGACGCTGTTCCGAGAGGGAAAGGAGCGCTGGGAGGTTGAATTTGGCGAAATAATAGATTTTGTCTTTCGTGACTCCAGACACTTCTTAATGATTTAATATTTGACAAAATGTGCAAATAAGTTGAAGAGTTGATGAAGGTGGGTGGCGCGGTGACTAGAATGAGGTTGGGTCAGTCAGGCCCCTGCAAGAATCCCTAAACGCCCTGTAGATTCCACATGTATGAAGACGCAGCAGGACGACGTGAATGTATTAGCTACCCGGAATATGGTGTCTAGGGTCACGGTGGTATTAACTGTGACAACAAAGGCGCTTGGAAGTTGGACCCGATGGTTGCGGCGGATGAACGGCGAGAATGCCTCAGGCAACATGTGCAATAAAAGTGGGTGTGCTGATCACCCTGAATAGCTTCACCTAGAGACTAACTACGACATTGATGCCTTGTTTTCGTCTCCATCAGATTGCCACGAATTTTCGGTGAGACTCTTGCCTCTATTTCCCTCTCATCGCATCGTGCTATTCCACGACCCTTCATCTGCGCCGACTCTAAACCCCAAATCGAAGATGCGCTGGCTACCTGTTGAGACATGCAGCGTATTCTACGACTTGGGCGGTGTTTCGCTTAAAGGGAAAGCTGTAGCCAGGAGGCAGGAGGCTGAGTCCTCATTCTAGCTCTGGAACCCTGTGACGGGACATCTCCAAAGCGTCTTCCAAACGCTCCATATCTCTCTCAGTTGTGCCTATGTCTCTAAAAGACTGGAAAGCTCTTGGGAAGGATAGTGGCCCGTCCTGGCTCATCGACCACGTGAAAATCCCGGTATCCACTTCCTCGATCCAGGCAATGACTTCATTCACCCATTGCGGATGTTTTTCAATGAGATCCTCGAGAACATGTTTAGATTCAGGGCCAAGAAATGCTGCTTCAAGTACCGATGGCATGATACCATGTTTATGTGAAGCAAATGCATCATGTTCCGATAGTTCAAGTGCGCCTGGTAGAACCATCACCGTATCGCCAAGTTCCAGTAAGAGGTCCGTAGGGATCCTGACTTTTGCCAATAGTCCCTTCATGAACATGAACCCCAATGTCCGTAGCCATTGGATACGAACACTCATATAGGCGAAGCAAAAAGAATATAGTTTGATAGGGTATGAATCCCACTGTTGGAACCGTGGTAGATGAATGACTGGGAGCCTTTCTTCAAAAATGTCTAATTTGGATCCTGGGGGTAGATTATGAAGAAGACGATAAGACTGCTGGAGCTCTTTGACTGCCCATTGCGCATCGGTAAGTGCATCGTGAACAACGGCATACTTATGGCGACGTTTCTCGAGAGCATCGATAATTTTAGGGAGCATCCAGAGACCTAGACTGTCTAATTGACCATACTCATCCCACTTCGCATGCAACCATTCTTCTGTGGTTTCGGCTGCCCAGCTGTGAGCAAACTCCCGACCAGACTCCATAGAAGATAGCCAACTCCATCTTCTAGAGATTTCAGCGATAATCGACAAAGTGTTGGGGGTGGTCAGCTTGATCCAGGGACTGAGATCTGGATGCGAGTGAATGAATTCAATTGAACTCTCAATTGCTTTAGGCGTTTTTAGAACCTTCGAGCCTTGAACAATCCTATTTGGCACTGGGACTTTCGATGTGTTTGCCAATGAGAACGTTCTATGAATCTTTTCGCATAACCTTTTCTCATCAGAATCATGAATTGGTTTCCATCCATCTTCTCTGTGGAAGTTCGTCACGAAGTAGAAGTTCCAGTCATCCCAAGCTCTAGACTGCAGAATCGGTAGCGGTGACAAAGTGGTGATGATACCAATACCCTGAGCCCTTGGAGGGGTCTCGGCAAGAAATGGGCAATCAATATCGTCCAAATCTTTCACCGTGATCTTGAAGCTTGGAGCAGAAAATGGGCGATTGAACAGCGGAGATGAAGAGTCATTCAAGGATATGTTTAGTGGCAGAAAGTATAGCACCAACGCCCACTGCCGTAGTAATACTACCCGGGACAGGTTGGCATAACTGGGTAGTGCAGAGGACCCCAAAAGATGCCACACAAGGTTCAGTCTATCCTGTGAGATACCATGTAGCGCTACATCCAGACATGAGCCGTCATGTGTGCAGGTATTGGGATCACAGCCGATTGAAGTCAGCATCCGTGCCATGCCAAGATCTCCTCTCATGCATGCTTTATGTAGCAGGAGATTGATCTTGCGACGACGACGCTCTGACTTTCTCCATGGGATCCTCTCTAGTAGCTTTGGGACCTCATCGGAACCGATAAGCCTCAAAAGTTGGAGTGTAAGATAGAAGTCACTATCTGACAAGGAGTACAAATCAATATTCCCTTGAAGCAAGCAGTGAACAAATCGTGCTACAAGGGGTTCTGGCATCCCTGATGTAACGATCTTGTAGAATGTAGCGCTATTTGCTCTGAAGTCTACTGCGAACTCTTCCTGTATCAGCAGGTTGAGAAGGGATACGTTGCTAGATGAGACAGCGAGCTCTATTAAAGCTTCACTCAGAGAAGGAAACTGACTTTGTTCAAGATCATCGCGCGACAGAAGAGTAGTAACCGCCTCTATGTCAGATGAGTCGATAGCCGATCGGACTATCCGCATGTAGAACTCATCAAAGACGGAGAGTCGTAACAAGAGCGGTCGCTTGGCTGGATGTTTCATGCGTAATTGAACAAGCATCGGACATAGCCACTTGACGAGTCCATAGTCCATATCAGTATTGATAAATTCAGGCGCAATGTGCCGCAAAAAGGTCCAAAACGTTGCGTAAGACTGAATCATTCGAGCCCCTCGTTCTTTTGCAAGTTCTTGTTTCAGGAGTAGAAGGTGGCCATGCGACAAAGCCCATATTATGTTCGCTGATGGCATAAATCGTACAGCCGAATCAAGTATGAATTTAGTTGGTATATTGGTGAGATCAATGCCAAATGTTGGATGTTGAAGTAAATAATGCCAACGACATAGTGGATCAAGGTATTCGACATGGGAGGTATGAAGGATCCAGTTCTTGCTCGCGTAAGGGAGTAAGGAGAATTGCTGTGAATCATCCTTCCAGTGGCTCTTGACAGACTCAGCTAGGACTGGTCCAACATCATGCCTTAGTTGAGACCGCAGCTTCAAAAGTCGGTCGGCGATACCTTTTCCGACTGAGTTTGTCTTTATGGTGCTCAATGCCACTCTTTTGGGCATATCATTCGCCTCAATCTTTGGTACAACGTTTCTGGTTAACCTTGTGTCGAAGACGTTGTAGCTAAGATAAGTCACCAACGTTTCTGCCATTGATCTCTCTGCTTCATCCTCACTAAAGGTCCATGCGGCAGCGTGGTTCGGTGCATTGAGGCAAAAGCTCCGCGCACTATGATGGATGAAACGAACAGTGTCATCTTCCTCATCTACCATTACTAGGCTTCCACAGAATCTCAAGACTCGTTCAATGCGACTGATCTGTTCTGCGGGATCCCACGCTGTCCGTCCTACTACAACGCTGGCAGCCTCTCGAAGCTGTTCGGTGGTAAGTAGTTCTCTTGCTGAAGCTAAAAGTTTAAAGATGCGTATGTGATAACCCTTGGTATCGCCTGAGCTGGCCTTGGCGAGATTTCTCTCAAAGGTTTCTGTCAGATCCCGTGGCAGATTCTGGATGGTTTGGCGTATTGCATGGTCTGTCATCTCAGCGCAGATAGAATCAAGTTGCAGTGAGACCCAAAGGAACCTATTGGAAGTCAGAACGGTCTGATGGATGAAGGCGAGATGCAATCAGGCGTGTACTCACATGCCACATGCTCCATTTATAAGTTGCTCTTTAACCTCCTGGACCAAGTTTGGATCTTTAATAATAAGCCTGCCTTCTTGAATCCGTCTAGCAACTTCAACTTGAACATAGTCCGAGATGTCTGGGTTGTCTTCTGGAATAGAGACATTAAATCTAAAAGAGTGATCTTTCCATGTTAGGATTTGTTCAAGAGTTCTCACAGAGACGCAGAGCTTGTAGCCATGCGGTTGTATAACAGATAAGGCCCTCAGCAGGGCGTGTTGCTCCGGCATGGGACATTCGTCAACACCATCGATAACGATGAAGACGCGCTGGTTGTGTTGTGGAACTTGCTTGAATATCTCCACAATATCATCCACGTCCCGGATGGTTACATTCTTTTGGAAAATATGATCAAAGTCTCTGTTCGCGACGAAGTGCTCAAGAAGCTGCCTGATAAGACATCCAAGTATTGTCCTAGCATTTAAGCCATCAGGTCTATCATAACGAGCGAAGAAATACAAAACGATCGCATTACTCTGAAGGTTTAAATCGTCGACGACATTGGCTAAAAGGACTGACTTGCCAGCTCCCAGCTTTCCACGAAATAGTACCGAGTCATGGCTGGACTGGTCAGACTGCCACTGCTGATACTCAGAGAAGGATTCCAAAAGACGAGTAGTTCCAGATTTTCTTGTTTGCTTCCACGTGGTCCGATAGTCGTACTGTGAACATGCCTGCAGAAAACGAGCACAAGTCTTAATTCTCCGCTGATGTGACGAAGACTCGGATAGAAATGTTGTGAGCGAGCGAAATTTCGCATTTTCTTTGGCCTCCTCGTCTACCTTCTGATTTAGTAAGAGGTTGGCCTCTTCCTTTATCGATGATGACCATATGTCAAGCTCTGACTGGAATTCTTTCATATCTGGGTCGCTAATAGACGTCGAGAGTCGGCTGAAGGCGGACTTCCGTGTCCATGTGATTGACTGAAAGCATAGTCTGGTAACAATGATGAAGTATTCGCACAGATAGCGTTGAAGGTTCTTCGATTTGGGATAAATTGCGGCCATAGCTTGATAGCGCGGAGCGTTTCGACCGACAGCCATGAACAACAGAGAAAGTTTTTCCAGATACGTGAAGTATCCAGTTATAACCTACCCGTGATTAGTATTAATGGGAAAGCCACGAATGCGATTTCGGATGCGCTTACATGAACGGTCATTCTTGCAGCAGCCCAAACACCGCACGCAATGATATTTTGCGAGCCTCCAACAACAACATCGCCAAGCGCAGCGAACTGCTGGATTGCTTGAAGAAGATTCGTCATTCTTGGGCCAAAGCATCTCCCACGACCATGCTTGGTCGTGGCCTTCAAGTCCATCTCGGCGGTCAAGCGCATCACATCAGACATAGTTGGGGCTGTCTGAGCAGCTGACGATCGCGAGGCTCTAAACGCGACTTTTTGTTCAGAGGTAAGAGCTGCCTCGAACTCGGATACCGCCTGGGCGAGGCGATTATCTGGTTTGAGCCGAGAGCCATCTCGCAAAGAGAGCGCCATGTCGATGGTTTATTGAGTGATGGATGGACGTCAGAAAAGGCGACTGATTGAGGGGAAATTACAATGCGGCTGAGTTGCGTCAGGCTGCAGTATAAGGCTGTGAGAAATAAGGCTGTGTGTTGAAAGTGCTGGGATCGAGGCCAGCCAACCAGTAAGATCTTTCTAACGACAGCAAGGCAGAGAACCTGAGAACGGGCGAAGACGTGCTCATTTTTGTGTCGCTTGTCAATGTCTAGTGTTTTGCTATTTTGCCTAGTATCAAACCCTTGCAGTAGGAACCAGAGGCAGGACGCGTTGTCAATAAAAACGCTGAATGCACTGCATAGTTCACAGATGTCAATTAACCGAAGGCGAATAGGTGATCTTTGTATGCCAGATCATGCCGTCAAAGGCGCAATTAAGGAGAAGAAAGGACGGTGGAATATTAGCGATAGAGATACTTCAAGTTGATCACCGTTATATTAGACTTTTGTGAGACTATCCGTCGCCTGGCTCACCAAGGACTTAGAGTCCTGGGAGATGTCTGCTTCTTTCAGAATCGAGAATCGATCCTGCCAGACTTTCCATCTGTCATTGTTGAAACCCCTCCATCCGGCCTCATCTTTGAACTCTGCCAGGCTAGCACCAGGCTTGGCGACTTTGCCGTCAAACTGCTTTCCATCCTTGCTCGCCTTAGCAAGAGCATCGGCGGCGTAGATAAACCAGACAGAAGAGGCCTTCAATAGCTTGGGCGACGTCTGGGAGATCTTATCAGCAGCAGGGTCTTCGAGCGCTTCTCGCAAGGTCCAAATGGCAAAGAGGCTAAGGTCATCAACCCCAGCAGCAGTTGCGCGCGCAAAGAAGCCGTTGATATTGACGAAAGCTTCATCGGACTTTTCTTGTGCTTATCAGAGTCAGTAAGTGTTCACGATTGTCGGAGGTCGGAGCTCACCGATGTCAAGCTGCTCGCGTGCTTTACCCCCAAACATGGGGAGCTCATCCCAGCGCTTCTCCTCACCCCAAACGACAACCTTCTTAGCTGTCTCAGCAGATTGCGGAATGCTCTTTATCGCATGCAAGGTTTCCACTAGCTTCCCTTGCCTGTCGTGGGGGGTCTGCTCGGCAGCGGAGAGCACCGAAGACCAAAGGCCGTCGAATTCCCCCTCAATCTTTGAAGCGTCTTCATTCTTCTTGATAGCCTCTAGACAAGGACTTGCGAGCTTCTCAGCAGCTTGTTGGGCCGATACGGCACTGTCGCTCAGTAATTTCGTGACGTCGGTCATTTTCCGTGTGGAGATGAATGAGAGAGATGAAAAGCGAAGGAGAGAAAGCATGAAATGAATGCAGGATGAAGGGATTGCGACAAGAAGCGGAATTACAAGATAGACGATTGGCGCTAACACGGCGTATCACGTCCGATTTCCGAAGATGAAATACAAAAGGGCTCCAATGATTGCGATAAGAGCAACACATGGGCACTTGCTGAGACAATTATATGCCGATCACGACCCGCTCTCGGTGCGGATTTTAATGTGACTGGTCAGACTACGCTCAGCTACATCTGCCCATCTGCCGGACCTACATCCGAATTAAGCAGGTGGTGATACTATCTCGAAACTTGGTGAATTATGCGGCCAATCGGACTCATCCGTTCATCCACCTGCCTCTATTTGTGAAGATCTACATGTTTTGGGACACCGAGGTTTCGATGGACTGATAGCTTTGGTGTTCCGTGTATACACAGGACATAGAGATGATTAACTATAAAATCTGTGAGAGGACTCTTATCAATGATGTAACCACTCCTACACGCTCTCATCCATCGTTGGTTGTTGTACACTCATTGACAAGATGCTCTTCTTCAAGGTACGAAGCACTTGCAACTACATACACAAGCACGATAAATGCTGACCCGATTCTTAGTCTACCGCTTCTCTCGCTGCTCTTGTCAGTCTGGCTGTCGCCAGCCCCATTGAGAGCCGTCAGTCCGCCACTACCTGCGGCAGCACCAACTACTCCGCCTCTCAAGTCCGTGCTGCTGCCAACGCTGCTTGCCAGTACTACCAGAACGACGACACTGCTGGCAGCTCCACTTACCCTCACACTTACAACAACCGCGAGGGATTTGACTTCATTGTCGACGGTCCTTACCAGGAGTTCCCCATCAAGAGCGGTGGTGTTTACACTGGCGGTAAGTCGCTAAGCAGAGACGAATCAGAACTACTTCTAACATGTTTTCAGGTTCCCCCGGCGCTGACCGTGTTGTTATCAACACCAACTGCGAGTATGCTGGTGCCATTACTCACACTGGTGCTTCCGGCAACAACTTTGTTGGATGCAGCGGCACTGACTAAGCTGCCATGCTCTTCAATGCTGGCTCCTGGGCCTTACGTTACACGCATATAGTTATCTACCTTGTCTTGACGACATTAAAATACATACTTTGACTTACTCTACCTTCTGCCGTCTGTAGCTGGACCCATTATTCCATGTCTAAATGTTATTGAGAAGCACTTCTAATATCTTCTTTCAGAAGGATCTTTCATATCTTATGAAACAAGGAATGAACTTGAATTAAGAAGAAAGATAAAAGGATGATTCTGCCAATGCCGTGGGCTCTCATGAGCCCTAACAATACAAGACCCATTTATCCAAATTCATCTTCTTGATAACTTTACTGAATCCATCTGATCCTTCCGCCGCACCACTAGTAGAGCAAATCTTCTTCTGATCCTTAGCCTTGACCTTTGGTGCGCCCTTGGGGTACTCAATGTTGAAGACTGGCTTTCCTGCGTCGATGTAAGGCTGGTACAAGTCGCACTCAGAATATTGGATGCAAGACTCGTTGATGCAGAAGGCAACATATGGAAGAACCTCTTCTGTGACATCTCCGCCGTTCTTCATACCCATGACCATGTTGTACTTGGCTGCCTCTGCAGAGAGGAACTTGACGTATGAGATGGTGTCTTCCTCGGTGAGGCCGAGGCCATTATCATTTTGCTGCGGCAATGGTTAGTGATCTGTGTACTTCTTTACGTGGGTGACTTACATATCCATCCATGTTATCAGGGTCAATAGCATCACATCCCTTCTCAGCCGCCAGCTTAATTCGTTGCACCATGATAGCTCGTACGGCAACACTGCTGATATTCACCCACCTCTCGTCTGGCCAACCATCCATTACCTTACCAAGATCTTTCTTCGGAAAGCTGTCTTTATCTTTACGCCAATTCTCCCAAGAACCAGCACTGAAGTAACAAATCACCTTTTTGCCACCTTTCTGCATGGCAGTGATGGTGCTCTTGGAGTTCTCAAAGAGATCCATATCCCAGATGGGGACGTCTGGAGTCATAGAGCTAACACCTGCTTTGGGAACTTTGACGACCTCGGAGAGGATGATTTGCCATGGTGTCCCGACTTCTGGCTGCCATAGTTCTTTGCGCTTGGGTGTTGTGAAGCCACGGGGGGTCAAGGCTTGGGCTTGTGATAGTTCGGAGAGAGAGGCTGCGACAAGCGCCGCGGATTGAAATAAGGAAGACAGTCTCATTGCTTGACTTGCTAAAGTGATGATGCGTTTTTGTTTGATGAGGAGAGAACTATGGTTCAGTCAAGTCTCAGCTCTACTAAGTTCATACATGGCCTCGATTGCGCTTCCAGCAGGTTTATGTACGATCAGAGTTGCCACCTGTGGCACTATGTGACTATTACACAACTCGGTCCTTTTCACAAAGGTGTTCCAGCCCATTCCAGCATGGCGGAACGGACTAGACTGGGCCGATTGGAGACCCTGAGATCCAGTCTTGGTCGGCTTTGACTAGTCTAGAAGCTAATGACAGAACTAATGTCACTGAAGCCGTCGATGTCTTTTCGCGTGTTGTACAGGATTGCGGAACAAAATCGCATTATCTATGTGAATTGATGTTAAGGCTGTCCTAGATCGATCTTGCAATGCTCATTTTGATTTATAATCATCAATGTCTCAATTTAATCGATATACTGCACACTCATGCCTGGACGGGGCATAGGGCGTGAGGAATGGTCAAGCCTAGATCCAATCCCGATGCGTCCAAGAATTCCAGGCGTCATTCTTTAAGTGGTTTTGGTCTGCAAAAATGCTTATGGGACGAATGTCTATGGTCAAACTTTGGAAGAAGGCTGTGAAATGACGAGACACATCCGATTCAGCCAGCACACAGCCACCATAGAATGTCACTGACCAAAGGGACGAACAGAGAATACTTGCAAAGTGACATTGAATGAACACGACGAGTCGAAATTTATTGCTTCCAATTTATGTCGATGCAGGTGTGTAAGGAAATCTCAAATTCGATGCATCCGATATATGCAATCTTCTCCGTCTTCGTCCTGTCCCATCTGAGTTGGCGAAGCCGGTTGAGAACAATCGTGTCGCAGCACAGATTCTTTATATGACCGCCCCTCTCTGTGGCCTCAGTAGTGCCTCTTTCGAGTCCTCCTAGCCGCCTGCTGGCTCAGCTCAATAGTCCATCTCATCAACTTCCCATCATACTCAGCAGTATGTTTACCCCTTCCACTTCCGAACCATGCTTTCTTCAACGCATCAGCTCTATCTCCATCCTCGAGATGGCCTAACCATCTCAGTATGGTAAGGTATCCGCTATCCAGGGATCCAGAAATCCACGCGTGATGGGGGCTCAGAGCCTCGCCACAGATGGCAAACTTTCCATCGCAAAGGATCTGCTGGAACTCGGGGTAGATATACTTAAACTGGCCAGGGCCAAACAGAGCGAAAGCGCCGCCTGTGTATGGATCGTGAGACCAAGCGAACGCGTGATGTTCGAGGTACTCGTTCCTCAAAAAGTCAACGGTGATCTTGGGATCTTGGCTCTCACCCCAAAGCTTGACGAGATCTTGGAAACATTGAGTGATAACAGCGTCGTCAATATGCGGCTTCTGCTTCGTGTAATCGGGAATCAGAGATCCCATACGCGTAGCATCCTGGGCCCACGTGTAAGAAGTCATGAGCACTGCGGAAGTGTCATCGCCATCATCCCAAGATGGGTAAACGATGTTGCTGCTGGGTAAATCAGAGCCCGATACACCGCCAAAAGTGCTGCCGTTCGTGGAGGTCTTGTACATATTTTTCCACCACCGAGTCTTGAACTTGACTGCAACCTTGCAGGATCGATCGTAGCTGAGAGCTCGGATACCAGTGAGAATCTTTCTCTGGGTTTGAGGAAGACCGAAACCGGGGACCAGGCCAGATATGTCCATGCGCTGGAGAGGGCCCATGGCGGTGGTGTTGAAGACCATGTCATATGCCTCTGTCTTCGTACCCTCAGCCCCAGTAATAGTCACTTCAATCTTGTTCTCTTGGTGGTTCTCCGACATGGCTACGACAGGTGTATTCTTCTTGACCTTCAGAGAGATAGGGTTGTGAGGAGCCCACTTAGGGTCCTCGATACATTGGTTCATCTTCTCGGTGACAACTGACATGCCGCCTTCAAGACGCCACCAGGGCTTGCCAGCAGTGGCCTGGAAATCACTGAAGTCACATAGAGACTCAACAAATGACTGCTCGAAGAGACCAGTAGAACTACATGGTATTAGTCTCCGATATTTTAAAGGGTCGCGGGTGGTGAACTTACGTGGCAGCTGTCTCGGCATCCTCGGTCTGGTCATAAGTCCATCTTAAAAGGGATGTTAGCAATTGCGAAAGATGTTCAACATGGTACTTACTTCGGGTCGGTGAACATAAGCCACCCTCTAGTAGAATGGTTGTCCTTGCCACTGGCGACCCATTCCTCAAACTTCTCGTCCCAGTTTGACCCAAGACCCTTGATGATCTCGTTCATTCGGGCATCGTAGGGTTTTCCGCTATACAAAGTCAGTATTGCTGACCTAAGATGGGATGGAAGGTCTTCTTACTCAGGCGATTCGGTGTTAGAGTACCAATGCATCTGTGGCTCGCAACCAGCATCGAGGACATACTTCGTTTTCGGAAGTTTCAGCTCCTCGATGAGTGTAAGTGTTCTGTGGTATTTTAGTTCATCGATCCAGCAGAAAGACTAGCGTACTAACGATTTCATGGCATCAATCTCCGGAATACGCATGGCTCCAATGTCATAGTAGTTATGAGGACAGGCCTCATCTTTCTCAAACTTGTACGTATATACTCGACCGCCAATTCTATCCGAAGCTTCATAGATATCCACATTGGAGATCTTGAGGTACTTGAGCATCATGGCGAGATACAGGCCTGTAGCGCCAGCACCGACGATAGCAACGCGGCCCTTGTACTCTGAGAGATGCTCCAAAGGATCCTCATGACCATGAGATGGTGCATGGCCTATTGCAGGCAGAGGCTCATTGCGACTGACATCGTCATTCAGCTCATATCGCAGGCTCCGGAGGTGTTTGTCAAGAAGATGCTTGGCGTAAGCGACCCGCAGACCACTTGGAACCTGTAATGAAGGGTCCTGGGGCGGCATCGCCGGGAGATGCTCTGCACGTTTAGCCATTATCGCTAAGGAATAAAGTGAAAGCTGATCGTTCTCTAACACAAAGAGAAAAGCCAATCCTTTGAACCTGTCGAAATTCGAGGAGGAGCAAACGGTCACAGATCTTCTCACTTCAGAAGTGAACAAGCCGCCTCTTTTGTACCCAATGTCAGTCAGCAGAACCTCCCCTCTCGATGCAAGACTTGATGCAGTCTCACAAATGTGAACATATCAAATTCCTCCCATTGGCTTCCCCTCACTTTTGGCGCAACAATATTGAGAATTGGGCATATTGTGGCGAGCTGAACCACCGAGGCTTGGCTGGGGGGAACGGCTCAGGCGTGCCACTAGATGCATGAGCTAGTCGGCCCGCCCGGCAACCCGCAACTAAGCAGCCGCCATACCGCTTTTTGGTGCATCACGGGCAGATCTCCCTTGCATTCGGTGTGCTACGTAACGCAGAAGCTGATGGTCAACCGTGGACGGGCCAATACTTCGTCAGGAAGCCGTCTGACAAGCTGATCTGGAGACTCTGAGCTGTTACCCTGGGAATTGACAATCACTGTCGCTTTTATCTTGGCTGAGAAAAGAAATCAGGCTATCAAAACCCAGAACAGAATACGAGGGCACTAGTCAGTGCCAGTAAGCAGCTGAAACCTCTCATCATACTCCGACGAGGGAGTTGTTCTGGCCAAGCCAAAAAATATCACTGAGACCTTGGATGTTCCCGCAATATGTGCTATCTCAGGCAAATAGATACGTGCGTTTAGAGTTGAACATGATGCTGTGTCGAGTATCCACGTTACGGTATCTCGCAGATACGAAGACTACTCTACCCGGCAGTTAATTATTGTACTTCCTACAATTCACTTACATTTCATGTCTATGCCATGCTCTACAATAAATGCTCATTTGAAGCCATTGTCAATCTCCGGTCAACCGTTATGATGGCCTCTGTGTTGATTGACTCGTCATTAAAGTCGCATTTGAGCTGACTTCCCTCATTCACAATGACGTCTTGATCCAGAATTCACAATCTGATTGGGTTAATCAGACCCCGCATTCGTGCAACTTTCTCAACCAAGGACAAGCTGTGCCTCTCACTCACTCAACACCATCTCACATCTCACATCACACACCAAAATGCCGTCCAATCACCTCTTTCAATATTCCGTTGTCTCAGCCCTCATGGATGGGGTCGCCGAGACAGGCATCACACTTTCGGAACTCCTCACACATGGCGGTCATGGTCTTGGCACCTTTCGACACATGGTTGGCGAAATGATCATTCTTGATGGGATTATCTATGATATGAAGCCTGATGGTTCTGTTATAGCGCTGGGACAAGATGCGTGCGCTCAACAAACGGCGCCTTTTGCGATGGTCACGGATTTTAAGCCGACCGTTAGCGCTTCGAAACACATACCGAGCAAGGATTCCTTCACAGAGACTCTGTCTCAGCTTCTTCCCGCAACAAACAATCACTATTTAGCCTACAGAATTGAAGGCACATTCAATTCAGTCACTGTACGGACTGTCGGAGGACAGCAGTCACCAGGCGAGAGTCTTGCCGAGCTTGGAAAGCGACAAGCTTCACATACCTTCAACAACATCAAGGGTACGATCATTGGGTTCAGATCGCCAGCTTTCATGCAGGGAATCAGCGTCGCAGGCGATCATCTACACTTCCTGTCGGCGACCAGAGACTCCGGTGGTCATGTGCTAGCATTGGAGGGCGACGGTAACTTGGAGGTCAGCGCAGCACGGATTTCAGCGGTCAACCTGCAGTTACCTGCAGATGATGATGCTTATAATCGAGCCAAGCTGGTTCGGGATGATGAAGGAATTGCTGCGGTGGAGGGTTAAGTCCAGACGGCTGATGGGCTTAACTCTTGCTAACGCGCTTTGAAATAACTTGTATCTTCTATAGATTTCAGACAAGCCCAAGAGTTTCGATGCACGCTTACTCCTTCCTTTTAGATATCCTAGACCGTAGATAGTTTTAAATTTATTGAAACGTCTGGAACTCATCAGTAGCTGCCGATCCTTTCCTTCGTCTACGATAAAGTTGCCAAGATCTTCAATGCAGACTCATCCTTGTCCAGTAACACCAAGTATGTTCTCCACCTCAACATGCTTGGCCAACAGGGGCAGCCAAAGAAGCAAACACACCTTGCGGGGAAGAGTGAAAATCTGAGTAAGACGACCACTCAGTGCATCCTTACCGCCAATCGAGTCGATGAGAGATTTTTCTTCTTCATCGGTTGTTTCTGGCAACAATGCGCAACCTTGTCTTTTCGTTTCTACTGCTCTGGGCAGCTGGCTGTAAAGCCACGGCACCAGGTTGTAAATGCTTCCCTGAAGACCCTTGTTGGCCTTCTGGTGATGAATGGGATCAACTCAACAGTACGGTTGGTGGTCGACTGATTGCTACCGTTCCACTGGGAAGTCCCTGTCATGACCCGAATTATGATGCTGAAGAGTGTGAACGCCTCCAGAGCGAATGGCTCTATTCGTCAGTTCAGTAAGTTCTTTCCTGGTTGAATTTTGCCCCAATCATGAACGTTATCTCTCCCAATCCATTCAATCGTCTGTTAACATATATCAGTACGGAATCATCCTCGTCCATGATGGCTCCTCTCTTCGCAAACCAGTCTTGCGACCCATTTCAGCCCAGGGACAAGCCATGTACACCGGGCAACTACGCCAGATATACCGTCAATGCCACATCTGCAGAGGATGTCGCGGCAACTCTAAACTTTGCCAAAGAGAAGAATATACGCTTTGTCATCCGCAACACGGGTCATGATTACCTCGGTCGCTCAACCGGCACTGGATCCCTTGCTGTTTGGACTCACTACCTAAAGGGCGCTGAAGTCATTGATTGGAAGGACGATATCTATCAAGGAAAGGCTCTCAAGCTTGGCGCCGGTGTTCAAGGTTTTGAAGCACTTGCTGTATCCCATACTGAGAATCTAGTCGTCGTTACTGGAGAATGTCCCTCTGTTGGTCTTGCGGGAGGATATACCCAAGGAGGCGGTCATTCAGCACTGAGCACCAATTTCGGCCTAGCAGCTGATAACACACTCGAATTTGAAGTGGCTACTGCTGATGGAAAGCTTGCTAAGGCGAGCAGAAGCGAAAACAGCGACTTGTACTGGGCTTTGAGCGGCGGTGGCACAGGAAACTTTGGCGTCGTTATCTCAGCTACCGTACGGGCTCATCCAGAAGCTCAAGTCAGTGGTGCTAAGTTTCTCGTCACTGCGCCAGAAGGAAGACCAAGGCTCATATATGACGCCATCGACGCTTTTCATGCTGCTCTCCCCAAGATCGTTGACTCTGGGATCATGATCATCTACTTCTTCTCGGACTCATTCCTTCAGATTCCAGCTATGACGGCCTACAACAAGACCGAGGCCGAGGTCAAGAAAATCCTTCAGCCTCTCGCTGATTCATTGTCTAATCTTGGTGTCAAGTTCGAGCCAAATTTTACGCACTTCCCAAGTTACTACGAGCATTACGATCACTACTGGGGCCCCCTCCCAGCAGGCAACATCCAAGTGGGAACACAACTCTTCGGAGGTCGTTTACTGCCACGTAACAAGCTGAAGTACTTCTCTCCAACAGCTCGGAAGCTCGCTGAGATGGGAGTCACCTATATCGGTGTCGGCCTCAACGTATCCAAATTCGGAGACAACAATGCCAACTCGGTTCTACCCCAATGGCGAGATTCCATCGTCCAGGTTTCTTTAACTCTTCCTTGGGATAATGAAGCCCCATGGGAGGAGATGCTGGATACACAGAAGAGAATGACGGAGGAGATCCAACCTGTGATTGAGGCTGCTACACCTGGCGCAGGTGCGTATATTAACGAAGCAGACTTTCAACAAAAAGATTGGCAAGAGACCTTCTATGGCGCCAATTATGATAGACTGCTGAAGATAAAGAAGAAGTACGATCCTGAGCATTTGTTCTACGCGACGGTTGCAGTCGGTAGCGAGGCTTGGTCTGTTGCATATGATGGGCGCATGTGTCGGTCTCAAATTTGAGCACCTTACTTGGGCCGAGATCGTACTCTCGCAGTGTAGTTTAAGCTCATTAGGGGTAGCTTGGAATCATTTTACGACCTTCCTCAATCAGCCTAAATATACCACAAGTTATAACAAACTTGCCTAGGTCTTTTCGTCGCTTACGATATAGGTCCTAGCTTTTCTGGCCTCGTCTACGCTATTTAACGCCATCACTTCGAAGAACTTTGAATGTAACATTGTTTGCACAATTATGTATTATGAGATCTATGGTATTGTCCGGCGCGATATAGGCCATGAAATAACTATGTGACGGTGACCTCAGTCGTCTTTCTAATAACGAATCCTTCAACATCCATGTCTTCCATCTCAACTTCCGAAACCCCGGAGCGAGTGGATGCATTGGCTGGAACAATCTGCTCTTGTGATGCATTTCTATCTCCTGGGGTATCAGCCCCATACATCTTCGAGGCGTAATTGGACTTCGTTGTCGTGTAGCATCTTGTCTGGGTGCTCAAGCCGTAGCGGTTACCAGCAGCTTGGTCACTATGTGTATATATCGATCGGTCCTCGTTGAAACGGAGCTTGGACGCAAGGGTATCAAAACTTCATTTGTTAGCTTTATAGCGATAGAAAGAACGTAAAACTTACTATAGAACAATTGGATATAGACAGAACAGAGCGTAGAGGAACCGATCCAATTGACTTGCGATGTTGACTGCCTTCTGACCCGGAGTTTGGAACGGATGAATGATAGTTCGTACGACGCCGAGGACGGCCAAGAAAGCGACACGCATTTCGGTACTGCGTGTCAAGTATCGCAAAAGACCGACTTTCAGAGCGGCGCTCATACTGGCTGTCTTGGCTGAGGCGAAAATGACGACAAGGAAATAGGCGCTGAGGCATTCGGAGATGGCCATGAAGGTGAAGTAGCCAATGTGAAGGTAGTTGATGATGACTTCGAACTCAGCGACACCCTCAATCAGGAACTTGGCGCGATAGATGGCAATGAAGACTCGGGTGATCGCCGTCAAGACCATAAGGGTCCAGAACAGAATGGAAAAGATGCGCCATTGTTTCGGTCGGAGAACTCGTTGCAGGATGATATAACTGTACAGCAGCAGACTAGCTTCTTGTAACTATTGATCCAGTCAGTAAAATTCACCTTCAGTTAGTCAACAAGGCATCATACCAGCCAGAAGAAGTCCGAGAATACAGCGGCTACCACCTCGTTGATGACAGGATTCTTTAGGTAGTAAACATAATAGCAAAGCCCATTCGCAATAGCTCCCGCCGCAGACGAAAAGATCGGCACCGCAGCTAAAACAGTAAATGTAGTAATCTCACAGACCAAAATACCAAAAACAACATTAACGAGACAGATGGTGCTGAAGATCGACCAGCATACCTCGAAGTAATCCATGGTCGTTCGAGTCAGCCTACCAAGAAAAGGACTTGCGAGACGCTGACAGAACGTGGGAGAGAGACAGTCGCGCTGATCTTATGTGTGTGCGCAGAGTCTAAAGGGGACCGGAGGCCGGGACCATGAAGATGGCGTTTTCTGCTAAACCGTCTGTGTTCCTTGCCAGTCTGCGTATGGTTAGGCTTGGCTGGGGTGGGCTGAGGTTTGACACGTGCGAAGGATGTTGCACTACCATCACTGGGGAAGGAGACTATTGCCGGGGAAGAGGGTTTGATGTTCGATTCATGATCAGCTGGTATGTATCTCAATCTGGAACATGTGCCTGAGCCTCATTAACGATCCAAAATCGATGATCTCTCCCCATTGTCTCACCCGCCTCCAATTAACAACAACGCAAAAGATCCACAACAATGGCTTATCCTCCTTTTTACCTAACCCTTCATCTCCCATCAAACACCTCCTTCCGTAAAGACAATCAGGCTTTTTGGCTCGTCAATAAAGTTTGGCTAAAGTTTTGGGTCTGGGGCCTGGCATGAAATTCGTTCTAGACTAAGTCTCAAAGGGGCACTAGACCAAGACAGGGATGAGAGCGATCTACCAACGAGAACTCAGTAATGTCCTCGCTTGTGCCTCGACTGACTCGTTCAATCGCCTGCGAACGGGCGTAGACTGGTTGCGGAAGAGGAAAACGGTTGGCGGATAATCCTTGGCTCTTGGACATTCCGCTCCGGATCCATTTTATGGGGACCCCTCGGGAAAGACGGTGATTGTTGTGGTTCTTATATGTCACCAGTTGCTTCATTTTCGTGTCTAATACATAATAGCTTGGTATTTCTCTGTTTATCGACTCCATTCTCAATTTCTCAAGTTTTTTATCTCCTTTTCTGAGCTAAGCAATTGACGTTTTCGTCCGGTTGCTTAGAGAGACCTGATTTGTACCTGTTCTTGGCGTGACTCAAAATCGATGATGTAGACAAACTGTCAACCAAACTATTTGGGCTAAAAAGCCTCCGAGTCAGCGCTCTAATCTGCACAAAGAGTCCGTCAAAGGAACTATAGGATTCTTTTCTCCGGCTAACAGCATCGGAATTTCCCGATTACTAAACCCGGAATCATAAGACTTCAGATCGTCCTGACTCAAGCGCAAACGGTAATAATCGAGTAACTCGTATCCAGCCGTGGAGCCATTAAATAAGAAAATCCACGTGCTCCCGAGAAAGGGGTCATGTCTCCTCCGCAAATACTCTTCCGACTCCCCATGACTCACTATCCACATTTTGAGCGACTCGTCAGATTAAGGAGAAGGTTTTAGTGCGGGTTAGTCAGGGACTTCTGGTGCATCTTTCCCGGTAGATGGTATCGGGGTATCATTCGAGAGAATCGGCCGAAAGATATTGACAAGCAGATGATCCTTGTCCGGAAAAGTTGCCCGATCATTTGAGATGGTTACATCGTTTCATCCCAAGAAGCTGTCACGATGGTCAGTGCTAAGCGAGCTGAAAATACCCTTGGAGAAAACGTCACGCGTCATGCATGGATGTTACTGAAGATGTTGCAGACAACAGCTTCCTGCCCGAGTTTCATGCATGTGTTTAACAAACGAACTGTTAAATCCAAGCGAGACCCCGCAATAAAGAAGACAGTAAAGCCGAAATGTTGGATCCAAAGTGGTACGAGGAACGGGACCTTTGATAGGGAGCGAAAATAAATCGGCAAAACATCGCAAGAAAGCAGCTTGGCGCAGTGGAAGCGCGGTATGTGATTTCGAATCCTCTCATCTCCAACATGCATTAACAATTCCCATAGCCGGGCTCATAACCCGGAGGTCATCAGATCGAAACTGATAGCTGCTAGCTATAACTTTTTTTTATGTCTTTACTGTTATCGTCCCTTTGTTTTCTTCTGTTCAGTATTCTTTTTTGCGTTCCGTTCTGTCTTTTTGGTACAGGTGGCCTCGCTGGCCTGGAGCGACCGATGTTTTGCTCTATTGACCTTGAAATCATCCGGGACTAACATGTACTCCTGACACTTTCAAGTTGCATTTCAAACTCTCTGCAAAATAGAAATGCCATCGACAGTAACAAGCACCAACGGTTTGGAATACTGCGATCGTCAGTGTCGGCTGTCGACATGTCGCCGAATTGTAGCGCCCCTTCACCAACAATCCCCGAATAGCTCAGCTGGAAGAGCGTTCGGCTGTAATTGATAACACATCTCACCGAAAGGTCACTTGTTCGATCCAGGTTTCGGGGATTTCTTTTTGCTTTTTTTGCGGTTTTCATTTCGATGTTTTACCCTGTCTCGCTTAACAAGTTGAGATGCAAAGAAAGTCATTCCCCCGCATTTTGCCGCATCAGGCAACATCGGCTAATTACCCGAAGCTTAGCCGCGATACTGGCTGTGTAATAGAACTGCTTAGGACAATCCGGGCAATTAAAATGCTGGCGTTTGTGAAGGATATTTTCCCTCCATTGTCATGTTTTTCTCCCGCAATATCGGCGGATTGTTTATCAAAGTTGTTCACCATTCAAGCATTTCGTTCGGGGTGTTGTTGACGCCAATCGTGAGCAGATCTGAATCTCACTTATGGTTAAACATGAACTCGAATCAAAGCTCACAATTTAACCTTGAGGAAGTCTACTTCGACACGCTGAACTTCGCGAAGTCAAACTATCAATGCAAGCGAATTATTTATGGTAAGTATTGGTGCTTTGCTGCCTGGCGAGGCTCGACTTTTAATTCCGTTATTGAACTGTAGGGTATTCGGCTTAAACAAATGTCTCGCCAATCGGAGCTAGACCCGATGCTGTTGACAAGGATATTGCAGATCAAAAGAACGAGACATTCTCACTGCACGACTCAAAGCTATACAAGATTGTTGAGAAGGAGTTTATGAGTGCCTATCAAGCCCAGCCTTCACTTCAACCTTACAAAACCAGCATGTTGTTCAACATGCGGGCCCTCGACTACTCTAGGACCTCGAACCCAACCAAATCAGGCGCCCAATTGCCCGAAGCTGAAGCAGTAAAGGTCACCTCATTGCTATCTCCCTTCTTGAACCCATCGACAAGAACTGTCAGCCGGTCGCTCTCAAACCAATCACCCCCGGCATTCGGGAATGCCCAGCGTTTTGAATCTTCTCCGTTGACTGAGATTGACATGTTCCGGGAGTTTGTCTCCCAGTCGCCGATCGTGTGATGGTATTCGTGGTTAATGTAATCGATGCCAAGATATACCGGACCGTCTTTGGGTGCGCTTACTGACTTGAAGGCCACTTTGGCGCCCTTTCCGATGGACCCGACCTTTTTGTGAGCTGGAAGACATTCTGTGTCTTTGCAACCGACGAGAGAAGCTGAACCTGAGAGAGTCGCGTCTTCAGCTGAATAGTACCCCGCCGACTTGGGGGGTGAGACTGCACTGATGTCGGACAAGACAAGCTGTCGCAACTCATGAGGCGCAAGTTTGAACTCCTGGATACCTGAGATGGTAAGATCTTCATGAGCCCAAACGTCTCGTGCCGCCGCCTTCTCAACCCCAATCAGCGACAGATCGACCTTCACGGTTTGGGTCTCATTCTTCCAGTTCGCAACGCCAAGGACCTTGCGGTTGGAAGAGAGGTTTCCAGCCCAGACATCCCATTCTTCTTCAGTGTATCGGATAACCAACTTGGCTGCTTCGGCTAAAGGATCTTGGTTGATGGCGATGACTTCTTTATTTGACATGATCTCGAGAGATTCAGCGGGAATTTGCTTGGCATCCATTACGCCACCAATGATGAGAGGTGATTTCATCATGGACCAGAAGCCGAAGTGGAAGCGTTCTTCGTCGTGTGAAAGTGCACCAAGACCGATACTACGGTGGTTAGTAGGTGCCAGGAAGGGTCAGCGTCGTTGCTCACATCAACATGTCCATATCAGCAAAAGCACCTGGCCCATTATACTTGGCGTGAGCGACAACCTGGTTTGTAATGCGCCAAATGGCTCTCCAGGCATTGAAGATATCATTACTCATTCGCCATGAGTTGCCTAGAGGAGCAGCCCTGATTTTTGTCAGAAAAGAAACTGCAATTTGCTGTGACAACTTACCATTGAGGAACATCTTCACCAATACCCCATTGGCAAAGGAAGTACTTGATGTCACGATTAGTTTCATTGATGGCTGCAGCCATCTTAATGAAGCGGTTGGGGCTCTTTGCTTCAGCTGAGTCGGCGTCGACCATGTTGGTTTTGGATGTCGCATAACAGTTATCATATCTGAAACTGTTAGATGACCCGAATTTTGCAACAGCTGGGCTCGCTTACTTGAGAGTATCGCCTCCCCACTCCGCGAACGACTTAGCATCAATCTCCTCATAGTCTATTGTACTTAGCCGGTGTTATCAAGTGCACATGGCCACTGGGCAGACGAGTGATGGACATACCAAGGGAAGCAGGAATGTCAGTTGAACCGCACTGAAGATATCCAGCACCCGAGTAAAGACCAAACTCCAGACCAAGATCATGGATGTAATCTCCAAGAGCTTTAGGACCCGACGGGAACAAAGTCTCGTTCCATTGGAGTCTCCCTTTGCTATCTCGGTCCCTCGAAGGCCATCCGCAGTCTACAGTGACGATACTGTAGCCGAGATCCTTGAAACCAAGATCAACCAACCCTTTGGCATTTATCTTGATGATATCTTCGGAAGGCCGACAGTTGTAATGGTTATAACTGTTCCACCCCATTGGCGGAGTAGGAGACTTCACAGTCTTGCCATATGCGCTGGCAAGAAGCGCAGCCAAAACGAGGGAAGTCATATTGATGACAAGAAGAGAGCTATCAATGCACGCTGGACAATACTTCTAGGAATATTCCATTACTCTTATACTCGCTCTGTCCGTGAAACCGCGTATTTAAACCGGCTTCCAGGCTTTTAGCCATTAAACTTCCGGGTCTACCCTGCAGACCAGAAAATAACGGAACTTATGACACCATACTCACGATTCAATAGGTGCGGTTACCTCACGAGCTAGCATACGATCACTGATTCAATTGCTCATAGGTGCGCATCTTGATCTTGCGTTAAGGTATGTCGATCACCAACGCATGGGGTATTTTACCTGCGGGGAACCCCTCCCTGTTCTTGTTTGACGTTACATCCCGAGACGGGGGCGGAGAGGATCAAGCGTACGAAAATTGGACTTGTTGCCTAAGGATGAAGGTACGGAAGATGCCCTGACCTTTCGTTACGCGATCAAATGGTTATGCGTTCATTGAACTGCTGAGCTGCCCAGCACGTTTATCGCAGCATTGGCCGCACTGGCACTTCTTCAAGTCCAGAACGAGCGAAACATGTCGTCTTTACAGTGTATACTTTGTTCCACCAAATATGGGAGCCATCTGACCCGGCATTTCCTTCTCAACAAGGCCCTTGAACCTCCATCCAGTACAATGCCCTGGCATCAGCAAGGCCGGTTCAAGATCCTTGAGGTCCTTCATGCTCTGCTGCATCTTTTCAGGTGACGCATCTGCGAGGTGGTAGCCGCCAACGATAGCGTAGATGGGGCTGTTGTCGATGACTTTCGCGTGTCTGGCAATGTTTATGAGACCAGCGTGACTGCAGCCTGTGAAGATGACTAGGCCTTTGCCTGAATAAGTGTTAGATGAGGTGATGACTTGAGTGTAGTGGAGGGAATAACCTTTGAGCTTGCACATGACGAATCGCTCTTCCATGATCAACTCATCTTTGAGCCATTCTCCTGTCGCAGTATCATACCGCACACCACCTGGGATGCCATCCTCATAATCTGTCTGTCGCGGAATCTCTCCAGATATGAGAAATCCATCATCTAGAACAGTACGCGCCTCATTCAACACGACTGTCGTCCCACCCGCATCATTGATCTCTTCCATGGTAGGGTCTGCCTCTAGTGAAATAGGTTGATCGAACATGATTCCTCTGAACGCTGGCTTATCTGGAGGAAGCGCAACAATGACCTGGTCGCCATCTGACCTCCCGCTGCTGGCGAGCCGAATCGCTGAGAGAAGCCCACCAGAGTGATCTCTATGCCAATGCGAAAGGACAATAGCACCTATGTCAGCCATTGGGAGTCTGAGTCTCTGGACGTTCTTCTCAAATACATCTTCCTCGGGCCCAGCATCAAAGAGTAACGTGTGAGGCTTGTCGTCCTTCTTCGCTGTCTGTCAAAGGGTTAGTCCCGGTTGCCAGCATCAGAAAAGCCCATCTCACGATGAACAAGGAAAGGCCATGAGCGCCACAACAGATGTTTCTCATTGGCATCTCCAATCGAGCTCCTCCCCGGGCACTCGGATCCGATACGGGACTCAACGGGACACCAGCGAACGATTGTGCATGCTGAACCCGAGGATTTGGGCTCGGCGAGATTTGATCGATTTCGTCGTTAATCAGGACATGGATGTCGAGGCTGTCAACCTCGACAAGCGAAGGCGGTTTCGACGTCATACTGAGAAAAGAATCACTGGATGTGGTGTTGAAATTTCATCTTCAAGCGGGGAGAATGTGCCTTATGAAGACTTCTGAAGCCATCGTATCATGCCAAGTCCTTCTGAGTCATGAAATACGATGTTTGCGGCGTTCGGCTATTGACAGTGTCCGAGATGTCCTAAGCCCGGCTGTCTCCATCATCGGAGCAGAATTGTATGAGGAGCCCAGTTTTCATGATGTTCTATTACAAATATTCTAATAACCTAAGAGCCGACGGAGAATAAACAATAGGCCGAGGAGGAGGGCTCCTTTGGCGATCCGTCATGGTCATGATCTCGCTGAGTAAGACTCATGAGGCGCGTGTGATGCCGAGGCTAAAAATACCCCTCATAACTCCGAATACAGGCAATGAACACCGACCAGCATCGCGCAGACCAATTGTGAAATGCAGAAATATTGGTTCTTTTACATTCAGTAATAACTCAGATTGACATCATGTCTCCATCGCCTCAGGCCCCAATTATTATTGGCGTCGGAGAAATCCGCCAGAGGAAGTTCACGCTCGAAAATACTCTCGAACCAGCAGAGCTCATCTTATCAGCTATTCGCGATGCAGCTAAAGACACATCAGTCGATGTTATCGGCCACGTAGACAGTATTTCTGTTGTTCCTCCGTGGTCCTGGACATATGATGATCTACCAAAGCTCCTTGCCCAGAAACTTGGTGTCAAGCCGACCCATCTTGAGCTCTCGAGCCATGGAGGCCATACTCCTGCGTTGTTGTGCGACGCGGCAGCTGCAAGAGTTGCGGCAGGGGAAACAAAGCTAGCTGTTGTTACAGGAGGGGAGGCTTTGGCATCACGTAAGTTAATGTTTATCTTAGATGAAGAGTACTTGGCTGACGTGGTTCAGTATTTGCGTGTCAGAAAGCCGGACGTCTTCCTCCTCCGGGATGGATTGAGATGTCACCTGATGCAAAGCTATATGGCCCCAGTGATCCTGCGCTTTTGAAAGGTCAGTTTAGATTGAATATTTGTAAGTGAACTGGCTGATAAGACGAAGATGTTGGCGCTTCACACTCCATTGGAATGCCAATCCAAGTATACCCTCTATATGAAAATGCATATAGAAAGCATAGCCAACAGACGTTCCATGAGAACCATCACGAGTCAGCAGCCCTTTACGCCGAATTTGACAAGGTTGCTTGTGACCATCCGATTAGCTGGAGAGCAGGCGAAACACCTCGGGATATTGATGCTATCAAGACGATAACGAAGCATAATCGAATGATATGCACGCCTTGTATGTACATCTTCCGCGGATCCTGACTACCAGCTAATTATCTAGACCCATTGTTGATGAATGCCTTCAACGGTGTGAACTTGGCGGCGGCTTGTATCATCACTTCTGTCGAGTATGCTACGAAGCTAGGTGTACCCCAGGATAAATGGGTGTACATTACTGGCGGCGCTGGCTCGAACGACAGCTCACATTGTCGGTCAACTTTGTTCCCCTCAACTGAGGTAATTGCTGATACTTAACCTAGTCTGGGAGCGAGCCAACTACTTCTCCAGCCCTGCTATTGAGTACTCTATCGACAAGGCCCTCGAATCCGCTGCGCTCACCAAGCATGACATCGACTGCTTCGACTTCTACTCGTGAGTTCAGGTACCTTCACGCCAAAGTGAACTAACATTTCCGCAGGTGCTTTCCTATTGTCCCAAAGCTTGCGTGTAAGCACGTCGGTCTCAATGTTCAGAAGCCAACCAAGCCCATTACTTTACTTGGTGGCCTTACTTCGTTCGGTGGTGCAGGCAACAATTACTCCCTTCACGTAGGTTGCTCGAATGCTTTGAAGTATCTTATCTAAAACTTTACTAAGGCAATTGCGGAGATGACAAGAGTCATTCGACGCCGAGAGCATCAAAACGGCCTGGTGCTTGCGAACGGAGGAGTTCTATCCTGGCAGCATGCTCTTTGTTTATCGGCATATCCACGGCGCGATGCTTCCGCTTATGTGAGAAGAGAAATTCTTGATAATGGTGATGTTCCTCAAGGCCCAGCGTTTACCCCGACAGCGAAAGGCGAAGCTGTAATTGAGGTTTGTGCCATGCTCCCATCACTTGCATTTGTCTAACGTTGTTGCAGACTTATACCGTGGACTATGATCGAAAGGGACCGAAACTCGGCCACATAATTGGAAGACTGGTAGAGAACGGACAAAGATTCATTGCAAACCATGGTGATGAGCATACGCTGGCGACACTTGCGAGCACTAACGGAGAGCCGATTGGCCTGAAGGGCCATGTGGAGATAGCTGCTGACAGCCGAAATCTCTTCACTTTAACAGCAAGTGCAAAGCTCTAGGGAGCGACTATAGACTGAAATAAAGTTCATAATTAGCAGGAGCCTGGCGCGATCACCGACATCAAATTGAGTCTATCTCCAGCAGCATATCTGGTTATTTCCGTTAGTGTATAAAGTAGCCCCATGATTAATGCCCGTTTGGGAGGGATACTTCGGCGCGGGGATACAATAGTCCGGAAGCAAAACCTTACGACATCGATGACGCTGATCCTTCCTTTTTGTCAATCTTGAATGCATTTATGACGTCACATCCCATTCCGTCAAAATGACATTGGCAACACGACTTCTTCTCGTCGCCTTCGTATGCCTCCTCTTCGCCGACCGCGTCTCAGCCTTTGGAGCAGGCGAAGTAGCGGGTGCTAGTGAATTCAACGGCTACGTCTGGCGCCATGGCGACATCGTCGAAGCGCTTCGGTACCTTCCGGCCAGTTTCGTAACGCACTACAGATTTTCAACTCTAGAGCGACGACAAATTTACTTTGGGAACTGGCTACGAGACTTTTCGCAAATCATCGATACAACAGGCCTTGATAATGTTCCCGAGCCGGTTCTCAGAGCTATTGTTAGCATCATGGGGTTTTTGGAGTTTGGCTTCGCGACGGACGAGTTTGAGGTGACGCGCGAGCGCTTGGGATGTTACACTCATGTGGAGCATATCGACAATCCCAAGGGATATCCGAGTAATGCCAAGGAGATTGACGAGAGACTCAGAGGCCCTTTGGATCCACGCGAACTCGAGTTCGATCCCAAGACGGGCATGAAAAATTACATCGCAAATTCGGGCAAAGGCTGGGATACATCTGCTGATTACGTCACGCGAGAGCTACGCGAGTGCATTCGACTGGGGCGCGAAAAGGATCCAAAGTCGAAGAAGGAAGCCTTCATTCATCTTGGCGCTGCGCTTCATACTCTCGAAGATTTCTCGGCGCACAGCAACTTCACTGAACTGTGTCTCCAGGAGCTTGGCGAGCATGACGTCTTTGCCTTCGTCGGCGAAGCATGTCGCGTCAAGACTCCACGATGGAGAAGTCGCATGGTACCGCCCATCGTGACTGGAACCTTCGGAATGCTCGATATCTTCCACAGTCTTCTTGGCGAAGCCGACGACATGGCCATCCTCCAGTGCAAAGGCTCGCTGCAGAACCTCGAGAACGTACGACAGCCAACCCCCTCCTTTCTCATGCCCACGCTGACAGCAAACAGGAAATGAACCTCGGCGAAATCGCCTTCCAGCACATCTTCGACCTACTCAAAGCCGCGATCCAAGCGATAAGCAAACTAGCGTCCAAGACGAACGACCCGATCCTCCAACAACTCGAGACCGTCGGCGTGCTCTTCAAGAAAGCCGAAGAAGACAAACAAAGCTCAACTGCCGCGAGTAGCCTCGACGCCAATCAACTCTGGCAGACCATCGAACCAATCTTCTATCTCCACGATCGGATCAAGAAATGGATACAAGAACGCACGGAACAACATGATGCTGAACCGCTGTCGGAGGAGTCTAGCACGCAGTTGGGCAAATACACGGATCAGCTTGTCTTCAAGTACTTGTCGCTCATGATTGAGAGCTCTATCATGCAGTTGCGCAATGCGCTCAAGGCAGCGAAAGAGCGTGTTGATGCTGAAGCTGCCAAGTCGACTTCTGCTGAGGTATATCTTGATGGCGACGGGTCTGACCCCAGCCACTCGGACATCTCGAAAGACCACTTCAGCAACGTTCTCAACCAGCCTGCCGGCCTCGTATCATCCGTCACGACCAATTGGACAACCCAACAGGTCGTCAAATGCTGGGATGATCCCTTCCGCAACGAAGAAGAAACGATCCGCCAGATCCTCACAATCATGCATCATCCCGCCTTCCCACGCCACAAAACACCCATCCAGAAATACATGTTCACCACCGTCGAAGAATGGTGGAACCACAACACGGCCTCCGAAAAAGACACTATCCGCGGTATGCTCGCGAAAGAAAGCGTTCGCAACCGACAACACGAGAATCACACCCTCACTCTGAAAGATCTCGAAGGGAAAAGGAAGGGCGTCGCTGATTTCCCTGGCTCAAGACCCAAGATTAAGGAGAGACCTGCTAAGCCATCGCCGTTAACGTGGGCGGTTGGCGAGGCGAAGAAAGATGCAAAGTGGATGTTTGGCGCGGTTAGAAGAGGCGCTGGCGATCCTGTTGCGGCGGTTTGTTTTATCGGTGGGGGTTTGTATACGATGATTGCTCACATTTTCATGATGCTTTTTGGTGTTTTTGGATTGAAGGGGAAGGCGTCGAGGGATTAGGATGTTAGATAGATGTGATACCTGGTAGATCGAGATATATGAGATACATGAAATGTACGCTAGACTCTTTGCTTGGAAACCTTGACGGCCTGTTTAATTATGGTCTTTATGTATTCTAGATGACGAGTGCTGCCGTCTCTCCTGATATCTGTTCGGGGTAAGACGTTGCGACGCCTTCTCGTTGAGTTCAGAGCTTGAAGCCACCAACTCTCTTCTGCAAGATCTGGGCAGGATCATACTTCTTGCTGACTGACTTGAGAAATTCCAGCTCATCAGGGCCATATGACTCAAACGGTCTTTGGTATGGCGCAGCGTAGTTGAGATACTGGAACTTCTGCAGCAGTCCCTTTGCGCGAGCATTTTCTTCCCATGCTGACAGTACCTTCTTGGCCCTCTCTTCAACGTTCGAGTCGACAGCTGAGTTCGGCCATAGCGCTGAGATAAGAACAACTATCATTTTTTTTTTTAGCGCATGTTCATGCGATGATTCTGGGATACGTACTGTAGCCATCATTGGCCGATTCGAGGCCCAGGACGTTTGTGTGTTTGGAACCCTTCAGCATTGCTGCGACTAATGGTTCAAAAGCGATACTCCATGTCACACCACCCTGGGGGTTAAACGAATAGATAGTGTCGTTGAGGGTATCAAACATATGCTGCATGTTTTGGGCGGATGGCTCGAGAGTCACTGTCGCAAACAGCCAGTTCCTAGATCTGTCAGAGCCGTTCACTCAACCCTAACATTGGGACTTACAATGGCGGCGTATCCTTCTCATCAGCAAAGTCTGCCAATGTCGTGATGTTGTTGACCAGCTTTGTGTGAGGTATTTCTGCTAGGCCCTTGAAGATCTTTGGTTGGGAAATTGGCTTTGTGTATACAGCCGAAGCTGACAATGACCATGCTTTAGATGCTGAGCTATAAAGAAGACCAGCAACCAAAGACGCTGCAGGATCGTATGACGATGAATCAAGTAAGTCCGTGAAAGCCTGGAACACCTCCTCCCTTTCCGAAATGTCGTAAGAGATGCTTGTAGTAGAAATATCGCCCTGCGGGAATGTTTCAATGTCAAAGCGCGTAACAACTCCAAAGTTGTTACCCCCTCCTTTCAGAGCGAGGAACAGGTCTGAGTTCTCTTTCTTGCTTGCGTTGATCAGAGTGCTATTGGAAAGTACGACCTCATAGTTAATCACCTTATCACAAGCCCATCCGACTTTAGTAGTGAAGTGAGATATTCCTCCACCAAGGAGCAAGCCTCCAACGCCGACGTTTCCGTTTCGACCGCCAGCCACTTGAACACCTGAGCCGTCGAGATGCTGATAGACGTCGAGCCACTTTGCACCGGCGCCGATGCTTGCAATCGTTGACTTCTTGTTGAGAGATACGGAGGACAGGGTTGTCATGTCAATGGTAACACCGCCATTTGCGTTTGCAAAACCTGCTGCAGGAGCATGACCATGACCCTTGATTGAGAATCTGCAGTCTTTATGAGTGCTGATTATCTTCAAGGCGGATGAAACATCGTGGGCCGTGGTAGGCTGCAGGATACAGGCAGGGTGAAGGGTAGACTCCTGTTTAGACCAGTAGCTAGATATCGTGGCGTTGTAGCTTTTGGTATCAGGAAAGCTGACTTTGCCGCCGAGGTTCCCCGTCAATTGATGACACTGGATCTATTAGCAGTTTCCATTTCATCTTGTTTGCCCCCGAGGCACATACACATGCTGATGCTGAGGCGCTGGAAGATAGTAAAGCGGCGACTAAATGAGCGATAACGACCCTCATCTTGAGGTATTGAAAAACGAGAACCTCTGAATGAAGTAAAATCTGGGGTCCCCAGAATTTCTTGACTTAAACTTGAGATCTATTATCAATGTTGTTATTCGGGCCGACTTGATGATTTCATGGCACTAGGACGCTTTTGATATTGATATTCGGTCATAGTATGCAGTAGCACGGCTCGTCGGCATCGCAAGGCTGAGGTGTATCACTCATTCAGCCTAAATATATGAACAGCAATGCATATGGGATTTAAGAGCCAAATAAGACTTGATTCAAGGTATATGTTTCTTGACACAATATATAAACAGTACAGTTACACAATGCCCCCTCCAAGATCCCTCCATCAATTAAGCAAAACCGCCAGTTCTCAAAGCCAGTAATCCAGTACTCAGTCCATGAAATGTAGGTCGGTCGAGTATATATGAAGCCTTTGAGATGGATGCCAAGGTCGTCTTGTCATGATCGTTCGAAGGGATGTTTGGTGCAGGCGTTTATTTCTTGCACTTCTTCTCAATGTGGTGCCACTTCTCGCCCTTGGGGCACTTGCACTTGTGGTGCTTCTTGGTGTAAACCTTGCCGGAGTCGTGGCAGACGCACTCGCTCTTGGCGTGATCCCAGGAAGCATGCTTGCCGCAGTGGTGAAGAATGCTGCGAGCTTCGATATCAGCGGGCTCGGCGTCGGGGTTGGGGATGGCAGTGACTGTGCCCATGGCGAGAAGAGCGCCGAGGAAAGCCTTGTTCAGAAGCATGATGAAGGTTTGAGTTGGTAGCTGAGTGTGTGTGTGATTGGTCTGTGTTCAGAAGATGGATGAGAGAGTTGTGTTGTGAATGGTGAATGATACTTTAAGAGCTGGAGGGCTCATAAGGTTATATACCTCTGAGCTTACACAGGACCTCACCCAGGTCAAGTGAGCTTCAAGCACCTGTGGACCGTGAATATTGAAACTTCCCGTCTCGGATATCGGCCTCTTAGTCAAACACGGCTGATCGGCAATGAAGCTGACAGGGCTGTCATAAAAACATGGAGCACTGCCACAGCTAGAGCTAGCTGTGCCTTTATGTCAACCTTGTTTAAGTGGAGAAATATCCCGTCGCTACCGAGCTGCCTTGCATTGTTCGTATTCAAGATTCGATACTTTTAGCAATTGACAATGCAATGCTCCCTTCGCCCTGAATTACCCCAGATTTAATTGAAGCCACTCACGGGGCTATGCTTCAGCCTGTTTTACGACAGGTCCAATCAAAATAGCTGGGTCTCAAGTTGCTTGATCGTTATTTCCTTTGCGTTTGGGAACGAAAGTGTTTCCCTCTGAATTGATAGATAGCATAGCTGTTGTTATAAGCAATCTGCAAAGTCTTTCGAAGATCCTATACGCATAATCTCAGTGCAGAGGCTGTTCACTGTTAAGGAAATGTCGTTTATCATTCGGGTAGACTTTGCGATGGCGAACCTTTGTTCATGCAAACAAAATGATTCTCGACAACACCATCAAGAACAAGGAGCTTTACCGCCGAAGATCTTCAAGAGCTGTGAGCTCTCAGAAGCTATGAGCTGACGCGTCTTCTCAAAGGCCCAGGCGACCGTCCAAACAGCGCATCATGATACTTCTCAGCAAAAGCGGCTAAAACGGAGCGGATATCGCTGCCGAGCGTCTCCCTTGACCAGGGCATTAGGACTATCGGCACGTTCCGAAAGTCAATATCGAAAATAGTAGTCATCATCATGAGGCTTAGACATTGAGATCCCCACATGTAATTGCTGGCTCGAGGCAGATTACAACACAACAACCAATGGTTTTGGGAAAGATGGTTTTTTGGGGTGGACGATCTAGAACGGTGATTTAATCCCCGGCTCTTGGAAAGCTTGTTTTCGGCACTCTCGCTGATGGGTCTGAAGAGCCTTAGCGATACGAGCCAGATATGGGTCTTGACTTAATCACCTTCTTGAAACAGCGTCAGGCCGAAAACATTCGCTTCTGGTCTCTGATATGGATAGTTGCCGCACAGCCACTCGGGAGGTAGCCGAGCTGTCCGATCCAAGGTATCACTGAGCTGGTTGCCTTACATCTTCAAAGGCTGAAAGGGAGGTTCAGTAAGGGAGAGGATAGCCGATGCTGACGATGAAACCACTACTTCGGATCAGTCGGACATGAAGAAACTCAATTCCATAGATCTTACATGCTTTACGCTGAACCCAATCAGACCAATTGGCCGTAGCTATTTATAATTTGTGCTACTGCTCTTGAGGGCTTTGCTTGGGATAGGGTTAGATGGTTTATTGACTTGGGCGTACTGATTATGATCCATCCATCTGGGTACATGTAATCATGTTGGAGGGATGGACTCTCTTCTGACAAACATGGTAAAGAACTAATACCAGACGTTGCTGGACACAAGTAGCAAATCTCCCTGGAACAATATTCATTGCGGAGACTCTAACATGAAAGGGCCAGACGAGGACAGGGTTATGTCAGCTGAATTGAGACATACCTACCTAGAAGTTCTTGGAAGTCGATTTGAGCCCTTCGTTTTGAAAGGGAACGACCATTGTCACGTATTGATGAACCTTTGAGTCAGGAAAGGATGTTAACAGAGGGATGGCCGGTGAAATCTCTTTTGGCAGAACAGCCTTGTAAGGAGACCAAGACTGATAACCATGACTTGATGATCCTATGGAAAAGGCTTTATTCAGAGGTACACCTTAACAGATACTAACAAATGCAGTACTGACCTGCAGCCAACCTTGGGCAGCCAATGATATGTTTACAACACGCCTATGCATGTACCCCTCATTCATGACATTGTTGACATCGAAACACTTCAAATTTCTTTCACCGCTTCTCATCAAACTTCACAATTTTACAATCTCATCGTGACATTCTACCTCTAGAAACCCATCGCAATCATGACATTCTGTCCCCGGTTCAGTCGAAGGGTCTCGGAATGTGAATCCATCATCGCATACGAGTTTAGTTCTAAAACTCTCTGCGCACAAGCACTGAACACAGCCGTGGACGCAATGTCGGTTTGTATCCTGGATGGCTCTTTCAAAGCCATGCCCAAGAACGACCGTCTCGCTGTTTACGGCGATTCCGCAGCTGCATCCTACTTGTGCAGCCTCTGGATCAAGCGAGGACTGGCGAAACGTTAGTGATGGCCTTCGCGAGCATGTTGGAGTGTATCTGGCTAACCAAATCAGACTGCTGGACTACGCTTCGCCGTGACCCGAACAGTAACGACAACCTTGCTCAAGTCGGCATGGGCCATGGCCTTGATAGGTGCATCAACATGAATGGAGGAACTACCAGGGTCTCTTCCGGAATGGTTGCTACGGCTGTTGAAGCAATTCTTGGTGCCGTTGATATTGACGGTGGTCGTGATGCTCTTGCTCGAGTTATGAACCATCTTGGTCTCACGCAGCATGCCCTTCTCTCATGGGTAAAGTTCTATCCCCCATTGCCTATAATTGAACAGGTTGCACATAACTCACTTGACCTCTATAGGTGCCTTCGCAGCTACCGTGGAATTCCCCTGTGATCTCAGCCTGTGATCCGGGGGTTTGCCTAGGTCGCCTTCTCAAGAAGGGCCAGGAGCGGATCCTTTGTCAGCTAGGCTGCCATTGGAGCTCGCTCTTGACTTTTCTTAAGAAGCCATTTAGGCAAGCCCCATGGATCATGGATTGGGGGGACGGGGAAACTGGGGTAGCTGCGGAGTAAAGATGGCTTGTCCTCGACAGACTCTACTTGTATTTACTTCATTGAAGACCAAGTTTGGAGATGCATGGACTTTGTACCTACTTGAATCAACACGGACGTGATCTAATAACTAGAAGACTGGATGTTAGGGTTCTAACTCAACAACTTCAGGACTAAACCCGATCGTATTGATGAAATGGCTAGTAAACCTTAGTCACGTTATGTAAGTGCACCATGATCCGCCAGCTCTTGCATTGTCAATAGAAGACAAGACAGCTCATCGCGTACACAGGAGCTACGGCTGCAACATACAAGATTGGCCTTCGTGGGGGGGAGTGGAGTGGGAGAAGCACAGAGGGGAGGATCTATTGTCACTCATTTGGTATCTCAAAGGAGGAATTCATTATTACTCGGACGAAAATGTGTTGGAAAGTCATTCATTCAAACTAATCCTAAAACCATCAGTCAAATGCCTCGAGGTTTCGGCAATCTCTCTGTTCCTCCTCTGTAGTGACACTGGTCTATCCTACTTGCGAGGCTCGCTGCCTTCAGCATGAACGACGCTGGTAGCATCAAGCTTCTCAATATTGGCATGCATATCCACCGCCACAGCATCACCAAAGAGCTCGGCGATTTCCTCCAGGGTCTTGCCACCAGTCTCAGGCAGGAAGAAGAAGTACAGGACAGCGGCGGCAGTATTGCACGCGATGAAGAGAGCATAGAACCTCCAGCTAACCTCAGCAAGCGCCAAAGGAGTAATCTGACTGAGAACGATAGCAACAATAGACTTGGAAGAAACAGCGAAGGCCATGCCCTTGGATCGAAGGAATGTTGGGAACAGCTCTGATGGGACAACCCAGATCATCGCGTTGAAGAAGATGGCGAAGGTTGCGGAGTAGATGAAGATGAAAGCGATGCTGGTTCTAGCTCCAGCCATGTTACTCTCTCCAGCCTGGCCGTAGGTCGCACTCAAAGCCATGCAGATAGAGATGCAGACGGACAAAGCGAGCGAGCCAGTCCAGAGAGTGCGAGCACGAGGCCACCTATCCGCAACGACACCCAAGTAGATGACAGTTCCGATAACACCCATAAAGCCATAGATACCAGACACGAGGAGTGACTGTCGACCGGTGATACCAACAATGGCGTAGAATGTGTTCTGGAAGTTTTGGATGACAGATGCGCCTGAGAGCTGTGACTGAGAGACGATGAAAGCCGCCATGAGCGTGCGATGGAGGTATCGCATAGAGAAGAGCTCTTTGATCGCGTATGCCCAGCTGCTTGTTTCAGCAGAGGCTTCGAGTTCGATTTGTTGTTTGATCTGGAGGAGTTCCTGTTCGATAAACGTCTCGCCTTCCGTATTGTGGAGGAGATTGAGGACGCGGCGGGCTTCTTCGTGGCGTCCTTTTCTGACGACTGGAAGAAGTTTTAGCAGAGAACCTTAGGGGTGATTAGGTGGATGCGACTTACGCCAACGAGGTGAGAACGGTACGAAGAACACTGCGAACATAAGGATGAAAGGGACAGGAATTTGCATGGCCAGAGGAATTCGCCATTGAGCATCACCGACCGCAAAAGCACCTCCATATCCAGCCCAGTTCGCGATGCAGAACCCAATAGCAGCCATCAAACCCTGAAGACCAACAAGGAAACCACGCTGAGAGGGCTTAGCAACTTCAGCGATGTAGACTGGGACAACAGCGAGGAATTGACCACAAGCGAGACCGGCGATGAGCCGACCTGCGATCATCATGCCCACATGAACGGCACCAGCTTGCAAAGCGGCTCCGAGAATAGCGAGAAGGGAAGCAAAGGCGATGGTGTACTTGCGACTAAAGCGATCGGCAAGGTAGCCAACTGTTGGAGCTCCAATGGCTTGACCGGCATTATAGCATGATACGATGGCACCGGCGAGGGATGTACTAGCTTGGGAAGGTCCGTACATGTAGACGCGGAAGGTTTGGTGACCGAAGGTTGTCGCGATGATTCCTATGATACACAGTCAAAGAACGCGTTCCGGTCATTTCAGCGTGTTCTAGACATACCCGAGTCGAAGCCGAAGGTGAATCCTCCCATGGTGACGACCAAGGCGATGGAGATAGTACGCCAACGACCCATTGTGAATACGCTGGTAAGATACTCTCACGTTTTCGAAGATGTTCTCTCAAAGATAGATGATCCTTCTCAGGTTGATTTGATGTTGTGATGTTCTCTCTTCTCCCAGTGGAGATATCAAGTCAATTTGAAGTCCTGATTCGCTACAAGATAGACCGAATTTGAAGGGTCATCTGAGCGATTGGCCGAATCCCCGGGTTTCCCCCGCGTTTCTCTGGAGGAACCATGCTCTGATTGTGGAGATTCCGGGGTAGCGAGTTTGGAGATCCGAGGTTAGCAGTAAGTTAAGCCAATGATGGGCGAGTCCGATGGGCTGTGCATCCGATTGGATACTCTGAGGGCTGAGGGTTGACCACTGAGGATCGTGTTAATTCCATAGTTTGTTCACTTCATCCACCAGAACCTCGCTGAATAGCTTGGCGATACGACTCAAGAGCCGGACTAGTCGCTCAGGTCGGTCGATTGACGACCGAAATACGACTCTTCAGCTTGTATCTGGGTCTAGAACTTAAGCCACATCATTTCCTTTGCCTTCCAGTCGCGGTCCCCGGCAACCTGTAGGCAATTTCGTTGATCTTGAAGCAGACGAACATGGTGCCACTCACAATATCCAAGCCGACCTTTGAGCATCACTATGATGGTATTGGAATCGGCCAATCCAAACCTCGGATATCTTGGCAATTCCTCACATCTCAGCCGTCTGATGTGCCGTCGAACTGGACCCAGAAGGCATACGATATCGAAGTCACATCTTTCCCTACACCAACTCGACCCCAAGGAGAGACTACTACATACCATGTCGAAAGTGAACAATCTGTTCTTGTACCATGGCTGGCAGCAGCACTTCAATCTCGAGAAAGGGCTACAGTGAGGGTTCGTGCATACGGTGCATCTGACTCGGAACCAACAGACTGGTCACTACCTGCCACTGTCGAAACTGGTTTACTCTCACCCAATGACTGGGCTGCTTCATTCATAACTCCAGCTTCACATCATGGACCAGAAGCGCCACTTCAGCCTATTCGCTTTCGAAAAGAGTTCACCACTCCTGATCACTTCTCTCAGCAACAGGCATCAAAGTGTCGATTATACATCACAGCCCTCGGGGTGTTCAACGTCTATATCAACGGTCACCTCGCAAGTGACGAGTGCATGGCTCCAGGCTGGACAAGCTATCAGCATCGCCTGGCGTACCGGACCCTTGATGTCGGGCATTATCTGAACCTTGAGCCAGGCTCTCGAAACGTAATCGCTGCGGAGGTTGGTGAGGGTTGGTTTGCTGGCACTCTCGGCTTTAGAGGTGGGACTCGCTTCAACTATGGTGGTAAGGAGCTTTCTCTACTTGCCCAGCTTGAGATCACACATGACCCCAAGGAACAACCGTGGAGACTTGTGACAGATGACAGTTGGAAGTGTACACCAAGTCCTGTTGTCAGCAGCGAGTTGTATAATGGTGAAACCTATGATAACCGTCTCGAGTGCGACAGTTGGAACAGAATTGCCTCAGAAGGGGCCAAAATTGGTGCCGGCTTTGTCTCATTTCCTACAAAGGTATTGGGAAGGAAGCCTGCGGAGCGCTTGGTTGAATCTGAGGTCCCTCCTGTTCGAGTCAAGCAAACTATCAGACCGTCACATGTGTTTAAATGCAGCACTGGAAAGACAATCATTGACTTTGGTCAGAACCTAGTAGGGAAACTTCACATCAAGTCCTTGGAACTCCCTGCTGGCGCGACTCTGACATTGAAGCATGCCGAGGTCATGGAGCATGGTGAACTTGGCTCTCGCCCACTCAACCATGCCAAGTGCACAGACACGATCATAGCTTCAGGCAAACCAATAACAGACTGGACTCCAAAGTTTACGTTTCATGGGTTTCGCTACGTACAGATTGAAGTCTTTGGTGCCAACGCAGAACCTCTTGATGCGGAATCTCTCGTTCGTCTTGGTGACGACGATGCGAATGTCGAAGCACTTGTCATGCACAGCGATATGACAAGACGAGGTCATTTTAGATGCTCCAATGGCTCTATCAACAAGCTTCATGAGAATGTGGTCCGGTCGATGAAAGGTAACTTCCTTTCCATACCAACAGACTGTCCTCAACGCGATGAAAGGCTTGGTTGGACGGGTGATATCCAGATATTCTGTCCCACAGCGTCATTCCTCTACGACACAACCGGATTCCTCTCAGGATGGCTTGATGAACTAGCTGCTGAGCAATTGCTAGAGGATGGCCCAGATGGTGTCCCCGGTTTGGTATGCCCGGATGTTCGTCTTCCCGGCTGGCCGAAACGAATGCCACAAGCACTTTGGCACGACGCTACTGTTATTGTACCATATTCATTGTATACAAGCAGTAGCGATTCTAATCTGCTTGAGAAGCAGTTTGAGAGCATGCGTGCCTGGCTGGAGCAAGGTGTTGATAGAGAAGGAGGCGATGGGTTATGGAATCCAGATCGGTGGCAGTTCGGCGATTGGCTCGATCCCACGGCACCACCAGATCAGCCGGGATATTCGAGAACTGACTCAGTCATGGTGGCTGATGCGTATCTAGTTCATGTTACGTCTGTGTTCGCCAAAGTTTGTCGGCTATTGAACAAGCTCGACCTAGCTGACAAATACGATGCTGAGGCGCTCCGTCTGCGGTCTTTGTTTCAGGATCGATACATCACGCCAGCAGGCAACTTGATGTCGAATACTCAAACAGGTATCGCACTGGCGATATGCTTCTCCCTGTACCGTGACGGTGAGAAGGAATCTCGAGAACTCAACGCTGCAGCAAAGGCTTTGTCTAAGTTAGTGCGAGCCGCTCAGTTCAAGATCGGAACTGGATTCGCGGGTACTCCACTCATCACCCACGCACTCGCACAGACAGCGCAACCCCAGCTAGCATACCGAATGCTTTGTGAGAAGTCCTGCCCTAGTTGGATGTACCCAGTTACGATGGGCGCAACGACAATCTGGGAACGTTGGAACAGCATGTTGCCCGATGGAAGCATCAACCCAGGTCGCATGACAAGCTTCAATCACTATGCTTTAGGTGCTGTGGCAGACTGGCTACATGGAACTGTCGGTGGTATTGCACCTATGGCTTCTTCTCCTGGATGGAAGGTCTTCCGTGTCAAACCAATCCCGGGAGGGAGCCTGACTTGGGCTGAGACGAGCTTTGATGGACCTTATGGTAGAACTGAGTGCAAGTGGACGTGGACGCCAGACACTGGCTTATTCAAGATGTCTTTACTCGTTCCGCCTAACTCATCTGCTCTTGTCACATTGCCGTCCGAGCTAAGTGATGATCCAGCCCAGGCATATAATGATGAGCGAATCAAGGGCAGATTGGTTGGCTCAGGGCTACATCAATTTGAGTGTAATCATGTAGCTGGGGAGTGGCCACCGAAGCCGATATTAATGCCCAATATGTCCTGGCAGCCAGAGGCTGAGGACTTGGCCCGCTGAAGCAGGCGTAGTTGATAAATAAGAACAAATAAGAGTCTCTCGTATACCCAACTTTATCAAATGACATAGCAATTGCATATCTTGTCCTTGTGATAACGCTAGGGTTTGAATGGAACAGTGATAGGAAGATCTGGTGCATACTCTGGACGAGACAGGGTAGGATTCGCTGGTTGCCCTGCTGACGATGCCTTGTTTCACAGTCCAATGTTTAAGCCTCTCATCACAGCACGCTTCTTTTCATCCCTAAAAGAATTAATCCCAATGAAAAATATGGACAAAATGAATGAAATTACCCAAGATCATCACAGCAAAAAGGTCTAACCCTGGTGGGGGGAAGTCAGACACTCACTCAAGCACCATGGATTCAGCCTCAAGAGCGTCAAGTGGTGGGTCAAAGACGCAACGTACAGCGCCCTAGTATAACCTCATGAGTAATTGAACTACACGACATGTAGATCCAAGCAGAACCACACATGCGAGGCGTGCCAGCTGAGTTGTTTGGCTTGCTCGATGAGAGGCCTGCGTGGGACCGGTGAGAGCCCAGCCCATTGCATACCAATATTCGCAGACCGTGAGCCTCGCAACATTCTGATAAAGCGCGACGATGTCTCCATCGGCGATAAATGGGCCATAGCCGCTATCATAGACTGGGAGATGGCTGTCTTCTGCCCTTTCGCATATGAGTACGGTCACAAAGACAAAGAGCTTGGATCGGCCAATTTGTCATTCAGTTGGCATACGCTGTTCGAAGAGCAGCCACGACATCTGTTGTCAAGGGGCGAACCGGCTGTTAAGCTACTGGAGGCGCTCCGAGCAATGGATGTATCAGACAAGAGTCGCAAGACGAAGAATGTCGGCCGAAATTTCCAGGCAAAATGGCTACAGAGGGCAAAGGTAGAATTATCGCCGGATGTGGAGAGCGGTTGGGTTCCCAAGGAGGGTATAGAAATTGGTATTTTTACAAAGCAGGATCGAGAGGATCTTGAAATGGAGGTTCTCGAGGAACTGGGATATATTTGAATGGCTATGTTCCACTTCTCTTCAAGCATGAATGAACCCGTATATGGAGGGAAATATACTAGTATTAAATATATTTACAAGTAGAAAAGTTCAAAAGCAGTATCCTTGAGTCCAACAGAAGTCTTCTCATTATCTTCTAGCTGCTACAATATACCGAGTCCAACGCGAACGAGTTAGGTCGGTGAACCCATTCGGGCACACAAGGGTCATCGCTCTCGTTGATCCATTCACCTTGAGGACTGCTAGCAACGAACCAAATCCTAGTCTCTCCACTGTCGGGTATAGTGAATTGGAAATTTGCGCTGATCCATGTCTTTGTCTGGACCGCACCGATGGGGTATCTGTTCCCGATCCTGTCGTCGTCTTGGTAAACCCGGACATATGGAACCAAGCTGCTACCATCATTTTGGCGAATCGAGTAGTACTCATCCCACCACCACCTATAGCTGCAGTAGAACCTAGTGCCTGGGCAGGCCTTGACATCCTGATAAATCCACATGCTCTTGTCGAAGTCAAACTGGCCAGTCTGGAGCCGATAAGACGTACCGCCCTCGCCACCAGGAACGGGCCTCAAGGCGACGGGATCTTTGCCGCCAGGATTGGGATCCTCCTGCCATGGAGAGAACTTGCCGTCATCGAAGCCACCGTTGACGATGGAAGTGTCGTATGAGCAGGTCGGAGCTGGCTCAATGCCGGTGTCACAGAAGCAGCGCGTCTCATAATACTTGACACCGGTTCGGTCCGGGCTGAGCTGAGTGATAGTACCTGCATAGAGAGAGCATTGCATGTCTTTCTCGAATATAAATGTCACACAGTTACTCTTCTGCATGCAAGACGTGTAGCAATCAAGGAGAGTGGACGAAATGCCTTCGCTCAAGTATCTCCAATCGTTGGAACCTCCCCATACGTATCCCCTTGCACCGCAGACGGCGCCTTCAGGTGTTGGTTTCTCCATATTATTGATGCAACCGGTGGCAGTTTCAGAAGAAGTGGTGGTAGCATCTTCAGTAGTGGTGGCAGCATCTTCGGTGGTGGTGGTAGCACCTTCAGTGGTAGTAGTGGTATCTTCAGAAGTGGCAGTTGTCTCTCCAGTAGTAGTGACATCTCCCGAAGTGGTAGCAACAGTTTCGGTAGTGGTGGCAGCACCTTCGCTGGTGGCGGGAGCGTCTTCAGTGGTGGCATCCCTGACAAATATCTCTGGATGACCTCTTCGGACGAAGTTTCTCGGGACAACTTGAACAATGGTAGCGGCAGCCTCAGTAGTGGTGGTAGCAGCTTCAGTCGTGGTCGCGGGAAGCTCCTCGGTGTAGGTGGCAGTAAAGGGATCATCATAGACAGGAGGATCTGGGACGGTGCATTCGGTTGAGGTGGTTGTGCCCAGAGTGGTGCCAGTGGATGAGTCGCTCTCACTAGCGGTAGTGGTAGTGTCAGTTGAGAGGGCAGAATCCGTGGAGGTCGACTGCTCGGCGCTGATGGAACCAGACTTAGTCTCGCTGGCGGTGAGAGTGGTTTCGGTTGAAGAATCAGAGAGGGACTGGGTGGATTGCTCGGTGAGGGTTGTAGCAGTGTCGGTAGAGACAGCAGACGCAGACGCAGACTTGGTGGCTGATTCGCTCTCACTGATGGTGAGACTGGTCTCAGTGGAGACACCAGACTCAGTGGTTGAGCCACTCTCACTAATAGTGAAAGAAGTCTCGGTTGAGGTACCAGATAAAGACTCGGTCAAGCTCGACTCCGTGGTGTGAGTCGTAGCAGAACCAGTCGCGGCACTGGACTCAACAGTAGTCGTAACGACCGCTACGGAGCTCGAAGAGGGACGGCATGGCCCAGCATTAACGAAGGGGCTAAGGACGGTAGCAATAACAAACGAACGGACGAAATGGCGAGCCATTTCTACGATAACCGTGATTTTCCGGTTATAAAAAAAAACGCGACAATCTAGAGAAAAGAAAGTTTGGGGGAATTCTGGGTTTAATCTTTCTCTCCCCCTGGCAAATTCTGCCTTAACGACCTCGTGTTGGCTTGGCTGTCATTATTTAGTGTAGATCCTTTGAAGCTACTGATAACTAGTTTTCCCAAAAATATCAAGCGGCTCGTTAGTTGAGTGTTTTTAGAAAAGCTTTATCGATAGTCGCAGCGCCATTTGAGCTGAGGCCGTTAGTTTTAGAGGGGCTTTCAGGGGCAGCGCCACGATTATTGGCTCTGAGGGCTCAGCTTTTGGCGAGGGAAATTAGTGGCGTCATCGCTAGTGGATAAACTGACAAACATCGTATTCCTACCCTGTATTGACATTTTGCATCAGGGCATTTACTTATTATTGAAGACACAGCATCAATTGTCGCTTTGGTTTGAAAGTGCGAACTTGTGATTATTATTATTATTATTATTAATATTGAAGCTGGATAGTATAGCAAGTCAGTCATTCAAATTGCAGTTTGCCATGATGGCGATATGACATTGCTGTTTTAGTGCTCAGCATGTGAAAGGCCATTCTCTTGCTGCATGATTCATGAACTCATTACACCGCATGGGCGTTTTGTCAGGCAGCATTAAGTGGCTGTTTTAAATTAAAGTTCCAGCAAAGCCGTGTTAATTCCAAGCGATTCAGTTAGCCACCACCCTAAGCATAGCATTTCCTTTCTGTGTTGGATTTAATCAATTGATGGTGGTGTTTATTCATCAAATTTGACCAATTGAATATGTACTCAAATTTCATTCTTTGATGTTTACTCCATGTTTCCAACATGACCTTTAAAATACTTGAACTTCTTATCCAGCAGCTGGCGTCTAAATGTCAAGACTTGGTCAACCGCACAATTTGCACCCATCTATCATCCGTCTGGTCAATGATATGCGTGTTTCTGGCCTCAATATCCCCCATTCTTAGAAAGTCCATATGCAAACCACGCATTGAAACCGTTCGGAGGAACTTTGATCAAAGAGCCGAATTCTTACAAGCCTTCAACAGTGGAGACTTCCGACACGACATATCGATCCTTCAAAGATACGGTGAGCATCAGATCATAAACTTCACGCATCTTCACGTCCTTCCTCTTTCAAACTATGCAAAGTCCGTCTAGCACCTCTTGAAACTTGATTTACGATCTCTTCAATCAAAAGTACCTTCCAAAAGTGATCTACCTCAGCTCTAGTTCAGGGCATCTATTCGCAAAGATCTACAAGCTGAACTAGCAAACACGGCGGGAGAATATCCCGCATCATTCGAGAAGGTGTTCGTATAAGACTTAGCATGATCGGCAGAAAAGATAAGACGGAGATAGATGCTATGTTTGGAAGGTAAAGGATGGAATAGGATGCAACAAGTATTGGCATAAGCGATTTAAGAGGTGTATTGAAGAAAGTAGGCGACAGACTGGCCAAAGAGGTTTGCCCTATGCAGGCTAATGCGTGCGTTATCGCAGGGCTGCTATTGCGTGGTGAGGGCTACAAAAGTTCTATGTGGTTTCCAGTTTCAGAATATTGGGCCATTGTGATTGATGGCGCATGACCGAATTATAGCAGTGAACCCCGCCCAGAGTAGTAGTGCAGATGCGCTTTGATGCTTGGCGATTGCTCGGGCTAAATAACTCCGGTTGGTCTATATAGTGCTGACACGATTGATCCTTCGGCATTAATCGTAGATCTTGAGGGGAATAAGCCGATCAAAGACACGCTGTAGATCAGTTATACGATGACTCTTACCAGCTTTATGATTATATTCATCTTGAACCTCTTTTTCGTCCAGTGTTTACCATACGTCCTATTTATCCGTCATATCCACAGTGTTATTGTCGATAGAGTTATCGACTTTCCTCATCGGGATACCAACCCCTGCTGCCAAGGGTCTTATATGCCGATCACTTTCACGGGAGCATGATAAGGTTAATGCTTCTTCTGAATGCCGAAGTAGACTACGGAACAACGGAGCTTAGTACCAGAAAGGCAGGTCCGCCTATTCGCAAACTCCGAAGATACATCCAAGCAAGCTTATCGCGGGATAGTAACCAGAGAGGCAGGTAAGAAACCGCAACAGCCTCCATATCTATGTTGATTCTCGAATATAAAAGGATGAGGATGGACTATTCGAATAGTCTATCACCATCCACTCTTCACTCTTCAACTCTCTTCTCTTGGATATCTATCTCTTCACCATGGTCAAGTTCGCTTCCGTCGTTGCACTTGTTGCTCCCCTGGCTGCTGCCGCTCCTCAGGAGATTCCCAACATTGTTGGCGGCACTTCTGCCAGCGCTGGTGACTTTCCCTTCATCGTGAGCATCAGCCGAAACAACGGCCCTTGGTGTGGAGGTACCCTTCTCAACGCCAACACCGTCTTGACTGCTGCCCACTGCGTTTCCGGATACGCCCAGAGCGGTTTCCAGATCCGTGCTGGTAGTCTTGTATGCTCATCTACTCTTGACGAATATAGTTGACACTGACTAACTTCTACGATAGTCTCGCACTTCTGGCGGTGTTACCTCTCGACTTTCGTCTGTCAGGGTTCACCCTAGCTACAGCGGAAACAACAACGATGTCGCTATCCTGAAGCTTTCCACTTCCATTCCCGCCGGTGGAAACATCGGCTATGCTCGTCTGGCTGCTTCCGGATCCGACCCTGCCGCTGGATCTTCTGCCACAGTTGCTGGCTGGTAAGCTGTTCTCTGATATCTAAAACACCATATACTAACTCCCATCCAGGGGCGCTACCTCTGAGGGCGGAACCACTACTCCCGTCAACCTTCTGAAGGTTACTGTCCCTATCGTCTCTCGTGCTACCTGCCGACAACAGTACGGTACTTCCGCCATCACCGAGCAGATGTTCTGTGCTGGTGTTGCTTCCGGTGGCAGGGACTCTTGCCAGGGTGACAGCGGTGGTCCCATCGTCGACAGCTCCAACACTGTCATCGGTGCTGTTTCTTGGGGTAACGGATGTGCTCGTCCCAACCAGTCTGGTGTCTATGCCCGCGTTGGTGCTCTCCGCTCCTTCATCGACAGCAACGCTTAAATCTGCTGTTGAGAGTGCCAAGATACTCCTTGGATATTCTCTGGCTTGAGTTTTGGATACGAAATCTGTTTCAGAGATAGGTTTCATGAGTCAAGAAGATATGAGTTGGTTGCAATTGGATCTTAGTCCTAGTTGCTCGTAACACAGCAATCTAGATAGCCCCAATTGAATATTAAATTTGAAGGAAATATCCATTTCGACAAAGAGCACATTTGGCGGTTGTGAAATGTGAAATGTCTAACAGTACAAAAACAAGTCATAACTATCATATCTTTCCCGACCCGCGTTTCTTAATGTCGTTCAGTAAGCTATGTTGAGTGAACCAGAATAATTGATGTGAACTTTTGCTGTGTACGAAGGTTTGTCAGTCAGTATGGTATACTGCCATCAAAAAGCTGGAGGACGACATGAGCCAAATTAACACTAGTAGAAGCAGAGATGATAGAAGAAGTAGGAAAATAAGCTGAGTATAAGGTGAAGAGTCCGAATCGAGCCCTTCACAGACATACGCGAACCGAAAACAAATAGGATACTACAAATAAATATTACTACAATAATCAATATGCGGAGCAAACAATCTTTATTAAACAACTTTCGAGTATAGAGTTTACAACTCCTCAGTTGGAACATCCTTTACAATGACCCCCTTAACTTCCTTCAGCTTCTCAATGGCCTCCAAAGTCATGGGTCTACCCGAGGCACGTTAGCTCGGGCTATAACATACAAGCAAGTCGTACTTACGGAGGGTAGGAAGTGGGAGGAATTGTTCGCGTCTGTCTCCAAAACTCGGCACCAGTGTCCTTTTTGACGATGCTAATATGCTTGATGAGCTTGAGGGTCTATCGATGGCTATGCATCACTTACTCAAGCACGGTTTCATTCTTCAGTTGATAATCCTCCAACTTCTCGAAGTCGTAAACGATAGCCTATAGTATTTCCAGTGAGCAAACATTTCTTCGCAGCAATTATCTGTTGTTTACCTTTCGGTCCGCCATGGCTGCTAAAACTGCTGGGACGTTTAAAAGCGCAGCACAAGCAGCAAGAGTGATGGGCACAACGTGATATGTTGATAAAAGCATCAGTATCGATAAGTTCCACTCAGAAACTTGTAGAAGCAAGACGTGGTATACCGGCCAGTTAAATAACCTTTAAGCATTCGACTATCTTCGGACATTATCAAATGCGGAAGGTGATGATGCGTTGATGACAGGGATTACACGTCGACAAAAGATCCTGGGTGACTGAAGCTTGGGCTTGCGGGGAAAGCCTATCAACGATAAGCGCAAGCCACCCACTTGACAGATAAGTCGCGCACTATGAGCTTGGCTTTAGAGGAAGGTATTGGATAATAATCGTTGCTGGTTCTTGAGGTGATGGATGGGAGTGACCTGCACTAGTTGTCGGCTGATGCACCCGGATGAACGCTTAGGATCAACTAGCATCTTTCGCTGCGACGATCGACGGATGATAGCATGGTCGAACGGAAGCCTAAACGCATATCACATGTGATCATGCCGAATCTCAATGCTAGGCAGCATATTGGACTGGTCTCACCTAGCTCAAACGCGCCGAACAACTGCCGGCTCACAACTACAACATCAGACAATCCGTCTGAAACCAGATCGATAAGATTAGATAAGAAAACTAACGGTAGATAGGATACGGGCTCATAAAAGCCTCTCGGAGTTCTTACAAAGAATAACTGGTCTTTGAGATGTTTATCCATAATAAGATTTATTTTAGTCAATGACCCCAGTAACTTACCTTGGTCAAGGTGCAACAAGTCCCAGTACCTATTCGTGTATGACACTTCACACGATAATTCAACTTTGACCGGCTCAAAAAGCCCGAGACACGGCTTCGATCTTCTACTAACTCTAAATTTGTGAACTTTCCGTCTCATCAACAAGCTTTGAAGACGTAGAATCATGCCAAACCCCCATTACCCCACAATCGAGATCCCGATTCAGTATGCGGAGGAAGGACTTCCGAATGATGTAACTGTCCCTCCTTCCAGCAACTCATCAAATGCCACAAGAGGAGCCTTATTTCCAGGTTCTTTAAAGAAAATGCAAACCGCAACAAGTGATTTGCGTTAAGTTTGGGGGAAGGCATCAACGAGCGGAAGATCTCGTGGACATCTTCCACCAATCAGCATAGCTTGTTCAACCATCTACATACTGTTGCTGAAACGTAGCGACTCATGTAATAATGAATTAAAAGAGAGAATAGATGTAGATTGGGGGTTAAGGTTGAGGGCGGACAATTGTAGATCACCTGGAGCACGGGTTATGTGGATGTGAAGTTGTATTTAAGAACCAGTATATCCTCAAGATCGCAGTGTTGTCTCACCCAACTACATCCTCAGTAACCATTGGAGACTCTCAGTATTTCCATTCAAAATGAGACTTCTTAATCTTGTGTTTTTCTCCAGCTTTGCCGTTGCAGCTCCTGGTGCTAGCCTCCAAGCTAGAGTTGCGGCCAATGACCCGTGCAACATCGGTTACTGTACTCAAAATGGAGGGTAAATCAAGCCATATAGAACTTCCGGTCTCAACGATCTAACGGGCATAGTACAACCGGAGGTGGCAGTGCTGCCCAGGTCACTGTGAAGACCCTCGCTGAGCTCACCGCTGCGGCCAAAGCCGATGGACCTTCCGTCATCTTGGTGCAGGGCAGTATCTCTGGTGCAGCCAAGGTTCAAGTTACCTCGAACAAATCCATCATTGGAAAGACGGGTAGCTGTAAGTTCATAACAACGTTAAATCGAAGCAGTGCTAATAGCCTTACGTAGCCCTCACCGGCATTGGTCTGACTATCAATGGACAGAAGAACGTCATTGTCCGCAACATGAAGATCTCCAAGGTTGAGGCGGATTACGGCGATGCCATCACGATCCAAAAGTCCACTAACGTCTGGGTTGACCATTGCGATCTCTCTGCCGTCAGAGGTGACGACAAGGACTTCTACGATGGCTTAGTTGATCTGTCGCATGCTGCTGACTGGGTCACCATCTCGTATACCTACTTCCATGACCACGTGAGTAATCCCCATTCTCATTTAAAGCTTTAGAGGAGACTTTTTAACTATTTATCAGTCCAAGGGATCACTTGTAGGACACTCCGACAAGAACGCAGCTGAGGACGTTGGCACCCTTCGCGTTACATACGCCAACAATCACTTCAACAACGTCCGAAGCCGAGGCCCTCTTCTTCGCTTTGGCACTGCACATATCTTCAAGTACATTCCCCGGTAATCTTCATCTTTGACTTGTCACTAAAACATCTTATAGCCAGTACTATGATACCATGGACACTGGTCTCAACAGTCGCATGGGTGCTCAAGCTCTCATCCAGTCCTCAGTGTTCACCAACGTTGGAAAGAAGGCTATCTTCAGCGAGTCAAGCTCCGAAGTAGGATATGTTGTTGCAGAAGACGTCATCCTAGGCGGTGAGAGTCAGAACACCGCTCCAAAGGGTACACTGAGCTCAAGCAAGATCCCATATCAGTTCACGCTTCTTGGATCTGGAAAGGTTGCTTCGACAGTTCCGGGACAGGCAGGTCAAAAGCTCAGCTTTTAAGCGAGGTTCATGAACGAGAGAAACATCTTGGAGGTCACGTTAGGTCTACTTTCATCATACTTGAAGAGTAATTGCCACATCTATTCTAAGAACTTCTCACAATATCACTACATTATGCCCTACTCACTTCTGACAAGCGGTGAAATCCTTAAGTCCTGCGTCGGGAACCTTGTTCTTTGGCAAGCAGAACTCAATATCCTCGCCCTTGAGTTCATTGCTGAAAACCCGAACATGCTCACGCTGCAAGAGCCTTGTTAGCACGGCTCTCTACGATACACCGCGGAGAACTTACCTCTGTGATCTTCAGGAACTCGTTGTAGATACCATCAGACTTCATTCGCTCGCGAACAAGATCCACAACGCCATTCATAAGTGAGAGGACAGTAGTAACCTTGCTGTCCCAGGTCACGAGTGCTGAAACGCCCTTACCATCAACGCGTGTTGACTCAGTGCTACCGTATGGATCTGTAATATACTATTAGTGGGTACCTAAATATCATATCAGGTGTCCTTACTCTGCATCTTCTTTCCGACAATCATGTTCCTCCACCAAGCCAGTCCAACAGCCTTGTCAAACAGTACAACTGGGAAGACACCGTAAGGAGTAATGACGTCGAGCTCTTGGTCCTTCTGACTGGCGATTGAGGGAATACCAGCGGGTGAGATATAGCCGATGATCTCATCAGTCTTGGGATTAGTGGAGTTGTTGACTGAGGCGTAGAGGCCAGGGGTCTTGGTGACGACTGAATTGCAAGTGCGAGCGCGTTCGCCATTCTTAAACAGGCGGCTGAATCGTTAGCTTCGTGTCTCTGAGCTGGTTCATGGTACTTACCTGACAATGTCAACGTCGTGGTATGGCAACTCAAGCTGGTTCCAAATCTCATGGCTTGAGAACCAGAAACCCTTACGAACAGTGATAGGACCAACACCTCCCTTGTTATACTCAGCCTTCTCCAACTTGGCTCTCTTGTACTCCCAAAGCGTTTGCTTATCCTTCTTGGACAGATCAGTGAAGAATTGGAAGAAGTAAGTCAAAAGCTCTCCCTCATAAGGATCATCTAGGTAAGTCTCTGACTCGCACTTGTAAGATTGCTTCTTGTCGTTGACCGGAAGTGTCTGGTCACCAATTGCTGTGACGGCACAGACTTTGCCTTTGCCGATGTAGAAGATCTTGGGGGCACTTGAAGCGACATAGTTGAGCCAGTTTTGCCATCCGTCTGCGATCTTGTGAAACCTTGGGCTGGGCTGCTTCTGGAGGGCTTCGATACAGGCGTAGACAGCCCAGATGAGCTCTCTGAGCACAGGTCATTAGCTTAGACCAGAAAGTTAGAACGACGTTACTCACCCATTGTCTAGGCCGGGAACGCGATCATCCCAGCCATCCTGAGGAGAGATAGTCGTGGTGTCGGTCTTGATCCAAGGAAGAAAGCCACCGAAACCAGGATATGTCTGGTTGAACTGGCTGTAAGTCTTGAGCTTTGTCTCCATGATAGACGCAGCGAATGCGGGTGCGGCCTTGAGGTTATCCGGGGTCAAGAAGCGGGCAGCTTCCTTGGACCCAGAGATAGCCTGGGCGTAGAGCATAATTTGCAGTGCCTAAACAATACCGTTAGAGGATACCTGGATATTGGGGAGCGGAGAATGACTGACCTCTTTGCTGGCCGCACTGAACGCATGCTTCTTGGTGCGCTTGCCAGTCTTCCAATCAAGCTGGGTTCCATCATAGGACATGCCATTCTGGGTGTTGTAAGCTACATCGTTCTGATGGAATTTACCTTCCCAGTAGAGAAGGTCCCAGATGAAGTCGTCAGTTTGTTCAAGGACGTCCTTTTGCGACCATTCGAGACCGAAGCGACAAGATGGAGCCTTGGGGTTGGAGTATTGAGGTGAAGCCGCTGCCAGTGATAAAGACAGGGCTAAGGCAGCCAAAACAGAGCTTAGCGAGGACTTCATAGTGAGTGATTGAGGTCTCTCCAAGTCAATGAAGTCTTAATGCTGAGAAGGCTCGAATGAGACGACGAAGTTGTCTTTATATAATGGGAAATGATGACTTGCACAACATTTCCAGGATCTTGGATGAGCCAATGCCGACTCCGGTACGTATTTCATCCAGAAACAAGGTTTCTTTCCCCAGACTCAACCCCGCTTCCATCAAAAGAGGAATAGATCTTCACGGGGAAAAGGAAAATCACTAGACCACAAAATCTATTTTACCGCTGCATTTCCCCGTCTCAATCCCTTCTGTCTTCCAATCCTTTGTAATAACTAGCCCTATACCAAATTTAACTTATAACACGCCACTATAGCATCCTTACTAAATAGAAAAGGGGGCGGAGCTTCCAGGCCAGGAGTGGCCCCGGTAAACTAACATCAAGAGAAAACAGGGCAGATACAGCATGTCAGAGCGATGTGTGTATTGTGTAGTAAAGACGTTCCAAAGTCAAGCGCTTATATCTTTCTGTCCATCTTCATCTGCTCTACTGACTATCTATCAATCTTGTTTATCGCCAACCTGTTCCTCACCTCTACCAGCAAGTTCCATCATCACTCCCGGGGCCTGAAACCGTAGGCTCCCTGTCGCTTTGTGACTTCATCAGTCGTCTGGTTGCCGTTGAATTGCCCGTCTCCGTTTGCGGCAGGATCTTTTGTTGTTCGGAAATTTGCAGGGAGTAACATCTCGCCGTCAAACTTCTTTGGCCGGGAAATGTTGACGCCACGCCCCTTCTTGACCAGGCTGTCTCTTCGTGCCTGACGCAACATTTGGTGCAGCTCATGGAAAGGAATTCGAATGGCGAGATCTCGGTACCGATCTGCTTCTGTGCTCAAAACAAAGTCCCTTATGTTGAGCTCAAGAGCCAAATCGATGTTGGCTGGGTGTTTGTCGGCAGTCTGGAACTCCTATAAAAGCCTGAGTAAGTTATTCTTTTTAATTGCTAAAGGTAGCTTACCACCTGGTGCATAATCCAGGTAACCACACCAGCATTGCCCCGCAAGACAGAAATTCGTGCATTTTCTTTGATATCAATAAAGATGAAGAGCTGAATCCCAAAGTTGGTGTTGGAAAAGTAGTCGTAGGCGAGTGGCTCAAGATCGGCACTCGACTGGGAGCATGAGACCTCGACTACACTACCAGGGAACTGAGTGTTTCGCTCACCAATCTGGAGGTCAGGCTGACGGCTCCACATCTTCTTGGGGGTTTGGGCTGCTGCGCCATCACCTTGGTGTTCGTCTTCCTAAAGCGCCACGTCGGATCCAAGCTGGCATTCAATGTTCAACTCTCTGGGGATGGAGTCTTGGAGGCGCAGGAAAAGCTTGTGCAAGAAGCCATTATGAGTCTGACTGGGCATTCTGATGGTGATGGTAGCGCGGTTTCGGTCATAGTCGTAGCGGCGAAAGAGTTGGGAGATTTCCGTCTCATACGTGTCAAAGTGGTGCGAGGGCAGTTGAAATGAGGCGAAAGTAGGCGCTTGAGCATCTGTCAAAAATCGTCGATGATGTTCAAGGAGATGATTGATGGGAGAGTCCTCCGAGGATAGAGGAGGAGGAGAAAGAGCACCTTGCTGAGAATCGCCATTCTGTACGTTGCTGAAGCTTGACAAACGCGCCATGTCGATATCGCGTTGGTTCGCCATTGTGGTGTTGCTGCAAATGCGGAATCTACGAGGAGCGGAGAAAAGGTATTTGGGGGGCCTGCGTTGATCGATTTAGACCTTTGAGAGGGGGGAGGCGTTTGTTCGTAGAGATAGTAAAATCCTTTTCGCACTTTGGCTGACGTTCACAAGGAGCGCTGGGATTGGTGTTTAAGCTAAGGTGCCAAATGCTGAGCAGATGAAAGGCTGGCGCAGGGCCATCGATGAATGAACCTCGGATGCTTGACGCCTGTACAGCGTCTTGTCGAAGATGAAGTAGACCAAGAGAGTGGAGATAAGGTAGGCAAGGTAGGTATCGCGTGTTGAAGGACAAGAATCAGACGGCCAGTCCTGCGATTGACGTTAGCAAGGCACGACGACGGCGGGTAAAGGACGAACACGAATGACCTGACCTGACGTTGAGTAAATCAAAGCTGTACAGGCGGCGTTACTTGCAGTGCAGAAGGGGGAGTGAAGAAGAATCGCTTCCTGATGAAAAGAAGAGGTGGTTGGGTGTAGATGCCTGAGATCCCTTCCTTGTTAACGCGATGCAGCGAAAACACGCTCAGCTCACGCTGAAGGGCACTGAGTCATCAACAGTGGCAAAATCAACAAGATGGATGTGATTCGCCGAGGGGCAGTATAGTGCAGTGCCTCAAGGAAGTGGAATCTTTCAGACACACTTTACTTTCGTCTTCCTAGTTCACTGGGACGGGTAGAGGACAATGGGTGTCTGTCTCGTTACTAGAGAGTCATGATGTTTATACAGAGATATGACTGACTGCATTTGTTCGTGCTTTGTACGGAGGAAACAGATGTACATACGTAGCTGTGGCGCCGCTACCCATGTGAACACAGCGACAGACGCACAACGGCCATCTATGGTCGATCGTATTCCTGAAAATATTCCATCAACACAGAAACGGTTCTGCCACTCTTTCACTAGCAGCCTTGACAATATTCCAGTCACAAACAAAAATGCACAGTCCAACAATGTCCTGACAAGGTTTCTTTCCCCGGAGTCAACCCCGCTTATCGGTTGCCCACCATCGAAAGAGGCATAGAAGAATCTATTTTACCGTTCCATTTCCCCGTCTCAATCCCTCCATCCTTTGCCTCTTCAATCTCTCACTCTCACACAATGGCAAGCCCCACGCCAAATTCACCTCAATCCCCCGGTACAAACACACCCGCCCAAAAGAATCGAGCCTGTGACCGCTGTCGTCGGCGAAAAGCAAAGGTACTCTAGTTTCCTCTCGGCGAAACCCCCTAATTCACTCACTGACAGATCACTGTATTAGTGTGACTTTACAGAAGGCGAGCGTTGCACCAGCTGCAGGGAATCAGGCACACAATGCACCTTCAACCTCCCCCTCGCCCGTCGCGGCCCCAAAATCCGCTCCAGAAAATCTCAAAGTTCCACAGCGGAATTACCCCCTCCCCAATCAACACAATGGGAAACCAACACTGTCGATCTCGGACTCTCGCCGCCTTTGATGGTCAGCGGTGATGTAACAAGTCACCAGCGCTGGCAGAATTTATCGCGCGCGTTGGCGTTCATTACCAATGATCTACAGCAATTTGTTACGCGATGCTTTGATCTTTTTTTTGACTATCTTTATCCGCTTACGCCGTTGGTTCATGAACCGAGTTTGAGGGATTCGCTTTCGTATTTTGGGCAGTACCCTTCTGAGAATTTTAGTACGGGCGTTTTGGAGCTTTGGCCCGAGACGACGTTTACGCTCATCACGGCTGTTTGCGCCGAGGCAGCGTTTTTATTACCAAAGGATTTGTTTCCGGAAGGTCAATCTGTGGCGGATATTTTCTTAAATGCTTCGAGATCATGTTTGAACCAATATCTCGAGGCCGAGTTGGAGAATCCGAATGCAAACTCAATCACGATTCGGTATTTTCACTCCAATTGCCTTCATGCGGCAGGGAAACCTAAGTACTCGTGGCATATTTTTGGAGAGGCCACGCGACTTGCACAGGTTATGCAATTGAACCTCGAAACGTCTTTAGAAGGCTTACAACCGATTGAAGCTGAGCTGCGACGTCGAGCTTTCTGGATCGTTTACATGGGCGATAAATCTGCGGCGATACTCAACAATCGACCCATCACCATTCATAAATTCTCATTCGAGTCAGGCATCACCACTTCTTACCCTTCCGGTATTGAGGACGAGGCACCTGTTCTTTCACCCGGAAATCTGGTGACCAATTCCGATGTCGTGCGGATAACATGCATCGAAGGCTTCAATGCCAATTTGCGTCTCTGGCAGAATGCATCTGATCTGCTGTTAGAGCTGCGACTAATGCAGGACCGAAACCAACAGGATCTCGGCATGTCGAATCTTCAGCCATTGATCAGCGCTCAAGAAAAGGATCGGCTTGATGCTCTTTACGTCCGATTTATCACCTGTCTCGATGATCTACCTCCGTACCTCCAGTCATACACGTTCGCTGCTTTGGCCGATGGTTCAAGAGAAACCACCAAGCAATTCCTGATTCAGTGCGCGAATCTTCAAGTCTCTATTCACTGTTTAAGAATGGTCATCACACAAAAGTTAGAGACTCTGCCTTATTACAAGTCGGATATTGGACACTCAGATTTGCGCAAGACGGAGATCGCGAGAGATATGCTGAGGGTGATTCAAGAAGCTCCATTCTGGTCGCTACAGGTGAACGGCGAACCTTATGTAAGTCCACCAACACACGACGTAATTGATGAAGCTAATGAGATGTTCCTGCCAAGGTCGAGAAGATAAGGCTCACTGGTGCAAGCCTTTTGGAAATTATTCATAGAAATGGGTCTTCGCCGATTGCCGCGAGGGCGCGTAGCGACTTTGCTGTGCTTCTTGATTTGCTCACGAGACTGGACTCTAAGGCTTCGGATGCATTGCGAAATACTTCTTCATTGATACACTAAGTCTTTGTAATAAATACTATCGAGCATCTACTCTCTTCAAATTACTCTTCAAATTACTCTTCAAACTCCCTTCTCGTGAATGAAATCATGTTCCTCCTTCTTAACCTCAATCTCCTTGACCATTTCCTGCTTCGCATCCTTACCCTCAAACAGATACGTAAGCTCCTCAAGGGTGGGTCCAGACGTCTCAACAAAGAAGAAGTAGACGACCAAGAAGATTATAGCGACCCAGACACAGTAGTAGATGTAGAACTTCCATCCAATAGCCTCCAGGCCAATCGGGTTGACATATCCACCGAAGATAGAAGAGACTTGGATGGTGAGAAGCACGAATGCCCAAGTTTTGGCTCGCATCTGGTATGTGACGATCTCAAGAGGATAAGTAACGACGAGATTTGTCCATCCGAAAGTATAAAAGCCTTGGAAGAGGAAGATGCAGGCCAACACGACTCGTCCACCGGCCAGAGAGCCCTCAAGGTACTGCTTGGCGGCGATGGTCCACATGATGAACGTGACAAGGACGCCACCGGATCCAACGAGGAAGAAAGTGCGGCGCTTGAACTTGTCAACCAGAAGAGTCATGGTAATAGCAACGATGTACTGCCACAGCGTAACCATGCCGTTGACGAGAGTAATATCCTTCTCAGCCTCGATACCCGTATCCTTGAGGATCTGCGTCAGATAGTTCGACACAAGCAAGTTGCCAGAACTCTGACTGAACAGCGCTGTAGCAAAGCAGAGCGCAATACGCTTGAGGTTGGGAATAGATGAGAAGAACTCTTTCCATGTCATGTTCTGCTCGGCTTCCTCAGCAATGACTTGCTGGATCTCAGCACATTCGAACTTGACCAACTCGCTGTCGGAATCGCCTTCACCATGGTACTTGATCAAAATCTCGCGAGCCTTCTCGACTTTGCCCTTCGCGATCAGCCAACGAGGTGATTCGGGGCAGAAGAAGATGAGGATGAGCTGGTATGCAGATGGAACGACCTGAACGAGAGTGGGGAGCTTCCATGACCATTGGTTAGGAATGCGAAAGCATCCATATGTCGCCCACGCGCCGATGACATATCCCAAGACAATGTTTGTGTTGTAAAGCGTCGTGATCTGGACACGTTCCTTGGGATGCGAGAGCTCGGTGACCAAGACTGGAGCACCCATTTGGATAAGGGATGAGCCAATCCCAAGAACGATCTTGCCGCCGATGAACATGTTGAGAGACGTTGCGAATAGTTGAACCATAACACCAGCAATAATAACGACGGATCCCATGGCAGTTGGGACACGACGACCAGCGACATCGCTAATCCAGCCGAGGAATATGAAGGGTATAACACCGCCAATGGCGTTGGAAGCGCCGAAAAAACCAAGTTTGGAGCCAGTAGGATGTCCGAAGCGATCTTGCCAGCTCTCGAGCGTCTGAAGGGCATTGGTCATAGAGCTTCACGATGAGTCAGTATATGTAGCAAATTGCGGGCTGGGGGTAAACCTACCCATCAATGCCAAGAGCCATACTGGCAAACAGCGAAGAAGTAAGCAAGAAGTACAAAAGAATACCATTCTTGCGTTTCCAAAATGGCGGAACGGTGGTGAGGTCAATGGGGGACTGAATATCTTCAGTGGCGTGCGCCGCTTTCGGAGCCATTTTGCAATAACAGGCTACCACCAGAAAGGATGCAAAGATAACAAGATGAACTGATAGGAAGTTGACTGGTGATCTCGTTACAATGTCTTGATGTTGGAAAGGATCCGCATACTTATATACACACAATGCAACACTGAAGAAGAAAAGATGATTCGGTTAAGAAACATGCCATGACCAAGGTTACAGCGAAACAGCCCCGTTTCGACTTAGCCTCTAACTTCCCCGTGGGGAATGGTCTGCTCAATGAAGCTACGGGAAAACGGCGAAATAGAGCAACACGCTATACGAAGAAACCCCTCACCGTCGGGGAAACTACTCAGTGGAGCTGCGGAATTTCACCGTGATCTACAATCACGACGAGCTGGGTATTATCTTATCGGCCCGTCATTCCACGGTATAAAGAATGCCGAAGTATGTAACTTCTTTTGGTCAATAACTCTGTATTGGTTGTTGTCCGCTGGGTTCAAAGACGACAATGCCTTCTCTTCCAAAGGATTTCCAACTTGGTTTCGCAACGGCGTCTTACCAGATTGAAGGTGCCGTCGCAGAAGATGGTCGCGGACCTTCAATCTGGGATGTATTCTGCCATCTTGAACCAACACGAACAAAAGGTGCAAACGGCGATGTTGCGTGCGATCATTATCACCGCCTCGAAGAAGATCTTGATCTTTTGAAGCGATATGGATCTGATATGTATCGCTTCTCAATTTCATGGTCCCGTGTTATTCCTCTTGGCGGGCGGGATGATCCTGTTAATGAAGCCGGTATTGCTTTTTATGATAGGGTTATTGGTGGGTGTTTGAAGAGAGGTATTACGCCGTGGGTTACACTGTATCATTGGGACTTGCCGCAGGCGTTGCATGAGAGGTATGGTGGATGGTTGGATGTTGAGGAGTCGCAGAAGGATTTTGAGAGATATGCGAGGCTTTGTTATGAGAGATTTGGGGATCGAGTGAAGCATTGGATTACACTCAATGAACCCTGGATTGTTTCCATATTTGTGAGTGGCTACCTACTCTGGACCTAAGCATCATTCCTCCTGCTAACCTTGGCTTTAGGGATACGCAACGGGAGGCAATGCCCCAGGACGAAGCAGCATCAATCCCCAGTCAACAGAAGGCGATACCTCAACAGAACCATGGATCGTCGGCAAGGCTCTCATCATGAGCCACGCCCGGGCTGTCTCAGCCTACAACCAAGACTTCCGTGCATCACAGAAAGGTCAAATAGGAATATCGCTGAACGGGGATTACTACGAACCATGGGATATCAACGACCAGCGAGATAGTGAAGCTGCTGAGCGACGCATGCAGTTCCATATCGGATGGTTTGCCGACCCCATTTTGTAAGCCACGCCTTTCCATACAGCATATTGATGGGAATGCTAACTCTGCGAAGCTTAGGACAAGACTACCCCAAGTGCATGCGCGATCAACTCAAAGATCGCTTACCACAGTTCACATCCGACGAGCTCAAACTTCTTCGCTCAGCAGAAAGTGACTTCTACGGCATGAACTACTACACCTCTCAATTCGCCCGCAACAAAACCTCCCCGGCGCCAGACACAGATTACATTGGCAACCTCGACGAGCTCCAGACCAACAAAGCCAGTGACCCCGTCGGTTCAGAAAGTGGTTTGCACTGGCTCCGATCCTGCCCAGATCTCTTTCGCAAACATCTCACACGTGTACATCGTCTTTACGGCAAACCTATCATCATCACAGAGAACGGCTGTCCTTGTCCAGGGGAGGATAAAATGACGCGTGAGGAATCTGTTCAGGATGAGTATAGGATCAAGTATTTTGAAGATCACCTTGATGCTATTGGGAGGTCGGTCGGTGAAGATGGATCTGTTGTTGAGGGGTATTTTGCTTGGTCGTTGATGGATAATCTGGAGTGGTCTGATGGGTATGGACCGAGGTTTGGAGTAACGTTTACGGACTATGAGACGTTGGAGAGGACGCCGAAGAAATCGGCCTTGGTGTTGAGACAGCTTGTTGATCATCGGAAGGGAACTCAGCTGAAGTTGTAGATTAGACGTCACCTTGTGCGAAGACCGCAATTAGATAGAGCTCACGTGGTGCGTCATGGTAGTGGGATTACCACTAATGCATTACAGTATCAACAATCAAGATATTTTTCCTTATCTGTATATATCTCGGTGAGGAGAAAGGTCCGGCAAGTCCGTAGCCGCATCTCGGCGTTGGGTTTCATCCGCCAGACCCATTCCCGGTAGTTCTCAAAGTCCGATATATCCGCATCCACCAGTCGCGCGGAAATCGTCAACTGAAACGAGTTTAGCAACGCCGAGATTATACGTCAATGCGGGTTCGAGAATGACGCTAAGAGCCAATTTGGATATGAAATGCCGGTAGTTGACGTTTTTGAGGCTCAAGTGTCAGTGCCAAGGATCGAAGAAATTTCGCGCATTAGAAATACATATCATCGATATCGTACAAATTCACAAGAAGACCCATTGACTTTCTGTTCAAAAATCCAAGTCACTTTCAATCCACTCCGTTAATATGGCTCGCATTCTTATTACCGGTTCCGCCGACGGTTTAGGCCTCGAAGCTGCGCGTCAACTCGTCAAGCGCAATCACACCGTCTATCTCCACGCGCGCAACGCTCAACGCGCAGCGGAAGCCAAAGAAAAATGCCCTGGTGCAGCCGGTGCTTTTGCAGCGGATTTGACTCTCGTTTCCGAGACGAAAAGGCTTGCCGAGGAAGTCAACGCAGTCGGAACCTTCGATGCCATTATTCATAATGCTGGCATGCTGGCTGGACCGTTCCGCAAGACTCCCGATACGGGAATTCCAGCTCAAACTGCCGTCAATGTGCTTGCACCTTATATTCTCACTTGTCTCCTAACGCCTCCCAAGAGACTCATTTATATCGCGTCTCAGCTCCATGCCCAGGCTGAAGCAAGCGTCAAGGATATATTCTGGCTTGAACGAGGCGAATCTCAATTTCACGACTTCCCGGCCTACTGTGACTCAAAGTTGCACGTCATCTTGCTCGCAAACGCAGTCGCCCGGCGCTTCAAGGGCACGTCAGTCATTTCTGTTCATCCCGGCTGGATTGCGACGAAACTTGGTGGTGAGGATGGTCCTGATAAGCTCGAGGATGGAGTTGATACATATGTTATGTTGGCTGAAGGTGATTATGATCAAAAGTTGACTGGAAAATACTTTGAGCCTAAGAGGAAACTGGCAGAGCCAACCCCTCAGTGTAATGAGGTTGAGTTGCAGGAACGGGTTGTTGATGCTTGCGAGAGCTTAGTGGGATTGAAGCTTCCCGAGTTTTGAGCCTGGATGATGAACATGATAGATAGTTGTATGCACTCAGGAATAAGAAGAACACATTATTTGCCTTTTTGGAAATTGTGTGTTGGTTTTATGTCAGGTCCCTGTTTAGAATTGTTTTGTCGAGACCCTGGAGGTCGAGAATAAGAAGCCCAATGAGAACCCACTAAAGAAGATAAGAAAAAAATGCTGGTAACTGCAATGAAGCTGATGTAGATAAGAAGGATCTAAAGAAGCTATCAAACATAGAACTTATAGTATATAACTATTGCTAAGAAGAAGTCTAACAGGATAAAGTCCTAAAATCTCACTTCCCCTACCCCGCAGCACGAGATAAGAGAAATACGAGAGATAAGGCTTATCTTATCAGACCAAAGCACTGATCGCCGAATCGGAAAATAGAGGGACCGAGAGGGAATGCTCAGTGCAACCAATCAGAGTTTAAGGGTGACCGGTTGAATCCTTCGTCTCGCGTTAGTTTCGGCATTTTCTCGTGCTTCTGCACGAGCCAATCAATATCTTGTCTGACCGAGTCATCGGTCGAAGCTCGCCCAACTGACCCGAAAATGCAACGTAAGAGGCACAGGAGTAAGCATAAGGATTCGTGAAAAGGACTTTAATCTGACTATATATATCTGGTGTTGTTCTGCTTATGATTGGAAATTTTTATTATCAACAATCTCATCAATACATCACTACCAAGACTTACAGTCTACACTAAGCAATACTCTACAACCTTTCTCCACTTACACTTGTTACATAACCTACCAATCACATTCAAAATGACTGTCACCTTTATTGAAACAGACGGCGGTAAGCTTGCCGTTGACATCGCTGGCGAAGGCCCTCTTGTCATCTGCTCCCCCGCCATGGGAGATTTTCGCGATGCATACGATGCTCTAGCTACTGAGCTTCGTCAATCTGGCTACAGAGTCGCTATGGTTGATCTTAGAGGTCATGGCGACAGCAGCACTACCTTCAACCGCTACGGCGATGAAGCTACTGCTGATGATCTCATCACCTTGATCGACGCTTACGGTGGAGGTCCCGCTGTCTTAGCCGGCGCCTCTCTATCTGGTGCTGCTGCTACGATCGCTGCTGGAAGCCATCCCGAAAAGGTGGCTGGTCTTATCCTCTTAGGAGCATTCCTTCGCCCTAGTACTGGCAAGCTCGTGGCCAGTCTCTTCCGCCTCTCTATGCGCCAACCTATCGGCCCTATGATCTGGAAGTCATACACTCCGAAGCTCTGGCCTGGTCTCGGCGATAAGACCCAAGAGCGAGTTGACAGAACCATCGCCATGCTGACAGGCCCTGGTCGCTGGAAGGCCTTCCACGCTACACTATCTACCGACCACGCCGTTGTCGCACCATACATTAGCAAAGTCAAAGCCCCCGTATTGGCCGTCTATGGAGATCTCGATCCTGACTGGACTGATCCTATTGAGGAAGCACGCTGGGTGGTTTCGAACTTTGAGGATGGTGAGGTTGTTGCTGTCAAGGGTGTTGGACATGCGCCTATGATGGAGAAGCCTGAGGAGGTCACACCGGCTGTTCTCAAGTTTTTGAACAGGATCCGGGACAATGGTGGTTTCAACCGCGCTTGAGAAGGCTCCAGCTGTGATGGACTGGGTGGTGGATAATTTGGCGAGGGATGAATGCATGGGGAGTAGTCGATACCACGGCGGGGACATGCAGATGCGACCAATTTAGGTGTTCATATTCAATAGGATATAATGCGATCAAGATCAGAAATGTTTTCCACTTCTTACTACAAGTTTCCCCATTCGCGAGCAATAACTGATTAAGAAAATATGTGTTCCTATGAATTAATCCAGAAAAGCTAGAAGTTGCTGCTAGAGTCCGCGAAATAATGCATCAAGAGTTGAGGATACTTGAACGAGCTCTTCATCCTCGGAAGGACGACCGACAACTTGTATGGTTATTGGCTGGTTCGCAAAACGGCTCGGATCATCTACAAATAATGTATAATTAGCGTGCGTGCGTGTAGCCACGTAATGGTCTTGCGTACAAATTTCGTAGTTGGGTTTATCGTAAGGGTTGGTGTCCAAGGGTACGTAATCCAGGTCAACAGGATCCTGTTCAGGGTTGACCTTGAGCCCTGATATCGGTAATATCGCAGCAGGATAGTCAATTAGGTTGAACAGCGAAGTGTATCCCCAGTATGTATTGAAGTCATGAGGATAGCCAACGCCAGGTGCCGGCGGACAGATCAAGGCGTCAATGGGGCGGCCATCGTTGGCTGTTTGGTTCCATTCTGCGAGGAACTTCTCTTTATACTTTCGTACCTTGCCACTCAACTGCCAATAATCAGACCAGAAGAAATGACTTTTTGTGGTTCGACTTACCTGTATGATCTCGGAAGCAGGAAGCTTACGAACGTTTAAGACCTTAAGTAAGTCGGCAAACGCTGGGATTATGGGTTCACCAGACTCTTCAAGTGCAGCGATGGTCCCATCAGCTCCACCTTGATAGTATATGTCGAACTTGGATCCTATCAGTCATTATACCGGCTTATATACGAAAGACCTACAGTTGTCTGTAAAGCTTGCCAGCAGTTGAAGGGCGGCTTGAAGTCAACAACTTGAGACACAAGTTAATTATGGCATCCTCAGATCGCAACTAATCTGAACTTACCCTCGTGTCCAGCTTCTATCAACATCTGTTTGGTACGCTCCAATGCTCGAAGAATTGGTGGGTGAGGCGTCACCACGCCGTCCCATTTCATCAGTCCAATCTTCAGCTTCCCTTCCGCGGGGTCTGGCCTCCTCCATGGAATTGGCGCGCAAGTGACATCGAACCTGTTGTTAGGATGCGCATTTATGACTCGGGTTAGTAACTCCACATCCTCGATGGAGTGGCAAATAGGCCCAAAGGACACTTGAATGAGGTTCTGTCCAAGGTCCGGCATTCCACCTTTTGGGATTCGTGCAGCCGTTGGCTTGAGAGCATAAAGTCCATTAAAAGCAGCTGGTACACGAATCGATCCGCCGAGATCAGTCGAGGGTGTGAGAGGTGTACCTTTCATAGCTACCAGGACGGCATCGCCCCCGGAACTACCTCCAGCGTTCAGGTCTCGATTGTGAGGGTTCAGCGTGCGACCCCAGAGGTTACTGACTGTCTCGAGAGCCATAGCTGACTGAGGCATTGTGGTCTTGCAGAAGAATATAGCACCTTCAGCACGCAACGCAGCTACGACAGAGGAATCCTGGCTGGCGATATCATTCCTGCCTGAAACGAACGCCATAGTCGAAGCATGGCCTGCGACGCAATGGATGTCCTTCACAGCGAGAGTGAGTATTGGTAGAGGTCAATTCTTGGTAGATAGCTGACCTTGAGAGCGATAGGAACACCATGTAGAGCACCTTTTAGATGGCCATACTTCTGTAGCGTGTCATCGAGTTGTCTTGCCTGATCAAGGCCCTCGTCGTAGAACCATTCTGTCAGACAATTGACCTATTGCCAGGTTAGCTCATTACCATCACCTGGCTAGATTACTCACCAACTGATGCGCGATCGCAGCGCGTCCAGCGAAAGCTTCCAAGACCTGCACTGCTTTTAGCTCTCGAGTCTCGACTTTCTTGACTATTTCTGTGGCTGCGAGTTCCGTGATATTCAGTTGCTCTTCGGTAAGCAGACCGCAAGTGTACGGCACGTTGGTAACATCTTTGAGGTCTTTGTACTGATTGACGTCTAATCGCCAGCGTTCAGGTATTGAATGCAAGACCCTGTCTTGAGATTCTTTGGCGATGTTTTGCCACTTCATTTTTAGGAATTGAGTTAATGAGGGCTTTCTGGGTATGACTTCAGTTATGACTCCGAAGGATTTTTCGAAGTTGTTCAATTCTTCAAGTAATATTATAATAATGCACAAACGTTACCATTTGTATTGTTGGGTGTCGCATAAGTAACGTTATGAACAGCCGGTGGTGGGCCTAGTCCACATGGATTGGTAAGATGGTTGCGATTACGTTCATGTTTCTCCACAACAGAGGGCTTTCGTTACGTGACAAGGAACTCCGTGGAGGTCAAACCGATCACGAAATTAGTAATTTACATTTACCAAGTGCAGTATTGGATTATTTATGCCTATAAGCAACAGTCTTACGTGGTAGTACATGAATCAACACCAACGCCTTTTATCCATAAGATCCTATCCTAACAAGCACCCCTCAAGCCGCGCTGCCTAAGATCGTCTTCTTAACATGATTCAACGCGCTTCCAGCTCGTAACCATGAAAGCTGGTGCGCATGATATGAGTGATTTAACTGTGCAGTCCATTCGCTCCCATTCTTCCTCACAACCTTCATCGTAACCTGCTTCTCCGGCTTCAGCTTATCTCCATCCACGTCCAGTAGACTTATAACATCACCCTCCTGTATCCTATCATAATCTGCAGGATCTGCAAAGGTCAACGGAAACATGCCCTGCTTCTTCAAATTCGTCTCATGAATCCGGGCAAAGCTCTTTGCAATGACTGCTACACCGCCTAGGAATCTGGGTTCTAGCGCTGCATGCTCTCGAGAACTGCCTTCACCGTAGTTGTTATCACCAATGATACACCATCTGATACCAGCATTCTTCATCGTTCTTGCTGCTTTGTGGATGAACTTGATGGTGTCATCCGTAGGATCTCGAGTCTTGCCAGTCATGCTAAGGGAAGTCGCATCAGGAAGGAATCCGTTCGTAGCGCCAAGGAGCATGTTGTGGCTGATGTTGGTGAGATGGCCGCGATAGTTGTACCATGGCCCTGCTGGTGAAATATGATCGGTGGTGCACTTCCCTGAGACTTTGATGAGGACTTCCATGTTTTCTGCTTGGCCTGGTTTCCAAGGCTCAAACGGCGTGAGAAGTTCTAAGCGATCGCTTCCTTCATCGATGGCTACTTTGTAATCTGAGGTATCTTCTAGAACAGGTGGTTGGTAGAGATCGCTGCCAGCGATGAAGCTTTTTGGAAGCTCGTTGGCTACAGGAGGCGTAAATCGGAAGTGGTTGGAGGTGCCCGACTCAACGGAAATGGTATCGTGCATGGGGTTGAAAGATAGATCACCAGCATAAGCAAAGGCAGTGGCAATCTCGGGAGACGTGACAAATGAATGTGTCGCAGGGTTTCCATCATGGCGACCAGTAAAGTTGCGGTTGAAGCTGGAAATGACTGAGTTGTCCTCAGCTCCAGCAACATCAACGTCCTTCCTATCCCACTGCCCAACGCAAGGTCCACAGGAGTTGCTGAGAACGACAGCGCCAGCCTCCCTTAGACTTGGTAGGATACCACTCTCCTCTGCTGTTGCGCGAATCTGTTCGCTTCCTGGGCTCACCATGAAAGGTGTCCTGGGCTGGTTGATACCTGCCTTCTTGGCCTGTTGAACCAAGTCGTAGACTTTCTTGAGGTCCTCGTATGAGCTGTTGGTGCAACTGCCCACCATGCTGTGGCTGATCTTAGAGGGCCAAGAGCTCTCTTGAACGCGTGTCTTGAACTCAGATAAGGGATGTGAAAGGTCTGGAGTGAAAGGGCCGTTGATATGAGGCTCAAGTGTTGAGAGATCAATCTCAATGACCTCGTCATAGTATTTCTCGCTTCCACGGTCGGCAGTGAGTAGTGTCTCGGTGAAGCCATCAGCATAGCGAGCGATATCGCCTCTCTTGGTCGCTGAAAGATACCGCGCCATGGCTTGCGAGTAGGGGAAGATGCATGATGTTGATCCAACCTCGGCAGACATGTTGCAAACAGTCGCCATGGCTGTAGCTCCCAACGTTTCCGTACCAGGACCAAAGAATTCGATGACCTTGCCCTTTCCGCCAGAGACAGTAAGAATGCCAGCAAGCTTGCAGATGATGTCCTTAGAAGAGGCCCATCCCGACAAGCTTCCTGTAAGACGAACACCCAAGACTTTTGGACAGACAAGCTCCCATGGCATTCCAGCCATAGCATCCACAGCATCGGAGCCACCAACTCCAATACCAAGAACACCCATTCCACCAGCGTTTGGGGTATGCGAGTCTGTCCCAATGAATAAACCACCTGGGAAAGCGTAGTTCTCAAAGATAGTAGTGTGTATAATACCAGCACCAGGCTTCCAATACCCAATACCGTATTTCTTCGCGGCGCTGCTTAGAAAAGCATAAACTTCGCGATGATCACCCGCAGCCCGCTCAAGATCTTTCTTCGCACCGTACTCCGCGACGATAAGATGATCGCTGTGCACGGATGTTGGCACTTGAACGCGTGGTAGGCCAGCGCTAATGAATTGGAGAAGAGCCATTGTAGCTGTTGCATCGTGGCAAGCGACGCGATCCGGTCGTAGGCGGAGGATTGTCTTTCCTCGCTCTATTTGGTCGAGTACCCAATCATCGTTGTCGTGGATTAAGTGGCTGTAGAGGAGCTTTTCGGAGAGGGTCAAGGGTCGTTTATTAGCGCCTTGGACGCGACGGAGGGATTCGAGTCGGGTGTTGTAATCGAGGGCATTATACTGTGATCTGGTGAATAATTGGCAGTCAGACATAAGTACAGTTACTGACTGGTTCAAGAGGGCTCGATGCGATATGAGATGAATGCGTCGCTAAACATCGTCGAGCTTGTGTCAATGGTCGCTGTCGGGCGGAACAAACCCGTCGTAGGCTAAGTCGTGTTGCTGTGAGCGCCATTTTTGCGATAGTTGCAGCATATGCATAGGAATATTCGGACAACAATTCTCTTGCCCTTGCATGGTAATCAGCATGTTTTTATTTGTTATCGCCCAAAGTCCTCGCTGCAAATCTTCATCCCGTAGCCGAGGAAGCTTGGAGTAGTCCGTACCCCATTCATCACCGCTGACGGACTACTCCGTTCCCCGTAATCGGTCGCCGAAGTTAGAAGCCGTGATTCGGATCCGATCCAAAAAGGTCTAGATCTTGATTATCATTCAGAGGAAAGCTCCAGGTAAAGTCGGACCTGTTGAAGTCCTCCAGGAACATCTCGATTTCCGGATCGAATGCGCCTTCAATTGATGATGGCCAGTCAAATTGGTTGGGATTATCTCCAACATCCAAGTCCAGGTTTTGCCACGCTGAGCTTGTGTCAATCACTACCGACTGACCTGTCTCGTCCGAAAATTGAGGCTGATGCTGAGTTCCGGGCGCATCAACGTTGGCTCCGTCTCTTGGTCTACCAGAAGCTGTTTGCTGCAGGGATAGTCGCGGAGCTTTATTAGATGCATCGGCCATGTACAGTCTCTTCATGGTCAAGTCTGCGACGGACCCAAAGCTGGCTTGACCATTCCTTGCCGACGGCCACCATTCGCCACCAATTGTGAGGAGGGTAGAGCAGCTTCTCAGATTCTTTGACATTGTCTCCGGTGATGCCTTCTCTCGAACAACTTGCGACGTCCAGAATGAATAGATCAGTGTCGCACCAGCTGCAAAAATATTCTGTACCGCTCTCCATCCAAAGTGAAGCCCATGAAGATCGTGCAGCCGCTGATAGCCGTCGAGGATACCAGCTGCGCTGTCGAAGCAGACTTGAAGCGCCTCTGAAGCGGGCTGCCGAATGACTTGGGATGGTTGGAAGAGCAGAACCATCGTTGTATGGTACTTCAATCTGAGCTTTATCTTCCAGACTTCCCGTTGTCGGATGTCAAGACTGGGAAACTCGAATGCATCGTTTGAGACCTCCTCCCACCAAGTCTGTAAAGTCTGCTGAATCCTGACCTGTTGTTCTGTGGGATTGTCCGGCCATGGAAAGAAGCTGGAGTCGCCAGGCAAATGATAAAGATGAAGCTTAATGTCGGATACGATACGGTCCAGCCTGAAATGATATGACGAGTAACGAGTTACTGCAGTTACGAATGATGGCGGAAGCGGTCCCTGCATATTCTCGCCGGGATCCGATAATGCTTCAGGTATTTTAACGTCGAATGTTTCGTCCCTGAAGCCAAGTGGCCTTCCCTGTATCGATGATATGGACCTGGCATAGTCAGCATAATCTCCTCAACGGCCTGAGTCTGTTTAAATACCTATCTAGAGAATAGATCGTAAAGAAGGTGAATCGCCTCACTTGAAGCATAGCAAAGTCTTCTGGGTTCGACTGGCTTTGTTCCCGATGTATACCAGTCTCGACACAATATGCAAGCCCAAGATGCACCAAAGTCCACAAGTTGACCTCTGCAGGAGTGAGCATGCCATGCATCACCAGCATCATCAGAGATTGGATCGAAGACAAGGTAATATGCGCGAAACCTTCTTTCGAAAATTGAAGGGCAGCACGGTAAAAGCGCTGCGGCGGAAAGTCATAGTTGCGTGATCGGACCTTGACCAGAGCTCCGATATTGAAGACCATGAAGAGGATGAATGTGACTGCTGACAAGGTAACACCTTCTTCATTACAGACTCCTGGGACTACCGCCCTTCCGTTCCATCGAAACGGTGGCATGCTAGCAGGCCATCCATGAGAAGAGATGTCGCATTCTAGAATGCCATCAAGACAGGAATACATGGCTTCCACGGCACTGAATAGTGAGAGTGGCTCTAGGAAGGGGAAGTCTGGATGGATCCAGCGGATGTATGTGTGTATCAGTACAAGGGCATTATGCTTTGACGGTAGCTCCTATCGATAGTTAGAGGGTATATCGACGCACTATAGGTAATGGAATGACCTGTTTCAGAATGCTGTACAGCTCTCGATGATACTTCTTGTTTTGATTCTGAGCAACGGCATCATCACTCCATTCAAGGTCCCCGGCGTATCTATCCCCTGGAGGGCCTTGGGGGGTGGACTCTACACTCGGTGGTGATGCTCCGATGAGGTTTGTAAAGAGAAGCCCGGAGCTTGAGCCAAGGTAGTGTTTTTGGGGCGAGTCGATATTGAGAGAAAGCATCCCGAGATTGACCGCTACGGAATGGGCTCGCTCCGGAAAGGATTCATCTTGATCAGATTGTCCCGATGCTTCTGCTGACCGCTTCCGTGAGACTGTTGGCACTGGTGGGATTGACGATATTGATCCGTCGACATCCTCTGGGATTCTCTCGTCCTGGGAGGGCGCCGTTGGGTCGGACGAAGGATCAACCTGAGGACCAGAACGCAGGTCTACGTCTGGTAGACGCTCTTTGATGATGCCTTCCAACCATCGTATCCTTTCGCGGGCGGCAGAGACGAAACTTGCAGCTGTCAATGAATGCCCTGCGATGTGGTCACGCGTACTCACTTGCGAGGAATAACAACATCTGAGTTCTGACTGTCCACGTCCAAGCAGGCCTGCCCAGCCTTTGCGCAATTGGTGCAAGCAGGAACTTGGCCATCGCACTAACATGAGCCAAGGAGAAAAAGACTTTAGTCTCGACGATACCGGAAACAGGTAATGGTTCTCACCTTGATGCGCCGAACCCGACAGCGTCGACAGGCCAGGCGGACCTTTTTAGGGGCATTGATACGCGTAGCCATGGGAGCAGATACGTTTACAGGGGTTAGTAAGTGGAGATGACGTGGTTGGCTGTTCTCACTGAATGTTTGGTGAAGCTGACAATTGCCCAAGATAAAGAGTGGATGACCCCGCTGGGTGATGCGTCACGTGTGTGAGCCACCATGTGAGCGCCAGATAACATAGAGTACATTCTATAGAACAATCTTTAACAGAACTTTATTCTTGAATAAATGCATATAAGACAGAAATTACTGCCCATGTACTTGTGACGAGTACAGATAACATTAAGGCTGATGAACTTTTATTAAGAATGCTGCAATCGATTGTAGCAAGTTACGTGAATGAAAATAACATGCTTAATGGACGAAGAGTATCTCGGACTCAAAAAGCGATATCTAACAGACGATATATACTGGGTAGTCCTCAACCAACAGGTTTCCCCTCTCCTTGTCGCTGAGGTGATATTGCCATATACATTGTTGAACCCGGATGATCAGGCTCTTTGGGCCAAATATACGGTTGATTGATCACTATAACCTCATGGTATATCCGCAAGACACATCAAGAAATCAAATGTTGTTCATCTTGATTGCTTAAAGGAACCTGCTCGCATATGATAATGGTTTCGGCCAACATGTCTCTGGCTTTGCAAGCGAAACATGGATGTTTGTTATTCTGAAGAAGTTGACGCTTGGCGGTATGAAACACATGACTTAGATCATGGCATCCCACTCCGGATGCATAAATACTCGTTTCAGGAGATTCAAGGTGCCTTGAGGGCGCAATAATACTGGGCTCACTACGTGCGTTCAGTGGATGGGTACAAAGGTGGTTTGGGACTCCCCTACGGCTTCATCAGCGTAACGATCCCCGAATGCCGCCCGGAAAAGGCTTGAGATTGTTTTACATGCGAATGAGTTTGCTTTACAACGATCATGCTTGATATAACCTCAATAGGAAGATTGGGACACTGCAGCTATGACGTGGCCGTTGGCGGTGGGAACCCTGCTTGCAAATGAGGCTCTGTTTCGATAGGTCGGTTGACCTGACATGATCATTAGAGCTCGTCTAGTGGAAGAACCATCAATGGGGTACAGCTCTCATCCGTAATAGCAGAGATTAGTAGAGAGTACAAATCTTCTCAAGCTATCCGAGAACTCCCGATAGAATGGGTCCTTGTCGTACAATGGTCGCCGACTCCTGGCTCTCCTTAATCGCCGACCAGGCAATACGGCGATCAAAACTGAGCCACCGCGATTTTTGGAAAGACTAACTTCAAAGTTTAAATAAGAGATCAACAATTGTGCATCGGCTCGATGATCTTTCTCAATAACCTTCTTGAGACAGGTGAGCCATGTACTGGACCTCACGAACCGAGAAATCGACTCTTAGGTGACATACACGCAGATTGGAGATTGCGAGAGGATGGCCTTTCAACCAGCACACAAAGAAATTACAAGAGGCACCAAGATCAAATATCCATTCTGGTTCGGCGGCAGTGCTAGCGCTTTAGCTGCTTGCGTCACCCATCCTCTTGATCTTGGTACGGTAATACATCTTCTCCATGTCGAACGTAACTAACTAAAGTGATCAGTTAAGGTGACTTCTCTTATAGTTTATTTCTCCCTTGACATACACAAGCTAAGACCGGATCTCAGGTCCGCTTACAAACACGCACACTCAACGTGGCTCCATCGTTCTCTTCGGCCGTCAGGATCATCATCAGAAATGAAGGTATAACAGCTCTGTACAGTGGTCTAACAGCCTCTGTCGTGCGCCAGCTCACGTATTCGGGCATACGATTTGGCATCTACGAAGAACTCAAGTCGCGGGCTGGCTCTGACCCCGGCAGCCATTTTCTCCTTGCCACTGCGTGGTGTTCTGGATTTGCGGGTGGGATGGCTGGCAACTTTGCAGATGTTCTGAATGTCAGAATGCAGCATGATGGTTCACTTCCGTCTTACCAAAGGCACAATTACCGTCATGTCGGCGACGGTATGGTGCGAATGGCACGGGAAGAAGGTTTTGGCGCCTTCATGAGAGGATGGCTACCTAACTGTACGCGTGCTGCGACACAAACAGCAGGACAGCTTGCAAGCTATGATATCATCAAAAAGTGCATCCTTGACTATAGACAGACAGAAGAAACATCCACGGTACAAGCCCTTTCTGCGTTTATAGCAGCTGTAGTTGCGACGACGATCACGAATCCTCTGGATGTCGTCAAAACAAGGGTGATGTCTTCTATGTCTACTTCAAGGACAGGAATGGTAGTTACTGCAAGAGACGCTTTCCGAGCTGAAGGATGCAATTGGGTCTTTCGAGGATGGGTACCGAGCTTTTTACGGGTTGGACCGTAGGTATGCCGATGAAAGTGTCATAAGCTGAACGCTAATAGTATACAGGCACACGATGTGTATGTTTGGATTCTTGGAGATTCAACGAAATGTCTACCGAAGCGTTTGCACTTGATTGTATATCCTGTTTGAAGGGAATGGAACTATCGCCGTGTTAAGGAAGAGACGTGTATACACATAAAGAGTATCATAACATTAGCCCCCATCAAACATTTGTGTCTTGAATGGCCATAGAACTTTAACGAATACCTCTTCCGCTACAGATAGAATGGATGCATGATCAAGCTGGATTCGCGGGTACACCGAGGCCTTCCTGTCAAGGGCAGTAGAGCCGAGCTGTGGCGGGACATGGGACATGGCAGCCCTCAACAGCAAAAATACCAGAGATGGCGGATTTCCGTCGTACTCAGCCAATGTATTTTATTAAATGTTGTAACTGATTCAGCTCCTCAACCAGTCATTCGCTGAGCACATATTCATGCTAGTCCTATGCAACCCTCGCTTCCCGCACAAGGAGCAGTCCGTTCCACTCCAGTGTATGTCCAACCGGGCTAGATCCACTACGGACTGCTCCGACGAACGCCACCGCTAATCGGGATTGTTCCATGACTGATGCGCCGCCGGAGAGATGAGCTCAAAATATTGACTAAAAGGCCCAGAAAGGACTATTCTGGGCCCACAAGCTGAAGCAGTCTTCCTATACTTCCAGTAATGATCTTTCATTCAATCTGTGTCACCTAACGCAGAAATATGGCGACCCAAGTTCTCACCAAATTCACCAGAGTTGAGCTGTTCCCGAATGGCGGTTGGGACACTCACCATCACATTTTCGAGCGTATGTCCTCTTCATATCCTAACTCCCAAAAACCTTGATAACACTCTACCAGCGTCGACCTTTTCTTACAGCCCAACCCGCCACTTGACACCTCCCGCTGCAACAGTTCAGTCCTTCAAGACCTTCCGACAGAAACTCGGCATCACCAATTCCGTCCTTACCCACGGCCTATCATACGGCGATGACTGTACTTCTCTCAAGGCTTTCGTTACCCAGCTGGGAAAGTCTAGTACATCAGGCGTTGGTGTCATCGACCCCAAGAATACTACCGATGATGAGATGCGAGATATGCAGGCTGCAGGTATCTGTGGTCTTCGTGTGAATCTCTATCACTATAACGCGATGGAAGATGTAGAGCTCCAAAAGAAGACCCTCCGTGCATATCTTGGGCGGGTGACGCGTTTGTCACTTCCTTGGAGCCTCACAATGACAACCATCCGAACCGACTTCTGGGATATTCTGGAGCCTTTCGTTAGAGAAGAGGCGGCTCCAACAGGTCGGCCCCTCATCACTGATCACTTCGGCCTGCTTAAAGCGCCAAGTATGCTTCCAACTCAATATCGACAAGACCCAACTCAACAGCCAGGATTCGCACCCATTTTACGACTCGTCAAAGACGGTCTTCTCTATGTCAAGCTCAGCGCTCCATACCGAGTGAGTGAACAGAGCCCACGATACAGCGACTTGAAGTTCCTTGTGCGAGCTCTTGTAGATGCAAATCCGCGTCAGGTCATTTGGGGTAGTGACTGGCCGCATACACCGAGGATGAAGGTACGAAGTCATGAAGAAGCTATGAGAGAGACACCATTTTTGGAGGTTGATGATGAGGCATGGCTGTGGAGTTTGAGGGAGTGGCTGTCGGATCAGGAATGGCACATGTTGATGGTTGACAATCCGAAAAGGCTATTTGGCTAGATGATGGTCGTAGGTTGACATACATAAGTGCTTGAACAGAACGTAGTTAAATATCAGATCAAGTTTAATTTCTATCAGTACAGCTTCTCATTATTCCTTTATTTTCAATACCTAACACTTGCTACTGGATAAAAGTGTGAGCCATTGTATTGCTATGCTATGTAGCTATGGACACCATCTAGTATTACTGCGAAGTGTAGATCAGTGAATATATATTGTGTCTGGCGATTCGTTGCAGCAATGATCAATTTATCATGTCGGAATCTATTTATCCTTTCGAATAGTACGGATCAGATCCCCCATGGCCGCACCTTTACGAAGCTTTGCAAACATCTTCTCATCAATCTCGGCTCGCTCTTGACACAAAGCCACGACTTGCTCTATCAGAGACGGAGGAACCGATACAACACCATCAGCGTCTCCAACCAAGATATCACCCGGGTTAATCCACAGATCGCCGTTGAACTGGAGCGGAACATCGATTTCCGAGGCCCTGGTGAAAGTATTAGATCCCAAGATAGATTGCCCTCTCGAGAATACCTATGCCTCGTTAGCTCTAGACTCTGTTAGTATTGGTAACAGATGGCTTACAGGAAACTTGAACTGTCTATGTTCGTTAATATCCCTCATTCTTCCATTGATAACCACGCCTTCAGCACCCAGATACTGAGCACGAGTGGACATGAGACCACCCCAGCAAGCCGAGGCAACTGTAGGTGGCTGATGGATATACATGACTCCACCTTTCACATTATGGTCGACGAAGTGCTTGTCAAGCTTAGGTGCTTTTGTATCATTTGCCTCAACCATCTTGACAGTGACAGCGGGGCCAAAAATACGAGTCTGCGAGTCCACAGACCGCAATTTTATGCCATCGAGGAAGCCTCCTCTGGGATGCTTGAGCTTAACTAAGGCATCTCCGATCTACTGGATGATCAGTTCATTGATGTGATTGGGGTATTTGCATGGTTGATCTTACGTCGCACGATGTGAACTTGCGCAAGAGCTCACGCGCTTTGGATGACATGATGACCTGTTTGCGTAAATTGAAGAGCCAGTAAGAGGTAAGCTTTTAAGGTATGCTGAGAAGCTGGTGCTTGGATGTTTTGACTGAAATGGCCCAGGACAGCTCCGCGTTCCGCTGGCTGCGAAAAGAAAAGCGCTAATCCCGCCGCGGGGACAGAATGGAAATGGGCACGTTCCTATTGGTCAATTCCTCCAGGAGGACTCTTCCGTCTGACGGACAGCTCCTTGAGTCGAGATCACTGAACGAACGAGTCTGGGGAAATGCGGGGTATGAGCTTTGGGGAATTGGCTGGGGAAGTCCAGTATCAGACTTTTTGGCTGTAGTTAGCGTAGAGGACTAGCGAAGAGGCGAAATTGATATAAGGATGGACTTGTGCACTCGAAACAACTTTAATCATTCTCACAGCAAAGTCTTCAGCTTGGCTTAGAGACATCCATTCAATCAAACGGTTCTTCAGAGACATTGCTCCTCCAGAATGACTGTCGCCATGACCGAACAAAAGCAGGATCTATCCCTCTCCTCAGAGCACGTCGACGAGATCATGCCAGCTAAAGCTGAAGAGGCTGTTAGCAACGGACTTGGCATGACGGATGAGCAGTATGATACCACTGAGAAGAGGCTCGTTCGTAAACTGGACTTTACTCTTCTTCCTATGGTCTGGCTTCTTTACTTCTTCAATTATCTTGATCGAAACAACATCGCGTGAGTTCTAACCAAGCATTCCGTAAACTTAGCAGTGTCGCTTACAGTTGTCTTTAGTCAAGCGCGTCTTAGTACCTTTGAACAAGACCTTGGTCTCAAAGGCAACCAGTTCAATGTTGCAGTGTCAATCCTGAACGTCGGATACATGCTCATGCAACTCCCCAGGTAAATGACTCCTTCACACCTGAAGCGCAAAGGCTAACGGTGATCAGTAACATGCTTCTTACTCGAACCCGCCCGTCGATGTATATTCCAGCCTGGACTGCTTTATGGTCCATCGTGTCAGCAGCTACTGCTGGCGCTGGTACTTACACTCACCTGATTGTCATCCGATTCTTCCTCGGTATCGCAGAAGCACCCTTCTTCCCAGGTATGTCTCGACCCTCAGTTCCATATGAAGGTATGCTGACATCAAAACACAGGCGCCATGTTTCTACTCAGCTGCTGGTACCCACGAAAGGAACTTGCCCTTCGAACCGCGATCCTATACTCCGGTGTTCTCCTCGCAACTGCCTTTTCAGGTCTGATTGCTGCTGGTGTTCTGTCAGGCCTTGAGGGCGCTAGAGGTATGGCTGGTTGGCAGTGGCTGTTCATACTTGAGGGTGCTGGAAGCTTTGTGGCTGCCATTGTTGCCTTCTTCGTGCTGCCTGACTTCCCTGGACAAAAGACCGGAGCTATGAAGTGGCTTCTGTCTGACGACGAGCAGAAGGTGGCCGTTGAGCGTATCAACAGAGACCGTGTTTCTCTTCCAGATGCTGATCATGGTGTCTTTGCCGGTTTGATGATGGCTGTCAAGGATCTTCGAACCTGGGTCTTTGTAAGTTTCATTATTGCAAGACGACTTATGGGAATGCTAACAATGAATAGGTCTTCATGCTTACGGCCAATCATAGTGCTTACGGCTTCAATAGCTTCTTCCCCACCATCGTCAAGGGGTTCAAGCTCGGCAACACAACTCTTACGCTCATTCTGACTGCCCCTCCATACCTCGTCGCGACCGCGACAGCCTTTGCCACAGCATGGTCCAGCGATCGCCGCAAGAACCGAGGCTACCATATCGCCATCCCTCAAGCAGTCGCTTGTATCGGCTTCATCATCTCCGTTGCCACGCTCAATAACGCTGCCCGTTATGCAGCAGCCTTCCTTTACATCTGCGGCTGTTTCTCATCCAATGCTATGGTCTTCAGTTGGGCTAGTTCAACTCTCAACCAAACGCCTGAGAAGCGCGCTTGCGCTACTGCCATTATCAATCTTCTCAGCCAGCTTGGTAATATCTGGAGCCCTTACTTCTTCCCTGTTAGTGATGGACCGCGCTACATCAAGGCCAATCTCCTCATGATGGCTTTCTCGGCGCTTTCAGTCGCGACGTGTGTGTTTATGAGATTCAGCTTGCAGAAGGCGAATAAGAAGCTTCGAGAGTCTGGGGATGGTATCAACTTGTTTACCCTATAAGGTTTTGGAACGCATCTGGTTAGCTAGTATCTCGAGATTGAGCAGCTTGAAATAGATCACAAATGAAGATCCTTTCTGCGCAACCTTTTACAAACATTGCATGGATTAAGAATTGGGTTTCACAATTCCTGCTCAGTGAATTGGACCATTCGTGACTATTTCCGCATGCTGTACTCCGTGGCATTGCCAACTTTACACTACCGTTGTTACACGAAGTCTGGTTTGTCTAACCCCTCAATATCCTTTAAAAAAAAAAAAAGCACTAACTGCCTAGGGATGACGAGAAGAACTCGGGGATCCATTCACTCAACTGGTGCTCCGCCCGACATCCGAGGCGAGCGGATCCACGAGTCAGCCAGGCTTGGCCATTTTCAACAACTAGCAAAACATGACAGGTTTGGATTCTATTGCCTCCAGTGAAATGGGGAATGTTTATACCTCAAGCTTTCTAGCTGGTGCTGTATTCTGGCCTTGTCATCATCCGACAACATGCATATTCTCCAAAGGCAGCCCATCGACGTCGAGTCAACACTAGCGTCATTGACTCTTGCTGAGAAGATCTCTCTTCTCTCTGGTACGTTCTTACTACTCTACTACCTCGTCTATAATCATTGACGCCGGGCAGGATCCGACTTTTGGAATTCTCAAGCCATTACACCTCATGGTATTTCTTCTGTGAAATGCACCGACGGTCCCAATGGTGCCAGGGGTGGGAGATTCTTCAACCCTGTTCCAGCATTATGTATCCCTTGTGGGACGGGCCTTGGTGCAACGTGGAACCCAGATCTGCTCTATTCAGCAGGTCAACTACTTTCTAGAGAATGTGATGCGAAAGGGGCACACGTTTGGCTGGGCCCAACTGTGAATCTCGTTCGAGGACCTCTAAACGGCCGTGGCTTCGAGAGCTTCTCTGAAGACCCGCAATTAAGCGGCGTCCTGGCTACATCCATTATACACGGTGTACAGAGTAGGGGGACCGCAGCTGCCTTGAAACATTTCGTTGCGAATGACCAAGAAACAGCCAAAATGTCAACGGATATCTGCATGTCAGAGAGGGCGTTGAGAGAAGTCTACCTGAAACCCTTTCAAATGGCCGTCAGAGATGCCAAACCCAAGATCGTTATGTCTTCATATAACAAGGTGAACGGTGTGCACGTGTCGGAGAGTAAGAAGCTGTTGGGGAACATATTAAGAGGCGAGTGGGGATTTGACGGTTTAGTCATGAGTGACTGGTAAGTAGCCCACTGATCATCTTGAGGCGACAAGCTGACTCTTCAGGTACGGCACATATTGCTGCACCGATGCACTCAACGCCGGCATTGATATCGAGATGCCGGGTCCTTCGCGGCATCGCGCTGACAAGGCCTTGGTAGCAGTCGTTTCAGGGAAAGTCAGTCGCAAGACGATAGACGAGCGAGCCAGAAAGGTCCTCGAGCTCGTCAATGCCACAGCTTCAGCCAGAGTGTCAACAAAAGAGACGACTCGAGACTCACCAGATGACAGAGCGCTAAACAGGCGACTCGCGACAGAGAGCCTCGTGCTTCTGAAGAACTCAGATAACATCTTGCCCATCAACCCTGAAGAGTGTGAGGATGTCGCTATCATCGGACCAAACGCCAAACTTCCTGCAGCATGTGGTGGAGGAAGTGCAAACTTGCGACCATATTACACAAGCTCTGTCTTTCAAGGGATCTGTGACCAACTCCCCACAAATGCAAAGGTGCATTTTGAACCTGGGGTATTCGGTCACGTCTTACTGCCATACTTGACAGGCGACCACGTCACGGATGAGAATGGGGTTCCAGGTGTCTCCATTTCCTTCTTTAATGAGCCAGAGTCAGCATGGCAGACAAGGAAGTTTTTTGACCAGCAGAGTATACCCGATACAACATATCAGCTGATGGACTATGACCACCCAGAAAAGGTTGAGACGTTCTATATGTCTATGACTGCTTATTACAAGCCAGATATAGACGGAACCTACGAGTTCGGCCTCGCTAGCTATGGAACCTCGAGGCTGTACATAGACGAACATCTAGTCATCGACAACGCGACATCACAGACTCATGCTGGAATGTTTTTCGGTCATGGATCAAGAGAAGAGCGTGGGATATATGAGATGAGGGCGGGCCAGACGTATCGATTGCGCGTTGAAGCTGGCAGTGCATCGACCTCAATAACTACAGGCGGCTCCTTCATACCAGTACCTGGAGGGGCATGTCGGCTCGGGGGCTGTCTTAAGCTTGATCCAGAAGAAGGCATCAGACGTGCTGTCGCAGTTGCAAAGAAGTGCAAGCACACTTTCGTTGTAGTCGGTCTCAATGCAGATTTTGAGAAGGAGGGTAAGGATAGAGAGTCCATGAGCTTACCGCCGCAGGTCGATGACCTTGTCTCTGCGGTACTAGAAGCTCAACCGAACGCTGTCGTGGTGACTCAAGCTGGCAATCCGATTGATATGCCATGGCGTCACGAAGCGAAAACTATCTTGCATAGCTGGTACGGGGGAAACGAGGCGGGAAATGCTGTTGCAGATGTAGTCTTTGGCAAGGTCAATCCCAGTGGCAAGTTGCCTGTCACATTCCCAAGCAGGCTCCAGGATGGACCGACTTTCTTAAGTTTCGGAAGTAATAATGGAAGGATCTACTATTCCGAGGATGTTTTTGTCGGGCATCGCTGGTTTGATGCTCGTGGCATTGAGCCAGCCTTCGCATTCGGGTAAGTCGTTACTGTTACAATGGATAACCATCACTAACAATTCTTAGCCACGGTCTAAGCTACACAACATTCTCGACATCCAATATCCGGGTCGCGGAGGATGGGGTACGCGTTGACGTCAAGAACACAGGCAAGATGGCTGGGTCTGAAGTCGTGATGCTTTCAGTCTCTTACAACGCGGCAAAGTCAGGTCAGAAGTCGAGATTTCACCGCCCTGTGCGAACACTCGTTGGATTCCAGAAGGTGTTCTTGGAACCTGGTCAAGAAGCGACCGCGTTTATGGCATTGGACAAGTATAGTACCGCAGTTTGGGACGAGACAGTGGATAGCTGGCTTTGCGAAGCCGGAACATATATAGCCTCTGTGAGAAGCTCAAGTGAGAACTTGGAAGCGAGCTTCAAGGTGGACAGGGATATGTACTGGAACGGACCGTGAGAATGGCATTCGCATTAGAGGTACAGAGTTAATTAATAAGATGGCGTTCACAAGTTCAGAGACCGCTAACATCTGGCATGGTCCAATCTATATCGGCAAGCGGCCAGAACGAGTCCATAAATACATCAGGCTGTCCGGACCCGTATTGCCCGTGAAGACCAAAGTTGAACAAGCTATCCATTTGACTGTCATTTTCACCCAGATACAGGCCGAAGTCCGTGTGATCCTGACTGGCTGACCCCTGCAGTATTGGCATGTTCATGGGCATAAATCCCGAGTCGTGTACCGTCACTCCCACCGATACGGATCTCGACGTGCTGCCATACGACACATCAGAGGTCGGTTGTACAGAAACCCGCTGGTCCTCCTCGCCAGGTTGAAACTGGAGGTTCTGAACAGTTTCAGTCACGCTGTGCTTGGAGAACACCTCCCTCACTTCGGATTGCCCTCCTTGAGGCCTCGAAGCTGCTGTGGCCCTGTTGCTCTCAGATTCTTCCTCTTCCCAGATCGAAGGACAAGCATAAGGTCCATGGCGATCGCGCTGGGCATCGGTTACCAAATCGCCAATGCCCTTCTTCAATATCGCAGTTGTTGGTAGAATAGCTGCCTGCTCTTCCAAAGCTTCAGCACAAGCTGTCAATCGGGCGACAAGCTCAGTCTGTGGCATATCGCCCATAGGGTATTGTCCAAGCCTTGAGATGATCCGCGCAGAATGGAATGCGCACATCGCAATTGAAGGATCACTGATCAGCTCCGATCCTCCAACTGATTTGGGGACCTCAAGGATCTTGGATACGGATATAGCGTGATACAGGCATTTTTCGCGACAGGCTGAAGTGTACTCTGGTGACAGCTGTAGTATCTCAGCGGCTGGGAGACCTTCCCGAAACCCCGGGATGGTAAATCGGAAGAGGTCGCAATGTGTCTGATGCCACCAGGCATGCAGCATCAGGAATGGGGTACGCGAAGGCGAAAAAGCCCGCAGAGAGAAGGCTGCTGGGTCCCAATGGTATCGCAGAGGCAAAGCAGCCGAAAATTGGCGCAATTCGTTCTCAATGGATTCCACTGCGAGTAGGCATTGTTCAATAGGCTCTCGGTGATTTGTGATCGTAAGGGTAAGTCTAAGTTATGATTAGGTGAGGGTATACAACAGCAGATCTGGACTCTGACCTTTGTACGCGATTGCGAATATCCAAAACGCGAATACAGTAACCAAGCAGTCCAACATCGGATGTATCCTCATGTGGACTCGAGTGAAGCGGCACTGTTGTGACTGCAGCGTCCATCGAAAACGACTTTTCGGTACATGGTAGCCTGATATGAAGAGTCTCTGGAGTACAGGCTGTGAACTCCGTCTTTCCGCTCGAGTACAACGAGTCCATGATGTATATAGCCCACATCAATCGCCGCCGCCGTTCCTGGACCAGGAACTTCTGCCGTGGATCCTCGTGATTCAGCCGCAGGATATACGCAAGCCTTGATGTCAAAGCCATTGAGACAAGCATCTTGCTGACCCGCTGTGAGAGGTAGTGGTCTAGTGTCACGAGAAGCCATGCTTCCATGTCAGATAGCCGTGGCTGGGACAATTGGCGAAGGAGTTGCGATTCAGCGTCTTCAATCCATTTCTTTGCCGTAGTTCGATACTCGGAGCTGCCTGGGTTGATGAACCGTGATGTGATCCCGCATATCGCTGATAGGACGCATGGGTTTAGTTCGTTCTTTGACCATGATTGCAGCAGGGTTGCTCTGTGGAGGAATCCGTAACAGGGTATCGGGTGTATCAGGTCGAAGTAGGCATCGATGTGTTGCTTGACGGTTTGTTTGCTTATTCCTAGGTCCCTAGTTCCTGTCAGGCCTTTGAGAGTGAGTAATTGAAACTAGATGGCTTACAGTTGTGAGGTCTGCTGAGGCATTGGCATCGGGCCTGAAGAAGGTTGGCCACCCGGTTGTGTATACACTTGGGACTGTTGAGCTTCATGGCGCTCGGTATCTGGAGCTGGCGGAGTGCTTCCCACCGCAATGGCAAGTCCACCATGAGGCGACGGGCTAGAGTCATTTCTGTCGGGCCTTGCGGCTGAAGGGTAGTGGCAAGAAGTTCCCCGATCCGAACATCTTGAACATTTCGGTCTCCGGCCAGAGCATTTCAGTTTGCGATCGCGACACGGTATACACGCCCTAGATACGCGTCGCCTTTCTAGTACCTCGACACCGTTGTCGGAGGCTGATATCAGAATAGAGCAATTAAACTTGAGTCTTTTGCAATTGTTACAACCTTGAGGATCGCCATCGCACCTCACCTGCAGTCCATTCTCATTAGCCGACGTTCATTTGTTCGGGGCTGTCACATACCTTGCGGTTCCGACATTGCGCACATATCTCGGATGTCTTGTGATTTCGCGTACGGGACCCTTTTCTGGACTCCATTCTCAATCTCGTCCGATCAGCTTGAACAGGGCCAGGATGAGAAAAGGAAGTCGGGCGGAAAAGAAGGGTTGAAGTCTACCCCAAATTCCAGGCGCAGAAGAGATTCCGCCCGACATCCGAGCTCGGAAATGCACTAACGCTATGGAACTCCACTTACCCCAGACCTATACCTGGGGAAATCAGGAGAGTGACCAGGCTAGCAGACTCTGCAGGTCTCGAACAGGCGTTACCTTGACGCCAGGTTAACGCGTGATAGTAAAGCTTTGCGGGGAATAGTTTCTCTGGGGTTGAGTGGCTAGGTATATCAACGGAGCATCATCCCGGTCATGATCTTCACAATCAATCCAACAGCACCTCATTCATTCGCACATGACAGGCACCATGTTGTCCAAGAACAGAATCCTTCAGCATTTCAATCGCCATCTGGCAATTGCCTTCGCAGTCATCGCTGTGTCAACGTTTAACTATGGCTTCGACAATGCAGCTTACAACAACACTCAAGCTATGGAGGCTTTCCAGGCGCAATTTGGAGAATGGGACGCCGAGAAGGGCAAATATGCTATCCCACCCTCATGGCTCTCTCTCTTCAACAGCTTGAACTATATCGGCTTCGGAGCTGGTGTCATCATTGGCAGTCTTGTCAGTGAGCGATGGGGACGACGGTGGTGTATGTTCGTCATGAGTGCTTGGGCGCTAGTTCCAGCTATCATGGCTGTTACATCGACCAGCAAGCATCAGATCATGGCCACGAGAATCCTCAACTGTAAGTGTTACACAATCTGCCAACTGGATAGGCATAGCTGACATATCAACAGACATCTACATCGGCATGGAGCTTGCTGTCGTCCCCGTTTACCAATCCGAGATCATGCCCCGAGAGATTCGTGGTTTTGCAGTTGGCTCTTACCAGTTCAGCTTAATGGTAAGTACACCCAGCATATTGTTAATTAGACAAGCTGACACAAAATAGTCCGGAACCCTCATTGTGGCATGCGTCTGTCGAGGGACGAGCACGCTCTCCGGTAATCTCTCATTTCGAATCCCCTTTGGCCTCTTCTTCATCATCCCCGTCGTCGTCATGTGCGCCATCTTCTTCATCCCCGAGGTAAATAACCCATCTTAGGACGAATTGCTCCAAACTGACCAAATCTAGTCTCCCAGATGGCTACTCACGAAAGATCGAACCGAAGAAGCACGCGCCGCTCTTGGAAAACTACGCGAGGGCAAAGACACCGAAGCCGAGATCGACGAGAGCTTTGCTGCTCTTCAATACGCGTTGGAGCACGAGCCTGAGCAAGGAAATTACATCGAGCTTTTCCAGGGCAAGAATCTCAAACGTACAGCTATTGTTGTGGCTATGAACTTCTTTCAACAAGCTACTGGTCAAGCCTTTGCATCGACTTACGGAGCTATCTTCATTCGAGACATCGGAACCGTCAACCCTTTCACCATGACCATCGTCAACGCCATTGTGAATCTCTGCTCCGCTTTTGCTGGTCTATATCTTGTTGACCGGGCTGGTCGCCGGTAAGCCATTTTTCTTCTCCAATATCTGAACAATGCTGACTTTCACAGACCTCTCCTGTTGACCAGCGCTGGCTGGATGTTCTGCGCAATCATCACCATGGGCGCTCTCGGCACAGTTCCCAACCCATCCTTCGGTATCAAATCAGGCATCGTAGCAATGTTGACCCTCTTCGGATCCGGTTTCACCTTCGCTTTCGCCCCTCTAAACTACGTCATCACCACCGAAATTCCCGCCTTGCGTCTTCGCGACGCATCACAGCGAACAGCCTCCATCGTCAACGTCGTGGCCAACTTCCTCGTCAGCTTCAGCATTCCTTACATGCTATATCCACAATACGCCGGTCTTGGTTCAAAGGTTGGATTTGTTTTCGCTGGTATTCTGGCATTGGCTATTGTCTTTGTTGTCTTTTGTGTTCCTGAGTGCAAGGGCAAGTCTTTGGAGCAGATTGATCGCATGTTCAACGAGGGTATTTCTCTTCGTAAGTTTGGAAACTACAAGCCTGAAGATTTGACTGGAGATGTTGAGGAGATGGGAGGCAAGGAGAAGGGAAATGCTTCGATTGTTGTGAACCATCGCGAACAGTCATGAACACCCTTCGTCCAAATCTGTATAAATACTTAGGACAGACTTGTAGGGATCAAAAGTATCGATGTATCAACATCAATAGAATAGTTGCTTTCATTAATCATAATTATGCCTTCTATCTCGGTGACTGCAGCCAATAATTGGTTGTCATTTTGACAAAAGCGCTTCCTCTGGTCTCACTATAGACCTCATAGCTGTTTCGTCCGCATCAGTCTGAATCGTCTCTATCGTTCGCTCAATGAAGATGTTTTCAGTGCTAGAACCATCGGATCCGCTTCCTCGTTTCACTCGCAGGATAATATCTCGGACGAACTGACGTGCTCCAGGCATGCATGCCACCATCATGCCTACGCAAATCTCGATATTTGACCAGATTATTATCCCGACCGAGTCAGCTACATGGACAGTTAGCAGAATTCAACATGACGAAGAGGGTGTTTTATACCTGTTATGTTCCGTGACGTTGAAAATACTATCAGGCTTGGGATGCGAACGGAACTGACGATCGTGAGGCTATACCATAACGATTAGAACAAACCATGTGGTGTAAACACTTGGGATAACTTACAATAGGCCCACTCCAAACATAGCAATTACTCCAATCTTCTTCTTCAGCTTTATCCCGATTTTTATCAGTTGAGTCATTGGAAGAATCATCATCCAAATATCCAAAGCAACATTCCATACACCATGGGTTATCCCTATGAGATTCCCACTCAAGATGACACCCCGGGGCTTTTTGTCTTTCCATCCATTCCAAAACAGGTCAAGTGGCCTTCGTTGAGCCAGGATAAGTGCCAGATATAGGGGACACATGACAAGGATAAAGATCGTAGTCCATCGAACAATGGTGCGGAATTTTTGATCGGGGAATATGCGAAGGAAGAAGGCTAGAATAGATAGCTTTACGAGAGCGAGGGATGTAGCGTACGATAGTTCGGAGGCGAAGATCAGCTAGATGAGTTAGACTTGTAATTACACCAGAATGTCGTGATTTCTTACGATAAGAAACGTGCGGATATCATCTTCTTCCACGAACCAAATGTCGAGTCCGAGGCCTTTCGAGGTGACTAAGGTTACGGAGCTCGAGTCAACATTGTATAAGGTGGGTTATGGGATAATAAACGTACGGACTTGACAGAAAACATTGAATGCAATGATAAATGGCTGCGACTCATTAGCGACCCTGTCACAAAAGATTGACTGCATAACTTACCAGAGCTGCCAATATCAGACTATCGTCATGCCCATATGGCACGAAGCCGATTATCTTTGAGATGGCTCTCATAGTGAAGAATATCATAGCCAAAATGCCTATTGTCAAACAGCTGATTCGGATTTCTTGTCGATGGTCTTTGATGGGCATATCACATGCTCGGGACGTTCGGTTTAAGAAGTCTAGCTAATGCGTTAGCCATTGATATTGAAGCAACCACGCGCAGCTCGAGGAAGCCTACCGAAGATCTCGGTGACATTGCAGTTGTGTTTTACACATCGTTCTACAGTATGGTATAGTGATTTGTCATGGCAGAGGTTGTACGATTGGCTGCCTTGGAAAGCGTCGGTATCGTTCGTCCTTATGAAACATGTCATCTGTACTCATCAGCAACCGTTGAGTTCAATACATTTAAGAGTACAAACCGCACACTCGGAGGTTCTCGCTAAAGGATCGACGGCGCGTGAGTTAATCGCATGAGCTTCAGCTAAACGACCGACAGGTAATAAACATAATGCAAACGCGTATAATACTCGATGTACGAGCATCGTAGCATTTGGCGACGAAACGTTGCTCAACCCAAACAAAACATAAAATGCGGACGTTGGAGCGCGATCGCGATTCTTATGCAAGGGAGCAAATTACATATCTGCCCTTGTGGCGCAGACATCCTGAAACCTAACGCTCTTTTGAGAATTGTCCACGGCAAGTTCCACGTATCGTGGCGCAAGGGCAACGAACATGGCTTCGATCTGTAAGACGATGACGGTTGTTTGAGCACGCAAATATTGATCTGTATCACAGTGAGATTTGTTTTCAGGGTTGTTAGCTTGATCCAGGCTGTCGTGGCTTCCGGATCTGGACCTAGATGGCTTATATAGCATTCCAGATGCGCGGGGTCAACGATGGAAGTATATCGCCGCATATAGGGCTGTGAAGTCACGGACCGACAAATAAGTCACATATAGAATAAATGCAATTATGTTAAATTGTGTTGGGATGAAAGTTCAGTGAGATATATATTTACAGGCAGGTAAGGGAGCAGACATCTGCACGCATATATGGCGTCAGATGCGACCATGGCACTTGGCACGCTACCTGTGAAATAGAGTCCGTGTCACATAATCAAACACGTCAATTAAGCAGCCACATAAAGCATGTAACTGGCACCACTCTGTACTTGACATCTCCTTGCCCTTGCAGCCACCTCTGCCGTTCTGCAAGATACAAATCTTATGGGGCTTATCCCTGGATCTTCAAAAGCGAATGATCCCGGGTCCTGGACGCCACCCTATCCGAGTAGTACGATCTCATACTATGGCCATGCTTTCCATAGCTTCGATCAACCTCACAGGGCTTAGAGAAATTGCTTTAGGTAATTTTATGCAGGTGCCATGGGCGATTTCGATGCTCTAAAAATAAACATCCAGAATCATCTGCGATTAGGTACACCGACGACTGTCGGCCAAGAATCTTTCTGGGGTGAACGAGGCTACGATCGACATGTCAGGAGGAAGCCCTTTCTCAACCAATTGAAACATGCCATGGGCTCTCTCTGTCTGGCCATGAAAGGAATCTCGTGTATGCGGATAAGCAGTAGGCGAATCGGGCTAATAATCTTCCTAGCATCCCTCCAAGCTGCCCATATCTACCTTTGCCAACTTTCGTACCCCAGAATTGACATGAGTTCACAGAGGTAGGCATTGATGATACATGATGTCATTCTAATTGTATTTCTCTTTTAAGCACTGAGTGCATTGCTGAACCTTCTTGTGACAGATTTAGAGTCTTCGTGGGGCGGTTTGAAGGCCGTAGCCGGATGACTCACCCTTAGGGCGCGGGTCAGCTTGATTGGGACTGCTTATACGATAGCTGCGGAAAGTGTCCACTGGGCTTGCATGCATATCTTTAGACTACTCAGTACCACAAACAACGTTGTAACGTTACCATCTTTCCTTCGGATATTGACGTTTAGCAATGGCATGGTCGCCTCGAGTGACATCAGGTAACGTTCCGATGGCAATTAGTAGACTGAGAACCTGAATGTCGTTCGTTTCATGACGCTCCCTGTGCTATATGATACGAACTTCCGCAAACCACGATCGTACTTTTAGATCAAGAAAGTCGGAATACCAAACACTGCTAGACCAAATCCCCCAAGAATATCAACTATGTCCCAACTTAAGATTGCTTCGGTGCAGTTCGAGAACTGGTCCGGAAGTAAGGATAAAAACCTAGCCATCATCCGCCGGATGGCAAGGGATGCGGCATCCCGCGGATGCAATGTTGTAGCTTTCCACGAATGCTCGGTTACCGGATATACCTTCGCTAGCCGTCTCTCCAAAGAGGAACTGCTCGATCTTGCCGAAGACGTTCCAGCCGGTCCAAGCACTTGTTCTTTGATCAAAACGGCTCGTGAGCTAGACATTACAATCCTGGCTGGGCTGTTTGAGAAAGACGAAAATGGCTGCATTTACAACACATACATCTGCGTTGACGGCAGCAGAGGCTTCGTAGCCAAGTTTCGCAAACTGCACCCCTTCATCAGCCCGCATCTGAGTCCAGGCAATGAATATGTGGTTTTTGACCTTCTTGGTTGGAAATGCGGTATTCTGATATGCTACGATAACAACGTTGTCGAAAATGTCCGGGCTACAGCACTTCTCGGTGCAGAGATCATATTCATGCCGCATGTAACAATGTGCACCCCGTCTACTCGTCCGGGCGCTGGCTTCGTTGATCCTTCGCTTTGGACTAATCGACATCAAGATCCAACTTCTTTGCGAGCCGAGTTCAGCAGTCTCAAAGGCAGACAATGGTTAATGAAATGGCTACCAGCAAGAGCCTACGATAATGCAGTCTACGTCGTCTTCTCGAATCCCATCGGTATGGACGATGATCAATTGAAGAACGGGTGTTCCATGATCCTTGATCCGTTCGGAGATATCTTAAGCGAGTGCTCTCTGCTTGATGAGGACATGGCCGTTGCGACTTGCAGCAAAGACAAGCTTCAACTAGCAGGTGGATTTCGATACAGACAAGCTAGAAGACCGGAGTTATATCGAGATATCCTAGGCTCAGATCATAACTCATCTCTCAATGTTTCCTGGTTGGGCAAGTAGAACTTTCTAGACGCCTGGGCTGGCGATGATGAGCCCCAGCTGCCATTCGGTTCTTTCATCAAAAGGACACGGTCGCGTGGCCCAATGGCAAGGCGTCTGACTACGAATCAGAAGATTCTGGGTTCGATCCCCAGCGTGATCAATCTTTTTGCTCGTCGGGCCGATTTCTACCGTTCTAACCATGAAACTTAATCTTCATGCCATTTCTTCGGTCCCGATATGATTTGTCTGCCTTATGCAGAAGGAATGAGAGATAGTGGCAGGTTGTGTCGGTTAGCGGGATGGGGTTCCTGGATTAATGGGCTCTTGATAAACCCAGTGATTTGGTCATGGCGCTGCCCTGTCGGCAAGCCCTGTGCCATGTTTCGTTTTAACTTTATAGATCTTTATGAACAACGCCTCAGAATCTCGAATGGTTTACTCATCATGGTTCATGGCACTTCGCGGAGCCTCGAAGCTAAGCCCAATTATGTGACAATCGCTTGGCAACATCCTATCATCCCATAATGCCCAAGCTGTTCATCAAGATTGAAACATCGATGGCTAAAGTCGAATGTTACATCCAGATTCGTTATTAGAATAGGATTAGTAGCAAGAAATGGAGATTGCAATTTATGTATTATTATACCGGTAGTAACTATATTTCGAATTATTCATCTATGCATGAGCTACTACATAAAGAATTAATGCAAACAGCAACATGTACCCAAAGCCTTCTGACCCACCTTCAGTCGCCGTGCTGAGAAAATTTTCATTGACGGTTGGTATCCCCGATGGAACTGCCATAGGATTACTCAGTGCAGGCTGGTCGAAACCAAGGTATTTTCCGGGAACACCAGTGGCCGCAGAAGCACCAGGTACTTCCCTCACAATCTCGTGAATGTCATCCTCAGCATCTTCAGGATTACGTGCAGCGAGGGATATCTCCATGTTTGCAAAGTCGAAGACAACATAAGCGCCCTTGAGGAAATCATCGCCAAGAATAATGTGGGTGGCCGTTGCATCATACCTGATCTTGCAGTAAGCAAGGCCATCACTCACAAAACTGGTCTCCCAAAGAAAGTTTGACAGTGGCACACTAATTGTAAGTTCGCTGAAGGTAAAGTCCAGAGTATTCCTTGAGCTTCCTTCGCAAGGTGCAGCAGGGCCATGTTTCTCGTAATAGGAGACGTTCATGGTATTGATTAAGTGCATGGTCATGTCCAGAGTCAGTCTACTCTTTGGAGTACCAGAGTCAAGCAAGACCAGTCGAGGCTCAAAATCTAATTCTGAAGACTCTTCATTATAAGTTGTCGCAAATCCTGTCATGACTGCCAAGGCTCGATCTCGTTTATTGCTCTCGTTGTTGACGGGGATAGGATATGTAACCAGTGGTTCCTTGTACTTGGCTTTATTGACACCGCCAAACAGAAACTGCCCGGTAATATCGTCCTCGAGCCACATGCTGTATGCCGGAGTGTTGATGGCCCCAGCAACGGCTAGGGCATAAGGAAGATTGCGGTATTTCGTCTTGGAATCCTCCAGCCTACCGATACCAACACCAAAGACATTAATTTTATCGTATGATTTGGCGTTGAACATGGTTGTTCCAACAAATTGAAACGATTTAAGCGTGGTGTCTCCAAAGGCCAAGGTGTCGTTAGCGTAGTTACCCTTCCAACTTTCACCACTGCCATAACTCCCAGACACCCTCTGCTCGGACCACTCAAACGTTTTTGACTTTTCCGTATTGAAGACTCCACCTCGGCAGCGTCCCTTCTCGCAATTCTCGATCTCGTTCGTTAAGAGGACCAAGTCGGAGCTTCCAGTATCGATTACTGCGGAGAGCTCTTGTGGAGGGTTTCCGAGGGTGAAGTTTGCCCAGTAAAGGTAATCTCTCAGGCCGACCTTCATATTGGCGATGTCTCTTTTCCCATGGCCGGGGAAAAAATCTTTTGTGCGCTTCTCAAAGTCAACTTGGACGACTGCGGGATTGTGGCGCTTGTGGAGTTCAAGGCCACTGGCGCAACTCAAAAGAGTGCTTAAAAGAATGATCGGTGAACCCTTCATCGTGAAGAAGAGGATGGTCGACAAAGAAAAATAATAATAGAGAGGGAGAGGAAGCAGTTGGACCGATTCTTATAGCAGCTGCAAATAAATTTGCTAATTAACTTTACAACTTATAAAGCTTAGTATATTCAAAAAGCAAGAATAACCTTTATTAATGTTTTATGCTTAATACTTGCCTAAATTCCAAGTCGATATTCTCTCAAGGACTAGAGCTTCGGGACTTTTAACTTATACGTTAGATTATGGTGGAAATAGGGTTGTTTTAATACCTTTTTACTTAGTTACTAAGTTCTCTGACCAGTCGTGACATGTAAACCATATGGGCGATTGGTCAGTACCCCAGGCTGATGCTTGTATTCTCAGCCCCCCAGGTGTAAGAAGAAAGTAGAGGGTCCTCTCGGTCCCGACGCGTGCCCCTGTTTCTCCCGCTTGCGTTGTTGTGACTTGACAGGACATGGGTTCATAGATACAGTTTCCGTAGTGGCAACGGCTAGCTTTAGACCCCTGTTCGAGTTTCTTAACCTGTCATGAGATCCAAAGAATTTTATTTAAGATGAATGGCAAGGAACCTTGTTGTGCTTTGACTTCCATTGAATGTGCTTTTTGTGCAAGAGTTAGTGATTAGGTGGCTGCCCCACAATATTGATGGTAATCTTGGCGTTTCTTATGTCCATACCCTGGAGCTTGACATTTGTGACGGTTCGACCCAACAAACTCACTACAGAATAGTGAAAATGTTCCGTAATTATGTTGAAGTTGAAGGAAGTAAGATGGTTGGTTTCGAAGACAATCTGAAACGGTATACAGTAGAAATACTGATTTGTCAGAAGTTTCAAAGTCCGATGGAAATGCAGGTTGGGGACAAAAACCTAAGAAGGACGAATGCATCATTCAAACGCCCAACTCGGGGGGAACCTGTCATGAATGGAGCAAAGAAAAATCAGCTACGTGTATTGACACATTTATTGGATACGCATGAGAAATATATGCTATTCAGGTGACAGAAATAATGCTCGGTGGTGAGTAAATGCAGCTGAGCCAATATGAGGTAGAACAAATTTGCTGACGAACAACAAAATATCCGGTGTGGTGTATCGGTTATCATTCCGCGTTTTCATTACGAAATATTCACCGCGGCGAGGAGGGTTCGACTCCCTCCATCGGAGTAAAATTTTGCATTTTCTGTTCTTTTTGTCGTTATTCGAGACATCTTATCATCGATTTCCAGTGTCGTTCCATTCAGGGTGCGTTGTGGCGGCCAGCCCTTGAACGGTCCAACGAGACACAGCCACCAATCTGATACAAGCAATGTGAAACTGGTCAACCCGCCAGCCATTTGCTTAGATCTGGTAAGACGATAAGACTGTCAATTTCACACTGAAGTTAAGTAGAGTCAGAATTTGAGACAATAAATCAACGAGAAGCCCGCGAAACAAAGTACAAGGGGAGTAAGCGGCCTTGTTGTCTATTGCCATAAACACAGCAGCGATGGGATAAAGAGCAGTGCCAATTGATTGCAACTGCATAAGACACCAGTCGCTATTTATCCTTTACTACTGACACGAAATGCAAAAATGGAGGCTGAGGGATTTGAACCCCCGGCCTTTCGCAAGCATTCGAAACAATGCAAAGCGAACGTGATACCCCTACACCAAGCCCCCTGTTGGATGCTGAGTCAGACGCTAATTGAGCGCTATGACGATGCAGCTTGTTCTGACACCAACCCGCAGCCCCGAAAAGTGAGGCTAATAAGATTTCTCGCGTAGCAAACGCTATGCCTTTTCTCTCAATTCCGGGGAACGATGACTACTACTGTGAAGAATTACAAAAACTCCCATCATCTTTGCACGCGGTACAAATTGAGTTAGCCGGCATCCTTAGAGCGAAACCTCTATATTACAATTAGCTGCTAGCTCAAGGTTTATAGCAACTATCACTCTGTTATCAGCTGATTCGAGTCGATAATAGAACTGTGCGGTCAGTGTACAAGTTGCAACTTGCATTAAGTGCGAATAGCGGAATGCTAGTTAGTACAAGGGCCCAGGACGGCTGATTTATAAGAAAGCTCCATAAACAACATGGTTCTGAATCCTCCGGCAATTCAACGCAATCCCGAAGTATCGGCTTTGTAAGAACTTATTAGTCATAGATCCTCAGACAAAGAAAACAGTCTGGACCTCGGAGCAGTTCTGTTGCCGAATGTGACGTAGTTAGGACGTAAACGGCAATGAAAAAACTTATCTCTTCAATGCTGTCTCTAATCCCGACTTCCCCAGAGAATCACATTGAGTTAGCTCCGGAATAACAAATGCTGTGCAACTAACCAGCCCCTGGGATAAGGCTTTTGAAACGGTGGCTGACGTGATATCATTATTTAGAGGCTAAATCAATGTCTTTGTTGGTGGTGGCACGCTGTTGGTTATGCCAACGGAAGGATGCAGGAGGCGAATCAGAATCCTTCATTATTGGCAAACACTGGATGGAGTTATCCACACGTCAGTGATAACCCCTCACCCAGGAATGCGGTTGTGGCTTCATTCTTTGTTCTCGGCTTTGACGGCATATAAGTCCGAGTCTACGGCACTTCTCTTATGAACTCTTCCAAACCAGTTTTTCGCTACTTCACCTTTGCTAATCTGGCGATAAGCTTCAAATATGTCTTCATACCAGTCTATTCTGCTGCAAAACGCTACTCTACTTGTTCCAAAGGGCCCTGGGGATGATCATATCCTTCCACTCAAGAACCATTCTTTGTTGATTGAGGGCAATAAAATTGCTCGCATCGCGGCCCACATTGATCCTCCATCTGAGTCAACTGAGGTTATCGATTGCACGGCAAAGATTATCTCACCGGGATTTGTCGATACTCACCATCATGTTTGGCAGACTCAACTCAAGGGGAGACATGCCGATCATTCGCTGCTGGAGTACATGGTACCAGGTTGGTGATGTATGACTGGCTCACAACACGAGTTGCTAACACTTCATGTACCAGGAAACATGGCCTCGCACAGTTACAAACCCCAAGACGTGTTCTGGGGTCAGCTTGGTGGATGTCTTGAAGCCCTCGAGGCAGGGACGACTACAATCGCAGATCACGCCCATATCTCATACTCTCCAGAGCACAGTGAGTGGCTCATGGTTCATATCTCGGAAAAAACCAGTGACTAATGATTATCTCGAGACAATGCGGCTCTTTCAGCAACCATCTCATCTGGTATCAGGTCTATCTACTGCTACTGTCCTACTGGCAGGGTCAAGACCTGGAAGCCTTTTGAAATGGAAGAAGACATCCTTCCAGCTTGGCTTTTCGAGCAGTTGACCTCACTGTGCAAAGCTGGTCCGTTCGCCAACGGTAGGGTGACGATGGGCTTCGCGTTTGACTCCTTCTTCCTTCCAAAGGAGGTAATTGTTAACATTTTCAACCAAGTTCGTAGCTTGGGTATCAAGACTATCACATCTCACTACGTCCCAAGTCTTCTTCGTAAGTTCACATGTGTCTCTTGGTATGTCTTGTTGCTGATGAAAGGAATTACAGCGGGTTCGACGGTAGACTTACTTGAGAGTTATGGGCTTCTCGAGAAGGACATTCTTCTTTCTCATGCGACTCCCCTAAACGACTCGGATGCACAAAAGCTTCAGAAGGTTGGAGCAGCAATTTCTTCAACCCCAGACACTGAGCTTCAGATGGGTCATGGCTGGCCTGTGTGCTTCCAAGAAAATGCAAAGGGGATTAGTTCCCTTGGCATTGACTGTCACAGTAACAATACAGGCAGCATTGTTGCTCAGATGAAGGTTGGTCTTCAAGCTGAACGTGCTCGCCGTAACGGCCAGATCCTTGAGGCGGGCAAGGTACCTGCCAGAGCCCAAGTTTCTGCTCAAGACGCATTCCAACTGGGCACGATTGGCGGCGCAAGGGCGATCAAGATGAGCGATCGGATTGGATCTTTGGAGGAGGGCAAAATTGCTGATCTTGTAATCTGGGACACGTTGAGCCCTGCGATGATCTGTGCTGCTGAGGAAGATCCCATTGGTGCTATCATTCTGCACTCGGCTCCTTCTGATATCGATGCTGTCATTGTGGATGGTCAATTCAGGAAGCGTGATGGCCGATTAGGACCGACCAAGTTGAATGCTACGCTTATACCAGATATCAAGCACGAGAAGGCAGAGGTAGAATGGTGCGACGTCGCAACTGAGCTTTTGAAGAGCCGTCAGAGAATCTTGGAGACAGAGAAAGCTGATGAAGCTGATGATCGAGAGGCAGGCTTTGAGAACACAGTGAGACTATTCGGGACCAACAAAGACAAGTTGGTTTATTAAATACGTGGTAACTCAATATTGCTAGCTAGCTGTAGAAGAGAATGACTTCGACCCTCCCAGTGATACTGACCCTAGTGCTGCAGCATCTTCTGAACGTGGTTCCAATATCTCGGCGCAGCATGACGTCGCAGACTCTTGCCCTTCCAAATCATGAACAGAAAAGTACTAGTACATCCAAGAGACAGGAATCCCGCCATAATGAAACAATTCTGCAGACCCATGTTGCTATACCAGGGTGTAATGCCATAAGAAATGGCGAAACCCAGCGTATTGCGGATGATGATGATAGAAGTAGTGGTGTCGCCGCTGATATCCTTGAAGCAATCGACATTGTAAGACAAAGCGATCGATCCGCCAGTGACACAGCTGAAAGTGAGAACCATCAGGCCAATAGCCAATCCAGCCCAGTGAATGTCGTTATCAGCGCCGACGCCCCAGACGATGAGCCCGACGCAAGATAGGAAGGCGGATAAAGCTAATGGCCAAAGTCGCTGCTCAGGCTCTCGAACACCATTGTTCCTTCGAGCAAGCGAGAGCGTAATGCGATCGGCAATGACACCAGACCAAAGACATCCCAGAACAGCGCCGATGATAGGACCAACATAGATCAAGCCGACCATGCTGGTAGACCAGTTATATGGCGACGCACTGAGGATAGGGCTAGTGGTGGCGTTCAAGACATTGTACCAGCAAAGGTTAATGCCGTAGATGAACCCTGCCCAGGCGACATTGGGGAAGAGGACCATGAGAGGAAGTGGAGCCAACATGGACTTGAACATGTTTGTTTTGCTTGGGCGACCATCCTTTCTGGCAAAGAGCTTGAGATGAGTAGCAAGACTCTTTTTTGTGTGGACCGTGCCCTGCAGCTGATCACTGTTGATGATAACGCCAGCACCCTCCTTCGTCGTAGGTCTTTCGGGGATATTCTGTGCGGAGCCAAGCTCATTCTCCGCTTGGCCCTTCACTGGTTCATCCTGATCCTCAAGGCCCTCAAAAGTCGGACGGAAATAGATCGTCTCCTCCATAAAGAAGAAGAGAATGACAAAGCTGAATGCAGCGAAAATGGCACCGAAATGCATGGTCCACCGCCAACCGTACGCATCGGCGAAGAAGCCAGCAACCACTGGTGCTAAGAAATTGGAGCCAAACAATGCAAAGACATACAAACTCATCCACGTTCCTCGTTCATGCGCAAAGAAGATATCAGGAATACTGACTTCGGGCAGCGACTCAATAGGCGAAACGAAGAAGCCGAGAAGGATACGATGAGCGTACCACTCCCCAGCAGATCGTGAATAAGCAGTCCAGACCATCAAGGGCACAGCAGCGACAGTGGAAATGAGATAAACACCTCGTCTTCCATACGTCAGGGCAATGGGCTGCCAGAACAGACAGCTCCAGCCGAGAAAGAGGAACATGACACCAGTGCCTTGAACCAAGTCGGCGATAGAGATACCCGTGTCTTGGGAGATTTCAACGAGTACAGAGTACTGAAGAGTAGAGGGAAGACCAACGCCGAGGGTGTAGACGAACACCATGGCTGCAGAGATGAGCTTGCGACGTCTGCTCCAATTGAGGGGGTCTTCTGGGTCGGCACTGGGACGAGGGACAAGTTCAATGTCGTTGCCATCGCTGCGGCCAGCATCCACAAGGTGGACTGTGCCGGGGACGATTTCAGAGTAGGCCTGAGCCATTGCGTGGACAATGTTACGGCAGTGAAGTTACAAAGAGTGGAAAAGGGTGTTATTTATCCACTGGTAATTGATACCAGAGCCTGGGTATATATACATGCGATGTGATAGGCATTTGACGCTTAATCTATCTATCATGGTCCACTCCACCATGAGATATCACTTCTCGGACGTAAGGAGCGCTTCCAGCGACGATCTCTCGCGCGGCAGTTCCAAGCCCGATAAGAAGCCACCGACAAACGCCTTATCACTTCTGGATTAGAGCTTGACCGTTTAGGTATCTCTAGTCGTAGTCCCTTGGCATCGACAAGCGAAACGCGGGGTAAGCATGATAAAGTCGCTGACATGGACACAGAGAGATTATCTCGCGCTATCAACTGTCGTTATTTAGTTGATAGGAGTAAGTCTAGCTCATGTCGCTAACGGTAAGACTTGACGAAATGGGAAAGTCTATGAGACCGCGATCATGAACACAATGCGGGGAACTTTATGGTGGTACGCGGTAATACATCTCATTGGTTGCCATGCGGCTAGGCACCATTTCAAGATGAAAGATCGGCAGGGATTCTTATCATGGTTCGTGAAGCACTGAAGACGTCAGAATAAAATGGGGGGCTTGATTGCTTGTGCTGGTAATGCCAGCCTGTACCGTTCAAGTCGGCATGAGGAAAACTCCGCGATTACGTATATAAATGCAGCCTCTCATGACACCTTGTCTCTCACCTCAATTCATATCTACCATCTTATCAGAAGGTCATCGCTATCATGTCATCGAAAATCGTCCCCGTCATTCAACCAGTCCCTCTTCAAACCGGCCCGCCAGAGTATGAAGCTCTCCGGACATCCATCCTCGAGGAATTCGGCAGCACTGTCCCAGACGAGCTCCGTCTTCCAAAAAGCCTCATCGACAATCCCCCAAAGAACGTCACCGGCATCCCCAAATCCTGCGGCATCTTGACCGATCAAGAAATCGACATCACAGAGAACTACGACGCCACAGCGCTAGCAGCTGCTATCGCATCACGAAAATTCACATCCGTCGCTGTCGTCACTGCCTTTGCAAAAAGAGCTATCATCGCTCACCAGCTTACTTGCTGCTTGACACAATGGTGGTTCGAAAAGGCGGTACTGACGGCCCAGCTTCTTGATCAATATCAAGAGAACTCTGGAACGACTTGCGGCCCTTTGCATGGCGTGCCAGTCAGTATCAAGGAACACATGCCGGCTAGCAACCAGTGGTCGAATGTTGGATACTTGGCGACTCGAAAACTTGACAGAGAGGATTGTCAGTTGGTCAAGATTCTTCGGGACGCGGGGGCTGTGCTATTCTGTAAGACGAATCAGCCGCAGTCGATTATGCATCTTGAGACTACATCGCCTTGGGGAAGGACGTTGAATCCTCATAATATCAATCTTTCGGCTGGAGGATCTACTGGTGGCGAGGCGGCTCTTATCGCTCTCCGTGGGTCGATTTTGGGTATTGGTACAGACATTGGAGGAAGTGTTCGTGGACCAGCTGGCTTCTGTGGAATCTATGGCCTCAAAACGACGTCTTACGTCTTCCCCCAGAAAGACTTCTTACCGGGTGGTTTCGCCGCCGAACTCAATGTCTTATGTTCAGCTGGGCCAATGTGCACCTCGCTCCGGGATGTTGATCTCCTCATGTCGGTCGTCTCCGGTACTCGCCCTTGGCTGAAAGATCCGCGGCTTGTCCCTCTTCAGTGGACTGGCAGACTGACGGAGGAGAAGCCTCTCAAGATCGGAGTCATGATGAATGATGGCGTCATCACTCCCCAGCCACCTGTCACAAAAGCCCTGGAATGGGCGGTCGGTGAGCTTCGTTCAAAAGGCTTCGACGTCAAGCCTTTCCAGCCTTACGGAACGGAAGAGGCCATGAAGGGTATTCGTCGCGCATACTGGCCTGATGGAGGCAAAACAGTCAAAGCCTATCTCTCAGCCACGAACGAACCCATGAATGTCTTGACGAAATGGATCATCCAAGACGCCGAAGGTCCTGGTCTCGACGCCAATGGTGTTCTCAAACTTCGGGTAGAACGCGATGACTTCAGATGTCGTTTCGCAGAGCATTGGGAGTCACAAGATGTCGACTTCGTCATTTGTCCTGTCTTCGTTGGCCCAGCCTGTTCTCACGAGACGGCTCTTTACTGGAATTACACTGCACTCTGGAACTACGTTGACTACCCCGGCATGGTTATTCCTACGCCTATCAAGGCTGGTGCGAAAGGAACCGAGAGTTACCCAACAAATAGCGTTCCTTTGAGTAAAGAAGAGGAACATGTTAGACAATTCTGGGCGGAGGGTGATTTTGAGGGAGCGCCTATCAATTTGCAGGTTGTTGCGAGGAAATATCATGATAATGATCTTTTTGCGGCGGTGAAGGAGATTGACAAGGTCATCAATCAGCGATAATTGGTGGTTACTTGAAGATATTGGATGAGTTGATTGGTAGATAATTGGCCAACCAGATTCATAAACACATATGTGCGGTCAGCACGCGCCTCGCATTATCTCACTCCCCACAAATGATCTTGCTGCATCTGAGTTTTTAGCTCGGAATCACAAGAGTTGGAATTCATGTCATCTTATGTCTGTGCATATTGACCGCATTTAAACAGCGAAATATCAGCCTGAATCGCGTCGACCTTTCTGGAAAACGATCAAATAGATTGATGCACCATACGCAAGTCTACACCTTTCAACCTAAACTGTCTTCAATATGCATGGGTCTCCCTCTATGGAGGGACCTTCGAAGGCAGATTCAGGCCCATCGGAACAGCTTGGGTATTCTACGCAGAATCAAACATTGAATCAGCCCCTCCCCAGCAGTGATCCAGATTACTCATATTATGATAATAGATACTTAGGAGATTCTCCTAGCTCTCTTGACCTCGGCTATGTCTTTCCGGTTCCCTCTCCGGCTCCTCCCTTCTCTATTCAAGGAACAACGCCTGCTCCACAACAGAGAACCTCAATCGCCTGCAGATATTGTAGTAAGCGGAAGGTCTGTTTTGCCATAAAGTGGCGCACTTTCTGGCCAGGGGCTAGCTACTAATATCTCACAGATCAGATGCAGTGGCCGGCCAGATCCACCTGGTGGTAAATGCAACAATTGTCAAAGAATGAAAGAAGACTGCATATTCTCTGGAACACCGCGTTCCACAGCCTTTGTCCCTCCTAACGTAGTACCCGGGGCCATCTCACAGGGTGCCGGCGCTTATAGTCCTTTCAGTCAACCCTTCGACCCATTTCATCAAGAATGGCAATTCAAGAGTCCTAGTCCCCATTTCCAGCAATCTAGGCAACCTGGTCAGCCCCCCAAGGGGAAAGGCCGTCCGGAATATGCAGATCAGGACGTGACTAGTCAGCAACCTTTCAACCCTCAACCCATAGCTCCAAACAAGATTTCACAACTTTTACAGAATGCTCCAGAATATGGAAATGATGAATATGAAGCATACCGGCCATCGCCTACCTTTCAAAACAGGCAGCGATCACCAGGCCCCCAACATTCGTCCAACCAGGATTTCCAACTCGCTGAACGTTTCGCACCTCAAGATTGGGCAAAGCCACGTGCGAAACTACAAGACCATGAGCGGCAAGTCAAGGGCCTGTCCATTCTGGATGCCCCACTCCCCGAAAGCTTCTTCTCATTAGCTCCGAAAAAACCAATTGCGACACTACGAGAGCGTCAGCGGCAAGTTCGACTTCCGTCCGTCCTAGATTTACCACTCCCCCAAAGTTTCGGACGTCAAGCTCGGGCAGAACCACCTGCGATACAGCAACAACATGAGCGCCAGGTTATTAAGGAGGGCGAGAAGTCTGGACATGACTTCCAGTCTAAATTGAGGAAACAACCTGAGGTCTCGAGGGAGCCTAGCGAGCTACCTGATGCGTCGGGGCTGAGTATAAGGTCTCAGAACCCTTCATGCTCGCCAACGGTATCATCTGATATCGAAGTTGTTTCAGTCTCTGGTGATTCAGAAGGAACGGACCTACCAGACAGGAACAGTCCAGGATTCCGGATCTTTAACCGAGTATTCCACCGTCTAGCCGTTCTAGGTCAGCACGAAGTGAAATTGAGGGGTGAATCAAGCGGATGTAGTTCAAAGGGAAAACAGCCTGCAAAAAGCGGTTCTGCGAGTTCTTCTGGTACTAGGGATGGGACAAGCTTGACCCGGGCGCGGAAGAATCAACGGCAAGATGACGACCGTGGAAACGATGGCAGAGATAAAAGGAACGACCCGCCATCGAAAAGAGGCAAGATTAGCCATTCACAGTGCGAGGGGAGGTCACAGTTTCTGGCATGTCCATACTGGAAACAAGACCCTGAAAAGTATTGGGATTGCTTCCTGAAGAAGAACGATACCATCGCACACTTAAAGCAACACCTAACGCGGCGCCATACACCGAAATACTACTGTCAGATCTGCTACGAAACTTTCAAAGATTTCAGTCTTTTTGACTTCCATGTTTTAGAGAGATCATGCATGAGAGGTCCATCCGCAAAATTAGAAGGGATATCTCAGCAGCAGAAGAACAAGCTGTCATTGAAGAGTAAGGGTTCAGTTGAACAACAATGGTATACAGTATGGTCGATCCTATTTCCTGACACTGATCCTCCTGCTACGATATACATTCATTCGACACAGTCCGAAGACTTTTGTCGGATCCAAGAGTTTGCCCAACGAGAAGGAGTTGCTATTATGTTGGATGAGCTAGACTCTAGTGGGCTTATAGTCCGACATGATACATCTAACCAACAACTACGATCGACCGTACAGAGAGCTATGGTGTCGATCTTTAGAAGCTACTCGGTCAGACGCGAACCGAATCTCGAAGAGGCTGAAGAGCCGAGTTTAAACCAGTGTGGCGAATCAGCCTATGGGACATCACTTCAACAGCAATCTCCTCCGGAAAGCCAGACAGGTCAGGCTGATCCTATCCTCATCGACCTGAACCAGATGATGGCGGACGACACAGATAATTCTATACTTGAAAGATTCAATAGGCCGAATAGCAGTACATGGTCACAATTGCCAACGATGACTCCATGGCTTTCCAGGGAGGCTGTGCAAGATCACATTGAAGAGGGGCCATGGGCCCCTACTTTCTTCGAAGAACCGGCACTCGGGGTAAGCTCTGCAAGGAATGATTTAGCTTTCAATATTGAGAGTTCGGACATGTTGGACTTGGATGCCTTACTGCGAGATGTGATAAATACTGAAGCATAGTCTATATACGATCGCTATTAAAATAACTGTGGCGACTTTGAGCTTAACAGATCCTGGGCTCGATCTTGAACATACCAATTTACGCTGAGACTAAAATTCTTCTCATTTATAACGTCTATCAAAGTATAATTGCTGTGTATAACTCCCGTCTTCAAACACCAATGTCACACCGCCCTCCTTTGGGAACTATAAAGAACTCTCCGACCTGTGTCATCATCTCACCCGTCATGCCATGATGCAATTGCAAGCCCCTACACTCACGGAAGAGCATAGCCAATGTGACGAGGATCTCCGTTCGAGCTACATGCATACCCACACATCTTCTTGCGCCAATATTAAATGGTACATGTGCCCTTTTCATTTCTGGTGTCGGATTCAGGAATCTTCTAGCATCGAATCTTTTCAAGTCAGCACTTGGATCAGGTTATCCTGGGATGAAAGACACTTACTTATCTGGCTCGGGGAAAACGTTTTCAAGCCGGGAAATGAGCCATCCAGTCGTGTAAACCATTGTGCCTCCAGGGATATGCCAGTCATGAACGGAGATTCCACTCGGAGGTACGAGCCTCTCAACAAGTGCTGCTGCAGGATTATACATCCTTAGCACCTCTTCCAAGACACTATTCAAGAGAGATAGACCCTCAACATCCGTGGCCGTGAAGTTGGTAGCCAGGCTAATAACCTCCTCCTCGATCTGCCTCCGGAGGTCTGGGTCTCTGACAATCTCCCATGTCGCATATGTCAAAGTAGTAGCCGTACTATCCGAGCCCGCAACAAGAAGCATGCTTACCTCAGAGCTCAACTCATCGTCGTTCAAGATGGGCTTCTTGCCATTCACTTCTTGACTCAACAAGTGACGGGCGATGCTCGGGCCGCAATTTGATGAAACTCGCAGTTCTCCAAGGGCTGTTCCTACCCGGTTGAAGATGACTTCAGTGACTTGACCGACGTCTCTGAGCCAGGAAATAGGAGACCATTTGAAGAGAGACATGAGCCGCCGAGGGAGTATGGCTTGAAAAACAACAGAAGGGCCAGCATTCGCCAAAGCCGTGTAGAGCGGCAGGCCTTTGCCACCTGATTGCAGCAACTTGAAAGGTTTGCCGAAGGCCATCTCACTGACAACATCGACTGCCAGGCAGCGCCACCATTTGTAAACATCAGCCTGGCCGTCTTCGACCTCCTTCTTGATGTTGGACACTGCCTGACTAGCCAGTCGCTGAATCTTCACTTCTTGTTCTTCTTTTATTGACGCAAATCCGCGACCAATAATTCGTTTGCGTTCTGAGTGAAGACGAGGATCTCGCATGGTGAAGAGCATAGACGAGTGGCTGAAGCGGATATGGTCAAAGACAGGTGCTTTCAGGCAGTGGCTACCCACGCCATGGACTTTGTAGTAGCCATCGACGCTGTTGATGGAAACCTCTTTGGGTCCGACTCTAACTACTGGACCGTGTACTCTATGGAGATGGCGAAGATGCTGACGGCTCGTCCCGACTGCTCTAGCGTAAAGGAGCGGAAGGCCTGTGAAATGGGTATACCATGGTCCAGGTAGGCGTGAAAGTGGGCCACGGAAGTAGTTAAACGTAGCTCGAAGCACGGAAGCTAAGAGTACAATGGAGAGGATGGGTATAATTGTGAGAAACATTGCTTCAGTATCTAGCGAAGACAATAGTAGTTGTCAACTGGGTAGCATCAAGGATGTAGATCTGTGGATCCAAGCTATATATGTACAACATCAAAATCAACATCTCCTCTCAACATTGACACTCATAAATTTCACCATATTCGTTTTAGGTCTGTGACAGCTTCTAATCTTCGGGTGCCGACTAGCTCAGCCCTGCTAGTCAAGGATTAAGTTTCATAAGCGCCGCTGAATAAATTAACGCTGTCATGATACCAGCGATGTCACTTATCTCATGCACGATTGGGGTCTAAAATGCCAGCTGGCATGGTATCATGTATACTATTTTAGTGCCTGGCGGACGGGCTGGCCCGCGTCTACTGACCCTTCTTCACATGTCAGGATCTCAGAAGCTTGGTATTAGGGAGTCGAAGCCGCATTTGAAACATATAAGCCACGATTTAGTACAAGAATAGCCACTTATAATGAGGGAATTTCTGACTGCCTTCTAGAAATGGTAGTACACGGAAGAAATCGATGATGCTCTTACTCCTTCTGGCCTGTTATCCGCAGATCCACTTTCTTTCTGCAAGATACCTTGTAAATATTGGTTAATGCCGTAGAGCCGCATATGCACTGCGCCTTGTAAGCCTTACGAATACCACTACAATCCCAAAGTGGCTCGAGAAATCCGAAACTGTCAAACTTTGGGGCTTTTTATCAGTCATATCCTGGGAGATGCAGATAGCTAGGGCTCTTTTACGGGCGCTTATTGTGTTGTCTTAGAAGCTGTATGACCCCTGCTGCATTGGCCTCGCATAGACACACTCATCATTGGCCTCGTTCGGCTATTTGGGGTAATGATGCTCCGCCACGTGGTACTGAAAAAGTAGAGATGCTGCAGAGTAAAATCTCTTCCGGGGATTTGGGTATGGTTGAACAAGATGACATGTGAAACCACTCATGTAGGAAGCGGTCTCAGCAGCAGTTGACTTGTTTTTAGACACCCTTTGCACTGAATAATTGTTTCATATATGATTGAGAGATACTAACAGAATCAGTCTCCTTACTTAACGCACCAATTCCTAGTCTAGTAACGACAGCTGAAAGCTTATTTTGAAGTCACCAGCACAACATTAGTAACCTGTTCAGAAACCCGCTAACAGCGCCAACGTTTTGCTAAAGTGCAGTTTTCTCACTATTCTTAGGGCTTTTACTGTATTCTCCTTGAGCCCGCTCATGTAAGAGAATGGGGGCGAATCTGCAGGAGACACGAGCTATTTTCGCTTGACCGGAAAAATAAGCACTAAATCTGGTACGCCATTACACCCATGTAAATGACACCCAACATTGCTGCGATCTTATCAGTCTCTCTGAGGCTGAGCCCTTATCGTGGACCTTGGGTCCGGCGGAAAATTTGCTGCAGCTGGGTGTTATTTATAGATATCGTTATAGGGTCTTATTCAGAGGATCTAACGTCTGATATAATTACAATACCCACTGAAGAGCCATCTTTACAGCTTCATTTCATTAACTCTAATCAAGATTGAACATGGCATACAGTGTTACTACCAGTGCGCCTATACAGGCTAGCCCAACCAAGATTCTTTTACACAGTCTTGGAACACTCTCTTTTTCCTATAGCTTTTACCTCTTGACAACATGGGACTCAGCGTACTCTGATTCTTTTGGATGGTATTTTCAGCTCCTCACTGTCGTGGGACTCACCTTGTCTCTTATCACATTATCTCTGGGTCTCATTGCAGATCTTGCGACTCATGATGGCTGCTCTAGGGCCAAAGATACTATTTCACTTCTTGCGACTCCCCTTGAAGTCATGATTGCTGTCCTGTACTGGTCTATCAAATTTCACGATCCATCATTGCTTATGCCAGCAGACCTTGTCATCAATCCTTGGGCTGATCTTGGATACCATCTTGTACCCGCTGTGCTATTGGTACCAGACTTACTGCTGTACAGTCCCCGAGCGACTATCTCTACGCGGAGCATGATGTTTGCCAGCACCATCTTGGCCGTCGTTTATTGGTGCTGGATTGAGTTGTGCTACTACCAAAATGGCTGGTAAGTCAAGATATCGGTATCTGACCTGGTGCAGTAGTTGACACATATAGGTACCCGTATCCCATGATGGATCAATTCTCCGCCATTCAGCGGGTTGCAGTTTTCGTCGGGTCATCCGGACTACTGACTCTGACATCGTCTTCTCTCCAATGGGTCCACGGCAAGTTGCACGATCCTTTGTTGAGAAAGATCCGGGTGAACTAGTCGTGATGAAAACAAAGCTGGTTACCGCGGATGAGAAACGTGTACAAGGTGGCCAGGGGAAGAGAAGCGGAATTCCGTTCCAGCTTTCCAGCGGTTGACTTAGCGGGTCAATGCGATATAAGATTAAGGATTTTGCAGGGTTTGGCGAGACGGCAGAGAGCGAAACAATACTATCCAGATTTAGCCAATGAATCTATGAAGATCGACGTCCAAGCTCCTCTGGATCAGCCTAACTAATTCACTATATTGAAGGATTCACTCCTGAATGAATATTAATTTTATAAGACCAACGCTACTGTTGCTGAGCACTGAAGCGAGGTAAATAGTGAAACAGCAAAAACATAGCCCAAGCACTTGCAAGACGAGATATAAGAAGACATCAGCTCAACTCAATATCGACGATTTCTCATCCATTTTCAGTTACAGCACTCCTCAATCCATACACCGAAGACAATCATGCAGTTGTCCATTACTACTATTATCGCCGCTCTGGCAACCTTCCACATCGCTAATGCCAGCTGGAAAAGTAAGTCGGCAGTACCGTATTATTGACTTTTCAACTGATCATTCGCCTAGTCACTGCCTTCAGTAATGGTGCTTGTACTCTGAACGCAGACGACATCAACTCTTTCTCACGCGAGATCAGCTCGTCAGAGAGTGTTCCAGATTGCTTCACCTTTGGACAAGACATGCCCGGTACATCTTGCACTGAAGCCTACCCGGCCACTTCTACAGCAGGACCTTGCAACAGTGGCCCATTGAACCCAAAGTCCATCCGGGCTGAGGGCAACTGTGTCTTCTATGCCGAAGCCAACTGTGGAGGGTCTGAAGCAGGAGTTACGTTGCCTGGCACTCCGACTTGTGTCGATAATGGGGCGGACATCATGTCTTATAAATGTGTAAGTACATTTCTTTGCGCCAAAAGGAGACTTCGCTGCTGACACAGGCATCAAAGTGGTCTGATTAGACATATTTTAGTGGATAGTGTCGATAGTTTTCAGGCAAGAAACAGTCCTTTTAACCAGCTTTAGAATTGTTAAGAATACCAACCATATGTTCCCTTCATTCTCCTGGCTACAGCAATAAAAATACGCACAACACTACAATGATTAGACTCGAGCTGCAGTCAGCCCATAGAATGATAAGCTGTAGATAATAACAATATCGACGATGACGTCTGAATATTTGTCACACTATTATCACAAGATCACTTTCTCGACCCCCAGTAGTTTCAACAAACCTGTCGGAACCTTCAATCGTTCAACGAGGTAAGGCGCGCGATAAGCGTCACCTCTCAGCCAGATCCAACCTCTTCCACAACACTTCAAAAAGCATACAGAGTCACGCGGGGAATTGTCAAGTTATGGCATACCCCGCAACTCCGACTTAAGGAAGCGAACTCGGGAGCGGGGTTAGTTGATAGAATGTCACTGATAGAATGCCAAAGCTCGGAAGAATACGAAGGACCTATCGCAGTCGACTAAACTATCAATTGCCGACTCCACTCTCCGCTCTCAGAGATAAACTCAATCCCGCGAATAACGTTTTCACTACGGTTGGCTACAAGCTTAACTGAACATGATGTAGATTATCGATAGTTTGGTATCTCTGGGGTAAGATCGCTTATGCGCGTGTGATAGAGGCCGTCACTTGTTATCTGGACCAACGAACCGGAGGAGTAGCTATATATCCGTCTCTTGTCTTGCAACTGTTTGAATGAAGCATTAACTTCTCACTGGTCATTCAACTCCCCTGCCTAACAACTCGAGATGACTTTCAAGAACATGATCCGCAACTCTCCACTCGCAGGCTATGGAAAGGCCATACGCGAAGCACCCCGCGAGGTCATCTTCAATCCACATCTCCTGCTATCATCATTCATCTATGCCTTTGGTGGATTTCCCGTCAGTAAGTAATTACCCACTTCAGCTGTGTGTCCATTACTCATAATCCACCCATAGTTTGGGATCAGGGTGCATCATCGGTCATACCCTCCCTTCCTGGCTTTCAGAACCATTTCAAGATCATCTCCGGATCAAACGCCGATGAGATTCGAGTCTTCGTGTCCATCGTTTACGTTGGATTCGGAGTTGGCTCTGCTCTTACTTTCTTCATCAATGACCGAATTGGGAGACTCTGGTCCTATCGCCTCTATACCCTCATCTACTGCATTGGTACTCTCATGGCCATCTTTTCTCTGAACCTCAATGTCCTTTACGCTGCTCGTGTCATCCAAGGACTAGGCCTGGGACCATTGACAGTTACGTGCCCCATGTCCATCGTTGAGATCGCTCCAGCAGAGATTCGAGGTCTTCTCGCAGCATGGTTCACTCTATTGATGGGCCTTGGCTTGTTCACAGCAGTGTTCTGCACTCTTGGAGTCTACCGCCATGTACCCGTGGGCAATCTCCAGTTCCAAATCGTCTGGTTAACACCCATGATCCTCATGGGACTCTGTATGATTGCTACTTTCTTTATCCAGGAGTCACCTCGCTGGTTGTTCATGACTCAGCGTAGGCAAGAGGCTATCGATACCCTCGTCAGAACCCGAGGCTTGCCAGCTGATAACGCTCGTGTGGAACATGAGATCCGGGATATCGAAGACGATATCAACAGAACTGCTGAAGCGGTCGGAAACTCAAGCTTGTGGACAATTGCAAAGGAAACTTTTACTATCACATCCAACCTGCGCCGGGTTCAACAAAGCCTTGTCTGCTACGCGCTTGCACAACTATCCGGGGCTAATCTCATTACTTCTTACTTCGTCCCCATCCTTGCCATCGTGGGCGTTGGTGGTGACACAGCCCATAGCATGTTCCTCAGCGGCATGTACGGTGTTTCCAAGTTTTTCTTCATCCTTATCGCCACATTCTTCTTCATCGACGCTCTTGGTCGACGCAAGTCTCTTTTTATCGGCGCTGGTTTGCAGATGGTAACTCATATATATCTTGCTGTGTATGTCAGGACTTCGCAGAAAGGTCCTGTCTCTGAAGCAGCTTCGAACGCAGCTATTGCAGCACTTTTCATCCACGCTTTTGGATATGGAGTTGGTGAGTTTTGACGCAATGATCTACTAAGTGAACCTACTAACTACTAAAAGGCCTATTCATTCTCCCTTATGTGTTTGGCAGTGAGCTGTGGCCCAACCGGATTCGATCTTTCGGCAGCGCTCTCAGCCAAGCTTTCCACTGGCTGTTCATTTACGCGATGCAGTACAGCATGCCATCTATCCTCTCAAGCTTCCATCAGTGGGGCGCTTTCATCTTTTTTGGTGCCTGGTGCGCTGTTGCGATTGTTTACACCTATCTCATGATCCCAGAAATTTCTGGCCTCAGTGTCGAAGAAATCGAGGACCTCTTCCGTGGTCCGTGGTTCAATGCTCACAAGCGTACGAAGCAGACGGTCGTGCAGGGCGTGATTGAGAATGGTAAGGAGGACTTCGGTGATATTATGTGAGTGGTTTTAGTGTTACTTTTTCGCGGTTTCGCATCTGACAGGCTTACCAGGGACGATAAGATGAAGAGCTATGACGCCAACGAGAAGGATGTCTCGAGGGTAGTGTATGGTCATGCTATGGAAGTGTGAAGCTTAGCCTTTTATGGAAGTCTGGAGATACGGATACAGGTGATCGTGGTTAGCTTCTGTCTTGTATTCGTTAGTGTTGGAGTAGTTCTATGTGATCAACTGTTTTCGATTCGTATCATCAAATTCATTAACTGCTGTTGATTCTTTCGTCCTGATACAACTCGGCATTGTTGAAATTATGTTTACAAGTTCAACGTAATTCCGCAGGGACTCATAAATTTTGGTCACGGTTCCCCTTTGAGGTGTTCACAAGACGAAAACAAACTGATTTCTGGCAAGCATTGGTCAGAAGGTCACTTGAACTGAGCTTCAATCAAATCCTAACGTTCAAACATCCAGATGGAAATTGGAATAAGCACGATTTGCATGGCGAGAGTTCATATCATCAAGTTCATACCAATAATATGTTATTCTGGTAGTTTTATCCTATCTATGCGACCTGCCTGAATTAAAGTCGACTAAGTTGCTTCGACGAAGCGTCAACTGTCGTAAAGGCCTGATGTTGAAGTGAACGGTCACTGCCGACACCTTCCATCAGACTATTAAACGGCTTTACACCAGCTTCCAAAACCCTCCACCTCCACAAGTCCAGATACTCATTCTTCTTACCTTCAATCCTATCCACGACGTGCTCACCTAGATTGGGCAGAAACTTGAAGCCATGTCCACTACCGCCCGTTGCAACCATCAGACCCTTTGTGCTAGGTACGAAGTCCATGACGAAATGGTTGTCGTATGAATCGGTGTACCAGCAGAGACGAGTGCTCATCTCACATTGCGTCAGCTCGGGGAGGAACTCTTTCACAAAGCCTTTGACGACTCTCACGCCGATAAGTGGAAGTTGACGGATTGACTCTTCCGTCCATCGAGTCTTGGGTACACTTCTGACTGTGCCATCTGCTTGTGTCTGGGGGTTTGTGAACTTTGTGCCGCGATATCCCATCTTGACAACACCGTTTGCGTCTCGTGCAAAACCGTAAAGCCCTCCGTACTTGCCATGGCGCATGTTATATCTGAAGCTCTAGAGTCAGTGTTCAGTCGATCCATCCTTGAGACGTACTCACGACCAGGTTGGGAAGTTCTCAGGCGCAAAACGATCCCATAAAGCCTTATCGGGTGGTAGCTGAAATAGCGCCACGCTTCCCGCTGTAGTCTCGCAAAGGTTGTCAAGTTGCGTGATAAGCGAAGGAGTCCAGCCACCGCAAGCCATGATCGTCAGCTCCGCTCGATGAACTATCCCATCAACCGTTCTGACTCCAGTGATCTGTGAATCAGTGTTCCCAACAAAGCTTAAAAACTTTCCCTTCGATTCTCCGAAGATGAATTGTACACCCAAAGTCTGTGCTTTGTGAAGTGCAAAGCGGCAGGCTTTGTCAGCGTATGCAAAACCTGACTGGGTATCAAGAAGGGCGGAGTTGTCTTTGAGGTCGAAAGCATTGAGAGCGAACTCAAATCCTTGAGACTTTGCCCTTTCAACGTCCTTCGGCTTGCTGAGATCGATCTGTGTATGCTCTAAGCCAACCTTGGTCATGTTCTCGATGGTGTCTATGTCAAACTCGGACAATGAGGACTCCGAGGTGATGGTAAGAACTCCGTTATTGACAAATAACTTGTCAGACGAGGAAAGGCCAGGAGGTGTGAGTTTCCCGGCCGTCAGCTCATCATTCCACTTCTTCCACTTGGCGATGGCATCAAGTGCGAGATTCTGGTACCAAATCTCTTTGCCATATGCAGCACGGATGATTTTGTTGATGTCTTGTTGAGGAATGTCAGCTTGTTTATAGCAAAGAATACTATTCGCCTTACCCGCTGAGGCAGCATCGCATCCTTTATCATAAGAATATTGAGAATCGTGATATGGTTGTTTGTCAAGAACTTTGACGTTGCTGTAGCCGCGTTCTGCCAAGTGAAGGGCCGTGCTTAGACCAAAGACACCTGCACCAAGGATGACAATTGGGGAAGATTTGCTAGACAGGTTTGATGACATCGTGCTAGCAGTATCTTTCGCAAGTTGATAAATAATTTCCTGTATTCTTTGATCAAGTCAGGGATAACTGAAATCTCGATAAGGTGATTTGAAGCGTTTATACTTTTAACTGTTATCGCAAATGCGCATTTACAGCTTCCCCTGCTCAAAGCAGATAACGATGGCCGATTTGCCGGCGATAACACGGGCAGCATCGCAACAATTCCCCGCTCCCTCGGCGAATGGTTCTTTTCTATTGGCCCTTCGTATTCTTCCGAGGAGGGGAAAAATAGCTGGTGGAGATCAAAATTGGCCTTTGCTTCATCAGGATGGTGTTGAACGCCGGGTCCGTCCTCCGCATCGGAACGAGGATTCTCTTCAACTTTTGACAACCGTTCCATGTCGCGAAATGGATCTGAGTCTTGTAACATTCGATTGATCAATTCGGAACACTCTTTCGGCCGTTGTTCAGAATCGGATTCTTCCGCGCGTCGTCTGATATTGCGTACCTTGCTCAACCGGGTTCCCCAAGACCCACAGACTCGTTCTACCCTACAGTGCTGAGATCGGCAAATTGGTCAACCATGCCTGAGGTCATCAAGAGTCGACCAGCGAGAGGGGCGGCGCAACGAGTGCGAACTGGAAGTAGAACTCTCGTAGCATGCATAAGTTGCAAAGACAGGAAATTGAAGGTCAACACTGTTGACCTCACGTCAACGCCAGTGCTGACAATGGTTTAGTGCGATGAGCAAATCCCGTCCTGCAGCAATTGTCGGCGAAGTGGTCTTGGTAAGTCTCGACACTGTATCAGCAAGATATTCTCCAGGAATAACGATGTGTAGGCTGCTTTGTTGAAGATCCAATAACGAAAAGACATCAACCGCGGAACTACTTGGAGACGTTAGAGCAAAGAGTAGTTCTGTTGGAAGAACAGCTGAAAGAGGCTCGGTCGAATGTTACCAATGGCCCAAGTCCTTCAGCGAGTAATCAGGCTGCTTCTACATCAGATCAAGCTAGTACGACTGCCATAGACGAGCGATTTGAACTCGATGATCTCTCGTCCATGATTGGAACACTGAGTCTGAATGCAGCGGGCGCTGAACCCAGTTATCTTGGCGCCTCATCTGCGTTCGCCTTCGCACGCTTCATGAAGCCCTCCATTCGCCAAGCCGTTACATCATTACCTCCAGAAATTTCCTCCATTTCCAGATCACAATCTCATGGCCATGCATCTTATCCCCCAGAACCTTGCCCGCTACCAGACTATCAGACAGCTGTCAAGTTGAGCAACGCTTACTTTCAGAACATCCATCCCCAGTACCCCTTCTTGCATGAACCGACCTTTAGGCTGTGGGAAACGGTATTAGAAGACCCGTTTGAAGCGATGAGTAGACTTGGCTATGACCCCGTACCTCTCTACTTCCTCAACATGGTAGACCCTACATGGATATTGACTGAATACTTATCTAACCACTACAATAGGTCTACGCTATCGGAGCTCTCCTGAAACCCGGCTTAGGCTATTCAGCAGAGCAACTCTACGTCTCTGCCATGCTCTACATAGATGAGATCATTTGTAATGACAACCTGGAGTGTATACAAGCGATCCTCTGCTCAGCAGCCTATTCTCTACGCTCGGCAAAAGGGACATCACATTGGTAAGACCCCCAGCTAATTCCAATATCTACGCTAACATACGGTAGGAAGCTAGGTGGACAAGCCCTTCGCCAATGTGTAAACCTCGGCTATCATCGTAATCAGAAGCGACTACGGTCTACCCTCAACCCATTGCAAAGAGAGCTCCAAAAACGAGCGTTTTGGAGTGCATATGTAATGGAGTGCTCTGCAGCTGTGATGTTAGGAAGGCCACTGAGTCTTCATTATCAAGAGATTGATGCTGAGGTAACACCATCCAACCGCGTTAACATATTGTCGTCCTAACTGCTGCAAGTTTCCATTGGATATAAAGGAGTCACAAATATCTTCAGCCGGAATCTACGGCAATTCACGATCCTTACCAACTGACCCGCCCACGGTCATGACACATGCTACCCATGGCTTCCGCATCCGTGCGCTAATAGGACGGATACAGACAACGCTTTACTCTGATAGCACTCTTAGAGATGCTACAATCCGTCAAGCATTGATCGAACATCTGTCCGACGAGCTAGAGGAATGGTATACTGCACGACCTCCTCCAATGATTCCCCCAGATGGCGGTGCACTCTCATTCTTCGTTAGTGCAGATTGGTATGAAGCCAACTATAACTACGCCGTCCTTCAACTCTTCCGGCCTCAAATAACGGACACCAAGAGCACGGCATCAGATGAGATCTTTCTCAAATGTCTAAGCACGTCAAAACAGACATGCCACATCTTTCGACGACAATATTTTGGCAAGCCAATGGCATATACTTGGAGCGCTTTGCATGAGCTGTTTCTCGCTGGACTGACATACCTGTACTGTCTATGGATGTCTCCCGCGGCACGACAGGTATCTCGGTATGATGAAGTCAGCAACACTTGTACAGATTGTACCATGGTTCTGGTGATCCTTGCTGAGCGGTGGCCTGAAGCAGCGCCCTTTCGGAATATCTTTGAAGTGCTCGCAAGCCGGACAATGACCATGATGACTGATTCGCATCAAGGAAAGGAAGTAATGCCTATAGCAATAGGTCCAGAACAAGAGACATACCCGGAAGGCTTGTCGCAGTGGATGGCTGGAATGTCTGATACAGGTATAACTACAGGGGTGGATTGGTTGCTGAGCGAGCTCATAGACGAATTCCCAGCTCCTGAATAAGGACATGTAAACACAACATGGATGATATTATATAACCGAAACTCAGATTTCAATGTTGATGAACGTGTTTTTGTTCCTCGGCACAGACCTGTCCGGTGTTGAATTTCGGCAACTGGCGTAGTCTCTCCTCTTTTCCGAGCTCCATTGACTTCTTGGTGCCGGAATTGCACACAGCTCTTCTTGCGGTTCGATAACAGTATCCGGACTAATGCGGCCCAACTGTAGCTAGCTCCGGAAGAACACGAGCATCCTCGATCATTGGCCCTGGATGGGACTGTCAATGGCACCAGTAAATCCCGACCCGATATAGTGGGGGTGAGCAACTGAGAGCAAACATAGGCAGTGTCTCCATGCCGTCGCAAAAGCCATAAACCCCAGATAAAGCACAGATGCCTATGATGTGTATATACATATCGAGTGCCGGTTTAAAAAAAGTCATTCACATCCATCATACCCTTATCTCAACACTGATATCAGCTTCTCACGCTCACAAAAATGGCTAACAGACAAGCTATTAACCGACCGGGCTTCTCGTCCCTAATCCTCTCAGAAGCTCTTATCCATGACGGTCTGGTATACACAAGCGGCAAAATTGGCGTTGATGCCAAGACCGGTGTTCTTGTATCCGATGATGTTGCTGAACAAACAGTAAGTCATCAAGTACCTGATTCTCAAGACCGGCCCTGACTATCTATAGAGAGCGGTGCTTGGACTGCTAGAGTCTGTTCTCCATGAAGCAGGAAGTGGACTTGACAGAATTCTCAAGGTACTACAAGCCCATAACGCGTGATGAGTGTCGGTATTGATTAAATTGTAGTGCAACATCTACCTGACAAACATTAATGACTTTGCGGCTATGAACGCCGTTTGTGAGTCTTATGTTCGATGTTCTTGATGAGAAAATGCTGACGCTGCTATGGACATTGCGACGATCCCTAATCCCAAGCCTGCTAGGGTCTGTGTGACAGTTTCAGAACTGGGAAAAGGTGCTAAGGTAAGTTGCCAACCTATTAATAACAGAAAAAATGTTGAGTCAAAATTGCCAGGTCGAGATTGATTGTATAGCCGTTGTCGAAAAAGCTTTGTAAGCCAGACTTGTCAAGCTTCGAGAAGAGTCTTGCCTCTAACGCTACAGTTTCTTTTATATAGCAAAGCCTCTCTGTAGATACCTGGATAAGATGTAGAATAAATGGGAAGAAAGGCAGAAATGTTTTCGTTGTTCAAGACAATACAGATGAGAACGGTCTGACTTGGGTGCTTATCAGTGAAGAGAGATGGTGAGATTGACGTCAGTTTATGTATCCACATTTGCGCCCTTGCATTGTCATGTTCCTTCTTGAGTCATAATTGCTGCAACTCCTCATATTTGCCTACTCACATCTCTCGTATTGAAAATCTTTGGATTGAGAATTAAAAGAAGACACAATGAGGACTCTTCTATTACTTGGAGGCATGACACCAGATGTCACCGCTCTCTACTACAACATCATCAATAAGGTCGTCAGAGCCAAACTCGGTGATCGAGTATCAGCCCCGTTATATCTGTACAGCGCCAACCTCGAAGAAATGATTCAGCATGCCATGAAAGGAGATTGGGCTGAGTTCGCAAAAGTCTACAAAAAACCAATCAGGTCACTGAGCGACAGAGTGGACGGCATTGCGATCTGTGCTATTCTCGCACACAAGGTCGCCAAAAAATTATTTGACGACTCCTCAGCGGCTCGTGTCCCGCTGTTCCACATCGCTGACTGCCTCGCACTCCACATTACCAACAATCATCCAAAGGTGAAGAAACTTGGTCTGCTCGGCCCCAAGATCTCGATGCTCGATTCTGATGATCCGGATTTCTTTGTGGCTATGTTACGGAAGGCTGGCTTTGAAGTTCTCATCCCCGAAACCCCAGCGGATATTGAGGAAGTTAACAGAGGCATGCTTGAAGAAGTGGCGAAGGGCGTTGCTTCTGTGACCGACTCAACCAGAAAGATGTTCATCGAACAAGCGAAAAGGCTGATCGATAGAGGAGCTCAAGGTATTATACTGGGTAGCACGGATTTGGGCTTCGTGCTAAGGCAAGAAGATGTTGGGGACATTCCGCTGTTTGAACCAGCTGCTATTCATGCGCAGGAGCTAGGAATATGGATTTGTGAAGGAGAGGAAGACCAGTCACCATAGCTTATCGACGTTCAAAGTAGGTATCGCGGTACTGCTAAAAGTGAATCATGTTTTACTGCGCCGATAAGATTCCCTCTGGTCATTTTAGCTGTTTCCGGAGAGGAAGCTACGGATATGCTTTCGGAGATAAGACTGACAATATGTGGGGTTGCAATCTCGGGTCGTCCTTCGGCCCGAAGTCTTTGGGATAACCAAATTCCGATTCATCACCCGATCCATCTTCCAGTTGCCAAACAACGCGATTTACTCTTATCTGCTAATAACCATGAGCGCAGTGGACCCTAACTCTCCGCGTCCAGGGTCTGATGGCACCCTCTCACGTACGGCCTGTGAGAGATGTCGCAGACAGAAGGTTTGTGACCCTCAGCGCAATGCCAACTGCTGACACTCGGGCCGACAGCTTCGTTGCAGTCGCCAACGTCCAACTTGCACGCGATGCAGCCGCTTCTCAGTCGCCTGCACCTATCCCGAGCTGGCTGATCGCAGACGTCTCGCCGCTCGTCGCGAATCCGTGCGGGCCGAACAGACCCGTCTTGATGCTGCCCCAGTGACTCCAGAATCGACAGAACTCAATGTTGGCACAGTCAGAAGTCCGTCAGAGGCTCCGAGAATCAGCAGTATTGGCGTTGTTGATGTTGGCCCACCGCGAACAGAACATGCAGCCTCAAGCTCTGCTGGCACCAACCTGGAGGATCTACCGCCACGAGCCATTGGGCTCGCGCTGTTGGATATTTACTTTGAACGGTTATACAATGCTACGTTGCTCTTCAATCGTACTCAACTGTTTGAGTCTTACTTGGATGGCAGTCTACCTCCATATCTATTGAGAAGCATATTCGCGCTATCGTCATTGTAATCACCCGCCTCACCTGTAACGTTCTTATTCTAACATGTTTACAGGTTTCTTCGTCAACCTCGACATCTGCCACCAAGACTGGGCAGCCACGCTGTCTCTCCAGAGCTTGGAACGTTTTCTACGTATGCTAGTCATGGACGCGCCTGGGCTGAGGCAGCAAGACGCGAGGCTTGGCTTCTCACAGACAGGCCAACCGTACAAGTTGTTCAAGCTCTGTCATGTCTAAACTTGTACTGGTTTGCGACAAGAGATCTTGATCGAGCTCGAATCAACGCTGGTACGTGCAACAATCTATGATCAGAACCTCGAATTTTGTGAGCTAAACATACTCCAACCTAGTTATGGCCTACGCATCAGCCACTACATTTCGCTCCATTAACCTCCCAGACAACGGGACAAGGGCAAAAGATGAGCTGCAGGTTTTAGAAAGAAAGCACGGTTGTTTTTGGGCATGTTGGACAACGATGTGTATCTCTTCTTTTCCCGAAGCATATGCCAAAAACGCCTGGGAAGAAGCTTGCAACGTGCCTCTTCCCGTTGCTCCAGATGGCTTGGTCAGTAATTGGAGTGTTACACATGGGTGCTACATGGATAAGAAATGGAGACAAGAAGTAGTGGATGAAGAGCCAAACCCACCCTCGTCAATAATGGCAGAACATATGAAGCTCATGGGAGTTTGGTAAGTTCCCAATCGATACCTTCGGCGTCGTCACTAATGTTTCCTTCGTTGTTCAGGGTCAAAGTCCAACTTATCAACAGAGAAAAGCAGGAAAATCCGGATGTTACTCACATACAACAGCTTTCTCAGCTGGCGAAACATATTTATGATTCAAGCCTTTTTCCTCCTTACGCTACGGGAAACGAGAGTCCCGGTCGAGATATGGCACGACTGCTGGGATTGCATTCACTATATCATCTTTGCCAAATCGTTCTTCTCTGTCCCTTGGTGTCCCTGTTCTCTGGGAGACGCGGCATTGCAGGAGACAGCACCCAGGGCTACGCACAAACGATAACCAAGCACGCCATTTACCACGGGCAACTGATTCGAGATTATATTGCTAGAAAGCAGGATATAACGAAACTCAGCTCTCATGTTGGCTTTGCTAGCTTTGTTTCGACCTCGATCATACTCACTCTCCTGAGGTCCAGGGCTCGCCGACATCAGCATGAACATACACGGGATCATGTATCACACGCGATTGTGACACTAATTCAGGATAGTATTGATATACTGAGCATTCTTCAGACTTTCTGGGAACCATTACAGCCAATGGTTAGTTGACTCAACACCTAATTTACTGAGGAGAATATTCTGACATCTAGAATACAGACCAGGAGCCTGCAGCGTGCTGCTGACCAAATACTAGGCCCTTTCGATCGCGTTGGTCATAGCCTTGCAGGAGCTGAGTCCAGGACTATCGAGGTTCCAATGACAGGAGTCAATAGTCCAGCAAGAGAGGAAGATGTCATAGCAACCACGTATATCGAGTCTCCAGAGTATCCGACAACTCATCACTCCGCAGACTCTTACACAAATACCCATTTTGGCGTTGCAGACAGGGTCGAGGAATACGTGACTCAGAATATGGATGAGACTGCTGATTGGCATCATAACAATCTGTTTGAGTGGTGCCAGACGGAGGGTCTCCTGGATATCGCTGATAATTTCTTGCATATTGGTAGCTCGGTCGACTGGAACATGGACTTGGACTTTTTAACCAGTTTCTCTTCACACATGGCATGACTCTACCATGCATAAGTATCTAGATATAGTATAAATCCTCATAGCGCCCTTTCAAGAAAGTTCCTTGGCGGGCACGATCTTGGCGGATACCTTTCCGAATCCAATTACACGATCTCCTGAGCCAGCCCATCCTTCCATAGTAACAGTATCGCCGTCTTCCAGCCAAATTAGTTTAGACCCATCAGATAAGGTGAAAGGCCTACTGCCACCTAGCACGAGCTCAAACAAACACCCAGACCTATGTATCGGGTCGTGGTCGCTTCCAAACTCTTTGATCTGTTCGGTGGTAGATGAAAGAGTACCTGTACCGAGCAAGTCACCCGTGTCCAGACCGCATCCGGAGCTACTGTGATGAGCTATCATCTGGAAGGGAGACCAGTGGAGGTGCTTGAGGTCAGACTTTCCAAGCAAGTTGTCATTGACGCCGTCCCCTAATTTGGTGGGTTAGATGTTTTTGCCTACCATGAAGGCCGTGGTGTTGTTCAAGACTTACGAGACAGGGACGTTGAAACCCTCACTACAACATCATCCTGACATTGTAGGAATGGAATCGTCGTATTCTTCCCCCCCTTCAAACTTTGACCTTCCGTGGTAACCAACGCACCAGCTTCTTCTAGCGCCTCAATGGTCACAATCCAAGGTGAGATACTTGTCGCCGTAGCTTTGCCGTTGAATGGCCCCAGCGGCGTCATCTCATAGAACTGGATATCTCTGGCACTCCAGTCATTCAGAAGCACAAACCCAAAGACATGGTCTCGAGCTCTGGAAGCTGGAGTAGGTTTGCCGTATTCGATAGGCTTGGAGATAAAAACACCCATTTCGAGCTCAAAATCAAACTTCTGGCTGGGAGCATATGTTGCGCCGTTGGGGCCAGGAAGAATGCCATGCGGTCGGGTGACTTCCTGTCCGCTAACAATAACGGATGATGCTCTGCCGTTGTATGCCGCTGGTAGGTCGAAGAAGTTTTGAGGGACTTCATTGTATCCTGCCATGCGGCCCATCTAACATGTCTTCGTCAGAGATTCGTATAATGGCGGCAAGGTTACCTGGCTTACAGTTTGGACGTGTTCCAGTGAGCACATAAAGTCCGTGAAGCCGCCAATCTTCATTGGGACATGCATGGTGACTTGGTCGGCAGAGATAACGCCGGCATCTTCTCGGTACAAGATGGAGGACTCATCTCGCAAAACCTCTTGAATGGCTTTCCGAAGGGAGTTGCGTACATCAGCCGCCAGCGCAGCAAAAGCGTTTAGTGTGGACTGTCCGTGCAGCTCGTCAGGATGGGAATGCATGGCAGATATCATCTTTTGCATCACTTACCGAAGCTAATGCTTCTTTCACGGACACGTCCACAGGCAGTCCGCTCTGGATGAGGATTCTAAGGTCTAAAACATGGTCACCAACCGCAGTACCTGGCCGCGGATCAGGCTGTCCATGGAAGTGATATCAGCAAAAAGTCTGCTTTATTGAATATTCTGTTTCCTTACATTATCCTCGGTGTGAAAGATGCCGAACGGAATGTTCGATAAAGGAAATGGAGGTCCATTTGGTATCGGGAAAGGGTATTGAACCATTTTGGTTGATCCTTGCCAATGTAGGTGCATATGATTGAGAGATCAATCAACTTGGCTCTTACGTTAGTGCGAAACGACGAAATGAATTGGCCCAAATCTTTTGAGACGACCACGCGATGACCCAGGTCATAAGGGACTAAAGAAGCATTGAGCCTGAAGTCATTTTGACAAATCATGGAGTATTTACATGAGGTCCACGTAATCTGAGGTCATCCGGTAGAATCCTTCCTCAAGTCGTGCGTGATGTCCGTTCGGGCCGGAGGCTGATGGAGTGGAGCTTCGGACCTCGGATTCGGGGTCGGAGACAGTGTCACTTATGTCAGCTTATGGGAAAGTTGTTCAAATATATAGGTTGTCATAATAGTTACAATTGAGAGCAGTCAGCTTACTGAAGAAGATCAATTCGCCCGTTACAGAGCTGAGAGAAATAGCTTCACAATGTCGAAGGCCTTATCTCCAAACCTCATCCTTATCAGAAATGCGACAGTCTTGACCGTGGACCCGCTAAATGGTACCCTAGAAAACTCCGACATTCTCATCAAAGATGACCGAATCGTTGCGATCGGTCAAACTCTGCCAAAGCCTTCCGAAAGTTATGTCACTATTATCGATGCTCAAGGGTGTATTGTCACACCTGGCTTTGTCGATGGCCACCATCATATGTGGCAGCAGCTTTTACGGGGCATTGCAACAGACTGGTCGCTTTTTTACTACACTGTCAATATGCGAACCATCTATGGGAGCTTATACACACCCGAGGATGTCTACCTGTCTACTTATGTTGCAGCACTGAGTCTGATCAACAATGGTGTGACTTCTGTCCTTGAGCACTGTCATATCATTAATTCGCCCGACCATGCTGATGCAGCAGTACGGGCTCTCCAAGATGCCGGGATTCGGGGAACGTTCTGTTATGGCTTCTATGCCAATCCGCCTTTGCCCAATCAGCCGGATCAAAAAGCCTTCTCACATATGCCACGGTTGAGCGATGCTGCCCGGATAAGGGACAAATACTTCGGCGAAAACGATGCAGCTGAGCAACTCCTCACATTCGGTATTGCTCCAGATGAGCCAGAATCTCTACCCATTGAAGAGACCATTGCGCAGATTAGGCAGTCAAGAGAGCTTGGGGCACGTATCATCACTATGCATGTCGCGATGGGGCCATATGATTTAGCACATCGTCAAATTGTGCAATATCTCGCCAATGAAGGGATGCTGGGCCCGGACCTTGTCTTCAGCCATGGCTCATCCTTCACCGAGGACGAACTGCAGGCGATTAAGGAGTCCGGCGCTTCTATCGTCGGCACGCCAGATACAGAGCTACAGATGGGCATGGGATTTCCCATCGTCTTCCAGGCTTTTGATAGAGGATGCCACACATGTTTAGGCATCGATATCACATCCAATCAAGGAAATGACTTCATTGCTCAGATGAGACTGGCGCTACAGGCTCGTCGAGCCCAGGAGAACGAACAAGCGTTTCCACTCTCCATTAATCGCAAGACAACGGGTGTCCTTCGAATGGGAACAATGGGAGGTGCAGAGGTTATGAGAATGGAAGATCTCATTGGCTCCATTACAGTAGGGAAGAAAGCAGATCTTATCCTCATCCGCTGCGACGATATTGAGAATACGCCAGTGGGTGATCCGGTTGGGTCAGTGGTATTTCATTCTTCAGTGAAAGATATTGATACCGTCATAATCGATGGCAAGATAAAAAAACGGAACGGAAAGCTGACCGTTGATTGGGAGAGGTTGAGGGAGGAGGTTATACGTCGTGCAGACCGCATCAAAGCAGACGCAGCCAAGATTGATCTGACCGCGGCTAAGAAACGTTGGATGGACATTTTCCACGTTGAAGATGCAGCATAAGAGCCTGTTGTTTTAACTTATTCTCCTTGAATGAAGTTGTTATTAGCAGCCTGCGCTGATATTGAGAAGCCTCTCTTGATGCTTCGCAAGCTCTAAATGGGTGTCCGTTAGGAAACAGATCATCCCATTTGTCTATTCTCGAAGTGTATACGTTAACTTCTCCAACTTATCTTGTAAACTCCTTACAGACCAATGGTCCACCCCAAACATCTTGACCTTCCCATCTCTCGCCTCCAAGTAAAGGTCCCTAGCCTCACGACGACATCCCCAGAGTTCCAGAATGCCACCCATCCTCTTCGCAACCCAGTAGTACACGAGACTATGCTCTTCCCATTCCCAATAAGCTGCAGCCGTGTAGCGTATTTGGCGGAGGATGTGAAAAGCATGTGAAAGATCTTGGTTAGCTAGCTCTATCCTAGACGCGATCCTCTCGGGTGTTTCGTCTCCTGGGCTGTAGTATGCGATTGCTTTGCACTCGTCCGTGACTGTGAGCTGAGGGCGATGTGGGTTTGGTGTGCAGGATACCAGTATCTCTCGACCTCGCTCGTCGAGTAGATCGGCTTGGACGACGGCGTTCCACAAGTATCCCACCGTTTCGACTTCTAAGTGGCTATTAGCTGTGATTCATGACCGTTACGTCAAACTAACCTCTATAAAGACGCTTATGGTACTTTGCCTCTGGCTTATTGACCTGACTCTCCCAGTCTTTTTGATGCCGCTCAAAGTACTCACGGTTTCTAGTACAGGTTTCAGCGGATGCGAATAAGTGGTTCATTGATACTGCTTACCTACATTCTCAAGGCCTTCAATCTCTCCAATAGCTTCCGTTGTTCTGGAGTTCCATCATCTCCAAGACTATATATATCCTCTTCGTCGTGCCGGTTATCCAACAAACCTGGTTCTCGTACAGGCAGAACCTTCATAACATCCACGCATTTCTTTACTTGTCTTCCTACCTCGAACTTCTCAAGATAGGCATCAGTATCAACCTCCATGTCCTCTCTCCTCTTGTGATCGAAGAGCTTCACGCCTTCGAGGCCTTGATCCACGTTGAACCGGTAGTACCTGATGCTGTTCGACCCAAATTGATCAGCAACGATTCGGTGAATTCTGTTAGTCCCAGTGACGATCTGCTTCATGGCGTCGACTGCCTTGACAGGTGCTCGGAACTTGGCTGTGACAGTTTGAATGACGGTGTCATTGTCCATTCGGACGATATGTCCCATGCCAGTGCCCAGGCTGAGAAAGACTCCTACGTCGGAGTTAAGGGTTAGGTAGTGATCACCTTCCCAAAGACTTCTAGCCTCTTGGAGAATTAGATCGCTCGGGTTGTTGTAGCCAAAGCCAGCATCCATGTATCGAACTTCTTTTCCAGGTGGACCGTGGACGAAGGGCTCGAAAACGGTCAGTGCAGCTGATGTCGCTCTAACAGCTTCCCAAATAGTCCATGCCTTGGGCCTCGGGTCCTTGTCTTCGTTTATGTACGAGCGCAAAGCTGTAGCTGTTTGCTGAACTGCATTTTGGTATGGGATGGTATAAACGACACTAAGCACCACGGCGTCAATAATACCCATTTGACTGTGAACTCGGAGATACTCACGTATTGCATGCATCATCTCCGAGAGGGTCAAGAAGCGGTGCATCCTCCTTACCCAAGTACTTCGCAACGACAGCCTTTGTCTCGCGAACGAGAATCTTCTCATCGAACATATACTCGCCGTTGCGTGGCTTTCCAAAGACGATGCTACCTAGTCGTTGGTACTCGTTGATACAATCGTCGATACTCATTCGCATGCGACCGAGCATCAGCGCGATGATACTTAAGCAAGTCAGTAAATTGTCCGGGTACAAATACAGTGTATACTTGCCCTCCAGTGCTTGTGCCTCCGATCAGGTCAAAGTACTGATATGGCTGCAAGTCTTGTCGTTTCATTTTGGCGCCAAGGATATCCATGACCCTCTTGAGAATGATAAGAGACGACAAGCCTCTTACACCACCTCCATCTGCAAATTGGATTAGTTTGAGGACTAATCGGATTGCGCTCTTGCAATTACCAAGCGAAAGAAACTTTAGTTTCTTCGGACTTTCATCTGACATGGTTGCGTGTATGGGAGCTAGGATAGAAACAATCTGCTAGTAAGGATGTTGGTGATTAAAGATCTGATGCAGATCTTCCAATGTCCGTAGTGGGTTACTGATCCGATTTATAAAGACCAATGCTTGCCAGTATTTATCGATATACTAATGAATCGTAGAGATCGGATCATACTGTAAAGTGCAGTATTGTATAGCCATAACCTCTATCGTCAGCGGCGCTTTAAAATGCGTCTGGCATCTGTCTTTCATCCTTCCAGCCGCATCCAATTACTGCAACATTTCTCAAAATTCAGCCCTGCCTAAGCCACTCAGTCACATGGCGCTTGAGCTTCAATAGATACGTGATTTTGAGGCCTCCAAAATCGGGCTGAGACATCTGAAAGGCTTCTCATTCGCCGCCATGGTGATGAGCCCAGTCTAGCCCTGCAGCTAAAGCGCCACAGCGTTTCAACCCGGAGAATGCGCCGCCGCCAAATATTGAATCTGGGCGAACTGCGAGGCGTCCTATCACATGTCCTATTTTTTGTGCCGTTCCTTCCGGAGACCGATTTGAGGGATCCTGAATTGAAGAAAATGGCGACTGTGCCACCTTTGCACGACAATGAAGATCAACACCAGCCAAAATGTCAGCATCAACGTCAACGGAAGATTTTGAACGCTCTTGCGACCAAGTGTTTACCAAGCTACAGGAGGTGGCGCAAGAGCTAAAGAACCATGATCATGAGGAGGTTCATTTCAATATTGAGCATGCCGCTCAGTATGTGGAGCATAACAAGATCGACATGAAGTTCAAGGAGCAGGTTCGTCTTACAAGTGACGACGTATCTTACGAACTCATTTGCGCCATCAATGACTGCAATACGCACTTGAACGATTGTATGAGTATATGCAAGCGAATGGGGACACCAAGCTGGAGTACCGAACAAGATTCACGACTTACCATGGCATGGACATTCTTTTACGCCAGCCTCAGTAAGGCGGGATTGATATTGAAGCTCAAACCATTGGAGGCGCAGGCTTTTTTGGCGTTCAACAGACAACAACCGGTATGCGCCCATAGAAGAATTGAAACATAGATTCTAATGTCCCTCAGTCCTTTGAACCCCCAACATTTAGTCGCCGGGAGTCTTTTATGAGTAACGCAGGCTCTGAAAACTTCACCATTGAAGGGCGAGCCGAGAGAAGGGAGCGCGCAGAACGGCAACGGCAAGGACAACGACGGGAAATTCCAGTATTCGTGACTCCTACGGGAACAATGTTAAGGCCTCAGCCCAATCGCACGTCTGGATCATTCCGGTCTGTTGCTGAGAGCACGTCATCAGCTTCTTCTTCAACAGCATCACCTCGTTTACCCGCAAGGCGTGCGGTCCCAGAAAGAGAGAAGTGGGTCATCAATCCTTCCATAGTGAGTGTTCTTCATGGTTCTATCTTCGAGATCGTTAGCTAAGTCGAACGACAGATCAGTACTCCCAGGACTCCACCACCAGAGTATACCCCGATACCAAAAGACACAAAGCCAGTGATACCGCCAGATGAGAAGCCCCCTCTTCCTCCACCAACGTCATCTATACCTTCACCACAGCCATCATCAAAGTCTATCCGAAATGTTGCTTCAGAACCTCAACTCGCAGCGCCAGGTCCTCCAAGCCACCACACTCATTACACCGGCAACGTGTTTCACATATACCAAGGGGTCCCAAACGCGCCGCCACCTCAAGCCTGGCATACTCCCCGGTATCTTCCACAACAACCAGTACCGCCAGTTTGGCCAATGCCTCTTCAACAACCAGTTCCACAACCATATCGACCGCCACGAGTTGCAGCGTATAGGCCAAGCCGGTTATCGCTTCGGGAGACAGCAGCGCTACATCTTACGCCTATGCCTGGACTGGCGGTCGACATCATGAAGCCCGAAGCAAGATGTACTCATGGGGTTAGACACTTCAAAGGGCATCCGCCATGTCAGTGGGGTTGCTGTAATGCGCGGGGATGCGGACAGGTCTTTTATTGATGTAATATGGCAGTAGATAGGATCAATACTCGTTCTAGATCGATGTGTATACATATCTATGAGTCTGAGCGTGGAGGGCGCCTTTCGAGATACAAATTATGTATCTATGCAAGTTCTCGAGAGGAATCTAATGCGAATCTGGCAACTCCATCCCTCCCTGATCTTCTCCCAATGCACGGCCATTGATCTCGACCGGCGTCGCGTGAAACAGGATGAACACAATCCTAGCCCACTCCTCAGTTCTGTTGAACCACTGGTGGTTGGTACCTCTCTGGATCACAACATCTCCTGGGTGAATAGTCCGAGTCTCCCCCGAATCCAGAAAACATTCCAGCTCGCCGTTGATGAGAATGCCATAGTCGAGACTCACAGTTCGATGCATCTGAGACTTTGAGCCCGGAGGAATATCACAGTACCGCAGGATGGTGCCGCCATGCTTCACCAACCCCGACTTCTCTTTGTTTGCATATGCCTCCTTGAACGCTGAAAGATCTTTGTCGTTTGCGAGGGGTATAGGTAGTCCTTCGGTGACGTAGCCAAGCTCAAAGTCGGCAGAGTTGCCCTCGCCTGCACTGACTTTCCAGAAATGCAATGGCTCATCGAGGTCTTTGGAGTAACATGATTTGCCGCTCGAGTCATGAGTTGTAATGAAGCGGTGGATGGAGGGAAGCGGTTTCGGAGGAGGGTCGGAGATTGAAGACATGACGTGTGGTTGGGTGGTTCTTATTTGAGGCTAAGATATTTTTTGGAGCTTGTCAAATCAAACAACATCGAATTCCATACTTTATACCTTGTGCAGAGATCGGGATGTGGAGAACAGTCTCTGGCTCGGAATCGTTCTTAGCATTGTCCGAAACACGGCCCGATGCCTTTGGCTCGACTAGGGGCGACAGAACGATCGGCCCGAGTCCACAGTCTATCCGCATAACCTATAGTGACGATGCCCTCTATATGACCAAGGCCGATGTAAAACTTTGCGATGCCAGATTTTGGTCGTTATACTTTCGATCGCTTTCCCGTATCGACGGATTGGCAATTTCTGGTGATTGCAGAAGGACAGACCGCATCAACAAATAGGAACTGTGAGCCGAGTAACTCGGCTTTCGTCATGGTCGGTCAAGACTTCGTGATCCACGGTTTTATATCGAGTGGCAGTGGTTCAGGAGCGCTAAAACGGGTTGACTAGCTCTTCTACATACGGATATGCTTTAAGTAATATCATGTAATGTGTACAGTGACCTTTCGGCAAAGCTAGTTGGACACCACCATGCATGAGTCGACAGCGGTCGTTGTACCATGGAGTTCAAGCTCTGTATACAGCTTTAGGTGCAGCCACTGAGGAAGGGCAGTTCTTCTGGGAGTATTTTGTCCAGCAGCGCTGAAATGACAAGGAAGGTTCACGATGGCGGCCCGCCGAAACTAAACGGCCCTTGAAGGGCACAGCGTTTTCACAAACGCGGGCTGTGAAAGTGGTAGCAAAGTGTCCATCGGAATTGGGCTCGTTTCAGTGTACTGCGATAATGTTTGATGTTTTGGGGAATGTTACGCTGAGATCTCACTGTACGGAATGTTTTCCCCTGGATCAGTACCACTGAGTGACCCTGGTTGTCCAATGAATTTCAGCATTATTGATTGGTAATCTCAAGGTACAGTCACAGTGCTCAGCTCGGGGTAAGGCGAGGTACGTAGCGGTAGGGATCAGGTCCAGTTGATTCCCCGCGCTTTGTCGTCACAGCCTGATCTTTGACGTACCAAGCTCTTTTCCTTTTCATCTTCCCATCTCAACATCGCGAGCAGTATGGCACCGAAAGACGCGGGAATCGTCGCGCCAGTGCTCCGAGGAAGACCGGGTGAATGAAAGGTGAAAAATGACAGTCGAATGGCTAAGAGACACAGGAATAGCTACGAGGCCGATGTCGATGACGTGCATGTCGACAACGAAGATCCCAGATCGGAGAACAAGGGGCAGCGCTTTTGCCACCGGAGTCCGCATTTGAGGTCGGAATATGCTTGTGAACGACGCATCAGTCGTCTGACTACAGTCAACAGTCTTACAGGCGGAGATTCAACATCAGGCGAATTATTAACCGCGACTACGACTGCGACCGCGATTACGATCAAGAAGACACGCGTGCACCGACGAACGAAGCGAACATTCCCCTCCCTCCGATCGAAACCCACGAAGACGAGGCTATTGCCAGCCCGCAAACCTACACCGAGTTGCCAGGTACAAGGGAGGTGTCACCGTAACCATGGTGCAAGTCCTTTGAACACGAGGCGAAGTCGAACCGTATCCGAGAAATAAAGAAACACAAAGCAGCGATGATGTTGCGCAAGGATACACAGTGACTTGATCTCGGGTGGCCAAGTTGCATCGGCCCCCATCAAGATAGTTACGGCTCTAGCTTGACAACTTATGTCGATCTGCCCTAACCTATCCAGGATACAAATGTCTCTTTCCGTGTAATACTCCTCGTCAACACGACAAATCCATGCCGATTTAGTTCGGTGGATTTGTTGGACGCTAGGGAATTTTCAGCCATCATGTGGAGCAAGATCTGGGCATGGTCTTGGCCACCAAATAACAGTGATCAATTTTAATGATCCTAAAGCACCAAAGGATTTTAGACAATTTTATGATAACTTAGGATAGTTTGGGATGATATTTAGAAGAGTCCTTGACTCTGCATCCTCCTGGATTTACCGTCTCGAGCTCCTTCTTCTGAAGGCTTGGGGCTAAGTTTGCTGAACTTTAGTCGTGTCATCTTCCAGACTGCAATGATAAGTTTCGGGCGTACGATACACCCGAACTGCTTCATCTTTAATCATGTCGTCCTCCTATACTACTGCAGGAACGCGTTCTAACTGTGGTCCAACGGGTGGACGTGACTGTAGCCCAGGCGGTCGCTGGGACGATGACGTGACCGAGGTGAAGAGAGCGCAACAGATTCCATGGAGCCTATCATGCTCAGGCTCCGGCCTGTGACTATCGCCAGAGCTTCAGATGCGACCTTAGTCCAGGCAGACGCGACAATACCCAGGAGGATGACGTGACTGAAGATGAAGCAACAGACCTTGGCCTATCATATTCTCTCAGCCTGAGGGAGCAAACGCGACTGTTGACGCGACTGTAAGTAGCCACACCCTCAGGAAGCACATACTGTAGTGAGTGGGTATAAATACCCTCTCAACTCTCATCAAACTTCTCCATAACATCACATCTTAACAACCCGATTATCCCACGATAACACCCCTTTCATCTCTTTCATTTTTCTCGACTCCTGCTTCGTCATCTGGGTATCGAACTCAGTACCTGATTCGATATCTCTCCCACATCCTTGATAAATCTCCCTTTGTCATCCCTACCCTCTTACTCGAGGACTGCCCTTTCTTCATCTGGAGCATCCCGCCTACGGTCCCCATTGTGTATGGACCTCGAAAATCTCCTTCGACAACCCTCTTCATCACCAGACCCCGAGCATCTTCCTTCTCGATATCGATCCTTGTCATCACCGACCGTCGCCTCTCGTCACCCTCAATACCTGTTACAGCCATCAAATATCTCCTTTCCTTGGCAATTTCCTTTCCATCCTCAATCCCCATTTTTGACCCAACCTTCTGCAGACGTCAAGCGTCTATCAACACCAGCCTCTACCATCCACTGTCTTGCCATCATTCACTGCAAAGTGGATATTATTTCCTTTTCTTCTACATACTTCTAAGGGCGTCTTGGTCTTCTGCAACCTTCTTCTTACTACGACTATTTATTTTCTCCCGAAAGACAATAGCCGGAAATGTCCGACAAAGTAATAATCCACCAAACTGCGACAAGGCATACAACCATGCGCACGGCGAGACACCGTTCACGCATATGAAAATGCTGGATACTTTACTGGCATACTTTGGGATTCGCTATTAGGATTTTGTTGCATCCCCGAGGAAAGTGCTGGAAGAGACCGAGTGGTCTGAATACCTGGATCTCGTGAAGCTCCATGGAGTTCAAAAGATGTCAGCAAGCGGTGCCTGTACGGTACTGGCGATTAGGGCATCTGCTGCCTTACAAGAAGAGGACCCTGACAATTATGAGTTCAAAATGTATGATGTTGGGGGGCATAGGATATGCCGATGCCTCAAGACATTTGCTATAATTGACTCCAGCAGCCATGAAGGCGCCATAGTTAAGCCGCCAGGAGAAGAGTGGAAAAGCAAAAACGTCATCTGTGTATGGCAGTCTGATGGGTCCGCCAGCATGAGAACACAACATGAAGTAATCATTCCTGGTGACCTACTAACGGTAAGTATAAGCATGGGTTGTGAAATTATATTCTAACATGTATTTAACAGTATGAAGAGCTTTATCCGATCTCCTTCGAAGAGGGGTTGGCTACACGTCTTTATGAACTCGCCGACAGCGCGAAGATAGTGACCCTGTTTCGGTAAGCATTGTTTCTTTTCCTAGTAGGGTACCTGGCTGATAATCCTTAGGTTTACGAACAAGTACGGAAAACGCTATTCCAAAGGCTACATTAGGTGGTTTATCGACGAAGACAATTATAACGACCCCCCTGCTAGTCGACCCCCACCTCCAAGGAAGTTCCTCGTGCTCTATAAGGGGAAGGGGGATAAGACACCTCAGCGAATCGTATGGCGGGAGGGTATCCGTGGATATCAGGATAAGGCCGGAACACCGAACACTAGCATTGCAAGCTGGTTAGCGGTCGAAAAGTTTGTGAAGCAGTGGGGAGACGAGACACTATGGACCACCGACGATTGTAACTTAGTTCATGAGCAGATCTGGGTTGCCCTGGTCGAGCATTATGGCTTTCCCGTTCTGAAAGAGGGTTAGGATCCCAATTCATGAAGGGGATATAGTGAAGTCCACGGTCCAAGGCCTTTATGCTCACCTCAGCACATTTCCTTTTCCTAAAGCTGGGGTTCCCATAGCAGGTCAGGATCTTCTATGGATAGTCAGGCGGCAAGTCATGTCTCAATAACCTCAACAATATTCTCGGACATCCCCCAGATGATTAATAACGATCTGGATATATTATTGTTTAACCCGCGGCCTACCTTTGGTCACTATCACCATTTTGAACCATGGACGCTGAAGTGTTTGCCGTGTCGCACTGAGAAGGCTTGTTGTTTCTGGGATGACGGACATGTCCTTCATCGCACTTTCAAAGCTTCTGGCTTTATGACCTGCCCTGTATCTCGCTTTGTTTTATACTGTGCAAGCTCAATGGGTACAGCATCATCGCTAGGAAACTACTGCAGTACGAATCCATGAACAGGACATGGCGCCAGCGAGTTCGGAAGGATATGTAGGAGAATATACAATGGCCATGGAGATAGAGTTAGCTCATAGAAAATAATGAGACTGAAGTAGTTGCCCTGGCAAAATTCCGCTACCCCCCATCCCCTCAAGGAGCAAGAAAGCATCTGATCCTGAGACAAGGTGCCAAAAAAGAACTGGTCAAAGGTCCACTAAATCTATACTAACTTTACCTAAGTCTTTTTGTCATTTAGGACAGAAGCCCCAAGCTTTCTTGCCTCCCCTTGCCTCCTAGCAGGAGACAACTTAAAGTGAAGCCACGCACTAAAGCTTCTCATAATTGGCCCATTGGCCAATGCTTCTTATCCACCATCCACGTATTGTATCGATCCTCTCCATTCTCATCCGAGTCGGTGTTACCTCTCTCACACTCCCAGAACCAACTCTTCGTAGCCTTCAGCAGCATACTACCAAAAGATCAATTGATTGTGAAAGCTCAGTTCTTACTTTATGATTCGTCAGATCTCAGTCTTTATTATTTGCCCAAGGCTATAGATTGTCGATCCAATGACAAGATCGTGGCTGATCGCGGATTATTTGCCATCTGCCTCATCTGTGTTTCCTTTTTAGAACCTTGTGAGGACGGCTCAAAGGGGCTCCAGTTCCCGAAATCCATTTGGAATCCTTGAGTAGCTGTTCTTTGGGGGTAAAATATTCCTCGGAGCTTGTGAAGTCTGAGCACCATCATTTTCTAAGTTGGCAATGTAGGAATACTCCTAGAGTTAGAATTTGCTTTTATCAAGGTCCAAAGGACGGGCATCTGTAAGAACTGCACCAAGGGAAAGCCAAAGTTCTATCCCAGTGTCCTCACTCCCTACCATACCTGTGCTATTATAAGACTTAAGTGATGCATGTGACGCCATGCCAACCAAGCATTCACTATACGTATCAACAAAATAATGACCAACCACAGTGTTCAATAATCTGTTCATGTTTAATACCAACAGCTCGATGCGCCTGTGTAGCGAGAGAAACACCCAGGTTACAACTACTATTATACGACTTCGAGTAAGAACTTCACGTGCGTCGAGGCACGCCAGAAAGTTCTAAGCCAGTTATGTGATGCAAAGTTTGCCTGATTACGATCACAACAGAGTTATATAGTTATACCGCTATCTCAATCATATCTCCCATTTGAAGAGAAGTTACAAGAAATACAGCGAACGCACTAGTTCAAAGAATGAATGGTGATATTGGTAAGCCCATACTACCTGGGAGTATGGAAGAAGTTCGCTGTGGTTTTGTTTAGTCAGATACCATGAAAATACTTGATGTACGCATAAAGGATATGCAGATGGGGAGAAAGGGTTTGTTTGACTACCTTATGCTAGATAGATTGACCCGCTCAACTCTTTCCGTTACGCCTTTCTCTCTTGACTATCCAGCAACCTTTCCATAGTGACAGTACAACATGCAGGAAATTGCAATCCTGTTCTGTCCTCTCAGCCCGCAGTTCATCTCTCCTGAAACTCTTACAAGTTACCATTGGCTGCAGGGTGTGCTTTGATGGATTCATCATGTACGAATCACTCCTTTTCGTCAACATGATTGCGGTCCTTATCTTCATCGTCCCCCTCCAATATCATCCACGCTTCCTCCTCAGTACAGAAGTAATCCTTCTTCAAGTCCTCTGTCAGCAGTTAGTATAATATTACTTTGAAGAAAATAGACTGATGAACTTACTGTATTCCGGAAACTTGGCATGGAACTCCTCATCAGGCATGTCAAAAGTCTCGTCGGCTTCAGCCTGAGCCTTCTTCCACGACTCCTCGGACTCTTCCTCAGTCTCAGGGGGTCCCATACCAGGTTGAAGTGGGAGGTCACTGCCATCCCCGTAGAGGCGAGCATAGCGCTCATCGCGCGCCTTGAGTTCGGGATCTTCATCTTCCTGCAACATCGCATGTGCTTCTTCCTCGGTCCAGGAATAGTCTTTCGGATCATCTGTAAACGGTTAGCAAGAAACAGGTCCTAGATTCTTACCGCGATGAACTTACTGTACATAGGAAACCGGGCATAAAATTCTTCGAGAGACATGCTCCGGATCCAATCGCCTAGAGCCTTTTTCTTTTCCCACAGCTCCTGGAACTGTTCCTCAGTCATGGGTGGTCCCATACCCGGTCGAAGTGGGAGGCCACTGCCATCCCCGTAGCGGTAAGCATAGCGCACTTCGTTTACTTCGGGGATAGCCTCCTCGTGCGCCTGGACCCCAGGGGCAGTGGTTCCTTGGACCGTCATGTTGGGCTTCTTGACAGACTCCTTAGCAAGCATCTCCTCGGATTCCTTGGAGGGCTTCTCGACGACCATATCGGTCTTCTCACTGGCCTTAGTGCTCATGGTTTCTTAGTTTCGGAAGACTGTCAGCGACTGAGTTAGCATGGCGGGTGACTAATGGTACAGGCTATCATGGACGTAAGTCTAGTAGTGATGAAAGCAGATGCTTCAGTTTGCGGTGCAGACTCAGACTGAACAAGATAGGAAGTGACAAAATAGGGTAGGCAGGAAAGGAAAACGACATACAAGCGTCGCAGAGCAGTGGAGATGGGAAGCCCTGTGGGCGGGAGAAGACAATGAGAAATCTGACGTAACCAACCTCGAGATTAAATTTCAAGAAAGCGCGCTCAGCAAATGCTTTCTCGTCGAGACAGCAGCAGCGGTCCAAAGCTGTTTGATGTGTTCGGTAAAATTGATGCGTCGTCCCCGCAACTCTAGGATGGAAAGCTTGCACGATAGAGGGAGATGCTGATGAAGGAAGAGTATTAATAGAGGGAGAGTGTTGATGGAGGGAGAGTGCGGATGGAGACTCTATATTTATAGGTACGACGGGACTGTGCGTGCGCTGCTACTGTGACTCCACCATCCGTCTGACAGTGCTTCAAGCTCGTAGTACATGATTTTAGTTCGCCTAACCTACCACCGCCAGATCTCATGTCTGCAGGCTACGTTGGCGCCAGTACCACGATCGATGCAGAGCAAGAGTCAACCTTGAAGAAGTCCATTGGGGCCATTGCCAGCCGTGAGGTTAAGCTTTAGGTGGCCAACACGGGTAATAAGAACGCACGATACCTTTTTCCCTCGCTACAAGCTTCTACCAAAGGCTCCCACGATAACGATAAAACTTGACAGTGCAATGGCTCGAAGAAGGCAAGTAGAACAAATGGCATGCGTCGATTGTCAACGATTGTATTGAAAAGATTCGTGGTTCACAGAAATATCTCACCCAGCCCAAATACACAGGTCTGAGTTTCGAGGGAGAGTGTTCAAGATATTGCACATTGATCGAGCGCTAGAACATGCCTATTGTTCTATTGGTACTGACAATGCCATCCAATTGCATTATCCAGCGCGTTAATGCCCTAATCCACATGTTCGTGCCACGGAGGACAGCTTTAGCCGTCGAACAATCATGAGAACACCAAGTATTGTTCGAGATGATGAATAAAACAATATTTAACAATTAGCCCCAAAGAGCCCAAACTAGTTCCAATCGCTGGCTTCTAATTGTGACTCACGCTAGGAAACTTTCATTCTCCAAATCCACTACCGCTGACCATCCTCCAAAATATTCAGCTCACCAAGAATACTCATATCAAGGCCATTAACCTCCAGCCCTTGCGTAGATTCTGCTTGGGGCTTGAAATTGCCTTCCATGATACTGTCAGTGTCGAGGTACCTATCAGACCCATCAGAGCTGTCTTCAATGGCTACTGGGGCGCAGTGGGGCTTTGTGGTTGACTGTGATCTCCATTGAACAGTCGCTCCACTCGTCCTGGTTGTATCCTTAACTTACAATGTATGCCCTGAACGCAAACATCACACCGAGGGCCAATGGACCACTAAGGTCGATCCATCCTACAGGTCACAGGAGTTTGCAGTCGGTGTTTGAGCTCGCCAATGGAAGTTATTTAGGCCCAGTGGTAATCGCAATTTCAGTTCCGCAAGGGGCGCTCCTAGTGCACTAATCGATGAAGTAGCAGTCTACAACTGGCGATGGCAGTGTCGAATACGCTAACAGCAATGGTTACCAAAGTGACGGGCAAGGCTTAGCAGTCTACCGGGCAGTCTTCGGCGAAAAGATCTCCGAATCGATCATCTCTGAATTGCAAAGAAGCATCACAGCGCCATCCAAACAGAAGACTTCAGGGCATTCGTACTTATGGGCGTAGCCTTCAGGCAGAATTTGTTGGACCTCGAGTGTGAGACTTCGTGAGAGAGGAAACAGGGGACACATCCCCATGTAGCTCCTGGGAGAGCTATTCTGGCTAGGAACTGCATACGGTTTCCCAATTTTCCTATCCCTGGGCCTGGTGAGGTATCTTATCGCTTCGCCTATCGCCAGTGGCTGGCTCCAACTACCTAACCATGCAGAGAAAAGCATGTCGACTTCGCGCGGTTATCGGAGCGGTAATTAGACCAATAAAAAGTGTGAAGCCAGCGATGGCTAAATCTTGTTGATAATAACAGCTAACGTTCTAGTCTTTGAAAGTAAAGACCTTAGCTTTGGTGGTAACATTCTGAGGCATTGATTCTGCGTCACTGCGTGTCACCGGTGCGTTCATAGTGAGATCGCTAGTTTGTACTCAGGCAATAGTAGTTCAAGAGAAGACAGAAAAGAAAAGAGTGGAATCATGTGAGCTAAAATGCAGTAATATGTTTTATGCAGAAGACATGCTTAACCTGCAGCTGAGGTTGAAGATATCCTATAATTAGATCTTGGTATTGGATGTGGACATGCTCAGCGACTGGCCAGCAATTGGTCGAGCCCCTTATATGTATTGGGGCTGTATGAATCAGGCTGGATACTTAGATTGAAATAAACTAGGAGGTGAATTCGTTTATTCCGTCTCTTGGGAGCTTTCTTGGGGCAGCTCCGGATTCGGAAGATGGCTCCAATAATCTCAAATGGCGAAATCCACGCCTTGTTATTATTGTATAATTAAGGCTAACTGTATGTTACCCACTTTCTGCGCGAATAATAATAATTTAATAATAAATTAATAGCGCCTCTAACTATAAGCCTCTTTCTGCATATTCGATAAATACAGTATATAATAAATAAAAGTAACTTAAGTACGCTTCAAGGCCTCTACCTTATCTCTTGCATCTTTTGCAATCTGTTTGGCGCCCTCAAGCTCTTTGATATCACTCTTTAGTTGCTCCCTTTGCTGACCTGTGATTTTGTCCTCTTTTGTAATCTCACTGACTTCTTCTTCTGGAAGATTAAGAACATATTCCGTCGTCAACTTGCTCAAAGGTCCATCTTTATTCATAATAAAACCCTCAACTATAGCTTGGGTAACATGTCTAATGAATGACTCTAGGGAAATCTATATCTAGTTAGTAAATAGTCTTTAACTGTGGCCAGATACAACCCTTACCTCGTAGTATACTTTGATGACATCGTGGATATCATACATCATTCTGTTTTCGCTTGAAAGATCCATGCAGCTCCACATATTGCCCAAGGTCTGGCTTGAAACAAGATTTTGAGCTTCTTCACCACCAATCCCTCGATAGAAAGCTCTAACATATCTCAGCTGGCGCCAAGCTAGCAGTTTGGATGGGAACTGATGATTGGTGGTCTGAAGGAGTTCTTTTTGGGTTTCTTGCTCGCAGTACAACTCCAGATCTTGCTTAGCCTTGTTGAATGTCTCACAAAACATTGAATGGAGACGGTTTTTGAGCTCATGATGCAAAGTTAAGGTGCTTCCAGAATCTGGGCAGACAGAACGCAGTATCTCCTCATAGCTCGACTTCATGGCATCTTTGACTCTGTCCAAGTGCTCCTGTGCTATAGAGCCCCACTTGGATACTTGGACTCGGTAGATGACGGGATAAATGTCTGAGTTGACAACGCCAGGAGGTTGAGATGCCCCAAACCTGCGAAGATTGTCTCTCACCGTATCCGCAAACCTTTCAAAGGTCTCAACATGCTCATGCTCCTCAAAAGCAGGTATTTTTTTCAACGCCTCCTTGTAATCCTTCGGTTCGGTGGTTGGAAACAAGATTTGATGCGCTGTCCTAGAATCTTCCTGTTTGTTGTCGACGAATGCTCCGTAGCTATTGCAAACGGCCCAGGGGTCGATGTCCTCATCGTCAAACTGCCAGAATCCGCCAACCCATCTCATGACATTATCAAACTGGTTGTTCATGGAATTGAGTTCTTGTCTCAGATCCATTGTCTCCGACTCAAGTAATCCTGGACGTCTGAGAGCCAAGGTGCATTTGGAGGAGTACTTGCGCACGAATAGGTTGAGATATGCCTGTTTCTGGCTCCAATCGAGTCGAGGTTCACCCATGACTTTCAGACGGGCCTCCTTTTCTTGTAGTCGTGACTGTATATCGCGCTCAAGTTTTGGAAACACTCTTTCGATTTCAGAGGTGAGAATGTCGCCAAGATGATCTTTCAGCTTGGTGCTTCCTCTACGTCCACTATAGATTTGAGACCAGGGCTCGCGGTTGAAGATCTGCTCCTCATTTACTCGTGATTCCAGGGACTTATTGCAGACGACAAACATGCCATCTTTGAAGATGGAGCCTCCGTTTTCGATATCACTTTTTGCTGAAATGACCTGACGATTGTTAGCATCCATAAAACCGAAATTTGAGGACCGACTAACTGCGCGTTTAGCTTCTTCACGATCAGCTTTGTCGCATTTTGTAAACACTCCAATCAGACGTCCTTTGTCTGATATATAATCCTTGCAAATTTGAAAGACCCGTTGAACACCCAGGTCAGAAGTTGCAGGTATCGTGCATCTGGTTAACGGTGAGTCTTAGGTGCGCTCCCAACTCGGCAGTATTACATAAAGATAATCAACTTACATGATGGTGTTCTCCGGTCGTGATATGTATTGTTTGGCTAGTTCTTGTGTCCCAAGAAGCTCTGGTTCATTGACCCCAAAATCTGAGAAGATGAGACCTGGAAGATCCAAGATGTTGAAAAGAGATCTGTTAGGTCCTGAAAGATCAACTGTCACAATATCTGGGACAAAGTTCTTCGTCTCTAGGCCTTTACCCTTTCTGATCCCAATGTAGTTCTCAGATAGCTGAAGATAGTGATCAGTATCCTATGGCTCACCCAGTGAAATGACAACAACTCACGTCCTCAAGCGCAGTTTTGAATGCATCCATGGTCAAGGTATCTCCCTCCAGAGAGTAATTCTCTTCTGTGGCATTGGCTCTTTGTAAACCCTTGACATCTTGCGGTGCTCGCTCCAGGTGGATACGGAATCGCTCTCCGGTGCCCTGTGCAGTGCGGCGTGAGACGACACGAATCGGAAAGCGTGTACCAATTCCAGCCATGACGGGAAATGAAATGTCAGTCAACGTTCTAAGCAAGGATGATTTGCCAGAAGATTGTTCTCCTACGACCACGAGCTAGGTATCATTAGTTTGGGTTATACCTGATTGGCATGAGAGCGTAGACCTGCCTGTGGAATATCCAAGTATTTATGCGATCCCCAAGCTTGAAGCCTATTGATAGCATCAAATAGATGCTGCCTTTTCTCGTTGTCAAAGGGATCATCAACAACTATTGGAGAATCACTATCCGTATCTCCGCTAGTAGTTGATGAACCTTGAGGGGTAACACTGGCCATTCCTTCAGTCGAGCTTGGGTCTTGTAAGTCAGCCGACTCAGAAGATGTAGAGGCACTGTCTCCCTGCTTAGTACGGCGGTTCATGTCGCTATTCACCAACTCAACCCTTTTAGAAGACACAGGATTATCGCCCATACCCCCAAAGGAGTTTGAAGAAGAAGTGGGTTTGTTCAAAGACATTTGTCGTTATCAAAACGTTTCTCTGTAAGGGTCTGGGTTTTGGATAGTGTGATCTGTCGGCAAGAGTTGGAGATGTGGTCTGGGGTGTAATACCAGGAGAGGGTCTGCTATATACAACGCTTTGACCGGCTGTAAGGCGTTATCAACTTTCGGGTTTCTTACCTATACGGAATAGAGCCCGTTAGCGCACTTGTCTCTGCATTCTAGCTCATGGGTACGTTACAGCTTTTTTCTACGACCAACAGCTAGCAAGCCTTTCAGCGTGTGGCTGATGCGTTTGCGCCTTTCTTTTCTCCCCCTTTTACTTAGCTTGCGTCATTATCTGGTTCAAAAAGAGGCATTGGGAAAACTGCGCCGCTGCAGAGGGCGTTGGAATGCAACCTTGTGTTGGTTCTATACCCTGCAGCTGCATTTCAGCTTTCCTTATACAGCAGGTATATACGGCCAACCAACAGTTGCCGAGGCCTCCGCCGACTCGCAAATAACTCAATCAAGCCTGTAAATCCGTAAATGCGATGGGCTTAGCTGCACAGCCTTCATATTTCTCTTCCTTGTTGAAACAGTTTCTGCGTGAGAAAATCTTACACTGATATTAATCTGTCACCTCAACAGAAATGGGCGAACTCAATGACCATGTACAATGAGATCCCCGGATGGTTGTTAGTAAGACCCCAGCTTTTAATAAGCTACTAGCTTATGGGTCAAATCTCTCCAAATTGCCAGTCGAGGCTTGAACATGAGTTGTTCCACAAATTACTTGTTACTTCGTGGGCCCAGATACGCTATGGAACAACACAAGACATTATTCGAGCTGATCTTCCAAGCAATCCTCTTTTGTCTCCCACGGTTTCTGTCTTTCGATCTCCGCACTGCATTCCAAGAATGGTGTCTATCATAACGAGTTGTTCTCAAGGTTGAGAAGGACAACTGGGCGGAAGAGTTTGACCGAGAAAGGGCAACATATAGACACCTTGAGCCCCTACAAGGCATTACTATTCCTCAAGTCTATGGCTGCGCAGACTACAAGGGTAAGCGTGCCATTGTTCTTTCTGATATTGGGGGGCTTGCCTTGCTACGCCAGAGGGCGCTGTCTTGGTAGAAAAGGACCTTAGACAGCTCCTTACCCAGGCTTTGACAAAACTCTCGCCGACATGGTCGTTATGGACGATGATGCTAAACTTGACAATTTCCACCTTGTGACGGAGAAAGGCAAGGATAAGATCATGGTGGTCGACTTGGAACTCGTGGATACTGATCTTTCCGACAACGACCTGAGCTTCGCAACATCATCCAATATCAACCATCTGATTGAAAATTATCGAATGCCTCAGTCGTTGGGCTTCCAAATATCGATTGGTGGTCTCCTAATGAGTGTTAAAATGGCAGTTCATTGAAAAGAGGATCACTACCCATTTTCACTCTTTTGTTAGGTTACCCCATACCTACCTGGCCGTATGTTGGTGGCTGCCGTAGCTAAGATCCGAGCTTATTTCCCTCCTCCGTGGGTTCCGTGGAAAGCAGATGCCGATAAGATCTGCCGTGGAAATCCAACATAAGCCCCACTTTGACGAACTTACACCAACTACAGAGTACAGATCACCAACATACCAGTATACGCCATGAAGATATAATGAAGATTGAGACCATGGAATAATATCAAAAATCATCAATCAACAATGGAATCCGAAAAAGTCCAAGTCATCATCTGCGGTGGCGGTTCCGCCGGTCTCACAGCAGCAATCTGGCTCGCCCGTTTCAACATCGACTTCAAGATTCTCGAACGTCGCCCAGGCCCTCTCGAGATCGGCCAAGCAGACGGCGTTCAATGTCGTACTGTCGAGATTTTTGAAAACTTAGGTATTTCTGAATGTCTTTTAGAAGAAGCATATCATGTCATGGAGGTAGCCTTTTGGTCGCCCGATGATAATGATGGACTTGTACGAAAAGATCTTGCTTATGATACAGAAGAGGGGCTGAGTCACCAGCCGCATGTTATTCTTAATCAGGCGAGGATCAATGATTTGATGTTACAGGAGATCATTAGGTTGAGGGGGAATGGGACGAGTGGGGTTCTGTATAATTCTCAGGTTGAGAGTGTGAGGATTGTTGATGATGAAGAGTACCCAGTTGAGGTTGTCACCATGCGGAATGGAGAACCCTACAGGTACCGCGCAAAATACGCCATTGTAAGTTTCATCCTCACCTCACTCGCTTCATCTTCTAACATGCAGCGATTAGGGCTGCGACGGCGCTCACAGCACTGTCCGCAAATCTCTCGGCTTCAAAATGGTCGGCGACTCAAGCGACTCCGTCTGGGGTGTCATGGACGTCTACCCCGTCACCAACTTCCCCGACATCCGCAAAAAGGCCATGCTTCAGAGCAAAAATGACGGAAATCTCATGATCATTCCGCGAGAGGGCGACGAACTTGTGCGATTCTACATCGAACTCCCCGGAACGTCATCCCGTGACGTCACTGAGCAGGACCTCATCAACAAGGTCAAGCGAATCTTTCACCCTTACGATATCGACATCGCACGAACGGTGTGGTGGTCAGCTTATGTTATTGGCCAACGTCTCGCGGATCACTTCACAAAGGACTATCGTGTTTTTCTGACTGGCGATGCTTGTCATACTCACTCGCCCAAGGCTGGGCAGGGTATGAACGTTAGCCTCCAAGATGGCTTCAACATCGGATGGAAGATGGCCCATGTTCTTACTGGCCGAGCACCACCTTCGGTCCTAGAAACATATGTTCTCGAGAGACAACAGACAGCTCAACAACTCATTGAGTTCGATCGCTCATTCAGCAAACTGTTCTCGTCTGACTACCGAAAAGCCAACGGGATCACGGCAAAGCATTTCCGAGATAAGTTTGTGGAGGCGGGACGATATACAGCCGGCATGGCTACCAAGTACAAGCCTTCCATTCTGACATCTCTGGATAAAAGCGATACCGGCGTCGCATCGGGTTTGACAGTCGGGATGAGGTTCCCAAGCGCACCTGTTGTGAGACTTTCTGACACAAAGCCTATGCAGTTGAACAAGAACCTCGCCTCAGATGGGCGCTGGCATGTTCTCACATTTTGCTCTGGCAACTTCGCTAGAAAGGGACTGCATGAGGTAAGTCTCCCAACCTTACAGTTCCCTCGGCTACTAACAGTTCTTCAGGTCGCCAGAGAACTTAGCAATCTCATCAAGATGTTCACGCCTGCCGGAGAACCTGCGGATAAGGTGTTCAGCCATACCCTTCTTGTCAAGGCGGAGCGAAAGACCATCGAGATCGATCAACTACCAGAAGTCTTCTTCCCTCACTCAGGTCCATATAATCTGAGAAGTAAGAGAACCATCCTACGTTGCAGAGTGATGATATACTAACAAGTCCTCTGCCAGATGTTCACCGGGTCTTTGTCGACGATACAAATCCATACATGTTGGGCTGTGGACAAGCTTTTTCGAAATATGGTATCGATGCGGAGCAAGGAGCCATTGTCGTTGTTCGACCTGACTTATGTGAGTGTTCAATCTTCTAGTTCTCTAGATCATACTAATGCTGTTATAGATGTTGCACGCATCCTTCACCTATCTCAAGTCGCCGAACTGTTCACTTTCTTCAAGGGTTGTTTAAGTAGCATTGGGTAGGTAGCCAAGCTGTGAAATGTCATAGATCGGACTCACGTTTTATCCTTCTTATTGTGTTTGTCCTGCAGCCTTCCATGACAAGCCGAATTCGAAGCCATCGTTTTATTCATCAAGAGAAGTCCGTCTTATCCGTGTACTCATGCGTATTACAAGATTCTATCTATCCAAACACCTCAATCATGAAGTGATACTCCAACTTACTTCCATCCTGCCATCCCCTCAACGTAAGTTCGCGGCACTTATCTGCCAAAACCTCACCAACAACAGGCGCACCACAGTAAAACACACCAACCTTGAGCTCCTCGTCCTCTTCGTAGCTCTCATCCTCCTTGTCGCGTCTACTCTTCCTCTTACTAGCCCTGAACTTGAGCATCTCTTCATAATGCTCATCCAGAATCTGATCAAAGTCAGGTCTTCCAAAATGCGTAGGATTGAGGAGACCAGTGAGAGGAGACGCGGGATGCTCATCCGTACGGTGCATCTCAAGGAGCCAGCGGTATACATGGGTGGTGGGTCTCTTGCGTTTGGCTGTGACGTGGGTGTTGATGCGGATGTCGAGATGAGGATGGATTTCATGCTCGCGATGCCAGTCTTGGCTCATTGATACATCATTGAGAAGATCGGAAAGCCAGAGGAGGTAGTTTCGCTCGCGCACCATCCAGTGGAAGTCAACGCGTCGATAGTCGTCTGCAAAAGTTGCGGCGCGGTCGGTTTGGGGCTGCTTCTCTTTGTTGATGAGATCGCGTCCGACACTTCCTTGCCTGGTCGGGGATTCTGGGACGTTGTCGCTGTTCTCTGCATCAGTGCTAGTGACTGACGCTGACCCGTTGCGCTCTGGAGATACAGCAGTCACATCAGAGTCATGGCGAGGATGTTCAACTTCGTGGTTCGGGCCGCCGTGATCAAGATCATCGTTGTACTGCAGATCAGCCAAGATGCCAGAGAATGGAGTCACTCCAATACCAGCGCCAATGATGATTGAGTGATTGAAGTCATAGAATCGTTGAGCGGGTGCACCAAAAGGACCATTGATGCCAACCTCGATCTCAGACTCTCCAGAATTACCTCCTAGTTCGCGAAGCTTGGCTGTCCAATTGCCGTCGGTCTTGATGTGCAGCATCATCTTGTTGCCGCGACAAAAAGAGACGGTGAACGGATGCCATTGGAAGAAGCTGATCTTTGGGACCTGGAGGAAGATGTACTGTCCAGCCTTATACTTCCAGAGTCGCTCACTGGGAATGACTGCGGTGATCTCAACGGTTTCTTTGTCGAGAACTTTCATGGTGGCTTTGATGCGATGAAAGCCGAGGCACACACGGACTGCGCGCTCAACAAGAACCAGAAGAGTTGGGAATGCGAGAAAGTATCCGAACATAGGCCACTGAAGCAATGCTGCTGTTCCATGAGCCATCATGAGGCCGATGATGGGGAACATGAGTAGATGGCCAAGCTGGAAGATCTCGTAATTCCATTTTCGCACTTGAGGAATGCTGAGTAGTGAGAGGATGTAGAACAGGCCGAGGGCAGTAATGCCGGTGAAACCGGGCAACGAGCGGATGTAGTCGATGTATGGGCGGGGGACCATGTCTGGACCAAGAGCATCTGCGACGGCGTCTTCATTCTTAGGATCGCTGCCATGCACGAATGATCCAGTCAAGTGTCCAATGGCATGCAGCGTCGCGAGTAAAATAGCAACACAAGAGATTCGGATATGGAACTCCTGCGACAAATCCCAGTTGAAGAAGCGTGAGATATGATACGACCTGCGCAGCCATGTCGAAAAGTATCGCGACATGCTGAGAATCAGGAAGAAGAATGTCGGATACAGCGCACCAGCGCAAGTTTTGGCCATGACAACTCCCCAGCCGAACGCTTCACGATATCCAGGGGTAGTCTGGTACTTGACCAATTGCCAAATGCCAAAAGCGCACTGCATACCGATAACAACCCCCAGAAACACAATCTCCGGCCCATGAACAGCCCAATACGAACGAATTCGTCTCCAACCGGGCAATCGCTTAATATAGCTCTTATCCTCATCCTCTTCCTTCTTCGCCTGCTTCAACGAAGGGATCTTCCACTCCTTCACCATCTTCGCAAACTCATCCCTTGGAATCTTCTCCGCGTCGGAGCCCATCATACTGCGCAGGAACTGATGGCGCGCACGGTCATCTTGGGTATGGTCCCGTTGTATGACGTGGTGGGCGCTCGGTTTCGGGACTAGCTCGGCGTGCTCCTGGTCGAGTTTTCGCTCGACTTCGTTGTAATTTATGAAGCCATCGTTGTTGTGGTCGAGATCATCGAGGAATTCGGAGATTTCATCGTCAGTTAGGTATTGGATGTTGTTGGAGGTGCGGATTGGATGGTTGGCTACGATGGATTTTCGATGAGGGTTGGGCTCTGCCATTGCAGGGGGGCTTGTGAGTTGAAATAAGTTGATCAGGACAAGATCTGAACAATGAAACAAGGAGAACTTCACATCATCTTGAGAAGGGGGTTGCAAGAAATTTAGAGGGTTTGAACAAAAACACCAAGATAACGCCCAAGAACAGAGTACGTCAGCGTCGAGCCACGCCAAGTCCCAAGCGTTGAACAACTCAACCCTAAACGCAACTTTAATTTCACGGCCAGCTCCCGTTTCACATGCGGTCTCGCATCACTGTGCAGTCAAGGCCTCATATGCCCTGTTTTTCGTTCCGTGGATGACGGTGCCCAGAAACGAGGCTTAATTGCATGCAACAAACTTGGCCAATTGGAGTGTTGCTGATTGCGCCCAGTTTCTTGGTTAAGCTTCTGGGCGACTTGGCGATCTTGGCTTTAGTTTGGCTTATCGTGGGGCGATGATTGGTTGCGGAAGTGCTTCGCTTATCGGAGAGGGACAGGTAATTGCATCGGACTTCTTGAACATCGAATGTCGAGAAAGAACCTATTGTAATAACGGTCCTGTTCAGATGATTGTTTATTCAGTACCAGTAGCGATGATTTGCTCAGCACTCTCTGAACAATCCCAGCTCGAACCTGAACGGCACCGTCGACGTCGCTTAGCGGTAAACAGTGGAGCGCTCAATTGTCCTGCCAATGAAAGCTCAAGGACGGCTCCGTCGATTTGATCTCGGGTAGGTCACCGTCGCAAAGGCACAGCAACTTAGACGAGATGGGGAACCAACATCCTGACTGCTTTGACCAGCTTATCTTCTTCTCTGTTGGGTATGGTGATGATCCTTGGATATTTGCTAGTGTTGATGCATCAACCATATATAGCCTTGCGTAACTTGGCCACAGGCAATTTGGTTATTTCTGTTTCTTCGATTCCCAACTTGCGAAAACTTGCCGTTAATCATATATGTCTTGAGATATCAACAAACACACAAACTCACTACTGATAGAACTGCGCTTAGAATCTTCCTTCAGTCTGGCGTTTCCCGCTGACAACTCAATGCCCTTCTTCGTGGAGTTCAAGCTAAGGATGAAGAGTTTTTGACTGATGAGGATCGAATGCTAAAGGTCTCAGGGGTTCCTGCAATTAGTGGCTTGTAAGATTTCGTTACTCGTGCTGATCAGATGGGTGCAATGAAGGAGTCCTCTGCCAGGTCTTGATATACTGAGAAAATTGTTGATACGGGACATTGGATGACTTATAGGACAGAGAAGGCGTGAGCTCTGCTTTACTCGTGTTTCTCAGGGCATAACAACACGGTTTTAGATTCTCATATTGCAGTAGACTTTGCCTACGCACGGTCTGGAATATTCCAAGATGTATCATGCACTCCTGCTCTCTATATACTTCTTGAGCCGTAAGATGGAGCATATAGAATAGACTCATTCTCAAGTCTGAGCCGATGAGCCAGACTGGCGCACTCATCGTCAAGACTTTTCAGTGATGATAGCGAGCAATTTAGACGACGCCCCCGTTCACAAACCCGATATAATCGAGCTTCTTGCTTCAGTGCCTTCACTTCGATGTTCTTCATCACATGTGAATATTCCTAATCAAACGAGTTCAAAACGCGGAAGAACCGGCGGTGAAATAGTGCTACGACATAATTGTGCAAATTATGCTAGCTGGTTCATAAAAAACGGCGATCACAATCATTGTGGAAACAACTGCCGGAAACACGACTCAAAATTCCACAGCAGCGGGGCGAATGAAGTCATAGAGAAGACTAATTCTCGTATTGAAGATTGAGATCTCCAGTTTTCATGGCCAAAACAGATCAGAATGACACTTCTGATTTGGCAATTCAAGATCCATACCCCGGTTGTTTCATGCAACGTTTAGTTCCAGGGTTGTTTGCTTTTACCCCTTTTGGGTCATGAAACGGAAGATTCTTTTCTTTCATTTGACTACCTTTCAGCCTCTGATTCTCTAGTTGCTGCCGTGTTCATTCCTTGGAGGCATTGATTTGTCTTTTTCTGTCGCTCTTTTGAAACATTAATTGTTAACTCACGCTCCTTCGACCCATTCGTTTCGTGTTCGTCAATGCGGTAGTTCCACTGCCAGTCTAATACTAATCCTCCCATAATGTTGGATACACAAAACATGGCCTCGCCGTGGCCATTGAAGGATGAATTCATAAGTAATAGCGACCGCGACCGTGATAAAGCACCATGGCATCGTCTCGAGAATCTCCCCACGCCATTCGCCGAACAATACGCAAGACTCAGTCAACCTTGGCTTCCCGGCTTCTGGATACGGTTTCCCTATCGTGGCCTTGGCATGTGGTTCTTGGCGTTGTTGGGCACAGTTGCAGCTGTTATGATCCTCATTTATAGCGATGGAGTGCCTGTTGATCATTGGGATGAGCGGATACAGCCTACTGTATGGCTGGCCTTGACATCGGCGCTGTCTGGAGCTTTTCTTGCTTGTGCTTTTACTGAGGGAGCGGCGATTTCATATTGGCGAGCAGCTGGCAAACCGGTGACTGTAAGTGGACCAATGCTGCTGAGGAGTTCTTTGCTGACAGAGGTCAGTTGCAACAATTGCAGGCTGTATATGGCTCCTCAACTGGCATCATACAAGCTGCCCTGAATTTATTCACTTGGAAGTCCAGGACATTGGGTCTAGGTATGATTGACATATTACTCCGCATTTACTGTGCGAGTGCTCATGAAAATAGCATCGATTCTTATGACATTATCTGTCCTGCGCGGTCCCCTCATGCAGCGCGCCTCATCAACAACAAACCACTACCAGGCTCAACAAGGGACCACGAACTTTCATATCGCGCGAGAACTTCCCGAAAACTACGCCTGCATCATGACTGGTCGCAGTCATTCCACTTCGTTACTCACCAAAAACTTCAGCGACGTCGCCCAAAGTTACAGTCGTCGATCCGACATGGCTGTTTTCGATACTTCCTGCACCAACTGTACGACCTCTGTTGAGGGTTTTGGTTTCGATGTCAATTGCACGGATACGACAAGGGACTTCAATCTCACAATTGGCATGGATAGGGCAAGCATGCTGAGAGCTATGGTTGGAGCATATTTCTTCCAGGTTAATGTTACGGAGTACAGTGACTGGGGCGTCAACGAATTGCCCAACGGGACATTCCTCCGGTACACGACACTCTACAAGGACACGGACAAGTGCAGTGGAAAGATCAAGGTCCAGACATGCGGTCTTCATGCTGGAATTGCAAAGTTCCCGGTACGAATGGATGGTAAGACGGTTGAGCTTCAAGGAACATGGAAGGACGACAAGTTCATTGAACAAAAGTATGTGCCGCCCCAACCATATTGCTGAGAGCTGTCTACTGACCAGATGGAAGATACATGTTGCCTGCTGATATGGTTATGCCCGGATCAGGAAATATCTTGGGAGGCTTCAGCATGATTGCAAAGTCTCTTTACGAGTCACAAGCTTTCATGCGCTTTACCGGCGCCACTGGCTATGATGTCAGCTCCACAGGTCTACCAGCAACCCAATATCTCACCATGAACGGTACCGCCCCTGGATGCGGAGATCGATGGGACAATCCAATGGAGGATATCATCGAACTCACCCGAGACATTGGCTTCCGAGCAAGTCTTCAATACGCCAAGTACAACACGACAGACAAGCAGAAAGTCGAGTACGACAGCGGCACGACGACGCTAGTATACGTGACGAATTACGAGAAGATGTGGATAGCGATTGCAGTTTCTCTGGTTGGTATCTTTGCTGTCCTCCCTACTTTCTGGGGCTGGTGGGAGCTTGGTCGAGATGTCAGCCTTAATCCGCTTGAGATCGCGAATGCGTTTGGAACTGTTGGGCAAGAATCGCATATTATGAGAAACGTTGATCCGAATCAGAACGTTGGTGGAATTGTGAACGCTGTTAATGATATTGGACCTGTGAGATATGGCGCATGGGAGATGAGCGATGGTGTTATCAGACTCGGGTTTGCGGGAGCTGGATTAGTGAGGAACCCGTCCAAGGGGGAAAGATTTAATTATTAGTTTTGGATAGACTTACATCTTGATATTTGTATTGATTTCCCATGCACTCAATCAGCCTTTCAATTTCCCTTTAAACCGACTTCAAGGTTGTATAGTTGGTAACCTTCATAAGTATCAACAAATGGGCAATGTTTTGTCATAATCTGGCTATTGCATTATTGCGACCTGCCGGCTCCTCCCAAGACTCCAAGCTGACAAATTGCCTAATTATGAATTGCCCTAATGCCCTACACCTTCAGTTCTTCTGACGCCTCATTTCGCAAAATGATTGGCTCAGCCGTTGTCTGAGGCTAACCTACATACCTAAGTTTTGCGCAGTTGTTGGGGATAACGGTCATGCTATTGAGCTGGTTCAGTATACAGCAAAGCGAGACAAAGGCCCAATTATGAAGCCAGATGCTGTCAGACTCTCACCAAAGACGTCAACACAAAGCCAGAGACAACAATTACTTGCCCTTGAACACACTTTGAGCGGATTCAGTTCAAAGTTGCGACGGCGAACAATGGTAAACGACGGGCCAAACAACAGTATTTCCAACTTGTCGTTTCTCTCCTGGCGGATGTTGGGGAACATGATGTCGACCGTTTCGTCAAGATAGCCGACAGACGCTCTGTGAGACTGGTTGTACGCGGGAGATCTCCAGGTCAGTACCAACTTGAAACATGGTCCTCGGTAGACAGTAAGCCGGGACCAACTGCTGCTGGTTCGGATATAGCTGCTGAGCAAGCTTCGCAGAAGTCTGCTGCTGCAGAATCCTGTATAGTCTTCAAGGAAACCCCGAACCACTCTGGGGCGTCTTCAGAAGATACTTAAAAGAGAACTTCAGGGGAATTGGAAGAAAAAAAGCGCGCGCGCAGTCAAGATATCATCATTCCACAAAGTGCCCGCAAATTTCGGCAACAAACAAAGACCGAGGAAAAACTAGTCATCAAGCAAGAAAGTCCCGATAACTATCAACCTATAACACCTCAGTTGAAGCCTTTTGAGGGATAAGCATCGGGTGATGCCCTGGTCTGCGAAGAGTCTAGCGGCTCTGCGAGTATGACGGAGGAAACTACTATCTCGGATCAGGACGAGGAGGATGTGTACAACACGTGGCTGGATGACAAGAAGCGGTTGGTTATCGATGTAGTGATGAAAGGTCTTTGCAAGTGGCTGGACTCCAGGTTAGTCTCTATTCGAGGTGTTACAGCGAACCATGGAGAGGCTTCGGGTTCGTCAAGCAGAAATGTAGATTCAGGTGATTCAACTCAACCAGGCCATGGAAAAGAAAAGGGTCACCCGCATTCTCCGAAGAGAAGGCGAACAGGCCCGAATGACGAGGATGATGATCATGGTGAAGGGGGAGTTCGAAAATCGAAGCTTGGACAAAGACCACATGCTAATGACGAACCGAGATTTGCGTGTCCGTATTTCAAGAGGGATCCAGGCAAGTATTGCCGGGAGGCGACTTGCGTTGGACCTGGCTGGGTTGAGATCCATAGAGACAAGTAAGACCCTTTGAACCCTTAACTGCCTTCCAGAACCGCAGACTAACGCTGATGGAATCTAAAGAGGCCATCTCTACAGGAGACATGCCCTGCCACCACAATGTCCTCGTTGCTGGCAAGACTTTAAGACGGACCACCTGCGGGACGTACATCTGCAGAATGACCCTCCGTTTCAGAAGAGAGCCAACGACACCAATTTGGATGGTTTCACTAGAACTCAAGAGAAGCAGCTCAAAAGCAGGAAGAGATCGGAATTGAAGATGACAGATGCTGGGAAATGGAGGGAGATATACCAGATTCTCTTTCCAGATGATAATCCTGCGACAATACCTGATCCCTGTAAGTTGACACTCTCACTCATGACCTTTTGGTGCCTTGTACTTACGAATACTGCGAGACCATGAAGAAATGAGCGCCATAGCAAAGCCAGGCCCGTCTGACTCCAACACACCTGTCGCTTTTGCTACCTTTGCTCGCAGAGAGTTTCCTCGATTCGTTCGACGCGAGCTTGAGATTCTCTTTCAATCTGAGTTTCAAGACGTGGAAGAGAGAATACGCCCAAAGGTCCAAGACCTTCTTCTCAATCTCCAGCCACGGCTAATAGCTCTCTATGAACGATCAGCCGGCGATGTTAGTGATGGGATCTCAACACCTCGAATAGATATTGAGGCGGTGGGTGCTCAGGGTCATGAACGGCCATCGCTCCCAGCTCCCAACCCGCCATTAGATCCTGGCGCCTCGGCCCCATGGCTTCCCAGTCATAATTCGGAGAGTACTTCGTTCGAGTTTGACATTGATTGGGATCTCTTGTCGGAAGACCTGTTCAACTATCCATTTCATGGTCAGTTTACCCTACCTCAGCTGGAGAAATCGACTCGGGACGACTTGCGAGTAGTGGGACGGACAAACAACTATCGACCAGGCTTAATAGAGTTCTATCACTTCTTGTTTCTTTATCGTAGGATATAATCACGGCTGGTCGTGCTTCTATCTGAGAAGCCGACTGCACTTACTACTTCGCAGACCTAGCTAGTAGCCAGGGAGTTAGTGACCAATTACCAGCTACTGACTCATGGCTGGCTCTTTGACGTGATTGGGTTCGCGAGAAGCTTGGAGCCTGACCTAGATGGGACTGGCAGAAGTATCTGCACTGGCAGTGTCGAGAATATCGTCTGTTATCCCCAAACGATCTCTAAGTGAATCATCCTGTCTTTTGGTTTGTGCCTGAAGGTGAACTTGTGACGCGTTCAGTGGAAGGTCCAATAACCTTAAACGCGAAACCATAAAGGATATTATAAACTGGCACAGAACAGACGAATTTCATCTCAACAAGTATGCCAAATGTTCGTCCAATGTTCATGTCTCGATATCAGGGGGACGAACTCGGCTGGAGTGCGTCATTCGGTGTCTAACTTAAGTTCGAGGTAAGGCACGCCATATAAGCATCAGCAATCAGGTCTATAAACTCAAAAAAACACTCTCAAAACCAAACTTCAGGCAGCATACCAACTACCCACACAACAGCCTTGGATAAGCTTTTCAGCTTATCATCTGATTAGGACTAACGCATACAAGAGAACCTGAACTTAAGTTCTGACAGTGTGAGAGGCTACTGACTGCGAACGATACGCATGGTACCGTGATTCATGTTCCAGCAGACTCTGGATCTACGTAACTCGAAGAGTAAATAATAAGTTCCCACTGGCACTACGAAGTAAACGCTCTCTGCTTTCCACCCGAGGTCCCGCTTTTCGTGATGCTCTCTCACTGGCAGAGTTGTGCCAACGCTGAAACTTGCAATAGGAGATTTAACCTCTGAAGCACGAAACCCTTCTATTTACACTGGCCTGATCACGCACCAGTGCCAAAACATCACGCGCGAAGCTCTGGCAAGTTTGCCTATTATCACACACGGGTATTTAACTCCCACTCTGCAACAACTTTGTTCTTCTTTCAACATTTCCTCCATCATAATACGAAATCCTTTCTACGTTCTCAACCTTTTCCATTCATCATAACACGACTTCTTCTCTACACACAACATCTACACACTCTCACACCCTACACGACAAGCTTGGTTCGAGCTTCCAACCTCATCATCAAAGATGGCCTTAGTACCCTACACTCAGCGAGAGCTGAATGAGTATATCCGGATGCCTAACGAACCTTCAGCTAAGGAGTTCCACTTCTTCAACAAGTTGCCTTACGACTTACGTCATAAAATCTGGGAGTTCTCCATCTCGCACTATCGACACGTCAAGGTTTTCTTTGCCAATAAGGAAACCGATGACAACGACGACCAACAAGATGATAAGATCACCGACATCAAGGACGAAACGCCATATGAGATCTTCATCGAAGTGAACTCAACTTTCCATCCGCTTTTATACACTTCATCAGAGTCCCGCGCCGTCGCGAAACTCTTTTATCGAGTCCAGCTACCTTGCCGTCGCATGGATTACGATGGGAGCTATGAAGGCACTATCTTCTTGTGTCCCGAGCTGGACACCATTGAAGTCGACACGCCCAAGTCGCTTCAACACTTCGGTCACTTTGCTGACGATGTGTTCACCACGGATAGACACCATATCGGATTGGTCAACCTGGCCATCCAGTCCCAATTCGTGCACACGGCTGGGCTACTTCCCCTTGATGACGCACATGAACGGACTCTTTTCACGAACGCGATCCAGAGATTGGAGGTTCTCGTCATTGTACAGAAAGCGGCTAAGCCTGAACTTTTAATGTACGGAAGTGACCTTCGCATCATCAACTTGTCGCCTCGCTTGGTCGCGACCCGTATTGAGACAGAAGAATTCGATCGAGGTTCTTTTGACCGTGATTCTCGCATGTACGAACGCGAACTGAAGGCCGTCCACATCGGCAAGGAGGACCCACGTCGGGGATATTACTCCTTCTGCAATATGATGGATGAACTCAAGATTCCGGTAGACGACTACGTCTTCAATTTGACTGATGAGCTTTTTATGCTCACGTACGACGATGCGCAGGAGCAGGGGCAGCACCAGGGACCGCCCCCTGCGATCGGATTTTGGACCTTTCCGCTGGCCAGTATTGGGCCTTTTTTCTTTGGAGACCTCAACCCATTGACTGGCCTCCCAGATGACGAATGGGAGGGAAAGATGTGGCAAGACCGAGTTTTGGATTTGAGCGAATTCGAGGCCGGCTTCTGTTTTTACCATCCGGCCTACTAGGTGACTGAAGGACTTACAACGTATTGATTGACGGTGATTAGATGGATAAGGATAGCCAAGTGCCGGACCTGGAGAACCTGTGAGCGACGAAAACTGTCGTCAGCTATGTGTAGTTATTTTTGGAGTTTTGATCGTCTAGGATAGGAAAGACGTTTTTTATTGTACCAGATTGTGCCGCGAACTCACATCGTGTTCTCCCATGCCTGCATCCCCCATAACTGATGTTCTCTCAGACACCGTGCACTATATGCTTGCCAAAGTGATAATCCGGGCTTGTTAAGTCCGAGCTAGTGATAAGTAGGCGGTACTTCCTTTCACGAATCCGACTGTCAGCAAGGATCGTACCCAGTACTTCTCATCTTAGTCAGCCGAAACCTCATCCAAGTTCCATCGATGACGATCCCCTCATCATAATCCCGTCTTAATGTAAGCGATGCAACTGAACCAAGAGACACCCGCGAAACCAGGACTGTCATTTGATTCGGACAGAAAAAGATGAATGGAAACGTCGGCTCTAGCTCTAGGAAGAAAATTTCCTTCCATTTCTTACCTGCGATAACAACAGAGCCCAACAGTCGCCGTGAGGTTGAGCTCCGACAATCAAGTGCCAGGTCACATCTCGCCAAATCCATGCATCGTCGTAAAAGAGCTAGCGAGAAACTTTCATCGGAGCAAGAAGATACCGACTCAAACATGACCGGCCAGGGTATGGTGATCGTGGAGAGGAGCACTAAGAGAAATGCCAGACCGCTTCTGCTTACCTCTGGACAACTCAGCATGTGCGTTATCCCCGACAAGATAGTGGATCCGCACACCAAGATGCTGCTTCACTACTGTACACAATCTTTCTGGCCAGGATTCGAGATCGGGTCAGCCGCATTTCATATTCCACCATTTGCACTCGACTACAACACTCTTGTTGCTCAAGGTCCAGCGTTGGTGCATGCGTGCCTTTGGCAAGCTGCTGTGAACCTCGCATTCAAGAGAGAGTCGCGGGTTATCGATAGAAAGAGCTTGATGCACTATAATCAAGCCATTGCGCATATCTCGAAAGACCTCTCTAAGCCAATATCAGAGATTCCTGAACAGACTCTTTATGCCATTCTTAGTCTCTGCGGTCCCGAGATGTCACCAGACGATGGAAGTGGCATCACGAAGAGAGCATTTGACCCACCGTTAGCGGAGCTATCTTGGATTCATGTCTTTGGCAGCAGACTTCTCATCGATTCGCACGCCAAGGCCTTGATGGATCTGGTGGATTTGAAAGGAGGCATTCACAATGTCAAGTACGCGGGATTCCAAGCTTCCTTCAACTACATGGACCTTGTACGCGCCACCCAAAAACTTGTAAAGCCTCACTTTCCGGTATCTCAACTCTACGGTCGTGTCAAAGAGACCCACGATAGGGCCAAGTTCTTCGGTTACGCTTCTGACTTCGTCGGACATTCTCCCTTTGAGGGATCATCAGGTACAATTGACAGGCTTAGTGAGCTCGGTTTAGCAGAAGATATCAGAGAAGTAATCTGCGACATGCGAGTATGGGTCAAAGTCATAGAGGCGCATCAACAGAATGCTTTAAGAAACCCTGATCTTTCGCTTCTAGCTGCTCACAGGGATCTGATCCAACAACGTCTCCTCGCAACTCTCCCGAACGGGTATGATGGCAAGAAGCCCGTGCAAATGGAAGCGTTTGGGTCAGCAGAACCCACCGCAGATCACTGGATTAATGAAGCCGTTCAGACCGCTTTGCTCATATTTTCATTGGGCGTTACATGTCCCATCGCGTACGCACCTCCTTACCACCATGCTGCACAGAGGTTACAAGCACAGCTCATCCTGTATAAGGAGCGAGCAATTCATCAGGGTTTATCTGACCTGTTGATATGGCTTGGCATGTTGGGTCTCCTTTGTACTGAGCAGGTTGGGAGCAGATTGAGAGAGTGGTTTGTTGAGTTCCTCGGGACGGTAGAGCGGAAGCACAGAATCAGAGATGATCTAAGGGACTGGGGACGGGTGAAGAAAGAATCACTTGAGCCCATTCTGTGGTCTTCCGTCGCTTGCGATACTGCAGCCAAATTGGCATGGCGCGATATTCAGGAAGCGGCGGATGAGACGTCTTGGAATTGGGACAGAACAGCATGGTCAAGTATGCTAGGGACTATATGTGGATAAATAATGATGATTGGTATTAATTCCTATACCAAGATTAGCCTGCCGGAGTTGTGCTTGGGCATTCTCAATGGTTCCGCCGGGGATGAAAAAAGCAGCCCATGACCTGTTCTAGCTCATGCTCGGAAGTTGTAGTTGCCTGACAAAACCTGTGTCTTCTTCCAGACATGTAAGCGTCATCAACATCCATAAGGCTTCTTCATTTATGAGCGCTATTCCTTTTCGAGTATATACACTAAATGTCCCTGCATGCGCTAGTGCTTACCCAAGGCGGGTCGAGCCGTTATCTCCAGCTCGTCGTCCATTGACTTAAGAGCGACAGTTGAGATTTTGTTAACATTTGCGACCATACGAAGGCGAGCAAATGGTTTAACTTCCGTATCTCCGGCATTTCCACACCAACAATTAATGCGTTTCCGATTGACAACCGGTTTTAGGTACGCCGCAAGATCGATAAAGACAGGTAGGTCCGTAAACTTTAAGGGGCTTGGTGACTGCATCTTCCTATATATTGAACGCTGGTCGTTCATCTCCAAATTGTATACGATTTGTCCCTCTATCACTTCTTCCCATTGACTACACTTGAATCTTACCTCACACCAACATGTCTCTCAACGGAAAAGTCGTCCTTGTCACCGGCGGTTCCAAAGGGATTGGGAAAGCCGTCGTCGAGCGTGTTGTAGCTGACGGCGCGAGTGTTGTCATCAACTACTCAAGTGATAGCACACCCGCAGAAGAGCTTGTCACCAAGATAGGCTCCGACAGGGCTCTCGCTTTCAAGGCTGATGCCTCCAACATCGCCGAGATCGAGAAGCTTGTGCAAGCGACAGTTGAGAAGTTTGGCAAGATCGATTGCGTGATGGCAAACGCTGCGTGCGCTCCCATGAATGATCTCAAGAGTACCACGGAGGAAGGTTTTGATAAGGCCTTTAATCTGAATGTGAAGGGACCTTATTTCCTTGTTCAAGTGAGTCTTCTTGTTTGATGAAACGAGTTCAATCCTCTAACAACTATCAGAAATCTGTTAAGCACATGCCGCGAGATGGTCGAGTCATCCTCGTGTCAAGCGGTGTTCTTCACCAATCTCAAGTAGCACCTCGTTACCTTCTCTATGCCTCTTCAAAAGGCTCCATTGAGCAGATGACACGAATTCTTGCGAAAGACCTTGGGCCCAAGGGTATCACTGTCAATGCAATTGCTCCTGGTCCGACAGCCACGGAAATGTTCTTCCAGGGCAAATCGCAGGAACTGATCGACACTATCGCTGGTTTCAGTCCTTTTGGACGTCTGGGAAAGTCAGAAGAAATTGCTGGCTTGGCTGCTTTTCTTGCTGGTCCAACCAGTTCTTGGGTCTCTGGGCAGGTCATCGGGGCTAATGGGGGATCATTTGTTTAGGGTTGGAAAAGTGTTACATTGGTCAAGGGAAACAGATCTTTTACTGTTCATTGTGCGGCGATCTGATGGACTTTGATCACTGAAGCGCTTCCTTTTACTCAGTCAATACATAAAATGTCTCGAACAAAACATATCTGTCATTAACAGAGATTTACTGTTGAAACTTGGGTCCTGACTGAGTAATGAGAGTAGTCGAGCACAACAGGAGCACCCTTCCTGGCGCTTTGGTCTTCACCAGGATTATAAAGTTATGAAGCCTTGTGTTCAGATCGGGCGTTAAGTCCATGGTAGCTAGTTCTCGGAAGAAAAACGCTGTTTTCATCCATTATCCTTTTTATAAACGACTTGCCCCTTAGATTTGCAGATCTATCTATTTCCAACTCAAATGATACTATCCTCAATAGTTCCGCCAAGTCTTAATTACGACGAAGAAGTCATTCATTGAACCCGACCAGCACATAATGTATTGAAATATATTGGCTATCTTTGTCGATCTGCGTTGTTTGTGTCTGTGTTACGGTTTCAAGCTGCTTCGACCCACGAGCCTCATCCACATAATATATCCGAAATTGGTAAACAAAGCTCAACAGGTTTTGCCTAAACTTGATGAGGTTCTAATCATCCTATGGAGCTGTTGTAATCTCCAAAGCTCGTGGCATTTCCTCATGTTGGCAATAATAAGGTATGGAGTCAAAATAAGCTTCCAGCCTCATATCCCAGTTGCAAAAGGCACGACTAGCTCGAGCCTTCACAACAGCGTCTAAGCTAGCAATGAATCGTGAACAGACGCTCAAAGTATGTCATCACCGAGGCCCCAAGTTGGTAGGGCTCCTAGGTGGTTAACAATGACTTGGGAAATACATTTGTCTTTTTCAGCATTATCCTAGACCCCTATAGAATATCTCTCTATTGCATGAAATATACTCAGCCTGGTTTATCCGATACTGAAGTGGTTGCATCTTACCCTTGGTTTCTCCCTGCACCCCCCTCGGTGGCCTCTCCGCCCTGAGCAGCCAGGTCGAGGTGGATGGCCCGCTTGGTAATGATGGTGATGGTGAACTTCTGGGGGCGATGTATATTGTCCTGGCGGACCTGCTCCTGGTGGATATCCTGGCGGGATAGATGGCGGGACTGCGGGCTGCGGCGGTGGTAGGACTGCTGCCTTTGATTGATGTATTGGCTTTGAGTGGTGGATGGTCGATTGGTGGTGCACTGTTTCGGGGTGTTGCGCTGTGTTTGGGTGGTATTCTGGCTTTCGGTGATGTGGTGACCTGGGCTGCAATACTGGATCGGGTTGGTATACTGGCTGGTAGTGATGATCCGGCTGTGGGTGGTGGTTTGGCTGTTGGTACGGTTGATGGTATGGTTGTGTCTCGGAGTGATGTGGGGGTGCGGGTTTGGGTACTAGCTTTGGTAGGTTCGTTGTCTCCGGGTTGGCTTCTGGCTCGGGATGCTGTGTTGGCTTAGGTTGTTTCTGTGGCTTTTGGTGGTTCTGCGGCCGAGGAAGTCCGGCTGGTACGTCTCTATCACTTCGGTCGATCTCCCACCGAAGCTTGCTATAATCCACCCCGTTCCAGCAACCCATCTTGCCCTTGCCAGCCATACGCCATACACCATGAAAGTCCCTTTTGAACTTGTGACGAGCGTCACGTGTGACTTCGAAGACATCTTGGGTACCCAGGAAGACAACATGCCCCAGGTCCTTTCGAATTGAGAATCTCATGTTTGCACCCGTGTCGGAGCCCCCTACCAGAATGTCGCTACTGTGATAAGCGTCGTTAGGGCCAAATTTCCAGGCACCCCGGTTATTGTAAGTCCAAGACATAATGGCATCAGCTCCGTCAACAAAGGCTGAGTGCTGGTCCGTTTTCTTCTTCCAGTCGGTATTTTTGCACGTGGCATGGTCTGCCCCCAACTTGAAGATTTCGGGCCACCTGTTGAACGCGGTGGTAGGTGGATCGTCCCAGCGCTTTCCCAAATGATGGGCGCCATTTCCATTCTTTTCATCGCCGAAGAAATTTCCGTCGAATGAGCTATGGACCCAAATAGAATACAGGCTACCATCAGTGTGCTTCAGGATGGAGTGCTTGTACACTGAAAACAGTCAAGGTCAGTCAATTTCCATGTAGGTTTTGTATCAAGTTTACTCACTCTTATTGAGATCGACGCCGTGTTGATCAGCTTCTTCGATGTCTCGAGCGCTTAGTTGAAGTTCACGTTCGACGCGGACATGCTCTACGATTTTGACGGGATCAATAGAACCCTTCTTCTGTTCATTATCCCCAAGAACAAGAATGGGACTGCCATTTATGAGAGTCGCTTGAGCCAATGCGGCCATGAGCATGGAAAGAACATGCATGGCTGAGGTGGGAGGGCAAAGCTGCATGAACCTAGGCGACGTTATAAGTCCAATCGAGAGGGGGAAACATTCTTTTCTTATACTCGTGAATTGAGGCCACTTCTTCGCTCTAAGGGCTCAGGGCACGGTCGTTCAAGAACTCATTTCAGCTTTTGTAAACCTTATCAATACTCCAACAAGATAGATCGAGGCAACTCAATACCGTGGAAGCCTCTGGTAAACCTTAAATCTTAGCAAACAAATAATATTTGTGTTAAATTTATTAACTGCCTGAGTTACATTTCCCCTCACTTGCAACTCCTCATCTCGTTGAAAATTATATTTCTTCATTATGGCAAGACTAAATGGTATTCGGTGTATCAACTCTTTCCAATAGAGATTGAGAGTCGAAGATTTCGATAAACAATATTGCTAATTGATACTCAGTGATACGGTTTTATTCTTCCATTTATGGAAATCTGGTCTGTAGAAAGATCCCAAGCCCATTAACTTTCCAAACATGCTCTCTGCTCCTTTCTTCAGCCTTGTTTCTCATCGCGATCTTATCTCCTGAAACAGTGGAACTCGATAAATAATTATCGCATCTTGACCAATCAAATCCGATAACGCCATCCTTTCTTTTCAGCTCGAGGTTGAAAAGCAGGGGTCTTACTCTCACCCCTGTTATTTCAGACTCTCCGCACTTATTTATAAATCTCTGCTTACTGCCCTTGAAAGCTGACAACATCCTTTCTGTCTTGCAACTTCGCGTATTTTTTGTCCCGGTTGAGTGAAATATCACAAAACCTCATCCTAGATCATCTATGGATCTTTTCAATTCCTGTGTCCGACCATTGTCTTAAAGCATGTCTAACCTTGAAAAACTAATGGCTCCAGCTGAAGGTATAAAATTTCGAAATGGTACATAACAGATGATCTAACTTGACTTGCAGATGGGGTCCCAGAGATCCCCGAGCTTAAGGAAACTGTCAGCAAGATGCGGGAATACCGAGATACTATGGAAGACAGGTTGGGATCGTACTCATACGCCCTGCACCCTTGGCAAGATCGTGACCATGGCTGGGAATCACAACTGCGTGTCTTTCATTTCGATAACGGAATTGTCAGGTCTGAATCTCCTCGTCTAGACCGCCGTAACGATCCCCAGCAGCTTTGGCAGGATATTGAACAAGCTTTGGAGAAAAAGCCTTCTGAAAACCCTCCACGAAGTCTGATCCTTATGGAAGGCATGAACGCCAGGATAGCTGAGGCTCTGAGTGTCAAACTTGGTATCCCTCATGAGTTCTGGACAGCCCACTATCTCACAGAAACACAGCTCAGGCTCATCAACCCGTCAGGCTTTGACTCCACGGATTCTACATACTGGAAGATCAAAGCTCCGTCGCAACTTTCAGTTATATGGAACGAGATGCCTGATGAGTTTGGGAACTGGTGCTTTAGCCCTTACAGTGGAAGTTGTCCTCGAGGCAGCGAATTCGTGCTGAACTCAGAAACTACGCTCGTTGATACAACGCTTTGTATTTCATTTTGGGGGAAATATACCCCAGATGGGTGGATAGGTACGTTTCTTTCTTCCATCGCTGACTATGTGGATTAATTAAGGACTCGTACTCAGCACTCGTTTTGATGGATGTTCCCAACGGGTGCCTTCTTCCGGAGGACGAGCCAAATCCGATAATACCAAGTCCATATGGCCTAGAAAAGGTTGACGAGGGTCAAATCGCAATATCGGAATCGAACTGTTACGTGATATCGGAGTCAAAGAGTTCAATCAACCGGCACATTTACCCGCATCAGCTCTCACTATGGGACGTGGCCGTGCAGGCATACGAAAATGAGAAGATCATCACCACCGATGACCCTTTCTCGGCGACTATCATCATTCGCAATTTTGTCTTCTGGAAGTGGGAAGATCAAATTACTGCCAACTGGGATCTCAACCAGACATTGTGGACGTCGTCGCTCGTGGAAACGCAAAAGGCACTGGACATCAAGAGTCCCAATCTCCTGATTGAACGAAGTCGAACAATTGCTGCCGATTACCAGAAACTCCGGCATTCACGCCAGCTATTGCAACAAGCGGCAGTCTTAGTCCGGCGTATTCATGAGGCATTTCGGTGTGATGATACTCATTACTTGGCCTCACAGACCATCGAGAGACTGAGGATCCAAATATCGCAAGAGTCCCGACGCTGGAGCCATCTTCAAGATCACATGAAAGTTCTAGATGAGCTTATCTCTGGCAACATGACTATGTACGCCCAACGAGCAGCAATGGATGAAGCATTCGCAACCAGGATTCAAGCGTACGATTCTTATACGCAGACAAAGGCAGCAAATGAGCAAGCAGCCGCAGCTAACCGTACAGCTCGAAGTTCTGGCCAGCTCGCCAAGATCGCGACAGTTGCTGTGCCTTGTACCGTTGCGGCGTCTATCCTGTCGATGAACGGTGACTTTGCGGCTGGTGAGCCTCTCTTTTATGTCTATTGGTGCGTCGCTATGCCACTTACCATTGTCTTACTGGGTTGGGTTGTGCAGAAGGACGTTCGTGATTGGAGAGATAAGCTGGTTAAGAAGGCGAAAAATGAGAGTGGTGAGAAGGATGTTGAGAGTAGCAGAAACAGTGGTTACTACTCGGACTGAAAGCATTATTGCAGGATTGGAACATTATATTGCAGTACACGATTATGATTAGCGCTCACATTCGATCTGATAGCGATACCGCGAGTTATTGATCATAGGCCGAGACGTATTATTGGTGGAGAAACTAATTCGGTATGCCTCCGCAAGAGGTTTCTATTGGCAAGAGATGGAGATGTCATACTTTTTTCCAGGGTCTTACGAGTTTCCCCTTCTATCTTAACGCATTCAAAAGGCGGAACTTGCCGGCATTTTCCATAATAAAGTGTATATGTTGGTGTCCCAGGGAAAGCTTGCTTTTGGTGTCGGACCGACAATTTCAGACGTTGTTTCAAGAACAGGTTCGCATACATATGCCACCTTCTGGAAGCAATGTCTTCAGTCCCGAGGCTTCCAGAAATGCATTGATCTCATACTGAACCATAACTAGTCTCGGACTGACGTAGTCGGATTAATGTTGTTCGAGAATCTGACTGCTATGAGAAGTCAACTTATTTACTAGCTATAGCCTTGATATAGGGACAGTGGATGGACCCGTTTCGATTGATATTAAGGAGGAACTTTAAATTTTGCGAGAGAATCTTCACAACCCAATCAGATCAGATGTAGGGATCGTATCACAAACTGTAATTGCGTTTCAAGACGTCGATCTCAGGTGAAAGCTGACAACTTCAGCTGGGATAGACGCCTAGACTTTGAGCGCCATGGTCGTTGGAACTCTATTCTTGGATCTCTTGAGTCTGGAACTTGACCAGTTCATGCGCTTTCAATGGAATCAAGATCTGGTATCGGCAGTTACTGGCCAGAAGATCTATATATTACCATCCAGGATGTCTTCTCAATCAACAACTACAACACATTCATTTCACATTCACTCCTTACACTACACTCTTTACTCAACAACATGAAATTCACTCTTTTTCAGTTCATAGGCCTGGCCTTGGTCTCTTCTGCTGCTGCAACTCCTGTGGAGAACAACGAATTGGCAGTGCGAGATACCATCCTCGAGCCAAACTCTGACTCTTCAATCATCAAGGACCGAGCTGTCAGTGGCTCCGCCAACTACCTCATCTACCCCAAGACCAATGCAGCCAAGAGAGATATTGATGCATTCACGAAAAGCCTTCAGTCGCAGGCCGGCAAAGCCAAGGTCGACACTCTCACCGATGTGAATGGTCAACTTCTAGCTTGGTATGCCACGCTGAGCGCGAACCAGGTTGCCGCTATCAACAAAAACAGTGTTGTAAGTACAGAATTTGTCACGGAATGTTTCCACTAACATAGCGAACAAGATTGGGTCAATTGCTCCTGATGCACCGCTGAAGACCAAGGCAAAATCATCCGGCGTTGTCAAACGTGCTCTCCAGACCGACAAAAGAGCTCAGCCCGAACTTCAGATGTTCTCAACTGCTCCCGGAAAGAGACCTGCAGGATACACGTATGACGAGAAGGCCGGCCAAGGCGTCACCATCTATGTCCTTGATGAAGGTTTCAACCTCAGACACAGGGTAAGCCGCCGCCAGCCTGACTATGCAGTGAAATGTCTAACCAGCTTCAACACAGGAATTCACTGCATCGCCTGGCAGGAAGAGGTGGATCTTCTCCAAGGGCGCCTCTGGTGAGAATGACCCTGACGGTCATGGTTCCTGCTGTGCATCCAAGGCACTTGGCAATACGGTTGGAGTTGCTCCAAAAGCGGATCTGGTTGCGGTCAAACTTCAATTGACTTCTTGGTCGCTGCTCAAGGCCTGGCAAGCAGTTGTCTTGGATGTTCAGCAGAACAGGCTCCAAGGAAAAGCTGTTGTGAGCAACTCAAAGGCTTGTAAGTTTCCTAATATACGCAGAAGACGAAGAGAGCTAATGGCGGTATAGCTATTGCTTGGAGTGTCGACCGCAACGAAAGGTGGTTCCGAGATGTTCTCGAGACTCTGTTGAAGAACCTCGAGGCTCTTGATGTCGTCGTCGTCAGCTCGTCAGGAAACTTCGGCGTAAGTTCAGGAGCATTACACTAACTCTTGGTCATACACTAACGTCGGTCAGACTCTGGTTGATGAGGTCAACACATACCCATCGCTTTTCGCAGACCGAACCCCGATCATTGTTACTGGAGCTGTCGATAACAACGGACGTCTTGCACCATTTTCTCAGGGCGGTCCCCTCGTCACGACTACTGCACCTGGAGTAGCCGTCAAGTGCGCTGCTATGAGTGGCACATCAGCTTACCAGGCTGGTGAAGAGTCAACCGGCACATCCTTCTGTAAGTCAAATCACTCAGTCATGCAGAGGTCAGTCTAACTTTCATAGCTACACCCGCCGTCGCTGGATTGGCAGCCTACTTCCTGTCGCTCGACTCCTTGAGGCCTCGACTTCAAGTCCGTGGCTCAGTTGCTAGGAACGTCAAGGCACTTATTCAGGAGCATCACTACGCACGTGTCTCGGGAGGACCCAAGGTTGCATGGAACGCGCACACTCTACTCAGAAACTGATGCGTCTCTGAACACTACTACGGGCTTGTGATGCAGAGGGGAAAGGAAGAGGCAGCTTCAGCCGTTGTATGGAGTTCTTCAAGAGAGTTTAGGTTCGGCCGGCTGTTGGTGGGTCATTGTCACTATAGAAAAGAAATTGAGTGCTTGAAAATATTCTGTACTGAGATGCAGTCGTCAGGCCTATCGCGTGTTGGTAAATAAACTATTCTTTCTCATGAACTTCAAGGGCATATGAAGAAGCATCTTGAGTCTTGTCCAGCAGTTCAATCTTGTCACTTATTCTTGTCCATAACGCCCTTTATCAACCTCACACAAGTTAGATGACAGGAGTTCCGGTACTTCAGGAAAGTCTTGTGAGCAAAGGTCTGGTTCAGAGCCAGGGGCTCTTCAAAGCTAGACGCGCTGTTAGTATGCCATGGTCGCTGATCCCATTGTTGAGCGATTACTCACAGCGGCCTGACAAACTTCATTCTGCCAGTTTGTCCTAAAAATACCTCAACATCTGGTAGAATATCCTTATCCTTGGATCTCATACTGAGTCTAAGGTATCGCGATAAAATCTCAAAGTTCTTGGTTCTGGCAAGTCCATAAATGGAGCCAAGCATCTTGGAATATTTGGAAGGAATCGATTTCGAAGCATCGCTGAGTTTATCCAAGAATGTTATGACTTGACCAGCTGTCCAGCCCTCTACATCATGGGCTCTCGGTGTGAAGTCCGAAGACGATTCCGTGTTCATCCACTTAGCAGCAAGTTCGATGCATTCTTCGTAAGAGGCGGACTTAAAACTGGGCTTAGGTGGAAGACCCGGTTTGTGATACCAGCTGTTCCAATCGACCGAGTCCAGCGTAGCAGTGGCCTTCGCATCCTGAGCGAAGAACTCAAATACTGTTTCTTCGAAACCCTCTGAATCCACTGAGCTTTGAGAGAACTTCTTGAAATACTCTCATTAACGTTAGCTTATGCCGCAACGAGCTCTTGGCTTCATAACTTACAAAAGGGACAAAACGAAGCCACTTGTCCTTCTCAAGAGGTCTTTCCAGATAGCAGAGAAAGGTATAGCCCTCGTTCAACCAAAAGTGTACCCATGACGCATTTGTGACTAGATTTTCACTAAAGGTATGAGCGAGTTCGTGGGCGACCACTGAGATATTCTCCCGATCACCCGAAACAACAATGGCACTGTAGAAGTTGAAGACCGGGTTCTCATTCCTCCGAGATGAAATGACTTCGGGAGAACGACCAGGTTGTACAGAGGTCATGGGCTCTTAAAGACAATATCCTGATTAATATGGGTCAGTATCTACTTATAGAGCATCTCACTGAATCCTGACCTCAGCTGTATCAATGATAGCCTGAATATCTGGCTGAAATTCCGCCACGCAAGCGTCGATGTCTTTGGGTGTAGAGTAGACATAGCTCCCTTCGGCGATTCTAGCTCTAGCAAGATTCCTGCGAGTTCTCGTTAGCCATTTCCCCTTCTTCGACTGCGTGAAAGTTTGTTACCCGCTGGCAACTGCAAACAAATAATTCGAGATGGGAATATCCTGCTTGAACCTGTATACCGTCATGTTGTGCATGCTCTCTACTAGAGGGAACAGTAGATCGTACTGAGGGATACCAGAAGCAACGACTGGTAGCGGGGAATGATATGGTTATATCGAAAGTTGATCTGACAGATGGCGTGTCAAAGCAAGGAAATATCGACCGTGCATGGACTGACTGTCCCTGAGAGACTGGTACCTTGTTAGCTCCGATCGTGTTCATCTCTGCTTCGGAGATATGGTGGACTTACACATGAAAGGATACAGCTTATCATCTATCTGTTCAGGCCCAAACCACTGAAGTCCAGTTCAGCGATCGGTCGTTTTGAAGCTAATCTGTTCAACATGAGATTAGTCTAGCTGATGATCGCCGAAATTATCGGTTCACTGCTGGTAAAGGCAACCCACGGTTACTGCGAACTCTTCATCTTTCCTATACTTGCGGTCTAGGCGGATATAAAGTGCTTGGCTCTCCTCGTTCGTCTGTTCCTTCGGCTCCCAGTAGGCTGGACTTCCGTTCATGTCCACGCTTAGAACATTAAGACTATTCATGTCCAGAGTAATGGTACCCAAGTTGTCATCGCCAAGGAGGCAAGCGCAAGAATAATGGTCCCGTGGATAACTCTCTGATCGAAGTCAATTTCAAGACGGAGGCCAGTGTGCTTGGTCGCCACGTGCTGGTAGTTGGAGAGCGTGTTGACGTCCCTGGCGAATAACGTGCTACCCATGGTGCAATTGAGTTAATGCGCATTTGCTTCTGTTTGCCGTGAATGCCTTTCTATCAAGAGGTCGTTTCAAAGAGGTAGGTACTATCACATAATGACAAATAACGTCACTCAGCAGCTTTGACTCGGCTAGCGCTGGTACCCATAAGCTACGGTTCTGAGTACTACTTACGGCGATACTCCATACCACGCACCAGACTTCGGACTAAAGCAAAGGTTCAGGTTAATATGGTATAAATCTGTCACAATCATTGGTCTAAACTTTTCTTACATCCTGAGCACTATCTACAAAACAACAGCCTCCATATCTTGTGGTTGGAAACAGGAAACTTAAGCGATCCAGAACCAGATGCGCTCGAGCCAGTTTCTTGGTTGGACGATCGGCCAAGTATGTTCCAAGCGATCAATCTCCGCCTTGCCAGACCAAATATCCATCTCGGAGTACTTGACATACTTTGACTTCTTGATCCACTTGTAACCGAAGATCAAGACAAGGAAAATGGGGATGTTGATGTATGGGGGCAGGAATGTCTTTGCGCTGAAACGTCCTGGGAAGAAGGCATCAAAACCGTTGAAGACGGCAACGATGGTACAGAAGCAGAAGGAGAAGTAAGCCAAGAATGGTTGGAATGGTGACTTAAATGGCAAAGTGTTGCGGTCTATGCCATGGTGGCTAAGACAGTAGTAGAAGCGGAGGTAGGTGAAGGAGACACTCGCCCAGATGATGAGGGCTCCGACACCGCTGAGGTTACTGAACCAGAAGAAGACCTCTGAGCCGCTGTTGCTAACGTTGAGGTACACCAAGAGCCCAAAGATGGTGGTGACGCCCACACAGAGATACGGAACACCGAATCTTTCCCAGGTTAGAATACGGGGTGCTTTGCCATCAAGCGCCGCGGCATAGAGTACTCGAGTGGCGGCGTAGAACAGAGAATTGCCGGAAGACCAGGCAGACGTGAGGATGACAGCATTGATGATGGAGGGAAGGATCTTGATGCCGCCGTTGCGGATGGCAATGACGAAAGGGCTTTGAGCGGCGCCAGGAGCTGACTTGTTGATGGCGTTGAGAAGGTTGGGGTCTTTGGATGAGACGCAGAGACCGACGAGGAAGATGGAGAGAACGTAGAATATAGCGATTCTCCAGAAGACACGGCGAATGGCCTTGGGGATGTTGCGACGGGGATTCTCTGTCTCGCCGGAAGCCATGACGACCATTTCACTGCCACCATAGGAGAAAGTTGCTGTGATGAACACCTTGATGAAGGCGAGGAATCGTCCGAGCGCACCATCTTTGAGGTACTCATTCATGGGCCCGGGGTGATTCCAGTATCGGAAGCCAATAGCCTCACCATTTGGAGCGCCGCCGACAGTGATGATGAACATCAGGATAATAAGGCCGACGATGGTCAACAACTTGATAGCTCCAAAGACAAACTCGGCTTCTCCATATATCCGAACGGGTAAACAGTTGAGAATGACCATGGTGAAGTAGAACAGTGTGATCAATGCGACTTGGGGAATATTATGGTGCCAGTAATTGACGATGACAGCCGAGACAGTGACCTCAATGGGAACACCGATGGCAAACTGGTACCAATAGTTCCAAGCAAGAGCAAAACCAAGAGCAGGGTCGACAAAGCGAGCAGCAAAGATAGGGACGGGGCCGGGGATGGGTAGCCATGATGCCATCTCACCAACACTATTCAAGACACAGTAAATGTTGAAGCCCGTGATAGTGTACGCCAAAAACGCAGAGAGGGGTCCAGCAAGTGACAGAACCTGACCACTACCAACAAAAAGGCCCGTGCCAATGGCACCAGACAAAGCAAGGAACTGAACATGCCTAGACTTGAGCCTGCGGTTCAAAGTACCGACATTTCGGTTCTCGTAATCCTCAGCCTTGACGTTGGTTGGGAGTGTTGGTTCGATGGTGGGCGACTCCCTGCCAGCTTCTATATCGGGGTTTTTCTTGTCGATATCCATGTTATGCAGCAGTGGTTGTATCTCCCCTGGCGATGCGTGAGATGAGTGGTGATTGTGAGGAGACATCGTGGAAAGGGAGAGGAGACGCGGCTCTGAGGTATTAAGCATAAAAGGTCTCTCTACTCGTCATTCGTACTGAAAAGCTCCGTGGGCAAGTTTTCCCGGACTTGCAAAATTGGTACTTGAGCCGGCGATGATGGTGAGTGCTCCCCACGCTATGACAAAGAGTTGTGAGGGTTGGTACAAGGGTTAGTCCAATCGATGGCGATGGACCTGCAAGAATTTTCATGTTTGTGCAGATGCATTTTTGGCGATAAGTTGATGATCACCAGATAATAATTGATTAACATGCTCCCACATAAACTACATGGTATTGAGTTAGTGCTCTAAGGGGACGATCTGCAGACTAAACGGCCCTTGGATGCGGGCCCATAACCTAAAAGGGAAGCTCGTCTCTCACAACCAATGATTGATGGACTGAGCCGTGATAACCGGCTTGGCAAGTGATCCGAGGTCGGTGATGCACTGATTGATAAGATGACGAGGCAAGGATCTCGCGGAAGATGCGTATCAATCTGTAGAGATCAAGCCATTGTTCCGCGGTTGGCTCCACTATCTCCCGAAGGTGTTGCTTGTGATTTTAATGTCTCAAATTCACGGGATGAGGTCTATTTGGAACCCAAGTCCGGTTTTGTTCCTGTGTTCGCTCGAGACATAACCGTGTCGCGTCGTCGTTTGGTTAGCCGGCGCGTATTTAGAAGCCCGTTCCTGTACTAGCTACCCTATTGCTACAAATGCAGTTGTTGCGATTACGTTCCAGCACCTTTTGATTTCTTCTGTCAATATGCAGTATGGGTATGTGAAGTATGTTAGTCCATATGAATTAGTCTATAAGCAATACTGTAACAGTTTAAGCGTTCAAGTTGCTGGTATTCAGCCGTGAAGGAGATAGTTCTTCAAACATAGCATACGCGCTCTTTGCACCTTGCAAGAACATCAGCTCATGCCTTATTTACCCGGATCATGTAGTATCAGCGTGTAACGACAATACTGTCTTATCAACTTTTTGGACCCTCCAGTTTAAACAATTTGTAACCATTTAGCAACGGATCCAGAGGGAGCTTCACGCTGCGCACAGTGGTTTCGCATCTATGGACTGTCTCACAAAGTGGTTCTCAACCAATAAGATAACGCCCCGTTGGCTCAGTGGTAAAGCGTATCACTAGTAAATTACTACGAAATGATAAGATCACTGGTTCGATTCCAGTACGGGGCATGCCAATCAATCTGATCTTATCTAATCAGATCTTCTTTTTGCCTTTGGAGTAACTTACATGTATCCATATCTGGCTCTAGCAAAGGTAGTTTGCCTTTTGCCATGATTAATCCTTCGCTTCTTATTCACTGAGTCGGGAGCAGCTACCTTGGTCCCTGATTCTAAACAAATGTTTCTCAAATTAGTGTGGCCTATAATACAAATGAAAATACATAGAGACAACTCCCGGAACCCATGTTGCCAGAATCAAGCCTTCGCCAGTGCACCATCGACAATTTCCCAGGTATGATCCCTCACTTTCCGGATCTGTTCCTCACTCCAAGCCGGCTTCTCGAAAACCTTTCCCTTCCGACTCACAAAAGCGTAATTCTTGTCCTTGATCTTCGTAGCTTCATCCACGCCATTCAGCATGTACTCAGCACAAGTGTCCGGTGAAACACCCAAGACAGAGGCTAGACCAGTTGAAGGGAGACGCATATACCAGGGGAGTGAATGCATGATGTTCGTGTTGACAAGACCGGGGAGCGCATGGATGAAATGTCGGTTCTTTCCCTCAGCTTTCTGCTCGGCCGCGTAGTTCTGGATCATGGCGTCTGTCATGGAGAGACAGTGAGCTGCTGCGCTTCCGAGGCTGAAGGTGTTCTTGAGATCCAGATCGTCCCAATTGAGTTTATCGGGACTTCCACCAGTGCTATCAAGCACAATCAAAACCTTGGCATCGTCGGTGAGAGATGGAAGAAGTTCGCGAATGAGTAGTTGTCGTCCGTAGTAATGAAGCGCCATCTTGAGGTCGATGCCTTCAGGCGTCTCTGTCCTTCCAGCGGTTGTGAGAATGCCCTGAGAGAGAACGAGGGTGCTGAACCGATCTTGCGACGCCTTGAGTTCATCGGTGTAAGTTTTAATAGCGCGCATTGAAGACGCGTCTAATTGTTTGAATTGGATGTTTGAGTGGGGAATGTTCTTTGGCTCATTGCGACCGCTGATGATGACGGTTGATGAGGGGGAGTTGGCGGCGATGCGACAGGCGATGCCGTAGCCGATACCGCCTGTTCCGCCGACCACTAGAGACTTTGCTGCCATGATGTTTAGTTTCGGGATGATTGAGGTGATTGATTGAGTGATGATTGTGCCGTGGGTCGTGTCTTTATGTAATTAAAGGTGACGCCATGTCTGGTGATAACAATTTCGGAGTTTATGCTTCTGCGCTAAACTCCGGATTTATTTGATACCCGCTTACCCTCCGCTCCGCAGTCAAGGACAAGCCACTCCGCAGGACCAATCATCGTTCACTTCCATGAGAGAACAGTCTATTTTCGTATACCGGACAGATAAAGGTCATGGCTTGAAGTAAGCAGTTTGTTGCATTATGCAGTCATCACTATGTTCTCATTCAACATCAATATACATATAATCACAAGTATCGAGATCATGCCCCAAGCCCAGTTCCTGGCGCATCTTCAGGACTCATCTTGACCGGCATCTTCAACCAACCCTTCTTATCAGCCTCTAAAATCGCCTTCAACCACGCATTCGCCATCTTCTCATAACCATCATCATTCGGGTGTTTTGTATCACCAAGATCCTCCTTCTTGATATCAATTGGGACTTCAAGAATGTGCTTTCCTTTCTTTTGCCTCGCTGAGATAAGTGATCGAACTTGAGGGTTGAATTTATCTGTATTCGCCTGCATCTTCTTATCGTTGGCCCAAATAACTGGTGCTAGGCAGATTGTCACGTCTGGTGCGACTTTGAAGATTCCGTCGACGATATCTGCAAGAATGGATGCAGCAATGTCGAGATCCTTTCCTTGGTCCATGTTGTTGGTGCCGGCGTGTATGAGAATGACATTAGGACGGGCTTGGATTGGCTTTTGCCAGTAGCCGTTGATGTCGGCGAGCATTTTTCCACTGTGACCTTCGTGATGTCCATCAACCATATTACCGTTCTTCAACGTCCCGACCATATTGACCTTCACGCCTTGCTTTAGGATCTTCTGTCGCAATGGGAGACGGTATCCAACTAAACCCGTCGAGCCTGTTCCTTTTGTGATGGAGTCGCCTAATGGCAGAACTCGGATGTTGGGAAGGGCAGCGGCTGGTGAAATGGACGTTGCCATAAACACCGCCAACAAAGTAAGCGCATTCCAAACGGTTGATAGCATTTCGAACAAGGTTGCAGTCAGCTGGGCTGTCGAAGATGGTGTTGAGATCTTGACTTCACGATAGAGCCTCGGGAACCCAGAAAGTGGCGTCGAATGAGAACCTCAGCCGAATAAATAGCCTCGCCAACAATCGCCATCTCCCTCCCTTGACATCATCTTAACAAACCTCATAAGACCGTAATGCAGGTCAGTCAGCCATTTCATGCAAGTAAGATATCGTGGTGTAAGCTCATTGGTGTCTTTCTATTCCGGCAAAACATGAATGCCGGTGACCACCGCAGAGTGTGCCACCAATGCATCCAACTCCATGACGCTTGCAGCATTATACGAGAGTCGTTATCTTGGCTCGCTTAGAGATTCACACGGGAATGGCGGATTGAGGGCCTTGCAGCTTATGTGACAGGGGTTATGGTTGGGGAAGGTTACTATGAATGCTTGATGACGAAACGATTGATCGCGTGGACAATAGTGGTTGATGCTAAGTGCAATACTATGACACTGATATAAGCTGAGGGGTAGGTCATGAGCTTGACCGGATTGATCATATTACTGTTTTGTGATGAGCTTTGTTTCTCATCGCCGCTGTTGAGTTATTCCCATTGTTATCCCCAACCTCCCCATATTTGATCACCAACTGCAACTGCGCCGCATGAAGCTAACATGAATCGTCATTTATTGGAGCATACCTACAACTACCCTACCCATGTTATAGGCGATCGACGATTTATTCTCGAAGGGCTTTTGGCAAATGAATTGACTAAATAGCCATGAATTTTTGGAGATGTTGCGATATCATAGCATATACCATTAATGAAGTGATGCTTATCTGGGTCGAAGCAAGGCGTCTTTGCTATGTACTATCAAAATAATTATTCTCGTCATTTATACTGGTTCCGGCTAACCCGGTTAAGCTCTCTCTACTCGCGAAACAGTGGGCTCTTTATCGGCATCATCTCCATCATCAAGCATGTCATCCATCTTCGACTGGCTATTGTGAAACTTGCTAGTAGCTGCTGCCGCATCGCCCTTTCTCCCTGTGTCAAAGAGGACAGAGACCTCTTCAATAGTCATGTTTCTGCGATCGTCAGCGGGATGTCAAGCACAAAAGTTAATAGAAACATACCTTGTCTCAGGGAAGAAGAACAGAATAAGAACAAGATACATGGCGATGACCGCAATGTAGACGATGTAGCTACCTCAGGTTAGTGATGTCTCGATGGAGTGATATCCAATGGACTTACTATTTCCACGCAATTGCCTCGAGTGCAACAGGGTTAACCCATTGATTGAAAGCCAGCGCAACACTCTGAACACTTAGTTCAATACTTAATCCCTTCAGTCTCAGATTATACGGAAGAATCTCCGCCCCGTAAGCAAAAGGTAGTGGCGACCAACTAATGCAGTAGAAAGTCTTGAAGAGATACATCATCGGAACCACAGCGATACCGACGCCATGTGATGGATTCTCAGCAAACGAGCCACTGAGACCAGTGATGATTGTGTAAGCGACACACATACCAACCGTGCCTGTGATCCAGAGCGTACGGCGGCCGAGGCGCTCAGCACTCATGGCTCCTGCATAAGCCCACATGAGGGACCAAATCGCCATGCCACCGTTGATGCCCGCGATGGCACTGGAAGAAGTGATACCGACGAGTTTGAGGGCTGGTGATAGGTAATACGCGATGATGCCGTTGCCAACCCAGTTGGAGCCCGTGCCCATGGTCACAAGAACGAGGAGGCGGCGTCTGTTACCGGGCGTCTTGAGGAAGTCGCTGTACTTGGAGTTGTTGTTCTCCTTCTCCAACTGCAAAGCTTGGCAGATTTCGTCAAACTCGTATCGTACCAACTCGTCATTGAGATCGCCGTTGGAATGTTCGTCGGCAAGAACTTTGAGGGCTTCTTCGGCTCGGTCGTGGTCGATCAGCCATCGAGGGCTTTCGGGGACAAAGAGAAGATGAACAAGGACAACAGCTGGAGCAAAAGCTTGGAACAGGCAGGGTGCTCGCCATCTCCACTGGGTATCTGGCCAAGACAGTGTGCCATAACAGAACCACGCAGCAACGATTTGACCGACATAATAATTGCTGTAATACGCTGTAGCGACGTATGGTCTTAGGCGAGGATGTGCCAGTTCCTGAAGCAGTGCAATACCGGTGATCTTTCCGAAAGGTCCAGCCGCACCGATAATGACTCTACCACCAATAAACGTTCCGATATTCTTCGCAAAAGCATTGAGGAATGCGCCGAGGATTAACAACACTGAACCGACAGCCAAACACCACTTCCTTCCCCAAAGTCCGTTGATCCACGACGCTGCGAAGGGAGTGATGATTGCCGGGAGAAACAGACTGGCCGAGATCAGACCTAGGGTGTTTCCTGACGGATAGTTGAAGTATTCTTCCCATTGGGGGATCGCTTGGAGACCGTTCATGAGCGAGGCGTCGAAGCCGAGGTAGAATACAGCAAAGTAGAAGCCAACGCAGTGCCAGACATTCTTACGCAGGCCGGAGTCCTTGTACCACGTTGGATGAGTGTTGTTTTTGAGATGAGCATAGTGTAAGGTCCTGGTGGCCTTGGGCCTGAAGAACTCAGTGACTGCCTTGAACATCTTTGAGGACTAACAGATCAAGGTGATTAGAGAGCCATGACCAGAGACAAGTATCGTTTGCACGACCCGTCCCCAGTCACTTATATATCCTCACAACAGAATCCGTCGCCTTGGGTCGGAGCTAATGTCTCTGCGGGGTAGACCTGGGGTAGACCTGGGGTAGCGGATAAACATGCCCATGAGCTGATCCTTTCTCGACATGGTTACAAGCTCGGTTACAGTATTTGATCCTCCAGTCGGACGGATGACCGACTTATCGAACAGAAGTCCAGGTTGCTAGACGGATTGATGTCCGGGCAGGAAGGCTGTATGCTTCCGGGAATATGCCTACTACATTTCCCTTGTGTCCACAATGGCCTTGATAGTAGTGGTTTGGAGACCACTATAAGCTATTAGGGGGTTGTATTATAATGCCTTGCGGTGTTCGTGGAGCTAGAGAGGGGGACTTCAATGGTCTTGACCAGTTTGTTCGGATTTGCGTATTCAGACAGCTACGGGCAAGGAAGAACAGGCATCTCAATCATGTAGAAATAGTAACGATCAAAAAACCTATGATCAGAATGCTTTTATTATGTAGGCAATCTTATGAAGAAGCCCGTTCAAAGGCCTCGCGGTTCACTGCCGTAGTCGGCTCGCCACAAAACTCCCCATTCTCATCCACTACCCTCAGAATATTTTCCATAGCCATTAGCTCAAAATTAATTCTAGTCGTAATAGCTGCTCCTCCATTATGACAAGTTAGTGTGACGTTATCCATAGCTGCAAGTTCCTTCGAGACTTGAGGTTCGTGGTAATGAACATCTAAACCGGCAGCTGAGATCTTGCCACTCTTCAGCGCTTCGATCAGCGCATCCTCATTGACAATTTGACCTCTAGCCGTGTTGACAAGCCTTGTACCATCTTTCATCGCAGCGAATGCTTCTTTGTTGATGAGATCTTGAGTATGAGCGTTGAGCGGGGTATGTAGAGTGACACAATCGGCGATGCCCAATAGCTCGTGGAGAGATGAATGATATGTCGCTTGGAGCTCTTCCTCAACTTCTGGTGGTGAACGAACCACGTCGTAATAGTGAATCTTCATACCCAGAGCCAAGCCTGCTTTGCGGGCCACTAATTTGCTGATGTTACCAAGACCGACAATACCGAGAATGTGGCCTCGGGGATTGTAAGAGATGGTCGCGATCAGTTTGTGCATCCTTTGGAACTCCGCTGGATCACAGGTACGTGCACCACGCTGAGAAAGCCAGAAGTTTCGGAATACAGAAAGGATCATGAACAGAGCAGTGTCGGAGACGGCTTCATCGCTGGCGCCGGCGCCGTTGGCGTACCAGATGCGACGGCGACCAAGAGCATCAACATCAGCCCAATTAAAGCCTGCACCAGCCGACGCAAAGATCCGGACTGAGGGTGGCAGAAGTGATATGAGTTCTTCATCCCATTGACCCATCTCACCACCCGTCTGGAAATGTGGACGATATATTGCCGAGAACTGGCCATATCTGACAACGTATTAGCATTTACTCAGACAGTGAACCACGGGTGCTCTGAAAGACTCACTTGTTCTCTTTTAGTGCTTTGATGAAAGACTCTCTATCAGGCTCTTCGTTTGCAACCACGTCAAATCTTTTAGTAAAGACATTGTTATAAAAATCATGATTGTACTTAATGTCCTCTCCTACGCGGAGAACGATGGGTTTCCTTGACGCCATAACGAGATGTTAAGCAGGCGTTTCTTGGTAACGATGATTTATCACCAGTGATTTGGTCTGTTGTTGGTTGATCAAAAATTATCCCAGGTTAGGCAGCTGCTTTCTATCACGGGTCTTTGTTTACTTAGGTATCATTTCATGTCAATTATGCCTGGATTGCCGTTGTTCTCACTCGACCAATGGGCTCGATGATCTCAACACGGAAATGTGACCGGCGTTGTCGTAAGCCCGGGATAAATCCGTTAGCATGAGGGGGAACTTCATGAACGGTCTTCACTTCTGCACACCGAGAACGTGCATTCTTGGCATTATCCGAGATAATCTCCCTGCGGTTCTTATAAACGTGGAATTCATTTCACAACTGATATAGCTAATGGCTTATATTGTGATGGTATTGCGATACAGGCAGGTCGTAGTTGCCGCCATGCGACTGAGAAAACGGCTGAACGAAGTATTGTGCCGATACCCGATATCGCGACTCAACCCTCGGAAATGGCTCTGGTGATAACGAGTGGAGGCATCAATGATGTGACTTGGAGGGCGAATAGGAACGAAGACCGAAAGCTCGACGAGTAATCCCTGAGCATGATCCTTGTCTGTTTCCGACGGTATTGCATTCTCATTCGTTATTGTTATTCCGATGAGATAATGTAGTCTGCAGTCCAGCAATCGCTCCCTCGCTCTGTTAGACAAAAGTCGAACAGCCCCAGAAACTCGTGGTTCTTGTCTGGTCGTTTGAGCTAGGTTTCTATGTATCGGAAGGCTCAAAGAATTGTATAGGATTCAACACGATGACGCAGTACTTTGGTACAGGTTTGGTGCGGTTAAAATATGTATGCGTTGCCTGCTGGATTCTGACACGCGATTGAAATGATGCCCCAGCAGGGGATTAATTTAAGCCCATGCCTGGAATGATATTTATAATTAACATCCTTTGAGAGGTCAACGCCGAACAAATGTGAGAATAATAGCAAAACGCATGAATAGAGTTCCGTCTATTATACTTGTCAGTATGTTATGTTATGTTATGTTATGTATATTTTTCGTCCGGGGGGCCGTAGGCCCCGAAAGTCTCCTAATGGAGCACAGGACGTGCTGAGCTAGAGAAATTGGGACCTATCTACACACTAATTACAGAATACTATGACTTCCTCTCGAATTCCAATTCTGCAGACGCGTCGATAGACCTCACACTATCCAGCATATCAACGGCACAAATGGCGCATCTTATCTAGCCTGTTACCCGTCAGCGGGATGATCAGGCGCGGCTGATGAACGACAGCCGCAAGGTAAGCCCGTTGTTAGGCGATCGTGAGCCTCTGGGCGCGGTAGCCTCAGGGCTGCCTTCAAGTGGTCACGATCAGATAGAGGGCGTGCTAGCGCCCTTCATCTGGCCGAGAACAGGTAAGAGAGAAAGGTAAGAAAAAGGAAATGTATAAGGGTAAAAGAGGGGAGGAAGGATGCGAGTGCGTCCCGGGTCGTGCTCGTCTAATAACGAGGACAGATCTTTCCAAAGAAAACGCTGGCTTTAGACAGTTCGGTGAACTTGGTGAAGTCTCTTCCTGTTGCCAGGTTGACTGCTGCATTCGGTGAGGGTGCCAACCTCATCCGATGACGCGGCGGTACCTTTCTGCAGTAGAAGATGTGGTCCGGTGCTTTGCGTCGGTTGCATGAGCAGACCAGGCGTGCATCACTATGGTCGAATCTCTCGTGATATGCGGCGAAGTCCCCATGAAGCGACCTTGCTGCCAGCAGATGGTGCAAGGCTGCACGCGGGAGCGACAGCTCCGGCGGACAGCCTGTAGTCGCCTTGAGATTGAGTCTTTTGTACTGCTCAGGAGCGGAGGTGGACCACCACGCCTGGAACGCTTCTTTCGGCTTCTGTCTTGCGATTCTTCGTAGGTAAGCCAGCGTCGGTTGAGCGCCTTCGGGCTCGGGGAGCGATGACGCTGCCTTTGCCAGCTTGTCGGCCTGTTCGTTGCCAGGGATGTTGGAGTGCCCTGGCACCCAGCGAACTTGGATGGCTCCATGCGATGTCGTCAGAGCTTGGAACTCGAGAAAGACGTTTTGAGAGGATTCAGAAGGAGTGCCTCGTAGACACGTGGCGGCTGCCAGGTTATCTAGGCAGATGAATATATTCTGTGTTGCTAATTCTCGCAGGTTTAGAGCAGCCTTCAGGCCCTCTAAAGCCCCGGTAGCTTCAGCATCGAAAACCTCAGCAGGTCCGAGGCGACCTGATCCGTCAAAGATGGGGATATTGTTCTGATGGATGGTGAAGCCATAGCTGGCAGCCCCTTCTGAGGAAAGAGAGCCATCCGAGTATACGACCAAGGTGAGCGGGTCGAGAGACTCGACCCAGCGGGAAAAGGCGTCAGCCGATTTCTCTTTAGACGCTGTCTGCAGTGGGGGCAACTGTTCTTGATGGAAGCATCGATAGACGAGTTTCGGCCGCGTGCAGGGTGCAAAGAGTTCGTTTGCACGTCGAAGGCGCGTCCTGAAGCTGCTCTCTGCCTGTATTTGATATCTTCGTTTGATGAGGTCGTGGTAAGTAGGCTGTCGGGGCGGGCGCGTTCGGATCGCCAGAGGATGAGCCTCATCCAGCGATTTGAGTCGTGCGGAGAACCTAAGTCGCCTCGCGTCAAGCAATTGATCGACTGGTGGTATCCCGCTTTCTCTGTGGAGGACGGTGATGGGTGTCGTCTTCCAGACGGGAAGAATGGCCTTCATAGCCTGTTTCATGGCTTTTGTCATTATTTGCACGAGATGCTGGTTACTCGATGGTAGATCTTTCGTAGGATGGGTCCACCGCGGCCTGGTCTTGCCCGGGTACCACGCCTCTGAGCCGTGGAGCAGCACTGGCTCGACACATGCTCTGACGGCGCCTCGCACGGCGCTCGGTAGAGGGCCGTGTACCGTGTTGGTGAGCCCCCGCAAATGATAAGCCACTGCCTTTGCTTTGGCCGCCCACTTTTCGACATGAAGTCGAAAAGATAGTCTGCTATCCAACCAGATACCAAGCCAGCGTAGAGCTGGTTCAGGGTATTTCTCGACATCGCCGTGGCGCACTGCCGGCGCAGTCCTGAGTTTGCTGCGGGAGAAATGCATGACTTCGGTCTTCTTCGTGTCGAAGGACACGCCATTCTCCGCGCCCCATCGCACCATCTCGGCGATGGAACTAGATGCCATGGCAGAAGTCTCGTCTACTGTGTCGCCTATGGACAGGATGGCCGTGTCGTCTGCATAGCCGAAGCGACCCTGAGGGTTCCCTAATCGATAGATTGGCTCAGTGTAGAGCAGAAAGAGGATTGGCGATACCGGCGACCCCTGAGGGAGGCCGCACTGAAGGGGAGAAGAGGGCGTGACTGTGTCTTGGTACCTGACACGCGCCGACCGGCCGCCCATGAAGGAGCCGGCCCAGCGAGCCAGATGATTAGGCCAGCCTTGCTCACGAAGACGCAGGACGAGCCTGTTGCGCATGACGGTGTCGAAAGCACCTTGGACGTCCATTGTGACTAGAGTCGCCACCTTCTTGCGTGCAAACGCTTCTTCAATATCATGGACCAGAGCAGTTACCAAGTCTGTTGCCGACCTCTTGGGGAGCGCCCCAGCTTGCTGCGGATGAAGGACGCTGTAGTGAACGGCTGCCCAGGCTAGGCGGCGCGCGATCAGTCGTTCTAGTCCCTTACCAAGACAGGAGAGCAGTGAGATGGGTCGCCATGCTCGTGGTTCGGTAAGGTCTCTCCGTCCCGGTTTCGCGATCATGACCACCTCCGCCTCCTTGAATGGTTTTGGATGATGGCCTATGGTAAGGCATCTTTCGAAGAGACGCCGGACGTGTGTACCGATGGTATGCCATACTGCTTCAAGAAGTTTGACTGTGATGTTGTCTGACCCTGGGGATGTATTGCCTGTGTGACAAGTCGCATATTGCGCCTCCTCCAGAGAGATTTCGGGAGAGAATGGGATCGATCTAGGTGGGAATACTGGCGTCCATGCGTTTGCGATGTCGTCCTCCGCAGTTCTTCGTTCAAGCGTGGCCTGTCGGAGTGCGTTGGCTTTATCCATCTGGCTTTCGTACACGACGTTATCGACCTGTAGAGGTGGCGGCTGGAAGGCTCCTGGGGACTTTAGCCACCGGACAGCTTTGAAAACGTCGCTACTGCTGGAGAAGCCATCGATGAGGTTACGCCAATAGCGCCTCTTGGCCCGACGGACCACACGATGAAAGCCTCTTTTGGCGATCTGAACGTCCTGGTTGAAGCCGAGTGGGTAGCTTCTTCTGATGGCTCGAAAAGCAGCCGCGGCGTCGGCGCACTCCTCCGTCCACCAGGGAGCCGGGCGTCCGCCTTTCCGCGCGGGCCTCCCAGACGCTTTTGCTGCTGATGTTAGTAGACTCACGAGTGAAGACGCAAGCTCGTCCAGCTCCTCGGGGGTCGAATCTGTGAGGGGGATTCCTGTAGCGCCAAGCTCTACGATCTCGACGAATCGTTTAAGCTCGTCTTCCGTCGTCACTCGAATCTTGCCTGGCTGCACCGGAGTCGATCTGACGTCTGGGAAGGTCAGGCTGAGCGTGAAGTGGTCAGAGCTGGTGGCGAGATGGTCCTCGACGATAGCTTCAGCAAGTGGTAGGTTAGTAAAGGCAAGATCGATTGTGTTGCCGTACGGGTTTGTTGGGATATCTAAAGTGTTGAGAAGGCTGAGGTCATTCTCAGACACCCATCCTGCTATCTCTTGCCCCCGGTTCGTAGTTTGGCCTGTTTGCCAGCTACGATGTCTGGCATTGAAATCGCCAGCTACGAGGCAACGTTCCGGGACAGACCATTGAAATAGCGTGTCTAGGGCGTCCCTCTCGTCGTTCTGACGATAGAAGTTGACTATGGTCATGCCGTTGATCGCGAGCCAGAGAATGTCTCGGGTCTGGAAGGGCCGAATTTGGTCGGCAAGGAGTCTGGGGTCTCGCCGGACATATGTCATCACTCTAGGCCGAGTATCGTTGCTATTCCACATGTCGACCGGCGTGAATGTGTCGTATGCAGGGTGAGTCTTGGTTAGACAGCGGGTCTCTGTGTGAGCCGTCCACGGCTCTTGCAAGAGCACAATGTCATATCGTTCCGAGTCGGCCAGCGCCAGGGCGCAGTCGTGGGCCGGAGGGATCTTGCCGACGTTGGCCTGGAAGATCTTGAGCGGCTTCCTGTCGTTCTTTCGTGTTTGAGAATATCTATTCCCGGTCATGAGGACGAGTGATGAGTACGATTCGGCGCTTTCGCGGTGAGCCTGGTCTGGGCTGTTCGGGTTCTTCCTCTGCTTCATAGCCAGCATGAGGGGTCGTGGCCACCATGATGCACGAGGGTGCTCCTGATACAGCTGGGCTGGGAGCACGATGGTTAGGCTGTTCTTGTGATGTGACATCCACGCTTCGTCGCTCAGCCATGCCCTGCTGCGTTTCCTGATGCGATTCCAGATGCCGTTCTCGATGTCGTTGTCGGTATGTCTCCGCACCTACGGTCCGGACATGCTTTCGTTGCTCTTTAGTGAGTCGGCGGAGCACGCCGTGCACTGTCTTTGGCCGAGCTGGGCACCTACGGAAGTTGGCCTGGTGGGGGCCTAAGCAGTTGATGCACTGTTCTCGTGCGATGCAATCGTCTACAAGATGGCCAGTCTCACCACAGCGTCGGCAAACTGGCTGTCTGTGACAGTTGCGGGCAAAGTGGTAGCCCCAGCACGTCTCACACTGTCTGGGTCGGTCGGTTTTGTCAACAAGCCTGGCTGCGCTGCTGCCGAAAAGAGACCAGAATCTCTTTGTGGGCTTCAGAAAGGACACGAGCAGGGCCTTGGTCAAGGGGTTATCCGAGAATTGTCTTCCGGTACGTACATCAATGGGCTTGATCCCAGTCTGGACTTCTATCTCGTCGCTAACGACGCTGTCACTATCCACCTCATTACCGTAAAAGTCAGTCAGCCTTGCGGGAACGTCTGAGACCACATAGGTGAACCATTCCTTGTTCGTTTCTACTGCTGTAGCTCCCAGTTCAGCGGCCCACTCAGCTTGTTTATCTACCAGAAAGTCGCGTGTGACAGAGTCGGCGGCCAGGACGGCCCATCCCGATCTGACCGGGAACACCTGTCGAATTTTGTCCGAGACGGCGCCGAGTTTTTCCCGGATCAGAGTCCGGATGGCATAGCTACTGTGGGCCCTGGCCGGAGCTCCGGCTTCTAGACGGATGAAGACACGGAGGTCTTGTCGGGGTGGGGCGATAGTCGTCTGTTGCCCTTGGCGATGAGGTGGATCTGTTTGTCGGCGTCCATGTTGTTGTTGTTGTCTGTGGGTCAGACGGTCATGGTCAGTGGGAGGCGCGGCAGCAGCGACGCTGCTGTATGTAGGCTTTGGGGTCGCAGGTCCGGAGCAGGAGAGCTCTCGTTTCCAAAAGCCGAGGAAATCATCGGCAAATTGCTGAGCGAAACGTCGTTGCGGTCCGGTGACGAATTGCTGGGCCGCTTCTTCAAATTTGGCACAAAAGGCCTGGAAAACCCCCAGCTTGATGTTGTACTCTTCCACGTATTCTCGCGCGAGATCGTTGGCTGATTCAACGATAGAGATCGGTCGTTGTTCAAAAATGGATGCGGGACTGGCACGCTCAGCTCCTTCCGTAACTGCGGCGATGGTGGCGGGGTTGAGTGGTGAGGATGGTGTCTGAGCCATCCGCCTGGGACCGGGTGAAACACCAATGGTGCCGTTGACGGCTGCCGGACTGTTCTGCAAGAGGGCTGCACGGGCTCCCCGGTTCAGGTTGACGGGAGTGTGGATCCCCAGATCGAAGGGATCCAAGGCAGCGGGCGGGATCGTCGTAGACGAGGCCATCGCCGCGGTTTGCGACTGCGCAAAGCGCAGATTGGAATGTTTGTTGTGCACTTGTTAAGGATTTAGGTGTAGACAGGGCCACTTTCTTAACACTTGTATGCCAAGAAAGTGTGATGACAAAGGAAGGTGTTATACTTGTCAGGCTGCTATGGTCTTCTTCTATAGGGTATACTCTGCTGAATTATAATATTGAAACCATATAGGGTTATAAAACATGCGATATTGAGCTATTAATATAGTCAAAACGTGCTACCCCGGAACCCCTTTTAACATGGACCCGAAATTAGCTTCATGCATATTTTATTCTGTATCCGAATATTGACTTCAGGAACGCATTTATGTTTAGTGGATTCAGTTCCTGGTGTTGGTAGTGGATCTAAACTTCCAAAGTCGCCAACTTCATGGCACATGGCAAGATGCTGTAAAGATCGAAAGGCCTGACAAAGATAATCAGTATCGACAAGGGCATAAGAATCGTGTAGTTCATAGTATACTTAGTAAGAACTTGCGCCTTGCGCGTTGGGACTTGATCACGATGGAAAAGCTACTGATTTGTTGTTCGCCAAGGAATTGAATCAATCACCGCTTACTATGCATATGCCGCACTTATCTCATGTTGCCATCTCTAAAAGATTTTAAACACGATGTCCATTTGGAGGTTGACTGAGTTCGTGGGACACAGCTCATGTCTCAAAAGAGCTAAATCCGCTGAGTGGCGCTTATACCAGAACCAAGCCATTGGTCCCCTTCTGGCGATATTTATCAAATCGGGCCCATGACATCTCACGACCTGTCAAATGCGCCCTATTCCGTGATGCAAAATGGTAGTTGCAATGAGAAAGTGATATTATTCAAGCCATGCAGCTCTATAACCCCCGCTATACACATGACTCGTTCAGGCGGAACACTAATCGTTCCCCGACATTTGACTCCCGCGGAATCCACACGGCAGACGGGTTCGGCAACGGGGAAGAACCCGGAAGACCCCCAAGAACTGGATTTCCTTCCTCGCAAGACGAGCCCTTCAGGCTTAGTGATCGTTCTGCCAAGGAAGATCGGCGTTACGGCATTTGGTAGTGCGGTTCCGGATCCTCAGCGCATGAGCCGGGGTTTTACAACATGCTGACCGATCCTATCATACCATCATATGACATGTAAGTCTCCGAATTGTGAATCAATCAATATCTTGAAAAACCGGATGAACGGTTACGCACGCACAGATGATTTACCGCACGTGAACTGCTGCGTTCATCACAATGCATGGTGATTCTTCAGAGAAGGGATCTGCAGTCTGTGCTTTGGAATCACTGGTGATCAGTGGAACGACACGGAGCGACCCCAGACCCTTAGCCCGAGTAATATATGCAAGCTGAACAAGACGGGCTCTGCCGGTGCATAAGGCTCATGACTAGACAATTTAATTCGATGTGCCAAGGTCGAGCTGGAACATGAATCCTTGTTATTGCTCAAAAACGTTGCTTGCATAGCCTCTGGTGGACTCCTCGCCCACTTTGTTGAAACTCTAAAGGACCGGATATCAAGCTTAGTTTGACAAAAACGTGTTCCATTCTCCATTAGTACCCTTTAATTCTGACTATCTTTACCTATTGTGAATCTATTGAAGTCCGTTACCTGTCGTGGCACCTTCCCGACCCTCCTTTTGCGGATTGACATGACAAATACCCCCAGCCCATCACCGCATATCCCAGGACCCTGAGCTGAGACATTTATCTCACCTTCTTATCACCGCTGACTCAGAAACCCTCCGACTTTGTTCAGATCTTTCGAATTAGTTGGAAGGTAGTGTCAACGCCGCGGGTCAGCACGGGTTTTAGTACTAAAAATGATTGCGGGACGGTGTAACGTCCGCGGTGATATGAAATTGGGCTGCTAGGAAAATGCTTGATGTTTTTGACAGGCAACTATTGAACCCTAGTCTAAGTAGATATAAGAGCAACACCAATCCCTCCTCGTTTCTGAGATCTGCACACATGCTCTCTTGTCCAGATCGTCTGTCACCATGCGCTGCAACGTCTTGTCACCTTCGCTCTTGGCGCTCAGCCTTTCGACCAGTGTCACTGCTCGTCCAGAGATTCCTTTCATCAGTACACTTCTCGACCCCTTGCAGCACATTGTCAAGTCTGCTTATGCCGGTGATGGACTCAAGGTTGGACATCTTGGTGAACTGGGTGGCATTCCAGGTGTAGATGCCGAATATGACTACGTCGTCGTAGGAGGAGGCACAGCGGGAAACACCATCGGTTACAGACTCGCAAAGGCTGGTTACAGTGTCGCTATTGTTGAAGCCGGCCCTTTTCTTGAGATTTCCAAGCCTATTCTTGCGACATCGCCTGGCGGAGTAACTGCTGGTAGTGGTGCGAGTCTTCTCGACTCTAACCCTCTTCGCGATTGGAGATTCACAACTACAGCGCAGACCGGCGCTGATGATCGCGAGATTCACTATGCTCGTGGAAAAGTTCTTGGCGGCTCATCTCAGCTCAACTTTCTAGTGTATCACCGACCGACCAATGGGACCTTGGCGAAGTGGGCTGAGGATGTTGGGGACGATAGCTACACGTGAGTGCCAACGAAAAAGGTTAGTTAGACTATGGCTGACAATAAAGACAGATGGGACAACTTTCTGCCTCACTTCCAGAAGAGCCCCTCATTCACTCCACCAGACAACGAGAAGCGAGGCCCCAATGTGACAACCGACTACGATGCTTCTGCATTCTCGAAGGAGAAGGGTCCTCTCCAAATCAGCTACGCCAACTACGTTCCCTCATGGTCCGTTGTCGTGGAAAAGGGCCTCAAGTCCCTTGGATTTAAGGGTATAGATGGTTTCAGCAGCGGTAGTCTTCTTGGTTACTCATACACCACTTCAACTGTCCAACCCAAGACCGCTACCCGAAGTGGTTCCGATGACTTTGTCAAGACTGCTCGAAGTGAGAATCTCAAGACTCTCAAGGTGTACACTGAGAGTCTTGCCAAGAAGGTGACCTTTGATGATGACAAGAAAGCTACAGGTGTTGAGGTCAGCTCTCTTGGTATTGACTACTCCCTCAAGGCTCGCAAGGAGGTCATCGTTAGTGGTGGAGCGTTCCAGTCACCCCAGGTGCTCATGGTCTCTGGCGTTGGACCCAAGAAGCATTTGGAAGAGCTTGACATTCCTGTAGTGACCGATCTTCCTGGCGTTGGTCAAAACCTCTGGGACCACGTCCTCTTTGGACCTTCTTTCGAAGTGCAAGGTCTTGAGGACACTCTTAGCGCCGCCATCAACAATGACACTGTTTTCCAAGGCGCCCTTGATGCTTATGCCCAGCAGCAGGCTGGTCCTCTGACATCCAACCAGGTCGAGCTTTTGGGCTGGGAGAAGGCTCCCGAGAAATATCGCTCCAAGTTCTCCGCCGAGACCCTCAAGGACCTTGCGACTTTCCCAGATGACTGGCCTGAGATGGAGATCATTCCCCTCAACGTCTACTCCGAGGACTGGTCATTCCCTATTCTACAGCAACCCACCGATGGAAAGAAGTACACCAGTCTTAATGGCGCTCTTGTCGCACCTCTATCCCGCGGAAACATCACTCTCCGCACTAACTCGACTTCTGACGCGCCTCTTATCAACCCTAACTTCCTGACCAAGAAGGCTGACCAGGAAGTTGCCATCGCACTGTTCCGTCGTCTCCGAGAAGTCGCCAAGTCCACTCCTCTAAAGAACACTGTTCTTCGGGAGGTGTACCCTGGAGAGGACCACGAAACAGATGAGCAGATTCTCGCTGTCCTTCGAGATACTCTGATGACTGTTTGGCATGCTGCTTGTACTTGCAAGATGGGCAAGAAGGACGATGAGATGGCTGTTCTTGACTCCAAGGCTCGTGTGTACGGTGTAAAGGGACTGCGAGTTGTTGATGCCTCGGCTTTCCCTCTGCTTATCCCTGGCCATCCTGTCGGTACTGTGTATGCATTGGCTGAGAAGATTGCGCACGATATCATTACGGAAGACAAGAGTGAGGGTTCTGCATATAAGATTGACATTGATGTGGAGGTTTCCTGAAAGGTTCCTTAGCTATTTCTTTTATTCTTTGTTGGATTTTCACTATTCTCTTTAGACGTACATAGACACGTTCACTTAGAAACACTTAACACGAACTGAAGCAATTTCTACTCCTCATTGGTCCAAGAGCCAGCCCCGTCTCTATTCATGAGCGAACAAACTCTTTATATGTCCCAAGGCTTGGTCGACATAGAACACAGTAGATTGGACTTATTGTTATATATCCTGTCAACTGACTGAGCCCTCATCCGCAAAATGTGAGTGGAGCCAAGAATCAGGTGGAGCCTTACCCTGATACGAAAAAAAAGTGCAGATGGACAAAAATGAGGGACACCAGATTTGAACTGATAACCTTTAGGAGTCACGATCGCCTCAAGCGGAACTTGAAGACACATCGCTGGAATCTAACGCGCTACCGTTGCGCCAGCCCCCCAATGTCTGTTGTTGTTGAGCGGTTTCTTAATTATGATCATGCATCCCGAAACCAACAGGCTATCAGTGTTCGTGGTTTTCTCTCGTCACAGAGCAGAAGGGAATCGAGGTTAGCAATAAAAAGAAACAGTCGCCTCTCAGTACACCATCAAAGAGGTAATTGGACTTTATTAAATTGATTGGGCACCGTTGAGTAAGAACACCAAGAGGGTAGGCACCGTGATTGACGTTGCACCTTATTAGCAGATCGGGTAAGTTGCTATCATCCTCAACGCAGAAACAGCTACAGAATGGCCACCGCTACGAAAATTCGTGGCAAAAATTGGCGACGACCTCAAAACTAGGGTACCTGTTCGAAGTTGGCAAAAATCAAGGATTAGGACCGAGCGTGGATCGAACACGCGACCTAGGGATCTGCAATCCCTCGCTCGTACCACTGAGCTATCGATCCTTATGATTGTTGACTGTTCGGGCTCGGAAACAAGAATCATGTTCTACAAAGGTGGCACTGCGAACAACAGGACGTGCTAACTTCTAGGATGTCCGTTTCGAGCTATAATTATTTGTTTATAACTACGTATAGATACTAATAGATGTGGCAGCAAGACTGAACACAGAAGTTATATCTATAATGCTATACTAGGCAGCGAGTTACTAATATGTCTCCAATTCTGTAACTACTCAATAAGTTGCGTCAATTCGGTTTCAAATACTAGTCTATCAATATCACGTGTCGTGGAAGCTTTGATGTTCTATAAACTCTGCCAGCTATATAAAGTCAATCCGGTTTTGCTTGCCGTTTCATAGTATTGCTTCCGTGCTCGTGTTACCCGTGTTAGCTGCCTAAAGTTCAACCTGATGGACAGCAGGTACTTCAATGGCTTCTATTGCTTCAACGGCGGTCACACTCAGTTGAACTCATTTCGTTATGCGTACTCTGTCGCTCCTATTGGTCCTTTAGAACTGCTTGCGAGAGCTTGGGCCATAGACATAGGTGTTTGTCACATTGTGACAGTGCAACTCTGTTGAACATCTTGCGAACAATGCGAGACCAGTGATTCACAGTCAGCCGAGCAAACGTGCAGTGGCATTAACAGAGTGATCAAGCTTTCACGCACCATCATTCATCCATCTGAGTTACACAAGTTTCCACATATTATCTTAATAAGTCTTTCTTCCATTCTTTCTTCTTCCTTTCTTGTCATCATTTATCCTCACACAACTTCCATCAACAACCTCACGAAAAATGGCCGAACCACCCGCCGTTCCCACGAGTAGGAAGGAATTTCACGGCTACTACGCCGGTCTTCCAGCCCGTCCAACTCTTGTTGCGCGATCTACCACGACTCCATGGAAAGGTCTGGGATATGACTTTGACGCCTAGGAAAGATTGCTTGATCCTGTCGAAAAACATGCTGTTGTTCCACTATGGAATGACTCTGCAGGCCCACTGCGTCGCAAGATTCTTGAAGCTGTCAAGGATGTCGACTGGAATGCTATCGATATACTCCGCTGCGGTTCCACAGATTGGAATGATCGTCACCTTGTTCGACCTGTCATACTTTTAGTATTGGTAGAGCCCGAATCGACAATATGGCTGAATGGAAGAGCTGTAGCACTGAAGTGCCACGACGTTCTGCGAGAGCATGGCATTAGCGACGTCGAAGTCGAGATCAAGGAGTCTAGAATCACGCAATGTTGCTCGAGTGATCAGGATCAAGCAGAGAGGTAAGAACTATAATCCCCAGGTGAACCTTAGGCTAATCAAAAGACAAGCGAACGATCAACAGCGAAACTCAGCCCTCACATCCCGACTCTTGAAGAGGAGGCTTGCAGAAGGGACAGTATCCAGCTCTCCGAGTTCCTGGGGACCAAAATCGCCTCCTCTCATTTTTCAACAGGTGAAGGCACCAAAGGTCTGTACCTGCGAATCCGAAATTCCGAAACCGTTGTTGCTTTGAACTGTCGACATGTCGTCTTCGGACAAGAGGAAGAGAACCTCGCCGGTCCGCTTCCGCGACTGGGCTTTGATCGAGCTGCATCAGAACAAGCACCAAACTCCGTTAGGAAAGTTGGAAAATACTGAGCCCTCGCCACTTATCGCGTTCAATCTTCGGTGTATGGACATGTTGAGGTGGGACCCACATAAGGAGCCAAAGCGAAGACACTGCTTCCTACCCGGGATTCATATATTCACGCAGACTGGTGTCATGTCAGAAGCCGAAATGAGATGTCATGACTATGAATTCGAATTGCCAGGAAGAAATGTAATCGATGAGGATTTCATAAGAGCATGCATGTATGGCAGCGAAAGCGGAGAAAGCCACGGTATCGCCAATACAGCCAGGTCTGTTATCCGAAGATTTGTTGGAGGTGTCCCGATGATTTCTGAAGAATGGTGTATCTTGGGCTCCACCCAACATGAACACAGGAAGCACTTCTCTGCCTACCGACTGGCTGTTGGAGGATATCCGGGAACATGGGTATGATGTGGAGTGGATAGGCGAAGAAATCCCTCTTGAACATCTCCATTACCGCTTAGAATCTGAACATTGATCCGGGCGGCTGTATTGGAAGATTTCACTAGGTATCACTCAGTCATTGACCTTTCTGGTGGAGTAAGCGCAATGGGTAGTCAATCGGCTTAGAGAACTGGAGAGTATAAATTTGTAAGTTCTTGCAAAGCGCTCTCCACGTGAAATGATCAAAGACATGATCTGGACAAGCTGATTGTTTATGCGAATACTGCGAGATTAGCTTTCATCGATATAGTATTAAGTTTGCAGTTGTAATCATAACCAAAGTCGGCCGCCTCTATAGCTCAGTGGTAGAGCGTTGCACTTGTAATGCAAAGGTCCATCGTTCAATCCGGTGTGGAGGCAAGCGCAATTGTTTTTTTGACAAATTACTAACGAGTTCATTTTTGACAACAAGCCTCGGAGCTTCATTTTATTAAACTTGCGGCCGCTCAATTGCAATCTGTTTTGGATCGCAATCGGTCCACACGAGGCTTGGCACTCGAAGATGCAGGGAGTACACGGTGTACGGTGTCTATCGCCAGGGACGATAACAACTTTCGATAATGAATCAATTGCTGACAGCGGGGTCCCATAGTAACTAACATGTCCCCGCCGCCTTCAGAGCGTAATCCTTAATCGCTGGTTCTTGCTTCACCTTCGGCAAATACGTTACAAGAGAAATTCCCGCAATCACAATCGCATTCTCAGTGATCAAAAGATCCTCCAATCCAAGTCCTGGTGCTAAAGATGAGGCGCAGACTGTTCCCAGGTCTAGCCTGGAGATCTTTCCGGGTCCGTCATGAGTGAGCGCATCTTTGGCAAGGGCAAAGCTGAGAGGGTTTATAAGCATGCTCTCATGCGTATAAAAGGAACCGCCTGGCTTCCCAGCGCAAACCTTTTGTACTTCAGCATTTGTGACGCCGACGTTTCGTTCGTCGAGCAAGTAAGCTGAAGCTCCGGTGCCTTCTTGCGGTTGGACGATCTCATCTAGGAAGCTGGAGTATAGACTTGTTGTTGGTACATATCCTGAATCACCGCCATCAGAGCGTAGAGCATTAATAAAATCGCTACCAGCTTCTTGTTGGACAACAGATGGCGTGTTGGTAATGCCTGAAAGGTCGACGAAGTTGGCTAGGATGGTGCCCTTGTAATCCGCGCTAATGGCGACGTGATCGGTCGTAACTTTACGAGTTGATGGCCAGTACTTGAATGCCCATTGGGTGTCGATGTTTCCCTGCGACCAACCGATGATGGCAACGCTTCGCCTTGAGATGGAAGCAATGTAATTCAGCGCATACGCGGCGTACTCAGCATTGACTTGCGCATCACCCAGAAGAAGTTCAGGCACATTGACCCATACAGGATCAGCCCAGTCCACGCTGGTAAGCAATGGGATGAAGCTGCCCCGAAATGCGGTGTATCCGGTAGATCCGGTACCAGGGAACAGAATCACAGGTAGCTTTTTACCGTAGGTGAAGGTGTCTGGGATGAAGACAGCAGACCTGAGCTTTTCTTCTGCGACAGTGTAAGGCGCATCGCAGCTTGCCGCCTTCGGATAGACGCTCTTTGGCGGGTCAGGGTTTCTATAGACGGTTAGGTGGGTTGACGTTGGAAGAGTTTATTGGCATACTGGTTGTTGTTACCGTTTTCTTCGGACCCAAGACCTTTGGCGTAGCTGAGCAGATCATCTGTTGATCCAGAGACGATGCCATTCGCTATCAATCGTGCGCTGTACTCGACGGTATTATTAGGTTTTGACTTTGCGACCTTCTCGATGATAGATGATGCGTCGCCAACGCTCTTTGGCTTTCTGGTGGACTTCAGCTTCTGTAGCTTATCAAGCGTCTTTTCCCTGTCTCCTTTGTTCAGGGCATCGCCGAGTTCATCCAACAATCCACTGACTGTCACAGCCAGAGCATTATCAACGCCATTGAAAAGGCCATTCAAAGCCTGTCGCCTCTCGATTCCAGCACCCGAGCTTCCCGTTGCATGGTATGGTGCTGCAAGCCCACACCCGCTCAAAGCCAGAGTTACGAGCAGTGCCGAGAACCACATTATCAATGGATCCGAACGTTTTCACCTCATGGATGAGAGAGGGAGGGTCAATTGACTGCCAAATGGTGGCGTAGGTTTGCAGTAAATAATTAGGGAACCCTTTTTGTGGGAAGCCCTCCAGCCATTATGAGATGATCGCCATCTGCTGATAGTGGAGGAGTCGGGATCGACAGTGGCTTCGGCTTGCCCCTGTTGGCTGGTGTTAGTGTTAACGCGCTCGGTCCTTGGAACTATTGAACCCTAATGAGTTAGGTGCCTCGGCTCGGGCATTTCACTCCGCAGCGGCAGTTGAAATGCATCTACAGTGGACTTCCACTGTGAGCTGAAGGGAGTTAAGCTTCCGAGCTGCATTGAGTCAATGGGATTGGGAAGTTCTTCGATACTTTACACCAAGGCATATATCACAGATAGTATTCATTATGTATTCCATGTTACGCAAAATCACATGTCCCGGGAACTGTAGCACGGAATTGACAATAAAGACATTATTATTGAGGTATTGGAAGCTAGTGCAACAGACTTGGTACGACTTAGAAGTAATCCCAGCATCACCATTCCGATCTTAGCTATAGAGCCACTACATGAATCAATATGAACTACAAATGACTACGCCTTGTTCCCAGTGGTAACCAATCCTCCCAGAATGCCACCAACACCCTCAATCACACCACGAAGAGACCCCTTAGAAACACCGGCATAGCTTCCATATGACTCAGTGTAGCCAGGGAACTTCTCAAACAACTTCATGTTCACCTTCTGCAGCTTCGGGCAAGTCTTTACAGCAAGAAGCTGTCGAAGCTTGTCGGCCAACGGCCTCAGGGCCTTGGTGACATCGGTAAACTGACTCCCAAGAACATCAGGTGCAGCAGCCATGATGATCTGCATAACGAAGCACTCAAGGTTGTCGCCTTTCAACAGCATTGCAGTATTGAAGACGCCACCAGTGAGATCGCCGATATCGACGCCTGAGAAGGAGCTTACCTTGCCAGTGTTACCGCCAATGCTCAACAGACGAGGGTACTTGGTAGCATGCTCCAAAACATCAACGAGAAAGTCAGGGATAGAGAACTCATATTCAACAGGACGTCGGTACCAGCTCTCGGGGATGCGCTCCCAGCCCTGGTTGACTTTAAAGTTACCAGGCTTGCTGCCCTTGACACCGAAGAAACTGGTAAAGACTTCACGAGAAAGATATCCTTCGGGGTATTTATCGGAGTGATTGGCCATCATGCGAGGAGGAAAAGAATACGCAGCAGGTGAGACCAGAACTCCAGCGAAGGGCGAGTAGAAGAAATGACTGTTGGTCTCCTCGGAGTCTTGGAAGCGTTTGTAGTGGAAGGGCGCCAGAGCTGAGTATTGCTGTGGGGCGGGAGTATTCTCCCGGATGGCACTCCAGTACTCGACGAAGCGTTCAAGGATAACGTGGAAGTTGTTGCCAGTCACGTAGAGATCTCCTCTAGTGGCGCTGACATCAGACTCATACTTGTTGTGACTACCGCTGAGGCCAGATGGGGTACCGAGAATACCACCGCCGTTGAGAATGTTCTGGCTGAAGCGGCTTGGGCCACCGATGGAGTAGCCAGGGTTGAGAGAAACTGGGTTGCCGTTGAATACGGTACCATAGACTGCGAGGAAGCCACCAAGGTCGAGGCTCATGCCGTAGACCTCGTTGGTAGCCTTGATGATAGTCTGCATGTCTGCAACGCCGTTTCTTGGAAGGTAGCCATGGTTAGCCAAGGCATTGAGTCCAGGGCAGGGTCCTTGACATCTCATTAGTATTGACCCCATGTTGAGCAGAAGCTGACTTACCTCTTTGATCACCAGCCTTGACGTTGGGTGGCAGGAACTCATGCTCGCCAGAAACGCTGATGCGCTGCTTCTTGGCGTCGAATTTTGCAGCTCGCTTCTCTTTCGCGAAGGGACATTCACCTGCATCCCTGTTCTCTTGCTGGGCGTAAGGGCAGGCTGTAGGGCTTCTCTTGGCATACTCCTGATAGGCCTTGAGTTGCTCGGCGCTCATCTGAGGGAAGGCAAGAGCTGTTGGGAGCAGACAGGCTGCTGCGAGCTACGAAGACAGAGAAACCTTCATCTTGAGAGCTACGAGGAAGCAGAATGACAAGAAAAGGGGAAGGCAGATTGCTTGAGATCGAAAGTGGAGAGAAATGACTCAACCTTTATCCAATTCCTTGCTTATGCACCTCCCTTTACTTTCTTTTCTTCTTTTCGATGTTTCGCTCACCAAATTTTCTCATTGCAGTCAATCTGTATCGATGACGTTCTGCATTGCTGTTATGTCTCAGTTGAACAACCCAACAACACAAACATCAACCCGCCGAGACAATTCCCAGTTTGTCTTACTAACCGCCGATCTTCACAGCTAACATCTTGGCTATTAGAGATCACCGCTTGTTCATTGGCTTTGAGCAACTCCAACGATGATCTACCAGATTAGATGTAAGCTGTTTGCGGAGACATGGTCTTCAATGGAACCAAAATATGGGTATTGTCGAATTCCCTTTGCACTAGTGGCAGTCTAGTTCAATTTATTGAATTCTAATGTTATTCTTGCCATTAGAACTTTAGTGATTGGTTAGTGCGATGTTGGGCTATGCTGTTGTTAAATAGTAAATGGAGATACGAAAAATGACAGCAGAATAACCATTTTATGACATGAATCTTAGCACATGGCACCGTTTCTCGTGCCTGTCCAGGAGATCTTGAGCTAAAACCAAATTAGGTGGTTTACTAAACCTTATGGGAAATAGTCTCGTCTTCAACGACCTCTTTGGGAATATCAGCTGGCAGTCGAAGGTTGGTGTGCACTGGCAACCTCAATGCTTAGTCAGTTGGGTTTTCTGCTCGGCTTCTTTTGAGTCAGAAGACACAGACAGACCTTTGTCACGAATCACAATTGTGCATACCATTGCAGGCAGACAAACCAAAGGCCTTCTTTTTTAACACCGGTAATTTCAATAGCAGGACAGAGGCGCATCACCTCGCAGCATTTTCAAGGTGTTTACTGCTCAAAGACTGTGGGTATGTTTCTCCCCAGCTTTGTAGGTCCTCCTTTCTAGTTAACAGACCTTATCTCCGGATCGACGCCAAGAAGGATAGCATGCACTAGTAACCCATGCTGATCGTCGATTCAGCTTGCAGCTCTAATACACCAACTGCTATTGGTGTTCTTATGGGAGTATAAGGTGCGCTCGGCCCAAGATTTTAGCATCCTATGTACGGTAAACGTGCATAGGTGAAAGGTCTGCAACCGCACTGACCTCGATGGTGAAGAGTTGTTCAAGTAAGCTATAGCATAGGCTACTGCAGCTCTGTACATCACGATTTGGTGACATATACGTGTGAATGATGCTATACTTCCAGAGCGGACTTTCTCCGTAAGCTGTCATATCTGTGGTTGGGTAAGGTCGACCGCGAGGAAAGGCCCATGTCAGCAACTTGTATGACCTGGCCCGGATGGCAACCTCGTAAGTCATGAGAGAACAGAGTGCTACAGGCGCTTGCTCCCAGTAAGTTTCCTATCATCCCCAAGTAGCAAGTAGTAACAAAAGATCGATATCTTTCATCTTCTGCAGCTACGAATTCTCTCGATCTAGATGCAAAGTTTGTGTTTCTATTTTAAAGAAAGAAACAGTCTCTAGCTCCCAGATCAAAGCTACTACGTCCTATCACAACAAGACTATAAATCTAGCAGTAGAGATCTCTCTTTCAAAAGTTCTTTTCCGTCAACCTATCGCTCAGAGTCTTTCTATATACCAGGAGGTTGACAAGTCAAGTGAGAACAGGTTAGTCAAAAAGTGCCAAAAATTTTCATTTTCATAGATTTTCTTATAAATCGTGAAATCTGTTATTAAAATGCACTCTATTTTCTCGGGAATTATGGTAATGCATCTTATTACTAGCAGAGGATGTTTCACTGAGTAGTTGCTCGAGGCTAGTAAAAGGCCGAACCAGTGGCTCGCTCTTTTCGAAATCACCGCCTTGCATTCTAACCCGAAGTTGGCATATCAGCAAAAAGACGTAGAGATTTATCTTCAGTGAATGACGGAGTGAAATCGGACAATTGAAATGTAACAAGCCGAATGAGTCTTGAAGCCGATTTCGACATCAGCCCTTCCCGTACATTTCCATATAGGTGGCCCTTTCCTCAATGCCTCTGCAGCCAGTGCTTGCTCATCATTATATCTTTGCCAGTATTTTGATTTCACGATGGCGTCCCCATTTTACGTTCCTGTCTCTCTGGACCATACAGCTCTTCTTCTCTCAGATGTCCAATCTCAAATACTCAGACGCTTCTCCCAGCAAGAGCAGGCCGCTTATCTTGGCAAAGTCCAGAAGCTTCTGAACTTCTTCCGCTCAGAAATTAAATCTCGGCGTGCCTCAACCGAGTCGAACAACTCGCAGTCGCTCTACGATGATGTACCTCTGATCATCCACCATACACTTCCCTTCAACATCAACTCAAACGCATTTGTGTCGCCTTACAACAAGCTCGCAAGCTGGGTATCCAAGCTCGAAGCAAGCGGTGCATTCACCAATGCGCCTTCTGATCCCCATCGTCCTCACTATGGTGTTCCGGCCGAGCTAGTACCTCCCGGGGGCTGGGGTGGAAAGGATGAGATCCTACTCGGTAAAATACAGCCAAACTGTTTTGGGTCCTCAGACCTATTGGCTTATCTACGGGCGCGCGGGATTAGGCATGTTGTGCTGGTTGGGTTGACGACCATGGGAAGCATTCTGAGCAGTGCAAGGGCTGGTGCGGAGTTGGACTTTCATGTTATCTGCGTTGAGGATGGGATTATCGATGATGACCCTGACGTTCATGAGTTCATTATGAAACGTATCTTACCTAAGTTCGTAGACGTTGTCACGGCCAAGGATATCCTGAGTCTTAAAAATGCAAAGTTGAGTGGCTAAATGGCAAGATGTTTTTAGACCCTAGACCAAGACTATCGCTTCAATTCATGATACATATTCTTGGGGATGTAAACGCCCTAACAGTATTGACACCCGTAATATCTAATTCATAAAACATATCTCATAAACTCCAATCCAAACTATGCATATCTATGTACCAACCGCGGTGCACTCGGCATCTGCGTAACACCTCTCGTATGCTCAAGAGCCGGTGCATTCGACCCATCGCTGATGTTTCCACTCTGCAGCTGCGTTCCTTTCTGTCTTCTTCTTCTCTTCCTAATACAAGAAAAGATCACGCAAAGGACCAAGATCAGAACAACTCCACCAACAGAAGAAGCAGTCGCGATGACAGCTGTTCTATTCCTATCGAACCAACTTCTTCCTGATCCTCCTCTGCTACCTGAATTTTCGTCGTCATCACAGTTCTGTACGTCAACGGGACATTGACTAGAATTTCCGTCGCATGTCTCTTCTGGATCGCAAGAGGACGTGCTTTCGCGGCAGACTAAACCGCTTGAAGCGACTTGGCATTCGTCGGTGCAGCACCCGTCTGTTAATGGATCGCACTCTGCGCCGCTGCGGAGTTGACAGGTCGAAGGGTTGCAGCAGGAATCTTCGGGGCATCTTTCTTCACCACCGCAGTCGCAAGACTCGCCAGGCTCGACGATGCCGTTGCCGCATTGACTGTCATTGATATCGGGGACCTCGTCCTCACTAACAAGGCAGCTCGTATCAACGTGCTCTTCACCAATACCTGTGCAAATCGTGCCGATAGTACATGGTGAGAATTCTTCCAGTCCGGGAGAACTTTGCGGGTTCATAATGTACTGGTTTCTGGCGTCGCAGGTGGTCTCACTTCGAGGACAGCAGTCATCGGAAGGTGAATATCCAGAGGTACCGCAATCGCCAGACGTACAGTCGTGAGAAGCTCCAAGGTTATGCGCCAGCTCATGCGCAAAGACCTGCCATTCTGAAGCTGTGCGGACAACAACATTTGCAGAAGCTGTACCGCCGCGACTCCATGATGATCCTCGTGATCTATTACACAGACTTCCGATCCATGCAATTCCAACAGTGGAACCACTTCTGCAAGCCGTCAGAAGTGACCATACCGCGTTATCATCGCGTAATCTGCTCCTCCATTGCGTGAACAAGTTCAAACGGTCGTTGATATCGACGTTTGCCGTGCAGGGAAGGTTCCAAGGCATCGATCTCGGTGCATCAGTGGGACAAGACGGGTCGCTCATAGTCAAATTTTGGATTGCCAGGGCGATGTTGAAAGTGTCTTCGTACACTTGTGATGCAATGTTGACTTGAGAGATGATGTTATCTCGAGCATCTTGCATGTTATCGAATTCGGCGGTATACGAGCAGTCGGCTGCAATGCCTATCAAAGCGACTCTTCGGGAGTTTGGACATCCTTCTGTTGATCCGATTACGTCTCTTGGGTCAAACCAATCGTTGACATCCTGTCGGGCCAGCAGAGGATGGTGGGTTTCCTGGTTGTCGGAAGTCTGGCGGCGTCGATCATTGTGCCTATGAGCCTGACAGGTCGGCTCATCTGAGGATGATCTTGGCGAAAGAGCTCCGTCACTTTCATCCCTTGCTTGCTTCCATACTACCATTCGCTGAGATCGTTTCCTTAGTTGTCCATCTTGAATCTGTCGCGCCTGGCGATAATTCGAATCCAGTGAAATATGGTGATAAGTACCGTCATTTGTGAAGGTGCCCTCAATGACGTGTCGACCTTGGCGATACCGAACCATTGCTCGTGCCCATCCTACTCTCCTCTGTGTCTGCTTCTCAATTTCATTGACAAAGGCTACACCCTTGTATAACAGAGGACGTTGACTCTGAATATCAGTGATGACACCATGATTGTCTGTGGAGTTAATGTGCTGAACAGTAGTGAGACGCGATACAACATTTCTGGACGGCTGCAGGTTCAGTGTGATCCGCTGGCGTTCATATTGAACTTCAAATTCAACCTGGAATGAAGATGCAGAGTCGAGGGTATGTGGACTCTGAGAAAAGTCCAATTTCTCAATGGTTGATGATCGATCAATGGTATCTCTAGCGACAGATAACGCTGTGCATGTCAGTATTTCATCATGACGGCGCCAGCGTTAACATACCTTGCGCAGAATACAAAGAGCAGACCTGAGTAAAGATCAAGAAAAAGGTCAAGATACTCATAGCTATCAGCTTTACACAGATGTTCACCGTCACAGACCTTTTGAAACAGACATGTCAGAGTGGAATTTGGAGAACCATATATGAAGATCTGGTTTCGGATTTAGCAGTTTCAGAGCGGCCTGGCCCCCATCTATGACACGGGGACTGTACGCGTTCTCTTGGCCAGTTAGCGAAGCCAAGACTTGGGTGCGTCTGGGCGGGTTCGGCTTCTTCCAAGGCAGCTGAGCCACTCTGGCCTCGTCATTAAGGTAGCGTGATTTCTTTGTTACACAGATTTTCGGAGTGCGGGTTGTGCGAGGTTCTTTTTACGGTTATCTCCATGGATATAAGTTTATGGGATATTGATTTGAGTGTTACTGTCTCAGCCTTGTAATGCTCTATTATACTGAAACCGTATCTACTAACTGATCATCGTTCTGTAACTCTTTGGTATTCATATCGTTTGGACTCATTAATGATATCCTGATAGTCTCAGTTGCATCCTCATATTAAGCTTAAATGTTTGTGTGCGGGAAGCCCGGGCTCCGGGCCCCGCCATGGGAGGATGACATCGGAGATGCTGACAAGGCGACGCCTCCTAAATCCGAAAGGCGATAACCTTATCCACTCAGGGAGTTTCAATGACGCCTGAGCTGACGTATGCCATCTTGGCATTGAAATTGTCAGCATCACAAATAAGGCCGCGTGGGCATCACAGAAGCCACTTTCTGCGCTGGGATTAAGTGTCAAGCACTTTTTAAGCTTAATCTCGCATTATTTCTTGTTTCATTGGTGATTCAAATGGTCCTGTCAAGATGAGGCTGAGGGGCAGACCAAGCCACCAGGGCAGATAATCATAACGTTCAACAATAATGCAGCATCTCAAAGTCTGGATAAAGAATTAAAAGAAACAGCGGTGAAACCGGCAGAGAGGCAGCCAAGTACTGCGTAACGTTCATCCTACGACAGTAGCATCATATGCACGCTGCTGATGCGCTAAATTCTGCAAGCTTAAAAAGCGTTACAAGCGTAGAAACGGCAGCGCCCGGATGCGTCAGGGTCTCTGCATCGAAGAATGCACCGAAGGAATCCACAAAACTCTATGACGCCGATGAAGTGCCTATGATCCGCGACTGGGTATTCATGTACAGAAAGAATCATTCGATGGCAATTTGCACTGCCTGACTGGGCAATCGTCAAATAAGAGATGGCTTAGGGTGCTTGGCATAGTTTTGTCGTCATTTTTTGGTGGGAGATGTCTCGGCGGTCTGAGTGGACCAGGACGCTTTGTGTCATCAGTTTTCTTCTTGGATACAGGATATGGTAAGGGTTTCGGATACTCGGATGTACGTAGGCATCATCAGCTGAGAATGTATTATTCCTTCTTGCTCAATACCAATCATTCATTATTGTACGCCAGACCTGGCATGGTCAGAGTGACCTCGGCCGATACCATCACGGATGGACCAGTAGGAGAACAGGAATAACGGAGCGTGGGGCAAGCGTAAGTCGCTTATCAGATAGTTAAGATAAGATATCCAGTGACATCTACCTTACCCTACATGTTCATTCAAATCAACTAATGCCTAATAACCCAACATGACTGGCATTGGACAGTGACTATCTATTTTGGAGACCGGGACTGTATGAAAGAGGTTGTACGCAGATGATAGCCAAGAAAGGAATAGGAACTGATTTTCTTCATAATCATTGAGAGGAATATAAATATATATTTACAACAGGCTCAGTAGCTGGACAAGGCTACCCACCATCGTTGCCAATCAAAAGCTTAAGGTGAAATAATGACCTGCGACAGAGGCCCGCTCATCTTTGCAGCCTTCTCAAATGCCCCCTCAAACTCCCCCAGGGAAAAATCGCCAAGAGTTTGTATCGCACCAAGCTTCAGATAACCCGCCTCTAGCAGTTTGATCATGTTGCGCATATCATCCTTGGTGTACATCCACTTCCCCCTCACCGTAATGTCATTGAGCATGATAAACTGAGTCGGCAGCTTCAGTTCTTCATGAACGCCCATCAAGCTCACCCGCCCACAGCGACGAAGCGACAGAATACAACTCTTGAAGTGAGTGCTGGTGATAGCCTTGCCTGGAGAGATATCGAAGAAAGCATCCGCCAGGCCATCCTTGGTCAGCTCTTTGACATCGGTCTCGACATTTCCTGTGTTCAGAACTGTTCTAATTCGTTCGGGGTCCAAAGCCTTCACCTTGCCCAGAGTTTTGTGGTTGCGACCGACGGCGATAACCTGAGCTCCCATAGCCAGAGCAGCGAGTACAGCAGCGCTTCCAAAAGTTCCAGCAGCAGGGCTAATAATGACTTTGTCACCAGACCTGATGGCTATATCTTGGAGCCCTCCAAATGGAACCGAGATGGTCCAAAGATAGGCCAAATCTGCCATAGAGTATCCAAGACCTCCCTCAGCAGGGTTGCCCGTGAGTCGGTTCTCGTCTAATGGGAAACAATTCTCCAGAGGAACCTTGGCGTACTCCGCATAGGTGCCGTCTCGCCATTCACCTTCCATGAGCTTTTTACTCGCAGTATCAAAGCCTGCGGATAGACCATGGAGGATGAGGGAGTTAGGGTTATCGCGCCCCTGAATAAAGCTGTCAAAGAAAACAAGCTGTTCAGGCTTTAGAGAAGTCGCATCAGGTCCGACAGCGGCAACGCGGCCGATGGCGCTTGAACCTATGACGAAAGGCTCGGGGTAGGGATAAGGCTTGCGGCCACTGTAAACTCGGTCTGCGTAGGTCAAGACCCCAGCCGACAGAACGCGGATCATAGCACTTCCAGGGCATGGTTGAGGAGTATCCTGGGTAACCACTGAGATGTCATAGGGGTCTCGGGTGGAATGAAGGACCAGTGCTCGGTGGGTCTTGGGAAGCGATGCGGTTGAAGTTGCCATGATGAGTTGAGTTATTTGTTGTCGAGTTGTATATAAGATGCTTCAGGTTTTGTGTTTGAAGGAATGGTTTGGTTCTCAGTATTTGTGCGAGACAGATACTTATATACATTTTCTCTTTCCAGCCTCTAAAAGCAATCGTCCTTCAAACATGGTCGCCCATATGGTCAGCACCGGCTATGCTGCTACTCTCGAATCACCCTTCAGGCGCTGAAAATACTATCGTATCAGAAGGATTCGACCACTGCCTACCAATCAGATGTCAAGAAGCCGGGTCCGGGCTTAAAATCATTCTACCACCCGATTCATTCATACGCGTTGCTCTCCCGGGGCTCCCGGACTTAGCAGGATTTTAAGCCCGACGCCGTACAGCGCATAAGTTTTGTGCGCTTCGCTATACCGAGGTCTCTTCATTTCTCTGTTCAAGTTCTCGGCTAGTAGTTCTAAGTATTAATGGCCTCTAAAGTTTCGTCATATAACACCGGGCTCGAACGGTCTCCAATTCGTTCATGCAACGCATGCAAAAGCAAGAAGACTCGATGCGACAAGAAGACTCCATGTTCGTCATGCGCTTCTTCAGGCAGAATATGCACTTACCCATCGATTGGACCACGCGTCAGGCGAACGAATAAAACAATTATGGCTGAGATGGCCGGCCGTATTGCGAGTTTGGAGCGCAACCTTGCCAAAGCAACTGCCCAGGGGAATATGTCCCGCAACACCCTCGAACCAAATACGATTGCGGATAAGCAAGACTCACAAAAGGACTTACTAGTACATAAAGGCCCGACCAGCCAGTACCTCAATGAGATACTGGTAGCCAGAGTCGTCGGTGAAGTGAGTTCTACCAATACTGCATGGTGACAACGGCACTGACAGCTGCTAGGACGAAAGCATTGCAACTGCTCTTACGACATCGCAGCGCGAGCAAAGAGAATTCCCATGCTCCCCCTTCGACGCAATGGGAATAATGTCTTCTCCCTGCTATTTCCAGCACCCCTCTGCATTTCACCCTGGGAAAGCTACCGCAGTTGAGCTTTGGAATATCTACCTCAACAATGTAGAAATTATCCTCGGACTGAAGTTGACGCACGTCCCAACTGATGAGGTCAGAGTTTACTCAGCTATAGATGACCCGGTCACTGCAAAGTTTCACGATCTTGCATTTTGCTATAGTATCTACTTTGCAGCAGCTGTATCACTTGAAGAGTCGACATCGCTCTTGGATAAAGCCACTGAGCTTCAGCGCTTCAAAATGGGCATCGAACAAGCCTTTGCTCACGGAGACTTTTTTAATCGGCCTACGTTGACTGGTTTACGAGCTCTAGCTATATACCTTGTGAGTTTGCTCCACCATTGTTCTTGTGCGTCAAGTCTAATCATATGGAACACAGTCAGCTATCCGTGTTCATAATCGAGGGAAGTCTGTTTGGATTCTCAATGGTCTCATCATACGAGTAGCTCAATCTCTCGGACTCCATAAGGATGGGACTAAAGTTGGCTTGTTACCCTTCGAGTCGGAGCTCCGTCGAAGACTTTGGTGGCATGTCATTACAAGAGATAGTCGGTCCGGCGAAGACTTCGGTTTGGAAGACCCCAATGACTTGATATCGACGTCCGACGTCAAGCTACCCCTAAATGTTAATGATGCTGATATCTTTCCTGAAATGGAGGAATTGCCAATAGAACGAACCGGATGGACGTGTATGACGTTCTCGCTAATCAATGTCGACTTGGCTAAGACAATGGAGAAGCTGAAAGCTGTCAATCCCTCAACATCAACACTCAGAAAAGAATGGAGAGACAGTATCGTTAAAGAAGTGCATACCAAGATCAGGGCCAGACTAGATAATTGCAACCCAGTAACACCGCACCAACGACTTACGGTTCACTGCACAGATTATCTGCTACGAAAGCTCGACTTCGTCACGAAGCAACAGTGGGACTTGCTGCAGAAGAACTCCAATGAATCAGTTTTGAACGCGCAAACACTCGTAGCTGCGTTGAGCATATTGGAAGCTAGAACATCTGGCGATGATCCTTTTCTAGCGCAGTTCTCGTGGGCTAAGAAGGCCCACCCGCAGTATCATGTCACCTTGTATGTTCTGTGGTATTTGTGCAATAAGCCGCAAGGCCCACACGTCAAGCGCGCATGGCGGGCGATAGATAGCATCTTCGAACAGGAGATGGCACATGACTTTATTGGTTGTACTGGGGCTAAGCCAGATGTTCTGAAGGCGCTGAGGACTAAGGCTGAAACACTGCGGAAGAACCTGGACGCACCAACTGCAAGAGCTGGATATAACATAGAACCCACTGCACCGGTTGAGCTAGAGGCGATGGAGGATCCTTTAAAGTTCATTGAATGCTTTAACTTCGATGACGATATTTTTGAAGATGGAATTCCATGGTCCTCATGGACTTCACTCCTTCAGGGGCTTTAGTTGGATAAACCGTTATTTCAATAAGGCGACAGAGGCCTTGCTTCCAACCTACCAGCCGTATCTGAATAGGTGATAGAGCAATAATACTTACATGATATTTCGGCATTATAAACAATGTTACAGTGCGAATGGCTATAGTAAACTCATCCCGGACTGTGACCGTCGCGGCATTGTAGAGCCTCTTCCTCAATTCCGAAACCCGTAAACCCGACACCTTATCTTATAAGGCGATGAATATTAGATGCATCAGAATATTCTCAGATCTTTCTGCATATAAGTTTGCATATCGGAAAAGATGACGACTATTTTGGTAACCGGTGCAAATCGCGGGATTGGTTATGCCATTGTGCAAGCCATCGCTACCCGTCTCCCTTCATCCACCATCGTCCTAGGGTGTCGCAGAAAGGATGCAGCACAAGAGGCGATTGAATCTCTTATTGACAGTGGAATCAAGGTTCAACTCGACTATGTCGAGTTGGATATTGAGAATGATGCCTCCATCGAAGCAGCCGTAGCATCACTGGAGCGAGAATATGGGAAATTGGACGGTATGCATTCTGAGCATCGATTGAGCCCGAGAACTGACCACGATAGTTTTGATCAACAACGCTGGCAAGGTTGAACGAAGAGTATCAGAGAATTTGGCGGATATCCGAGCAGCATCCAATGCCTGCTACAATAATCTCATCACAAGCAACGCTGTTGTCACATATGCCTTTGGTAAACTTCTAAGAAAGAGCTCCGGCCCAAGGGTCATCATGATCTCGAGTGCTCGCGGCAGTATGGCCAGAACAAACAAAAAAGAGGTGTGTGACCCCAGAGACATCATGTGCAAATACTCATCTTTGCTAGCTCCCTCCTGTTTCCAACATTGACTACTGCGTGTCCAAAGCGGGCCTTGACATGCTAATGTTGCACTTGCAAGTCGCCGAGAACCACAGCGAGAATGAAGCCAAGATTACGTTTTGGGCTGTAAGTCCAGGGCATTGCAAGACGGCTTTTAATGGCTATAGGGGCAGGAAAGATCCTTTGGAAGGAGCTGAGGCAGTGGTGAGGTTGCTCGAGACGACCGAGGGGGACATTACACCTGGGACATTTTGGGAGTATGAGAATGGTAGCTTTCAGCAAGTTCCTTGGTAACTTTACTTGAATAGTTGACAGAAAGATATTAGGACGGCACAAGAATACTATTATTAAGTCTATTTATTTCAACGGTATCATGATGGCTCCAGACTGTTGAGGAACCCAATGAGCCAATCACCCCCAAATTTCACGTCAATTTCATGAGCACGTCTCGTCTTCATAGCTTCGAATGCTTCAGCACAGATATTCTCTAGCACTTGCGTCTTTCGCGAGGGCAACTCCTTGGCAACTTCTCCAAACCAAGTGAGAGCTCTCTCGATGAGATTGCTATCCCGCTCAAAGTCCGCGTGCTGGAGATCATGTAGGTTGTTAGCAGTCAGGAGTACCATTGAAGAGATGTAGGTACAAGTCGAGACCCTATACATGTTAGTGCTGATAAAATATTGTAGCTGTGGGAGGTCTTACCATTTCAACCAGCAGTATCTCGGAACAGAATACTCAAATAGAATCATGAAGTCTCGCGCTTGTCCTACCAATGCATTCCAATCACTTGGTAGTTGTAGTGCCCTGACTCCTCTGCCATGATCACGTAATACGCCGACCCATTGCTCATCCCAAGCATGTGCTCGTGTTATAAGCATCAGGCATAGAAGGCTGTTTGTATGGAGAATGCAGAAGAAAGCAGCGATTGAAGGGTTATTACTCGTAGTTGTGATGACTTCAGCAGCGCCGAAGTCTGTCGGAATTGAGGCTTTCCAGTTATTAAGCGACAGGACGATGTTCTCTCTCTTCAGCCTACGTTCTTCGGGTGTCCTTTTCCACGCTCTTGCTGAGTATAGGTGGTCGTAAATATCACCCTGTATGCTAGCAAGCTGCACCCGGGCCAGGAAATAGTCCATTCTCGAACTGCCATCAACGGTAGTGACAACACCAGCACTAGAATTACTGTCATCATCCCGCGTCACTGACATAGGGAAATCGAGGTCGATGTCCTCATCAAGTTGTATAGATGGCTGTTGGGCGCGAAGACTCAAATCCTTGTCAAGGATGTAAGCCAGCCAGAAGACACGGGCATGCTGTTGTCGCTCAACAGCGTCCAGATGTGCAGAACAGGCACGGTTATGCAAGCCCATTTTATGTATGAGGCGCATCGCCGCTGATATAATGACCAAACCTGGTGTGGTGTCGTGTCCAGTTTGCAGTAGCATAGCCATTCCGATTAATGTCTGAATATTAAGAAGCTGAGTCTGGCTTAGCGTTATGGCCCATAAGACTGATTGCGCCTGGCTCAGATAGCTCTCCGTAGTACCATACGGAGAGCCAATGCCATTGTTCTCGGGCATTTGTTGCAGTGCCATGGCAAGTACGACATTGATCGCAGCCCAAGCGACTGGGTCGCGCTGTTTCGGTTCAAGCGCGTAGGTTTCTCCAACGAGTCGCAGAAGAGTATCAGGATGGAATAGTGGTAGTACTGAATTGATAGTATTGAGATAGATGCCCATCATGTGCATAGTCTGTTGCAGTGGGGGCAGCTTCAAGGAGTGGCGTATCTTTCTAACCTGAGCGAGGTCATCTTCGAAGTCTACTTGGGGCGATGGCGCTGACACAACTGGTTCAATCTCTGTTGCTTGTTTGTACTGAGCCTACGGCTTGAAATTAGCTTCTGTTCACCACATGAGTCCAAATCAGTACCAGTTGCTGTTGTAGCTCCTGCATCTGCGCTTGCAGGCTCCGGATCTCATCCTCCTTTTGGGACTCATCATCTTGCAGAGCTTTAGGTTTCCACTTTCGACTGCGAGCAGTGTGTGTACAATTGGTCTTGTAATTGACACAATTTGAGCATTTGGGTTGCAGTCCATCACATTTAATCTTTCGTGTATAGCAGAGGTCACAGGCCTGATTGTCTGTTAGGAAGCCACGTCCATAAATTCGCTCAGTACTACCTTTCTTGGTCGGTTACTGGCTTGCATGTCGGATTATCCGTAGAATTTAATCAACCCTGGAATGATAGAGAGCAGGTTCAAGGTGCTGACAGTGCTTCCATGGAGGGAGGTTATAGTGGTTCAGCCGCTTCCGCGGAAGCGGAGTTGGCTGACAAAGCGCATATTTCTAAGAATAAACCTCCCAACGACTCCATTCTTTGTGCGACTATGCCATTTTCGGCTTCCATGGAGGTCTCATTCCCCATTATTTCCTGCTAGAGCTGATGTGTAATGCCTTCCATGGCGATGATGCTGTAGGTTGAATGATTCAAATGGCGCTCGAACAAGGAATTCTCGGCGAAGAAGCGCAACTTCATCTGAACGGACATTCCTATAAAGTCCCCATATGTAGATATCTTTACAACTAACTTCATCAATAGTCAGTCTCATTCGGTAATCGATTTTCTTTACAAATTATTACCGATAATCATGGATGACTTTGTTTCCTTCACAAACGTTTGGCATAACAAGCCATACCCGTCTATCGACCCAACTCGCCCCGAGCTCAGTGCAGCCGGTAAATTTGTCGCGATTACCGGTGGTGGTACAGGCATTGGCAAGTCAATTGCTATTGCCTTTGCACAAGCCGGAGCATCAACGATCGCCATCCTCGGAAGACGTCTCGATAGACTTGAGACCGCTGCAGCCGAGATCGCAGAAGCCAGTGGGGGCAAATCGAATGTCGTCTTCGAAGCTTCCGACATCAGCAAGCGTGGCAGCTTAGATGCTGCAGTTACCAATCTGGTCAAGAAAGCGGATGGCGCCAAGATTGATATCCTGATCAGCAACGCCGGCGTTTCTCCTGATACAGGAGCAGTTGTCGGTTTCGATGAAGCGGAGTTTCGTCGGGGCATCGAACTCAATGTCATTGGCGCCTTCAACACCCTCCAGTCCTTTGGACCTTCTCTAACCAGCAATGCCTATGTCTTTAACACATCAACCGGAATGGTGCACCTAAAGCCTATCGCTCAAGGCTGGGCATATACTGCCGCCAAAGCCGCCGTCCTCAAGATGTTCGAGTACCTGCAGGACGATAATCCCGAATGGCACGTTGTCCAGATTCAACCTGGAGTCATTCGTACTGAGTTGAATGAGAGGTTTGATATTGTCGGGCAGGATGATCGTAAGTCGCCTTGAACCTTTTGTGGATTACTAGCTAACTGATTATATGTAGCTGCGCTTGCAGCTCAATTCTATGTTTGGCTTGCGTCCCCAGAGGCCGAGTTTCTTAAGGGCAAGTTTGTCTGGGCGAACTGGGACGTCGATGAGCTGAAGGCTCGGGCTGATGAGATAAAAAACTCTCTTCTTTTCAAGCTCATCCTCAACGGTGTACCCATGTGAGGGGCAAATATTTCACAAAGTGTAACAACTTCCTTATCCGAGGACACACAGTCCATCTTTGTCTTTCTTCACATAGATTCAATCATGATCATACGACCGCTAAAACAAATCACTCTCTCTATTCTGTGTATCTTTCGTGAAAGGGTATCTATGTATGTAAGGACTCTCTTAAACCTGTCCAGAGATTTATTAGCGAGCTTCGGCCTTTGCCATGAAACTTGCACGACCTGTTGATTCATCAAAGACATTGTAACCAATATCCGCAGCATTTGGCGGTGTGTATACTGATGCATGTCAGTTGGCAGTTCAACGCGAAGTCGGAGAAGTTTCAGGACTTACTATGCAAAGAGACGGCCACTTGGGTAGGGTGAGGGTTATGCACTCGGTGAAGACCAATGTCGTCCGATATATAGGTGACTTGATCGGCTTTGTGGGTATTGGCACTCTTGATTGACAGAGGGCGGTCTTCACAACCCTTCTCAGGCATGTCATAGATGGTTTCTGTCAACTCGCCTGCCAAGACTTTGAGGATGCAGTGGGCATTGGCGTGGTCGTGAATTGGTGATCCCTTTCCTGGGTTCCAGACTAATAGGAGCTTTGCAAGAGTCAGTATTGCAGGTGGCAACGGTTTAGAGATACTTACGATATTGGCTTTATGGTTGATGTTCACAATCGTATTACGTGTATAGTTCTTCTCTGGACAGTTGTGATAATAGCGTGCCCAGTCATTGGGATTCGATGTGTATTTCTTCGCTAGGGAGATGAGATAGTCCTCGTCGATGTCATCGCAGCCAATACCACCCTCCTTTCCTAAATGAGATTTCACATCGCGGACGAAATCATCTAGAGAATAAAAATCAAGCTCTTCAAAGTTGTTGTAAGACAACGGTTGGTGAGATGATTGGCATGGTGTAAGCGGTAGAGGCGCGAAACGTGTTGATACTGCAGCCATTGTGATGGAGTTCCAGAATTTTGTAAAATAAAGAATAACTCAGGTAGTGATCGTCTCCTTAAAAGTTCAGAAATGTTAAATCGGTGCTGGTCAATCGTAAGTCTGTTTGGGTGATGTTATCAAGGTGCTATCTATAATAGAGCTGCATCTTCAATCGCCGAACCGTCACTCAAGGGGTCAATTCCATACAATGGTCTTCGGGGATTCAAGCGCTGCATTGATTGGCTCATGGCCGAGGCTCCAGATAACGGAAATGTCCGCTAGCCATCTTGATCGGCGATTGAAGTTCCTGCACAGAAATAGAAACATTCAAGTCAATCACCTGTTGAGCCAAGACTCCTCGGGATTGAACAAAGGAGATATGTTGCTGTCGTTTAAGTGCAATCATCAAGAGATTAAAACTATCCTAACTTTGACTTCTCTATCGAGTCGATGTAGAATGACGAATGGGAAAGTGAACAATGGGATTCTGCTTGAAATTGTAGATCATGTGGATATCTTCGGCTTATCGGTTGTTGTCGACTGGTCAAGACGTGGCCTGATATCAGCTTATCAGTGCATTGACCACTCACAAACTCGAGTCAGATCATGCAGTCTCCACTCAGCATTCTTCAACTTCGTGTTTGCTTCTACCATTGAGATAGCATGATACATATACACATTGGTTCATTCATGTAATCGACCATTGTTCAAACTGAGAATAAGGTCACATGCTTGGGGTACTCTGACGATTCTACATGAGGCTCATGTCTTGTTTGCGCAATCTGTCCTGATCAAACCCTGCATATCTTTCAATCGCCGACTCATCCGAATCCACCTCCTTCCGAGTCCCTATCATTGTTGGGCTCACCGCAGATCATCATGACAATCTCAACAGCCGGATCAGTCAAATCAACCGGCATAGCAAGTCTCGCTTGCGTCGTCTGCAGGAAGCAACATCTCAAGTGTGACGCGGGGAAACCCTCGTGTTCGCGTTGTAAAGAGACAGAGCAAGTATGCTACTACGAACCATCGCGCCGCGGTGGACGTCGTAAGAAGCATCGCTCACCTGCGGAAACCCAACAAAGGAGTAGACAGCCCGTGATGCAGGCTTCTCAAAACGACCAGCAATCTTCATATGTGGATTGCGTAACTGTTAATCCCATCAGTCTACCAATTACACCGACGTCGTCTTCTCAGGAATTACCGTCGTCTGGAATAAGTCAGAGTACAGCTACCAACAATGATTTGGTTGGAGCTGTCACCCAACAAACCCGACAATCACCCCGGGGCGAAAATGTGCAAAACCAGCGCCGGATCAGTAACGACCAAACCCCTGCTCGACAATCTCAACCTCAGAATGGCAATGTCATGTCATATCTAACCCATCTTGACCCTAATATCATTACCCAAACATTCGGCGGCAACAACTTGGCAAGTCTCAATACCCCCGTACAGCCTTGTTCAGATGGAGATCGCCTCCTTCGACTGTACTATGAGAACTTTCACAACGCTCATCCCTTCCTCGTTCCAAGTTCGGTGTTCACATCGCGGAACTATCCTCCATATTTGCGGCGCATGGTTGAGTTTGCGGGCTCTCACTATGCTTCTTCTGGGCCAGACGCCCAGCTGCGCGCTGAAGTCGCCACTGATATGATGTCCGCCATTGAAACATCGACTTATATGGTTCAGTCACTTCTAATCTACTCCATTCTTTTGTTCTTCAGTCGCGATCTTGATACCGCGAACAGAACGTTCGGTCAATGCACACAAATGGCCATGGATTTGGGAATGCATCGCGAAGACTTTGCATCATCGAGACAACTCGACAATCCGATTGAGGCCGAGAGTCTGAGGAGAACTTGGTGGGAGATTTACGTCACTGACATCTCTATGGCTATACCGCCCAAGACAATGATTCTCCGATGCAGTAGCACTCCCCCCAAGGTTCTCTTACCATGCGAAGAAGCATTCTATAATGGCCGTTTGGATATTCCTCCATCACATCATGTTCTTGAGTTCAAGAGGCGGGTACTCTCAACTGGCGACGTGGCTTTCTCGTCATTCAGCTATCGCATCGAAGCCGCGACGATTCTAGGACGTGTGTTGCTACTGAATCAGTTGAAGAACACCAGCCACGATCATACGCAGTCCATTGAGAATGCTCTCCTGAGCTGGTCAAACCACTTGCCCTCCGGAAAGTTGGAGATCGTTGACTCGTATGGTAACATCGATGAGATGATGTTCCAGGCACATATGATCATCGCTTTGGCCAGCATGCTCTTACATCTCCCGCGCAGCAACTTGTACCCGCTACTAGCGGATGTCAAAGACCCCTTCCTGCCTTTTTCGCAGAACCATCCTCTTTCATCATCAACAAGTCTGATTCAAGGCATCAAAGCAACAGACGCTTCGAGACGCATATCAGATTGCATATCCCTCTGCCCCAATGTACCAAAACATACACCATTCGTCATTCCAGCGCTGGCGCTATGTGGATTCATCCAAATAGCCACATCCCAAGGCCATCCCGACGAATGCTTCGAACACCACTACAACCGCGTTACCCTTGTCCTAGGATGCCTCAAGAGCGCCCGGCGCATGTGGCGCATGGCAGAAGCAGAATACGACCGCCTTCGCTGCTGCGCTTCAGAACTCATCGCCGATGCCATGGACAGAATGAATGCGCTGCCTTTATCGCAAACAATACCCAACTCATCATCGTCAATACCTGCGGCATCTGATCAAGGCGGCGACTTGACACTTATATCGCCGGCTCGAGGAAATGCAGATTCTGGATTGCCAAGATTTGATCCTCTGTTTCTGGATCCTGTTTGTTATGATTACTCATTGTTTAGCGCTTTGCCCGACTTTCATAGCTCTTAGACTGTCTTGTTTTGTTTAGAAAAGTGGAAAAAGGATACCCTGCAAGGCAAAATTGACCCTACTCATTTTTGAAGCACAAATGTGCGATCTTTCCTCGATAAAAATTCTCTAGATGAATGTCTCAGAAAATGCCTTCCGACTAAGCATCATGTAACTCCCAAAGAGCTGAAGTCGTTTCATTGGTTGCAGGGTGTGCCCGATACTGCTAAGCGCCGAAAGGCATTTCGTCAGGCGCATTCACTGCCTCATCACTGCCCATTGTATTTTGACCTGGAATCCTCCGAACAAGGTTCTTCCGGTCTACAATTCCTTTTTCAATTGCCGAAAACTCAATCTAACGGGTGTCAAGGCACTATTTAGTACTTTGATACTGGTCTCTTTTCTCAGTGCCTCAACTTCTTCGGTCCTCACTCCATCCTCGCCAATATGTCCACTCAAGATCTGTATCAGACCCCGCTCGACACCTCAAAACCCGAGATAAGACTATTGGAGGTAGTTGAGGACAACGATATCGTCTCGTGTAAATTACACACCGTCACTTTCAACAAACAACTACACTTTGCCGCGCTATCCTATGTATGGGGAAGTGCAGCTGACAAGGTCAATATCAAAATCGACGGCGTTGAGGTTCCCGTGTCAGAAAGTCTTGCCGGCGCGTTGAAAGAAGTTCGAAAGTACTGGAAATACGAATTTCCCAACAGAGACCAATCCAAGTTCAGAATCTGGGTCGACGCTGTATGCATCAACCAAGCCGACGCTGCAGAACGCACTGAACAAGTCAAGCTCATGCGCGACATTTACTCCTCAGCCGATCTCGTTCTTGGATGGTTGGGTGCCGAAGATGAAGAGAAGATCTTGAGAGCCATCACGACCATCATGGCCTTGAGCAAAGCCTTCAGGGCGGCACAATGGGAGGTTGATAGCCTGATGAACCTGGAGTGGTTGAGAACTTGTGGTCTCACAAAAGAACCCGAATGTGACAAATTTTGGAACTCACTCGACTATCTTGCGTTACTTCCATACTGGAGACGCGTCTGGATCTTACAGGAAAACGTGCTGGCCTCAACATTATTCTACATCGCCCCACGCGTGTGTGTCGAGTATAGGTCTCTTATGAACGTGTGCCGCATGTTTGAGATTCTATCCTCCAAGCTGACAGAAAAACAAGTCACGAAACCAAACTTTGTCCCAAGCCATATTTGGATGAAGTTCTGTCCTCCGAAGGGTACCGGTTTTATCCAACTACGAAACGTTATCCGCTTCGACGTTGCCAAGATTATGCATATGGACAAAGTCACAGAGAGTCAAGAAGAGAGACAACGGACTGCCGTTCAACTTTCGGCATTTGGCGGTACACTCGAAGCTACGGATCCGAAAGACCATATCTACGGCCTACTGGGCCTTAGCTCATTGCCCCTCAGCCCGGACTACACCAAGAGCGTCAAAGATGTGTACGTAGACTACTGTAAGGCAATACTCAACACCATTGGGAACAGTGGCAAAAGAGAAGTGCAGTTTCTGCGAGATGCTGGCGCTGGTGTTTTCGAAAATCATCTTGGGCTGCCTTCATGGGCACCGCAATTTCCATCAAGAGCGACTGATAATCCGACACTGATGTTTGACGGAGAGTTTCAACTTGCTCGACTCATCCCTGATATTCCACGGCCAAGTATCTCGGATGCCAAGTTGCACTTATCCGGTGTGAAATTGCAGACGTTAAAGAAGGTCGGCGGAAACCCAGAGCTCCAAAATCTCCAGAAGGGAGGTGATCTTGCCGATTGGATACAAGACTACATCAATCGTATACCGTTCTATCCAACTAAGGTCCCTTCAATTTGGGCACTATTTCTAGTAGTCGCGAGGATGCAAAAACTGGCCTTGGACACACCGAGCATGTTGCTATTGCTCAACTTCACGAAGCGACTGGACCTACAAATTCCAGAAAGCGATCGATCACGAGGTGTTACAAATTACTTCCAAACACGAGAGGCTGATGGTCTTTCTGTTATGATAGCTCAAGACGGGGGAATAACCCTGAGATGATGGGTTGTATCTCTCCGCTGATAGGCGGGCCCGATGCCCTGAAGGCGAGGATGTTTGACGTCGATGCTCAACAGGTATTCATGATGAAGCGAAATTACCATACAAGATTATTTGAAACAGATGCTGGATATTTGGGAATGGGGCCTCAGAAATGTAAGGTTGGAGATGTCATCTGCATTGTAGATGGGTACGAGGATCTTGTTCTGCTACGAAAGCGTGGAGAAGAGTATGAGTATGTGGGGCCTTGCCTGGCTTACGGCATTACGGATATGTATATTAAGAGAAGGCTTGACGTTGGGGCGGTGGAAGTCAAGACATTCGATTTGGTGTAGGTTGGGCTTGTTCTGCAATTGAGATCCATCCACTGGAACTTACCGTGAAGCTAGCTCTATCTTTATATAAGCTCCGGCGCCGCTCTCTACCACAACCCACTACAGCAGGCTCTAGCCTGTTATCTTCCGTAGTATAGTGGTCAGTATGCAAGCTTGTCACGCTTGAGACCCGGGTTCAATTCCCGGCGGGAGAGATCCAGCCACCTGCAATACGCAGGTTACTCTTTTTTTTGCTATTTTTATTTTAATAAAGTTATTCGGTATAGGCTTTCTCCCTCATTTTAATAAATACAATTACTTTTTATTTAATAACTAAGTGCCTTTTATTTTTCTGGTAAGTAAATACACTAGTATTGATATTCTTTTAAAATTAAATACTCGTACTTAATGCAATTTCTTACAATAACTGACTCCCCATATCCCCCAACATATTTGCCAACATAAGGGCTCTTGTCCGGCACTCTCTATCGCCGCAAGCAAGCCTGGTAATGGCAGAGCACAACATTGCTTCGCCTTGGTTCCCATGGCCAGTCTGCTCTGACACAGCATACAAAAGCTTTGCAGCCATGGCATAGCCTTGTGTAGCCAAACACCATTCCGGTTGGTTGAGCCCAACTGGCCATGCTCCATCAACCATCTTGAAGGCAAGATTCCAGGTTAACATCTCATCATTGGCGTTATAGTATGCGGCATAAATGTAACCATGAAGGATCTCAATGGTCCTGGTCCCGGTATTTGTGAAAGAGTTCTGAGCCTCCTGTAGTACACTCTCATAACGACAAGTGAGTGCACTCGCAGGTAATTCTTGGCTATTGGACCTTTTGAGATACTTAGACCACATAGAGAGCACAACGGCATTACCAAAGCCAGCGCGGCGTTCAAAACAGTGAATTGTTCGCAGATAGCCAACTCGCAGGATCTCGAAACGATCTTGGGTTGGTGTCTGGCGCAAGAATTTCAGCAAGTTCGGAATTGGATGTCCACTGGGATAGCGTTGATGTGCTAAGAATCGAAGAAGGTCCAAGAAGTACTCAAGCAGCGCAAAGTTGTTATGAAGCTGGCCAGTCTGGTGGAGCCTGATACAAATCGGCCATATCACAATGATCATTCCACAATCATTGCTCCCAAAAATATTCTTTAACCTCTCACATAAGATGTTGAAGGTTTGCCGACTCTCTGGATATTGCCCTTCCTCTAGTAGAGTAGTGACTCCAAAGCACTCATCGCTTATCTGTTGCCAGGCTGGCAAAAAGTCCGGGATTCCTGGAGGAACAATGATATCGAACAAATTAGAAGAGAAGTTGAAGGTATCAAATAAGCCGTAGACAAAGACTTCTGAAAAGTTCATGATTGATCGCTGTTTCGTGAGCCCATCGGATAAATGAGTACCCATGGATGGATGCGGCTCAAGAGCATGGAGACTGGATCTGGACGGGATAGTGTTGTGATTTGCCAAGCGCCTACATCGCGTTCGGGGAATATTGATTGTAGTTGGAGCTACTTCAGCATCATTTTCTCTCCTATTCTTATTGAAACGTGGACTCCATTTCTTGAAATGGGTGGTGTACATCTTGGGTCTATTTAATGTCAGTCATTAAACTTCTTGCGTTTCGGTCATGATACTGACGTTGCATCAAATCCATGGCGAGTCTTCATTTCGGATACAAGGACTTTTAAAGCCTGTCCTTGGGTGATGTAGATCTCAAAGATGCGCTCCTTCATCTCTTCCCACTCTTCAGGACTCGGACCTTGAGTAGTCTGCTTTGAATTTAGACTTTCGATCAATGCTGTTGGGTTTGGTGGATTCATGATGGGCGCGTTGAAACAAGTGTAACATGTACTTCTAAGGGCTCCCACTCATGAAAACGAGTGGGAAAGGGGGTTAATGAGAGGTTGGTAACAACTCCACAGATAAGTAAAACTTATGCACTTGAAGCAGGTAAATAATCATTGGTCTGTTTAAATTGCCTTGCACCATGCGCTGATGCCCATCCTTTGTCCAGCCAAGTCATGTGCATGTTAGCTCTTGCACCTGTCTTAGGTTATTGGTCTGTCTATATTTCCATGCATTTAGTGTCATTGCTTATTCCTTGTTGATAGGTCACTCCAGGAGGCATTTCGTCGTGATAAGCAGTGTAACGAAAGCTTGGCAGCGCTTCCTTCTGTGGCTGCTTACGCTGCCAATGCCATTCGCTGGATGGCACAATCGGCTGTTTGTGTCTTCCTTTCAAGCATCAAATAGTTTTCTCTTATCGCTTCAGAACCACGCTTATTCTGGGCCACTGGTTCTGCCAACTGGCTCTTTACCCTCACTTTAATGCAGCCTATGCAGCCCTGGATTTGATCGTTAGATAATCCGGTGTCTACCCATAAAAGTGTCCAACTATTTATTCGTCTAAATTCTCTTCACGAGGATTGCTCATTTTCCAATTTGAGCATCTCATTCTCTGCTATATCTCACATCATGGCCGAACTCCATTTTCGCTCTCCCCTTGATGACCTCAACAGTCAGGCCCAACGTCAGCTCTGGGGGAAGCAAATACAAAAAGCACCGCAATGCATTACACTCATGGCCAAGTGCAAGCTTCTTCTATCCAAGGCCTTATTGGAAGGCCTTGATTTGTCACACAATGGACTCGCGTACTTACTCAAATTTCTTTACTTTACCCAACATTGGCTAACAAGTCACCAGACATGAATCACTTTTAGTGGTAGTTGGACGCTGCTATCGTATGGGCGAGTTAACATTTAGGTCAACTGCAACACGCATGAAGACAGTAGGTCGCCTTACCCACGACATGTGGAAGCCTGAAGGAACTGTGAGTGATTTTATCTTGAGCCTGATTCCAGGACTGATACATATTATAAACATCTCAGCTTGAGTCAGTACTGAAACATATCAATATGAAGCCGTGTAGAATGAGAGATATGCGATTGCAGTCCCATATGAAGTCGGGGCTATCTAAGATATAGGAATCAGTTTCAGAAATCTCAGCTGTGAAGAATGACTTCTTGGAATGGACAAGAACAACAAACAACTTATTGGAATGTCTGCAAAATAAGACTAGTAAGTATCTGCCTCATGTAGGAAATATCTCAGGATACAACTAACTCAAACTCGGTAAAAACCGATCGCATCAGGTAGAAACAGCAAGAGAAATTCAATTATGCATAAAGAAACAAGAAAGCTGTGAAAGGGATCTTGAGGCCCTCAGGGAATCAAAAGAAGCGCTTCAGAGACCTTATGGAGGCTCCTCAGAAACTAGCGGTGAAGATTTGGAAACCATCAGAAGTATGCGCTTGACATCTGACTGTGTTTATAGTGTCTGGGCGTGCTAGCCCCGTTATTCTCGCATCAATCATAGCATCGGCCTTATTTGCATCACCTCTGGGGCCTATTGTTAAATTTGGCTCACAGTGGTACATGGAGTCGAAAATTGGATTACTGGAGGAGCAGATAAGTACCCTTAACACAGAACTCAGCGAGAACCTGTGTGAGAACGAGTCTTTGGCAAGTCGTCTCCATATAAACCATGCGATGTTGCAACTAATTCTGTTAGGATAAAATGATTCAAATTTTAAGGAGTACTTTAAAGGATCTTGATAATCTTCAGAGGGAGATCGCAAACTTCATGGACTTCTTGATTAGCATACAAGACATTGTGGCGGCAGTCAAAGACGGCGATGACCGTGTCCTAATAAGAGACCTTACCGCGAAAGATATCGATGACATGAACGACGACCCGCAGTTGAAGGAAGTAAGCTTTAAGTTCTGAAGAGTCAAGTACTTTGCTAATTCGATATTAGGACTATCTTCGAGATGCTCACCTCATGAAGAAGAGACTTTTCATCGCATCCAGCGCAACAGAACTATACAATGAGATATCGGATAAGTTCATACTTCCTGGCGTTGACTGGGCGGGGAGACTGTCCACTCTCAACTTGTCTGATGAGGCTTATGAGAAAATGGAACTTGAAATCGAGGCTAAAGGATCAGAGTTGTCCGAAGGAGCTAAGCGGCTGGTTATGAAGGTATGTACCATGGGGCTAATGACATCGTGTAAACGGACTGACTTTGTGTAGCGTGTTGATGAAATTGGCATTGAACTAAAGGTTCTCGATCCTCAGCCGACTGCTATGCCCCAGGCAAATGTGACTGAAGTTGTGGAGGACATGACGGAGGAATTTGAAGAAATTGTTAACGCCTGAAGCTAGTCGGCCATATGGGTTTTGATGTTTTGATGGAGGCACTTTGTATTTTATGATCAACCAGATTGACAATGTTCGAATCATTCATAAGAGAAGGGCTTGATCGGTGAACTATCTACTTATCCTGTCCCCGATGCGTCATTATCGTCCATTGGAAAAGGCAGTGAAGTCGACGGTATCGTTTGCCTGCCTTGAAGCTGGTTTTTCGTTCACATCTCGGAAATCCTAGAGCTTTTGAACCTTCTCAGCCTTTGCAACTGCTTCGACATTAGCCAGAATAGATTCCTCCAAGCTTGTCCAACCGGGTCGACCTAAATCCTTCAGAAGCTGCTCAGCCTTGTCTCTTGGCTCGATCTCATTAGGGTCCTCTCCACCTGAGAAGTTCTCAGGGAATGTCCTATCAGGAAAGTTCTTTCTGAAAATATCGAGGATCGCGTCCCAGCTGAAACGACCGGCGAAGCCAAAAATACGCTGCTCTTTGACATGATCAAAGATAGCGGCTGCAACGTGAAGTCTGCCTGTGTCCTCGACATCAATGTAATATTCTATATCGATATCAGTATAAAACAATTACCACAACATCTTTAGAAACTCACGTCGGATGACAGAGGCATGGAATGGTGTTACTTGTCCCTTGAAGAGCAGCACTGGGAAACCAGAGCTACTAGGGTACCCCTGGTTCACGGGATCAATAGACCTTCCCCAGTTGAAGTTGGGAAGGACTAAATCAGTCAGTGACGGCAATATTCAATTCTATCGGATACCTTACCGGTATTAACAACCAGATCGGGCTTCTCGCTTCGGTGTTCCTTGTGATACTTCCAGACTGCCTGTTCTGACTGGACTTTGCTTGCCGCATACACAGCGCCACGTCGTTCGGGCGTGTAAGGAGGATCAGCCCACGCCTTCTCGACCGCACCTTCAGACCAGCTCTCTTCATTCACCTTCACACCAGGAACATCGGGCAGAGAAACGACGGCGGCGGAAGATGATGAGGTGAAGACGAATCGCTTCACGCTGGGCTCTGCATATGCAGCCTTGATTGCTGCAACGGCGAAGCTGATGGCATCGGGTATGACTTTATTCGGATCAGGGTCCAGAGACATGATCGACGCTGTATGCGCAACCACAGCGACTCCTATAGTTGTTACGTTAGTCGCATATCACTCTATGGCCGTCAAGAACTGGCTCCTACCTTTGGCGGCCTCGGTCAAAGCCTTCTCATCTGTCAAGTCTGCCACCTCAACGAGCTCAAAGTTTCCTTGGCCATATTGTTTGTCAAATGCAGCTGTGAGCCACGCATTCTTCTCGACGTCACGAACAGTACCGCGGACCTTGTAGCCATACTCTAAGAATTGTTTGGCAACGTGAGAACCGAGAAGGCCGTTGACTCCAGTCACGAGGACCAGAGAGCCTTTGGGAATAGCGGGGTTATCAAGAGGAGCCATTTTGTTAGATGTTGTCTGAATGGTGAGAATATCTAAAACTGATTCTATCGTGTGAATATTTGGCGTATTTATATACCTCGTTGTTAAAGGATTCACCGCATAACCCCCGCACGGCTGTTGATGCAATATGGCCTTAGTGTGACTTGATTGTCCGCAAGTCCGCACAGAGTTTCGCATGTTTTGAGCCCCATCAACGGGCGTAATGCCTGATTTGAATTGGTGCTGCGCGCTAAGTTTCAGCATTTATAATCCGCCTCGGCAACAATGGAACATTCACGACAGTTTTATGACTACATGAACCAAAGGATTACTGATCATCTCTTTCCTGATCACTATACCTATTCACAACAATAACTTGTTGTGCTGTTGTGACTTGAACTTCTTCCCTCGGCATTTGGTCTGTGGGGACAAGCGGAGTTCGTGGCTAGTGAACAGTGGACTTTCATGCTTTAATAGCAGGGGTCTTGAATCGTCACAAAAAGCAATATCCTTGCTTCCGGAAACTCAATCGATAAAGCATACAGTTTCAACAAGCTGATACAGGAAGTCCTCAAGATATCAACACCATTGGCTTGGTCTTCCCTTTATCTATATTGCTAGAATCTTTAGGTGTTTTTCGACGCTCTGGTGCGGTCCTGACATGGTCGAGGAGCATATGGCTGCAGAGTGCTGTACATTGTAACGTTCCCTTGGTTCCGACCGAGCCGTTGATCAAAGGTCATGCAAGGAGAGTTCTTCTGCCAACTGAGGTAGCGAGTGCTTTTGAGGCTCCCAATAGTGACATTGAACTTTGTCAACCCCAGAATCGAGATCACGCCCAACCAATTAAGCGACATGACATATCTCAAAAGCTCAGTCTTACAGCCTACACTCAAACTACTCTCTCTTGAGTATAGCATCAAACTCCCCACTCATCATCCCAGCCTCTGGAGATTTCTGCATCAGCTGATATATCTGTAAAAATATTAATAGCTTACCACTATACTGAATCAAGGCCAGCCTCATTTCTCCGCATTCAGCATCTTCTCCATTTCGCCTTTAGAGTTTTCCCCAATCTCAGATCGTAGGCGATTCCCCCGCAGCCCCATTCATGTCTTGGCTTTTTAATTGTTTTCACGCTTGTTTACGCCGCTTTCATCATACCTCAAGCCACGACAGTTTCCAAGACCGACGATGCATAAGGCCTTGCAATTGATGTAATCTGCAACCACCAAGAAAATCACCAAGACACGGCTTAATCTTCATTGCGTCATCGGATTAATCGTTGCCACAGCGAAATTGCTCGATGTTGTAGGAGATGACGATGTATGCTTGGCATTACATATGGTCTGGTAGCAAAAGGAGAGGCGGAAGGAATTGTGTAAAATCACTTGGGCTGTTGAAGATAATCAAGGTGTCATCTTTGAAGCTCATGTTACAGCGTTGTAAATTCATTACACTAGACAGGTCTATCAAGTATCCGCATGAGCATAATCAATACGTTCAAAAAATTAGTGGATTCTATGTTTGTTGAACTGGTTGATCTGGATATTCAGCCATTCTGATGTCGGAGTAAAGCACCCGAGGTGTTGTAGGAGAGGGAAAGTCTTTTCGCAAGGCAGTAGGTCGTCTTTAAAGGGAAGCTATGCGTCTATATTCGAATGTCAGTCAGTTTATCAACCTGATGACATGACCGATAATGGCTCCTTTGTCTGTGCTGAGTTTGGAACAGGTCTATACGAGAAAAGCGTCTACAAAAATGGTCAGACCAACTCGTACAAACTTAGTATGGATGTTCACCAACACTTGCTAAAGAAGGCTATAGGCGTACTGATTTGCCTAAATACTAAAGACTTTGCTTTAGGACAATCATATAACGGTATTATATGTTAAATATGAGGATGACGGTAAGATAAGAGAAGGTAGGGGAGAGTTTGGACAAAACCTTTTAATTTAGATTAAATATCTATCTAGACTTCATCCAACAGATCTCATCCATAGTATGAAAAATGTCAACCAAGTACTCATCAAGTCAATCCAAGAGGGAGAACATATTGACAACTCTAAAGAGTATACAGGTATCGAGGGTTGTGCTCGCCAAGCTCAGCAATCTCCTCCTCAGTCTTGCCCTCCATGCGCCAGTCCTCTTGACCAGAAAGCTTTCTCTTGTTAAGACGCTTGAAGTGAAGGTATACGGCAGTGTGAATGCAGACAGCAAGGGCAAGCATGCCAATGGAGGCACCGTAGCCAGGACGATAATGGGGCTCGTAATCGTTGCTGAATAGGAAAGGGGCGGCGACGCCAGCTGAGTTTCCGATGGTGATGAAGATACCACTAGCAAAGGCACGCTTGCCATATCGCGGCTGGTTGACAGTGATCCAAGCCATACCAGATCCAGAACCGGTCCAGAGACCGATGGCAACAATGAAGCAACCGGCGTAGCTCATGGCAGTGCTTTGGTTGGCAATCAGAAGAATGTAGCCGACGATCATAGTCAAACCTCCTCCGATACAGAAAAGACCACGCTGTTGGGTTCGGTCGCTGATGTTGGCACAGATCAGGTAGACGATGAAGCCCACGGCGTACACAGGGACTGTGAGACCCTGAACTTGTTTGTCGGTCCATTGACCCATCTGCTTGATGATGGTTGGCAAGAAGACACTGAAGCTGTACAGAACAGAGTGACTGCAGTACTGGGCAATGGAGAGAGCCCAAATGGTCCAGTCCTTAGCTCCAGCGATAACGTCTTCCTTGTGCATCTCTTGACCAGAGATTGTTTGACCAATTTCCGCAGATCGGAGGTCCAAAAGGTTCTGTCGGTCTTCCTCAGTGAGAAACTTGGCGGTTGCGGGAGTGTTGGGCAAGATCCAGGGGATGAAAACGGCTGTCACGACGGTGGGGATACCGTTGATGGTGAGGATCCATCGCCAGGCTCGCCATCCGGCAGCACCCTCTGAGGGACCATCCCAGTTGTCCAGCTCACCGATACCGAGGGCAACGAGACCACCAACAGCTCCAGAGATAGCAGAGATGGAATAGAAGTAGGCATTGCGAAGTGAGATGTGCTTCTTGTGATAGAAGGTGGTTAGGTACAGCCTGGAAGACCATTATTAGAGATACATCACGAAATGGAGAATTCCCACACTCACATGATGCCTGGGAAGAGGCCAGCCTCGAAGAAACCGAGAAGCAGGCGACAAGCAACCATTGAGCCAAAGTTGTTGACGAAGCCCGTGCAAATGGCCACAATACCCCAGAAGAAAACGAGACCGGCAATATATCGGGCAGGCTGCAGCTTCTTGATGATAAGGTTGGAGGGAGTCTCAAATAACTAATAGCAAGTTAGTGGGCTGTCTAAATGAGATGGATATGGCATTAGTGCAACTTACACAGTAGGTAACGAAGAGAATTGACACGCAGATTTGGAATTGATCTCTTGTGAGACCGAGTTCCTCCTCGAGACCGTAAAGACGAGCATTGCCGATACTGACTATGTCGAATTGTCAGTATTGACGAGGCTGAATGTTTCAGATCACACTCACCTCGATCCATGAAGTTCATGAGGTAGATCCAGCAGACACAAGGAATAATACGTCGATCAAGCTTTTTCAAAATACGCTTCTCCGTCTGCTCACTAACATAAGGGACAGATCGCTCGTTGGTGGGACCATCACTCTGAGTAGCAATGCCGCCCTCCTCCTCCTTGGAAGGAGAGTGTCGATCACTAGAACCGATCGACATGGTGAAGAAATGAGACAGAAAGGCTGGAGAAGAGAATTGGCAAGGAAGGGATCTGGAAGAAGAGAAGATGCAGGTGCAGAGCCAGACACGCGACTGGGACATCGGGCTCCTTTTTTATAAGCAAACGCGTGCGTCGTAATGGCTGCAGTAAAGACCGCGCGGGGTATCAATGCCCAGACATTCTAATCCAGATTACGAAGGAAACCCGGTCCAAAGGAGCCTGGAGACCCCAGACTGCCAAGACGAAGAAGCAGTCATTGTTGTGGTCTCTGGCTTGGGGGAGACTGAAAGCTGGGGAAAGAGGTAATGCAAAAGGGGGGCTAAGCTTTTGCGGAGGACGCGGAGTAAATCCTGTTACGACGGGAATACCAATTTCGCCAAGCAATAGCCAAGGTGTTAGTAGGTGGGAACGAATATCAATCTCATACCCACACAAAACATAAAGCATTGGAGCTCGTTATCAGGTGAGCATTACCCCAGCGACTTGGCGGCACTTGGCATCTTGTATGAGGAAGTCATAACAACGCATCCCAATCTTGGCGAGTAAGCTTGGTTGGTTCATCCATGATGTTCTGTTGCCTTGGCTGCAATGACTCGGTCAAATGGAATGCACACTTATTTAGGCAAGATGTTCAATAACTTGGCGGTTATATGCATCAAGTCTGTGCTGTGTCAGTGATGACATCTGTTCCAAGAATGACAATCTCTCCCTCCACGTGCCGGAAGGATGTGATATTCCTTCCCCTCACCTCTCGACATGTCCTAACAATGCATGCTGATGCTTTTAGCCTTTAGATGACACGTGGAACTCGCGTGGCTTGGATTCTTTTACTTCTCCGATCCTGGTTCGGTCTCGGTAGCATTTTAGCTAATGAGTTTATCTTTGTTGTATGTAAAAATTACAAGATCTGACTCCTCATAGGGCGGGCTAAAACAAGGCTCGGGTGGCAATTCTCCGATCACGTTACTACTGTTACTGGCTTCTCCGCATCCGGCAATCAATGCCCGAGGCGCTAAACGAGCCCTAAATTGAGCCTTAATTTTTTGTATGTTACAGCACTGCGCGTGCCCAGACATTACAACATCAGAGTTGGAGTTGTCTTGGAAGCCAAGAGAGGCGCTCATCTTCCAAGACTTAGTTACCGAGGTTTTGGACAGATCTTGATCCCGGACGAGCGGAGCAAGTCAAATCTGATTGAATTGTTGGGGTTGTTTTGTAAGATGCCCAGGCGTTAAATCTTGGGCTGTCAAAATGTGTGATTCGCAACATTGCAGATTTGACAGATGTCACCCTATACAGATCATTACTATACTCCAACATATTTAAATTATCAAATAATATTTATAATGGGAATGCAGAATTTGCCATCAAAGTCAATAGTTTACTGCTTCATTGTCAATTGAGGGTTTGAATGGTTCACTTGTGACGCACTTAGAAATACCATAGAACTTCCTAGAAGATGTTCAAACCGCCAGCTGCTTGACAGTCGACACGCTCACCTTCTTTGTGTCAACGCTGATTGGACAAAATGTCGCTTTCTTTTCCATCCATGTCTTCGGTTACCGGCGTTTTGGACCCCATCGCCGCCGGACGGCTTGTTCACCGTTTCCGGGGCAAGGTCTGGGGTTGCCATACATACAGTTGTCAACATGGACATCTTGACCCATGGGATTGCCCTTCGGATGTGATGATCCAAGACTCGGAGTTACGGTGAGCCAATTGGCGGGCGCTTACCTCAGTCTAGAGAACATCTTGGTACGTGAGACATGCATTTCTCAAGCCAAAGGTTACATGCATTGCTTGGCAATAACCCCTATAATCAACACAGCCCCGGGGCCGCAACATTGGCAGTTGCGTGGAGTACCATCTTGACTGCCAACGCTCATGCGAAAAATGGCGATGAACTGGCGGGACGCTCACTTATAGCACGGCCGACGAAACGTTGAAGGTCCACTATCATCGAGTCCGCTTATCTGCCCCAGATTATAACGTTTAGGAGCAAGATGCTTTGTATCAAGATTAAGCTATCGGATGAGCCCCAAAAATGGGTACGGGGTCTTGGGTAATGGCTTGGCGAAATGCTTATGTTGTACGGCGTGGCTGTCAGGATTGGAAATGAAGTTGGGTTTCACGAGCGAGGCTGAATTTGTGCAACATTCTAATTTTAATACGAATTTCTGGGCGAAAGTTTCGAAAACCGACTCTTGAGCCTTTCAGCTGATGTCTCAGTTCTTTATGCATAGCAGCGGACTATTTGCCAGACTGTTCTTTGAGCGCGCTTCGTGAGATATGGTCGGTATTGCGAGCGCACCAACATTTGCACCCAATATGCGATCAGCCTCTGATGAATGAGTCAGAGTCAGAGCGATCTATCAAAATATTGATGAGTTTGAGATAAAGATACCGGGCCGTTACACAGATAAGCTATCTATTCCGGCCCGGATCTGACGTTTCCTTTAGAGGTTCGATCAGCAAAAGGTCTACACATGACGATCGCTAGCGCGACGCGTTACCTTTGGAGGCAAGAGGGGAACCGCGTTTTATAACCTCCAAAGGCAAGGCTTTGGTGACGTTTCCCCTCTCTTGCGCAAAACATTGGGGTTTTTGGTGGCACTTAGGTAAGAATATCAGGAACAAAAGTCAAAAAACATCAGCCGGGCCGGTCGTGAGGTTTATCTTGCATCGTTGATGTCATTGGAAGGCGCAACGTTATCTATCAATCACTACGACAGTTCGCCAACTTAATTCTACTCGTATATAAACTTCTGAGTCTCTCGTGATATTTTGTGTTTACGCAAGGTCATACCAGCATTAAATTTGAGCCTTATAGACAATCGACGCCGCAGCAATGACCGCTGTATCTCCCCATCCGTTCGACCCTCTGTCGCCCGTGGAGATTTCGAGGGTAGGTCAATCATCAATTCAATAATCTTCAATCTTAGAAATGTTAAGCTGAGAAATCTAGGCTTCACGTATCGTGCGCCCCCACTTTGGCGACCATGACCCCAACTTCCGCGTCATCACTCTTCTCGAGCCTGCCAAGAAGGAAATGACCCCTTATCTCGAAAAAGAGCATCTCAATCAACCCATTGATCATATGCCAACTCGCTATGCTCGCGTGGAGGCATCCATCAAAGCTGAAACTGAAGGGAATCACCTTTTTGAGCTCATCGTCGATCTTGACACTGATAAAGTTGTCAAGAAGCAGCACGTCAAGGGAAAGCATTCTTACATCGATACCGATTACATGAAATCTGTCGAAGCTGCTTGTCTCGCCAATGAAGAGGTCCAGGCTCTGATAAAGACTCTTGATCTCCCTGTAGGAGCGACTGTTGTCGTTGAACCGTGGGCTTATGCCACGGATGGAATGAATGATATGACTCATCGAGTTAGCATGGTAGGCTTTTCTTGGCTTCGTGGGTGTTTGGTATACTGAATCTGAACAGTGCTGGTTCTATCTGCGACTGTTAGAGAACCCTAATGCGAACTACTACGCTTACCCTTTGGATATATGCGCCGAAGTCTCCGAGTCTCTTGGGGTCATGAAAGTTTACCGTCTACCAACAACACCAGACGAAAGAGCGAACAATGAGAAAAGGCCATTTGATCACCGACGAGTGCACTCTACTGCTGCAAGCGAATATCATCCCGACTTACGACCAAGCCCCAGGACTACTACCAAACCGCTTCATGTTACTCAGCCCGATGGTCCGTCGTTCCATATCCAAGGCAATCGTCTAACCTGGGAGAAATGGGATCTCCGAGTTGGCTTCAACTACCGAGAAGGTCTCACTCTTCATGACGTTCGATATGATGGGCGAAGTCTCTTTTATCGCCTTTCGTTGGCTGAGATGTTCGTACCGTACGGCGATCCACGAGCCCCATACCCACGAAAGGCTGCATTCGACCTCGGCAACGATGGCGCTGGTATCAATGCCAATAACCTCCAGCTTGGTTGTGATTGCCTTGGAACGATCAAGTACTTCAACGCTTACCATAACACGTCCTCGGGTGAACCTCTGAAGTTACCCAATGTTGTCTGCTGCCATGAACAGGACGACGGAATTCTGTGGAAGCATACCAACTTCCGCACGAATGTTCCGGTCGTAACTCGTTCTCGAATTCTGGTCCTGCAGACTATAATCACTGTTAGCAACTATGAATACATCTTCGCCTGGCACTTCAGCCAAGATGCTTCCATCTTCTACGAGGTTCGGGCAACAGGTATTCTCTCCACTGCGCCAACCTCTGTAGATCACAAGGGGACGTATCCTTATGGAACTATCGTGGCACCTGGTGTTCTAGCGCCATATCATCAGCATCTTTTCAGTCTTCGCATCGATCCCGCAATTGACGGCCATACCAACTCACTCGTGGTCGAAGAGTCCAAGCCACTTCCCATCGACGATCCAGCCGTGCACAACCCCTTCAGCGTAGGCTATGTTACCGAGAGTCAGACCGTGGAAGAAGAAGGAGGCTTCGATCTTGACTTTACAAAAGCGCGCACCTTTAAATTCGTCAACGAGAACAAAATCAACCCCATCACCGGTACGCCAGTCGGCTTCAAGCTCATGCCGTTCTACAGCCAGATGCTTCTCGCGCACCCTGACTCCTTCCATGCCAAGCGCTCAGAGTTTGCGGAACATGCGGTCTGGGTGACCAGGTATGAAGACAACGATCATTTCCCTGCGGGTAAATACACGATGCAATCAGCCGGTGGTGACGGCTTGGCGTCTGTAATTACGAAGCGCCGGAATACCGGAGTTGCTCATTCCGTGAGGAATGAGGACATTGTCATCTGGCATACTTTTGGCTCCACTCATAACCCGCGTATTGAAGATTGGCCTGTTATGCCGAGTGAGAAAATGATGGTTGGGTTGAAGCCAGTGAATTTCTTTTCCGGGAATCCAGGGTTGGACGTCGCTCCTTCGACACAGGAGAAAAACAAGAGTGTGCTCTATACAGAAGAGAAAAAGAAAGACTCTGGATGCTGTAGTTCAAAGCTGTAGAGGTAAATCGTGGTTTCATATTGGGTTTGACAGTTCACGATAGAAATTAGAGAACATAGTGTACCATCCTTTGCCAAAGCACGTCAGAAAATCGAGTCACTTCGTTTCAGATGAAGGTCTATTTATCTCATTCCAATTTCAGATCCAATAACTATAGCTGGACTATATGACTGAACTCAACTATTTGACAGTGGAAACGAGTGTTAAGGTGTCGAGTGAAGCCATATACTGTTGATACCCTACACACAAGACCTCAGAATGTTCAGAAGTGGAGAAGCAGAGATTGATTGGATCGTGTACGGCAGCGGAGCGGAAGAATAAAAGCCCCATCTTGAGAAACGACAACTGGCGAATGAAACAAGGAACATCCAGAGCCCTCCAGATCAACAAATGACAACAGCAAATAAAGTAACATAAAGAAGCATATTGCCCAATAAGAAGAGACCTTTCTGAAGGAAGAAAGAGTTTTCATCACCGTGCACCTTGGCTAGTCAGCCTCATCTGAATCTCGCCGAGTCAGCGAAAAACTCTGCACTCGCTAAACAAACCGCTTAGTAACCGTATCCACAGCACGTCTCTATAAAAGTCTGCTCTGTCGCCGACCATTTGGACTTTTCTTCTTTTCTTCTTCATGTCGACAATACTTCAGAGAATCATTTCTATAGTATTCGACCTTCTCTTGGTTCCCTAAAAGAGCCACAGATCCCACCCTGGTTGATGAATGAATATCCTCGATGCCCTAGAGTGAATACCCTTTTTTGGTCCTCTCGATCTGTCCGCAAGGATGGCGGTAGTTGCTCTTTGAGTGGCTGCTGTATAGAGAGATGTTACTCTTGATGATCTCGGCCCTGAGAGCGGTCTGCCTTCGGGCGCGTTTTTGGGGCGGGCATTGATGGACGTCTGACAGGCTTCTTTTTTCGTTGCTTTCTGAGGCTTGCCTTGGATGTGAGGAAGAAATGTGAAAATTATGAACTGTTGAATTTAGGATTGAGTCTTGCATACGCCTTCTACCCCAATCACGTCCAGTTGACAAGATCAAGAGGTATCGGCCCCTGTATAACTGAAGTTGACTGCACTATCCCATGATAAGAGGAACAATCAGATGGCTATCGTGCTGCCCTCCTGTATGAAGATAGTGCCGTCCGACATTCTCATCCTCTGGTTCTATCAAGCGACAAGATTCTGTTTCTGGCAGGCACATATCATGTCTAGAAACATTCAGCGCTATACCCTCTCCAGCAGCAAACACCATCCCAATCGGCCAGATTGGAATCTCGAGACGGACAACTGTACCAGGAGTAATGGGCTGCCGAACGCGGTGGCTGTACAAAACATCTGTCTCGCATGACAGATCATTGGAAGCTATAGGACCACCATCTCCGTCAAGAGAGACGTGGTGTGAGGCTCGAAGGAAACCCTGCGGACCCAAAGTCTTGGCTGTGTTCACATCGGGTACCTGGTCAATAGGAACAGGACAAGGATAGTTGAGATGTGAGAGCTGCCGGCCTTTTTTGTCGATCTTGCGGATCTGCACAACGACGTCAAAGTCATCATGGTCAAGGCACGACATGTGTAACACTGCCTTGGGGTAACCTGCCAGCCCAGTTGCGACGTCAAATATGGTTGTAAAAGTCTAAGGTTTGGTGAGCTTTTGCGCATATTCTCTTGCTAATCAAGACTCACCAATTCATCACTTAAGCTCCTTCCTTCATAAGATTTTATGAATTCCTGATCTGGCATTGACTCCACCAGCTTTCCTGTTGTCCCGTCAAGGTATAGAGTTCGGAGCCTTTGTCGTGCAAGTGGATAACTCTGCTCAGGCCTTTCGACAATCGTCGCGGCAGAACTCCCATCTGCGTCAAAGCCTAGAAGTGAAAGGCGGACCCTAGGCGTTGAAGCCTCCCAGTTGGAGTTTGTGATAGTGCCTGGCTTGCAATAGAAGTCGAAAAACTGTTGAAGTTCATCCGAGACGGACGGTCGAAACATGTCGTACCCTTATAAGTCAACAGTTAATCAGCAATATTCAACCATGAGTATAGTAGAAACTACACGCGATAACATGAGAAAGGCGAAAGAAATTGGTCTTCCTTACACTCTTGAAATGGATGGACTCGAAGCCACTTCTTTTCCGTCTTCGCTTGACGAAAAGTCTGGAAAGAGCCATAGGTGTGCAGCATGCTCGAATACGAAGCAACAACGTACATAGGAATATTATCGATGTTCTCAACAGGAATCCTCTTAGCCTCCCAGTAGTCATCGTACATCGGGCGTTTCTCAAGCATGGCAACCACATTCTCAGCCCCTTCAGGCCCCGCAAAACCGTTTGAGATCATCCGGTGAAAGCCAGGGATATGCGGACGCCCCCCTCTGGCAACATAGTGACGATAAAGATCTGTATAACCTTCCCAAGGAGCGATGGCTCTTAACGCAGGGTGGTGCATTCTCGAAGCAAAGTTGATCTGTGATATGGCCAGCCATGAGTTACCTGCCATGACGACAGAGCCATTACACCAAGATTGTTTAGACAGCCAATCGATGACATCGTAAATGTCCTCTGCTTCTTGAATGCCCCAGCGTGCAATGACTCCTTCGCTATGCCCAGCACCACGAGCATCGATGTTCAAAACACCGTAGCCGCGCTCAGCCCACTCAGCGGGATCCGGAGCCTCGAACTTTTCATAGCCTGATGTGCGGTCGAGAGCGATACCTGCTCGATAAGGTGCCATGAAGTCGTAGTTCTGAGGTCCAGTTCCAGTTTTACCGTACGGACTCCAAGGAAGGATACACGGAACGGGCTGTGTATCTGATGTGTCAGGGCGGAATACATCTGCGTATAGACGGGCACCATCGCGAACCGTGATGGCTTGATCTCGCTCATATATGGTTTGTACACCGAACGGCCTGCGACCGGGGTAGCGGACATGACCTACTTCGAGAACTCGACGATCTGGTTTGAAGCCGTCATAGTTGTAACGGGCATGTTCAGGTGCCGTGGTGATTTCCGATATAATAACATCAGGGAATAGTTCCTGAATCTTTTGAGGCTTGACTGGTTGGTGGGCAGTTGTTGAGTCCATGTTAATTGTCAAGGGTTAAAGTATTTAACAGAAGATTTGATAAGGTGTTACTTAGTAGATACAGATGAGATTGAACGTCAGATGTCTCTAAGCTGGCCATGTTCTTATTCGACTTCTCCGCTCTTAGACAGCCGGACCTGCCGGGTTGGTATAAGGGTTCTCGGCAGTTGCTACTGCATATCTAAGCCGGCTTAAACCCATCTCCCCCATGCCATGACACATAAGGTTAGTTAGCAGACTTGACCAGTTCAAGTTAGAGGCGGAGAAGATCCGCTATCGGGATACCGACGGAATGGGAGATCGGAAGTTCCGTAATTCATAATAATGATTGCTTCTCTCATTGACTTTGAGATAATTCCTCTGAGTTTTCCTAAAACCGAACGACACCATTACTCCCTGCTTTGAAATAATACCCGGCCATCATACGCTCTATATCTTTCATTGCCTGAATATCTTGACACCATGGTTACTTCAAGGGTCGATCCCGCTGGTTAGTGACCTCCAAACCAAAGCCAAAATTGGTGACTAATATCATGAGAAAGATGCGCTGCAGGTTGCTTCAATTACCTTTGACTGGGGAGACAGCCTCGACTCAAAGGTTTGTGTAGTTATTCCATGCAGTACCAACTGTATCTAACCTACCCGCAGGATTGGGATCGCCTGGCCAGCATCGTCGCCTCGGAACTAATTGTATGAGTTCCCGCCCACAAAATACTCAGCCATTCTTCCCGCTAATCTGCCATCCTCAAGGTCGATTATACCGTCGTGACGGGTGAAAAGTGGGATGCCATGCCAGCCAAAGACTTTGTCGCCATGGTTTCAGATCCTGGATTTGTTGGCGACGCTCTTGTTGACACCCAGCATTTCATCGGAGCTTCCAAGTATGAAGCTCTCTCAGATGGTCGCATAGTCGGTACTCACCAGCTCCGAGCGGCCCACCAGCGATACACAGGGCCCGATAAGAAGACTGTTGAGGCGAAGGGTCACTGTCATGCCGTAATGCAACATACCTATGCGAAAGTTGATGGGGAATGGAAATTGGCGGGCTTGAAGCCGACCATGTACTGGACCGAGCACGACTTTTCTAAGATCTTCACGGGAGGCCAGTAAATTGAGCTATAAGCAAGTGATGGTTCGAAATATAGGGCGAGCAAGTTTCTAATCAAAATCGTTCATGCCCTCGATATACAGGAAACCATGTCCGTTGATGATCTTATCTACTGAGAAATGTGAATGCATTTTATGAGCCAAGGCCAAAGACAAACCTGCTTCTCATCTCTTTCATTTCATGCTTTAATCAGGACGATATTTTTTGTTACTGTATTAAGAGAAGAAAGTTGAAGGTGGTCAATTAAATACCGGAGCGAACGTCTGAGCTGCTAATGGCGGTCAAAGCGCATTGCTTATCGTCGCGTAGACTGCAGCATCTAGACTCGGACCAGTGCCCGTTCGCGACAGAAGGCATAACGCGATAGGCAAGTTTGCGCCATGACCTTTCTTTTTGAAACATCAACACCATGAAACTAAGGCTAATGCGCCAAAATAAGGTTCAAGACGGAAATACGACGTCAATGCGCAGGGCTCACATGCTCTCTTCTCATGGCTTATAACTACCGAGACCGGTTTCTAGAAAACTTCCGGAGCTTGATTTCCTCCACGACATTCATTTTGACGTATACAATCATTAATTATGTCTGATATATCCTCATGCGAGTTTAGAGAAAGAAATGGCGATAAGCGGGAGAATAGCAAAGTGTCCATGAAGAGTGTGCTGTTACTGTTGGTCAGTCCGATCTTCGTCCTCACTCGATAGTTGCAGGCTAATGAACTAATATCAGTCGATCAACCTGGTGTACTTCGTTCAAGTCGCCAATGTCGTTGGGTCTGGTGCCTTGACCAGAGACATCGCCGCTGTTGTCGGCGGCTCCAGCGATTCGGTCTGGTACAGTGAAGTCATCGCAATATTGACAGCTCTTCTCGGCATTCCCGCTAGCCAAGCCGCCGATCTCTGGGGTCGCAAGACCATACTCGTTTTCTTAACGATGCTTGGCTTTATCGGATCTCTCATTATCGCCAAAGCTTCATCTTCCGGCACTGTCATCGCTGGATTTGCCGTCTCAGGGATCTCATTCGGTGCGCAGCCGCTTCTCCACGCCATTTCCTCCGAGGTTGTCGCTCGCAAATATCGTCCTTGGGCACAGGGTAGTATCAATGTTGCTGCTTCTCTGGGAGCCATTGTTGGTCTTCTGATCGGCGGTGTGTTGACTAGACACGAGCAACATGGTGGTTTCCGGGCCTACTGGTACATGGTCGCTGGTATATATGCAGTTGCGGCCATTGCATGCCAATTTCTTTACAACCCGCCCCCCAGAGCTTTGGAAATCGTTTTCACAGTATCAGAGAAACTGCGTAACCTAGACTGGATCGGGTACGGCTTCTTAACGCCTGCCCTTGTACTTTTCTGCATGTCTCTCGCCTGGAGCGGGAACCCATATTCATGGACTAATGCCCATGTACTGGTCACATTTGTCATTGGCGTACTTTCGGGAGTAGCCCTAATCATCTATGAGGCATGGATCAAAAAGAACGGCATGTTTCATCATCGTCTCTTCCGCGATCGGAACTTTGCACTCGCTTTGGGTTGCATCTTTGCCGAGGGCATGGCATTCCATTGCGGCAACAACTATTTCGCCTTCGAAGTCAGTGCTCTCTTCGGAACCGACAGTCTTGTAATCGGAGCTCAGTACAGCATGGCGTTTGTAGCTTTGGGAATTTCTGCGATTGTTAGTGGCATATGGTGCTCTATGCGCAAGGCCTTGCGTTTCCCGGTCATTCTAGCCTTCGGCTTCAAGATTCTTTTCATGATCCTCATGGCTACTGTGTCCAAATCCGCACCTCAGGCCCTTATTTGGATATATCCGATATTCCTGGGTCTTGGATTGGGTGTTTGCATGCCAGCATTGATTACAGTAGCTCATTTTGCAACGCCTCGAGAGTTGATCGCCATTACTTCTGGTCTTATGATTTCCATCAGAAGCTTGGGCGGATCTATTGGATTGGCTGTCTTCAACGCCATATTCTCTCATGGCCTCTCAGCCAACATGGGGCACAAGATAGCTCACGCCGTCTTGCCACTCGGTTTCCCCGAAAAGGAGTTGCCTCAACTCATACCCGCTCTTGCCCATAATGATACAGTGGCGCTAAAGAATATTCATGGCATTTCTCCAGAGATAATCCATGCTGGAGTTGATGGTCTTCTGGAAGCTTACCGTGTAAGCTTTCGCGGTGTCTGGTTGACCACCGCGAGTCTATGTGTCGTTGCTAGCATCGGTGAGTGAATATCAAAGACAAGTGAAACCCACCGAGATGTGATTGCTAATCCTTCCTCTTAGCCGGTTTCTTTCTCCGCGACCCCACTGAGAAGTTCACTTCCCAGATCGACGCGCCCATCACGCCGGATACAGAGGTTGTGGAGATCGAGAAGTGGACGAAGGATCCAGACGACTCTGCTTAGGCGGCTATACATTCTGTGAGATGGACATTCCAGAGTTTTAAATTTTAGTACCATAATGCAAGACATTAATTCCATTTCTTATTAATAACGCTTCTCTAACGTTGCACTACCCGTTTAAGGAAACCTCACAAATGGTGCTACGTAAGTTGTCATGTACACCCCCTTCTTCTGAGAGAAGTTGAATGAGACAAACGTATGCTCAGTTGGTGTCTTAATCGTATCATCGATAACATCGTTCCCACTACAGCCGTTAGTAACATGGTCATCTGAAAGATCAGTAGCTACTTACTATGCATCAGACACAATTTTCTTATATGTGCCCTCTGTGCCCCAAGCCCATCCTCTCTTCCGAAAGACTTTCTCCATTGCTTCGGTAGCATCCTTGTCGTTCTTGAAGTACTGGTTCATAGGCACATAGATCTTCACCTCAGGAATGTCCTGGCCAGGCTTGAGTTCCCAGCTAAAGCATGCTCCGCTAACATCTGGCTTGGCTTCCAAGATCTTCTTTGAGAACTTCTCATCAAATTCTTTCTCCTCTGGTTCGTTTATGAGGATATGCCACATATCGCGAAGAATTGATAGACCATCCATTGCCGTTTTGTCTGTCACTTGACCTCCTAGAGTGACGTGCTGTACCACTGCTTCCCAGGTGTTGGACTGGGGTTCGATGTAGATCTTGACTCGAGCGCCTTGTTCGGGACTTATGCAGTCGATACCAATAACCACAGTTAGAGGTGGATCTTGGTACAACTTGCTCTGATAGCGCTCAATCATGTCGATGGCAGGTCCGAATGACGGTCCCAGTGGATCAAGCCGTCGGATGAGGTCAAACCCAGCTCTATCCGAGTTTTGCTTTACTGTCATCCACTTGATCACAGGGTAGAAATATGCCTTCATAGTCTGCTTGTCATCTTTGAGGTCAAAGGCCAGAAACACCTTGGGGATGCGAATAGTATCCTTCGGCATCTTCCCCGCCAGAATCACAGCATCTTCCTCCGATGGATAGAACTCAGAGGCAAATTGGTTGAACCAGCGGAGATCAGCACCTGTCTTCTCAGCAAGTCTTGGGATGGGATCTTCAGTGACACCATCTGAACCTGGAAATACTGGCTCATAGCAGAAGCGCACATACGACTTGCCGCTGTCACTATTGTTGAGACTGGTTTCGAATGGTGAGCCATTTGGGGTCAGGAGCGATCTTGCGCGGTCCTTTTTAGGCGCTCGACCCATGCTCGGAACGATGTAGCTGTCAAGAAACTCGAGGTGAGCATTCTGTTGCTCAGGAGTGTAATCTCCAACAGATTTGAGAAGGGATATGAGAACCGGTTTGGTGTGCTTCGTCCAGAATGCTATGCCATCTTCCTTGGCCCTGACATCCGAGGTCATATTGCTGGTGATTCGGTCAGTGTATGAGGCATGGTCAGTTTTCTTGTCACACCTGTCTCCTGTGCTTTGAAGCGCTTCTTCCTGGTCCGTTGGTGCTATAGGCATTTTGTAGGGAAGAGGCTCTAATGTCGATGCCACTTTGGGAGGAACCGGGATCTCGGCACCCAGATTGGGTGACATTTGAAGATTATTAGGGCTGCCAGCCTTGCTGGAGATGATCTAGTCACTGCTGTGATGATGCTCTGTCCGAGACAGCCGTAGGGGTTGATATCTGACGGCGGGGCAGTGAATAACCCTTGACAGTGAGAAGAATAGGCAACAGTCCACTGAATTTTAGCGCGCAGCCACGCGCAGCTTTTATAGCTCTGACCTTTCAGTTCTTCCTTGACTCGGACAAGGCGGTTCAGACATATCACAGGTCAATTGGTGCCTCAACTCTGATTCGCAAATCTCATTGTTTACGCATATTTCTTGTCAGTCATGGAGAACTTCGACAAGCGATTCACCACCAGTGATGGTGATACTTATGCTTACGACTACATTCCCGCCAAAGACAACAAAGAATCATTTCTCTTCATTCACGGTTGCCCGTCTTCGCGCTACGACTGGCGATATCAATTTAAGGATCTCTCAGAAGCGGGTTATGGAGTCATTGCCCCAGATTGTCTCGGCTATGGCGATTCTGACAAACGCGCTGACCTTGAAGCTTACAATTTGAAGCGTCTCAGTGGGCACTTTATAGAATTGATAGATCACGAAAAGATTGACAAAGTCATTGGCGTCTCGCATGACTGGGGATCTATGGTCATGTCCCGAGTTGTTGTTTGGCATCCTGAGAGATTTCTCAAGCTGGTGTTCATGTCGGCGGGCTATACAGCGCCAGGAGTCTTCTTTGACATTGATGGACTGAATGTCTGGAGCCAGAAGGAGCTTGGTTATATGCAGTTGGGTTATTGGTATTTCTTCAACTCATATGATGCCGAACGAGTTATCCTGGACCATGTGTGTGCTTGTCCCAGTGTCCTATCGAACTAATTCACTGACTTCTCACAGCTGGAGTCATTCTTCCACCTCGCGTATGCCGACGATAATGCCCTCTGGATAACAGGCCTTGCAGCAATAAACGGAACTCGAGAGTGGCTTACTTCCGACAAGACATGCCCTTTACCTCCATTTCTCACAGAACAGGACAAGACCCGCTGGCTCGAGATAAACAGACGCAAGGACACCATCAAGGGCCTGCTCAACTACTACCGTTCCCTCATGCGTGGAATCCAAGCAGACGATGAGGATCCACTGACAGATGATCAACGGACGCTCAAAGTTCCTGTCCTCGGCATCTGCGGTGGTGGAGATATGGTAACACGAGCGGATCAAATTGGGAGGGGTATCACACCATACGCAAGCAAGGGCTACAAAGAAGTGGTTCTCGAAGGAGCGGGACACTGGATCATGCTTGAGAGACGTGCCGAAGTGACGAATGCCTTGCTGGAATTTGTCCGTAAGGATTCATCCTGAGCTGCTAGGCTACAGTAATGGTTACCATTGCATCATGTAGATAGTTAGGGGAGGAGTAAGCGGGAATTACAAAAGTACCAAATTATCTTGGAAACTTGACTTGCATGATCCTACATCAAGATCACAAGTTTGAGGGATTAGATTGCAATATGCATATGCGTCGCTGCATTCATCCTCTTCTGATGTTCTCTGCCAAGGTTTTTATTCTGCTGCCTTGTCGTATGCGGGGTGAAGGATCAACGTCCATGTTTTATCTATGCGGGGTATCAGTATTGTGAGCGGGGGATAACTCGTAGTAAAGTGAAATCAGGATCGTAAAATATGTCATTGGAGGGGTTAATGAGGACTAGGGAAGAGGAGTTGATCCTTTGAACTTTCAAGGTGTTCATGCATGTCCAAGAGTCGGTCTCCTGAGAAATTTGGCTCTCTGGTCCATCGTATTTGGGCGTGTCTGACTATCGGAGTTAACAATCCCGTCACTCATTACTCTGTTGAGCGTTGATTTAGACTCAACTAGTTTCTTACTGCAGTTCCCTCTACATACATGCCGAGACCTATCTATACCATTTCAAGCATGGTCCCTCTTCTTCAACGTAATGAGGAATCGTCCGCATGGCTCGTCAATCGTAACCTTGCGAACATTCTCCGGTCTCTTCTCCAACCTCTCAAAGTCGTAATCCATAAGTAAATGCGTCAGTGTAAGCTTCAACAAGTTGCTCGTAAAGAACCTTCCAGGACAGGCTCCTCTTCCAAGCCCAAAGTTCAAGAAATCAGGCGAAATATCCGTCATCTTAGGATGTTCCGGATCTTCCATTGATCGACGAGGATTAAACCCGCCAGGGTATGTCCTATCGTCTCTCTGATAGGCCTTGATAGGTGCAGCAAGGATGGCACCCTGCGGCACATGGATGCCGTTGGAGAAAGTGAAGCCGCCCTGTTTACCCACGGCTCGCTCAATGCCCGTCTCACCAATTGGGTTGTAGCGAATGCTCTCCCGGATGAGAGAGTCCATTAGTGGCAGCCTTTGGAAGAATTCATGTGAAAATGCATCGCCTTTTGTCATTTCCTGGCTTATCTCGGCACGCAAGTCGCTAATCATGGCTTCGTAGTCGCCTGCGGGGAGTGAGATGAGGTCATATACCAAATTGGTCATTGTGACGAGGTTAGTGTATGATTGGACAAAGTTTAGAACCATCATTCTGGCGACGATGACCATTGGTTCGTATTCTGATGGTCCGTTGGGGTCTTTTTTGGCAGCTAGGATGATGGCGCTCAGCATGTCATTCTAGGGATATCAGCCGCTGTCAAAAATAACTGGCAGATCTCAAAACTTACAGGTAGATCTGGTTCAATGTCTTTTTCTTCGGCAGCATCAATAATAGCCATGCGCTCTTTCAGCACGGGCCTCGCGTGCTTGGCAGCTGTCTCAATGCATCGCATCAACGGACGACACATGTAAGGCAACAGAAGCCTGTGGAATGTCAGCAACCTATCACTTCAATTGGCAAGTAATCGTTGTCTTGGGGCTGCTTACGGGCGAAGAAATGGTGGGATAAAGCGGGCGTACAGCGCTGACGCAAAGAATGTGGCGGCGTATTCAGCGGTAGCGTCTCTGTACTCTTTGTTGTCACACAAAGGCTGACCTGAGATAATACGGTTGGCAGATCTGCTTAGAATAGCACTCGCTATATCCCACATATTGATCTGCACAACACCATTGGAGTCAACCTTTGAGGCGACATTGTCATCAAGGGCGGCTTTCATCTCCTCATTCACCATGGGCATCTTGTCTGCGAGCTTTTGGTAGAGCTCTCTATGAACGACATTCCTGTAGACAGGATGAATGACGATATGAGCACCAAGAGTAGTGTAGTCAGGTACAAGGGCTTGAAGAGTGTATCTCTTGAGAGAAATGTCATTCTCAGGTTGTTTGACGTATTCATTCAAGAGCTGCTTTGGCACCATGAGCATAAAGCCTGTGCTGCAGTGAGGAATGGGAACCAGCTGAATACCGCCATGGCCAGCTTCAAGTATCTAATGTCATTAGTGTTGGACCCCAAAAAAGGTAAATGGTATAAACTTACCTTGCGATGAGTCTCCTTGAAATACTCTCGAGACTTGAGGGCAACTTCATATGATGCTTTCATGAAGGTACCAACACCTTTCTTATCACCAGCCCAGTTGAACTTATGGTAATCCTTGGAGAGGGCCGCCTGGAAGGCAGGCTGCATAAGGTGTAGCAGCCATGCGGTAGTGGTACCAATGATAGTGTAAACAACGATCCGAGGCAGAAAGGCCTGGATGGTGGTAGCAAGATCAACAGTCATTGTGAGAAAGCCCAAGAGTGGAAAGAATGATAAATTGTCCCAAAAGTGGAAGTCAAAGCTGCTTGTAAAGGTCTCGCTAAAGTGAGGGATGAAGTCAAGGGTAAAAAAATCTTGGCTGGAGTAAATAGCACGCACAATATCTTGTTAATCCCGCCCCACCTCGAGGATGCGACCGTCACTTTTTAGGATCCAACCCAAAGAATCTGAGTAGCCAATGATTTATGTGAGAATGCTGCCGCCTGATGACGATCGATTTTGTTCTGTATGCAAGAGCCCTATTCAGGGTCGGATCGACCACTTGGAAATAACTCGCCATGATTCAGAGTCTGCCGCGGGACCTCGCTTACATGACGAGAGCGGGCAACCTTGCTCGGAGATATCCTTGTTACAGGGTGTCAATGATTGGAGAATGTTCTTGTCACAGATTCGTTGGGCAATGGAGGGTTAGTGATAACGTGGGAGACTTGGGATGCATCAGTAACATATTTCTGATGTGACTTGCTGATGGCCCTTTGGCCAATGATGGAACAGCTTGGCGAGAAGATTTGGCTCGGAATGGCCGTGAATCACTGGGAAACTGGCTTTCTGATGCCGAAGCCGATACCTGTCAAGGAAAAGGGGAGGAATCATTGGCGGCTGTCCCCGTGAAAGCATGCCAGCCCACCTTTACTTGTGTTTTCTGCTTGTCCTGTATGACGTTTATTTACTGTGTGCCTCTCCTTTGACAATCTTTCCATCGTCTGCTGATCGCATTCCCGGCTCTGCCCAACATCAAATATGTCAAGAACGAATACCTTCTACAGCCTCGGCGTAATGCCTGCATTGATGGGGCTGGGGCATCTGGCTCCAGCGATAGGTGCTATACAAACTGCAACCGGCTCGTATCACTTTCCAGCGAGGCTACTCGGGCTCATTGGTACCATATCAGCTGTTGTCGACTGTAAGTCATACTCTTAACTCTAATAAGCTTCATCTCAAGGACATGTTGCTGACTATTCTCATTTATAGCCATGGACACATACAAGGATCTCTCGTCATCAAACCGACCTGCCAAGTGGATATGGAACCTTTGGGTATATGGTCTCTGGACCATCGTCCTAGCCTGTACTGCAACATTGGATCTTCATACTATACATGATATATATCGTGTCCTACCTCTTGGCTTGGCTTGGGGGATCCCTTGCGTACCACTGTACTCGATCTCGAAGGGGTGGATTCTAAGCAAACCCAAGACTCTGGTAAGCTCGATACTCATCCTGTTTCTACGATATATCCTTAACACTTTTAGCTCTTTGAGGCAAAGTCTTTGGTCGTTGCCTTCTGTATGGCAACTGTTTGTGCCGAAGCCAGTATGGCCTACTGCTGTCGACAAGATGAGTTCCAATGTGCGGACAGAGATTTAAGGGCAAGAAGCTTTTATCTCGCCGTCTTGTATCAATTCTTCCGTGAGACTTCATGCGACATTAGAGATATTCCGGAAGATACTAAGGAGGGTCTCAAAACATTGCCAGTCAAGCTTGGCAAACAGAACACGATACTACTCCTGGCTACGGTAGGCGTTCTAGCCGAATCGATCCTCACCCACGGTATCGACATAACAACGACAGGAATTATCGTGAAAGCTCCACTTATTGCCCGTGCTTTCTTACGAGTTGGTCTGACAATGGCGGCGTATTGGCAAGTCTTAAGGTTCCCTAGGCAAAACTCATGGGCTTGGGGATCTATGTCGCTTCTGGGATTGACTCCAGTGTTATTTGCACAAGCTGCTCTTCGTGACTGAACAACATCAAGGGTTGTATCCTAGAAGTCTCGACAATTCATTGAGCCTGTATGTGAGGATTATGATGCGAACAATCTGGGAGTTTGGGGACGCCCTTAGACATAGATAGCGTTTGAATGGAGTGCAATCTGATCACACATCAAATGTCTCACATGTTTTCATGAAATATCAACATTCTGCACGATGGTCCTTTCATTGAACAAGCAAAACGCCTATCTCATTTGACTTGAGTGTTAAAGCTAACTAGCTAAGCTATCAGCCACGCCTCCCAGCCTAATACAAAAGATCTTCGTCAAAGTTTGGACGCTCTACCAACATGGCTGAGCTGCTCAAGGTATTCCATCAAGTCTGTCCACATCTCCTGCGGTAGCGAGTTGGAAAACCAAGTGTTCCCTTCACAGTCCTTACCGACCACCACAAACACACTAGATATAGCTGAGACAGTATTGTGCCCGGGATCAGAAGCTTGATAATACACAGGATGTCCCCTCTTCCCCTTTCTAGTCTCAGGGCTTACCTCCTGTTCTATCGCTGGGCTAAAGTCCATCTTCTCAGCAAGATTTCCCTTGGTCCAATTTGACATGAACTGGGCAGCCATGTTCGTGCTTCCAAAGACGACAGGCATATTGTTTGTCTTCATAGACTCTAGTGAGAGTTCTGTTGATGCTTTGAGCTGTTCTTCTGTAGTTTGTGATTGTATGGCCTCTCGCACTTGAAGAGCAAGTTTCCCCAGAGGCAGGTCCAATATTTCACTGGCACGACAAAATACAAACGCATTGGTAGGAGAGTTCTGCACGTACGCCTTGTCTGGCAAGAAAACCGATCGGGCTCGACTTCGAGGGTCGACGGCCATGATGGTTGCCAGCTCCCGACTGGTGCCCCGACCTTGATACTTGGCCAGCATGAGGCAAGAAAGAGCGGCGAAGACATCCCCCTCGCTGATGAATGGTTTTCCATTTGTTGTTTCCTCTTCCAGGTGACCTCTAGCTTGCTGCATCATCCTGCTAACTGTATCTTTTGGGATACACAGGGTCCGCGACTGAATGTTGCCGGATCTCCACGATTCGTACAAGCTCCGCAAGCCCCATATTTTGAAACGCCAGCCATCAAGAATCTTATTTGCAAGAACATGACGTTCCCTTGGTGGGGACTTGAGCATGTCGTCAAAAACATCCTTTCGGTATCCTGGCATGGGGATAACAGCTTCTAGCTTCCCAGCCAAGACCTGGCTCCAAGCCTCGAATATGGCAGACAGCCCCATCAGGTCGGTCGTCACATGAGAAAACGTCAAGTTGACAAGAGTCCCGTCAGTGAAAGTCTGGACATGGAGACAGAATTGAGGTATGTCGGAATGAACAAAGTCGTCCATGTTGCGAGGCGTTTCGGGGCGAAGTCCAAGGGCACAGAATTCTTTCGGTCCGGTATGAGTTGAGATCCTTCCCGTGGGTTTGGGTAATCTTGAGGCCAGCGGATGTTCTGACATTGGAGTTTCAAATTTTTCTTGGGTGAAATACACAGCTGGTCGTTCTTCTGAGAATTCTCTCGGAACGTGTATCTCGAGCCCTCCATCTGGCTGCATGCTAGTCAATACTGGGAGATAACTGGAGTGATGAGAGCATACCCTTTGCCGAAATCTTCCACCTAATCTCCGCCACCCGTCCATTTGGAAGAGATTTGAAAGAGCATCGTTCAACTTATGAGGGTTCAATATGTCTTCGAACTGCAAAGTCCATACTAGTACGATTCCCCGCGCGGCTGCAGTGTCGTCAAACAAGTGCACTGGAATGATGTCATCTGACTCAATAATATCCGGTAAAGAACGTTGCTCTTCCTTCTTGGAGAAGGGTAGGTAATTGAGCAAAACCGACATTGTCGCTGAGATCAGAGACGTTGTAAATTGCTGCAATGACGACCATGATGCAGGAGAGATTTGTTGGTCAGTACGAGTTGCCGCCATCATAACAAGCGAGATGCCAAGCTGGATGCTAAGGTAGCATGCAGAGGATTACATACCCTGCTCTTGCTCTGTGTGCGGGGTTTTCAATTCCCCTCCTCTACCCTGGCAAGGCAGCAGTTTAAGGATGAGCTAATCTTTGAAAGGATAAAGCTCCAAGTACAGGCACTTTGGATGTATGACCAACTGAAGGAGCTGGCGGAATCGGGTAAGCGAAGTTGACTAAGTTCAATATGGCAGATGACTTGACTCCGAGGCAGACAGCTCCCTTGCTCTGCTGCGTGGGGGATGATGAGGCAATTCACTGTCATTCTGAATTAACCTGTGAATAGCATCAAGGCTCATCATGTTCGCCCGGCTTCTCTTATTCACGGCCCTGCTTGCTGTGCCTCTGGCTTACTTCCTATCGATGAGGTTGGCCCAGCAGTTATTGCGCTCGACAGTTGGTTCCGGCCAGCTATAGATACCACGCGCAAAAGGAATAGGCAACATGCCTTCATCACGCCGAACACTCTTGTAGACCATTTCTTGGGTATCCAGCCACTCTGGACCAGGTTCTGGAAATACCCTGCGTAAGCCGTTTGCATCCAAGGAGATCGACTGACACTAATATTCATAGCCCATCGTCAGGATTTCACTTTCCAGTTCCTTTGCTCAACCTTCCAGAGAACATGTACATGAATATTCGCTATATCTACAGCGCAATGTTTACGCCAGATGCGTCAGAAACAAAAGCTCGACTTCAAGAAATTGGGCTGGGAGAACCAATGAATTTATTTGGAATACATCGACCGGGCGTTCCATGGATTACTCAAAACACACCAGGCGCCATGATCCCAGTAGAAGTTCTTCCGCCGAACGTCACCTGTGCTGGACCCATCATCTTATCAGGGGCACAAGCTGATCAACAGGATCCCGAAACTGCAGCTTGGCTCAAGAAGGCTCCTACAGTTCTCATCAACCTTGGTAGTAATCTTGCTGTAGGTCTCGAAAAATACAAGAGATGCACAGGTAGCTAATGTTTAGCAGTATGATGAAAGCCGTGCTGAAGTTATGTCAATCGCTATAACGGAGTTACTATCCACCACCGATTACCAGGTCTTGTGGAAGTTCAACAAGCTAGGAAACTTCTCCAGTGATTTCTTGGTGCACTTGAAGCCCTACCTCGACAGCGAGCGGCTGAAAATGCCAAGTTGGCTTATGGCAGACCCCTCGTCACTTCTCGATACTGGCAACATTGTCACTTTGGTGCATCACGGTGGTTCGAACTGCTATCATGAAGCCATTGCGTAAGTAAATATTCAAGACTACTCGACAAGCAATCGTTAACCATTGCAAAGATCCGGTGTTACGCAAGTTATACTCCCCTTATGGGCAGATCTCTACAACTATGCTGCTCTAGCTGAGACAAGTGGTATTGGGGTTTGGGGTTGCAAGGGTACAACGCCCGACTGGACGAGTGAGTGCTTGGTAGATGCTTTCATAAAAGGGATAGATGGTTGTGGTGAGAGCCGTTTGCAGCGACGAGCAAAGTGGCTGGGCGGTAGAATAAAAGCAGGGAATAAGGGGCGTGATGTAGCAGCTGATGAGATTGTCAAATTGGCATACGTGAGATGATTGAGTATTAGGAGACCCTCTGCAAGGGCAAGCAAGTGCAAGGAAAGCTGGATTCTGGTTCCCTTTCTTCACGTCTCCGATATCCTGTAACAACATGTCTTATGATACTAGCAGCGTGTTATTTCAATGTATCCCCTGGAAATATGGCGTTGTTGGACGCCAGCATGAACACTGGGGATGATGTCGAGCCATCGGACCAGCTAAAGCCATAGCACACTGATAGCAACGATCCAGCCCGCAGCCGTGAAGCCATCTCCCATCTTATCGAAATTAACTGTAGAGTATATACCGAGAACACCACTTCCAATAACGACGAGGGGCATGATTGAACATATAACGTAGCATAGCTGGAACCTGGAGGGTCTTTCTGTGGACGCTTCGGCCATTTCAAAAGGACTTGAAAGCCGTTGAGGAGGTGCTCTTAGGTGGGATGGGCGCACGGCGAAGAATTCGACCGTCGTTCAGAGATCTTCCAATGTTAATACTCCCAGTATGAAAGCCATCATCTCGCGGCGGTGGTTTTTGTGAGTCTTCTAGTAACGGTAAGTAACAAGACTAAAAGAGAGTATTGCTTCTTACTAATCCCCGACATCCACAACTGCAATATACCAAGAACCCTCTGGAATCCGACGTCGTCGACTAATTTGAAACGGACCGTAATTATATGGTTAGCATTAATGGGGATAGCTTCTTGACCTTCGAACGCAGCCAACCTATTTGGTACGATTAGCCCGATGCTACTAAGTGAAATCTCCTCGATAAAAGATTTTATATCAATGTGTTTGTCCCTGTCTCGCTGATCTGTGATCATAGAGCTGAATCTCTCGTGAATAGAGTCAAGTACCATCTGATTATATAGAATGCATGCGCCCCAAGCAGGACGCTAGTAAAGTGGTCCGTTTAATTCCCTGTAAGCAATACGCCTGCTATACGCTTGCCGCTACTAATACGCCTCTAATACGCAATACGCCAACCAATAACAGCGTATTGCTTCCACAAGGTTAGACGCAAAAATAGAAGATATAGCAGTAATAAAAGAGTTAAAAAGTGTTAAATATGTGTCTCTCTTCCTGCTTTTAGAAAAATAGTTACTTACAAACCCGAATCGTATTCTTTTGCAGAATGAAAGCCTGTCTTTTTTCTTCTGCGTTCTTCGCAATTGTGGCCTCTGCACTGCCAGATCCAAAGGGTCATGAGTTCCGCGCCGCAGGACCTTATGACAGTAAGCCTGCAATATTAAATTGGAACAGCTGGCCAAAATGCTAACATTGTGTCTCACTACAGGTCGGTCACCGTGCCCAGGCCTCAACGCTCTCGCCAACCACGGTTACCTTCCACGTGATGGCGCAAACATCAATTATAACATGATCAATCATGCAGCCCAAGCCGCTTATCATTTCGAAGATGGCTTCTACATCGATGCCGTCAACATGGTGTTTCAGCTTAATATCTCAACCACAAACCGACCCAACGAAACCTTCCATCTCCGAGACCTGGCTCAACATGACCAGATCGAGGTCGATGGCTCTCTCACTCGAAACGACATTTTCTTCGGCGATGATTTGCACTTCGATGCTACTGTCTTTGATCCCGTCGCACGCGATCTTGGGCTGAATAAGATCAGCCGTAAAGATAAATTTGTTACTATCGAAACAGCGGCGAAAGCAACGAAAAATCGACTCGACCTTGCCAAACGTGTCAATCCGGAGTTTAATGTTTCCGTGCACCAGCATGAGACGGAATATGGCACTACTGCACTCTATCTTCTGACACTGTGGGATGAACACCAGAAGGCAGCACCAAAACATTGGGTTAAAGCATTACTTAGTAAGACGGCTCTCCGACAATTGAGGCTTGATTTTATAGTAACATGAGCTAACGAGTTGTAGGCGAGGACAGGATTGCTTATAGAGAGGGATATAATAAAGGGAAATCGGTCAAGACGAATAAGCAAGTCGGTGCTATGACTCAAGCTGTTCGAGCGGTGGTTGGGTGGAAACCTTAATTGAATATCTATTTGCAGACCTAAGACTGTTATAGGGAAGATAGATAAACTTTGAATGCTATAATTATCTTTGTGATATGTCCTCAAAAGACACTTTACTACTTGCGACTGTTAATCATACTTTGTATGAGAGTAAATCGCGACAAACAATTCTGAATTTCATCTGGTCCCCTTTCTTTTGCCTCAGCCGGTACATCACCCTCTCTCAACGAATTTGCCAGTTCCCGGGCACTTAGCGGCTTATCGAACTGAGCCTTAATATCTGGATCAGCACCTGCGTTTAGTACTAAGTTTACTGCTTCTGTGCTTAGCCTCAGTACTGCAAAACGCAGCGCTGTCATGCCGAAGTATCCTTTGGCCTGGTGATTGATCTGATCTAGGCGAGAGAAGTGGTTTACAAGTCTCTCCAAGACAGGCAGTTGAAGGTTGTCAAGCCGTGCGGGGATCAAGATGTTCGACTTGGAATACTCATATATCATGCTTGCCCTAATAGCAGGGACGAAAGCCGGGAAACCAACCTCTCGGTTAGTAACAAGCGACGCACCATGTCGAAGAAGCCAATCCACAGCTCCTATGGTTTCTCTGTTGTTAAATGTTATTACTGCTCCAAGAGGCGTGCGGGTTTGCCTAGGTCCTCCAGATTGGTTGCCAGCCTCCTCATTAACATTAGCACCATACTCCAGCAAGACATCAGCGATATCAAAGTTGTTGTTTGCAAGTGATAACATGAGAGGGACCACATCTCCCGCTTTGGAGTGGCTATTGGCGAGACGTCGAGCCTCTGAGGTAGGAAGGTTGCTCAATAGGGCGCGCATATAAAGAGGATCGGGATGTGCGCCTGATGCCAGGTGAACAGTATTGGGAAGGCTCCTGATGCTTCAGCCGCGGCAATGGTCGCCTCTGGATTTGTGAGCGACAGCATAGCCTGGCTGAACCAATTATCAGTCAAGCCCTGCATTTGGGTAATGCTTACCCTTACCCCGTTGGAAGAAGACCCAATACCCCTCCTCGTCATTGCGGAATGGCAACCATGAAAGGACTGCTCTCTGCCATCTTGCATTAAATGAACACAACGCATCGATGGACGACACAATATGCACCGCGATAATAGACTATCACTATGAAATCTCTTTCCAAAATTCAGACTCAATGACGTAGCGTGACGTCTTCAGTACGTGCTCATGACGCCCGCATCTCTGATGATATTACCACTCGACTTCCCTTCACATGAACCACATCAGGCCTCACTGTAACACCATCATCATGCCCAAAACAGCCGTCGTCAGCGGCGGAGCCCGCGGTATCGGGCGCACTCTCGCACGGTACTTCCTCGAAAAGCACTACCGCGTCTTCATCCTCGACGTAGACGAGCAGGAACTTACTCACACAACACGCACCCATCTCAAGTCCTACTACGACTCCAAAGCCGTTGACTCAGCCATGTGCGATTTACGCAACACAGATGAGATCTATAATAAGATTCAGCAAGCAGCTAAATTTCTAGATGGCCATATCGACGTTGTCATCAACAATGGCGGTATTGCGTCACCGCATTGGAAAGATGGGAAGACTATGGTTGATAGAGATACGTTGAAAGAGTGGCAGGCGTACATAGAAACAAATCTCACTGCACCGTTTGTGGTGTCGCAGGCTTGCATCCCGTTTATGAAGAATGAGAAGGACACGGGGCCTGTTACGGATGATAGTCATAGCACTGCTGGGCCATGCATCATCAATGTTGGCTCATTCCGTGCAAAGCAGAGTGATCCGAATCAAGAGGGTTATGCTTCTGCAAAGGCTGGCTTGTTGGGACTCACGCACAGTATGGCTGTTAGTCTACAACCGTTCGGCATCAGGGTGAATCTGGTTGCGCCAGGTCGAATCAAGGCTGGCCATGAGTCGAAAGAGGGCGATGAAAAGGGCGTTGAATGGGCGCATTTAAACGAGGATAAGGATGTTGAGGATCATCTTACAAATAGGGCTGGAAGACCTTTGGATATTGCTGAGGCTGTTGAGTACTTGGTCAACGCGGGCTTTGTAACGGGTCAGGACCTCATCGTCGATGGAGGTGCAGTTATGATCAAATAGTTCAAGTACATCCAACAGTCATCACGTTGCAGTCACGGGAGAAATAAAAGTGTTCGTAATCATTCATATTCATATTATACTCATACAGAGCATTAACGTTAAGTATTTCTTTGAGTGGAGTTGTGACTGGTTCATCAGTCAGGGTATAAGATAGGCTTCTTCCAAAGCCGCATTAGTCGGTTGAATCTTTCAGGGATCTCATCCTGCAAGTTCAGTTCAAGTTTGTGAGTGGAGATGTTGTGTCATAGATCAAAAACCGCTTTGATCATCCCATAAAACGCCCCATGTACTGTTTGTTCCTCGCTTAGTCAACACCACTGTCGTCGTCGTCAACAGGAGCCGGCTTCGGTTTGGCCTCTGTAGCTGTAGATAGTCTCAGGGGTCCCAGTGCGGGACCGAGTCTGTGTGCTCCTGGGGCGGGCCACTTGTTGGGGCCGAGAATTTGAGGCTTGTTTCTGTGATGGTGTTAGTATAAGATAGTTGAGTTGGTTGGGGGAAGGGGGTGCGTACGCTTGCTCCTCGATGGCAGCGTCCTTCTTCTTTTGCTCTTCCTTTTGTTGTTTGCGGAGAGCACGACGAGCATCCTTCTCCTTGCGCTCAGCAGCGCGCTTCTCCTTCTCTTCAACGCGCTTCTTGGCCTCAGCGAGCTTTCGCTCCTTCTCCTGGACGTCAGCGCGCTTCTTCTCGTCGGCCTTGCGCTTCTCCTCCAGACGCTTCTTCTCCTCGAGCTTTCGCTCCTCTTCAATACGTCGCTCCTCCTCAAGACGCTTCTCCTCCTCAATTCTCTTCTTCTCCTCGAGACGCTCCCTCTCCTTCTCCTTCTCGCGCTCCTCAGCGGCCTTTCGTCGACTCTCGGCCTTCAGCTTCTTCTCTGCGAGTCGGCGCTTCTCCTCGACCAACTTCTTTTTCTCCTCGAGCTTACGCTTCTCCTCAGCGCGCTTCTTCTCTTCGGCACGTCGCCTGTCCTCGGCTCTCTTCTTCTCATCAAGCTTCTTTTGCTCCTCAAGTCGTTCACGTTCACGCTCCTTCTCCATCTCCTCGATCCTCTTCTTCTCCTCAGCCTTACGCTTCTCCTCTAACCGGATGCGTTCGCGCTCATTTTCCTTCTCGCGTTCCCGCTCTCTCGCCCGTTCCTCGTCTCTCTCACGCTCCTTCTCATACATCTTCAACTTCTCCTTCTCAGGATCTGAACCCGGACCTGGACTCTTGATCTTCATTGAAGCTCGTGCAGATTCATAGTCCTTGTATCGATCCCTTCGGTTGTCGTTGTCTAATTGACTCAAGTGTCGGCTGTGGCGTCGCTCTCTTGCGCGCTCAGGATCAACACTTCTGGTGTATGATCTCTCCTTCTCACCGCGGTCAGAGTCACTGTTCTTGGGGGTAGCTCCCTTGCGCTCGCTGTGAAGTCGTCGGCGCTCTGCTCTCCGAGCCTCCCGCTCCTCATCACGCCGTTTCTCTTCTTCAGGCGCGCGAGGAGTGTGGCTATGCGAGGCCCGTGAGTGCTCTCGACTACTCTTGTGTCGCCTCTCACCGTCCACGCGACTGGACCTCCTCTCGCGCTCGGCATACTCAGGATCGCGATGCCTGATGGAGGCAGAGGTAGAGTGTCTCTTGTCGAGAGTAGGTCGTTCTCTCATAGACCTGCGCTTCTCACGTTCCTTGTCCTCTTCATCACTTCGACCAAGGAACCTCCGTGAGAGGCGACGAGACTCCTTCTCATCGCTTCTCTCTTCTCTCTCCTCACCTTCGCGTCGCTTGTGTCGTCTGTGTCGCGTGCTTGGACTACCTCCTCGACTTCTGTCACGAGTATGGCGGTCTTTCTCAGCACGACCACGCTCCTCATATTCCCTGTGTCGACGACGACGTTCTGATCTTCTCGCCTCCCGCTCCTCGGGTGTCTCGGTTTCAGACCGATGACGCCGAACCTTTCGGTCTGGACGTAGAGTCGGTTCATCCGCCGCCTCCGGGCTGACCTTATCTCTGTTGAGCCATTGTCGCCACGACGACTGACGCTTCTCCTGGACAGGCCTCTCAACAACAGGCCTGTCCAAAGTCGGTCTACCCAGCGTGGGTCTGTTGACCACCAACCTGGGATCGTCTACCTTGTAGGCAGGAGGGGGCTCAATGAAATCGACAGTGTTCTGAGAAGTGTCACTGTCAGACTCTTCATCAGTGAAGACCTCCCAGTCAGATACGTCACGGACGACGGGAGCGGGAGCTTTGGCGGCAGAAATCCCTGGACCTTTGACACGACTCTGATGGGCCATAGCAGTCTGTGAGGCGATGTGTTAATGGGTGAATGATACGATCATGAGTGGGGGTTTATTATTACCTAGGCAACCCAACCCAAGAGACGTAAATAGTGCAGTGTAGAGTTGAAAGATTTCAAGGGGGCTGGCGGGCTTGATGCCTGCTAGATGGGATAGTTAAGGAAGTTTTGGTCACTGACGCGACACGACAAGGCCCGGAAATTACTCTTCAGCCACGTGGGGCGTTTTGTTCAAGGGTCTATGTAAATAAATCGTCACCACTAATTTCTCGGCGTTCCAACGGCCTGTGCGCTATGTTTGGTCTGTTTTGTTTGTTTTTGTTGACCAAGAGACATGAAATATCTCAAGATCAATGTTTTCAGTTTTTCCAACTCAACCTGGACGATGTTGAGTTAAAAATAATGTTGTTTTGAGAAGAGCGGTGAGCATTGACAAGTCATGGGATGTGGCTAGATGGGTCATGAGGTTTGGCTGGAGGGTTATCGAGGGGGGTTGTGGCTGGTGATAACTGAGGAAGAGGGTGTGTGGCTGGGGAAATTGCGCAATTTAAGCTGTCTAACGTGAACAATTCTCGTGTAAATCTCGTGTCCTTGCCTGATATCTGAGAGAGAAAAGAGGCGAAAGCAAAGAAACTGAAACACAGACTCTTATACAATTCTGGAAAAGAGTCGCTAAACTTGTTGAGTGACTCATACTGGAGTCATGCGTTGGTGAAGTTTTGGATCCTGTACGTGTCAAGCCACATCGCTATCTGCGATAGGCTGTTAGATCTGAGCTAAACTTGGAAGTGGAGAAACGGTAACGGACGGGTTAGATCCCGTTTAGCTCCGAGCCGAGGTGAGTCTAAATATCCCTCACCAAATGTTGACAACTGACTGTTTCAGGTTATTGCTTTGTTGTTCATGCCTCTAAGTAAATAACACGATATTATGACTCTGAACGAGACACATCAACAAAGAGGGGTATCTTAGTTGAAGGGGAAAGAGTTGGAGGGTAGCAGAGTTGAAGCAAGATCCATGAGACAAATTCTGCAGCATCAACTCAATGAAACAAGGCAAATGGTTCGACATATGCATGATTGAGACTCGTGACAACTTGCAGCGTCTCTGTTGATCAGTGGTCGCATGAACCGTCCGTCTTCATTGGTGAATGCCAACTTTGACTTCCAGAAGTGAGCACCCGTTCATGCCGTGCATATGCAAGCTTGCACAGACTTATCCACAGCGGGTGCTTTGGGGGGAGCTTCCACACGAGGATTAATCGAGTTCCAGTGGCTTATTGCAATCATTTCAAAAATGAAAGTGAGACTCTTTGTTCCGGGATTCGAACTCGTGAGCTATTGAGAAGGTGCTCCGCGACTGAAGTGAAGTTGGTTGTGCTGCTGAATGCAAAATTTGTGGGTGCAAGCAACGAAATCAATCGTCAACCCTGCGAATTAGTACTTCTAACGTGAATATTTTGGTTAGAAAAACTTCATGAAAGAACAACAAGCACTCTTTACCTCAAGCGATGACCCGTTGCCGTTAATCCGAGGCTTTTGAGTGCACAATTGCCAATCCTGTTGCTCTACAGGGTAGCCTCACACTGGGTGAACGCGTCGCGTCGCGCTAAGGCTTTGCCTGTCTCGGTTTTCACCAGTAAAGTCAATTCACGCCGTTCAAATGGCCCCCAAACTGAGCTCTTATCAGACTTGACACTTTGCAAGAGAACAAGACTTTAAAAGTTGGGTTCTGTGCCCATATAATTGCTATATACTCTTCATTGCTCGACATCGAGGTGAGTAAATAAATGATAATAATTACAAGAAAAGTTCCATCGCGTCGCGTCGCGATTTCACTACCATCAACGCTCTTTACTGAACGTAGCGGCGAACGCGGCTGTTGGAGCCAATGCACTGAGAGTAATAGTCGTTCATCTTCTTGCAAGAAGAGCCAGAAGGGCATGTGGTAGCACCAGTCCAGTTCTTCCCACCGCACTGACCGTACATCTGAGCGGTGGAGGAACCGGCGGAAGAGGTCTCCTCCTTCTCGGGGGTCTCGGATGAAGCATCGGAAGCGGCCTCGATCTCATCGTCGCAGTCGCCGGTAGGGAGGGGCTCCTCCTCGGCCTCCTCCTCGCAGTCGTCGGTAGCGACAGTCTCAGTCTCAGTCTCCTCAGGGATGGCCTCTTGCTCGTTGACAGCCTCAGGAGTGGTCTCGGGGGCGGTTTCGGGGGTGCTCTCGGGAGTAGTCTCAGGTGTAGCGGGAGTGGTCTCGGTGGCATCATCTCCGGACTCAGGGCTCTGAGATGGGGTGGAACCAGAACCAGATCCAGTGTTGGAACCGGAACCGACGTTAGCAGGTCCAACGCTACCAAGGACAAGAGCAGCGACTTCGCTGGCAGAGACGGGGGTGATGATGTTGTCCTTGTTCTTTGCAACAGCGTTGAGACCGCTCTCGCCCTTCATAGAGGGAAGGTCACCGCTGCTGGTAGCAGAGTTGGGCACGCACGCACGGCCAAGAGCAGATTGACAAGCAGAAGCATCGCTCTCATCAGCAATGAAGAGGGTGTTGACGGAAGCAGCCTCCTTAGTAACAGGAGTGTCGACACCGTCAAAAACGTTACCCTCAATGATGGCGTTAGCTCCCTGGTAAGCATCAAAGGCATGGCCCTTCATGTTCTGGAAGTAGTTGTTGGTAGCGTGGAAGTAACCGTTGGTACCAGGCTCACCAAGCTTGGGAGCTCGGCCAGCGACATCGTGGAAGTGGTTGCGGTCAAGAGTGACCTGGTCACCCTCACCGTAGAACATCATAGTCCAGTAGTGGTTGCCGTTGCAAGAGGCGGAAGTGTCGGTGACACCGTCGAATTCGGAGTTGGAGATGGTGAGGCGGGAGCCGTCGTAGTGGGAGACAATGAACATGCGGCCGACCTTGGAGAACTTGCAGTGATCGATCCAGACACCATCGTTAAGACCCTTGAGCTCGAGAGCGTCGCCGCCCCATACGACACCAGGGTTGATGTCGGTGAACTCAATGCCCTGGACAATGACGTTCTTGGATCCCTTCTTGATGGAGAGACCCTTGCCCTTCAGGACAGCCTTTCCGTTGCCTAGAATACTCTTGTTGCTGCCAACGGGAAGGGGCTCAGGGCCAGCAGCGTCGTAGGTGATGGAACTAACGGCAACATTATCATCACCGCCGCAAGAAAGATCACCGAGGTAAAGCTGTCCACCATTGCTGGCACTGCAGCTCTTGCGATCACAGCCAGCACCAGTCTTAACATCTCCAGTAAAGTCAAACTCCTTATCAAGATAAATAACACGAGGAGTATCATCAGCAAGAAGCTTAGCAAGCTCCTCAGCAGAAGAAGGCGTGACAGCCTCTCCCTCACCACCAGTAACACCAGCAGCAAAACCATAGGCCTTGCCCGAAACGCTCTGAGCAGAAGCCGTAGCGGCAACAGCCAAAACGGCAGCAATACTTTGCAGACGCATGTTGAATAGAGAAATGAATGACAAGCCGTGAAGAAAGAATAAACGAATGACTTAGGCCGGCCTAAGATGTAACGAATGAACGAGAGCCAAATGAAGGAAAGTAAGAGCAGTAGCAAAGAAGTAAGAGAAAGTGATGATAGTTGACGATGCTGGGCCCTTTTAGATGGCTTGATTTAAGATGGACTAGGCCGAGATGGTACGTTGAGCCGAATGTCCGACGCGCAGTGTCTCATGCCCATGTCGTAGTGACCCAAACGGCTGATGCCAAGATCATCTTGAAACGGTTACGGAAAAATTATGCTTATCACCCATGCTTATTTAAGAAAAAGTTTGGTTTCGAGCTGTGTTTGTTATTCGTGGAAATAGTTATATAAACGCTGATGAAACAATTAACGATTACCCTCCTTTTATCACCAGAAACTCTTTACTCAATTGAAACGAAGTGTTTTTGAAGACTGGCTGAATAGGCACTGTTCTATCGATAAGCCCGGCTACAGAGTGACTATACGCGTATCTTGACCCGTTTTTGAGTTCTATTGGCTAGCGTACGATCTTCAGCTTCAGGAAACCCTAGCCTGATTGTGGATCTGTTTTGTGCCAAGGATTTTGTTTGTATCAGGTGAAGGGCACAGTAATTTCTGGACTGAATTGCGGATCTATGTTTCCGCAACTCGAGATGGATTTACCGCTTACCGAGGGGGGGCTCTGTTGTATGGTTAAGCGAGCCAATCTCGTCTCCTTTTGGTTCAACAATTGGCCATTCCAGGCTTGGGAAGGGAATGACATTTACCAGGCTGCACAGTGTGTAGAATGTTGCTTCAGGGTGTTATGCCGATATGATCGACAATCTTATCAATCACTTGCAAGAGATTCACACTCCAAGATACTGGGTTGCGATAATTGCAAGGATATGATGGGCCAGGTGCAATCTTTAGTTCAGCGGCGACCATTACCCGACTTGATGATGCTTTGTCATACCTGCTTGAAGGTAATGGAAATTGTATTGGAATGATGACTAATGATATCACGGGACTCATGTGCGATCTTATGCCGTGACTCATCAGCTTTATTCTAGGCCCCGAACCATATCTAAGCTTCAATATGCTATTCAAACGTCTCAAATCACTGAGTTCTGAGAGAAAGATGCGCTTCTAGACCCCATAGAGTGAAGAATGGCCACAACAAATAGCCCTGATGGCTTCTCATCTGGGAGTATACCTGGCCAGGCAAGTCAAACAAAATTAAAGTTTCGCGAGGCTGACATCGACCTCAGCTCCGGTCTCACCTCTCTCGCACAAGGCAAGACGACCGCTCTATTGTGGTGATGACCTGTGGAATCGCAGGTGAGTTGGAGGAAACGTCTCGTTGCACTACTGTTACAAAAACACTTCCGCTGATAAGACTGATCAGGCGCTGGAAAGTCGACTCTTGCCAAAGCTGTCGTGACTCAACTACCAAGCTTCAAGCGTCTTTCTAACGACCAAATCATCTACGAGTCGTATGGTCTTTACAATATTGACTACCCCGCGGAACTGTACAAAGTATACCAAGAAGAAGCAAGCCAGAAGCTCATAGCAGAGCTTGAACGCATCTTGGAAGAGAAGTCCAATGATGTAGTACTAGACCTATCTTTCTACGATAAGGAGTATAGGGATGAGTACAAACATATCGTGGAACGCAACGGCGGCCGCTGGGTACTGGTCTACCTCGATGCTGACCGAGATCTACTCTGGAAACGAATTCAACAACGACGAGCCGAGAGGGATGAATTAGACGCGAAGGATCCTGGAAGAAATGGTGACTCAGCTTTTGATATCGATGACGAGACCTTTGCTATGTATCTGGGCGGATTTGAGCCACCAAGTGGCGAAGGCGAGATTGTGATCAAGGTTGAATGATGGCGGGGGTTTGATGGAGAGAAGTAACTTTACACAGATGTGTTATTTGTTGTTGAGACCTGTGGCTGAAAGCCTGTATTCACCCTCGATTACTAGTTACTTCACACTGTGCTTTATATATTGGGTTTTACGGGTCTTTTCGAAGTCTAGACCTGATCCTCACGGAAAACCCCAAGATAGGTTAACTCAAAAGCCTAAGTATCCTGTTGCTGGATTGTTTGACTCTACCTATACTGATGGGTGCTATAGAAGTCCCTGCAACATGACTTCTTGTAAGGTGGCGAGAGTACGGGATGCCCAATTCCTCAGTTATCATAACAAAGTTCAAATTGGGACAGAGTTTAAATCACTTTCCGATGATGACTTGTATAGTAGAATTATAACGCATAATATGCCAAACAGGATTTTGTGGCTTATCTGAGTCCAATTATGCTTCATCACACTCGCGGGCACGGGATATGAACCCTATTCGAATTCAACGTCGCCCTCCACCTGGATTACACAGACCTTCCATGACGCGGTGAATTTCCTCAGTTTGAAATGAAGCAAAGCGGCTTCAACGAATAGAATGTATTGGTGATTTTATTTAAGCCAGCTCAAATCAGATACGTTGTTGACATGATACGTAATGGGCCAAATCAGTCTCGTTGAACGCCTGCAGTACATAATACCTTCCGTCCCCCACTTCCGCGGTCCCTTTCCTTGACCGTGTCACTTAGAAACCTCGATAAGCCAACATAAGATCATATTACTTCACACTGCTCAATATTCAACAAGATGTCGAACTCCTCATTAGTGAACCCATGCCTGCTTCTAGCATTACCACTAGAGTTGCGTCACTCTATCTACCGATCTTGTATTCCACAAAACGTCCACTTCACAATGAGGGGCAGAACTTACCGACCAGCTGGTGGATCCCCCAAGCATGAGATCGCCAGAAATTCTCATCATTCTATAAAAGAAGAAATGCGCCATGGCTTACCTCGTTGGGCGAACAACATCTTGGTCTGTCGCCAAATCACCCACGAACTTCAGCCCCTGTTCTACGGAAGTAACTTCTTCTAGATCGGTGTATCTCCTCCCTCTACCCGCGGCAAGACCCGCAAGATAATCCTAGTCTTCCAAAACACGAGATCTATCGAGCCGCCCGAGTGCCCCTTCGATGATAAGATGTGGACAAAGCTGTTTAGTCAGCTTCAAATTCTACATCTTGTGATAGAAACGCCCGGACCCCCAAGGATAGAAATAAGGATGAATATACCAACGTTGAGGTTCAGGGTATTTGGAACTTTCCTGAACTGGACCAAGGAGCAGGCATGCCTAACTAATCAAAAGAGCCCCGAAGATAATAAAAAGTGGGAATCAAGAGTAATTTCGAAGCTGGAAACCATTAGTAGGATGCTGCCTCGTACCCTGAGGATCGTGGTTAAAGCAGAGAAGCTAGACCCTATTATTAAAGTGGTTGAAAGGATATTGCCAAACCGCTGCACATTTTGTGGACTTAAAGCTGATCACCGCTACTTTATATTTCAGTAAATGATATGGCTTCTGGGGATATAATAGGATGAGGGGAGGAAACAGGTTTATTCAAGACCTGAGAGATAAGGCTGATGATCACGAGCTTCCCTGGAAGAGTTTGAGGGATGAAATTGCTCTGAAAGTTTACAAAGGCGACTGGCGACTGAGGCCAGTTCTTCGGATTGCAGTGCCTACGACAAGCCTGTGTTCTTTTCACGACCTCAAACAACTGCAGAATTCTACATACGTTACAACTTCTGGGAATATGTGATGACATAGAATGGTGTTGTCAAAGGTGCTAGCCTAACTCCATCGAGCAAGTGGTGTTGACGATGCTTGATTCAGTCATCCCACTACCTGATATACCTACCTTAAGTCGGGAAAACCGAGGAATTTCTAGATTTAGGCCTGAAAATTGAGCAGAAGCGGTCTCAGGATTAGCAAGCGCAGAGGCAACACTGTTAAACATGTTCTATCCTTGAGATTGCTCACTTTCCTATCTGAACTAAGTTCTGTGTGGTGATTATAAGCTCTTAGCGGAACGAGCTATTACAACGATAGGAAAAGCAACACAACCTATTTCAGGTACTTTACTGCTAATTTCAGGAGTATTTCTGACAATGGAATGATCTGCTTTTTGAGAGTCTGACCTGGGAATAGCGTCGTTGCCGGATCCAGCCCGAGTATCAAGTCCCATTCGGGCTTTTCCCGGGCATGCTTTGGAAGACTTCCGCGCCAGTTAGTTGGCTACCCCGCAAGCCATGACTTGCAATCGGATATCGGCAAGATGCCCAGAATCACTATTTATGCATAACTGAGAGACTAGTCCGATGGTCGAAACTCGACAACAGTGGAATTTGTGTTGATACTGAACATCATGGCTGCTCAAAATCCAGACTTCGACGAGCTTCCGCTGGATAAGACTGGCCCTCGAGGTAATGCGTGGGGACTTTGGGGACAAGATGACCAACTTGGGACTCTGAATTATTTGACAGATGAGGTAGTTGGACAAGCAGCCAGGGAGAACATCAAGACCGGGACCAGGCTGTCATTGAAGTAAGTGAGCTTGTGGCAGAAACGCCAGTACACTAGTGCTAACCGACAACGAAGCTGGTCAATGATGGGAGCTTCATACCCCAAGTTCGCTCGGAAGAACCTGGATCTGAAATTGATCAATAAAGCCCCCTTGAAGCATGCTCATGATGACGAAGTAGGTCACCTTGCCCTTCACTTGCCTTCGGGACTTCTAAAGCTGACCTTGATGCGACAGTGGAGATTCAACTCACAATGTAGCTCTCAGTGGGACGGCTTCCGACATTATGCTTATCAGAGTGAAGCAGTAAGTCCACAGCATCCTTCCGTGAGCCAAGGCTAACAGAGTAGTAGTTGTACTACATGGGTCGCAAAGCCGAGGACTTTGCCGCGTCGGACCACCCGAATAGCATCCACCGTATGACCCGATCCAAGAATCAGCGAGTTCCAGACTAATTAGTCACAGATGTTTCAGCCAAAGGCATCGCTGGCCGCGCTGTCTTCATAGACTGGTACTCATGGGCGCTAGCTCAAGGCCTCGAAATTGATGCCATGTCATCATACGAGGTACCCTTTAACCAGATCATGAAAACGTTGGAGTTCCAGAGTATGAGTCTAGATTCCCTGAGAGCTGGAGACATAATCGTAATCCGCTTCGGATATCTGTTTCAATACGAGAATATGGATGCTGCTAAGCGCGAGTATCTCGACAAGCTTTACCAAACGCAAAAGCCTGACAACATTGGTCTCAAGCCATCTGGAGAACTTTTGAGATTCCTATGGAATACCAAGATTGCAGCGATCTGTGGAGACTCGCGGTCGTTGGAAGTCTGGCCATGTAAAGACCTCGAATGGCACTTGCATGAGTGGCTTCTGGCAGGTTGGGGTATGCCTATCGGGGAACTATTCTACCTGGAAGAACTTGCCAAGAAATGTAAGGCGCTGGGGAGATACACTTTCTTCATGTCAAGTTCACCTATGAATGTGGGTTTGTTCCTTGACTACCATTGTCGAAGACGCTAACTGTGGATAGGTACCTGGGGCTGTTGCAAGCCCGCCAAATGCCCTTGCATTCTTCTGAGATGGCGGTTTGCGGTAGAAGGATAATGGAATTACTATATACAGAGGCCCATAGATGCCTTGATAAATACTCATTGGATTCATAAATGCTTGCGATAAGCCGTTTCAGCATCGTATCTCCAAGACCTGTGTGCTTGCTCTCGTGATGTTGCTCTGCTTCCTTAACAGGAAACTTTAATATGACAAATATCAAGGCCTGTTGCGAATAACTATAGGGCCAAGTTCAAAATTACTTGTCTAAAGCGGTAAACCTATCCTCGGGAATTAGGTCTTTTCCCGAGTTCGGAAAATGTCCGATCGATGTCACGTTCCGCTGACACAATGAAACTATTTCCGACCAAGGCAAGGTTTACTCGCTTGACGTGACTCAGGCACAGAAGAACCTAGTCAGTAACCAGAACTGAATCCCCTCTAGCTCAAAAAAGTATATGAAGTGAGATGCGGGGTCCCCATGGGGTTGAGCTCAGGGATCAGTAGCACCGGAGCGCACCCGATGGACAGAGTTCCTTTGATCACCATGATTCAGATCAGTATATATACCATGACCAGCCCCGTGGCAGAGGAAAACCATTGAGAAACGGGCATTCCGTCGTCGATGAGAAGTGACCCCCCCAGCTATGGATCAAAGCACCAACAAGGGCCTTGAGCCGATCAAGGTAGACGACAAGTTTGTCGAGCACGCTTCCGATGCCTACCCAGGCCTTTCACCAGGGGATGCCGAGTTTATGAGGGGGTATGAGGGAAAGACTGGAAAGAAAGTCGTCAAGAAAGTATGTTCATAACATGTGACATTTCAACTTCAACTGACGCGCGCAGATCGACTTTCGACTCCTGCCCATTATGGCCGTTCTATATCTACTTGCGCATATCGACCGAGGAAACATCGGAAATGCGAAAATCGAGGGGATGGACAAGGACCTCGGCCTTGTTGGAAACCAGTACAACATCGCTAGCACCATCTTTTTCGTGCCCTATATCATTTTCGGTAGGTTCTCACAAGAGATCTGGGAGAGATATACTAATCAACTATAGAGGTGCCTTCCAATATTGTCCTCAAGAAGGTCAGAGCGAGCATCTGGCTGTCGTTCTTGGTTATATGTTGGGGAACTGTCATGACCTGCATGGGAGTAGTGCAGAACTTTCAAGGCCTCGTTGCGTGTCGAGTAATTCTCGGAATATTCGAGGTATGTGGCACTCCCTTCTTCTGGTCCACCATGCTGACTCTTAGGCTAGGCAGGCTTCTTCCCAGGTGCCGTCTTCATCGTCTCAAGCTGGTACCCCCGCCATGAACTCCAACAGCGCCTTGCCATTTTCTACACAGCCTCAGCATTCTCGGGTGCCCTCAGTGGCCTGCTGGCATTCGGAATTGCCCGTCTCGATGGTGCTAGAGGTATTGCTGGATGGCGTTGGATCTTTCTCATTGAAGGAGCCGTGACTGTAGCCGCTGGTCTGGTGATGCCATTGCTCATAATTGATACTCCTGAAAGGGCAAAGTGGCTTTCAGATGACGAGAAACGCTATGTAGACCTTCGTCTACGGCTTTCTGGAGTTAGGTCGAACACAGAAGAGGGCGATAAGTTCTCATGGAAGCTGCTCTTCAAGACCATGGTTGATTGGAAGGTTTTGCTCGGCATTTTTCTCGCATGGGCTAATTCTGTCCCTAATGCTGCCTTCAAGTTCACCATGCCACAGATTATTAAGCAGCTTGGATTCTCAACTGCGCAATCACAGCTCTTGACAATGCCTCCATATGTCTGTGGTGGTATTGCTGCATGGTTATCTGGAAGATTCTCGGACCGTTTGTCGTGGCGTATGCCCTTTATTGTTGGACCCATGTCTGTACTCCTTGTCGCCCTGGCTGTTCTTTTCAATTACTCTAAGCACGTGGCGGATAATGTTCCAGCCATGTATGTTGGTGTGATGCTGGCTCAGATCGGTATTTATCCACTGCTCCCTGGTATCAGCGCATGGACAGGCAACAACCTCGCACCATCCTGGAAAAGATCCATTGGTCTTGCTTGGCTTTTGGCTGCAGGAAATCTTGGCAGTAAGTTTGCCCATGGCAGTCTTATTGCCCTCCTCTAACATGATGATAGGCCTCATTGGAACAAACATCTTCCTCGATAGAGAAGGCCCTCAATATCCGACCGGGTATGGGGTCTCACTCGGAATTATCTGCCTGGGTGCTTCCTGCGCTCTGTTCATGGAATTTTGTCTCTGGAAGTCGAACAAAGCACGGGCTCAGCTTTCTGAGGCGGAGATACGTCAGAAGTACTCTCAAGAGGAACTGGATGCTATGGGAGAGCGAAGTCCGTTGTACAAGTACACGCTTTAGTCGTTGAGCAAATGCTGCAGAGGCCTTGGTGATGTTTGACATAGACAATAAAATAGCCACCAATCAAGAGTTGCTGAGTCGATATCTGTCAAGTATTTCGAAATATGCACAATGTAGAAATTCTAAAAACTCCATTTCTATAAAAAAAAATGCGGTACAGTCCCTGTCAATCAGCAACAACAATGACTCAGATATAGCATTTTATGTTATCTCTTAAGACTCTAGCTCTTGAAGCAAGAGACGAACCGGTGTCCAAAGAGAAGTTGGCAGATTCGCAGGGCCAATGCCAATGCCATACTTCCCTGCAACAATATAGCGAGCATAAAGCTGAGTCCAAAATTCCCCAGTGTTTGTACAGGTAGTGACGCTATTGTCATCGTCGTCTTGAGTCATAGAGCACGAGAGCTTCGGCGCTCTACATTGCAGCGAACCACCGTTATCAATTTCGCAGGTGAAGCGCGTTTTCCATGCAGCCTCGAAGTCGTAGCATGCCTGAATGACAGCGTATCTGTTGCCGCTGTCATAGACCGTGCACATTCCATGACCATTTGACAAGAGGTATCCTGTGTCCGGTTCGATTGACAGTATTGCCTCCATGGAGCCACCAGTAGGTGTATTGGCTATCTCCAGAAGACCCCCGGAATTTGGTAAATAGCGGACTGAAGCGTCGGGAATAGGGCCATCCTGGGCTTTAGCTCTGTATACAATGGAGGCTACAGAGGAAGTGGTGGCGGGAGAAGATGTTGTATCCGGAGAAGCTGAGGTTGTAGTGGAGAGAGTCGTAGTGTCGGTCGTGGGTACAGACGATGCCTCAGTAGTCAAGCTGGATGTTGAAAGAACTGTCGAGTCTGACTCGGTAGAATCCGTAGAAATGGTGAAGGAGACGGTGGACAACTCCGATGCCTCGGAGGAGGTCGACTGGGCTGCAGAAACTGACAAAGTGATTGACGATGTTGGGCTGCTTGCCTCAGTGGACGAAGACTCAGTAACGCTAGTGGTGATCGCTCAGCTGCTGGGTTTGCAAGGGTTCGCCATGCAGCCCAGCCCAGCGTCAACAGGATATAAAATCGCATTTTCTTAACGATAGACTAGGGTGACTATGAGGGAAAAGTGGCTGAAGAGATTCAACGGGAGACTCGCTCTTCTGCATCTCCTATTTATTAGGACGAAAAGCAAAGAATTGCTATACGAAAGCCACCCAATCTCTTGAAGGCGCCCCTATTGAATAAATCATCTTGAAACTATCGTGGTCCAGCGACGTCTAGATCCACTAAGTTGCCTTCCATCGACACGCTAAGCCCCCTGAAGCATAAAACGCAGAGCGCTAGCTGAGGGACCAGTAGAAGTTGCAGGGGTTGGGTCGATGTCAGTGACCTTAATTGATACCTTACAAAAAAGCATATCGTATCCTGGTTATCATTGACGTTTGTGAATACTGGATGCACTGAATCCTCTCTTCCTCTTTCGTCATGATATAGGGAATCGAAAGTTGCTGGAATTCCGCAAAACTCCTATTGTCCGTTGTCTTGCATGAAGGATTGGCTAATGCCATTACCCGGAATCCTGTCAGCCCTAAAATGCCGAGATAACCTTTATCCCGCAGCTTGAGCTTTATATAAGGACCATGTGATGAATCTTTATGTTTTCCTAAAAGGCTGTCCTTGCTTGGGTTGTCTTGTGTATGATCTCGCGGGTCAATAGTCCGATCATGGCAAGCCGTATTGTTGTCCTTCTCCTTAGTGTTCATGGAGTCATCGCCTCTAAAGGTCTTGTTGTAGACCTTGGGTATGCGGTTTACCAAGGATCTGTGCAAGAGGTAAGAAGAACTACCATTGATACAGCGACACCGCTGATATGACTGGCGTGAAGGGATCTTCGAATCTGTACAACTTCTCCAACATCAGATATGGTGAACCACCAATAGGTGATCTTCGATTGTGCGTATAGCGCTGCTGGATAATCTGAAATTACCAATCGATCGACAAAAATATACTGACTCGATAGTGCGAAACCTGTTGCCCCTAAAGGACGAAACATCACTATCGACGAAGGCGATGTTGGTCGTATTTGTCCCCAAGCGATGGCCGCCTGGGAAGCATACACTTCGTTCACAGGGCCAGACTTCCTAAGTGGCAAGATCTCAACTCTTACAGAAGACCAGAAACATACACTCAAAGAGCCTTCAGACCTGAAAATTCCGATAGATCCGAGAGAAACCGAGGATTGCCTCTTTCTCGACGTTGTCACGCCTGTTGAGACTTTCAACAGCCCAGTGAAGAAATTAGCGCCTGTGATATTCTGGCTCTCCGGAGGTGGATACACGACTGGCGAGAAGGGATGGTTCGACCCAGCAGGTCTCATCAAGGCGAGCTACGCGTCGAGTCCGGAAGGATTGGTCTTTGTCTCTGCAAATTACCGAGTATGTTGTTGTTAGCTGAAGTTAAGAAAGATCGAACGCTAACAAGTTGCAGCTTGGTGCTCTTGGCTGGCTTGCTGGATCCAAACTGGACGCTGGTAAAGGTGCGATCCCACCCAACACTAGAGATGTTTCGCTAATGAGCCGTTCAGAAACGATGGTAGCCAACGCTGCGCTTTACGATCAGAGACTTGCACTCGAATGGATTCAAGAGAATATTCATCAGTTCGGCGGGGATCCAGATCGTGTGACCATCATGGGCGAGTCAGCTGGAGGTTTGTCTTCTGTTTAGCCCATGGAAGCGAACTTCAATACTGACTGAAACTTGACAGGTGCCAGTATCTATCATCACTTGACAGCTTTTGGGGGCAAGGATAAGACAACACTCTTCCAGCGGGCAATCCCCCAAAGCACTGGCTGGTAAGGCACCCAAAGTCTTGTGCCACCTTTGGCTAACGCACCTTAGGGTTCATATTGCAAATGATAAGCTCGAGAATGATGTTATCGACAAGTTCCTCGCTCTTGCCAGAGTTCAAAATTTGGCAGCGGCTAGAAAGTTGTCAACTGAAGAGGTTCAAGAGGCTAACCGGCTTCTGATCTCAAACTCTGCCTGGGGAACAAGTACTACAGGCCCATTCGTGGATGGACTATACGTACCAGAGAACCCCGATAAGCTCTTTGCAGAGGGAAGGCATATTCAAAATGTGGATCTGTTGGTTGGCTTCAACGAAGACGAGGGACTGATCTTCACATCTCCAGAGTCAAATGACGATGCTGGGTACCGAAAGTTTCTGGAGACAACATACTCGAACGCCAGTCCCGAAACACTTGACCACATCGAGACAAAGCTCTACCCACCAGTCTTTGACGGAAGTTACGGCTATACCAACCAAACGGGCCGTGCATCCATCACCAAGGCCGAATCAGAGTTCACCTGCAAGTACGGATTTCTGCAGGCCGCATATGGTAACAGGGCCAAGAGCTACCGTTTCAACGTCTATCCGGGCCTTCACGGCAGCGAAATGCACTATACCTTCTACAATGGTCTGGAAAGGAATCCGGAGGTCGATGAAGCTATAGCTGTCGGGTTTCAAGAGCTTCTGACGAGCTTTGCAGCGACTGGAAACGCGACTTCGCTAGCCGCTCCTCAGGGGGTGCCAGTTTATGGGGAAGAGAGGCGTATGCTTTACATCAGTAATGAAGGTTTCGGTCTCACGACGGATGAGACTGTTTCAGAACGCTGCAAGTTCTGGCAAAGTGGGATTTATCTATGAGTTTGTAGCTGTCGCAATTCTCATGTCAAGGTTCGGCCGGCTAAGAGATGCTCGCGGCACCCATCTGCTGCTGGCTTCGGTATCGAGACTCGTGAAGGTCGCAGCAGGATTTTCTGCTGTTGGTTGTGGTTGGCAGTTTTCCAAGACAGATTTGGAAATGATGGCATTGGAATAGAGATTTGGCGGCATCGAGAAAACCAAGGTCAGAAGAATTCTTCTTCCTTCAGTGCTGTTTCGTGTTCGGGACTTTAAGCCAAAGTCTGATTAATATTGTTGTTCTCTTTTGTTCTTGTCTAGTGTTCGGTGATGTATGCAGTCTGCTTGTTGTTGTTGTTGTTATTTCTGTTATTATTGCTCGTTACCATATATTCCATGGAGAGGTCCTTGAATCATTAGGTAGTGGGGCTACCATAAGATGGATCCCCACTGGCTTCGAGGCCTGACCCTTTGCCAAAGTTCATCCTGAAACTACATTTTGAATGGAACGGCGCGCTTTTGATATTGGATATCTTCGCATGAAAAGCCACCAAATTCCTCAAATCTGGAGGGAAGTGGTGTATTGACGACTGCCTACCAACACATACACGTCTTTCGCTCTGAGTGAGCCAACCTAAACAAAACATCAAGATCAACGTAAACTTCACCTTCGTCAATCTACAAAGCCCACCCGCGATGCACCATGCCCACGATGTCACTGCTTCGGAACGTCTCTTCACCGACTGAGTGTTGAGAACCCATGGTTTGCGACGCGCCCTCTACTCTGGACATCCCAGCATCTCGATCTCCTGGCTATTCGCTTCCATCACGTCAATAGCCGGTTCCACGCGGCACCACTGAGCGGTATAACTTTGAGAGATCTTGACGAAGAAGAGGTATTTTACGAGGTTCGGGGTCTCGCGAACCGTCCGTCACCTATTGGCAATCATATTTCTGCCCTGAATCTTCTTTGTTTTCCATGAAGTCCCATTGAACTTGGCCGGTAAGTTGACTTTCAATCTAGCTACTGGACTTCTGGTACTGATTCCTATTACTTCGTCAGAGATAACATCTGCTTTTACTTTGCAAAGCGTGGAGTCCACAAGACATCGTGTACCGTCTTCCCGTCGACAAACTATCTCCCACGCAACAGCCTCCCGTCATCGGCTATATGTGCTACATGACTGTCGCACGGGAACGAGAGAGACTCCTCACTCCTCCGCCACATCCCAACCTTGGGTATAACTGGACTGTCAAGCAGAAATACGATCGCCGCCTGGGCCAGACCACTCCAGACAGCTGGTTCGAAGATCCTTACCTTGTCTGCCTACTATTGTCGTTGGCACAAGCGCAGCGGTGCAAAGACAAGTCAGGAAAGCCAGCAATCTTCCCTGTACGTTCGTTTATACTATCTATGGTTTCTTTGCTTACTCTTACAAGGTTCGCTTGTTTGTGACGAAGGACAAGGACAAGACCTTTGCGCATGTCTTCCATGCTGATATCAATGGTCATATGCTTGATGCGCTTGATGAACCGACACTCGACTTGAATGGAGTGGAATGGCCAACAATCACGCACTCGCAGATTCCCTTCGAACCGTATCTGACATTTCCGGATCGCATAATGGCGGAGCTACTTGGGTCGTAAATGGTGGAAAAGGATGTCGACGAAGTGTTGACATCTCAAGCCTAGAAGCGAAAGGACGAGGATGCGGAGGTCCCCTTGCAAATAGTCAAGATCACGATGTAGAATATACCCCTTAACATGGACATGGATACCCTTTGCGCCGGTGGAAAAGGATAATTGAGTGAGTTAATTGACCAACATTGACCTTTAAACTTTTGATCTATTGTTTCTTTCCTCTACTATTTCTCATTCGAATTATAAACAGCCAATCCGTGATTTGAGATAAGAGCAATGAAATTATCTTCGTCATGCTGAACAGTCTAGGCAAGAGTGTTCCGTCCGGGCATCCTTCTCGATTGTTCGGCCCTCGAAAGGCATCCTCCTTTGAACAGAACCAGAACAATTCGTCATCCACACAAGCGAACAAAGAATCAAGATAATGGCATCAACTTAGTCCACTGAAAGGACATCAAAGGTAGGTACTTGAGGATCTCGAATCCTCTTGCCGGTCTAAAACTCTTCTTCACTTCCCTTTGGCAAGAGATGCAAACTCAAGGTTATATACCTCCAAGCCCCTTCCTTTTGCAAAGCCTTAAGGGCTTAATTGCAATAGAAGACTTATTAGTTATTATAGAAGCTTTTTAGGTGGAAGCCTATATTGTGAAAAGGAATATCGTATCCCAATCACCTGTCTTAGCAGCCTAATGTCTAACCTTATGGCCAGCAAGTAGTCATACACCTTTCCTCTGGGAGCAAGAAAACTTCTGACTTTCAACTCAGGTGTCAAGAATAACTAGTCTAAAAGCACCCTGAATCACAATAAGCCTCCCTAAGTCTTTTTATTATTTAGGATAAAGGGCCTAGGCTTTCTTGCCTCCCCTAGCATTCACCCCAGAATTTACAAGATTCCGCTCACCTTCCAGCTACACCATCACTATACAACATCTTTCACGCCCCCATTCACAATCTTGAACTTCAAGCAAGATGGATCCTTTCAATAAACTCCCACCTGAGATTCGAGTTAAGATCCTCGGATCTATTCCCTCCCATGCAACAACCGCGCGACTGATTCGAGCGTCGCCCATCATGCTGGCCCAATATACAACCACAGAGTCGACGAATTTGCTCGAATACTTGTCGATACTCGTCGGTAACGATATCAATGATCATGAGCTTCTCCAAGACGCTCTCGCGGTCATCCATTTCAGCCAAGATTGCGACAAGGACTCAGTCTGCGATCTTGTGCGCAACTGGAAAACCAAGAGTCTCCCATCACCTTTTCCCCGGAGTGATTACGCCATAATCACGAATCTTCGGCTTCTGTTTGAGCGCACGAGCGAGTTCATCGACGATTACCTCAGCAAAGCAACGGCTCAGAATACTGTCGAGGCGTATCTTCAACCCCCGCGCCGTACATACATCGATACCGTTGACCCGCAGCCCATCACTTTACATGACCTTAGCCCCCAAGAGAGACTTCGCCTCTTTCAGGCGTTCATCAAGTTCGAGCTCCTCTGCAAGATATGCAGCCAACGAGTCCAGGGCGCCCTGGCAACGACTTCAATGAAGGGAGCGCCCAAATCAAACAGCTGGGAGAAGGAAGCTTTGGCGTGCGTATACGAGTACATGAAAGCCTCCTATACCGCGATATTTGCGCAGTGCGCAGGGGTACCGACGTTCAAGCGGTACAAGAACACTTGTGACCGTCTGAGGCGGTTCAGGCTCGATAGACCATTCTTTCTCGAAACGATGCTTTTCGACCCCCATTATCCCTTTCTTTGTTATCCGTTTCCCAAGTATTCCGCCATATACCTCGAGGAACTACCTTGGTGCGGGTTTGATGTGTTGTCGCACCTAATGACAGAGGCGAAAAAAGCAAAATGCACACCAGCTTGGATCCTGGACATGTGTTCAAGGTATAAACGGAGGGGCAACGACAGGGTCCAGCCCTTTCTTGATCGAGCCTTGGCGAATATGCCTTCCGGGCAAGAAACAGGTCTATGGGCGTATCTGCCGACAGGCCACTCAAATGGCACGGATACCGAAGCCAACCAAATCACGAGAACGCAGCGCACTATATACCAACAGCGAGCTTGGGTATTCTTCGATGATGCGAGATTGTGCCCTGGTCGAGAAGCCCATTTTCCGACAGCAGAAGAGATGAAAACAGAGATAGAGAAACTGGAAAATGAACGGATGATGGAAACGAGGGAGCAGTGGAAGGAGTACTTTGATAAGAAAAGGCCTAACCCTCCTCGGTACAAGTCCGCAGCGAAATGCGTACGTTATGACGAAGACATGGAAATGAAAGAAGACAGGGAGATTTATCTCGGGCATTTGGCCGCTCCACCATTCTTTGCATTACATTAGGCGAGATGTCGTGAAAGAATTGGAAGGGCTGCAGATATGTCTCGGGGTTTGACTAAGAGATCTTTGGGGAATTAACGAATACTCTTTGAGGGCATGCCTTGTGGAGCAAGAAAACTTAGGACCTTGACACAAGATACTATAATAAACTCGTCAGAAAGACTCATAAACTTATGCTGGTTTACCTAAACCTTTTTATCCCTTAGGATCGAGGTCCCAAGATTTCTTGCCTCCCTTAGACATGGCAAGAACCGCATCAGGATGTATACAATAGCGGCAGAACCGGGGTCTGTAGAATAATTCGAGATTTCTATAGCGGTTCAACAATGATCAACTACCAATTAATCCAGCACTGGTACCCGAATCACTTCTTCTGTGAGACACCAAATGTAGTCAAATGCGGCCAATCTACCCCAGTCAGTTTTGTATGTCCATCTCGAGGTAGAAAACTCACCAAATGTCGTTCTTTGAGTATTAATTCGCGTGACATCAACTCGCTGGCCAACAGTTAAGGATCTACTCGTAGCATCACCGTAGCAGAAGCCATAGCGCCCAAATACAGGACTCCATTTGGCTCCTTTGTCCACTCTTCTATCCTTGTTGAGTTTTTTCCAGACCGTACCACGATCGTCAGTAGCAGTCTTTCCGGTGTTGTAGTCAACAGTGATACTCTGACATCTGTAACAATTTGCTGTCAACTGCATGCGTACTCCCCCTGCAAAAGTGAGCTCGCCCCAGAAATCTTCGGAGAATGCTTTGGATGCGCCGCGGACAACAATGTTGGGACGGAATTTGGTAATATCCATGGAGTAGCCCTCGTCAAGACGGGATGAAACTTCGTTGTTGGACTCTTCTGTGACGACCAGGTAGTGGGCGAGATCATTGAATGCAAGCCGCTCAGGTGGGTAAGACAAAGGAGGGAGTAGGTTTTTGATCCGCTCAGTGAAAGAGGCTTTCTTCAAAGCGTCTGAGCTGTGAGGAGCCAAGGAACCTAGAACGGCTCTTGACTCGTTCCCGATGTAGACGAGTCGGACTTCATCACCAAGACGGTTAGAAAACCATCGCGACAGCTCATCTCCCAAATCATAGGCTTTGGCCTTGCTGGTATGGAGACTGGTTTCGATCGTCTTTCGACCTTCGACAGCAGGCTTTAGAGGGAAGTCGACGCTATCGTCGGCCTTGTCTCCAGTCCATCTCACTGTGACTTGGCCCTTGTCATAGTCGACTGACGCTACAAATAAAGCGAGTTTCAGATGATATCCAATCAACATTGTCTCATACGAAAGGTTGCCATTTTCATCTCGGCTGACCTTTTGCAGGGAAAAGGTCCTGTCTCCCTCGAAGCCATACGGACCGAGGCACGCTTTGGTCAAAGGACATCCTCGGATACCTTTGACAGGGTAAACGTATAACTTCGGGATATTGTTAGCCGGAACTTTCTTTGTATGAGCTTACTCACTTGAGTGACTTCCAGTCCAGTTTCCTGTGCCTTGCTGCTTGAGAACAACAGGAAGATAGCTGCTGCAAGGGCGAAAGCACTCAAGGCAATTGATAGAATAGTATAATCGTCCATTCTGTACTTATTTCAACAACTCTGAGAGTTGAAGAGGGGAAGTTATCAAGTGAGCGGAGGGGAATCCGCAGCAGTGATATACAAAGCGTCTCCAGTAGTTTTAGTGACATTCAATATGACGTGCGGCTGTCGAGAGCTAAACTCCAACAGGTAAATTGATAACCCACTGTTGAGGAATCATGGCATCGCATTGGTTCGGTAGTCGATTGACGCTAGGACGAACAGAGAAAGAAAATGGACCTCAGCTCTAGGGTGAGCATTGAAGTTCTTGAGTCCATCCCAGCTCCACCAAAAAAAAACTTGAGCACCATGGAGATTGTCCGAATTTCAACAATCGCACCGCGTAATTGGTTTAGTGGTAAAATTCTCCGTTGCCATTCGAGCAGCGTCGGGGAGCCCAGGGTTCGATTCCCTGATTACGCATTGGAATGGTTGTAGTAGCCTCTTCGCGCTCTTTTTGTGGTGTTGTGCAAATTCTTTTCACATTGGAGTTTATTCAACCGCGGGACAATGGTTCCACGGCCTTTGCCGGCAAACGTTATGGGCAGTCACGAAAGGCAATGCAATACAATTTAGGTGATTCAAGAATGCAATGTACAACGCATCTACTGGTTGGCATGTGTTGGTTTGGCTATCGAAGAGCCGCAATGAAAGTGTTACTTTTTGCAAGATATTTATTGGGACATTATTTGCAGCGCCTTGCATTAAATCGTAGTATTTCTATGAAAGTTTAAAAAAGAAAAGATTTATAGCGAAAGTAATACATAATCTCATATGAGAGTCCACTCTACAGAGAAGTCTCAAGCTCAAGAGCCTGCTTAATAGCAGGCAGAACCGTACCGTCATTCCAGTTCCAGATCAAACCGCTGTTGTGTCCAGCAAACACAGCACCGGTCCAGTAAGTGTTGCGATATCCCTCAAGCGCAAGGAGATCACGGTAAAAGCCCTGGGCAATATCGTGGCCGGTAACGTGAAGGTAGTAAGGAGCATGGTCCTCAAGCATAGGGAAAGTGACCTTGCCGGCAGCATCAGCTGGGGCACCGCCAACACGAGCCACAGTGGCGAGTTCCTTGCGCATAAGAGCCTTGGCATCCGCGAGGGTGTAGTCAGTGTTGTCGAAAGCAGCACCGATGAGGAAGTCGTTGGGTGAACCAGTTTGGAAGTAGCCGTTGCTGCCAGGGACGAGGGGCACGTTGGCGGGGGTGAGAGCACCGACGTTCTGGAGACCGTTCTCAAGACCGGGAATGTGAGCAACACCGGCAACATAGCCGAAAGCAGAGAACTTGGTGATGAGCTTCCTTTCCTTCTCGCAAAGATCGAACATCTTGGTGTTGGCGCGTGTCTGAGGAATAGCAACGACGAGCTTGCGCGCCCGGAGGGTGATAGTCTTGCCATTCTGCTTGAAGACGACAACAACGCCCTTACCCTCAGCATTTCGTCGAACCTTGACGACCTCGGAGTTGAGATAGATGCTGTCTCCGAGCACCTTGGCGGCAGCTTCATAGATGCTTCGGGTGTCGCCCGATGCGGCAACGAGGAACTCGCTGGAGACACTCTGGAGAAGACCAGGGCCGAACTTCTTGATACCGTAGATGGTGGGGATGGCGGTGATGTTGCCGGGGTACCAGTTCAGCTGACTGATAAGAGGAAGAATGGCGCTGAAGTTATTCTTCTGAGCGAACTCTCCGAAAGGCAAAAGAAGCTCCTGCGGAACAGGGTTGGGGATCAAATAACCCTGGTCGATCCAGGGATATTTGGGGAGGACATTCTGAGCATAAGCTTGAATAGCAGCGGCCATGGCCTCCTTGGTAGCAGCAGCCTGAGCCTGAGACTGAGCAGGAATGGGAATGCCCAGAGTGAAATCATACTGCTTGTTTGTGCTGGTAGTAGCAGAGAAGGGGTTGTTCTTTGCGAGAGCAACACCAAGGCGACCGAGGTACTTCTGCACAGTCTTGGTGTTTTCGAAGAGCGCAACACCGATGTTGGTAGGCCTCTTGGTCACAGGGTTGACATATGTCTGAGCATGGCCGCCAATCTGCTTATCCTTCTCAATAACAGCAACCTTCAAACCATCATCCTTAAGGTTGATGGCAGCGTGGATACCAGAAGATCCACCGCCGATGATCGCAATATCAACGTCGTACTTTGGTGCAGTGCCAGCAGGGACAACAATGGCGGTGGCACATGAGGCCAAAGCGAGGGCAGAGGTGTAGAACTTCATCGTGAAAGGAGGGACTGAGGAGAAAGAGAGTGGTGCGTGAGTGAGGAGCGAGAGGATGGTAGGACAGCTCGGGGTTTTATCGACGGGTGAGAATAACGGTGTCACACAGCATAAGCCATGGCGTATCTGAATAAGCTTTCTTGCTTAGAATGCCGAGGATTCCGTGTGTAAATTCCTCATTTTAAGATGCTTGATTTGGTGCTAGTTTTGCCCGCAAGTTTTGGGACCCATGTCGTCGGCAGTTGGACTGGTTATGCTTCTCAGCGCTCGATTGTTGTTGCTAGTTCGGCACTAGGTTCCCAGCGAAGATGACAGTCAACGCACGCCGCCTTGTACTTGAAATCTTTTAGGCAACACGCCTCTTGAATTGATTCATTCGTATCGTATTTTCTGTTTAATAATTATTGATACTGTTAGCATACTCTGTAGTTCCAATCATCCAGAGAAAAAGAACCTTGCTTGTAGCTCATTCGGCACTTGGTATTGACGTATGTTGGTAATCGAACAAGGTTTAATTACGATCAAGCAATGCCACCTAAAAGCGTCGCCCGCCAAAGTCTATTTATGCCCCTAATCCGTCATCCCGCTTGGTTCCGAGTTTCTGGATCATTTTAACCCCAGATTCGGCATGCTGCCTAGGTTTTAATCCACCAATGTCACATCGGAGTGGCGCTGATGAACCGTCTAGCTGGCGCAAAGTTCAGATGGCTACCAATTCCGCCTAACGGCAACAGTTAATCTCAAACCATCCCCTTTCTATGATCTTTTAATGTTGGAATACCGAATCGGAACGTCGACTAGTCATTTAACCTTCCGTATAAGTAAATGAGTGTAACCCGAGAACGATGATTCAGTACATATGTCTCTCAAAACCCCAGGACTAGTTTTTGCACAGATATACCACCCAGCCCAGATAACCAATACCCATAGAAAAGTGCAAAATACCCGGAAGCGACCTTTTTCCGTCTCCAACTGCAAGAACACTAAGAAGATCGCCGAATTTCATGAAGCTCATGACGGCCATGATGGTAGCGATAGCAATATGGTTATCTTGGAATTGATGTGCTAGGATAAAGATGCCCAAAGATATATCTCTTGCTGCTAGCATATATATCGGCGCGAAGCTGGCGGGATCGTCTGAGGATCCCATGTCTGGAATGCCTTTGAGTTTGTATTGGTTTCTTGGGTTATAGAGGGCGAGTACTCCACCAGCGAGGCTAGTGAAGCCAATGGAGAAAATACAGAACTCGACGAAGAAAGACAAATACATTTTGCTTGACGGTTTCTGGTTTGCTATATTTAAGTTGATGCAAATGGCGCTGGATGCTGGAGTCTTGAGATATTTGTCATAGCAGGGAATGGGTTGTATTCAAAGCTTTTATGTATTCTTGACTTGGGAGGATTCGTTCCGTTTTATCCGTTGAGTGGATTGATGAGCCTCGAGGCTGAGTCCGAAGGATCACTACGCCACCGTTTGGACACAAAACAACGCTCTAAAACTGGATTGAAAATGATATAGGGCGGACTATAGCCAATTGACTTCTCTTCTATTCGATATTCAGTTTCCGATTAGAAAAGTGTCCGGATGGATAGGCAGTTCGCCAACAAGTTTCCGACCGCCCTCTCCATAGTGGTGGGTGACGTAGGTTACAAGGCTGACTGCCTAACCCAAGAGTCCACAGGACACTGCCCAGTGACCTGTCCCCTGTAGATACCAAACGCCTGGTCAATGGGTGCGGCATCAGAGGACCGCGAATAACAGACAAAGGATAGAGAAAACAACCTCATTGAGCAAGTAAAAATTACCATTGAGAACAGCTTTCGCCATAGCTCCTTTGTTTCTCTAGCTGGAAAACGCGGCTACGAAAAAATGTTGGCGAAACAATTGTAGCAACCGTGCTATGAAGGCATGCTTGAAGGAGAGGGCTGATTATCTCCAGCTCATCGCATTCACTCAACTCTAAGGATTTTCTATCCGCCTTCCATGATGTGGACTCCGCCATAGGGAGCAATTGGCATGGCTAGAGTATATAGATTTACAGAGCTCACGTGTCTCACCAGTTGCGGCAGCCTTCATCATTAGTGGAAGCCAGCGCGATCATCACCAAACAACACCTTACGAAATCGGCCTGGGTAAACGCTGATTGGGCTCCTCTAAATAGACTATTATGCTATTGCCTCTGACGAAATAAGGCCTGGAACTATATACAATAAGCTCGGCCACGCATCTGCCCAGGGACGAGACTCGCTTCGGCTAGTGGTTAGAGAATGCCTCAGCGATGTGCAGGAGTCAAGTCGGATTCTTGAAAAGGGTCTCCCATCGGCTAGCGCATCACTGTCGGCGAGAAAAGTGGAACGTTCACAGTTTTCAGGCACGATAATAAATTGACGAGACATCGTGCGCTGTATATAAATACTTGATTCTGGTCGATCCATCAGCAGGTCAGTGCGACTGGAGGTTCGTCGGTGGCAGAAAGGGGAGACTCGCTTCGTGACATTTGATCGAAACTCGTCGTATGTTGATTGTGACAGTATATTTGAAGAGATTGGGAAGGCCACTGTGCCTGATGAACTGTGCAGCCGAAACCAACATTACAGGACTTAGGGGAACCATTTGAGTTCTAAGGACAGCGAGATACGAGAACTACTGATCTTTCCAACAAGTTCCGTCTTGGTGAAAAATACTAACGATCGAAGACGAGAGCAAGACCCGTGGTGGAATATCTTCTTGTGCAACACAACGACCACCGCTTGTTTTGAGCCGTCAGTCAGCCATAGTGCCGTTGATTACGGCCTTGCCACTGAAGTAAAGGCAGATGCAGATGGCAAAGAATTGGTGACGAGGTGACCGAAACGCAGTATAGAAACTAGCGGTTGATGGTCATTGGTAACACTGGCGATAAATATATTTTCTTCTTCAATTGCTTGTGTCCAGTTGGTGTTAGATAGGGTCGACTACGCTTAGGTCTCGAGAGTCCGGAGATTCACTTTCCATTTAACGAGGAGCACCTTGTTCATGACTGGGCAAGCAAGATTCAGAAGAGTCCCTCGAGATATCGAGACCAAGAGCAGGAAAGGATATATCGGTCTCGAGTGCTACATAACTGGTGATGTTTCCGAGGCGCCAGAGTATAGATTGATGACAGCCAGCCATGTAACCATCAATCATTAGTGGGTAACCCTATGAAATGTCCCGTTGGGTTGCTGAACAAAATATCCCGCAGTGTAACATGGACCACGAATATAACTATGTGTAAGACTCAACAAAATTTGCCTCGGTCTAGATTCCTTCGGATTGGTCTGGTAATAAACAATTCTCTCGTCCCTTGTTCTCAAGCCAGGGGTTGACATGCAGGCCAAGGAACGGCCCGGCCGGGGTGGCGTTCCTCAGCCGGCTAAGCTTAACCTCGCTCTTCATCTGGACTTGGCATGAGATCGGGATTCTGTGTTATCCACTTGACATGCACGAACATGGATGAGCATAAGGGAAGTATTCAACTAGAATGGTTGGTCTATAGACAAGAAGCTACCTTATGCAGTACATGAAGAAATAATGGCCATTGGCAGCTACTGCGACTTTAAACTTACATCAACATATCAAGAGAAGAATCAAGAGCACTTGTGATATGACCTTCAATGTCAATTTGAAGATAAGTACTCTCTTAAGTCCCAACCCGGCCATGAAAACACTGAATCCTCCGGACTCTATCACAGAAGCTACTCAAATCAGAGCCTAACCGCAGTAGTACATGTACTGATCCTCCCGGCAAACTGAGCCCTGCGTTAGACCTCTAGTTCTATGCATCACCCTGATCAAGAGACTTACCTCCAGAAGCAATTCGTCCGTTACCATCCAACCAGTACTTGCAGGGTTGGCCGATGGGAACGCGGGTCTCTGTGTTCCTGTACGTGCAAGCCTCCATAGTCGCCTCTTTTGGGTGTATCAGTAAAAGCTGGGTTTGTATAAGACAGCATGGGGAACCTACTGGCGAATCCAGAGTTGGTAACATCATAGATCTTGTTATGGGCGATCCATTCTCCGTTTCCGGTTTGAGCCCAGGCGTTGGTGCCAATGGCAAGGGAGAAGACGGTGAGGAGGGCAGAGACTTGCATGTTGACGATCAGGAAGGGATGGAAAGATGGAGAGTGATTGAAATGTGAATGATGTTTTGCTGAAGTTTGGAGGGTTTGTCGAGGTATTTATACGTTTCTGCCTCTTGTAAGACAGCATGCCTCACGGAAACCTTTCAGTATCAGTTTGGCCTTCGTACATAACTCAGTCACCGAAAATGCATGGATTATTCCGGTACTAGTCCCAATACCGGAGGAGCATCGTGACTTGGACGAAGGAATTTGCGAACTCGAACCATTCGAAGAACGGAAGTATGAACGAAATTTGCATATGCAGTTGGAATCCTTCGGTCAGTCTTGGCATCTTGATTATAAAGGTCCAGGCTGGCTTGGCTCAAGACAAGGGTCGCGGGTCAAAGACCCGAAGCAGACAGAGTATCCACTGCAGCATCGCAACGTAACAACCGCCAAGGCCATTTGTTTGTTGTACAAGGGGGACCCTCGTCGACGGCGGCTGCTTTGAAGCCGCGACTAAGAGATGATGAGAAAGGAGCCATTCTTACACGACCATTGCTTAGTGCTCTTTGAGCTGACCTATAAGTAGCCATGTGGCAAGAGTGTAGAATACGAAGTCTTTCTTCACACCCAGAACCTGACAGTTATTTCTAGACTCATTCCACAGCCATCCCAGGACAGGCACTCTATGTGGTCAGAAACGTCGGGCCGTAAAGTCCGTGGTATAACGAGCTTGAAGGTAGATGGAATCCAGCTTGGTTCATCTGCTTCATTGTCGTCTGCTATCGTCCTGCAAGTCTACATGGAACCATTCGGGAATTCGTAGTGCTACCAAGAGAGTTGCACAACAGGCGTAAACACGGCGGATCCTATGGTAGTAAGTCGACTACGGGGACTACGAGCGCACCAGAAACATTGAGAGAATTCTGTTGCAGAGAGAGAAGACAAACTGGAAGCTATGGAATCACCTAACCATAATGCTTCTAGTTCCATAACGACTACATCAGAAGGCAGGCCAGCCATCACTTGCTGCTGACAAACATACATGTGTCTTTCTCCGTCAGAATATGAGACATGAAGCACTACTCGAGGGAACTCGCAATGTTTTACCAACTTGCCTAGCGAAATGTCATTGCGTAGCATCACACGTACAAATGTGACAAACTTAACAACGATCGCTCCGTGTGTTCAACCCTGCTATGGAAGCATGACTTGCCGCAAAACGCCACCTGGCCTTTAAGCAATGTATTGTAACAAATTGTCCAGGCACAGACCGAAGGCCGTGCAATAATAATCCGCGTTGTAGCTACAGTGCACCAAGGATCATGAAGATAAAGCCGGGAGCTGAGACAATCCATCGCAAAGTACCTAATACCGCCTCTGTCCGCACAGTCTCTACCCTTGGAACAGGAACAGTTGCTCCAGATCCTCTTCCTTGAGATTTTCTACCGCCATGTTGGCGATGTTATCCCACATCAAGAGTTTGGTTTCCACCGCAAAGAGTTCCTTCTTATGCTTGTCGACTTGAATCTGCAGGTTATCCCGTTTCTCAATTGCTTCACGAGCATCTTTGATCATTTCCAGTCTGGCGACGTCCTTCGTCGCATTCACTTTCCGGATCACGGCGCTCGACAGTGTCTGATGCGCACCTGTCATGGCCTTTGTCGCATCCATGTAGGTTTCCATCTTTTCGGTGCGCGCCTTTTCAGCGTCCTGGTACAGATCCTCTGCTTTGCTGAGAGCGTCTCGTGAGTTCTGAAAGATCTGTTCAATGTCTCCAAGCTTCATTTCAGTGAACTTCTTGACGTGTTCGCTCTTGCGGCGTTTTGCATCGCTTGTTGCTGAACCGGACGCGAGACTGCGCTTCGGGGAGTTGCGCTTGGATCGTGAGGTTGACTTTTCCGACATTGCTGAAGACACGATGGTCTTCTTGGGAGGATTGACTTGTTTGAAGTTGTAGACTCTGATTTACGTGTTGGAGTGTCGGCCTTTGAGAATAGATACCCGGACTGGGATTTTGTTAGCTGAAAAAGATGAACGAGTGAATTGGCTTGGGGACATACCGTATTCAGGGGCTGCAAATGAGTTGCAAAGGTCGGAAGGGGAAGATTGATGGGATAGAAAATGATCAAGAAGAGAAAGATGCGATACCAATGCTCCAAATCTTGTGCCATGGAGGGGGGAGATGAAAGAGAGCATGCTGTGAGGGTACAAGAAATCGGCGGGTGGATCGAATGCTTGAAGCCACGGCCGTGACTCACAAATGTTGGACGAATGGACCACTTGCTCATCGAATGAACACTCAACGTTTTCTGATGAAAGTCAAGTCTTGAGACGGGATGTTGGTCCATTGGGGTAAGTGTTTTCATTCGTTTGTGATACTATTCACGACATGCACAAGCTGATTATCATAGACCGGATGATTCTTTAACCTCATTCGGCAATTGGTTACAAATAATACTGTTTTGCTTCTATAAAGAACTTAAAGCATTTACTCTCGTCGCTAAGGCCAGACGCTGCCAATTTCTCAACTGCTGCTCGTTGGGTTTAATGGAGTTACGAGGAACATAAGGTTTTTGCTCAAAACAATTCATTGCTAAACACTGTTTCTTAAGAATATTTTCTGTTGGTCAGCTTACGAGGGTGCAGTGACCTCTACTGTACGGTTATAGCATTCTCTGGCCTGCAGTTCAGGGCTTGTTCTTTGTCGGTGTCAGTCACAATGCGCCTCCTCGACTGAGGAGTGACTTACCTGCATAGCATCCAGTTCCTGTTGTATCGTGGTGAAGCTTGAAGAAGACTTCTCCGTCCATCGTCAAATCATTCAGAGCTTGCAACTTGAACGAGTCAATCCTTCATGAGCTTCGGTGTCCATATGGTTCAAATGGGAATGATGCCGAGACGGCTGCCATTGCAAGGAACAATGCAGCACAGACATATAGAGGGGCAGGCGTGTCGGTGTTAGCTTCACTCGCGACAACGGCTGATACGATTCCCATCACGCGATTGCATGCGACAGCAATAGCACTTCCAGTAGCACGATGAGCACTTGGCAGAACCTCAGGAGTGTAGGCATAAAGAGTGCCGTAGTAGATGTTGATGCAGAAGGCGATCAGACAAGTGAACGTGATGTCCTGCACAGATGTCTTCACAGAAGTATAGGCAAAGAAGAAGGCCATGCTGATCAAAGCACCGATGACCATTGTATACTTGCGGCCAAGCTTGGTGTTGCACATAAAACCCGCAACGACGGGGCCTGGGATACCGCTGATGTTTGTCAGAGCATAGTTACGCCAGATTTCGAACTTTGAGCGATTGAAGACAGCGCCTCTGCTGGCAAGATACGACCTATAATTATGTTAACACTGTTGAAAGGTCAAAGAGGGGAGGGTTCTCATGTTCCAGGTGCATGAACAAAGATGACAACTCACGGAAGGAAGACATAGAAAAGAGGGTACGCAAGACCGATCAGTGTCCAGGACAGAAAGATGCTGGCGGTTGAGATGGTCATCTTCTTGGTGCTGAACAGACCTCGAATATGGATCATCGTCTCGCTTATCGAGAATCGGTTCTTGCTATGTGCCGAAGTGATAGTACCACACGCAGCCAGATCCTGCAAAGTGAGAGAGCAAGTGCGATTGTACTTGGTCGCCAGGTACTGGAATGTCTCAATCACTTCTTCCTCTTTTCCAACACCGAGCAGGTACTTGGGTGTTTCGCGAAGTCTGATGACAGTGACTCGAAGAAGCGATAGAAAGAATACGAGGGCGCCACCCGTGAACATGACGTATCGCCAACCCATGTTGTTACTTTGTGTACAAGTCTCAACATCAACGCAGTTCCAACGATCGGGGACCATGAATCCCCAAGCGATGAAACCCGCAATGGCTTGACCGAAACCCCACCAACAGGCCATCAGAGTTAGAAGCCATTGCTTGTTACTCGGGAGATACTCGAGAAAAACAGCTGTGTCCATGACGAGGTTGCCGCCAGCGCCAAAACTGAGCAGCGCAACGAAAAGTCCCAGAGATGCCCAGTTGGGCATTCCGCCAGCGATGATGCAGCTGATCGAACAGAGAAAAAGCGTAATGTTGAAGGCGTACTTTCTCCCGATAATGTCGGCGCCAAATCCCCAGAAGAGAGCGCCAGTCAACATGCCGACGTAGGCTGCGATGGTCATGCCGTTGGCGTAGCCCTTTTCTCCGAACTCTCGGAAGGCTTGTGTCGCGATGATGGACTGAAAGAGTGTGATCATTGAATCAACAGCGTAACTTCATAAACAGAACAGGTCAGCAGTCAGCGGGTGTTGTAATCTGAAGGGTAATTGAAAGCAAGTCGTGCTTCTTCAAGAGTCCTCACCCAAAGCCGTTTAAGAAGAATAACTTCAGGTGATACGGCGTCCAACCAATTTCGTCAATGGCCTGGCCCAAGTTAGTTTCTTCCCGGTCTCGAAATTTGGTTATGTTCTCACGTCGTTGACGAGTCGCATTTTCTGATTGAAAGCAGGGTCCAGATCCTGAAGGTCAAGAAGATCCTGTTGACTGCCAACCTTGACATCGATAGTACCATAGTGAGGTCCATTCTGCTCCTCCAACCCATCCTGACTCTTTTTCGCAGAAGACATGATGTCGATTTTTGCCTGAATAACTGAAAGATTGAGAAAATGATTAAAAGAGCGCAAGATGATCATGAGAAAAGGAAGTCGCGTGGGCTTTATCTCAGAGACCCGATGATCCTGGACAAATAGAGCATGGTCAGTGTTAATTTACAGGTAACCATCCGAAAAACCTGCTAATTCTTACCTCTAGCTGCATTAAGACCGTACCAAGAGATAATCGCATCCAATGAAAGACGAGGAGTTAATCACGCGCCGAGAATGCCAATGTTTGTGTGGTCATCGCATTTTCGGAAATCGTTACGTGCAGAACATGCCCATCACGTTTATCGTTCGACGTTTCATCCATCGGTGTTTTCTTTCCCTTTGGGGAGCACGTGGGTGCTTGACAATTTCGGCGAATTGAGTTTACAAGTTATCGGCTCTACCGCTGGGCTGAAAATGAGGTATCATTTGGGTTGTCGCCGATAGCCGATGGCCCGCGAAAAAGCTCAATGGTAACCCCAGGGTTGCAACAAGATCGACATCTTCTGCAATTGGGGTTGCATCATTGCACTTTCACGTGTCGCACTCACGAATGAAAGCGATCATGACATATTACCAGGTATTATGCTTCCCTGCCAAGGCGATCACAAGAACTAATTGAGCTCTGCCAAAAGCACTACACTACCGCCTCCTCGCTATTCAGTCACTAATAGAGAGCACCAGTTTTTTGAGTGCAGCAATTACAAACTAATATTCCCTGTATCTAATGGGACAACATAATTGAGACGCTAAAAATTTGAAACCAGTCTATCCGTCGCGTGCTTGTGTTCCTCACTTCCTGTGTCGGTCGTCCTCAGGGCTCTCATACGACGACAACTCCCTATCCTCAATGTCTGCCGTCTTGCGCTCCTTCTGCAAATGCTTAACATACCAAATCATAAAGATAAGCATAACCAAGGCCATTAAAATGGCATCAAAGACATATAAGTAGACCTCATGAGAGATCAGGTATCCCTTGTTTCCTTGGAGATATTCCACCACCCTGAAAATACTTCGGACGAGAATAAGGAAACTCGTGGCATAAAGAACGTAGAGATATCTCGCCCACGGTACATCGCCTCGTAGTGACTCGGTTGTCGGAGATTTGAGTAGTCGGGTATGAAAGAGGATTGAAGTGACGACGAAAAAGCCAAAGACCACGATTTGGACAAACAGACCGGCGATGATGATCTTTTCGCCCAGGTTGTAGAGGTCCAAGGTACCAGCTGACTGGATACCTCCGCCTCCGGCTTGTAGACTGAATGCGATAACGTCTCCGGTGACGAAGATGCGCGTCACCCACTTGACGGGCACAAGAGATAGATGGGCAGCTCCGACGGTTCGAATCAAGCGGCCGAGGATCATGTAAATCGAGGCGGCGAAGAGGGCGGGAGCGACGAGGATGGGAATGGCCTGTAGCACGAAGCCACCAACTGAGAGCTTGTCAAAGTGACTCCATACTCTTCCAGCATATCCGATAGTCTCGACTGAAGTCAAGGTTAGCGATGTCGACAGGGCGATCTGATGAAGTGGTAGACCTACAAAAGCCACCAATGACGAAGGGGGTAAAATAATAAGCGCGAACTCGAATCATTCGCCAAGTATGTAGTACTGAAAGGATTGCGAAAACAGCAACGCTGACAATCGCTGCTGGGAGAGAAGGATCGTAGCGATAAAGCTTGAAGTCAAAGCCTGCAGTTTCAGTGTCGGCCATGATGAAGAGAAGGGAAAATAAACAGTTTAAAGATTAAAGACCCGGCGGATGGAGATTCATGCCAGGAAGGGCGCTCTTTAAAACTATATACATAGACGAAAGCTGGGGACGCTAGTAGGCTATGCCGAGCCGCAGTGGGCTTGCCGGAATGCATGAGTAGGGAGGCCGTAACGGGAACGAAGTTTAACGAGGTCGGAGAATAAACGAGGAGCGAGTTCATCCTGGCCACTTTGCGCAGGGCTGAGCCTCAATTCAGAATTTCAGCGGATCTGACAAGAATCTTCGATCGCATCATGGTTTGCTACCGAGGCCGAGGCCGGGATGGGGATCTCTTTTTCGTATTACGGTAAAGTTTTCTTCCCGCAAAACATGATGCGCTTCAAAAGAGTCAGATCTCTTTTGAAACTTAATTTATGCGATTCATTCTTGCGCTTCAGCCTCGGGGATGCCATGGCAGAGGACAAGCGGGTTTAATGCGGTCGGTGCTTCCCGGCGGTAACTATTCTTGGCCAGGCTTAGTGGAGTACTTTAACCATCATCTCCAATCAGCAGAGATTTCATCAGTCAGGTACCTCGTTCAAGTCCTCGTCCTCGTTTAGGCCTCGTTTAGACCTCGTTCAGCGTGTTGATCTTCAACCTTGGCTCTGTGCAGTAATCGTACAGTAACTTCGTTCCATCCGTCGCCAACAAATTTTCCTTTTTCCCTTCGTTTACCTTACACAAACGATATCTAAAACTTAACTTTAACCTGTCAATCTCGTTCAGCTGCCAGCCTTGTCTCGCTGCTCTCTTATTGGTCGTCATGGACGCCGAGGTTCATGACGTCGTTACAGTGAGAAGTGGATCGAAGCCCAGAAGGCCACACAAGAAAGCAAAGACAGGGTGTCTCGATTGCAGAAGACGGCGCGTCAAGGTGAGTGGCTTGTATGTGGCGGTGCTCATGCCCATCTTGGAACTGATTGATGTTGCAGTGCACCGAGGAGAGGCCTGAATGCCGTGCTTGTCGTCGTCGTGGAGTTGAATGCGAATACCCTTCATTTCAAGGGATAGCATTCCCATCGCCGTCTACACAGCATGGCGACGAAACCTCTCCCGAGTCAACTTCGTCGCAGCCGCTGAGGCAGATTCAGACTCAGAGAATTGCACCTGTTCCAAGTCTGGTCTCAAGTGCATATCAATCAGTTCTTGGGGTGCAGCAACGCGACAGACTATCCGTCACCTATGGAATGGAGGATATGGCTCTGCTTCACCATTGGACAGTCTCGACTAGTCTTGATGTCTATAAGAACTCGGCTTTATCGGCTATCTGCCAGGTCACATTCCCCAAGATCGCATTTAAACATCCATTCGTGATGCAAGCTCTCCTTGGTCTGGCTGCACTGCACATCGCATATCTAGAGCCTCAAGAGAGGCTGAGATACACGGCAGAAGCAGCCAGCTACCATAGTCAAGGTCTGCAGGGCTTCAATGAGGCTATTCCACAGTCGAATGAGGAGATGGCTGATGCATTATTCGTCTGGTCATCTCTCAACCTTCTGTACGTATTTGCGGCGTCAGGTCGCCTGGGCGAAGGCCTTTGGGATGAATCGAGTTGGGGCGGCCGCAAAGATCGCATCTTGGGGTCGGGGTGGGTTCCCATGCTTCGAGGTGTCCAGACCGTACTAACACCGTATTTCTATCCCCTGGCGGACGGTCAGTTGAAAGAAGCCCTAAGTCTAGGGAATTGGGACGATATCGATCCAGATCTGATAGATGATGTGGACGACGAACGTTTCTGTCAGACGAGGGAAGTCTGGAAGGACAATCCTGATGCATCGACGTACGAAGAGACTTTACAAGTCCTTAGAAGAATTAGGATGTTCATGGCCCAGTTCTCAGCCATGGAAGCAGAAACTCCTGGGGATTCGTTATTCAACAGGGCCTGGCAGGGGGCTTTTCTCTTTGTCCCCTTCGCACCTGAGGAATACTTTACGCTGCTGCGTCAGAGACAACCGCCGGCCCTTGTTTTATATGCTTATTACGGTGCTTTGCTGCACTCAGTCAATGATTCCTGGTTCATGGAAGGATGGGGATATGACATTGTGGGGGTAGTGAATGATTTGCTTGGCTCTTATTGGGAACATTGGATATCATGGCCACTTGCAGTGGTTGGTTTGCGAGCAGGGAATATGTAGAATAATTGAGTCTCTAGTGTGCATATTCCTCAAGTAATGAATGATTCGATGATATATGAAGCTAACTCTCCCGACTAAGATTATCTCGTTGTCCGTCATGATTTGCTCCAATTCCACTTTGTTTCCCTTAAAAAGGTTTCTCTTCCACATAGATGTCCTACCCCAGATGTAATATCTACCATGCTGTGAAGCTTAGGCAACCTCAGTAAATGCATGCATGCTGTATCCTTTACCAGCACCCCTTCCATTCAAGATCTCGGTAATTTCAGATGGATGGAACCAGTTGAACAAGATCATAACAAAAAACATGAGACACGCATCAAAGATGTACAAGTAGGCCTCGTGTCGGAGCAGGTAACCGTTGAAGCCCTGCAGATACTCCACGGCCCTGAAGATAGATCGCACCATGATAAGGAAGCTTCCAATGTACAGAGCAAGCATGTGTTTCTGCCAAGGAAGACCGCTTGATGAGCGGGCAGTCGGGTTGGCGCTGATAGCACGATGAAAGGCTATCGCAATGACGATGAACACGCCGAAGAAGAGGAGCTGTACGAAAAGACCGCCAATAATGACATTCGCTCCACCCTTGAGGGCCTCGATGGTACCGGACGCCTGATAACCACCGCCTTGATCAATTAATTAGCATCTTGAATGGCTGGACCAATAAGTATGACTTACCTCCTGCCTGTAGGATAAATGATAAGACATCTCCAGTAACAAAGACCTTGGTCATCCACTTCTTGGAGATCAAAACACGACCTTCGCCGTCTATCATCAGAACAATTCTGCCGAGCTCCATATAAATCGTTGCAGCATAAAGCGCAGGGGCGACGAGAAGGAGAATGCTTTGCATGATGTAAGGGCCAAGAGTCCAATTGGGACTCTCGTTACCAGACTTTGCTCGCGCGGCATATCCAACAACCTGGACTGGAAGAAGGGGCAACATGTCAGACTCAGTGGTGCGCATTGGAGAGGCAGATAAACTTACAAAAACCACCAAGGGTCAGTGGGATGACGAACCAAGATCGTCCTCGAATAAGTTGCCATGAGTGGAGGAGAGTCGTGACTAGAAAAAGAATGGTGAAAATAACAGCACCGGCCACTGTTGGGTCGTAATGATAGAGTTTGAACTCCTCGATTCCATCATCAGAACGTGCGAACATGTTCATTTTCAAAGACTGGATTTCCGATTACAAAAATAGAGAAGTAAGGATTGAAGTTGTTGAAGTACGTAAAAGAACGGCGTCAAAGGAAAGGAAAAGTGATGAGAATGAAAAGGAACTAGGTAAGTAAAGCTAATGAATGATGGTCTAAACCGAAATTATGGTCCAGGAAAATGAAAGTCTTTATACTGAGCTTGACACTATAACTGTCAGAGAATTTAAGGGAGAGAAGAGCACAGCCATACGGCCGAGCCGGAGGACAAATTAAAGGGTCTCCATGCAATGATCACCCACTAGACATTGAGCGAGTCTGCCTTACTGGGTTTTTTATTATTAGACTTAAAAGTGTCCTAAACGAACAATTCCTCAACCAACGGATGGTCAAACGGTTGATTGATCCTGAATCATTAGTGCGGTCAGTGGAATTTCGATGTTATGTTTTGACGCGGTCTGTGTCACCCTCGTTTAACCTCGTTTAACTTCGCTCCCCCAAAGGTGGCCCCCTAAATGCCTCGAAAACCACTTGAGAACTCTTGCTGCCACTCAGCATGATCGAAATATGGGGTTATGAGAAGATTTCTCGGGTCTCTTGATTCGATCTTGATAACAACCCCTGAAGTCCACTCCGTTATATAGCCACACGCGGTCATGCAACAACAGCTCAGCACTTTAGCGCCGAAGAAAATTGATGCTTCTCGTTCAACGATGGACAACACGGAGGCGGGATTTCTCAACAGCCCTGCATCCTCTGTGCACACTGAGGGGGCTTCTCCAATTGACACCTCCCATATTTCAAGGAAACCAACGAGGGTTTCGCATACCAAGTCACGCAAAGGTTGCCAGCAATGCAAGAAACGAAAAGTCAAAGTCAGTATTTGACTTGCCAGCCGAAACACCATATTCTGACATGGCAGTAGTGCGATGAGCAGCGACCTGCGTGCTTCAATTGCAGTAGATTGCAAGAAGAATGCAAATATTTACCGCCACCGCCGAAAAAGGCATATGTCAGAAGATCAAGCTCTCCCAAGCCGACGATTAGCAGCACTGGCGGTATCAATCTCGGGGACCTTGAGCTATTCCACACATATACGACTTCAACATATTCAACCCTGTCGATATTTCCGACATTGCAAGACTTTTGGAGGTTGACGGTTCCGCGGTTGGCTATACATAACAGCTACTTGATGGGCGAGATTCTCGCGCTAGCGGCATTGCACCTTGCTTATCACCGGCCAGAGCAACGGCACGAATATCTTGCAACGGCTTTGACGTACCACCAAGAATCTACGCAACAAGCAATGGGACTATTGAAAGATTTGGATCCTAGGAATGCCGATGGCCTATTCATATTTTCTTCTCTAACTATCATCATTGGTAATACTTCCATATCGGCATTTTACCCACGTTTCTGTACTGACATGGGACAGCAATGGCTACGCCGAAGCGATCACTGCAAGACGGGATACCAGCAGGCGAGGGCGATTTTGAAGATTGGATCTATCTGATACAGGGAACAGCTAAACTCCAAACAACCTTCGAACAAGAGTGTTCCGATAGCTGCCTAACAGCATTGTTCACGTTCACCCGTCAAAGATATGCATTACACAATGCTTTCCATCCCTCGTACGACCGAAGGGACGAAATACTGTGCCAACTAGAAGAGAGGATAAGAAACTGTGTTCCAGAGGGCGAGAAGTTGAATATCTTGGTCGAACGAATCAGCAGCCTGCGATCCGCGGCATGTTACACTCCAAACTGGGAGAGCACTGATTTGTTCTTTTGGCTGTACGCAGGCATCGATGGATTCTTACCGCTCGTGAAAGCTCGCGATCAGGAGGCTTGGGTGGTGCTGGCTCACTTTTGTCTTATGGTGAAGAGAGCAGAGACACAATGGTGGTTGAAAGGTTGGGCGGGTTGTATGATGAGAAAGATTCATATGCAGCTTGATGAAGAGCATAAATCTTGGATTTTGAGACTTTCAGAGGAGATGGGGTGGATTCCACCAGCAACTCAATAATGGAAAGCTTTTCGATTTGTAGTAACGATTTCAACACGCTGGACACTGTACGGGCTTTGTCCTTCTTTCTGTCTCACCGACTTAAAGCTCTACCCCCGGTTAAGATTTCCTACTTCACAGCATATATCTTGAAAGACCCTAAGACTCTGATGTCAGCTTTATATCATGTTTGATCCGGAAATCTCACTTACCCGCCCATTCGTTGAGATCTTGTCCCTTGAGATCAGCTGCCATATTTCCTACGGCCGAGCAACAACCCCCAGCTGAATTATCAATGTATACATTCAGGTCACTTTTCGTATCAGTGATGAGAATATCTACAGATTGTTCCGGTCAGCTAATACTCTTTCTAAGTATAAAACTACCCACCAGTGAAGCCTGCACGCCTCAGGTACTCTTCATACTCCGAGACTTGGCTCGCTCCAGCGATGCATCCTACGTAAAGTGCCATGTTGTTTCTAATATCATCGGAAAGTGGCTTCTTCGCCAGGATATCGGATATGGCGACTCGGCCTCCTAGCTTGAGCAGACGATACATCTCGTTGAAGACTTGTTGCTTGTCATCATGAGGTACCAGATTGATGACACAGTTAGAGATGATGCAATCGGCAATGCCATCCTGCAAGGCTATGTCGGTGATGCGAGACTTGATGAATTTGACGTTTGCCATGTTACGGTCTGCCTTGAGTTTCCTTGCTTTGGCGAGCATGTCCTATTCCGAGTCAGAAGTGGTGGGTTTCTAGCGATACCACTCACCTTATTCATGTCAACACCAATAGCCTTGCCGGTCAGACCGATCATGTTGGCGGAGAGAAAAACATCCAACCCAGCACCGCTTCCCAGGTCAATAACTGTCTCGCCCTAGTACATGTCAGCTCACTCCGGCAACACGGTGACCACGGGACCTACTTCCTTCAGGGAAGCAATCGCCAAAGGCGTGCCGCAGCTCAGTCCCAAGTTAGCATCCTTGGGGACGGATTCGAGGTCCTCATTCGAATAGCCAAAGGCTCTCGCGATATGGGTGCTGTATGTTGCATTGGAACTTTTCGCTGCGCTGCCGTATCGCTCGCCAACTTGGGTATAAATATCCTGGCGGTTCATCTCAGCAGGTCTTGTATTTTCTGAAAGGGGAATCAAGTTATCGAGGAAAGGAAACTCAAGAAAACTATTTAAGTATGGGAGGGTCAAGGTTGTGTTTTATAAGATAGGTCAACACGCTCCTGGGTTCCTGATGAGATGTTGGGGTTCACAGAAGGTATGATTATTCAGCACTACTGAACCAATCAAAGATATCAAGGAAGGCAGCCATCGTGCCAGAAGGGGAAATTCTTCGATATGTCACAGTTTGTAACCACAAGGGGCAAGGAAACGATATGTCACCGTGATGCTCCGCTATCTCCTGCCATTATTCACAATCACTATTTACGGCTCCAAGACTCATTCGCTGGCCAGCATCATGAAATCGAAAGACAAAGCCCCAGGCGTAACAAAATGGACGCTGAACCCCAACCCCACCCGGGTGCGCGATAATCAACGTCGTCATCGTGCGCGTGTCAAGGCCCGTACTGAGTCTCTTGAGGCTCAGTTGGACGCGACCCAGCAAGAGTTACGAGCAGCGCAGGCGCGCATCCATGAGCTCGAGTCTCTTCTTACTTTAAATCATCCCACGCTCATCTCGTCAGGACAAGGCGAAATTCCAGTCGAGCTTGGAGTATCTAATGGCGACTGTGATGAACCAATATGCTTCGGCCATATCCTTACAACCATCAATCAGCTTTCCGGGCAACAAGATCTTAACAATAATGTTGTCGCGCCAATAGTTGAGATACCGACGGCTGTAACACTCTCATCCGATATATTTTCTACGGTTCAGCATTATGATAAAGACGATCGACTACCTCCGGTCGCGGCTGGCGAATCGACAACCCTCTGTCGCGTGGCGTATGAAATCATCGATCAGCATAATATGACTGGCGTTGAGTCATCTGAAATAGAGCATTGTCTCCGACCGGGCTTCAGGCGGGCAACGAGGGGGGGAGAAGGATGCAGAGTTGAGACCAAGATTCTGTACGCGTTAATTGATCGCATTAACCCTGTCTGAATGATGCTCTGCTTGCTCTGCTGGTGGGGTGATCAGGGAGACAGGGTGTGAGACAGGCTACTTGGACTGAAATTTGTGACTCTCCCAGCACCAATGGCTATTCCTCCGGACTCGGAGATCATCCCCGAATAGCTCAGCTGGAAGAGCGTTCGGCTGTAATTGTTAATCTGACACCGAAAGGTCACTTGTTCGATCCAGGTTTCGGGGATTCATTTTTGCTTTTTGTGCAATCTTTCAGTAGAATGCTTCATCAGAATGGCATTTTGCATTTGAGTTTATTTTACATTCTGTCGCCAGGGATAAACAAACTTCCTAAGACAAGGCATGTGCTGCAAGTTGTCTCTGATATGGTTACACGATATGTTACGACGATAACATAAATGTGTGTGGAGCCTATGCCGAGCTGTTAAGCCGCTAATATGGCGAATGGCTCTGATTATGTTTGCCGACCTCATCTGTGGTCAGGGGCACCTGGACCCGCAGTCTCCAGGCTTCAGGGTAAGTTTAACTCGAACCTAATTAACACTTAACAACTATGAATCAGGATGTCATGCTGGATAATGGTGTAGTAACACTGAGAGATGAGTCATAGCATTAATGACACATTTTTATTAAGCACAATGGTATGGCAAGTCCAAGCGGGAACGCTTGCCCTTCCGTCTCTGGTATCTTAAGAGCAGTTAAATCTAAACTCGTTGAAGCTGACATGGGAGTTCTCTTAGTGGCAAACCAGAGGAAGATTAGGTCCGTCCCATTGACCCGGTCTTGTACTCGAAAAGAGGCCAAGACAAAGTTAATTGGAGTTATCTGCTAGATCGTGCGTAGCGCCATATTCCATCATGATGTTATCGTCGACAGCCTCGCTTGGACCTTCCCTCCTTCTATCGCAACATTTGGAGATTTGGGACTTATCCGATAGGAGATAAGGACATGATGAAAAAGCGGATCCACCCCGCGTTGAAGCTGGATAAACAAGCCTCGGCCAAGCACCGATTGGCTCGAGATACAAACCTTGATTGCCTTCGCTTGGACCTTCACAGTCACACTCTCAAGCGGAGGGAAATGACCTACCCCGTGGGGAAGCTGCGATAGCGGCAGGAGGGGGGTTGTGAGTCTTGAGATCGGCATATATAAGTCAGTCATTTGTCGCCATGAAGACTGACTTTCTTCCATCCAGCGATTCAATTCATCAACAATGGCCGACAACAAGAATGCAGTTTCTCCCTCTGACAGGGCTCGATCACCTCAGCCTTCGGTGCGAGCTGCTGATATGAACACGACAAGAGATGTTCCAAGGTGGAAATACATATGGCATCATAGTTTGACGCAGATGATTCTCTTGAGCATCCAGGCTTTCTGTGGTCCTGCCATGTCGGATGCCATTGCTGGTCAGTCACTGTAGCACAGGCTACAAAATAATGATACTGACTGATTCTAGGCCTCGGTGGCGGTGGTCTTGCTACTCCCCAAGTTTCCAACATCTCGACAGCCCTACGATATGCTGCTCTTGCTTTCAGTATGTACACTTCCGAGACGAGTTGGACGAGACTTACACTATACCTCCAGCCTGCTTCATGGGAGGTCCTATCGTGAACAAGATCGGAGTCAAATGGGCTCTCGTCATCGGCTCTATGTCGTTCCCTATTCAAGGCTCCGCATACTACTGCAACAGCAAGTTTGGTAACCAATGGGTTAGTAATCCACCGTGTATCCCCTCTTTAGATAGCTGACAATTCCAAGTATCTCATCCTCAGTGGCGCCATCGGCGGAATCGGTACGGGCTGCTGGTATGTCGCTGAAGCTGGTGCCATCATGACCCTCGCCCCTTCTGGAGCCCGTGGAAAATACCTGGCCCTCTGGATTGTATCTCGAAACCTTGGCCAGCTAGTTGGCGGTGCTATCAAGTACGTACTCTCCATGCTTGGTCACGAAACCTACTGACTTGTTATCGTAAGCTTGTCGAAGAACCACGAGAAGGGTGTCAGTGGTGGAGTTACACCCGATACGTACATAGCCTTCCTCATTATTGAGTGCCTGGCGTGAGTATTAGTTCAAGATACCATTACACGATGAAGCTAACAGAATGATCTAGTCTTCCATTCGCCTTCATGATCACGCCCTTTGAGCATGTCATTCGATCCGACGGTACCAAGATCGTTACAGCCGAGACCCTTTCCACGAAGCTGGAGGTCAAGCGCATCGCAAAGACCATGACATCGAGACTTATCATCCTGTCGTCAATCTGGGCGGTTTGGTCTTTCTTTTACAGGTGAGATTGTCGGAAGATGCCTAGATATCAAGCGACTGACACTGATATAGCGGCTCTTGGTCAACCTACCTTGGTATTCACTTCACCGTCCGCGCCCGTGCCCTTTCATCTCTCGTCTCGCCATTCTTCTGCATGTAAGTACCCCGTACAAGTGAATTTGGCAGTGCTGACGTGAACATAGTGTTGGGTGCTTTGGTCTAGGCTTCATTCTCGATGCCAAGAAACTCGCACAACGTCGCCGCGCCCAAATCGGTCTCTATACTGTTGTAATCCTCAACGTTGGGGTGTACATCTGGTCCATCATTATGCAAGCTCGATTTAATCGCAACGACCCAGGCGCCATCGACTGGGACGACAGCCTTTTCGCTACCTCTTTCTTGCCGTATTTCTTCGTGCAGACTACAGGACCCCTGTCCCAGTCGTATATGTACTGGCTCCTGTCTTCCTTCGCGACCGATGCACAAGGTCAGTTTTACACCATGAACGTTTTTAAATACACTAATACTGATGCGTTGTTCAGAGAATGTTCGAAATGGGGCTGCGTTCCGATGTCTTGAGGCCATCGGCCAGGCCATCGCCTATGGTATGAACACTCAGACAAAGAGTGATCCTCTTGTTGGATTGTAAGTTCCTCAGTCAAGAACAAGATAAAGTTTGAGTTACTGATTTTACTCAGCTGCGTGACCTTTGGCTTGCTCGGCGCGTCACTCCTGCCCATGATCATGCTCGTCAATACAACTCCCGACAGGATCCCTGCAGACGAAATTGCGGAGCAACAGGCAGCACTCGGGGAGAAGTTCGCAGATATTGAGGGCCAAGCTGTGAACATCGATGGAGGTGCCGACAAGAAATAAACTGGGTGGTATCGGAATCGGGTTTATTGAGTAAAACACTGGTGCTTACAAACTTTTGAACAGCCCATAGAGGAATTTTGAGATAATGAGTTGGAAAAAATGTATGTATTTTGGCTAATATGTACTTGAGATAAAGTCCCCAAAACCAAGATCTTGAACCTTTTCAGGTAACAATCTGTCTTTCCCCTCATAATCCATCGTGATAAATCCGTTCCACTACATCAATCTCATTCCGTCATTTACAGGCCTTGAAGACCAGCAACGATACCAGCCCAAGTCTCACGGACAGTAGGCTGGATCTGATTGGCGGGCAAGCTGAAGCCATAGGTACCGCGGTCACGGAGCTCAATGGTGTAAGAGTACTTGGCCTTAGCAACACCCTGAACGTAGTCGAGACTGTCACCAGTGGTAGCATACAGAGCGCGGCAAGAGTTACCAGCGGTGTAAGACTGCCCAGAGTTGCTGCGGATGGCGTTGCTGATTCTGGTGCCAACGGTCTTGAGGGCGGCCTCCTCAGGGGCGACGAAGCTGCAGTCGTAACCATAAGCTAAGCAGTATTGTTAGTATGGTATAATAAGGGCCAAATAGAGTAGGAATTCAACTTACGCCAGAGGATGTACTGTCCATAAGAGTGGAAGTCAACGTAGAAAGTAATGCCCTTGCCAGCAGCAAGAGAGTCAATCTGTCCCTTGATAGCCTTGAGCTCAGGGCTGTCACCAGCGGCTTGTCCCTTGTAGGTCTCGTCGCAAGGGTTAGTAGAGGCACCACCAGTGAGCTCCCACTTGTAAGGCCAGTTACGGTTGATGTCACGACCAACGCAAGAGTTTCCAGAGACGGTTTGACGGTTCTTGCGCCACAGACGGTTGGTGGTCTGGGTGTAGACAAAACCTGTTGTTGCGATTAGAAAAGATCAGCAAGGTTGGCTGAGGAGGTCTTACCATCGGGGTTGACAACCGGGGTGATGTAGAAGTCGAACTTGTCGACGATAGCCTTGACAGCGGAGTCGCTGCTGTACTTGGTCAAGAGCTGGTAAGCCATATACTCGGCAGTCTACCCAAAACATTAGTCATAAACACAGTCATATTACCATCGAGGTGACTATACCATAGTGGCAATCCACTCGCGAGCGTGGACAGTTCCGTGGAAGACAATGGCGGGCTTAGAGCCCTTGCCACCGCTACCCCAGATGTGAATACCAGTAAGAGCGCGGCCCTGGAAAGAGTTGCCAAGAGTCACAATCTCAGACTGGCTAGGGAAGCTAGACTGCAGGTCCTTCAGGAACTGGAGGTGATCAGCGTAGCTGTGATAGGCGGTGAACCAAGATTCACTGGGGACTACACAGATGTTAGCTCCTTGGCATTTCATACGTTACTTGGAATACTCACCAGCATAGATCTCAGAGGTCTCCTCCTCAGCAAGAGCAGCACCGACATCCTCAACGAGAACAGTGGTGTCGGAAGCAATCTTGGTCACGGCATCGATGTTGTCAGGAGAAACAACAATGTCGAGCTCTTCCTTGGCACCGGGGTTGAGGATGGTAGCAGCAAGCTTGTTGATCTCGCCTACAGCATTCTTAGCACCCTTGGGAAGAGTGACACGCAGGCTCTTGAAGCCAGTGTAGTCAACCTTCTTGGAGCTAGGAACAGCCGTGGCAATAGCCAGAGGGAGAAGAGCGAGCAGAAGAGAGGACCGCATCTTGTCAGTGAAGAAGGATGACTGAGGTGCGGGGTGATGGGTTTGACAGAGCGGTCATGACGTCGAATTTATAGTTAGCCAAGACGACATATCTTGATACTATACTCGGATCAGCAGACCCTCTATCTCTAAGAACTTCTGCGAATGATGCCATGCGGACGATAGCTTCAAAAAAGGTAGGTGATATATGTGATACAACATCCCAAGCACGGAAGCTCCCATATGCCTTTCCCAAAAGGGAAGCTCCATTTTGATGCACCCCTGTCGCTGGGTGCATTATCGCTGTGATGTTAGTTTGGCCGGCAGTGCAAAGGTTCCTGATCATCTCTACGCGCTGGGGATTCGGCGAATCGGGGCGCGTTATTTGTCGGGATTGGTGACTTGTAAAGGAAAGTGATGACGATCTTCGGTAGTCTAGAAGCTTTTTGATATGCTTAAAGTCCTAGTATGTGCGATGTCCCGATGCGGGCACGGACGGTTATAGTCGAGACCTTTTGCTCGCCAACTTATTCGTGACGCAGTGTTTATTGGGCTTTAACTGTTCTAAGACAGTGCATTGGAACTTGGTGTATTGGTCATGAACCTCGATGAATTGGGTGATGGCGAGATCAAGTCAAGGCACGTTTCACCGCCATGAGCAAGAATTATGTGTCGGAAGCAAGATTCATTAAGGTAATGATTGGTGGTATTTCTTATAATGTATGACGATTGTGAGAATATTTGCCGAGGATAGCTTACAATAGGCAGCTTATAGTATGGCTCTGGCTCTGGCTATGACTATGGTGAGATAAGATAAGACACCATCACATCACAGGAATCCAGAGTAACCCAAAACAGGAAGGCATGCTGACATTCTCCCCACAGCTCAAGTCAAAGAGCAAAGTATCCTGATCAAACAACTCAATATCCCTCCCCCCGAAACATAGTCACGATCGTACCATCTCGATCTGCACAATAGCCCAACGCCTGCTATAGGCCTTCGTTATCTGGTCCTGTTCGCCAAGACGGACCCCGCCGACGCCACTAAACCATGTCCGTGTCTGAGGGGTCACCCTCCCAATCGCCACAGGCACCCTCAAGCTCCGAATCTGACCTGGGGCCTCTGTCGCCGTGGTCGTGCCAAAGATGTAGAATGCGCAAGTTGAAATGTAATAGGGTGTTGCCAATCTGTGGCCGGTGTGTCAAGATTGGCGAAGTCTGCGATTATCCCTCGGCGAGGAAGAAGCCGGTCATTAATCCCGCCAACAGACCACGACTTCGGGATATGCAGAGTCGCATCCGTAAGTAGAAGTGGAGACAGCATCAGCTATGAGACTTGGATCATTGACAGTGTTTATAGGAGACTTGGAGGCTAGATTAGAAGCTCAGCACAGTCCGCCCGAATTCCAGCCTTTCAGTACAAGTACAGAACTTGTTGATACTGGCCGATTTGAGGGCTTACCACCTCCGCATCTGGTCGATGAGCTGTGAGTGTTCAAAGGTATCGCGACTTGAATGAAAGACTCATCTGAGAACACAGAACATCCATATACTTCACCAAACTTCAATCTGACTCATTCATGATCCATGGCGAGAGGTACATCGCGTCTCTCTACCGGCCTGCTCATATGCAGCCGCCCATGTGCCTGCAGTATGCCATCCTAGCTGCTGGAGCAAGCGCATCGCCTACTTACAAGCACATGGCTGAAGCATTCTATGTGCGTGCACGGCAGTACATCCAAGCTGATGAGATGAAGGTGAGTTGCCCCAAGAGCGATATGTCTAGCATGAAATTGACCAAGAGCAGAGCGATAGCGACCAAATATCACTGGCGCATTGCCAAGCTTGGGTTCTTATGAGCCATTTTGAAGCGCAGCATCTCTGGTTCTCACGAGCATCAATGAGTATAGCAAGAGCTATCCGGTTAGCCCAAATCCTTGGACTTCACCGATTAGACGGGAAGAATGCAGCAGGCCTGACACTCCCGATTGCATTGGACTTCACAGAGGAGGAAGAGCGCAGAAAGACCTTCTGGGTCATTTTCACGACTGATCGTATCACAAGCAGTACAGGCGGATGGCCGACCATGATGGACTGGCGTAGCGTGAGTACCGTCCCTTTGTTGAGTATAGCTCGAGTCTCTAATCGAAGCAGATACAAACACGACTGCCGTCTTCCATTGATGCGTTCCTATCCAGCACGCCAATAGCCACTCTAACCCTCAGGCAGGCGCTAGGCCAAGGCATGTATGAGCTTTCGACGAGTGCTTGCAGAGTTGTGGCTGTACATCTTTTCAACGAATGCTTCAACTTCTCCAGAAATGTCGAGGAAGATGAGGACAGCAATGACTGGCAACAACTCCAGCAACTCGATGAAGCAGTCACAAATGCATTCGCGACACTACCGTTGGATCTTAGATGCCCAGAAAACATGGAAAGCCCTGAAGCTGTACTCATCAATCTCCAGTTACATACGGCCCTGATATGCATTCATCAATCTGCACTGACAAGATCGCAGGTGGATATGGCCGCGCTACCCACCACAAAAGCAAGAGTGATGGAATCAGCTGTTCAAATAATGATTACTGTGGCTTTGGTCACGGATTTGAGCACGAGGTTCCGCAACCCGCTGGTATCGTTTGCGACTTTCATCGCGGCCTCATTTTTCTTGTCGGACTTCCTCACGACTGGTGATCTTCAAAGCGAGGCCAACTTTACAGCTCTCATGACTGTTATGGTCGAAGTGGGCAAGAACAACATGTTTGCAGCGTCTTTGGCTGTTCGATTAGCGCAGACGTTGAGAGCGTCTGGTGTTGATCAAGGGACTGTTGGGAAGGTAAGCTGTGACTTTAACTGTGCTGGTTTTGTGTTTGGCTAACAAGCTGCTCAGGTGGGAGTGATGATGGCTGACCTTAATATTGATCATCCAATTCCGGGACAAGAGGATAAAGAGAACGGTATTGTGATATTATGCCCTACTGCAACTACTCCAGAGCAGGTCGATTTTGACCAAGGAATTGTTTGGCAGTAGACATCAGCCAGATTTGTTGTTCACTAGTGCATAAACGAAAACCAACATATGTAATTGAAGCATTTATCGCTCCGCGTGATGCCACCAAATTGCGGATGTTGTCAGGTGAGAAAGTCCAGTTCTATTTGCGCTGATATCGCTTGTCTATATACGCTTCCAATGTTAAGTGATTAATTCTAAGTTTAGTCTATGAGTTCCATAAAGAACTCTTCGAGATAACAATTCTCTAAGATCCGTAATGCGAGCATAATGCTTAAACATGATCACGCTCAGTGTCTGGGGCTGAGATGGCATCGTCAGCCAGACGGCCAGACCACAAGTCAATTTCGTGTGCCCGTAAAACCTGCAAGTGGCAAAGTCAGTATACATACGGGATATATGAGGTTGCGGATCAAAGAACGTACCTTGGTGCGGTGATACAGCTTCCATGCGATGATGGGAACAATGAAGATTGGGATGCCAACATAAGAGGCAACAAAATCGGCTGTCTTCCAGTTACCCTTGAGGAAGACAGGGAATCCAGCAACGAGAGTAATGATGATGGAACCAATACCGCCGAACCAGGCGGTGTAGGGCTGCCAAGGTGCCTTCCATGGGAGGGTATTACGGTCGATGCCTTGAACCTTCATGGCGCGATAGAAGCGGAGGTAGCAGAAGCAGAGTGTTCCCCATGCGATGAGGCCTGCGACTGTGCTGAGGTTGAGAAGCCAGGAGAATGCTTGAGCAGCACCACCAGAACCAAGACCTAGGGAAAGTCAGTACGGCGTTGCAAGGGTGATGGGTGTAATAGAAGGGACTTACTCAGATACGCCAAGGGTCCAAACAACCAGGCTGTGATAACTGCGACGTAGGGGACACCGTTTGAAGTGGTGCGACCGAAGAACTGAGGAAGTTGTCGGTCGGTAGTCATGGCGAGGATCATACGAGAGCCAACCCAGCAGTAAGAGTTACCGGCGGACCAAGCAGAAACCAGGATACAGGCGTTGACGATCGAAGGGAGAACTTTGATGCCAGCGGTTTGAATGGCGATGACCCAGGGCGAACTCTTAGCGTTACCAGAACCAGACACAAGGTCAGCATTCCTAGGGTCGACAATCAAGCCGATCAACAGGGCACCGAGGACGTAGAAGAAGCCGATACGGTAGGTGACACGGTTGGCAGCCTTGGGGATAGCCTTGTGAGGATTGACGGACTCGGCGGCAGTGATGACGACGGTCTCAACACCAACGAAAGAGAAGGAGGCGTTGACGAAGGCGGAGAGGAAGCCGAGGAAGTGCCCTGTTGAGCCAGTGATGCCATTGTAGTCGACCCAAGCACCAGGGTTGTTCCAGTACTTGAAACCGATTGACTTATGGTTGGGACCACCGCCAGCAGTGATTACAATGGCGACAATGACGAGACCGAGGAAACAGAGGACCTTGATGCCACCAGTCACGACCTCCGTCTCACCGAAGAATCGAACGCTCATTAAGTTGATCCATAGGATGAGAACAAGACTGATGGTGATGACGACGGCAGGAGTGAGATCGGTCCAGTAACTGACGAGAACGGCGGCGGCTGAACATTCGGATGCGATGGCGATGGTATAACAGTAACCGTATGAGATGGCCAACGAGAAACCGACTGAAGGGTCAATGAAGCGAGTAGCCCAATGAGGGAATGAACCAGCGGTAGGGAACTACAAAGGTCAGCGCCATCATGACACAAGTCATTCAAGGGATCTTACCAGAGTCGCGAGCTCAGAGATACTCTGCATAACACACCAAAGAACAGCCCCAACAACGATATACGCCAGAAGCAAACCAGCCGGACCAGCGCTGGCATAAGCTGAACCAGTTCCAATAAACAAACCAGTACCAATACCACTGCAAAGACCAATCCAAGTGATATGATAACCCTTCAACCTTCGCTGCGTAGGTCCATGCCCACCGGTGTTGAGAACAGGCTTCTCATCATCCGTCTCATGGTTCTGCACCACAGGCGGAGCAGCCTGAATAGCATCAACGTCAAAATCCTTAGACGTCATGTTGATATCACCAAAAGAAACAGAGAATGTGGAGTGAAGAATGTTCCATCGCCAAGAACCAAGATCTTTATTAAATCTAGGTACCATCATTTTTTTCTTACAAGGCTCCGATTGCGCAATTCGAAGTTTTCACTGCTAGCGCGCGGTGTCCCCTAGAGCGTAGTGAGAATGGGGAAGAATATGGGGCTTGGGGGCAGCTGATGTGGACCTTTTAGCGGGAAGAGAAAAACTCTAACCTCCGCTTGTCGGCTTCTGGACTCGTTAGGGGCGAATGTAGTGGATACGATGGCGAATAATCAGCTTGAATTATCTCGCCATTTATTCGTCCATAGACATTGGTCAGGGGTTCAGAGCGGTTCATTACGTAGAGTAATTGATGTTCACTATTTCTAGAGGATCTTATTGATGGGTAGCCGATAAGGTTTATGCGGGTTTAAGTTTGATGGAAAAGGTGTCATTATAACTCGATATGGTGTTTCGGTTAAATCGGGTGATGTGTCGTGATGCATACCTTGGTTCTCAATGGAATGATGATAAGATTAGCCAACAGACGAGCTATGTCATTGTGTGCATTTGGTATTTCCTGGACTTATAACCGAACATTCAGCTTGAACACGCGATGTCTCTGTGTGTTGTGCAACAGGAAACTGTTCACTAATACCGTGGCTTTTCAAACAAGGTTCTCGCAAATCAGATCATCAATTTATTCATTAACGTAAACATAAACAATCAGCAAAGGAGACCTTCCCACACAATGTTACCCATCTCTTAGTCGCTAAACTCAGAGCTTGAAGAGCTATAACCCATCATGAACGATCCATAGTCCGAACAATCCTCCGTATGGGGATCAACAGCAGTAGTCCACAGACGCAAAAGATCTCCCAGTCCAGACTTTCCAGTCTCCTTGTCAGGAGTCCACCCGTCTGCGAGACCGAGCAACTCGACCACCTCATGATAGGCCTCCTTCATCTCTTCCCGTCTGGTCCTAGCCGGCACAACGTGAACCACGGGCGGGGGTGGATACAGCGGTCTGGGCCGAGGTGGACCAGGTGGCATTGGAGGAGCCCAGATCTTGAGGGTCAGTGTCATGCCGGGCCGGCGGACTGAGTCCCAGGTTTGGAACATGACGGCGAGACCGTCTTCGGTGCAGAGGTCGTATCGACCATTCATGATATGGGAGACAATGCCCGGGCTCCAGTTGATTTGGACCATGAGGTCTCTCATCATCTATCTCGAAAGTCAGTAGCATGTTCTGAGTGGAGAAAAAATGTATGTTTGGTGGGAGATACATACTTTGAAAGTGGCGCAAGATGTGTAAGGCAACTCGAGCCTTCTAGCCTGGGTATCAATCAGATAAATCGGCTCAAACTCAGCACCAAGCTTGAAATAGAGAGTGACATTGAGATCAGGAGCGTAATGGAAGCCAGATCCTCTGTCAGCTGTCTTCTGCGAGTCTGACTTCTTGGCAATCATGGCGACAAGAGTCATGTCGCGGGTGCTCTTTCGCTTTGCAACAATGATGGCGTTATCCACGTCCTGACGAACGTTCTGATCAAGGGCTGAGTATTGCTCGACCAGGTTGGGACGTCGTCGCCAGAGACGACTGGAAGTCAGTTTGGAGAGGTTTGCCTTGAGTTCCTTGTCGTCTAACTCAAGTCTCGTGATAAGCTTGTTTGCGTGACTCATGTCAAGAACGAACGCCATGATGTCTTCATTATTCCAATCCTCTTTGGGACTGGAGGAGAAGAGGCGCTGGAACCAGTTTCGAGAGGTACCATCAACCTGTTTGTTCTGGACGATATTCTCAACGACAACCTGAGAAGTCTCTTCCTCAGTTTTAGCCGAGTCCGTCTTGACCTTCTCATCGAAGATGTCCTTGGCAGGCGGAGTGGACGGGAACACCGGCATAGGCGGAGGAGGGGCCACAGTAGTTGTGCTATACAGACCACGGACGGTGTCAGCAAGAGACACCGGCGGAGGGAGATCGAGGCACTCACGTTGATGTTGAATAAATACTTCTGACGTCCTCGAAGGAAGCCTTTGGGGTAGGCGACATATCCCAGCCTGCTCGTCTCCTGTTGTAATGCTTGTTGTACATCACGCGCCTCTCAGCGACGTTCTCAGCAAAACATCGCAGAGAGTTTTCATTCTCCCAAGCGCCCGGGGAACGTATCATAGTTCTGACTCGACGTTAGTATTTGAACACTCGCGGGGCGCAATGGGGTTACTCACTCCATCTGAAGGCGAGCGATACTTCCAAGGAGATAACGCAGGACAAGCTCGAACTTGACTTGCTTCAGTTCCTGCTGGCAAATCTTCAGGCGAGGTTCAAGCCAATTCCAAGCCTCAGTTCTCCAAACACTCATGTTTGCAAGGCAAGCCAAGAGCTCGTCAATTTGCTCATTTGACAAGACTTTCGCGTCTTTGTCTCCGCTGACACTCTGCGTCTTCTTAGCGACAAGAGTAAGAACTCCGACATAAATAGCCCTGCATTTGGCGGCAAGGGAGTTGATGTCCTTCATGCAAGCTTCTGTGAAGATTTTGTCGTTCTGCTGGATCAGATCATGGATCTGACGGAGTGTCGAAGCAGTGGAGTTGACTAGCGACACGAGCTTTGGGAGTCGCTGGCGAGATTTACGACATCCTTCGGAGTGCAAGTTGAGTTTACTCGCGAGGCTTGTACCCAGCTGGGCAACAGCACCAAGGTCGTGGTCAGCCATTTTTGTGACAATGGCTATCACGACTGAATGGACCGAAGAGAAAACCATTAGAAAGTTTGGGGCTTTCAGCTCTCTTTTGAACTTCAGTTTCCTCCGTCTTCCTGCGGGCTGACTGCTTAATGGTGCGGTTTCACTGAGGCCCCTCCCTCCACTAGTGTGGAGGCTCAGCCACTCATATACATCTTAGTTGCACTTCTGCCTTGATTATCATGCAGAGTTGATTGACCACCGTGTCATGCATAAGCCACCTAATTATTGATTGGTGATGAGGAGATTGAAATATGCCTTGTGTCAGCCGCACTGCTTTCCAACTATGGCCTTAGTACTGATAAACATGCAGCCACTGGTGGGTATAAGACATTGTATCGGTGACAGTGGAACCAATCGCTTTATTGTTATTGTTTTACAATCGACATGTTATGTATGTCGGTACCTTGGAGTTTATTGGAGCAAAGAGTTGCAGAGGAGGAATATAGTATTGCAGCATGGAACTGGGAGAACATAATGGCCCTAAACTATTCTCCGACTGAGTGAACAGACCCGATTAGTTCACAGATCTTACTATATCAAATGTGAACTTCCTATTCTCGATGAAAATAATCCCAATCTGCATTAGGGCTCGGTTACAACCTAATGAGTTCAGGTGTGATTGTATTGAATAGCAACGGAACAATTGAAGATACTATAACTAATGAACTAACGAAAGTGTTCATACTTCTGAGAAATTTGTGATCAAGGAGAAAAAAATAGTCCCAACGAAGAACAGCCAAATCGAACAACCCTGGGGAAAACTGTTCTCCGCGAAAAGACACTGAGGAAGCAACTGTCACAGCGAAGTGTTAGATGTAAATAGAAATTCATTGGAATACAATCTCCTCAAGAATGACATGACAAGGAGTCATGAAGGGTGCTATGGTCTTTATCTGGCCAACAGTGCATGAGACCGCATCAACACAAGCGATTGATTCAGGGGCATGGTAGCTAGCCATGTAAGAACTTACAGAACAGAGAATTGCCAGTGCCATTGACAATACCAGTGCCGAAGCTGATGCAAATGCCAGTGGTAGCAGCAGGGACGATGCCATCTACCAGCTTCAGTCCCTATCAACATGGATATAAAGAAAATCCATCATCAATCTAGAGAGCTCAACCATCTTCCTTTTCCCACAAACTGCAACCCCGACAACAACTTGACAACAGCTTCTAGAATCGACAACCAGACAACTTGATATCATCCACTTTTAAACAACGATAAAACCAACACCCCAACCCAGACTACCCATCATATCCAACATGGGTCGTGAGCACATGCAGGCTCGCCTCAAGGAGCTTGAGACAGAGATGTCTGTCCTCAACTGGGCCCTTGATGCTAGTCTTCACGAGAAAGACGTCGACTCCGACGATGAGCACAGCAACCCCGGCTCCGCGTCTACTTTCACCATGGCGAACTGCCCAGACTCAGACGCTGGAGGCTTTGCCATCCCGGCTCAAGGTCATCAGGCTGGGTTTATCGCTGGTTCTATCGCTGAGACTGAGTCCTCTCCCTCATTGCGAAGCACCAAGGAATCTGTCTACTCGAACGCCTCTACTATGGCTGGTATTCAGTTCTCCCCCACAATGGATCGAATCCACCAGGTTATTCATTCGGACCCTACTGGAGCATCTTACCGCTACGATGGTACTGGCCTGTCTGAAGACGGCCGCGAAGATGAGGAGACTATCCGAGGCTCAGACACTGGTAAGGGCAAAGAAAAGGAGGTTTTGGAGAACACCAATGCAACTGACCCCAACTTCCCTCCTAACATCACCAACCCTCACCCGACTCTATCCATTTCGACCAACTTCCTTCAGAAGGCTATCTTCGACAGCCGCAAGCCCGGAACTCCCTTTGTCCGTTCCATTCTCCACCGCGAACGTCTTGACGGCAAGGAAACCGCCTTCAAATGGCCCGAGAGCGTTTTCTCTTGTGAATACACCGAGTGGAAGTGGGTTCCCTTTCTTGTCTTTGGCGCCGCAGCTCAGCTTGTCTCAACCAATATTGCCGAGGGCGACATTGAAATCATCTGCATGAAAGACACTCATTTCACCAGCATGATTCAGAACAACAAGAAAATGTTCGAGGAGCCCGGAAATCTTACTGCTAAGTCCGTTCTTCACGATGAGCTCAAGCCTGTCTTCAAGGACCCGGAGGCCTTGGGCTTCCGGGTCTTGGTCTGGCGTCTTCACACTTCCAAGAAGACCTTCTACATGGATCGTGAAGGTCATCCTATCCCTGGCCCGGCTGGTACTCTGCCTTGGGATGAGGTTGAAGCCAAGAACTAAAGGTGATTGTGAGATGGGTGTATAGTGATCGAAGGTCTGAAGGTTTTGGCATGGACATGGGTTGTGACCGCGCAGAGGCTTTTCCCCCAGCATGCATTTTACTTCGGACTTGAGAGAGGATAGAGAAAGCGAGGAAAGATTGGAGTATGAATGAGAAGATGAGAGATGCCGACATCATGGCAGAGATGAAGAAACAGGTGTAGAAAATGGGAGAATGATGTTACTAGGACATCTTGGACTACTAGACTAGCTAGAGATCAATCTATTCTTCCGACAATCAGAGTTTCCCATATTTGTGAAGTTGTGAACGAGTACGTCAATTTCTCTGAGTTTCTATATGAGCAAACCCTGAGCATATGAAAGAAATAGTGAGTCTTATCGTAAGACTCTCAAGATCTTTACATAATACATATTATTATCAACATTCCTACCCAAGACTCTTTGGATCTTTTGGAGGCCTTCCTATATTAACCCTGAGAACAAGTAAAGTAAACAGCTCGCCATTGATTGTGACGCAAAAGAAACAGCTCAATCTTCCGATGGCGACCAGGGGTTGTTTGCGGGGTAGCGCGGGGTCCGGGATGATACTAGCTTCGTCTGTCCAAGGTCGTAACGACGGTATATGCAGCAGGCCTTTCGCGCATGGTCGAATGACGATCCCGGATAAATAGCAAAGTAGTATATACAACGTGACTCGATGAGTCGTTTTAGCGCCCAGAAGTGCCAGGGCACGATATCCGCACGAATCTCCTACATGCCGATCATTGTTCACGGACATCGTATCACGGACCGTTTCGGCCCGGCTGGTCTTCATGCCCGTGGACATCAACGTTGCAATATGCGAGGTTGCAATGAGCTTGTTGATCCTGTGTTTTGCCTGTACGCATGGCGTGTTGATGGCTAAATGATGGGCTTTAAAAGAGCTCCCGGTGAACACATGATCGCAAGCATCGACGGCTGTTTGTTCATGACTCGGGACTTTGTAGTCTTTTGATACAGCCCATCGCAGCCACTATCTTTGATTACTACTGGGAACCAAATCATGATGACCCTATCTACCAAGTTAGCTGTAGTTGCAGCTGCTGCCGGCACCTTGTTTCCCATCAACGCTGCTGCGCAAGCTTCAGGCCCATACGAAGCAACATGGGAGTCAACCGACAAACACAATGCCTCACCCGAATGGTTTCGCGATGCCAAGTTCGGCGTTTACTGGCACTGGGGAGCTTTCACAACCCCACAGTACGCCAGTGAATGGTATCCACGCAACATGTACGAGCCAGGCTCAGACCAACGCAAACACCATACCAAGACCTACGGACCACCCGAGGAATGGGGCTATGAGAATTTCATCAATGGCGCTGATGATCTCAAGGGAAACTTTGTACAGTTTAAGCCTGTTCTTAGCTCAAAGGGTGGCGAGTTTGATCCCGAGGCTATTATCAAAGCTGTTAAGGCTTCGGGTGCAAAGTTCGCTGGCCCGGTTGGTGAGCATCACGATGGCTTCTCTATGTGGGACAGTAAAGTCAATGAGTGGAACTCAGTCAAGCGAGGTCCTAAAATGGACTTGGTCAAGCTGTGGGCGGATCTTGTGCGCAAGAATGGTATGAAGCTCGTTGTCGCCATGCATCAAGCCTACAACTACAACGGCTTCTACGAATGGGCGCCAAAAACCAACGACACGAGCTTGAAAAAGCTTCTGGGACAGCTTCCACGCGATGAAGCAGACCAGCTATGGTTTGACAAGCACAGAGAGATGCTAGACCATGTGCAGCCTGATATCATCTGGAACGACTTCTCACTCGACAGCCCTGGCTACTGTGCTGACTTTGATGGCCCATGCGCTGTTGCTGAGAAGAAACGGTTGGAGTTTCTTGCATACTACTTCAATCGGGCTGTTCAGTGGAACAAAGAGGTTGTTACGACTCATAAGCATTTTGATGTGGGATTCCGCGACACGTCCACCGTGAGCGATTATGAGCGTGGTGGGCCAGCCAACATTACGCGTCCCTACTGGCTGACAGATGATGCTATCAGTGCTTCAAGCTGGAGCTACACAGTCGGTATCAAGTATTATTCCTCCAAGGCCATGGTTCACTCGCTGCTTGACCGCATCAGCAAGAATGGCAACATGCTGCTCAACATTTCGCCAACCGCAGTCGGTGTTTTGCCTGATGAGCAGCTCAAGGTCTTGCAGGATATCGGAGACTTCCTTGGACGCTATGGGGAATCTGTTTACAGTACTCGCGCTTGGGATATCTATGGCGAAGGGCCTAACCAAGTCACTGGCGGGTCTTTCACGGCACCCTTGCAGGGGAACAGCAGTGACATTCGCTTCACACGCAACAAAGATGCTGACGTTCTCTATGCTACGGTTCTTGGCTGGCCCGACGATAGCCACGTTGCTATTAGCAGTCTTGGCGCCGATGCTTTGGTTGATCTCAAGAGCCTGAAGTCTATTGACCTTCTGGGCGACAAGGCTGGCGAATACCAAAAGGTCTCGGACTGGAAGCAGTCCAAGGATGCTCTAGAGATCTCGCTGTCAGCTCAACCGGCCAAGTCACTTGCCTATGTCCTCAAATTGACTTTTGATGGTGGAATCCCGGTCCCCCAGCCCAAGATTGGTGCCTCTGTGTTTTCTGCTACCAGTGCGACCGGTCGGGGTGTTAGCCTTGGGCTTGGTGGCTTCAACGGAGAATTTTTGACCGAGGCTGGACTGGAGCCCGACGCTATCCGTTTTATTCGTGTTTCTTCTGGTACCAAATTGACTGTGTATTCGACCGGGGACTTGTCTGGCGATAGCACGGAGCTTGACGCTGGTGAACATAAGGTTGAAGAGGGGTCAGTAGGATCCATCGCGATCTCCAAGGCTTGAGAGATGGACAGCGAAGACTGGACAGTACATAGCTGGCTGCAGGCTAAGCTTTAATAGCAGTTTTCTTTGAATGGAATTTGCAATTTTAATCTGGACGTGCGGCGTATGACTGCGGCGAAAATGTTCAACAAGACATCCCGTTGTGCAGTGACATAATACCAGATAGGCTCGGCCGCAGATACTGGCTGGTCTATTTAGCGAACAAGAAGAAGAGGCAAAAAGAAACACTCTAATGAAATCGATGCTCAGAGCAAAAGATAAACCAATCGACGCAGGCCTGATTCGAACAGACGCCTCCGAAGAGAATAGATTTCTAGTCTATCGCATTAGACCACTCTGCCACTGCGCCTTAGCTGATTGGATAAGGTTTCGACCTGCTAAAGCCAACTAAGTTCTTGTGCTGCAAACCGTAGAAGCGAACAAATTCGCCACAGAGCCTTATCCTCAATAGCTCAGCTTTTTTCTGGTACCGCTTCTGCAACGTCTTCCCACGTGGACGGCCCGGACGCTCTTCACGCCATGGATAGCTTTAACTTGCGATACTTGTTCGTTTGACAAGTCGGCGCTCCAATTTTCTATCGTGCCATTTGAATAACTTGTGTCCGTATTGCAAATATCATCTCCAACGAGTGCTGCGAGAGAGGCGCTTGTCGCGATGCACTCTTCCTGGTTCTGGGGGTCTATTGGACCAATGATGTATAAACCTGGCACGTATCTGCGGTTAAAATGGTGAAAGCTAGGCTGCGCAGACTCGACACCTTCAAGGCTCTTAGCTTGAGACACCTGGTCCATGGATAAGTCAGCCTTCCACCTATATATACTCCCCTGGCCTATCCCTTTGGACCTAATTTGGTTTCCGAACAGTTGGCGAAGGGAAATATTAGTTGCTTCGCATTGTTCTTGATTCTCAAGATCAATCGGCAAGATGATGTATCTTGCTTTGCCCAAGTCTCCTTGTTCCTGTAATGTTATAGTCTCGTAAACTGTGGGCTCTATTCGTATAGCTCGCACGACACTGGGGTGACGTTGTTGGATGGTCAGAATTTCTTCATGGGAGGCTCTTATTGTATTACAAATTATCTGCTCATCGATCTTTACCCAGGGAGGGAGATCATTGTTCCTGAGAGTATTCTTAATAGAATCAACATCCATGTTACTATTGGGGTCTTGGCGGAGGAACAGAGTGTAGAGCAACCCGCCACGGCTAGAAATGCTGTGAAGGGAACTATTTGTGTCAGCGGTATCTGGTACTGACAGAGAACCCAGTTCACCAAGAAAGCAGAAGAACGTGCAAATGTATAGTGAAATATGAAGCGTGGTAGTTGGAGCTTTCTTATATGTGAGTGGAAGATTGGATCATAGTAGCGTTGTTAGATATTTTACAAGTGTAGCCCTTGATATTGTGGTCTTACCTCTGTTCACCTCCTGACATGGCGCAGGGTCAGGTAAAGACGAGGTGTGATGCCTCGCTAGTGATGAATGCTATGAGAAGAAACGTGGAGTCGGTAGCAACTCTTGTGTCAAGTGCTCTCTGTATATACCCAATCGCTCCCACAAAGCTGTAAAGTTTACCTCCATTCTCGGCCACCTCTCGGGCAGTCAAGTAGAGTTCACACGAATTAGAATTGGTTGCTTAAGATTTGAGCGCGTTTATTGCGTCATACATATTAGCCAGCGCAAGTTCGTGGTGAAGGAAACCTTATTATGTTGGCTGATGATGTTAGTAGAACCAAGTTCTCTTTCAAATTATACCATTTGACAGATAAACGCTGCCGATGCGACCTAAGGGCTTGACCACGGCTTTCAAAAGGAGCTATGTATACCGAATGCACTCCGGGGATGACTTCATGGTGTATTGGCTTTTTATATCTAGCAGCACCCCTAGTGAATCTATTTCTGGCCGTAAGGCGCAGGCTAAGCAATGCCGATCTCCTCTATCACGAAAACGCGCTGGTAGGATTGACGATACGTGCTCCTTACCTATGGTTGCACACATTCGCCGTATATGGCCCAGGACCGGGGCCACGCCTCCCTAAAGTGGCAGTGCGGACTGAACGCACTCCTTCAACGGCTTCGGCCTGACGCATCTCCTCTGAAGACAGCAATGCCCTCCAGTGACATATCCTGCCATCTTGCAGCAACTTTGGGGTCACATAGTCCCCAAAGAGGTCCCTAAGAGCAGTGTCTGTTTCTTTGCACTGATCTTGATCGTCAATTCCCACTGGCTTGATCATCCTATACTTCCTCTGTACAGGTTCTGCTGAATTTCTGAGACGGTACTGATCTAGCGGTACTATAGATCTGACGCCCTCGATCTTCTCAGCTAGTGGTACCTGTTCTCTTGTTGAATCGACCTTCCACAGCGTGACCCCATAACTTCCAAAGTCCTGTGGTTGCATCTGATCATTGAAGATTTCTTTGAGTGAAACATGGGTAGCGCAACACTGATCTTTGTCTCGGCGATTTACAGGCCATACCATGTAGCTTTTCTTGGTTGAACCATCGTCATGTTGTATATTTTCTTCGGTAGTTGTTGCTTCAACCGGTGTTACGCGCACAACATCGGGGTGGCTGGTAAGCTTCTCTGCTTGCCTAAATGTCGCTTCGATAATATTGGACTTTAGATCGACGGTGACGCTTTCCCAGGGGGGCAGGCTGGTGCACTGCAGAGTGGACTTAATAAACTCTACCGCCGTGACATCCTTGGCGGCTCTGTTGAGAAAGACAAGAAAGAGGTGCTTGTCGGAAGCGGACGAGTTTCTGTTTGTTGAATTTATATTAGCGTCAGTCGTGATAGATGCGATATCGAGGTAGAAGAAGGAAAGATAGCACTTAATCCTACGGCTTCTGTAAATATAGTTGGAATTTCTATTCCGGGTTGATGGATTTTCTTGGGCATGCCATCGCGGGATTCAGTGCAGCAAATATGAGAAATATTGGACACTTACCTCGAATTCCCTTGTGACATGATATAGAAGACAAGTATTGGGATTATCTGGTCTACTGCTCTTGGTCGTCTTCCCGTAAAGTTCGTTGCATAAAAAAAAAATACACAGCGATGTGAGACACGAAGGTCAAGTAGGACCTTTCGGAGGGGATAGAAGCAGAAATTACCTCGTCATCAGTTGCGAGTAGCCCTTCTCCTTTTAAGTAAGCGTTTTGTCCAAGGTTTTACAGAGTGCGCGTGGGCCCCGCCCAGACAGCTCTGAACTTAGGCTTGGTCCACAGTCAAGAGCGATGCAACTCATCAGGCGACGAGGCTCTGGAGCCATGAACAACAACTGTATTTACTCAGGGTCGTGGCTAACAGGCTATGATTGCCTGAAGCCAAAACAATGGAGCGTTCGAGGCTTAAAGAAAAGTCCACTACTCGTTAACTTTTATTAACCTTCAGCTCTTAGTGGAGGCGAAAAGCAATGAGTGGAATCGTCTAGTCACGCGGCCTAGCTTTCCGTGTCACGATCTGGGATCTGAAACTTTGAGAACGCGGCAGACTGGGAGAAAGTCTTCTCTGTATTTGATGATGTCCCCTCCCAAGCAGTAGATGGAAATTTATTTCGAGCCCATCACAATTCCGATGCTTTGGAAAAAGGAGGTGTATCAGCAATAGTATTATTTGATATTCATTTTTACCTACTTTTATATAATATTTCAAGTACTTTCCGTCCGCTCTTGGTGCCATTCTATCCTTCGTCCTATGATGTCCATTCCGGGCTGCAGACACTTTTAACTCATGTGGCGGCGGCTTAGCCATGCCGCTGACAAGAGGCCATCTCGTACAAATACAAGCCGAGATTAGATATTGCCATGAATCAATAAACCCGATAATGAAGATTATTGCAAGAGCGATTTGGTCGATATGTTGTGTGACGTGCATCGGGACATCGGGCTATCTAAGCCCGGCCGACACTCCGATAACCGAAGGAGACTTTTCGAACCAATAATAGACAAGAGTGAGAACAATTCTTAACGGGGCCATGTCCGTCACTCCGATGGCCGGTTTTGTTGAAATAGCCGTGCCTAGTAATCATTGGGAAGGTCACAAGTGCCGTTATTCTAGTCCCTGGTGATATCAAAGCCAAGCCTACTTCCCCACAATCTCGGGAGAATTGACGACGCGGGGTTGTAACCTCTCCAATTGAAAAGCAGCGTCTGTGAACACCATCTTGGCGAGCAAGGGTTCAAAGACCAGTTCAGTGTCAGTTCGCCAAGAATACGCAGGTGAACACCTGGGATACGATCCTCTGAGAGTGAAATTGGTAAGATCTGCAGTGCTCATAAATAATATGCCTTGGAATCCCACCATTGTTGCTCGATCATTACTTCTCAGTCTGGACCTTTTCACTCACAATGCATCTACACAGGATTGCAGTCACATTTACAACCCTGATGTCGGCCGTTTCAGCCCTCACGGTCAAATCCGCCAAACACTGGACAATCGGCACCGATGTCCAAGGCTCCGAACGGCTCAATGGCGTAAGCTATCAAGAAGATGCCCTCATTACATATGGAGACTATCAATATGTTACCTTTTACGAAACTGCCCCAGCGGGATACCTCAATCATTTCGTGAAGCTGGGACGCAGAAAAGTGTCGCCTGGTGTCGGCGACTGGGAATTCCTCACCCTTGATGACTATACTCAGAAGACAATGGATGGTCATAACATGATCTCTATGGGTATTTCTGGAGATGGAAAAATTCACCTCAGCTTTGATCATCACGTAAGTTTAGCCCAAGACTGTGAGAGCCTGGCTGACTCTGGAAGGATGTCCCAATCAATTACCGTATCTCGAAAAGAGGTATCGCAAAAGATGTTCCCTCGGAATGGACCTCAGATCTCTTCGGTCCCGTCGTCCATGAGCTTGTTGGGTCTCAAGGACCTTACTCGCCGCTGACATATCCTCGATTTGAGCCTTTGAGTAACGGTGACCTTCTGCTGGAGTTCAGAATTGGGCAGTAAGTATTGTATTTCTGTCTTTTGGCGCGTACTGAAAACTGTAGGTCTGGGTCAGGCGATAGTTACATTCATCGCTATAGCGCATCAACTGGAAAATGGCAAGCGTACGGAATGTACATACAAGGTGATGACAACAACGCGTACATCAACGGACTAGATTACCTAGATGGAAAGTTGTATACCTCATGGACTGTCAGAGAAACACCGAACGCTGACACCAATCATGGTGTTTATTTTGTCTACTCGAATGACGATGGTAAAACATGGTTCAACACGAATAATACCAAGCTGGCGAAACCCATTTCAACTTCTGATGAGAGTACTTTGATTTGGGATGTTCCTCAGAACAGTCGCATGGTCAACCAGGAGGGACAGCTCATTGACACCAAGGGCCGGTTCCATATTCTGATGAGAGACTTGTTGTCCGGAGGGCATTTGTATCAACACTATCTCCGAAATACTGACGGTAAGACTGTTAATCTCCTTTTAATCAACGTCGCTAAAGCTTTACAAGGAACATGGACCAAGAATGCCATCAACCCCGCTGGCCTCAATGGCCCTGATCTGTACGACCCAAGAGGCAAACTTGCCGGCGACGCAAGCGGCGAATACTTATTCGGTCTTCTACCTGATCCTGTCAAGCAGTCAACAGGTATTTATGTTGCTACCGCCTCCAAAGATTTCAAGGACTGGAAGAGTCTGGCTGAGATCCCGAATACGTCGACGGAGCCCCTCTTCGATAAGACGAGACTTCATGAATCGGGAGTTTTGAGTGTGTTTGTAAGACAAGCGGGCGGGTTCCCAGATCGGAAGTTACAAGTATGGGACTTTGAGCTTGATCTATAATTGGATGCATGAGCCAACGGGTCTCTGTATCTCTTGTTTTATTCCAATAGATGTTGTTTCGTTCCTGCGGCCATCTATGCCTCATTTGCATCACAGGGGTGCAGATTGCGATAACGTTCGTCAGTGAAGTATTGGTTTCGACGCCTGAACTCTAAACCAACTTGATTCATTTCGAGGCTTTATCCCGTTATTTCTCGCTGAGTTATTGGTTAATGTCAAGATAAACTCATTGCTGCCTCGGATCTTATGTCAGATACCGGCCGGAATACCCCGCTCTGGGCGGATCCATCACCATTCATGATCAACCCATGTTTCACTTGCGAAACAACAAATAACAGACACTTTCATACATTGCCTTTCCCATGAGACGGACGCCACTTAAGATGCAGGCACTCATTCAGAAGCAAATAGAAAATGCCATCGCGCTGAGGAAACCGGCGTCCTCACTTCCGTGGCGACCCGACGAACCCTGGAAGCAGCCTTTTTACAGGTGGAGCAGCAAAGCGAATGGATGGCAGCAGCTTCAAGCATCTGAGCCCTCACCAAATAAGTTCAAAGCCACCAAGCTCGCTATTTACAGCTGGAATATCGACTTTATGTTGCCTCATGGCGACAGCCGAATGAACTCAGCGTTGAAGCATTTGGAAGAGCTGAGTCACCAGCATCGATCTGATGAGCAGACGGCGGTTGTCATCAATATTCAAGAATGCGTACCATCTGATTTAACTCTGATTGGTGAGAAAAGTTGGATTCGGGATGCTTTCTACCGAACAGATGTTGATACTGCGAACTGGGCTTCGGGCGCTTATGGCACAACGACGCTGATCGATCGTCGGCTGGAAGTCCTGTCCTGCTTTCGAGTGCATTACTCGGCCACTCGGATGGAGCGCGATGCCCTCTTTATCGATGCGACAAGTAACGGCCAGAAGCTTCGGCTTTGCAACACTCATCTCGAATCTCTTGCAATGGAACCACCACGTCGCCCCGCCCAAATGCGGCTCATCGCTTCACACATGCACGCCGACGACCTTTCCGGGGCTGTCGTAACGGGCGACTTCAACGCTATCCAACCATTCGACAGAGCCCTTCACACAGACAACAACCTTGAAGACGCATATCTTAAGCTCGGGGGCAAAGAAGGCGACGGTAGGGATGATAACGAAGGGTATACCTGGGGACAGCAGGCTTTACCGGAACTGCGACAGCTATTTGGCTGCTCACGCATGGATAAGGTGTTTTTCTGTGGTAATGGACTTGAAATTTTAGAGTTTGAGAGGTTTGGTGCTGATGTTGAGCCGGAAGAGTCGGAGGAGGATGTTCGGAAGGATTTGCTGTCGTTTGGTTTTGAGAAGCCGTGGATCACTGATCATCTTGGCGTCAAGGCTGTTTTTGAGATCAAGAGTTGAACCAACACTTTATCTGTTCGTATCAGCACGATTAGACAAGATCAAAGAAGAGGCAAGGTCAATCTTCAACGCCCAACTCATGATCACCAATTAAGACACAACATTGATAGCTTTCTAAATTCGTAAGCGCAGTAAAGATTGAGATGCTACCGTAGAGAGGCTGAGAGGGTCACATCTCTCAGGCACAGTTGTTGTAGTGGTGGGAATCTCCACTAGCGATCTTACAGGGCTAGCTTGGCCAGGTTTAGCGGCATGTCCTCACTGTCAGCACTTGTCACCAATTAGTTCAAGCACTACAGTTGGTTTCAAGCGAACCAGCCAGTTAGAGAGAGTCTATACCGACACTTTGCCTTGTCGTATTCGTACGTTGCCAATCTCTTGCAGGTATAAAGTCTGAGGTTGCGCGATCGACAAGATCCATTTCTCATTAGTGAAACCTCGATATCGAATCTCAATCGCCATGGCAAGCCCAGTGTTGGAGATACTTTTGCGGCCAGCCATTGCTGCGCCGCTCATTCTATTGGTGTCGTACATCATATACCAGCTTTTCCTGAAACCTTCCAACTTACCTGACCTACCAATCATTGGTGCACGCAAAGGCGATTGGTTTCCCATTTTACAAGCCAAAATCCGCAACTCCCTCGATGTCAAGGCCGCTTTGAATTCGGCCTACATCCAGTACAGAAATCAAGCGGCCATTTTTCCCTTGATCGACGGTGGCAATGTCGTCTATCTTCCACGATCAGATACCAAATTTGCCAGCGAGCAGCCTGCCAATATGCTCAGCATGCACGAATCAGCACAACAAGATTTACAAACGGATTACACTACCATGGATCCATCACTTACTCACGATCCTATCCATCTGGAACTGGTCGCCACCACGCTTACCAAAGAGGTCGGAAACCTCATCCCAGATCTAGCTGAAGAAATCGAGCATTGTGTCAGCAAACACTGGGGCAATAGTACAGACTGGTCTGAAGTTTGCATAATGGAATCAGCGCAGAAGATGCTTAGTGGCATCACCAACCGAGCATTTCTTGGTCTTTCGCTTTGTCGAAATGAAGAAATGCTAAAGTTGGGCATCGCATTCGCGCAGGATATTCCACTCTCGTCAATGATGATGAAGTTCTTCCCGCGCTTCGTCAAACCGCTCGTTGCGCCTCTTATAACCCGCTCAAACAGGATTCACACGCGCGAGTTCGAGAAAATTCTTGAACCGGAAATTAAGGCCCGCCTGGAAGAGTACGACTCGCAAGATCATCACAACAAATCCGATAGGAACGATTACTTACAATGGTTGATTGAGCAAGCCAAGGAGATCGGCAACCCGAAGAACTGGCAGGTCAGCGCGCTTTCTCAACGTGTCCTGCTCCTCAACTTTGCTTCCATTCATACTACAACCTTTGCTGTTACTCACGCTCTCTTGGACATCGCTTCTTCAGCTCCCGATCTTATACTCGAACTTCGCGACGAAGCAGAGACCGTGCTGAAACAACATGATGGCAAGTGGAACAAACGTGCTGTTGCACAGCTTGAAAAGCTCGACTCTGCAATTCGTGAAAGCCAGCGCAAGAACTCCATCGTCGCAATTGGCGTTTCCCGTACCGTCGTAGCAGAAAAAGGCGTGACTTTTCCATCAGGAACGCACGTCCCCAAAGGGCTAAGGATAGCTGTTCCAGGGTACTCAGTGCTACAGGACAGTGAGATCTACCCTGAACCCAAGACTTATAAACCCCTTCGCTTCTACGATGCGCGACAAAATGAGGCCGATGAATATGTCAAGAGCGCGCGTAATGCTTTACCGACTGCGACGCAGGATTTCTTGGCGTGGGGGCTCGGTCGGAATGCGTGTCCTGGGAGGTTCTTTGCGAGCAACGAAATCAAGATGTTGCTCGCTTACATTTTGCTCAACTATGACATTGAGCATTTGGCAGAACGGCCCCGGAACACTTGGATTGCACAGAACAGAATACCTCCTATGAAAGCGACGCTGAGAATAAGGAGGAAATGTCGAACTTAGATGGCATTAATAATGTAGTATCCCAGTTGAAGGATGCGAACACGGGAAGGATTCGCTTGTCGATAAATAACGATAACACACACGTGACAGCGTGTTGTTTCCCTGACACGTTCAGCTATAAAGTCCTCCCCCCTCCAACAGACGCGTCTCATGGTGACCTGATCATTTCCTTGTGCAATCAACACTCTTGACTTATTCTTGCAACATGACTTCACACTACAACGATATCTCATACCTATGGAGAAGGTCTTCCAGCGGAGTATGGGAGAGACAGATCGACGAGTGCGAAAGCTTTTACTGGCTTTACACGAAAGAAGGCCATGGCTGTTATCCTATCACCGCTTGCGCGTCTTTTCAAGTCAAGCCCTCGTCCAACAATGATGATAATCGTGTTGTAGATGCTCTAAAGAATGCTTGGGTCTTTACCCGACACAAACACCCGACATTAGGCTCTCGTATCGAACGAGATAATGAGACCGGCATGTCTAAAAGGATCTACAACCCTTTTGAGAGTAACGAGGATGTTGATCTTTGGTTGAACTCGACATTCCAGGTCATCAGCACCAATAAAAGTGCACTGGAGTGGTTCAATGACCATGCTCCCGTCTTCACTGTTCCAACCGTCTACATCATCCAGCCCAAAGGGAATGCGAGTCGTCGGACCTTATTCCTACGATGCCCTCACGATATCACCGACGGTGTTGGTATTCTGCAGCTTCTCAGCCAGCTATTTACTCAGGCTGCTCAGTATTACACGCAGTCAGCAAAGTATGAATACCCGTTGCCTGACGAAGACCTCGGGGCAAGACTTTCGCCATGTCTTCGTGTCGCTACATCTATTCGTGACCCGTTATCTGAAGCACAGCTGCAGAGATTTCAAGAAATTTCCACCAAGAATGAAGAGATGTACAATCATCCTGGTCTGATGAGCTTGCCTCCGACCTCTTCGCCAAGGATGAAGGCCGAATTGAAAGCTAAGCGCATCGCAATATCGATACCCAAGGACGTATCAGCACAGATCCTTGCTGGTTGTAAGATGATTGCCTCTGGAGTCAGTTTGACTCATATTCTCGTCTCGGCTTTGGCAACGGCCCTCGCTGAGTTCCAGCCTCGCAAACAGGAAGCCTATACTGTTCGGTATGTCGATCGTCCTATGCTCAACCTCCGCCCATTCTGCAAAGAACCATACAACAGCCCTGATCATGCGAGCGCACCATATCACGCAGTCTGCGCACAGGCTTTAGGCATCGACTTGGAAGTTCCAGGGCTAGGCCTTGAGCAGAACGTCGCAGCAACAACTTTGTCTCGGGTGGCTACCCAAGTTCGAGACTTCTACCACCAGCACAAACCCACCTTATCGCATGAAATCCACGAACAGGTTCTCTTCGCGCCCTTGACGTTCAAATCCCAATTTCCCCCGCATGGGGTAGATCCCTGGTCTGTCTCAGACCCACCATTCTGTCCCGTTTCTCTTTCCTCGATCGGGAACCTGAGTTCTGTGGTGGCTGCATCCAATGGCATTTTCGAGCTTACCAATGTCTGGGTTGCCAGTCAATCAATTATTACTGGTGTTGCAGTCTTCCTCGGAAGCTGGGATGGCGAAATTGAACTTTCTAGTGTTGTCAATACTCAGTTCCATAGTAAGGAGTACGTGCAGAAGTTCTTGGAGTGTATTCTGAAGCATGTATATCAAGGCCTTGGTGTGGAACGGGAATGAACTAGCGATGTTGATGAATGGCAAGCAAGAATGATCCTTGCGTGAATAGAAACAATAGATTGTTGGCTCAGACTCTTTCATGCCCGTGTGAGTCTGCTGGTGAATGTCGGTTTCAGTGCGCTCATTCCAAGAGGACGATGACGTGTTGCACAGCTGGGGCGCCCTCACAAAACAAGATCAGTCTTGTCATGGCCAAAGAGAAAGACGTGACCAATGAACGTCTCTACAGTAATACAACTGGCAATGCCATGTCTCATTCTTATTCTCGACTAGTGAGCTCAAGCCACGCATAAGCTAACAATCCTCCTGCCATGTTGAGCTATACCAGGCGCGCTGATCACCTACTGATTGGTCGCTGACATGACTCCACTAACCTCATTCTCAAAGCGATCACATTCTCTCAACCGAGTCTACGATCGCTTTCAGGCGACATGTGATATCCATAACTCGGCAATATGATGATGCTGAATGAGGTAGAAGAGGGGAAGTTGTTGACATCATGTATATAAGACGATGTTTGACCGCGTATCTATCGGTCAAGTCAGAGGTTTCATCTCTTTCAACGTGATACAGCCATGGAGACCTATTTAATCTCAGTATTTCTTACTCTCGCAGCTTTCTTCAGTTTCTCTGTGGCCAGTTTTGACGGCAACATCAACTATGGAAGTCCCTCACCTCGGCATACGCAGTTCGGCATCGATGTCGATCAAGTCCAGCGACGTTCCTGGAAGCGCGGAAATATTGCCTTCAAGCCAGAGGAACTGAATTTTACCCATGGTGTTGCATCAGGCGACCCATGGCCTGAAAGTGTTATCTTGTGGACTCGCATTGCCCCAAGCAATCTGTCTTCCGCCAACACTGCCCCGATTGATGGAACCGAACCGCTATACAGCCACGAGACCAAGAAGTTCATAGAGGCTGATCCCAATCCTATCTGCTTGCACTGGAAAGTCTTTCGAGATGGAAAGAAGGACTCAAAGTCAGTCGTGAGCAGCGGAAAGGCTTATACTACAGCGGACATCGACTACACAGTCAAGGTATTTCTCATATCAAGATCAAGCACCAGAACTAACCGACAGTAGGTTGAAGCCAAAGGTCTGAAACCATTGACGACATATAACTACCAGTTTACCGTCTGCAATTCGAACAATACCAGCCCTCTCGGAAGGACGAAGACTGCACCTCGGCCTGATGATGATGTATCCGAGATCAACCTGGCGATTTTCTCATGCAGTGCATATTGTAAGTGGTGATGCACTCGTCTTACAAGCGCCTCTGACCAGTTCAAGTCCCAGGATACTTTAACGTCTACGGTAATGCGGCTCGAAAGGATAATCACGACTGGGTTGTCCATCTTGGCGATTACATCTACGAATACGGCACCTATACACTTTTCAAAGAGCGCGGCTCAGATCCGAAACACCCAACCTACTCCCTATATGACTACCGTGCACGCCATGGACAGGTATGCTCACACGTACTCGTTGATCTTTAAGGCAGGCTCAAACACGATATAGCACCGGACTGATCCTGACTTGCAACTGTTGGCCAAAAACTCAGCTTGGATCACAACTTGGGATGACCATGGTAAAGAATCCTCACAATGTAGAAGAAGGGTGGTCACTAACATGGAGCAGAACTTGCCGATAACGCTTATAGAGATGGCTACGTCGACTTCTTCGATCAGCCCAACACCTTTAAGGGAGAAGGTCCGAAGGTGGCCACGGATGCTCGCAAAGCCAATGCTGTCCGCGCGTACTTCGAGTGGATGCCAATCAGGCAGACCGATATGGACGATGGTCTTCGCGTATGGAGGTCTTTTCAGTTGGGTAAGCTGATGGATCTCGTGATGCTGGACACAAGATTGTATGACCGAAGCAAGGGAGTCGATTGTAAGTACTTTCTCGGGGTGTCAAACGGCATCGTCTTCTAACTGCAATCAGATGTCAACGAAAAGTACATCGAGAAAATCAGTGACGACCCAAGTAGGACACTGATGGGAGGTCGGCAAGAGAATTGGTTCTATCGCTCGTTATCTGAATCTAAAGATCGGAACGCAACCTGGCGAGTGATCGGGAACCAGATCGTGTTCTCTCATATCAAGGGGGACGCGGCTGGCGGTGGAGATACCTGGGATGTACGATTCTTATATCTGCCTTTCACTGGAAGAACATAACTGATAATTTTTGATAGGGTTATATCGCGAACCGAAACAGAACACTCAATCATCTATATAAGAACAAGATCGACAACAACATCTTCTTATCGGGAGATAGTCATATGAACTGGGTATAAGCTCATGTCAGTCTTGTTTCCATCACAACGCTGACTCTTGTTAGGTATCTGACTTGGCGTGGCTGGGCACCAAGAAGTACAACCCCAAGACGGGAGAGGGTGCCATTGGGGCTGAGTTTGCAGGTACCGCCGTCAGCTCGTGGGGTACATCAGGCCTCAAATCCATCGAGCCTGATGCAGGAAAATTGTCCCGCAAAGCTATCGCTGAGAACAAAGAGCTTTTCTGGCAAGAAGGGTACTACCGTGGCTATTTCCACTTGTCTGTCGCTCCAAAGAAAGTCTCAGCTCAATTCTTTGGTAAGTCAAAAGACCACCGTCGATTCTCTGCATGAAATTAACAGGAAGCAAGGCTCGCCATCGATTGCCACACGGAATGCTTGGGAGATCCCACTGGCGAATTTTACGGTTTTTGCCGGGGACAACCACATCCGTCGACCGAAGGATGGCAGTCGGGCTGAATCTGGAGCTCTGAAGTCTGGGGAGATAAAGCACACCAACTTGACATTAAATACTGAGACCGGAGTTTGGAAGGTTCAAGGCTTTGACAAGATGTACCTCAACCCAGAGCCTAGTTTCCTTGGTTCGTCCTAAGCAACACGTCGATAAGGTTCACGAAGTGTAGACCAGTGGACGTGAGGCTTCCTCACGGAGTCATTGAAGATGACTTAACGATTAAAAGACTATGTATTGTACTTAGTCTTTGATGTGATATTATAGCGCTCGTTGCATACCTAGACGGTATCGACAGCACCTATAGTAAAGGGAACAAGCGCAGTAAGTAGAAGCTGGTGGTGTTATACAAATATAAAGAAAAACTTAAATTCAAGCAATATACTTATTTATATTGACTTTTTAAAGAATGCATTACTCCCCTATTCCTCTTGATATTCCCTATTCTAATCTGTTTATAATAATAAGCCGTATTATAAAGAAATGCTATAGGTTTATATAAATTAATAGTCATCTTCTGGCTGCCATTCTGTGCCGTAGCTTCCGTTGCTGCACCCAGATTCCAATGCCCATGCTGAGCCGTCGTGTAAGGCTAGTTGAGCGAGAGGAAGATGAACTTTAGCCTGCCTAGTGGCAAACCGCAAAGCATGCTGGTTTCTCCAATGCTCATCACGGAAGGAGCTGGACCCAAATTCTGGTGTGTTTGGTGTCAGTTCAAGCGGTGCAGGGTTGGACAGCCACTGGTGGATTGCCCATATCTCATCATGGGATACTCTAGCACGGAACAATGGGTCGTCAAGGGGATGATATACTACCTGGGCAGTTCTCTTTATCCAGTGCTCTAGGACTTCTTTGTGACTCTTTGTCCCCTGGCGCGCACTCAATTCAGCGAGGGGATAAATACCAGTCGCCTTGAGCTCGTTTAGCTCTTGGATGAGTCTCTTGAATTCTACAACTCTCTCGGGAGGGAGCCGAGGGCTGTTTGGTTCGAAGTTTGATGAGTACTTGAGAACGACGTCTCGACATGAAGTTCCGATCCTGACGAGAGATCGCAGAAGATCTCCCTCGAATGGAATGACGTGAACACGGCGAAAGGCGGATACATCCACTTCTTCATCGTCGGTGCTAGCAGAGGGACTTCTGTCAAATGGCATTCCAGAGTTTCGCAATCGCGACAGCGCCTGTGGCCGTTGGAACCTTGATGCCCACTGCCCCTTCCACGAATTCCAATGTACAGGTTCAGGAGGGGGCAATGGGACCGCCAGACTGCTAGAATCGGACGAGATGCCTAACTGCGCTCCGTCTGCAGTATCTGACCAAAGGAGGCATTTCGGGCTAATTCAGACTATCAACTGCTGTGTACTGCTGTAAGAGACTTCTAAGAGACACTTACCATTGGTATCCACGCCGAAAACCAGATGTTGTTGAGTCAAATACGTAGTCGCATCTAGGACATGAAAATTCGGTGGACTGGCTGCCAAGCCGTTCCAAAAGAATTGACATATTGAGTGAATCTCCCGGAACCACAGATGTTGACCAATTTTCTGGCTTGATAGGCATATTTGTCCGTGATTGCATAACAACAAATCGTCGGCGCTCGACGAGGCGAAGGCCCGGCTTGTTGTAGAACATCACGATTAGCAGCCGGCATAGACCCTGCGTCTGTCAGTAAAGAATGCTCAGTCACACCGATGCCAAATCATACCTCCCAGGTGTCACACATTTGGAATGGAAGGGCCATTTTGATACCAAAGGGATTCTCAAATTCTAGAACCGGGCAGTTTACGCCAGGCACCCTCATTGCTGACTCCAACCTCGTCACGACGTCGTGGAGTGAGAGCAGTATGTGGGTATTTCGCTGGACGAGACCAATGATTTCATTGCAATATTGAACGACAGCCTTGATCCATCGCTCCAGGTGCTCATTAAGGGAGAAAAGTCTGACAAGCTGTGATGAAGCCGCCCCCACTGTGTTAGTGACGGCATCCAGAACGATACTTGTCTTTTCAGCGTTCTGCTCGACCAACTTTAGGGTGCTTTCTTGTTCGACTTGCGCCAAGTTCGCAGCAACCACGAGTTTCTCGAGTCGTTCAGACCCAGCCTTGGCTTCGAGGAGGCAGGTCTCAATTTCATGAGAAGCGGTCTCCGTGGTTGTGATCAGCGCCTTCAAATGATCGGCAAAGGGATTATTTGTGGTATTTCCTGGTGTTAGACTTTCCCTACGCGGCGTAAGACGGAAAGAAAAGGTTACAGATTGATGGATAACTCACCAGTTCTGCATCGTCAACAGAGTATTGATCGCCAAGATCTCACTCGTTAGTATTGCGCGAAGTTCATCCACCTCATGGCGGGCGATAGCCGACCAATGCAATCGCTTCTTGAAGCTCTTAATCCAACCTTTTTTACTCTTGTCTATGCAATTTCCGGGGTCTAAAGTATTCTCGTAGCTCCTCATCTTTCTTTCGAATTCCTGCAAGGGCCCGAGGCATTGCAACGCAATCGCCCGGACTCTCTCGAGCCTGGCTTGCTCATCGACGCGGCTCGGTATGAGATGGAACGCCTGATGGCAAACTTTTGACAGAAAGCCTAGTTCAATTGCGAGCCGCTGGAAGTGATGCGGCGCCTCTTTGTACGACTTTACCTCGACGACGATGCGTTCGATCAGCCCTGCGATGGCGATCAAGTCGCCGATACTACTTCCGTCAATGATCGTATTGCTGAGGGCTGAAGGCAATTAAGGGATGGTACCTATACCCAAATGACATGGCACTAAGGTTGTAAGAATTGAAACCCCCCAAATGGAATGGCTGCTTAAAATTGCCTATGCAAGGCGAGATTTCTACACCGTTTCAGTGGCTGGGTAGAATGTCGTTCCCGAGAAAGCAAGAAGAAGAATGGAACTGGTTAGCATTTGGGCTTCGCAAGGCCTGGCACAAGCAAATCATGACCTGATCGAGGGTTGGGGATATTATAGCCAATCATTGGACAATTCACGGTGAGGCTTACGGACAAGGCAGAGTCTGCCTTCGCCAGTTGTTCGCTTTTCTTGGTGGCGGGGTTTCGCCTGGTGAGGTGGCTTGCTGAATTCTGCCTTAATAGGCGGCCGTTTTAGTGGCGGTTCTTGAATTATCAGGCAGGGAGGCTGACCTCAGGGCAGACAACTTGCAGGCCAAGACCATTCAGCCGCACTGTTGGCTGTCCCTTTGCAGCGTGCATGCGGGGTTCTTTGCTTATCATGATGTTCAAGAACTTCCTTCTTTACATATTATCAAGTGACAACGAACTGTTCATGTGCCTATACAAAGACCTTTGACTAAGCCGCTTGTCAATTTCATCGAAAAGATGTCAGGTATGCAAAGCAGTCACGACGACCGAACAGCCAATTTAGATCCATAAGAGTACAAAGTTGCCTGGATTGCCCCTCTTGAGATTGAAGCGAGAGCTGCTTTGTCTCTGCTGGATGAAAGACATCGCGGCCGGTTTCCCGTCAGCCGTAGAGATGACTACATTTTCGAAGCTGGTGTCATAGGCAGCCACAACATCATCATAGCGACTCTGCCGGCAGACCAAGAGTATGGCAACGGTTCTGCAGCCGCACTCGCCAGTCAGGTCAAAAAGTGCTTTCCGAATCTTTAGTTTAGGCTCCTTATCGGCGTGGCAGGATTGCCTAATCTCAATCGAGGCCGTAATGTCCGACTTGGCGATATTCTCGTCGGCCTCCCCGATAGTAATAGCGCAGGGTTAATTGCGTATAACCATGGAAAGGAAACTGAGGACGGCTTTGAGTTATTGCGCCATGGCCACAGTCTCGCAATAACAGAACCTATCGTTCGGTCGGCCATAGGGAATATCAAGCTTCAAGCGCCAAATAAAAGGGAGACCTTCTTGCCATATTACAAGAAGATTGCGAATCTAGAGCATTCCACGGGAACATTTGCCGACCCTGGGCAAGACAACGACATTCTATACGATGATGAGAGGCAGGTGATTCAGCGCTCTTCACGGCCAACAGATAAGCGATCTCGCGTCTGGTATGGCCCCATTGGATCGGGAGATAAACTGTTGAAGAATGTCGAGAAACGAAACCTATTAAGAGACAAATACGATATTATCGGGTTGGAGATGGAGGCAGCAGGAACCATCAACAGAATCCCCGTCGGCGTAATCCGAGGGGTTTGCGATTATGGTGATCGGCACAAGAATAAGGACTGGCAACCGTATGCCGCAGCAATGGCTGCTTCACATGCTAGAGCGTTGCTGGATGCCATTCGGCCCCAGCTGCCTTCTAGCTCTGGCTCCAGCGCAACAGTAAATGAGCGTCAGCGAACAACTGGTGAGTAAGTCTTGGAGTGCTCTAAAAGGTTGTTATGCAGGAAAGACTTGCTACTGATAATCTTAGATATTATTCAAGAGCCGTGTTACTATATACCTCTGATGAAGAATAGACGCTTCACTGGTCAGCAGTAGGTCTTGCAAGCGTTAGAACAGATGGCTTTTGGTCAGGAACAAGTCAATCGGATTGCACTTGTCGGACTAGGCGGCGTTGGCAAGACACAAATAGCCCTACAGTTTGCCTACCAGACCAAAGAGAAACTCCCACATTACTTAATCTTCTGGATACCTACGTTGAGTGACGAAGGTGCTGAGCGTGCCTACATGGAGATTGCCAGAAAGCTTGGTGTTCATAAGGCAAATGATGATTATGACGTGAAGGAGCTTGTTTGCCAGCATCTAGCATCAGGCAAAGCTGGAAAGTGGCTGTTGATTGTGGATAATGCGGACGACCCTGATCTCATACTTGGAAATGAGGGGAACCCTGGCTTCGAAAGAAATCTACCGCTGAGCGATAACGGGGTTGTTTTGATCACGACGCGGACTCGACAGATTGCTGTCGATCTTGCCCAGTCAGACGTGCTCGATGTTGACGAAATGGACAAGGAAGAGGCGATTGATCTCTTTAAAACGACCCTCATTGAACAAAGGAAACTAGCAACAAAGAACTGGTCCTCAACCTCCTTGCAAAGTTAACCTTTCTTCCATTGGCCATCACTCAGGCTTCTGCGTACCTCAACCAAAACAAGGCGCCCATACGAACGTACCTGAAGCTTCAGGAGGGCGCTGAGACTGAAGTTTCGAAAGTCCTTGGAAAAGAATTTCGTGACAATACGCGATACAGAGGTACCCGAAACGCTATAGGAACAACGTGGATTGTGTCATTCAATCAGATCCAAAAGTCGGCCCCTCTTGCGGTTAATTTGCTATCATTCATATCCCACATCGAACCAAAGGCAATTCCCCAGTCCATGCTACCTGGAGCGGCACCTGTAGAGTTGGAGTCGCAATGATGAAGAGAGGGACGATGCAACAGTTTTTCTTCTAGAAAAGCTTTCTCGGTCGTTTGCGGACGATAGGCAATTTAAAGAATCAAGTGATTGCGCAAACAAGGTATGCAAGTGGAGAAGGGGCTTTTTGCCAGAAACAGATCTGCTTCGGCTAAGAGCAGAGACTACTCTTGGGATGTCATACGTTGGATTGGGGCGTTTTGAAGAGGCTATTGAGATACTAAGTCACATCGTCGAGGCTCAATTGGGAATACTCGCAGAAGATGACCCTAATCGCTTAGCATCAGAACGCTTACTGGAAGACGCGTATGCTCACGTTCAACGAGTCAATGATGCAATTGAGATCCTTGAGCATGTGGTAGACGTGCAAAAAGGCTTAGATGAGGAAGATCCTGTTCGACTACAAGCGGAGCACGGGTTGGCAGCTGCAAATCTTGCGAATGGCCAAATAGAAGAAGCGATTGATGCATTAGAGCATATTGTAGCGGTTCGAGAGAGAACGCTACAAGCGACTCATACCGATTGTCTAGGGTCACGCATGTTACTAGGAGCTGCATTTTTGGAGAGTGGGCAGACTGAAAATGCAATGGAGTTATTCGAGAGTTTGAAGTCAACTAGTATGGAGATACTTGGGGAGAATGATTTCATACGGCTGTCAAATGAACACCACCTTGGAGTGGCCTATTCGCGATTGGGGCGAATCGAGGATGCAATCCCCATTTTGGAGCATGTGGTAGAAAGTAGGAGGAGTATCTTGCTTGCAGAGCATTCTTGGCGATTAGCATCAGAGTTCGACCTAGCCAATATATACTGGCATGCCGGACGGATCGAGGAAGCTATCGAGATTTTGGAACATGTTGTGTCCATTGAAGCTGACATCTTGATGGAAGATGACTCTAGACGACGGGTATCAAAGCGCTTACTGCAGGACTGTCATGAGAGCATTCAGGAGGTTGTCGATTGAGATAATAAGAATCCAGGTCGACAACAAAAGATATATTTAGACAAAAAGTGCAGATCGCCCTATAGGACGAATAAACCTGCTCGGTTCTGGATGCTAGCATACGAAAAGTTGGTTGAAACTTTCGCTTCTCCTAAGGCCTAAATATCTACAGCGACAGGCTTGAAATGATTATTTCTGCCAAGGGAACGTTTGTGTTCAAGCCTGTTCTCTGTTAGTCAGTCTGCCTCGATCAATAGTTTCATGCACCTAATCACCGTAGTATGAATGTGGCTTTTCAACCCTGTAGGTGGACCTATGGGAGGAGAGTGGCGAAGTCGTGGGCGCTTATGACCTGACCATGCAGAGCCTCGTCAGTGTCTCAATCTCATCACCTTGACAATGACCATTATGATCCGCTCAAAATTCTGTATCTAATAAGTAGAAAATTGAGCATAGGATCTGGACTCCGCCATCGTTGTGCAGCCAAAATGGTGCGAACAGAGACTCTTCTCAGCGAGTACATCAATTTCAGCGACCAGGATGCCGGCTTGAGCGATGGAGAACTCATCAACAAAGAGCTCATGTTCTACGGCGCCGCGGCAGTCAGCCATCTCTGCAATGAGCAAGAACAAGGCATCAACATCGATGATAATCTTCGCAAAAGTGAGCGGTTCCGATTCATCCGAGAACTCGACATAATCTCATCAATCTACTCAATTGCCCCGATAAGCAAGAAAGCGGGGATCAAGTCAACGCCGCCCGTCATTGCTTGGTCTAATCGACTTCAGACCCTCTTTCTGGGCTTCTGTTGCACTCGCGACATGAACGATGTCCGGTCTGATCTGGACGTACGCTTGGCAACGTCTGATGATATTGGATCGCGCTTCCATAAGGGCTTCTGGAATAGAAGTGAAGAGTTTGTGCCGCTTGTTGAATGGCTTATGAAGAGACACAAGTTGGTTGTTTGCGGCCACAGCTTCGGGTGCATTTATCCAGGCACTTTAATTAATTCACGCTAATGCTGTATCTTAGAGGCGCTTTAGCAACCATCTCGTCCTACCTAGCCATGGTCAGTCGTGATCCTGTTCCCAATGCCTGGGAAGAAAGACAAGGCGGCATATCCATCATCACATTTGGGTCACCTTCGTGTATGGTCGCTGAACCTCGAGGAACGACAGCTTCCCTTCAAATGAACTTGAGCGGCAACTTTCACCATGTTATTAACCCTCACGACTACGTTCCCTTCGCACTTAACGATAGCTCGAGGAGGTTCAGACAGGGCTTCGACGCTTTGCGAACACCATTAGGAAATATTTCACCCACTATCCAAATGCTATGGCCTATTCTCGAGTACTTTCTGGATCTTCTGTTGCAGCATACCGGCAAGTTCTGTCACTTCGGTTGCATGTACTCCATTGCGGCCGAAGTACCGGGGATCCAGAATTGTGTTCAGACTTTGCGTGTCAATGACATACCCCAGATACCCAGCGCAGGCCAGGTTGACCAATACCACAAGATGTCACATTACTTCCATTGTGTGAAGAACTCTGTCGGCGCACGACTTCAACAGGAAGCTTCATCAGAAGTCGTTCATGGGATGCGTTCTGATGTTTCATCAATGATCCTTCCGATGCCCGAGACGGTGACCAGCTGCGCCTGCGTGATTCACAGCGACCACTTGATTGTATCACTCGACGTCGATACGCCTGTGATGCAGTATCTTTTGAAAGGAGCAACCTTCAGGAACGATACCCGAGAAATTCCTCTTACGATTCTTGGGTTCCCTACCAAGTCTGACCACTACCAGGTAGGTATTCACTTTCATGTGGTCCTTGAACTTTTCAAGCTGACTTGTTTTCCAGACTTCTGTGAAACTGGAGTATCGGATCAAAGCCGGTGACCCCTTTGACGATATTGGAAAAGCTTCAATCGCCATCCAGAAAGGCATCACCCTTCATGATATCTTTGGGCGATCTACAGACATTGATGTTGACACGGTAAGATCAATGAGTCTGGATAGAGCCAGTTTGCCAGCGACATTTGAAAGTATCAGGCTGGCAATGATACGCGCGCTTGTTGCGCAGATGTCAAAAGTCCAAGCCCTCAGAACTGATAATACCTCTCGCGATGCCCATCCCCCAGAAGAGTTCATGGCGATTGTCGACAAGATAAAAACTGTCGTAGAATGTATTGACGGCTTGGTCAGCGATGCCAGCCCCCATCTCGTCGTTAGTCGCCTGGGGCATGCTTTTACCATTCTGAAGGTGCTTTGGCCGAAGGACTTTGAGATTGGATCCGACTTCCATGCCTCTATGCCTGGGGCGTATGGAGATGAAGAATCTGACACTGGCCTTCTTCACGATATTCCTCATGACTGCCCTAAAGCGCTTAGAAAGCTCATTACGGACATGTTCCTTAGTCAGAACGCCCCAGGCATTACCCGAGCTCAACTTTCTGTCAAAAGCTGGGAAGCCGCCAAGAGACCGACCTTGACAAAGCAATTCACGAAGATACCAACATTTGCTGGAGCTCTTGAGACGTTTAGTCATGATCTATATCATCGTTCGACAGACCCCGCAAGACGCACTGAGCAATCAGTTTCCCAGTTCCAAGACGTCATGGGTGTCATCCAATTCTGTCATCTTGTTATCATCACTCAACTTGACGCGCCATATGAATGGTACTGCAAGTCTACTGAGGGTCATCAGATAACATCAGCTGCTTTGGGGGCATTGCCATCTTACTTCTCCGGAGCTTCGGTATTTTCCAGAGTCCTAGCCTCATCCTTCATGGAAAGCTTGGGCGTGGGAGCCATTTCCGCTGCTGGTATGGGGGTAACCGGAGGCATAGCTGTGTTGTTTGCAAGCACCGCTGTCATCAATCATTTTCTCAACAGGCACAAAGAGTATCTCAATCTAACATTCCCTGGTGCCCTATCCACCACTCTACAGGCACTTGATCTACCCATTGCTGAGTCCGACGACATAGTGGAGAAGACCCTACTCGATCGCGTGAAGCAGGATATCGCAAGTTCTCGTGCCCCAGATACTTTGGAGAAGTGGAGGGTGAAACTTGAGGAGGGCTTGAAAGACTATCCTGGGGCGAAGGCTAATCAATGGTGCATCACACCCACCTTCTTCTGGCCTAAGTGGCTTTTCAATGTTGCTCAAGTCGCCCAGCTTCGGATCCAGCTCTCTGACAAGATCTGCATCGGAGTACAGGGCTCTACGGAAGCTGGCAAGAGTCAAATGCTGACAGTCTTGACTGGAGCATCCGAGGACTACTTCAAGCCTGGCTCCAGCAGACTTTGCAGGACTCTGGGCATTCAGTCGTACGACTCCGGGGACCTTGGTGCTATCTTCCTCGACAGTCCTGGTTTTGACGACCAAAAGCCAGAGATCAAGTATATGGCCGATGTGTTTCAAGAGCTATTCGCTATTGTGATCATCGTCATCCCAATGGAACGAACACGATCTGAGGCTACCGAAAGTGCACTACGCATAGCTATCAAGCTGCTCCGTGACCAGGAGGATAAGCGTCCACTACGGATTCTGCTGAGCCAGGCCGATGGTCTGGATCATCACCGCAACAACAAGCAGGTCTTTAGGGACACCCTACGCGATGTTAAGGAACAGTTCATGTCGAGATTTAGACAAGAACTGGGTGAGAACTTCACCACTTTCAGACAACAGCCGTTTCACGATGGAATTGTCTGCAAATCGGAGAAGCTGGAGGATATAGTCAAGCCGTTCTCGACGCATGCCCAGATGAGTCTGGATGGCATTACTGCGTTGGCAGATTGTCTTCCTGGAACACCATGTAAGATTGAAAGAGCGAGCCACTTTGGGAATTTGTGCGAGTTGGCTGATGCGGGAGAAATATGGGACATCGAGTCGCTACGCTCCTGGCTTCGGGATCTTTCACCTAACAGTGTGCCGACTTCGAGTGGCCGTGTGCGGGTATACTGTGATTAGTTTTAGCAATATAGTATTCCCTCATTTTCAGTAGGTGGGTTTCTATGATAGTTATATACACGATTTATTTTCTTTGCGATATATCTTTGTCTCGCGTGAGACTGCTTGCAGGGACCCCTGTTTGTCTGTTGGTTGCAGCATCCTGTATACCCACCTCCATATTGGCTGAGTAAGAGAGGCGAACTTGGCAAACATCATCTGATGAGCCCCGCGGCGTTGACTTCTAAATGCCGCAACCAGATCACGCACCATGTCACTTGGACTATTCATCCTTGGTTATTAATATTGAGCATCATGACGGATATACAAGCCAGTGACACGACAGTCGATCAGCCTGCACCGACAACAGGCGACACGTCCCAGGAAGAAGCTCCTACGGGACTTCTCCCCGGTCAGCATTGGACGCAGACCGTAGGTCTCTAACATGTCAGCCTTGACATTTCATGACATTACCATTTTGACCTATCCAGGAGCCAGTTGAAGACGATGATGACAATGACTCGACACTATCGGACAATGCTAGCTCAACAGCTTCACTCTCTTCCGATATCTTGCGCTACCGAGAGATCAATGGAAGGAGATATCATAGTGAACAGGGCGATGCACAGTACTGGTTAGTGGCTATCCAAGCAATCAACTGGACACCCCCATCCAGTTTGATTACCGAAGCTAAGCCAGTGCCCAGGATTTCAAATGACAACCAAGCCAATGAAGCACTGGACATCAAGTAAGGGGTGGTCAGACTATCACATGGGTCGTTTTGCTTACAGGTTCCAGTCACCATGTTCTAATTCTCATGTATAACGACAAGCTATACAAAGCGCCGTTGAAAGATGATATACAGGTACTCTTCTAATTTTATTATATGGCTAGAACCGTCTGCTGATGAGTCCATCTTGGTCAAGGCCGCTGTAGATATCGGAACAGGCACAGGTAAGAGTCGCGTTACTGTCTCCCCCATCGACATAGACAACTAAATGACCATGCTTGTGTAGGAATATGGGCGATGTATGACCTCTAGGAACAATTATTAGAATCACTAGCTTACACTGAAAGGGACTTTGCCGACGAGTTTCCCAACGCAAAGGTGGTTGGAACGGATATTTCCCCCATCCAGCCAAGTTGGCTGCCACCAAACCTCGAGTTGTGAGTGAAACATCAATCACTGACGCATGTATACCGACTGACTCACCTTGCAGTCAAATTGACGATTGTACCCAGGAATGGACGTTCAAGGAGAACTCACTTGACTATGTACATATGAGATTCCTGGTTGGCAGCATAGTCGACTGGCCTGCATTGTTCAAGCAAGCCTACAAATGCCTAAAACCAGGTGGCTATATCGAAAGCCATGAAGCCTCGCCTTGTATTGGCAGTGATGATAACTCTGTGTCTGAAGATAGCGCTATGGGTCAGTGGGGAAAGATCTTCATGGAAGGAGGTCGGAAGCTGCAGCGGCCATTCTCTGTCCTCGAAGATAATGTCCAAGTTCAAGGTATGAAGGAAGCAGGATTCGTAGACATTGAGGAAGAAGAGATCAAGGTATATTTCCTGTCCTGCTACTACTTTTGGAATTATTGGTCTGACAGATATTAGGTCCCTATTGGCGGATGGCCTGAAGATCCAAAGCTCAAAGAGGCCGGTCAGTACTTCCAAGCTGCAATTCTGCAGGATGTTGAAGGAACTCTTATGTTTATTGCAAACCTACTGGGATGGAGTAAAGAGGAGATCCACGTCTTTGCAGCTCGGTACCGTCGCGAAATCCGTTCAAAGAAAGTTCACGGGTACTTTCGCGGAAAGGTAGTTTGGGCACAAAAGCCGCTTGAAAACTAATGCTCTGATTTTGGTTCGCACTGCAATTTGAGTAGTAAAATACATGCTATTCTTATTGCTGAATCTGCATGCCGCTACTTTCACAACTACTCGTCGCCAGTAGCAAACTCTCCCTTTGCAATCTTATCACTAAGCGCCTTATTGGGAGTAAAATAAGATGAGAAGTCCTCCCGCTTTTCCAGCAACAAGTCCACTACCATTCTTCCAAAGACAATTTCGCCAGCTGGGTTCAGATGCGTCCTATCCCCTTCTCCCCAGTTGTAACGTTGCGCGTTCTCGTTTCCGATGGCGTTGACATAGTCAGTGCTGGCTTTGTTGAGTTCAAGATATTGGGCGCCGACATCCCCAGCAGCTGCAATAGTCTCGGCAGCCCATTCCTTGAGGTTCTGGACAACCTCACCGTTTTGAAATGTGCGGCGCGTGAGTGACGTGATGAAGATCTGATATTCTTCTTAGTAGGAGTGAATGTCTTGTAGATCAGATAGGAGACTTACCGGTGTTCCTCCAGCCGCTTTGATCTGATTGCCAATGTTGACCAAGTTGGTATGGAACTCATCCAGTTGCATGACCTTCTGATCATTGTGGCCAAATTGAATGGTCACAACAGGCTCAAATTCAGCCTTCGCCGCACCAATGCCTTTGATGAGGGTGTCCCAACGACCATTGGACTTCCAGGATACGGTAGTCGAGCCACTGACACCTCGGTTATCGCCTTTGGCCGGGGCATTTAGATATGATAGGAACCCGTTACCCCAGCCACCATCGACGGCGACAGTTGAGTCGCCAATGAGAAAGAATCGTGGTGGTTTTTCAGCTTTGGCAACGGGACTTGACTGGACAGAGCTAATGACGGTGAGGACCAGGGCGGCGAAAGGGAGTCTCATTTTGATGATCTGTAGTAGTGGCAACCGGAGATAGAAAGGTCTTCAAATGTCATAAAACAAGTGATGGAGAAGTTCTGTACTCGCAGAATAGTTAAGATCAACTGAATAGCTCTCTTCATCTTTCAGTTCGGTATTGGCAGATTATATCATGTACAGTACACAATTGACCAGGGTTGTCGTGTAGCGCATCTTCGCGGGGTCCGGTACTCCCGGGGCAATGATACCACGAAGTCACATCTAAACGGTATATACGCCGATGCCGCCATCCTCGTCGATGCATCGGAGCGAGATATGCCGCAGACCTATCTGGAAAGATCGACATCGTCTTGTTTCTCAGTAGTGGAAGAGATATTTCCAGCGGGGACCCTAGTTGTAGATCATGGACTGTTCCGATATTCCTTGGCGATATAGGCTACCCATGGTGCATCGGTTACTTGAACGAAAATGGCAACTGAACTTTACTAGGAAGTTGAGCAAATTCACCATCAAGTTTATGCATTTTATTTTGGGGGACAAAAATTCTCCTATCATTATTACATCAAGCCCAGAGTACATCTGTAATCTCCTCAAACAAATTAGCCGCCCAAATTGCATCATAGTCAAAATGCGGCCGAGATGATATACTGTTTCCCTCTCTCTGTACAAGTTGAGTGCTAGTTGCGGTGAGATCATTCGATATCTCAACATGTTCCGTTAGCCCTTCATCGTCTGATAGCTTCTCATCCAGCTCAATAACTCGCGGCAGGCCAGCAACACTTTCTGATGCGCGACGCTTGCGAGGCGTGTACAGAGTTGTCGCAGACAAGCTGTGTATCGGCCCGTAGGCCAATCTCTTTATCCCCACGTCGTGAAGGATAGATGTCGGTAGGTCCAGTTCCGTTGGTGGCCTACCAGTAATCAGGGCATAGTCAAGGGAAAGTCGAAGCCGCATGTACTGGCGTGTAATGAATAACTCATCCCAGTACTTCGTAAGACTCTTCGATGGTGGTGACAATGCTCCCTCTGCTCCAGATGACTGCCGACGCCCTGGTGGTTGCGAGTGCGGGCGCAGTGGTAGCTGAATGGGCGTCGACTGAACGATTTGCGTGATCATTCTGCTGATATCTTCGGCACCTTCAAAGCGCTTACTGCATAAGTGCATTGCTTGCGCGTGATATCTCGTCAATAACTGATCTTCATCTGATTCGGGGTCCTTGGGTGCTATCCTCTCATCTATAGAGCTCAGCATAAGAGGGTAAGCGATGTACGCAATCCTGGACGAGAGTCAGTTATGGCAGTCAAATTGTCGGATGTTCACCTACGCAGAAATAGGAAGATGTTGGGTCAGGCCTTCTTGAACTATGAAACCGACCAATTTCGTTGTCTCCGTTGTTGCATAGCTTATATCCTTGCCAATATTTCGAAGGACAGCGTCGTCGATGACGTTTATTCCTTTTTGACGCTGTTCAATCATCATAGCTTCATGATTTCCAAGAGCAATCTGGGCAGCGCTGAACCTAGTCAGATTGAAAGGACAATTCGGGGGGTTTAATGACACTCACTAGGCATATATGTACACGACACTTGATATGAGTGTCGTTGATCGGTGCGCCCCCGTTCCACTGAGAAATGGATGGAGGGCTATATCTGCTTCTTTCTTCCAATCGGCGAGATTACTTTTGGCGGTCCTGATTTGAGAAAGGGTTTTCTCGAAATTATCCAGCGAGTACGTGATGTCGAATGCGTTTGGGCCATAACAGATGGAAAGAGTCTCTGTCAGAAGGACCGCCAGACGACATTGGTGGTTTATGATATCTGCTAGCTGGCGCTTCGTTCTAGAATCATACACAGCAGAGTTCTCTGCTTCATCGACGAGATCCTCAGGAGTGATGGGATCTAGACTGACGTTGAAGCTTGAAGGTGTTATCTGTAAAGGTTTTCGAAGACCGAGAGTCAAGACTCTGTCCCTCCAGAATAGAGACCACCATAGCCGCTTGTTACTCTTCTTGCGCGATATACTCGACCCCGGAGCTTGGAAAGTGTGAGCTTGCGCAACGATAGCATTTTGAATGGCGATAGCGAGCCAAGTGCTTCCTGCGTGTGGTTCCAACGCCGAGAATTGGAACGTCAAGAGCAAAGCCGCCTGGGATTTGGTGAATGCATCACTCTCGACCCCAAGGTCAAACAATAGCTTTAGAAGGTTAGTGGTGATACGCGACTTCAGTGAGTTTTCGAACCTTCGCCCTTCTATAGAAGATATTGCGTGCCATTTTTACACTTGTGTATCCGGCATTCTTGAGTACTACTGGCGACACAAACTGTGTCTTGTCAGCTAGTTCTCACAAAGGTTGGGAGGGCCCTTACCGCAGATGCTGCGAAAAGCATCGCTTGAAAAACGAGCAGGGACATTGATTTTCTCTTTCCGTCACTTCTTTCTCGACCCATGTACATATCCCAGAACTCTTTCTCATCTACCAAAGGATAGTAGGGATGTAAGTATAAGAAGTACTGGTTGATGAACTCCTCTTGGACAGTTCGCACAGGCAGGTGAAAGCACCGATTGAGTTCAAGAAAGTCAACATCTTGTTCATTAAGGACTCTGAGATCTGGCAATACTAGAAATGGCTGTGTTGTGTATAGTACCTCAGACTGAGAATATGCCGCTGAGGGCCTGGGCTTGGACATGGTTGCTCCAGTTTCCGAAATGCTGTGTGCTATGGCCAAAGCTGAAAGAGCCCAGAAATGAAGTCCTCAGTATGTCTTGGCTCTTGTGGGAGTCAAAGGCCTTGGCGTACTTCTTCGTCTTGATTTGCAGGGTTCGAATGATAGTCCGGTCATCCGTAGGACCGTAGTAGTCCTCAACATGAGCTGAGCGTAATCGGAGTCCGGGAACCAAACTTCCGTCCCCACTTTCATATGCCGAGGTGAACTCCACTCACTGACAAAGAGAGCCTCTCGTCAAGTGATGCCTTAGACTACTGCCTCAGGCCTGGTTTTCGACCCACTGTAGCTTTTATGTGACCGTAGCCTAAAAAGGTAAACATCTTAAGCTCCTCAAGCTTTTCCAACCTCATCGAATCTATCGCCTAAATCTGCCACGCTACAATTCTGTCATTCTAATCACCAATCACTTGCTTACTTATACTCTCTATGCATCTACCTGAGCGCGCCTGACCACGAGAACCATGAATGCCAGATCAAACTACTATTATGATCATTACGAGGGCCTCTGCTATGATGATGGCATGGTCTATGAAGATCCCGATTTCGCCGGTTGCGATTATGACGGACAGCGTGAGCTGATGGCCATGAATTAAGTACGAGTGCCGAGTTATCCTACGAGAGAAGACGTTCTAGATCGGACCCGAGACTACTCAAAAAACATCTTTGCAAGCTATCATCAGCTGAATAAGATACTCGAGAGACATGAAGCCACTATCCAAAGAAGATGGATGAAAAAGCCACGCCAGAAAAGGCTTCAGATCCTCCTGAAATATTGGCCTGGAATGCCTATCAACCACCGCCCTGATTTCGCGGCTTTCCGGCAGGAGCATGCAGTAGATCGACATGAACATGGATCCAAGCTCAGAGACAATTTCATGTGACCTATCGTCAACCAGGAGGACTTGTTGGGGCCTAAACTCATGCTCTTGCTGTTGAATGCCAGGGGGAGACTTGCACTTCCTGCCTTTGCTGCAGTTGATTGTGAAGGGCTATGGTTTGGCAAATTGACGAGGGGCCTCAAGCATGAATTTCTCCATCATCATACCGTGATCTTGCATGGTGCTACAAACGCCGAGGAATATGGAAAGCTTATTCGTTGGGACTCTCACCCAGACGCTTTTGAGTGGGTGAAAACACGAAGGCAATATCTCCCCGGAGATGCCCTCTTGGTCCTTGAAGTTCAGGAACGTCTCATGAAATTCCTTGTTGATTGCTGCCACCAAAGTCTTCACGAAATCCCCTCCGATGCTATGATTAGCGACGAATATCCCGTCCAGCCCGAAACAATACTGAAGATGGATAGCGACCCGTCTGGATTTGTTTCCTTGACGGTGATGACTGCCCAGGCTCCTTGCAAGCGACCAGCAGGCCTCGATCTTGCGCGCATAGCTACATTCATCGAGCCTAGGAATTCGGCAGCAGAGGATCACATTTAGGCCTTGCGAGAGGATCCTGCCTACTTTTCTGAGCATTTCCGCAAGATGATGGACCATCAACAAGAGATACTTCCAGACACCAAAGGTAACCCGCACCCTATGGCTCAACCCTTCAGAATCAATATCCTCTAGTCCCACATACTTTTCTACATGGTTTTAGATACTTATTCGAACCTATTAGCCTCTACATTTCTTCATGCGCGAGTCAAGAAGGTAGTCGAATATAAGCAACAGTACCGTATTGACATTGGTCCTATAAAGGATTTACCAGACAAGTATCTCAAGACTTTGGTCATATTCAAGTTTTTCTTGAATCAAGCAGTCAAGGGTCACCCAAACGCTGTGGGAAGATGGTTGGGGGCTTTTTATCGCTCGCTTGCCACTCGTCGTCGATGAAATAGAACGATTGATGCAGGTAGAGCCCAAAGCAGATGCACTCGTATCGGCTCATGTCGCCAAGATACTGGGTGACGTTGCTATTATAGCACAGTGTCTGAAACAACTGGAGCTGTACCAACCATGGGCCGCCCAATTTGACCAGTACATTCAATCTAATATTGAATTATACGGAAGCATATGGACTGAACTTCGGGGTAACTTTAAGCAATTGCATGAGGCCTTACTGCGAAAGGAGTTTGATGAAGCAGCCAGACTCGCAGAGCCATCTGGTGGCAAATTTACCTATCCGTATAGCAAACGCCGTACCAGAGACGGTAAATACCCTGCGCCGAGCTGAAGCGAACCTGGACATAGTCTGGGCCAAGATCAACCAGGTGACTAAAAATTAAGTCACAAACTTTGAAAACACGGCTGTTTACAACCTGTTTTGCCAGCAACGTACCCTGCGAAGGACGGTTGAGTGGCTCGAACCTGCAAAGACTGACTCAAAGGCCGAGCCTATTGTGGATAAAGATTTGTCGGAACTCAACAGACCTCTTTCGAAGCTATTTCTGGACGAACCTGCCCAAGACCCTAAGAAGGTCAAGCCTGAAGCCAAGTCGAAGACAAAGGTCAAGACCAAGGGTGATCCGACGGAGCCTGCTACCGAGGAGGTGACCCCGCCGGCTGATGAAGCAGAACCGGCAACTGAAGAGACCCAGCCAACATTTGCTGTTGATGCCAAAGCGCTCAAGGTATTCCGTACTTTGTTCTTCGATCCTGAAGTAACAACGAGTCCTGGCTTGATTCCGTGGAACCACTTCCTCTATACGATGGCGTCGACTAGCTTTAAGATTGAGAAGCTATATGGTTCGGTCTGGCAGTTTACTCCGACTACGCTGGATGTTGAGCGGGGTATCCATTTCCATGAACTGCATCCGATGAGCAAGATTCCTTCTGAGACCGCTAGGCGACATGGACGACGATTGCCGAGGACGTATGGGTGACATGGGGGTATGTTTATACTGAAGGAAAACTCATAAAGGTTTAAACTGCTGGGGTAAAAGTCTTTTTTGGTCATTATAGAAATCTAGATCTCAGTATTCTTAGTTATTCGCTTTGAATGTGTAATTTTTGCTGGTTCCCATGACACCTTAATTAAACAGTCTATTGTACAGAACTGTTTATCAATATGCTTTTTGGAAGGCCAAGAAATGTATTCATAGGACGCATTTTTTCGTGAGGCAACAGGAAGAAGTCCTTCTTCAGGAGAAAATGGATGTGATACTCTGCAGGCACTATATGACTTTAACTGATGTTTATTGTTTTCTAGGATAACTTATTACTTTTGAGATAGATTGAGTTTAGGCCTTGATGTTACGAATAACATACCCTAGAGCCGCGAAATGTACGACACGAGTGTGGGGTCAGATACTCAACTAGCCAGTTAAATTGGCTCAGCTCGAGATGAGCTAACTCACCGAGGATTAGACTGGGGACACGAATTCTATTAATAACAGCAGCAGACTCGTCAGAGCTTCTGATTGGTACTGCAAGACTCGCAAATCTCCACAATTCACCATGAACTTTTTACCAAGTGCAAATGGACGGTTCACGAGCTTGATGCTATCACCATGAGCATTTCTTCTGCCCCGGATCAACCAGAATGAAAGCGAAAACTCTTACTACGCGATGGAGCGAGCAAAATGTTTATATATAATGAAGGAGACGGCTGATGGGCACGGCCTATTTGCCAGAGAGCTCATCAAATCTGGGACGCGCATCATTCACGAGAAACCAATCTTGACAGTTTCACAAGCTGAGACGAAGACGAAGACTGAGTACAGATGTGTCATCGATCAGGTCGTGGATTTGAGTGACTCAGAGAGACACCGATTGATGAATCTGTATCACAACGATAAAAAGCTGCGCGAATTCTCATTCCTCCAGGGCCAACCATGTCCTGAGACAGATCTCGATGCTGGCCTTGTCTTGGCTAAGTTCTACACAAACGCCGCGAACATCACATCCGGAGGTCTCGAGTGTGGCTTATTCACCACTTTCTGTCGCATGAATCACTCATGTACGCCAAACATCTGTTGGGTGTATGATGAGCCAACGGGTTTCATGGAAGTATACGCAGTGAGGGATATTGACAAAGACGAGGAGATCACCAACTCATACATCGAAGTCGCAACTTCCCATCAGGTCAGGATAAGGGAGCTCTCAAATTGGGGCTTTACTTGTCGATGCGCTGCATGTGAAGGGCCTGATGCTGCTAAGCACGATGAGCGAAGGCGCAGGATTACTCAGATCAAGGGAATTCTCGACATCTATCAGGATGCAGGAAAAACGGGCGATGCACCGAAGTTCGCCGAGATTCCAAAGACAGATCTGGAAGCATTGAAGCTCGGCGAAGAAAGCCTCGCGCTGTTATCGGAAGAAGGGCTCGTCGAGCAATTGGGTGTTATGTATGGGTTGTGTGCAAAGTTTGCCAAGGGCGCTGGGCTACGTGACTTCGCAGAAGATTATGAGGAGATGGAGTTTGAGATATTGGTGATAACGACTGGAGAGTATGTCGAGTAATGAACAACTTCCTGGGGGACCAAGCATAGTAGAAAGTTTAAGTCATATTCTCTGGAGTTGCGAAGTCTGAAAAGGCTTGCTACCCACATAATAGTTCGAAGGAGAGTTCCCAAAGCATTGCATCGAGCGTTCTTTCCTGAGGGTCTTTCCTTGGCACTGGAGACCAAGTCTCTTCATAGCCTCACGTCATTGCGTGTTATGTGCCGTGGTGAGGAACAATTCATGACACTATCATACTATAAAAGTCTATATTACACGAGAAAAGAAGTCTTTGGAAGAAAATCATTCTGTAGAGACTTTCGGGGACAAAAGAAAATGTGCCAACAGCGTGACAACAGCAGAAGGAAATGAAGGCGAAAATGGTGAGCGTCCAAGTCCTCTTACTCACAGCCAGGGCATGTCCAACACGCAGGATCATCCCAGATAGAGTTCATAGAAGGATCCTTGTCCGTCTCAAGCGGTATAGGCATACCAGTCAGAGCAAGCTTGTAAACCGAGAACTTACAACGATCATCTTTATAACCCGAACCCTTACATCCTGGATAAGCTCGGCATATAGCAGCGCACCTTCGAGGGGTAGCCTGGGCGTACTCTGTATAAACACTGATCAAGTTGGGATCATTTCCATCTACCCATCCGCCTCCCATATAGGCACTGTAATTGCAGATTGCGCCATCAGGAGGGTTATTGACAGGCTTGCACTCGTCGCCCAGGCTGTATGCGCACATCTCAGGTGGACCCTTTGGAACAGAATCAGGAACACACGCATCGCAATCGGTGTAGCAGCGCGTGTCCAGCCAAACCTGCTTCTTCCAGTCGTTTTCCTCGGTGACGAAATTCTCTTTGAGTAAGGGAAGTTCAGAGAAGTAGCATCGGTTTTCGAATTGCGAGTATCCGGCGGTCAAGCAGAGTGGATGGCCTTGACAGATGGCTATACATTCTTCGACTCGGTCTTGATGGGGATATGACTCGCGGGTCTCCCACCAGAACTTTCTGCTGGTGAACTTGTCGCCCCATGAACAGAGAACGTCTTTGGGGTAGTTGAAACGGTCGAAGTTGCACATCTCACCGTGCGTATACTTGCAAGTCTCGGTTGGTGTCTCAGAGGCGGTGGTGGTTTCTGAGGTTGAAGTGGGATCTTGAATACTTGATGTTGCATCTTTAGTCAAGGATGTAGAGTCTTGAGCCATGCCGCTTGATATATCTAGACTAGGGCCTTCAGCAGATGTGTGGGTTGTTTCAGGCCAAGTGGTTGTGCCTTCGATGAAAGTTGGCCCCACGTCAACGCTGGTCTCTGGTCGAGGAGGCCGAATGCTCGTTGGTTTGGTACCTGGCGTAGGCTCCAAGCTTCCAGAGCTCGTCTCTGGGTGAGGCAACCAATGAGTAGTGTTCTGGGGAACTCGAGTTGGCGGTTCCGAATCGATGGTTGTCTCCGATTGCACTGGAGGCTCAGTAAAACCAGCAGTCGACGTTGTGCGGGCTGAGGAATCACCACAAAGTTGACAGTTGAAGCAGTCTAACTCAGACCATTCTAGGTCACGATCGCGCTGTCCCCCGTTCCAACCAGAGACCCTCAAAGGCTCAAAGACGAAATTGCAAGGGTAGTTCTTGTTGTTGTTCACGGCGAAAGCAAAGCATCCATCAATGTAGGCACAGGTCAGTGCGCACTTCTGGATGTCCATGCCTTGCATGGGGTATTGCGAGAGTGAGTACGCGACAACATCAGCGTTGGGCTGCCCACGGTAATTACAGAGTGGCTCTGAAGGCTGTGGAGACTTCTGTCCACAGAATCCTGGAGGCTTGTAACCATCGGGACAGACCTCTTGAGAAGGAATCTCGGGTCTGGTGAAGCCTGTCGTGGTAGAGGGAGGAAAGTTTGTGGTAGTGGTGTCTGGCTCAATGGATGTCACTGGATCGGCCGGTTCACTAGTTGGAGGGGATGGAAGTCTGCTGGTAGTCTCTGGAGCGCTGTCGCCATCTCCAAAGTCCAGCTGGAACTGATCAATGTTGTCAGGCGTCACCTGATTGGAGACAAAGACCGAATCCACGTAGATCAGTGCCAATCCATTGCCTGTGCAAGACATGGAGATGCCGAAGCTGGCACTTCGAGAGTCAGCCATGACAGTAGTGAGGACTCTGTTCCATGAGACACCGACACCGCCGCTGGTGAAGAGACCCATGGTGTAGAACTGGCGATTTCCTAGATAGGCATTGACACTGCAAATCTGACTGCCCCCAGCAGTGACGACAACGTAATAGAACTGAACAGTGTAGAGAACAGTCTTGCTCGGAGCAAGATTGGTGAGAAACTGTGAGATGCTTGCTAGTCCACCAAAAGCTCTCTTCTGTGAGTCGGAAGAAGAGCCCAAGGCAACGCAGCCATTATCGGAGCTACCGTCTCCCTGGTAGCAGTCGCCGCTCCGCTGCTTGGCCTCGCCTTCGGCATCAAAGGCAAAGATGCCACTTTCTGAGTTGGAGTCCTTGATGGAGAAACGCCCGTTGGAAATGGCGTTTGTGACGACGATGTCTCCCTGAGACTGTGTTGCAGTCGGTCTATCAGTCAACGAGCCACTGGGTGCCTCTGTCTCTTGGCTGATAGCGCTTTCGGATGATGATGAGCCTGTGGGGACTCCAGATGCTTCACTAAGAAGCGTAGAGGCAATTGACTCGGTGGTTGAAGACTCAATGCCAGTGGCCTCAGCAGATGTCTCTGCCGAGGAAATTGTTGAAATGGACTCATCAAACTGGGTGGATGTTGTTGTAGGACCTAGGCCACCGAGTCTACCGCCGATGCATTGCTCGGCTATCGATTATTGTCAGTAACGGACTGCAATGGAGGCGTCAATACTCACCTCTATAGATGTTAAGGGACACCGGTACACAACCAGATGGTTTGGACGCGAAAGTCATGTAAACCTGCCCATCAGAAGGGGTCTGGCAAAATGAAGCTCCACCATTAGGTAACGAAGGATTTTGGAAGCATAGTATCCCTCCCTCGCTGCTAAAAGTTGTCGAGATTGTATTATCACTTGACGAGGACGAGGCTTGGATTTTCTGGTAGGCATCACCGAGATATGAAACTGGAACTCCGCTTTCGGAAAGCTGGCCATTGCCAAGTATGAAGATAGTCGCAAACGTGCAGATGTCGGGATTTCCATCACCAACAAATCCACCAATATCGCGTTTTGTGTTACCACCAGAAGGGCTAATGAGGAGGATGATGCGCTGGCCAGTTGGCTCAAGAGTAGCCGAAGTGGACGAACTGACAGCGGCCGAGGAAGCGAGATCTGAACCTTGAGCAGTAGATGTCGATATCAATTCGACATCTGTGGTGTTTTCAACAGGGCGTGGGAGATCCGTCGCAATTGATACTGGGGCGAGGTATGTTGAAAGGTAGGTGATGCACCACGTCCCAGGGTCTTGGTCCGCATACTGGATGTCTCTTGCATCAGCAGCAGTAACACCATTGACAATGCCGCTGAGCAGCGCCAACGCTCCAATATAGCCCTTCATTTTGACGTGAAAACAGCGGTGGTCGACCGAAAGAATGGCACTCTTTTTGCAACGGCACCGACTACGTATAAAATCCAGGGCAAACGGACCGAGCGCAACTAAGCAATGTGAAATGTTGGTGGCGGTGATATGGTCTTCACGCTGAAATGATAACATAGCAAGGAGTCTTTAGTGACAGACGCCATCATTTGAATCCAGGGTCTCGATTGCGATCTCTGGGTCTAGAGTCACTCTGAGGCTGAGACATCTGACCCGAAATAGTGGAAAAGCCGTTCAAAAAACATTAGGCGAGGTCTAGTTACCCCTTGCTTGGGAGGCAACTGGTGCTCAGCCAGCCACTTTCAATGCAAGAAATTGTTTGAACACAATGAAATAAAAAGTCTCACATTTTATGGAAGAAGAACTTGGCCGTAATTCCATCAACCAGGTTCTGTAAATTCTCGGACTTGGACAAATTTTGGCAAGTCACACGTGGAGGGGGTATGCCACTGAGCAAGGGAGAAGCGGAGATCCACCAGGCTTATGCTTATTGACCATGCATATCTTAATGACATTTCAGTTATTTAGGCATGACAAAACTCGGTTGCATTGATTTTGGAAGAATCGAAGTTTCGGCTTTTCTGGGCATTTCACCCAGCCCACCAGTGACATCTGGCCTCATTCGACAGACTCTCTAGAAAACATTGCCCTTGGTCTGTCTCATCTCCGAGACCTTCAAGTTCCTGATAAGAGCGACCCAGATAAAAGACAATGCCATGATAGCCGTTCCAGCTGCTAACATTCGAGTTTGTGCATATCCATACGCCTTCTGAATAGCGATGCGCTCAGGCGTGCCCCTTGCATAACTCAACTGCGTAGGGAGGTCTCCATAGATAGTTTCGAGGTTTTCAAGCGCACTTGCGGGCAGATACATCTTCAATGCCTTCTCAAAGGTATTCGTCCAGATGGCGCCAGAAATGGTGTCGCCGATACTGCCACCTGCTGTGCCAGTAACGTTCAACATAGCCAAGGCCGCGGCAACGTGCTGATGATCGACGGCGGCAAGGACGGCGAGTTGCATGCAAATCGTAAAGACACTTCCACCCACAGAAATAAAGACCTGGCACATAACTAAGTATCCGACGTAGCCAGTCGGGCTTCGGAAGTAGATCATCAAGCCTTGGGCCAAGATATAAAGCGGCACGCCGACCCAGAGGAGCCACTTGAAGTATCCAGTCTTGCGGATACCCCAACCCACGATGAACAACAGGAAGCCAGACACAACATTGAAGGTGTTGTTAACGTAGCCAGCCTCTGCGACTGTCAGATAATTGACAACTTGGAGGAAGGACGTGAAGTAGTTGTTCCAGCAATAATACGAGATCTGATAAGTAAGGTCAAGCAGACAAGCGCCAACAAGAGTCCGATCAGTCAAGAAGTGGAACTTGAGGAACGGGACCGGCGCAAAATAAACTTCGTTGAGGGCGAAACCAACGAGAAGGATAAAGCCGACGATGATCATGGCGATGATATATCCAGTTGACCAACCATGGGGTGCCGTGGAAGCGATGGTGAACGGGAGGAGGAAGATAACCAAGCCGGCGGCAAAGAGGAACACGCCAAGGACTACCAAACCAGAGATTAGCGTTGATAAGACTTGCAAATACACAGTGAACTTACCGTCAAACTCGAGAACATAGTGCCAGATACTCTCTTTCAGTGTTCGGCCACTAGACTTCTTTGGCAGAATGTTCTTCTTGGCCTTTCGCAAGTTGATCTTGAGAAGCAGGTACAGCGGCGCACAGACGACAGGCGTGATGAAGGCAAAGGTACCGAAGCCCCAGGGCCAACCGATGTCAGCCAGCATTCTGTCCGAAGCATAAGATCCAGCAAAAGCGGAGATCATGTAAGGCGATGATGTGAAGGCATATGCCAAGGCTCGGTTCTTTAGGTTGGTAGCATCGGCGGTCACGACATCGATACTGTAGATCAGGCCCGTGAAACCGACCGAGTAAAAGACCTGCAATTCCGATTAACATCGATGGTCAACATGTGATTTCTGTTACATACATTGGCGGCACAGTAAGTCGACAAATCTTTACTGGTGGCCATGAGGATCAAACCCAGTTCACAGAATCCCACCATCAAAAGATAACCCTCAGCTCGGCCCCAAAGATCGAGGAGTTTGGCAAGAGGGATGAAGACAGCGGCAGTCATTGAGCTTGCGACAACACCAATGGTGTTGAGAAGCGAGTGCGAGCCCCACTCGCTGGTGACATAGGGTACCAAATTACCGACGGTCGAGCTTTGGAAAGCATTGAGGAGGTATACAAGCCAGATGAAGATGAAGAGACAGATCAGAGATGTCTTGCTCCATACGAGGGTGATGGCTTCCATGTCCTTGACACCCTCGGTGACATCCTCAGCGGGGAGGGCATCGTCGGCAACAGCTGGGTGTCCATCTTCAGGGTGAGGGTTCTTTTCGTGGTCTGTAGTCGTCGTGATGTCCTGAAGATTGACATCAGAGGTCTTGTTCGCCCTGTTCCAGAAGCCCATTTTGGCGGTTCACGTCTCGATGCGAGAAAGAGAGAATTAAGCTTGAGAACTTTAGAATTCTTGACGAGAAAAAGGGTTACATTAAAAAGAAATGACATGCTGTATCCCCCGGCATAAATCTTCCGACACCGGTGGATCAAACAACGAAAAGAACGCATCAGATAAGATCATCTTTCCCCGTTGGTTCCGACCATGTTGGTTGCGTCCCTGCAAAAAACGGCAGGATCGGCAAGCTGAATGGGATGCTTGGCAAATAGCAATGAGGCTCGTAAAACAAAGAGGGTCTTTCTCACGGTAAACACGGCACGGTTAGCTCCACCGCGTACGTCAGTCAGATTATCTAGGGCCAAAGGTAAAGCAGAAGATGTGAGGCAAAAATTTAAAAAGGTGAAAACTTGTTTAATCAATCTAATCTAATCTGATTTTATTGATTGAGAGTGGGCGGTATCGGGCCGGATTTGAGGGCGTTGTGGAATTGTTACGGAATGGATATCATAACGTGGAGGGTTCAGCATGGGCCGTATGGGGATATCACGACGCCACTATCGAATACAAAACGTGTCATTTATACTCTTCTAGTACCAACACCTGTTAGAAATGAGCAACTCCGTAAAGTGGGCTCGTTGTCAAGCGAGTGAATGTGATGGTTAACCCGGAAATATGACGGCCCAACGAACTCACGATGTCCCCTCGGCAATTTGATCAATTGTAAAGTTATAGCCCCCATCAACATCCGGCTTTATATCGTGTAGGCAATATCTTGGAGTTTTGACACTAAGTAATTCAGTATATCACACCTATCGGTGTTCATGAACGGGACTCACCTCCAGAACCAATTGGCCAGGCACATATTCTTGCAATTTCTCGCCAGCAACGCGACGTCGCGCGCAAACCTTTCACCAGCAAAGCGGGTGGCAGCTGCATCAGAAGCTTTGTTCACTCTGTTAATCTCACCTTTCAGCTTGTCGATCGTCGCATCAAGCCCTCGTTGCATGTCGCCGTCCGCCAGCAAGACGACGATATTCTCAACAAACCCCTCTTGAATCTCTTTGCGCACGCTGACGATGTCATTCACGATCCACATAACAGCGACTGTCGCTTGATACAGATCTTGAATCTCCTTCGACTCCATGACGTGCTCAGGCAAGTTAATTCCATTCGCGAATTCGAGGTTGGTCACGACTTGCATCATGCAAGAAGACTCATGCCGGTAGCCAAGATATTCGTCCAGGGGAGGAAGATGCGCGTTTCTTCGATTGAGAGCTTCCTTTTGATATGCCTTCAAAGTGGCGATCGCCTCTTTCGCAATGCGCTTGCGGTAGCTTGGGTTGTCGCTGTAGATACGGCGCACGGTTGACGCATATTCCTCGAATGATAGTATCGCATCGTGGTCTTGATATTGAGCCGATGTCTCGATCTCTTGGCTTGATACGCCGAGGCTCTTTTCGACGTATTCCTCGCAGTCGTCCAGAAGGGTTTGTAGCTTGTCGTAATCGAATTGTTCGACGATAGAATATTGATCTAGCAGATCATCGATGATAAACATCCAGACTTGAAAAGACGTCAAGATTTCCAGCCTCTCGTGTGATGCATAGGGATACCATCCGGCCAATTGTTCAGAGAGTTGGGCTTTGTTCAGACGTGTTCGCACCGTTTCGTTAACAGCATGCCTAATAGATTCGTTAGTATTGATACGGATATTCTTTGAGAGATATTTTCTGACGATTCAATCATCTGTAGGATTTTGACATCTATAATGTCCAGATGTGGACTGACGTCGTTCGGCCATCCTGCAAGCAGCGGCGCCAAGTCTGGGACCCTCAGGTTTTGGCCTCTGAGAGCAGACAACAGTTCATCGCGCGTTGGGGGTTGCGAATGGCCGCGATCTGCAGGCACTGGTAAAGTCATGATGCTTGGTCAGGATTGCGAAAGTATTTTACTTGAGAACCGTAGGGACAATAGTTTTATCTTCAGCACTGTCAAAACAACGCAGGGTTCATATATCTCGTCGTCATTGTACAACATTGATTAGCAATTCCTTAGTGCGACGTTGCACGGTTACAAGATCAATTAGCAATCCTTACATATACGAGCGGTGAGGTCCGCCTAGCTCAATTGGTTTACGCACCCTACCCAACTGGCCAGCACAAGCAGGGGAGAATCCTTGGTACGAAGCTTAGATTTTCAGCTCCCGGAGTTCAGTGTAGTGAATGATGAGAGCTGACTGATAAGATAAGACTAGATAAGATTAGATAGAACAAGACAACCCTACGTTATCTATCGAGTCAACTTTTCAAGCAACAAGCAAAGAGAAAACAAAGACGGAAGATATCTTGGGTCTTGTGTTTTCCCCAGTTGTATCTCGGATAAATTGCGCTGATAGCGGCGGTTACGCGACTTGTGTTTGTTGTCCGAACGTTGAGGCAGTCATTTCGCGGTGCATAGTGTTATGCAGATGGCAAGTAATGGAATGGCGATGTAATTCCAACGACTCGAATTACGAAATTTAGAAAAGTAATATCGGATATGTCTGGGTATCGGGAAAGAGAAGCAGTAACATGATCGGATAGACTCAAGCAATATCGGCTTCCTCCTTTGGCTTACCGACATTCTCTTAATTCATACCCGAAGAGGAAATTATAAGACTCCCCTTAACCGCAAAGAATACGCGTTCAGCTCAATGATATGTCGGGAGTCGGGTAAGGGGTTGGAAAGTATAGGCGAGCATCAGATTGTATAAGAACTGCAACATGTTAATACACATGAGGTGAAGATAGACTTCCGTGCCATTGCGGATCGACGGATGGACGGGACGGAAGTTAGATGCGTTGCATGGCTGAGAGCTACGAAACGCCAACAGGGTCTCTTAGTGTGAATCATTTCCTAAGAGGTCAAAACTCAAAACTTCGATTTGCTAACGGTAACGTCTTCGAATCTCCTATCTCCTAAAGTTAATTGTTTCAGCTCGGAACTCGGATAAGCGAAACCAATGAGTATCAGAATCGATATCTCTCAAACATGAGAATGGATAATCCGTATCTGTATCTAAGACCGGAAAGATATAATAAAATTCCTATCTGTAACTTAAATTCGCCAAAAAAGGACCGAAGATCGGGGCCGTTTTCTAACCACCACGTCAGGGTCTGTGCCAACCCGATTGGCCAAGCCACCGAAGTCGCTCCAGCGCGCGGAAAGCGATTGGCCCCAAGACTTCCGCGGTGGGTACGGAACTTATCACCAATTTTTCACCCTCTCAACCTCTGCAATTGATTAGATTCCTTCGATCAGGAGATTTCCCTGCTTCCGTCCGCGGGGTAATATCTGGGGAACCCCGGATGCTCACTCATTACAGCCTGCATAATTGGTTATTCCTGCTCGGCAGATTCGCTCCCGATGCTGGCGCCGGTTTCTCAATACTGGGTCTGGGGGCGAGAGTGGGCTGAGTATGGAGCATGAGTCAAAGTTTTACGTATAAAGACCTGTTCGGCTGCTGTCCTTTTTTATTTTGCGGATCCCTGCTTCAAGCAAAACATCATCATGAATAGTTATAACATCAATTCGACTGCGGAGGAGGGTAATGACTTGACTCTTACTCCTTCGCAGTTGAATAAGCTGGATAATGAAGCTTCGTTGCATCACGATGCTGTTTTTGGTGAGATTTCGGATGAGGGTCCCGATTACAGAAGTGTAAGCAGAATTTGCGACGGAAAATGGCATGATTCACAGAATTGACGATTTTTTCAGGTCGGACTCATCGGTACCGCTGGGCTTATGATGAAGACACAAATCGGTCTCGGCGTTCTCTCGATTCCAGCGACATTCAACGCGCTTGGCATGATACCCGGTATCATCTGCCTGCTAGCTGTTGCGATCATAACGACCTGGTCCAATTGGATCGTTGGTCTCTTCAAGCTACGACATCGCCATGTTTACGCGATCGATGATGCGGGTGAAATGATGTTTGGAGTCGTAGGCAAGGAGTTCTTTGGGTTTGCTATGTGGATTTGTAAGTTCAGATGTTGCATACATATAAAGGGAGACTAACTGTGGTAGACTGGGTCTTTGTATCCGGTGCTGGCATGCTCAGTCTTTCCATTGGCCTCAACGCTGTGTCTAGCCATGGAGCCTGTACCGCTGTCTTCGTCGCCGTCGCTGCAGTCTTGGGCTTCGGACTTTCGAGCATCAGAACCTTGTCTCGCATGAGCTGGCTAGCATGGATCGGCGTCATTAGCATCATGATCTCCGGTGAGTCCCAAATCAAAACATGAGATTAAGCTAATGTCTATAGTGATCATGGTCACTATCGCTACAGGTGTCCAAGAGCGACCAGCAGCTGCCCCCCAAGAAGGCGTCTGGGTCTCAGACTACAAGCTTTTCAACAAACCATCCTTCGTCCAGGCAGCTTCAGCAATCTGCTCACTCATCTCAGCTTACGGCGGCACTCCAGGCTTTTTCGCCATTGTTGCTGAGATGCGACGACCCGAACAATACACCAGAGCTTTGACCATTTGTCAGGCCATCGTGACCGTTACTTATCTTACGATCGGTTGTCTGATGTACTACTTCTGTGGATCTTATGTATCCTCGCCTGCTCTTGGCTCGGCTGGTAATACCATCAAGAAGGCCAGTTATGGTGTCGCAATTCCAGGATTGATCGTCTCGATTACTCTTGTCACTCATGTATGACTCACGCTCTGTCATTTCTTTATGTCGCTAACGAGATACAGCTTCCCAGCAAGTACATGTTTGTACGACTGTTGCGAAACACGAAGCACCTGGCTTCCAACTCCGCGGTCCATTGGAGCACTTGGCTAGGTTGCACATTCATCGTGTCAATCATTGCCTACATCATCGCGAGTGCCATTCCCATCTTTTACAGCCTTATCTCCTTGATTGGAGCGCTCGTCGGTACTCTCATGTGTTTCCAGACAATGGGCTTCATGTGGTTTTACGACAATTGGGAGAAACGCGCTATTTCGCCCAAGTGGCTATCAGCCTGTGGATGGAGTTTGTTCGTTATTGCTTCCGGCACCCTGCTGATGGTCGCTGGTACATATGGATCAATTGTCGATATCATCCAGGCTTACAAAGCTGCTGGAGGGTCAGGCGCCTGGTCGTGTGCTGACAATTCCAACTCTTCTTAGAAAGGGCGTTGTTTATGATAGTGACGCAAGAGGGAGTTGGAATTGAACAGCTGTTCCAATAGGATGACTCTTTAGAATATATTAACCGTACTTATTTGTATCCTTGTGCATTGGTGCATGGCCTGCTCTCTTCTTCCAATCGGGTGACGCGCTTCTATGCAATGATTCTCCTGTGCCTGAGGAAATTATGCAAATTAGAAGGGCGACCAGCCAACATCTTGTGCATGCAGCCTAGTCACGTGGTGCTTGTGTTACCCTCACACTTCAGTTGTTAGGTTTCGATCCAGTCAACTTATCTCAATCAACAAACGTGTTGGAACAGTACTTTGACTATTATTTAGCATCATGTGGACATTACACTCCGCCAAAGCGAAAGCTGGCGATGATCTGATGATCATCGCACAATTAGCGAATTCCATCGCAAGCCGAAAACCCGACGATGAAGATGCGCAGCGACGGGCCCAAGTAGCAACGGCATTCATCGAGAATATGGGCATCACACTTCAAGCCCCGACAGCTGGCAGTAAAATTATCGCCGAGTCTCTGCCTCGTAAATCCCAACACTCCGTCAAGTTACCAATTGAGCTTTACCGATACCTTTCCTCACAAATCGAGACACCAGACATTGCTTGCGCTCTCATGCTCATGCAAAACCCTCAACGAATTTTCCGAGGAACTTATCTACAAGCACCCCCGAGGCTTTCAGTACTACCAAAACCAGTGGAAATCCTTGTTCAGCCTCAGGATTAGGTCTATTCGTGCAAGTCATGTGCTGACGCTGGTATTTCAGTGGAACCTCCCCGAGGTAAACAGCCAAGTCATGTTTGATATCATCGCCTCATGTCCTAATACTCAGATTCTGTTTGTGGACCGCGGTGATGGCGGTGGAAGTCCGGGAACGATTTTCAGCGATCAACTTCAGGAATTACAGATCATGCTCTGTGCCTGTACCCGTATCAAGTCACTTCATTACTCCGCCGCGACTGGCCGGCCGACTGGTGGCTATCAGAGCAGAATAGAAGTGGCTGATCCGCAAGAAACGCTATCTGATTGGATTTCGAATCAAACTCATATCAAGCAATCATTGAAACAGCTCCACTGTCTGGGCCTGGATAGCCCATCAGGTTGGCTCCTGGGATGTCTTTCCCAATATCTTTCCTCTAACTTGACATCTCTTCATCTCGGCGAGGGAAGTTTCTATACCCTCAGTCGCACCCCACTCTTTGATATATCGCAACACTGCCGGAAGCTCAAGGTTCTTGTCGTGAAATACAGTCTTGTCACCACTCACGATCTGGAGAAAGCCTGTCAAGTGTGGGCAAGCACACTGGAAACACTAAAAGTTAGCTTAGTAGCAGAGACTAGGGATTGGGTCTCGCAACTCATACCCCATCTGGAAAAACTAAAAGTGCTGCATTTGGGTATAGAATGCTATGTCCCCGTTGATGGTGTCAACGGCATTGCCAAGGCGGAGTCACCATTTGAAGAGATAATTATAGGAGATATGGGGGCCTGTGCGAAACTGACCCTGATTATCAGATAGCATCAGATTCCGCGAACGAGGCTCTTGCCAAGATGATCGAAGGACACTCGTCTACCCTGCGCCTTCTCCATATACATCTTCATATCGGAGAGATTGTAATGCAGAGCTGCAAGAAAGCGAAAGGTTTGAGATACTTAAACGTATCATTCGCGTATGAGCCTCAGCCTTCAAATATCGACGGACTGTTAGACGCATGCCCCCAGTTGAATTATTTCTCAAGAGGATTCAACAAATATTCAGATCGATGGAGTGAGTGGGAAAACCGAAGACCTTTCACGATGGAAAGGCGACCATCACAAGAGGTGCTTATAGATGACGAGCTTAGTGATTGATAGTTAAAGCTTATGACATCTCAGCGAGATGTATCATGCCAACATAATGAAAATCCCTAATTAACTCAAGCTTTTGGAAAGCAATACGTATAAAGCTTCAACAGGGATAAATCTCGCAATCTAAACGGCCTTATATAGTCGCTTTTTAGTGTAGTATTGATACAATAAATATGTTGAAAATTCATTGGTCCATCTATGTCTTAAGCTTTTTTATTGCCCTTGTCCTCAGTGTTAACAACATCAACTACGGCAATGCATTGAGAACAATACCTAGTAGGCTAGTACTTGTGATACTCCAACGTAGCATAAGTACTACGTAAGTATACCATAAACTCTTCAATGATTGTATCGGATTCCACGGGCTACATAAGGCAACGAAACTTGGTGCTCGACAGGCATGCAAGACCCCGTCTCGATCAGTGAAGGCAATGAAACACTAAACCCTCTCATTCTATACACCTCTAATGCTATGTATCTATAATATGATATGATAAAGACAAGAAATGAAAAAGACTAGAATCCAATGTCGACTCGGCTGCAATGTTATAGAGAAGGATTCCAAGACCTGTGCATGATCCTTTAGCCTCCCTTTCAGCTTCTTTCGATCAACATCCTGCACAGCGACATTATCCTCAATGGCCAAAACAGCTGCTGCTCCCGCACTCTGTCCCATGATCATATAAACCGGCTCCATACGAATTGCAGACAGAGCAATGTGAGTGGCGCTCATTGTAACAGGATTGATGAAATTGGTGGCGTCCTCCCTTTTGGGAACGATAGACCCATAAGGGACGCTGAATGGGCCGGGATTGGGAACGTGAATGAGACCTTCGTCGTGTATCCGATCGTTGATAACGACACGTTCGACCTGATGAACGTCAAGGGTGTAGTATCCAACTGCAACGACGGTATCGTTGTCATATGGCTTCGGATGCTGAATGTCGGCTTGTGTCATCGTATACACGCCGTCCATCCGTCGAGCCTCGCGAATGTATATCTCATACGGCCAGTTGCCGTTATCAGTCCACTCATCCTTCGCGTAGCCCCAAGCGCTTGTGTTTTCACGAATGAAGTCAGGGACATCTTTGTGGTTCGCCAACGTCCAGAGAAGCCCTTGCGCCCAGACCTTGTGCCTCTTCGCAGCGGCCTCTCGTTCTTCGTAAGAATACTCTGCATAATTGGATGTCTTGTTGTAACTTCCACCTATGAGATCAGTACTGATCTGGCCAGCTGCATTGGTATCGGTCTTGAGATTCGGCAAGAGTTGTGTTGTGAAGAACGGTCCCAAATAGCCTGTCTTGATATATCGGATCAAGATCTTGTAATGAGATTCATTGTAGCTATCAGGCTTAAAGAATTCCACCTTGTTGTCGTCTTCTCTCGTCAAAGATAATCGGTAATTGAAGGCCTGAAGACGATGATCTTTCTTGCCACGCGACTCTTCAGCTGAGAACTTGGTGATCACGCGACCAACTCCGGGAAGCAGGCCGCTGTCAGGATCATCAGGGTCGTTGTATGGGTCAATGGCAGCCAGTCGTCTGGGCTCGTTGAAGTAAATACCAGCCGCCGACTCGTCAAACTCCTGCTTGTCTTCGCGCCCCACGCGATACGAGATGCCTGCTGTTTCCATAAGGTCGCCCTCGTAGCCAGCATCAATAAATATCTTTCCTGAGAAAGTTGACCCGGACCACGTTTGGAAGGATTTGATCTCGGTTCCATCCTTCTTCACGCCGCTACTAGAACGAAGAATGGACTCATTTCGAAAGACAGGAATTCCCTCATCCTTGATCCATTTCTCCAAGATCTCCTCTGCTACCTTGGGCTCGAAGGTCCATTGAACCTTGTCGCCAATGGCTGGTCCAGGCTGCGCCTCGATATGCTTTGCGAGATAATCATCTCGTGTTTCACGCGTCCATGCATCGTCGTTGTCGTAATACTCGTACACTTTGCTGTAAAATTCCCTAGCAATTCCACCAATAGTGTTTCCATCCTTTGAGTCCGTCCAGCCCAATCCCGAAGTAGTAAGACCGCCGATTCGTGATGTCGGAAAGACCAAAGTGGCGGTTCTGTTCATACGAACTGTTTGAATGGCAGCTGCCAGCGCGGCAACCGTGTTGCCGTAGATAACCACGTCAGATTCGTGAGAAGTCGCTGATGAGACGCCAACAGTGAAAGAAGCAACGATACAAAGACAGACAATATATACAGACGCCATACTTGGAAGAGTGACCTGGCTGCTTTACGCAGCACAGGTAGAATCGTTCAGAACACGTAGATAAGGAGGAAACAAATTGCGAAAATTTGGCGCTTGGAAAAGACGCTCATTTTGACTTTAGGATGATGTATTTGCTGACGTGCTTCTTATTTTACTTAAGTGGGGCGGAAAACCGCGGGCGGCGATTCCTTAATTAAGGGATGATGATCACAATTCACCAATCGGCTGAGTCCGATCAGCATAATGTTCCACTGATTGGCTCTCCAATCTCACACCAGCTGTCTGCCAAGATAAGGCTGTCGTTATTCAAGCAGTCGGTATTTCTGATAAGGCATAAGCCTAATTAGGGAGGCGGATAATTTATGCCATTGCTACCCTGAAGTCTTTGTCCATCTCTATTATCTAACGTGATTTCTGGGTACTTGGATCTCAGATTATCCATATTGTGAGCTGGTATCTCGACGATGAGGAAATCGATAACAAATCGATAACGAATCTGTAGGCAGATCGGGTCAAGATCGGTCATCAACTGGAGGGCTCGAGAAAAAGACCTCCAAGCGTGAAATAAAGCCACAGACGAGATATCTCTAAGAAAACGGTGAGAATGATGGATGCTTTCTGGTTTGTCATAGGGAGCAAATCAAAAGGTTGAAAAACAGTAAACAAAAAGACACAACGGCTCATACAAGTAAAACACCAAGATGCATGTCCTCAATTGCATGATGCCCTCATTCCTTTTTCGATCATACCGAGTTGATAACCTTTGCTCTCTAGGTTTGTTATAAATGCACTCACAGGATGAACATCAACAGAAGGACAAGCAGTAGGCTACATCCACACAAGGAAGTTGAAGCACTAGGAAACAAAATTCAACAAATAATCTTATACTAATGACAAAAAGTGATCTACTGGGACTGTGAACTAGGAAAATAGTTCCGGGTTGTTATTCCGTCGGATAAAAAACCTAGGTTCTATCATAAGTCGCCAGCTCCATCCTATGATCTGATCCTCCGGTTCCGTCCAAACCATCTCAATGAACCGAACCTGCTGGATTCCTTCTCACTGATTAAATGGTCAAATGATGTTACAAATGAGAAAATTCGTCTCTTAACTTACAGCCTTGCCACCAACACCACCACGGCATTTATCAATGGCGTTGCAGCCCCGGTTATAGGGGTTAGCTTCAGCACCAGGGCGGCAGTTCGCGGCTGACGAGCCTCTGAGTGAGCAAGGAATATGGTCGCGGTTGAGGGCACCGTATGAGATCTCGCCGCTCTGAGGCTCGGCTGCAGGAGCTGCAGCAGCGAGGGTGATGAGGGATAACGTGATGATGGAGAACTTCATGCTGACTGAGAAAAGTTGATAGGTGAAGGAGTGTTGTATGCTTGCAAGATGAAGAGGCTGCTGAGGGAAAGAAAGAAGAATGGTTTATTGTACATTCTCGGGGATGGAATGGCCGTAATATACTGTCAAATCTGCTTGTAATGACAGGACAATACCGGCACATGAAGGAACTTAGTTCGTCAATACGAGGAATTCCAAATACTAATGTTTGAAAGTTCTAACTAAGGTGTTTATGAGGTTCAGGTAGGAGCTACGCCCGTTTTGCAGTCTTGCCCAACATAGTTCCTAGTAGCTTTGAGAAGTTTAGTGCCCGGGGACCAATGAAGAGAAAATTTGTTAGGGTCCCTTTTCATATGCCACAACAATAACATGAGGGGTGCTTGGTCACAGGGAGATCTTAAAGTCTAGATACGACTGCTTTTGACAATACAGTCAAAAAGTTCTATTACATTGACTGCTTTCTATATACTATTGTCCCTAATCATAATGTAGCAGCAAAGTCTGTTAATACAAAAGATGTCAGGCAGTCGCATCGACGGAGTGTCTGAAGCATGGAGGTGACATGAGCCTGGCTTACACTGGGTCATTGATTTTTAACAAATCATACACTTTTTGTTCTTTCATCCCTGTGAGGCTCTTTCCATTTGCCACTTGATGTTGTACAATCGGCCCGTTATTTAGTGGCTTGATTGTGATGACCTTTGGTAGTTGTTCTTATTGGAGGCTGTAGCCCTTCATATACGGATGTCTGGAAACCTTGACCGAACTCGTACTGGAACCCTGCAAGGTCTCGAACATCTCGGAACCGGGAGCCTGGGAAGAAGCAAAAGTCAAGCGTCCCATGGGACCTTTGTAGACCCAACGACCAGGACCAAGTCCGGGGAATACTATCCGCCCCATGAAGCCCAACTGCCGAGAAACGCTCGGATGGGGCGAAATTAGAACCGCACACGGAAAGTCCATGGAACATCATGTTTCTTTCCTATTCTATAGATTGATGATATATGTAGGAGACTGGCATTATTGAACAAAAAGGAAAGGCAACATTGCTTCCAGAAGCCTGATGGAACGTATTTCTTACTGGGATCAGGTAACATGAACTGATGTCTAAGGGTCCTGTAGCGCTCTGGGAGGTTACCAGCCAGTGAAGCTTTACAGACCAAACTGAAACACTGACAAGGTGACATGTTCCATTAGCCAAAAATATGCATAACGAAGAAGCATCAACTACGGAATTCGGCACAGTAGCATCCCTAAGGCCTTGGGACCTGGACGTTAGCCCCTCTATGTCCTACATAGGAGAGGATGATGTTCGTGCGGTTAGTCCCGGGAGCATTACCCATTCAAGACCACAACGCTATACCATTTTAGCGACGCCACTGATCCCCCACCAATTATACTAACGTGATTAACATGACCGAGATTAACGATAAACCTAGTCTGGGGTTCTTTGACTCCTGATACTTTAGGCATGAAAAGACAAAGGGACGCCTTCTAAGCTTAAGAGAAGAAGAGGGAGAATCAGGGAACAGTAACAGCAGTTGAATAAGAGTATCGAAGGATCGGAGCATCTAACGATCTAAATGTCACTCAACATGATGATAACTAGTTTGACAAGCAGCTAACCAACACAAACATGAAACCACGCCATTTTACGAGGTAAGGCGCATAATTAAGCTTCAGCTCCCAAGCGAGCTCAACTCTAATCAATTCATCCGCACCATCCAAACTGTGGTTTTGGGCTATGAGAATGCCGAGCGTGCGCCGGAGTGCGGCTGACCTGTGGGGATACCGAGCGGGATACAGGGGTTGATTTCGGAGGTCCGCCCGGTTATCCGACAGACTACAACCAGAATAGTCTCGGGCAGGAAACGGTCTCGTTTTGAGAAGCATTAGCCTCGTAAACGTCACCTTCAACGTCAGCACGACAACTACGGCAAGGTCTTCGGAAAAGGGTATATCATGTCCAAGGCCACCTATTGGTGAGCTTATCACAAAAGCTCGATGGGAGATTATCTTCTACACGAGGTGGTCTATAATCAAGAAAAAGGCGCTGATCTCAAGAAGCTTGGGAAATTCTGGAAGTCAGGTTCCGCGGCCCCGATGGGCTTGGTATTACTGTCCTGTGCGTGGCTAACTTCGCTCGCCGGTCTGAAACTACTATCTATATTCTACAGGTTGATATATATCTAACGGACCATGGAGGTGATTATGAGCTCTGGCGAGAAAAAATTCAATTAGAAGGTTAAAAACAAGCACTCGCGATGGACCACGTTGGAGGGGCATTGGACTAGGATAATGTTCCCTATCGGGCTGCTCGACCACCAGAGCTAATGACCGGTCATTAGTTCAAGACTTCGGCAGTTGACTTGCAAAAAAGTTCCACCCAGTGAGTACTATAGGACAAGTGGGCAGCCAAGGACTCAAACACGACTTGCCAGTTCCAGGTCCCTTAGATGCAGATCACATAAAACATAGGTGCTCTGCCAGAGGGAAGAAAACCATTCATAGAGTGAATAACCCCTGATGCAGTGGAGATCCCAATGAGTAATGCCTTAAAATATGATAAGGTCTGGGAGATAAGGAAGGCAAAGCTACTTCTGCTTTTAATTAGCGCTGAACTTGAATGACATTTCACTATCGTTGGAACCGCGGTCTTCTGCATACTGGTTATCTGAGCGAACTGGTCGAAGCAACACCTCAGAAGGAACTGTTAACCATGTCGTTTGCCAATAACATTTGAACTACATACCTTGCAGTCCTTTAATACAGACAGTCTATCCTCAACAGCACGGCGGTATGTCTGTTCATCGCAGGTTTGGAAGGTTTAACTCTAGAATGCTTTGTACCTTTCATTGGGTCTAGCCACTGGCCCTGACATCCGGTATGGTCTTTTCCATTGTCTCCGGTCGAATTACCTGGACTAAGTGAAAAGAGCGGTGATATATTTGCCGCGGAGAAACCGAAGAGAGCTTTACTCAGTTCTATGCAACTTCTTTTAACACTATGCCCTATTCGATACAGAGCGAAGCCAGTAAGTCTCAGGTCATGATATCTAGGCCCCTAGAGGGTAACAGAGAATATAAGACAGGAACCCCAATTCATAGACATTGTAGATTGGCTTTTGTATGTTCGGCCTGGAACTTTTCCTATACCTGTTTAGTATAAGAAGTCCTAAGTCGATGACTGTCCTGTTTGTTACCATAGTAACGGTCTAAAGTCTCGTTGCACCCCGGAAGGGCTCATCTCTATGATATGTAGTGAGCGATAGGGGGATATAACTTCGTAGTCAATAAGAGGCAACAGGATGACAAATCTATAAGCGACCTTAGACTCAAGACTCACTAATAGCAAGATGTCTACTAGTTGCCAAGCATTGACATATAGCACGCTGCCCGTGATCTATTACTGCTGCCAGAAAACTCAAATAATTAGAAGATAACAAGTTACATTAAAATTAGATAACAGTCGAGTATGCAATTATGGCTTGGCATCTATATAAGGACTGTTCCCCAAACAGTCACCTACTCACATCACGTGCTATTTCCGTTCCGGTCTGGTGGTCTAGTGGTATGATTCTCGCTTAGGGAAAACCCTACAGCTCAGCTTGCGAGAGGTCCCGGGTTCAATCCCCGGCCAGACCCTTCCTTTTGCCGCCCTCATCCCCCGTGACTCTGAATCTTCCTTCTTTTTGCATCTTTAGTCCTTCGAAATACCTTTTCGGAATGCCATCACAGTAGGAAAGACTGGTGATACAGAACCTCTTATTTGTAACCTCGCTAGGACAGTTATGAAGCTATGCAAAGACACAACTAAGTTCTCAGGATGCCCTCTCGTTGCATTCTTACTATTTCTTCCAGTACTTGCTGATACCACCGTCGTCTCCAGTAAATGGATCAGAAGCAGGATTCTTTACACCCCATACTGCTTCAAAGTCACCTGCGCTATCGCCTCCCTCATCCCATGTCCATGAAAATCCTCTCGGATAAGCTCCCATCATACAAAATCCCTCCAGTGGCACCTCTGCAACAGAAATCCTCGGGTTATCGGCAGCAATACCACGAGCGTCTCCAGTCATACAACCAAACGATGCCGTTGTAGCTGAAGGATCGTATGACTTGTGTGCAACGCCAGCTGGGATGACAAAAAGATCTCCCACGTTGACCTCGAGCTCCAGTCCGCCGTCTTCATAGGCTGTTCCAGAAGTATGCTCTTGTGGGTCATCGCTCAAGTCTGCAACGCCCCAGCGGATGCGGCCGGGGCCGGAGACAACTACCATAACTTCATGGGATTGGGAATGATAATGAGATCGCTGGTGTTGACCATATCTAACGACCCATTGCACGTCCCATTCGTTGTCGCAAAAAGTATCGAAGGCTTTGGTACGATCAACTTGACCACCTTTGACGAAAGCGTTCTTGTAATGGAGTAGTGGCTTGGGTGAATTAGGGATCAGCTTGGTTGGCTTTAAGTGGTACAGAATTGGTTCTGGCAAAGTCGCCATGTTGACAGAGGCGTGGTAGTACGCTCCGGGTCTTTGTAAGACGTGAATTGGAGCAGGGAGATAGAATTGAAGCTCAGTTGAGACGAAAGTCGTAGCACTTGTCGTTCGATAACTTGACAGTCCGATTGCGTGGGATGATGGTCACACAATGCTCCTTTCTTATCCAACACTACTTATATCTTCCAGATGGCAGGTGGGGGGTTCCCATTCCACAATCCCAAGTGATAGATATCACTTTGGTTTGTATGTCAGTGGCTCACATGGCTTACGGTTAGCTATTCCGAGAATTGCGGGGAGATTGCACTCGGAGTTGCTAACCGCTGATAATCGGAAACCTTAACCGTTATATCCTTAACCTAATGAAGGACAAAATATGCGAGATTGCGTCTAGAACCGCGGGGTAATGCATTGAGCTTATCTTCTTTTGTATCTGCCGGTGATTTTGTGGCATAAATGCTATGATAACGAGCGGCAAGACACCAACGCGCGGAGGAGACTTGACTCAGTAACAGGGATCTTGTGTTCCTTCACCATGATTTGGCCCCGTGACAAGAGCAAACAGTCACAAAAGATAAGCTCTTCTCACCATATAAACAGGCCAATCTGCAGGTCTAGTCTTTGGATAACATTTTCATCATACCTCGTGTCCTACTGATTTCACGATGCCCAACGCTCTCGGTGATAGCAACGGCAAAATGCCGAGTTTCCTTTCCAACGGCAACTTTACCAGCGATACTTCTTTTTCACCAAAGGAGGGACATAAAAACATCACTGCGAAAGAGACATCACAGCCAGCGGCAGAGGAAATTCCCAAGCCGTGGGTTTCGCAGCGATGTACAGATCAGGCTCGCCCACTCAAGGTTATCTATATCGGTGCCGGGATTTCTGGTATATGTGGTGCCATTGAGTTCAAGAAGCAAGTCCCTGATCTAGAGCTTGTCATCTATGAGAAGAATCCCGAGCTCGGCGGGACATGGTATGAGAACAGGTAGGTTCATACGACTTGAGTAGAAGAAACCTAAAATTGACGTGATCTTCTATAGATATCCTGGCTGCGCATGTGGTGAGCGACTATTCCCAAGCACCTATATACAATATCCGTACTGATGAGCTTTAGATGTCCCCGCACACGCATACCAGTTGACCTCCGAGTCTTCGCCGCGATGGACTTCCTTCTTTGCCTCTGCGCCCGAGATCCTTCAGTACTGGAAAGACGTTGCCACTAAATACGACGTTAGGAAACACATGAGATTTCAGCAGAAGTGCACCGGTGCTCGGTGGAGCGAGACTACCAACAAGTGGTTTGTCCAGCTCAAAGACTTGACAACAGGTCTTGAGCATGAAGACTCTGCCGATGTACTTGTTACAGGTGAAGGTGTTTTAAATGAGTGGAGGTGGCCTGATATCAGTGGCATCAAGTCTTTCAAGGGCCAGCTCCTTCATAGTGCAAACTGGGATGCCGACGTTGATCTCAAGGTAAGAAGTCACGCTCAAGGAGACTTTGAGGGGCCTTTCACTGACGAGAAACCATCGAACAGGACAAGTCTGTCGCTGTTATTGGAAACGGCAGTAGTGGACTCCAGATTGTCCCCGCAATATTACCCGATGTCAAGCATATGGATCACTACATACGCGGTAGATCCTGGATCGTTGGCCTATTCGGAGATCCAGAGACCAGGCAGCGCATCAAAGAAGCCGGCGGCAACTTCCAGTATTCCCCGGACGAGATCCAAAGCTGGGAGACAGATCGAGAAGCATATTTGAAGTACAGACGCGCCGTCGAGTACAACATCAACAAGAACTTCGGTGTCCTCTTCAGCGGGTCTTCGGAACAGGCCAACCTTCGGCTTCTAGCTCAAGAGTCCATGATCCAAAGACTCAAGGAGAGACCAGAGATCTATGAGCACCTTCAACCTAACTTCTCGCCTTATTGCAAGCGTATGTCCCCCGGTCCAGGCTACCTCGAGGCGCTGGCATCTCCAAAGGTTGACACCATCACCTCTGGAATCACTAAGATTGATGAGACTGGAATCTTCACTGCAGATGGCAAGCATCATCCGGTTGATGTAATTATCTGCGCCACTGGCTTCCAAACCTCACCCGCCAGCCGAAGCTTTCCCATCTATGGTGTTGGTGGAGTAAACCTACGAGAGCGCTTCCAAAAGCGTCCAGAGACATACCTGAGCGTCTGCACAGATGGCTTTCCCAACCTCTTCCAATCCATGGGCCCCAATTCGATGCCCGGTGCCGGCAGTCTCCTACTCGTGATCGAAAAAACAAATAGCTACATCGCCAAGATCCTAGCTCGAATGGCATACGATAACATCGCGCGAATTGAGCCAAAGCGAAATATGGTTCAGGCATTCACCGATTACTGTGATAATTTCTTTAAACAGACTGTTTTTGCAGAGGAGTGCAATTCTTGGTACAAGACATATGAGACCGGCGCTTCGCGTGAGGAGCAGAAGCGAGGACGGATCACGGCATTGTGGCCGGGCAGTAGTTTGCATTGTGTGCGCACTTTAAGTCGTCCTCGTTGGGAGGATTTTGAGTATAAGTATTGTGATGATAATGAGTTTGGGTGGTTTGGAAATGGATGGACACTGGCGGAGAAGTTTGTTACCGATGAGTTGGAGTCTTTGACGTGGTATCTGAATGACACCAATGTCATGGAGAAGCTGGTGACATAGATATTAGACGAGAGATATGTTTACCATAAATCAGTTTCAGCATTATCACCTCTAAAAGGCCCAAATCTTAGCCAAGCCGATCAGTCACTGGCTTCATGCCTAAGAATACTTCCGTGACCACGACACTCTAGGACTGCAGGATTTCTCCTAGTCTGGGACGCTCCCCTTCCCAAACTGCGTCAACCCATTTCTCAACCCCCTTCAATAAAATTCCATCAGCGCATCGAGCAACCGCACCAAGAAAGTCAACCTTCAGCGTATTCTTAGCAACGAGCTTGTCCCACTGAGGATATTGTTGAGAGATGGTCTCTGAGTAGACCTTTCGTAACTGCCATTGTTCGTACTCCATGAGAATCCATTCGAAGCCAATCTGATTATCTCTCGTGTCATCAAATGCGATGACCCTGGGTACTGGCATAGTCGAGTGCTGGCTGAGCCATTTCAGTGTCGCAACTTCGCCAGCTGTCTTGTGCTTAGGGTCAACCGGGAGAGATACTCTCATGACGAAATCTCTGATCGAAGCCACTTCTACCACATAGATCCTATTGAACCCTCCCGCCGTCAGGAACGATGCTGCACATTGCGCTGGACCATCAAGCTGTAGCGTCGCCTGGCAAACAGCCTTGATGCCGTCAATAATTGGCTCATTTTCCCATCTTGGTTGCAGCTCAAACGTAGTTTCGACCCATACAAGGCCTTCGCGAGATGATGGGGGTATGTTGATGGTCTATCTAGTCTGACGTATGAAAGCATGTTGGGTCTTCCATTTTCATGTTTGATAACAAGTATTACCCGAAGTTTAATCGAGGGCCGCATGGTTGAGGTCATGATAAACTCATTCAAGCCTGCTCATAAATTAACATATTTAACAAAAGTTTATAAAACTATTGTAGGGCTTAGGAAAGTGTCCGTAAATTTAGGATTGAACAACTAAAGCTTAGGCTCACGCGGCGGAGCTCGTAGCTATCTATTACGGATTCCATGAACCCCGTTTCCAGACTTGGGCTTGGCAAAGTGACAAATTTGCAACAGATAACCCTGAATAATGATGATGCCAAGATCTAGCTCGTCGATCTGTTGATAGCGATGAGTCTGTGGCGCTGTCTTCCATAAAAGGGGAGAGGTCCGGTGCTCGGACAGTCCGAGATACCGCAAGGCCCCACTATTTCGGTCCTCCGCTCCGTCCGGCCTTCAAGTTCATGTGTATCATGGCGGAATTACAGGGCCGGTATGTGTGGGCTACAGGAGTCCGTCGCTACGTAAGATTATACTTCAAATTAGTGACTGTTCGGTGTAAAATTTGTTTCACTCCACGTCTATAATATGACTCTTACTGCAACTTATAAGACAACCCACCGCAAACCATGCATTTGACTTGACATCAAGCATCCTATCACCATTCTTTCTCTTACAGTCGCTATCTAATTACTTATCCTTCGATATTTCTTCTTAACTGCTTTGCATCCTATCTGCCGGATCATTGTTAACATTGATTAACCCAAGGCAAGATGAACCCCTCAAACGATCCGCGTCCTAGCGACGCCCCTTCCATGTCCTCTGCCACCTTGGGCGATAGGGCGCGGGACAACAACGACTTGTCGGATGAGCCTGAGTACGAAGAAGAGATTCACGATCTGGCAAGAAGATTCACCAGTCAATCTGCTGCTTCTGGTCATGGTCCATTATTCCCCTTGAGCGATGGTGGTCCTCTTGATCCGCAGAGCCCCCATTTCAACTCCAAGAAATGGGCCAAGGCCTATCTCAAGACCCGAACCGAAGCTGCTGATGGCAGTACCCCTCGCACCGCCGGTATCGCGTTCAAGAACCTTAACGCGTACGGGTTTGGCCAGGCGACCGACTTCCAAAACACTCTGACGAACATCGTTCTCAAAGCTTCGAGTTTTTCCAGGAAGATATTTGGGGACAAGGGTCAGCGCATTGATATCCTCCGTAATATCGACGGGTACGTCGAGGCTGGAGAGATGTTATGTGTTCTCGGTCCTCCAGGCTCTGGTTGCTCGACCCTGCTTCGCAGTGTCGCAGGGGAAACCCACGGCTTCCATTTTGGCAACGATACAGTCTTGAACTACCAGGGAATCCGCCCTGAGCAGATGAAGAAGGCCTACCGAGGTGAAGCTATCTACACGGCCGAAGTTGATCACCATTTCCCGCATCTTACCGTCGGCGATACCCTTTACTTCGCCGCTCGATGCCGATGTCCTCCAGATGGCAAGCTTCCTCCTGGCGTCACTGCTCGACAGTATGCTGAGCATCTCCGCGATGTTATTATGGCTATGTTTGGTATTTCACATACCAAGAATACGCGAGTCGGTGATGACTACGTCCGTGGTGTAAGTGGCGGCGAACGCAAGAGAGTCACAATCGCCGAGGCTGCGCTGGGATACTCCCCTCTTCAGTGCTGGGACAACAGTACACGTGGTCTTGATAGCGCCAACGCCGTTGAGTTCTGCCGCGTCTTACGTACTCAAGCTGATACTCTTGGTATTGCCTCTTGCGTCGCAATCTACCAAGCGCCTCAAAGTGCCTATGATGTAAGTCTTCCAAGTGCGTTTCAGTCCAATCTCATGGCTAACTTAGTCCCTAGTTGTTCGACAAGGTCATCGTCCTGTACGAGGGCCGCCAGATCTTCTTCGGAAAGGCAAGCGAGGCCCAAGCCTACTTTGAGAATCTCGGTTTCATCTGCCCCGAGCAGCAAACGACGGCCGATTTCCTCACATCGATGACGAACCCCGCTGAGAGAATAATTCGCCCCGGCGCGAACCCGCCACGAACCTCGGACGAGTTCGCCCGAGCCTGGCAACAAAGCCAGCAACGGTCGAGGCTTATTGACTAGATCGATTACTATATGGAACAACATCCGTTTGACGGACCAGATCTTCAGAAATTCTCCGAATCACGAAGGCTCGACCAGGCCGCTGCCCAGCGGGAGAGATCGCCCTTTAACCTCTCCTATGCACAGCAGTATACCATCAACCTCTGGCGAGGCTTCACTATGTTGATCGGAGATCCTAGCATCACCCTCACCATGCTTACCAGCAACCTGTTTGAGGGCTTAATTATTTCCAGCATTTTCTACAACCTGCCTTTCAACACCACGAGCTTCTTCCGTCGAACCATTTTGCTATTTTTCATCGTCCTCATCAACGCGTTCTCGAGTATCCTCGAGATCATGACTCTGTATGCCAAGCGCAAGGTCGTTGAAAAGCAGTCTCGGTATGCTTTTTACCATCCGAGTGCCGAGGCCTTGTCGGCGATGGCCACCGATCTCCCGTACAAGATCATCAACTCCATCTTACTCAACTGCACGCTGTACTTCATGTGCAATTTGCGTCGTGAACCAGGCCCATTCTTTGCCTTCCTTCTTTTCTCATTCTCAATCACTCTCTGTATGTCGATGATGTTCCGGTTCATCGGCTCCGCAACAAAGTCTATTTCGCAGGCTTTGGCGCCCGCTTGTATTATCCTGTTGGCCTTGGTCTTGTACTCGGGATTCGCGATTCCTCCCGCCTACATGCAGAACTGGCTTGGCTGGATCCGATGGCTGAACCCTGTTTATTACGGCCTTGAGAGCGTGTATTTGATCGAATTTGTCGGTCAACAGTTCCCTTGTTCAGACTTTGTCCCGCATGGCCCTGGATACGAGAACTTGGGCAACGGCGAATACGTCTGCAACGTGCCCGGATCTGTACCTGGCCAATCATTCGTTAAGGGTGAGGATTACTTGCAGGCCTCATTTGGCTTCGCCAACAGCCACCGATGGAGGAATTTCGGTATCATCATCGCTTGGACTGTGTTCTTCATGGCACTTCATCTTTGGACTACCGAGTACGTGGCTTCGGAGCGCTCCAAAGGCGAAGTCTTGGTCTTTCTCCGGGAGGCTATGCACAAGGTCTCCGGTAAGCGGGTCAACGATGAAGAGTCTGGCGTTCCTACACCAGCAGGAAAGCAAGAGGCTTCTGGTTCTTCGAGTGAGAAGGTTGAGGTTGAGAAGCAAACATCTGTCTTTCATTGGAAGGATGTCTGCTATGATGTCAAGATCAAGAGCGAGACACGCAGGATTTTGGATCATGTCGACGGTTGGGTCAAGCCTGGAACCTTGACAGCTCTTATGGTGAGTGTCTTCTATGCTACATCGGCACATTGCTCTTACCAGGTCATATTTACTGACGTATTCTCAGGGTGTCTCGGGTGCTGGTAAAACCACCCTTCTTGACGTTCTCGCCAGCCGAGTGACAATGGGTGTTGTTTCCGGCGACATGCTAGTAAATGGCCACTCTCGCGACTCTTCCTTCCAGAGGAAGACAGGCTATGTGACCCAGCAGGATCTGCACCAGGCCAGCTCGACGGTAAGGGAAGCTCTGCGATTCAGTGCCATGCTTCGACAGCCAGCCAAGTATTCGAAGCAAGAACGGCTTGACTACGTCGAGACTGTTCTTTCTCTCCTTGGAATGGATACCTATGCCGATGCGATTATTGGTGTCCCAGGCGAAGGCCTCAATGTCGAACAACGCAAGAGACTTACGATCGCCGTTGAGCTTGTCGCCCGTCCGCAGCTCCTACTCTTCCTCGATGAGCCGACTTCTGGACTGGACAGCCAGACTTCCTGGTCTATCTGCGACTTGATGGAGCAATTGACCAAGAGCGGTCAAGCAGTATTGTGTACCATCCATCAGCCCTCTGCTATGCTTTTCCAGCGGTTTGACCGGCTCCTTCTGCTTGCGAAGGGAGGAAAGACCGTCTATTTCGGCGAGATTGGTCAGAATTCGCACATCTTGATGGACTACTTCACTCGCAACGGAGGCCCGCCTCTGCCACCAAAGGCTAATCCAGCAGAACATATGCTCGAGGTCATCGGAGCTGCTCCAGGTACTCACACTGATGTCGACTGGCCCGCTGCATGGAGGCAGTCTCCCGAATACAGGGCAGTACAGGAGGAGCTTGAGTCACTGAAGGCGTCGCATCCGTCGCCGACACCCGCGCCAGGCGGCGTTGACTCTTCCGAGTATAACGAGTTCGCTTCTTCTCTATCGACACAGTTGTGGGAGGTTACCAAGCGCCTGTTTCAGCAGTACTGGAGAAGCCCTGGTTACATGTACTCCAAAGCCATGCTCACCGTCGGTGCAGTAAGTCATATCTTTCATGACTCTTGATTCCTTTCACACATTCTAACCTTCTTTTAGGCCTTGTTCATCGGACTTTCTGTCATGAACGGCGACAATACAGTCCGCGGTCTTCAGAATCAGATGTTTGGCGTATTCATCTTCTTGACCATCTTTTCGCAGGTCGCTGAACAATTGATCCCAGCCTTCGTGGAGCAGAGGACTCTTTACGAGGCTCGAGAGCGTCCCGCAAAGACATACTCTTGGCAGTCATTCATGTTTGCCAATCTGACTGTCGAGATCGTCTGGAACTCGGTAAGCTACATCCCGTTTCCTCAAACAGATCATCTCTAACATTCCCATCTAGTTTATCGGTGTCTTCGCTTTCATCTGCTGGTATTTTCCCATCGGCCTCTACCGCAACGCAGAGTACACCAACGAGGTACATTCACGGGGCATCACCATATTCTTGCACGTCTGGATGTTCTTCCTCCTCGCTTCTTCCTTCGCCCACATGATCATTGCCGGACTTCCCAACGCCGATACTGCAGGTGGTGTTATGAACCTCATTTTCATCATGATGTTCGCATTTTGCGGTGTCCTCGCTGGCCCCGATGCCCTTCCCGGCTTCTGGATCTTCATGTACCGCGTCAATCCGTTTACATACGTCGTCGAAGGCTTCCTCGGCACTACTCTTGCCAACGCGCCCGTGACCTGTGCCGACAACGAAATCCTGGAGTTCAAGCCTGCGAACGGTACATGTGAGGAGTTTCTGTCGGATTATATGTCCAATATGGGTGGATATCTTGTTGGTGAGAGTGCAGGCAGCACCACTCAATGTCAATACTGCCCTATGGCGGACACCAATGCCTTCTTGAAGACGATCAATGTCAGCTTTGACAATCGCTGGAGAAACTTTGGGCTACTTTGGGTTTACGTTGTCTTCAACTGTGCGGCTGCAGTTGCTATCTACTGGTTGGCTCGCGTCCCTAGGAAGAGTAAGGACAAAAAGGAGTAGCATTACTACTTCTTGCGACAACATTGATGTAGAGCATTATCCTTCGTTTAGACTATTTATTCCATTTTACTTTAATTTAATAACTTCCCGAAATTCTAAATATTATCCTAAGTCTTACAATCAATCCTCATGAAGTCATAACTAAGGTTAGTTAAATGCTATAAACTCATCCTGGCAACAGGCGACCTTTGATGACACGACATTCCACAAGCTCGAGGCGAGTCAAAACACAACACGTCGATTACATACAATGACATCCGGCGAAACTAACACCTCTTTGAAGCATAACTAGCGCGTTCTACTATAGCTGAAGTATTCCAGTGAATATGGAGCTCCGATATCTATGATGGATTGTTGTCCAGCATCATGAATATCTCTTGATTTTGCTCAAACCAGTTGCCCAGGTCCATGTTATGGTCAAAACTACCCTCCACCATATTTCCCGCTTGTGCAGCTGAGAAACCACCATAGTTCACATCATGTACGACCTGTGTATTATCCTGGAAGTTCTGGACATTCGTCTGCATATGCAGATGACTCGGGATGGGTACACCTGCTTCATAGAAGAGCATCTCAAATGGCGTATCAGGTATACGTCCTGAAGGTTGGACTGGTTGGTTAGTGGACCTTGAGCCCACATACTTGCACGCGACTTCATACATAAGCTTGAAGAGATGAAGCTGCTTTCTGTAGACGCTTGGTAAGTCTGGAGGTATCATGTCGACTGTTTCAACAACGGCTGCGAGCGGCTTCAAATGAGCAGGGTCACAGGTCTCGATGGCGTGGCAGAACAAAACCATGAAAGGCACCAGAGGTACTGCCATGAGGCCCCTGGTTCTTGATTAGATGAGCACTATTGGTTCAAGTGGAGGTCTTACCAGTGCATGTAGAATTCGAAGATAATAGCTTCGACGCTTTTAAGTATAGATAAACAAATCCTGTGCTGCTCAAGACCGTCCTTTGCCGCTTCAAGACATTCGTCACAAAAGGCTGAGGACGTCAAAGATGCGGGTCTGACAGCCCGAAAGACTAGACAGCGCATAGAATAATATGCGACCTTGTCTGTTCTTCGGAAGACCTCACTCTGTGTTTCTCCAATGCTTGTAGTGATTGACTCAAACAAATGTTCCTGTGAGTTTCTTAGACAACCGTTATCCACCCCTTATTTTCCTACCAACTTACCTCCGCGAGGCTCTTGGTTTGGAAGAGTGTCTCCATATCTGCCGCGAGTTTCCTTGCATTCGTTTCTCTCTGAACATCTGGTAGAAGCAAAGCCCCAGGACTGTAAAGAGTATCATAAATCCTCCCTTGTAGGTCGCAAAAGCGAGCCCATTTTGCAATGACAGGGGTCGGTCCATCACTCCCATCCGCTTCCAAGGCTTCGAAGTTGACGGTAATTTCTCCATCCCTGATCAAGACCGGTCGACTCAGTCTCAAAGCGAGCATCTTATCACAAAGATGGATGTAGAAGACCAATTTAGCTCGCCGTTGCTTCGCCTCTCTCGACTCTGCCTTTGGAAGATTTTCGCGGGTGAACCCCAATGTCTGGCACATTTGTGCTGCTGCAGCCAGACAATTCCGGGACATGGAAATTCGACAATTTTCGAGGTGATAGGATGACTTGGCTCATGTCAGTTATGTTCTCTTTGAACAAATTCCTGTTGAGATGCTTACGGCCATAAACAGGGCGAGGATATAATCGGGTGTGCAGGGCATATTGAATGGGAGGCCAGCCAAGATAGACTCCAGATTCTGCCGGCAGATCGACGCCTGAGATGCAAACTCTCCCCTCAGAACCTCTTCCGTTTCAGTATTACCACATTCGTGCAAGAGACTTTGTAAGCCAACATGTGTAACGATGAGGTCAGCAAGGGTAGGCTTGCCAAAGTAGACTGTCATGAGATACTCCACAAACTGGCTGATGCTATGGAATTCTGCACGCCAGAACAGCCGTAATCTGGGCGATTCTATGATATCATTAGCATTCATACGCGCGACAATTAATGTGTAACTCACCTCTTAGTCTCTGTACAGCCATCATGGCCAGGTTGACGGGAGGGAGTTGGATCCCTCCATGTTCTTGAGGTGACAGTATTCGTTGTGTATCAAGAAGCCGCGTCTCGTTGGCACTAACTTCCTTATCCGCCAAAATATTCCGCAGTGCATCTAAGTGACTCTTGATCTCAGGAAGTGTTTGCGACGGCTGATTGCTATCAACGATCTGCTGTAAGAAGTCTGTGGCAAAAGTAGCCTGCGTGGTTAAGGTGACATCACCCTCGAATTCAGAGCCCTTCTCTTGACCTGTTCTGACATCACACGACGGGGAGCTCGCATGGGACATGGGGGTAACCTGCGAGCTGATAGCGGTATGGGCTGCTGACGAGCCTGTGTGCAGCTGCTGAGGAGAAGAAATGATGTTGTCGACAGCGAGACTGATGCGATCGAGCTTTTGTGAGATGGCGTCCAACTTGGATTCACTGTACCTCATATGAGCTTTTTGACATGGTTGGCTTTCTCACCATTACTCACTAGCCATCAGATACTAAGATCTGCTGACGTTTTGCTCGAGACTTGAAGCCAGTGGGGAACGAACAACAAATATTCTTTCGTTGACACGGCCCACAAGGATCCCCACGGTCGCATTTGATCTATGAAGGCTTAGTGGATGTGTTGCTAAGATATACGCGTTCGTCTACCTTTCTTTGTCGACACTGATCACACTGGCAGTATTCAGCCCTATTGTCAGTTGCAATCCTGGCCTGGGAGCATGCGATGGATCTTGACTTACAGAGAGCTTATGCTCCGGAACTCTGCGCGTTCCTGAGACGGCGATATCCTCTCCATCGCTTTCGTTCGCATCCACGTTCATCGTTGTCATTAGGCACAATTCACTTGTCAAAATATTTGGGAAGTTTTGGAACACTCGGATTCGTTAAAGACTCATGGATACTGATCCACGAAACGCCAAGGCCAACCCTCATCCTTGATGATGGCACGCGTCTATTTGGGGCAAAGGCTCGGTTTCTCGGAGCCCCGAAACACCGCAGAGACTGACTCATCCACAGTGTGGGACGGGACAGCTACCCTGAAGCTAGAAGAAATCCAGCAATCAATTCCAATCACGATCAGAAGGGCATGAGTAGTATATAGCTGAATATACAACATGGAGATACTTAATGTTTATTTCTCCAGTATAGCTCGAAGTTCTCGTAACTACGATTTCCAGGCACAACGAAGACTATTTTGTTAGAAAGCTCATATTGATGGTAGTGATGTCCGACAGGGAAACAAAACAGGAGGTAATTGTGGGTCTGGAGTACGAGAACCAATTGTAATTCGTGGATAAAAATACATGAGCCTGACCGGATATGAGTTAGAGGATGATTATTTCGATGTCACCCTCTTATCTAAAGCTCAACGTGTTATTTGTTCTTATCGATAAAACGCGACGCGAAAGCGCATCGAGTTCGACGCAAAACAAACATCAAGTTAACCACGATAGGTAGTTATCACAGTTACCGCGATACACAATCTCAGCTTTCTTAGATAAGAAACATACGTTCCTTATTGTACTCTTTGTGGTTCTATCATTGCTTGGCGAACAAAATCTAACACCGACGTCATAATTGCTCAATGAAAACCGAACGCTCCAAAACACCCAAAACATCATCCTGCCTCAACAAACCCCGCTCTACCACCACGTCCAAAAATGGCCGCTCTTCGGCCAGAGCCGATCTCACGATGCTTGACACTTTGGCGTAGCCAAGGCTCGGAACAAGAGCAGTTGCAAGTGCACTGGCGTCGAGAAGATGCTTCTCTGATGTCTCCTTGTTTGCGATAAGGCCCTCCACGCAACGCTTGGCGAATGTCTTGGAAACGCTCTTCAGAAGCTGTATGCTGTCGAACAGTCGGTCGCAAACCAAAAGTTCGTAGTGGTTGATTTCCAACATGCCCTGTTGGCATGCCATGGAAACAGCAGCATCGTTCCCAGTGATCGCCAAGGCCACTTGACAGACTGCAATGGGAATGACAGGATTGACCTTGCCGGGCATGATGGAAGAGCCTGCCTGGACCGGCGGGAGAGTGATCTCGGCAATACCGCCATTGGGTCCTGAAGAGAGCAGAATCATGTCGTTTGCAATCTTCCACAAGCTATTGGCAGTGTTGCGCAGCTCAGCTGATAGACGTGCACAAGTGTCCATGTTCTGCATGCCGTCAAAGGCGTCGCTACATGGTTGCACTGCAACTCCCAATGACGAGGAAAGATGCTTGAAGACTGCTGCCTTGTAGCCTGACTTGGATCCGAATCCAGTGCCAATAGCAGTGCCGCCCATGGGAAGAACTAGGAACGTGTCGCGGATCGTGCTGAGATGCTCTCTGTGCCTTCGAATGACAGCCTCATGAGCACCAAGAGCCTGACCGTAAGTCATCGGTTGAGCATCCTGGAGGCAAGTCCTTCCAAGGCGAAGAAGAGTAGAGTATTCCTGGCGCTTCATAGCAAATGCATCCGCAAGCTCCTGGAGAGCACCCAAAGCACCCTCCATGGCACGGTATACAGCGAGCTTCATAGCAGAAGGTACGGCATCATTTGTCGACTGTCCCATATTGACATGGTCATTGGGATGAACAAAGTTGTAGTCAGAGAGAGCTCGACCCGAGTTCTTAGCAACGATGTTGGCGATGACCTCGTTGACGTTCATGTTGGTAGAAGTGCCGCCAGAACCCTCCATCATGTCAACTGCGAAATGCTTGTCATGGACTCCAGTTTTGATCTCTTCGCATGCCTCGGAAATAGCGTTGGCCTGCTCAGATGTGATGGTACCGACTTCATAGTTAGCACGAGCTGCCGCTTGCTTGATTACAGCAAATGCGTAGATGAAGTTTGGCCAGGTGGCGATGGGTCGTCCTGAGAGAGGGAAGTTTTCGATGGCGCGGAATGTGTTGATGCCGTAGAGAACATTGCCTGGAAGTTCAAGCTGACCGAGACTGTCCTTTTCGAGGCGCTTCGTCTCGATGGTCACGGTGACTTTGTGCCCGTTGGGTCCTTTGACTAGCAAGCCGTTCGTTGGCTTTGGCTCGCTGGGAACAACCTGGCAATAGATGTAAGCATGCGATGGTGGATGTGTTGGGTGTAGATAAGCGGCTTACGGTCGAGATGATTTGAGTCACCGTCATAGTGTCGGCTGCAAGGCTGACAGTCTTTTCGATGTTTTGAAATGATGAGGATTCTGCAGGTGCTATTGATGTTTTTGTTGCTTTGAAGTGCTCTCTCGTGAGATGTGAGAAGTCTGTTGTCGAGGATGCTGACCATCTATATAGAAATGAGTGGTGGTGCTAATGAGGCCCCCAATGCTGTTGACATAACCTGGTTTTCTCTCCAGTCTCACGGGGTGAGGCTTTCAGCGGGATGTACCGGTGAGAACGAAACCGAATGTCAATGGTACCCCAAAAACCCATGGTCGCCCTACAAGAGGATGCGGTCGCGGGTACTTGCATATAGCCATCTGTATGACATGCGGCTGACCAACTGGATCTCTTCCCTCCCATGCTTCGGCCGCTAAAACATCTCAGCCGATGCTGAAAAAGCTCGCATTAGCGGCCGAAGAAAAAGAAAGGAACGAGAAGCATGGTTTAATTTCGCCCGCGTGACATGTGCAGTGCCATGATACAACCAGGATCTGCACTCAACGGTATTCCGACGTGGCAGATCCCTACTGAACCGATAGTCAGCATTTCCGGTCTGTAGGGGAACATTTCCTACCCCTCCATTAGCGTTGTTGTCACGTCCCCCTCCTTTTGGCAAAGACAACGTATGTACATTTCGAGGCGCCGTACACCGTTGACAATTGCCGGTTGACCGGTGTGCTGGGTTCTGGAGCAAATCGAGTGATTTGCCACTCGAGACTTGTAAGGCATAGCGTCAGATCTGGCAATAGCCGGGTCTCGGCCTGTAAATCTGAGGCCATGCCCGAGCCATGTCATGGTTGACCGAGAAGTATCTCGACTGACTGGTGCATTTTGAGGTACTTGTCAGCCACGTGGTTTGTTAGAACATCAGCATGCAAAAGGGTAATATCGGTATTATCTTATAGATTGTATATATTAGCTTATCCGAGCTTGCCAGATAAAATATTCTGTTGTGAAACCATCCACGGCGTCATTCAACATGTACAACCACACCCTCTTAAATATCAATAATGTAAACTGACGAATTGCTTCTCTTATTTTATGCCCACTGAGAGCAATTATTTAAAAACTCGACCCAATCAACATCAGACCATAAGCTCTCGCAGAACTCTAATGATGGAACCTCAAATTCTGTTGGCCTTTCTATCGGTCCGGCATCTTCGTTGGTTGTGAGCATCTGAACGATACTGTCCAAGTCGGCTAGTAGGGCGTTGTGGTCCCTTGCAGCAGGGTTTCCTGCTTCAGCCATTTCCTTCAAAATGAGGCGACATTGAGTATAGAGGTGCTCGTCATTAAGCTCGGAGGTTTCGGCAAGTTCGGGAGCAACAGCTTTTGCAATAGATATGATGGAGAGGCTACTGAAAGCATGCACTGAGTCCCAATATCCGAAGCGTGCTAATTGGAAAGTTAGCATTAGCGTTGTGACAGAGCCATGGCGTTGAAGTGTTTACCATGTTTACCGCGGTTAAAGAGATCTATGAGTATCTTGCAGTTATTCCTTGCTGCATCGTGGCCTTCTTTGGCCAGTACCTGAATTCGCTGGCGCATTGTTGCATTTAACCTCGATTTGAGATGATCAGAATCAACTCCCTGTAACCTGAGAGACAGTTTCTTGGAGAAGAAAGGTCGAAGTAGTACCGTGAAACACTGCTACAGTCAAAAAGTGACGTCAGAACTTTGAGCAGGGCCCTACCTGGTGATATCTCAAGTATAGCGATGCAAGTCCGCGAGCGCATGATCGCTGGCTCATTTCCTCTGGCACACCACTTTTGAAATCAAAAGAGATATATGAAGGCACCTTCTCCTTCCAAGACCGCAGTGTATCGAAACACGGCCATAGCTCGAACAACATAGTTTCTAGGTCCGAGACCCGTCGTAAGTGACCGACAGATTCCATTATCTGGCACTTGATCTCGCATATCTGTGTCTGCAGTGTCTGAACACTTGGATCGAAAAACTGATCCATTTCTGATTCAGGTATGTCTCGTGAAGAAGGAAGCCCGACGTCGAACTTATTCGCGACGTGCGCTGGGGCCAGTCCCAGCTCTGCTACGACCATTCTCTCCATGCAAAAGGACGTCCACCATAAACGCTTTCGGTGCTCGAGGATAACCTCTTGCCCAAAGGCTGATAGGCTTGGGGTCCTGTCGAGAAACAAGAGTTTGGCTACTGCTAAGCTCTGCGTCGCGTATTTGTAGGCCATTCTACGACGATTCAAGGAGTAGCAGTAGAACGCCTGTTATATGTAAGATAGCGCCAAAGTTTTCGAGACTGATCGCTTACCATCAGATTCAATGCCTCAACATCCTCGGTTGTAGGCTCTTCCGATGACACATTTAGTAAAGCAACAGCTTGTTCGAACAAGTCTGATCCGGGAGGTGTCGGGGTTTCAGACTGCTCCGTTATAGGCTCGCCAGAAGGCTGTGATCCATACATGAACGTTGTAGCCAAGGCAAAAACAAGAGATGCCCTTGAAAGCCAGCTTCTGTCTTGTGATTGCGTCTTGGGGTCTTTGAATAGTAGCCGAACTCGTTCCCTGAAGTCTCTTCGAAGAAACCAATGGTGGTCGCAAAATATCTCCTCGAAGGTGTCGAGTAACTTAATAGCTAGCGGCGCTGAAGGGAGCTTTATCAATATTCTCGGCTCTGAACTCGATTAGAACCACAAGCTATCCTTGTGATGAAGGTCTGAGATGCATACCTATCAAATCGGATTTGAGCACTGCGTATGAGTATCCGCCTTGTTGCTGAAACCCCTCCGGACTTTCTGGCAACGCCATCTGCCGGAGGTCATAGACAAATCGTTCGGCACTGCAATCATCTGATATGAGGGCCCGAGCTGCGACTCTACCGCTAGTCGATGTACCCGGATCCGATGGGCTCTGCGATTGCCCTGAATACTCAGGTACATCGTCTGTCAAGCTTGGTGTTAAAGAGGAGGACGGTTGAGAACCTGCAGCTGCTCTCTCAAGATCCCGTAGGTAGGCTTCCGGTACAGTCACGTATGTAGTCTTTACAGGGTACACGCATTCTCTTTGGCGACGAGCGCAGCGTCCACATGGATGAGCTCACTCTATCAGTACGGCATGCTGAAGGTTGTAAGGAGCAGTGGAATGCTTACCACCATCGCACTTTAGCTTCTGAGAGTGGCAGACTGTGCATGCTACTGAGCTTCGACCCTTGAATCTGCCCATAGCTAATGTCCTCGCACAGAATCGATATATAGTCTCTACTCGCTAGCAGCCGTTGTGATGAGTGTTTTGCTGTGCATATACCCTGGCCATGAAGCTCTAGAAGGAAATGCCCCCGTCAAGTGTTTGGGGAATTGGGGGTTGGAACCAAGTCATCGGCCCTAGGAGGCTTAAAATGGCAGGCATTTTAGTGGATGACAGGACAAGGTTTTACGCGATTCAGGCGTGCCACCCTCTCTGAAACCAATTTTCTATTGAGGCACATAGCAAGACATCATGACAGGTGCTTCATGCTATATCGCCGTAATCTACCTTTCTCCTGAATCATTTTGAACTCTCTGAGTAAGTAGCCTAGTTCTTCCATATGAAAGGATCCTTTTTATCAAGAAGCAATGGATTGAAAAGCATCGTCCGACATCAAAGAAAGCTTAGAAGAATTGGAGACTTGGCTTGGTGGAGAGCATCGGCCGAAGCGCATTAGCGGCCGAAAATGAATTTGACATCTTATGATTGGTCTGTTTGAATCCTTGAAGAATGTCGGCTTAGAGTGCATTAGCGGCCGGTGGCCTCAAGGATCACTGGATTATGACCTGTAGATAATGACGCAGGACCAGAGCAGATCATAGCCAGATGCAAACTTCGAATTAGTGGCCATAATCTGAAAGCAACGTCCGTGCATCCATGCATATTGATGCGCGTGCCAGGCCCAGGCCACTGGGCCGATAGATGGCCAGAAGGGCTGCGATACAGTATATCTTGCCCATGGTATAAACTCAATTTGCCGCCTAAGAAAAAGAGCCTTCATCCAGTTTTGAATGTTTAGTAACAAAGTCAAGTCGGCTGACTTGCTTATGCAGCCGAACTTTGCTCTCCACCCCTCACCAGTCTGCAATCACTGACCAGGAGACAGACCCCAGGCTGAACATCAAACGTGGGGAATTACTCATGTTTTCAGCAAAGGTCAAATCTGGCCCCATGGGGAAGAAGGGTAAGCTAAAAGTGACCCAGGCCATGAATGACTCCAAAGTTTTGACATCGTGATGCGGGGTGTTCATCCAGCTTGCTGGAACGCCATGCTCAGCCGATAAACTTTAATTTTGCAATCGGCCTGTCCATTCCCAGCTGACCAGAGTGACGTATAACATACGTACAAAGAGATAAGGAATATTGAAGTTCTGAGAGAATCCTGATGATAAGTTGATAGCAAAGATCTTTAGAGTTCTTATCTGGGAATCCAGATATGAGTTCCAGTCCTTCAAGCTAGACGTCTAATCACGGCTGCCCCGTATCAAGACACGGATGGAAAATCCGGGGAACTAAGATAGTTACAACGCTAACGGCCGCTTTCATTACCGAGCCGAAGCAAAACTCGTTTCCTTAAACTTGCCTATCTCGTAGTCGAGGGAAGGGTTCCCCATATCTTATTCCAGAACAACGTAAAACCTGGGGAATTGGCTTGCTCCCTAACGGCCTCTATGCCTACCGAGCCGACAGCAAGTTCCTTGTCTTATCCGACTATCATCTGTGTAGCGTCTATCACAAGGTTACCCCATGCCAAGCAACTACGTAGAGTCTGGGGAAGCTCTCCAGGCCGATAAGACACCAATGACTTTGCGCACGTTGAAGTTGTATAAAAAGGGCTGTGCCAGTCGATCTCGAACAGTTGCTCATCATTCAGGGCATCAAATCCTATTTCAATTAACAGTAGTATATACAACAACATGGATATCGAGAAGAAGCCCCACGCCAGCATGGACGAGAATGACTCTTGCGACTCCAAGAGCCAGGGGCAAATCGTATCTTCCAAGCCTGCAGCACTTCAACATCTCTCTGATGAGGAGATCATGGTGCTGGAGAAGCGCCTCAGGCGCAAGATTGACCTGCGCCTGCTTCCTTGTATGATTCTGATCTACATCATGAACTATCTTGACAGGTGAGATCCTTGATGGATAAAAGTCAGCTTAGATATTGACAAAACAGGAACGCTATTGGAGCTGCTCGACTTGGGGGTTTGGAGGAGGATCTGGGACTGAAGGGCAACGAGTTTCAGGTATGAGAAACATGAGAATTCTTTCATGACTATCCTAACCATTGTAGACTGCCGTATCTGTGCTGTTTGTCGGCTATGTTCTCATGCAAGTCCCTTCCAACATGCTGCTGAACAAAATCGGAAAGCCAGCCTCCTACCTAACAGCGTGCATGATCGGATGGGTATGTTATTCCCTAGATGCTTGAAATTAACAGTGAAGCTGACAGAAACAGGGTATTCTGTGCGCCTCCACCGGAGCTGTCCATAGCTTCGGCGCACTCACTGCAGTTCGGTTCCTCCTTGGCTTCGTCGAAGCGGCCTTCTATCCTGGTGCCATGGCAACTCTGAGCGCCTGGTACGTGCGAAAGGAATTGGGCGTTCGAACTGCGATTTTCTACTCGGGATCTCTAATCTCGGGCGCTTTCTCAGGACTGATCGCCGCCGGCATCATTGACGGAATGCACGGTGTTGGCGGACTCTTGGCCTGGCGATGGATCTTTATCCTCGAAGGCTCAGCTACTGTCGTCATCGCCTTCTGCTGCTATTGGATTCTTCCAGATTTCCCAGCGACCACCAAGTGGCTCACTGAAGAGGAACGCGCTATTGCCCTCTGGCGTATGGAGGTTGATGCTGCTGGTGAACAAGACTGGACCGCAGGCGACCAGCAATCTCTCTTTCATGGCTTCAAACTGCTTCTCCAGGACCCTAAAAACTGGATCTTGATTGTTGTTTGCTACGGAGCCGCTAGTGCCATTGCTATCAACAGCTTCTTCCCTACGATAGTGAAGAGCATGGGTAAGGACAGAATCACTACTCTTTTGCTCACCGCACCACCGTATCTACTGGCATGCATCGTCTGTGCAGTTGTCGCATGGAACGCCGACCGAGTCCAAGAACGGTTCTGGCACACCAGCTTGTCTATTGCATGTGCGCTCACAGGCTTTATCATCTCAGCCTCTACCACCGGTATCGGCCCTCGCTACTTCGGCGCCATGATCATGTTGCCTGGCATCTATTCCGGTTTCAACATGTCCATGGTATGGACTGCCAACACCAACTTCCGCCCTGTGTCCAAGCGAGCTGCTGCGCTGGCATTCAACAATGCCCTGGCAACCATCTGCAGCATCTACGGATCCTTCCTGTACCCCAACGGCGCTGAGCCCAGATTCATTCTCGCCTTCAGTGTGAACGCTGCCATGGCCACCATCGCTATCATTGCCAGTGTCGCCCTTCACTTTATTCTCAAGCGCGCTAACCGGAAGCTGGAGCTTAAGGAGGCTGAGGAGGAAGCTGCTGGACGACATCTCCCAGGATCTGGCTTCCGATACCTTACCTGAAGAGCACTAAAGAATAGCATTAAACTGATACATTCAGTCCCAAGTAGTGAGGATCCTTAGCCATAATTTTAGGATAATTTAGAACAAACCCAGTTGGCCCTTTAATCGGATCTTTCGCACCTTGGTTTAATTGAGTAGTTTTGTGATTATCCACCGTGTAATTACCTAGTAGTGAAAGACATATGGCTACCGCAAATATCATCACTTGAAAGGTCTAGCATACCCATCCACCATCAACATTATATACGGCCCCAGTCACAAATGATGCTTCATCGCTGAGTAGAAACGCGATAACTCGAGCAACCTCGACTGGATCAGCTCTTCTCTTTTGTACAGTCCCCGAAAGACTGCGCTTGATGTGTTCTGCGTCATCATGCTCGTTCATAGCAGTACTCACAGATCCTAAGCACAGTCAGCCAATATTGAGACCCGTAGACCGTCAAGCATACCTGGTGAGACACAGTTGACTCGTATGTGAGCATTCTCCTTCGCAGCTGTCCGCGAAAGACCGATGACAGCTGCCTTGCTTGCGCAGTATGCAACATGTCCCGGAGCCCCGAATTGACCAAACACGCTGGCGGCCGAGACCTGGAGGACAGTCAGAAATTGTGCAAAGCGTTGATCTTCAAGCTTACAATGCTAGCCCCGGCGGACATGGCTCTGAGCTCTGCACGTAGGCAGTTGAACACTCCGCGGGTATTGACTGCAAACATCTTATCCCAGACCTCATCACTGTATTCTGTGAGAGGTACTGGCTCAGCAATGATACCGGCCATGTTCACAGCACCATGGAGCTTGCCTAAAGTTTCGACTGTCTTCTTGACCCAGGCATCCACTGAGTCACTTTTGCTGACGTCTACCACTTGGTAGATATGCTTGTCACCCGGCAACGAGTCTTTGGCCTTTTTCAGTGCTTCTTCGTTAATATCAGCGAGGGAAATAGTAGATCCTCTCTCAGCAAGAAGCTTTGCGGTGGCTAGACCCATGCCAGAGGCAGCGCCGGTTACAGCGATCTAACATGTTATTCCTGGCCAATGTTGCACGAGGAAAGGAGGACCTACCACTTTTCCTTCGAAAGAGGCCATTTTAGAAATTGGTGTAGTAGAGTAATTGTGACCTTTGCACTATGTGATCAAAACTTTGGACGAGGATTTGGAGGGATTTATGTCCAAGACAGCCCAGCCATAACCGCCATGACTCTGTGACGTAGATCAATGGAAAGCCATTGGTGATGAGTTTACCCCGCATGCAAAGGTGATAAGCTGTTCTGGAAGTGGAAAGTCAACCCATGTGGCGGATTGCTTAGAAGAACTCACACTCTGTTGCTACCCTTGTGCGATGGACCGATGGCCGGCCATCAACGAAGCAAGTGAGGACGCGTCACATAATCACATTTGAATGTATGCATGATGAGACTTGCCAGTTCATGTTGGAGCTATCTTGTATTGCTTCCGATATCGCTGCTCACCCGAACTCATTTTGTCTATCCGTACTGTCTCTCCCATTCCAAATCTGCTCAATACGTTCTTTCGTTTCTGTAAATATCCGTAACCCACTTCGCTTTGCGGCACACTCAAACCATTGTACAAAAGACGCCCGTATATCATTATCATCAGTCTCACAAGCTGCAACAAAAGCAGGCCAAATCAGTCTCAAAGATCCATACCCCATTCCAGCATCCGATGCGTCAAACTCAAGCAGCCGATCGCGCACACCAAGAACATGCTTCTGAAGCATACTTGGATCCAAATCATAGATTCTACGATAAAAGTACACAGACAGCGCGTGTTGCATTGTATCAGCCAAACTGTTGAGAAGATTGACAGATTGCTGATGTTCTGGATCAACAGGCGCTTCGACCATCCATATTGACTGTCGAAGGACATGCAATTGCTTTATCCACCGCTCAACCGCTTTTGCTCGAGCCATGAACTCTTTCAATGTCAAACCAGAGTTAATAAGTTCATCTTGGTTCTGCTCCTTCTCTCGTGCGAGACGGATGACCAGCGAAAGCATAAAGAGGTGGAGCTCTGGCACGCCAAAGATCTCAGGATAAAGCGTAGCAGACCATATTCCTGGATGCTGAAGGTGAAGGTCATTTTCACCCTCTTCTTGGCCTTTGACCTTGTGCATCTCCTGGTCCAGGTTATTCCAGGTGGTGAGACGGAACGACAGACTATCTTGGCTATATGCACTGGCACCGCTTGCTTCTATGGCTTCGCGAACGCGATTCCGATGATCCAAGTTCAGTGTGCTTTGTGTAAAAGTGCTCTCGTGTGATAGACGCTCAAATACATAACAATGATGCAGTAACCTGACTTTGCGAGACTTTCGCCGGTTCAGGCCTTTTGTTCGGATGAACTTCTCCGTTTCCAGGAAGAAGTATTCTGCTTCATCTCGATTACCAGAAAGTATGGCAATCTGAACCATGGTCAAGAGAGCCATGAGTATAGATTTATACTTAGCCGTCTTAGGAATGTCGTATGCTGTCTTGAGCATAAGACAGACGTGAAAATGTGCTTGTTGATAATATGTCTTGCCTTGGTCTAGCCATTTGGTGGAGCCGTGAATACCACCCAGGCTGAAGGCACTGATCGCTAATGTCCCATAAAAAGCACAGAGACTCGCATGGTCCATTTTCTCACCGAGGGTCAGTGCCGCCAAACAGCTCTTGACATGCGGGAGGAAGAGAACATGCCAAGGCGTTTTGCTGTGACGGTAAGGAGTCAAGCCTCGAAGCACGATTGTCGCGTAATGCTTAACTAATAATACAGCATCGCGTGGCACGTCCGTCTCAACTTGAGAAGATACTGAGCCCGAGCTAGGCGACAGGTGTGATAGGTAAAGCCTTGGGGATCCAAACTCAATAGTAGAAGACCGTGCAAATGGTGATGGAGGCTTCTGCGCAGAGGCTGTTTCGCCCATCCAAGGCACGGAGGTTTCAATGCCCATGGCCATAGGATCCCACCAGTCAGGGAGATCAAAATGTCCTGGATCCAGCCAGCTACTCACAGGGAAGCTTTCCAGTGTCTTCAACCAGTCTGTACGAGGGATAAGTGCGCCATGTCCCCCCAATATTTGATGCTGAGTATCTCGAGGAGTCGTTCCAGTCGCAAAGTCGAGTGTTGAAGTCACGATTTCCACGTCGTCGTCGAAGTCAGGAAGTAGTAGTTGATCGTTTTCAACAGCGTGAATCTGTGGTTCATCTACCTCGTTCTCGTCTATCTCGTCCAGAGTGCTCAAGGGGTCTGGGGGCAACTGTTCAGTGATGCGAAAAGCTCCAAAAGGTCCTCTGGAGATTTGAACGTCTGAAGACGCCTTTTCGCATTCTTCGTCAATTTGAGAAAGATGCCAACCCGCCAGTTCTGGTGGAACGTCTTGCGCGATCTGCTCGCTCAATCGCTCTCGTTCTTGGTCCGTTAATAATGGTCTCCGAAAGCGAGCGATTCCCGTTGACGAGGGGTCATCAAAGTCGAAGAAGATGTCTTTACTATAACCGCCGCAATCGAGGCCTGAGATGTTACACATAGAACATCCGGGACGGCCTTCATCGCATTTCACACGACGACTGCGACACTGGGAAGGGTCAGTCTGGAATGACGGGTTGAGGGATTGAACGTACGGTAACGCATCCTCCAAACGAACGAGTCCGCCGTCCTGGGACCCGCTTGGCCTTTGCTGTGGACTTCCCTACAGAGGGAGGCATAATGAAGAGAAGTTGTCTCCTAGACGAGACCTTCTTCTCAGCCGGGAATGCCCACCTGTAAAAGGTCCCAAGATGCAGGCATCGGCACTCCCGCCGTGGTGGAGACGTGAGATAAGGCTAATCGCTTCCCCGCCTTTCGGTTAACGGTACCAATCCTTCTCCTGGGGAAACTTTCCTACCCTAACCAAGCGATGAAACCTTGAATAGAGTGATGGACGATCAGCAGAGATAGGAACCCTCCAGTTCGTATCGGTAGTTGGCTCCTGCAGGGCGCACCATGATCTCGTGCCCTTCGGATTGTCGCGTATGATAAGGTTCTCCCCGCACTTTGCAACGGTTCGTTACTTCGTCCAAACTTGTGATTGGGTGGGAATGTTCCACTATCGAAGCCACCATCGTAAAAGGAAAGTTATATCTGGTGGCAAAACATGTCGCTTTTCACTGTGTGATAGCATGATAGGAAAGTCGAGCAGACTATCCTGTTCAGGTCATTGGTTGAGAAGAAACGTGAAGGCAACTCCGACATGGCATGATCGAATCATTACTCTCAAGATATATAGATACCGTCTAACGTTGACACTTTGCACCAAGCTGAAGCAACAAGACAAACCGATACACCGTCACTCATCGCCTTATCCACACTATCAGCAATGGGTTCTGTACCTCAGTCTACCAGCACTTTCGACGTCCTCATCCTGGGCGCAGGCCTCTCCGGTCTGTGCTCACTCTATCAACTCAAGAAGCGCTTCCCAGAATGGCGTATCAGGGTTCTTGATGCCGCCCCCGACGTTGGAGGCACATGGTACTGGAACTCTTACCCCGGATGCCGATTCGACTCAGAGTCGTTGTCTTACTGCTTCTCGTTTGACAAGGAGCTTCTCGATGAGTGGCACTGGAAGGAGGCCTTTTCGCCACAGCCAGAGACTCACAAGTACATCACCTATTTCGCCGAGAAGCACAATCTCAAGAAGGATGTTCAGTTCAACACCACTGTTACAAAGGCTACATGGAGTGAGTCTGATCACACATGGACCTTTGTTGATGAAGCTGGTAACGAATACGTCTCCACGTTCCTCATCAGCTGCATGGGTTTCCTATCCGCACCCACTCTTCCCGCGATCGAAGGCATTGAAGACTTCAGCGGCAAGCTATTCCACACTTCTCGCTGGCCCAAGGACCTTGACATCACGCGCGACTTTGTGGGCAAGAAAGTTGGAGTAATCGGCACCGGCGCAACAGGTATCCAGATCACCACTGCTGTCTCCAAGGTTGAAGGCGTGGAGTCTCTCAGCGTCTTCCAACGCACAGCCAACTGGTCCGCTCCTCTTCGCAACTCTGAAATCACCATTGAGCAAATGGCCGAGCACAAGAAAAACTATGACAACATCTTCAAAATTTGTGATACGAGCTCATCTGGTTTCATGCATCATGGCGACCCTCGAAAGTCACTTGAGGTTTCGGAGGAAGAGCGTCTAGAGCTTTGGGAGAAGCTCTATGACACACCTGGTTTTGGAAAGTGGCTGGGCGTGTTCTCCGATACCTACACAGATCGATACGCCAACAGTTTGTATTCCAACTTCATGGCTGAGAAGATCAGACAACGAGTTAATGACCCTGCTATTGCGGAGAGCTTGATTCCCAAGAACCATGGTTTCGGCACGCGCCGAGTCCCTATGGAGAGTGGTTACTTCGAGGCCTTCAACAAGCCAAATGTTCATCTTGTTGATCTCCAAAAGTCGCCTATTGATCGTGTCACACCATCAGGCATCTTGACTTCAGATGGAAAAGAGCACAAGCTCGACATTCTAATCTGCGCTACTGGCTTCAACGCCATCACCGGTGCCTTCAGTGCTATCGACTGGCATGGAAAGAAGAACCGACCATTGATCGCAACTAGCGATAGCCCCAAGGGCGACCAAGCAGTTTGGGTTGACCATCGACCCCGAACATTCCTAGGCATCACTGTTCCCTCGATGCCCAACATGTTCATGGTTCTCGGCCCTCATCAGCCTTTCGGCAACGCTACCCGCAACATTGAACACGGTGTGCAAGCTATTTCGGATATGCTGCAGTACTGCAAGGATAATGGCTACACATCTGTTGAGCCGACAGAAGACGCTGTTGAGCAATGGACCGAGCATGTGGTGAAGTGCAGTGAGAGTCAAGTTCTCATGAATGAGATTGATAGTTGGATGACAGGTGTGAACAAGAACGTCAAGGGTAAAAATGTTAGGAGTGTTGCACGATACAGTGGTAGCATTGGAGAGTATCGAAGGCGATGCGAGGAGGTTAAGAAGTCGGGCTACAAGGGTCTTGTTTTCGCATAGATAGAGGTAATCAAAATTCATTTCATTTGCACAAACACTCATTCTTTTCATTGTTATAGCATTTGAGTGAGACCTTTGAACAGTAATGGTGCCTGAAATCACGGCGGGATTCTGATCGTAAGTTTTGCTAACGGTCTTGTAATTTAGACCATGCCACCATAACGCTTACAAAACTTAGTTTATTACTAACCTTTATGTAACTTGCAACAAATATAATGAGACTGTACAAGATTATATTTGATAGGGGATCGTAAGTATACTTTACTATTGGAAGCGTCTAGCCTATAGTGCTAGTAATGACTGCAACAGTTCACAGCAGACATAGTCACGCTGGTGAGAATTCGTCACAAATTGCCGAGATGTCTCCGTTCAAGTCGACCCTCTATCGCGGACCTACCTTCCCATTATCATCTGCTCATCAGATTGAGGCCATCCAGCCAATACGTTATCATGCATTCCCCGCAATTCAATCAGGAAAGTTATATCTGGTGGCTGATCAAGGTGGGTCAAGCCCGAGATAGCGGGAACGCTCCATGTCAAACCAGGAAAGCTTCTCCAAGTTAGCTTCGGATATCGGTCGCCGAGCCACGGACCTGTCAAACGTGGGATAATTGAGATGGAATAGTTATATGTGTATAAGAGCAACTCTACCTTAAACAGATAGACATCAACAGCAATCACTATTCTTCCAAACAATTGTCAGATCACCAATCCCTCATCTCTAATACTTTTGTCACAATGGATGTACCAGGTTACGCTTTGATCACAGGAGGTGCTTCAGGCATCGGCCGAGCATGCGCCAGAGCATTCGCTCGAGATGGCAGCGCCGGTATTGCACTCATAGATCTCAACCTTGAGTCTCTACAAATCGTCAAGTCTGAGATTGAAAAGGAGCAGCTATCACCCAGAAAGGACTTCAAGGTTGAGGTCTACTCTGCAGATGTCACAGATGAGAACCGAATCAACGAGATTGTCACGGACGTGGCAAAGAAGTATGGTCGCATCGACTATGTTGTCAATGCAGCTGGTATTGCCATGAAACACCAAGGCGGTGCGGCTTTTGCTCATACGGCTGATTGGAACCGTGTCGTCAGCATCAACCTTACTGGAACGTTCTTTGTGCTTAGAGCTACTGCACAAGTTATGTTGAAGCAAGAACCCATTCGCTCGTCTATCAACGGAAGGGAATTGCAGCGTGGATCTATCGTCAACTTCTCTTCCATTCAGGGCGTTGTTGGTATTCCATTATCGACATCTTATACCGCTGCCAAGCATGCCATCATCGGCCTTACACGTTCAGCTTCGGAGGACTACGCCAAGGAGGGACTTCGCATCAACGCCATCTGCCCAGGATACACAGAGACACCAATGACCACAAAGAACCCTGAGGTACTAAAAGCTATGCAAGAGCGGATCACAACAGCCGTTCCCATGCAGAGAATGGGTGCACCGGAGGAGATCGCCGATGGTGTTTTGTATTTGGCTGGAGGAAGAAGTTCGTTTGTTACTGGGTCTGCTTTGGTTGTTGATGGTGGTTATACCCAAAGGTAATGAGGGCCAGGAGGATCACTAGACCGGAGGATTGGAGTGAAGCATTGGGGAATCGAACCTGGGTATCATAGAACAAGCAGTAGGCTGATCTGTCATGCGTCTTAGGTTAAGGCGGTGCAGGCATCTCAGATGATGATCGAAATTGAAACGTCTTGCTATACCCTCATCGTTGTTCTTATACCACAGTGAGTGTACTATTAGTCCTTGAAATTGAATCATGCTAAGCCTTACAGGACTCTTTGAGTTATGATTCCTGGACATATCCTCTGGTTTTCAAGACAGCATCAGTCATAAACATACCCCCGCTACTTTCCCAGGTCAGGAACCTCTGTGCTATGTTTAATCCCCTCACATCCGTCAAGAGCATATTGAAACTCTAACTTATTAGTCAGCGGGTTTAGCTCAGTTGGGAGAGCGTCAGACTGAAGTCAAACTTCAATCCTCACCAAACCAAGTGATATCTGAAGGTCGTGTGTTCGATCCACACAAACCGCATCATATTCTTTTTGCGTTTTCTCACTAAACCGCGCCGCAAACCATGCTACTCTTGCATCAGCACTGCCATTTCCATAAGCTGTATGGGGCGGTGAGCAACTCAGCCTCAAACTGCGACCTATCGCGCTAGTGTCATACTGAAGATCTTACTCCGGCCGAGGGATGTTTGACGACGAGAGCCTAACAGTATGGGTAGAAAATAAACTAGTTAGAAAGGATGGTAAGTCTAATCTAACTCTACCTAAGTATTTCTAATCCGTAGGATAAAATGTCCTAAGCTCTCGCTGTCCTGTAGCCTTGATGGTGCATTCACAAACGCAGGATCAGATCCCTGTTCCCTGTTCCCTGTTCAGAAGCCTCAGCCTCCTCCATCACGTTTCAGCCCTAGGCATCATCGTTGCATGCCCTCTAATCTTACCTTCAACACCATATCAAGATAAGAGCTGTTTAGCACTTTAGGTGCTTAATCCCTACCCTCAACTCAGGTTTAGAGGCTTTGATCAAACCAAAGCTTCAAAATGACGGACAAGCTCGATCACGGCCCCAAGGTCATCTCCATCAACGGCGAAGTATCTGCCGCGATCTACAAACCACTTGACAACAGTCGCCAAGAAATCCGCCTTCTTACGCTTCTTCCGTCTGAAAATAAAGAGGTCGATATTCGTTGCACCCTTTCACACGCTGTCCTTAACACTTCATCTGAAAATCCAGCATACGAGGCGCTATCCTACGTTTGGGGAGAGCCTGATTTCTCGGAGCCAATAATTCTCAACGACTATACTTTCTTCATCACACCAAGTCTGAAGTACATTCTGTCGTGCCTGAGGCGAAGAGATGATCAGGAACGAGTTATTTGGGTTGATGCAATCTGCATCAATCAGTCAGATGTCGAGGAGCGGGGTCACCAAGTCGCCCTCATGCGCGAAATCTACTCAAATTGCCAACGAGACATCACATGGCTAGATCCAATGATTGGCAAGACAAAGGTCAAGGCACGGGAGCTCTACAGCCTTCCGGATTTAGAAGAAGAGGAAGAAAGAGTGAAGAATGGGATGGACTTGATGCGCGATATAGCTGAGAAGAATCCGCAGACTCTGAAGGAACTGCAAGACCAGTACCGAGAAGGTGCTTATCGTCTCCTCACGGAATCACAGTATATGCTCGGTGGTGTCTTCAAAGACCCAACTCTTTGGAAACGGCTGTGGGTCATGCAGGAGCTTTCTTTGGCCCCGCGGTTGACGCTCATGTCTAGAGATGGTGAACTGAGCTGGGATGTTATGAACAACCTCTTCAAAGACGAGCCATATATCGACGCGTTCCATATGGGTCGTAGTAGTAGTCATGCTGACTGGTACTACAAGGATTTTAGCGAAGTCTTCGTTCCCATCAAGCTCATTGAGGACCAGCGTCGCCTTATGTCGCACGGCAAGGGTTCCAAGCTCATGGACGTGTTGGTGCGATTTCGGGAAATGGAGTCGACAAATCCACGGGATAAGATATTCGGCTTACTTGGGCTGGTGACGGAAGATCACGGCATCAAGGTCGATTATCTGATGTCGGTACCAGAGCTGTATCAGCAGACAACAGTTTCCCTCATCAACCTTGCTGGAAACTTGGATGCTCTGTGCCAAAATCCATTTGAGCGTCTTAAAGGCCCCACAGCGCTATGGTGTGTCGACTGGAGCGAGAACCAGCATAAGCTACCGTCCTGGGTTGCTGAATATGATAGCAAGCGTTGGCAATGTGTACCGATTCTCTTTGCCCAGCGCGACATTTTCAACGCCGGTACCAAAACCTGCGAGACTCCCTGTCGGCTCGTCGGTCCTGGAGAAGATATTTTAGTCACCAAGGGCATTATCCTCGGGACAATTGCGCCTGTTCTCCAGGATGGCAAAGACCTTGGGGCTTTCGATGTCATGAACCTGTATCTTGGCAAGGATGCCCTTGAGCAACCCCAGGAGCATCTGTATGCCCCAAAATTTGGTAACAAAGAAATATCGACTGGCGAGACTTCTATTCGCGCATTCTGGCGTACAATGGTGAAAGACTGCACGTTGCCCCCAAGAATGCGACGACTGAGACAGACGGAAATCGAGAGACTCGATGTTGAGAACCAGCAAACTTTGATCGAGGGATGGAGCAATCTCCAAACCTACCGTTTGCACTTCGGCAACAGATACTCAAGATCTGCCTTCAGTTACCAGCCCACCGACGATGAAGACCTCACTAAACTTGACACCGAAGGTCAAATTTCACATCATTACAGCTCTGTCTGCTTCATGTTCGCGGTTACAGATAATGGACTGTTCCTAGCGACGCGTTTTGCTGCGAAGGAAGGTGATGTTGTGGCTGTCCTTGATGGGGGAAAGGTCCCTTTAGTGTTGCGCAAGGTTGACTCTAGAGATGGTGTTGAAGTGGATTTGTATATGATCGTGGGCTCGACATATGTGCACGGCTTCATGGATGGTGAAGCAGAGGTTGGTGTCGCTGAGGGATGGTTAGAGAAGCGGGAGATTCTGATCGCGTAGAGTCCGTCCCTCAACTCAGATCGAGATCAGGAGAGCTAAGCTCATAAAAGATTAGAGTAATTTATGATTATGCATGGCTGAGACTACCTAAACTTAGTCCGTTTATGTTTCATACCATGTTGCGCACAACAGGGTGCCCCGTTAACAGATAGCATCTTTCCCGCCTTGACTCAGCTCGTTCCATAACACGAATATCTCAATGAAACACATGAGACGTTACTCACTCTCCGCCCCGTACCGATCAGACCTCATAAACATATCCCAAACTACCTCCAAGTCACAGTCATCGGTCCGGTCAGATTGCAAAGCAGCATCGTGGTGCGCTTGTGCCTGATCCAGTCTGCTCTTGGCGATCTGTGCCTCTTTCTGAGCACGCTCAAACTCGCAGGCGCATATGGCATGTGCATCAAAGCTCTTCTTGAGATTTCCCATCGTGGCTAGAGTTTGGCTGGGTCGATGGAGTCTTTCATAAACTCGGTGGAATGTGTCTTCTGCTTCTTGTTTCCGATGACGGGCCTGTACTCTTTCGGCTTGAGTTACTGCCACGGAGCCATCGCGATGTAGGAGGCCCAACAAAGCTTTCTCAGCGTCATGCTTGACAGAAAGGGCGGTATCAAGTTCGGTGGCCAGTATGCGGCGAGCATTTTCGATCTGAAAAGAACTTAGATTCTCAAGCGCCTTGTCCATGGTTAATCGAGGACTCTTGTTGCGGGGCGAAGTTGATGGTTCGTCTTCGTCTTCTTCTAAGGGTCGCTTCGCGTTTCGTGGCGGCACTCGTAATTCATCTTCCGTAGATGCGATCGTATCGTTGAGAGGAGATGGGAGTCGCTGCATGGTTGATGGGTCGAAGGAAGGAGAAGTCAATTGTGAAGCGATGGTGTCTTCCTGAAGTGTTTCTGCCTTGCACTCATTTCCTGCTGTAGAATCTGTATCATTGTCAGCCGATGCTCTGGAAGTCGCGGCATTTCAAAAACTTGGGCCAGTCGAACTCAGTCAGCTGGCGTGTAAGGATTACCTGACGACGAACTGCTGTCATTTTCTACATTGGCCATCGATAAAACCATGTTCCGATACGCCTTCTTCACCATCTTTCTCGTAAGGCGTGCAAACCTAGGATGTTTGTGCTGCAAGTTGAGCGCAGGTGTCCTGGTGGCAAGGTCCTGGTCGACAACATTTCTGATGAATCCGTCAGGCTCCCAGAGAGAAGTTAACGGGATCTTTTCCGTCGTGGCCAGCTCAGTGATGCTTTTCAGGCAGCGGACAACGCTCCGGCAAGGCTTGTGAGGCCACACGACATCGGCAGGGATCCAGTGTTGCCCTTGCCACTCTTTGTTAAGCCAAGCGATTCTGTTCTCGTGGAGTTCACGTCTGAGCTCATTTTTCATCTCCGAACTTAACTTCATGAACTCCTTTCTTGGTCGATTCATGTTCAGCTTGCACGATCGATGTTTCTTGAAACCGGCACGTTGCGTCGGTATGGTGCGACCCTTCGCACGTATATGTCAGTAAACCTCGTGACAAGTATCTGGGAGACTCACCGATGGCGCTTTGATGGATGGGATGCTGCTTGAGTCTGGCGGGCTGCTGTGAAGATGGAGAGAATATCGCTGGAGAGAAGTTGACAGAATCTTTCTGGTATTGTTCTGGGAAGAACCTCCAACGCGAGCTCTGTGCGCGTGATTCAGGTAGGTATCCTGCGACTTGTTTAGCAGGTGTTGTTCAGCACTGCCTGCCAGCTGTTGACGCCTGACAGTGGAGGTGACTGGCTCAGCTAAGCAGCCTGGGCTTTTGAACACCAGCAATACCTAGATCTAAATTATCACCATTAATGGCAAGATTATCCGGGCAGAAGAGTCATGATCTTGACGATCCTTTCATGTATCGCTTCGAGCACTTCATCGTGTCAAAACACCAGCCCAGATCATGTGCTTCATTTGGTTGTCGCGCTGCAGGTTCATAGGTGACATCGAAAAGAAGACATCCAGTACTGGTAGACTGCACAAGGCGCTGTTGGGAGATAAATTCACTGCGGCAGGAAGAATAAAGACGAATTGCTTAGCCTCATTTCTACCCAGTAATGTTTACCGCCTTGACTTGTCAAACTAGAGCCACAGTCACATGCGGGTTCTCTCGTGGAGTCGTGAATGCGATCGCATTCATTACAAAAGTGCACATCCATAGGGCTGACCACGTAACACGAAAAGTCCTTGATATTCTGTAAATTGGGGGCCGTGATGTCATTGTCCAGCACACCCAGTTGACATAGCGCTGAGAGTTCCTCTTTTCAGATGCTAAGTCTGTAGATCCGTAACTCACCGGGGATTATCAGCCACTCACCTTTGTCCAGCTATTGTAATATCTGCACTTCAGAAGTGAAGTAGATAGCAATGGGAGGTGGAGAAACACTTTTGTAACTTTAGCATGATTTCATAGCATCGATCTTTCAAACTGCAGCTTATGAACTCATCCTTACCCAGGCCGCACAATAGTATATATATTTCCACTTGCCTCAGCATCCTTCTTGTTCAGCTTTCTCTCTCGTCAGAAGCTTCACCCTTACCGTCATAACCAATATACGTTACGGGCTCAAATACTTCCATCCATTTTTCCTTCATTCAATAACTCCAGCATGGCAATGGCTTACCATCGACCCCAACACTACGCTCCACCTACAGCCTTACGATCTCAAACAATCAAAAGAAGCATCCAGACCTGGTCTTGAACGCCGAAGGGGTCTCAATGGCTGCGTGCTATTTCCCAAAGGCTATCAAGTACTACAACAGCGACGAGAAAACATTCCGCATTGGTCTCGGTGATCCATCAAATGCTCGGTGGACAGAGATGCTGTACCGCGGAAAGGACAAATACGGCTGGACATTTACCTTCAACCTTCCAAACACGAGACAGCCTGTTCCAATGACCTGGAGGAAGGACAACAGCGTGCCTGTAGATGGAATGAAGGCCTCTCGATTAAGTGACAACAACTTCAAGCTGCTCGATCCAAACGGACAGCTCATGGCAGCCTTTACAAACCACACCATGAGCTTCCGCCTCAGCGCCGTTGGAACCTTGCAGATCAACATTGATCTCGGCCCCATGTTTGATTATGCTGCCATCACGACTTTGCTGTCTATCTACAATTTCCAGAAGCGCGAAGAGGACAGTAGATCAAACAATACAAGCACTGCGGGTGCTGCCGCCGCCAGTAGTTCTTGTTGATCATAGGACTGATAGGATAGATTAAAATGATAGTTCCAAAGGCTAAATTTCTCTTCCAATTTTCTATACAGATAATTGCTGGCCATAAGCTAAGTTCTGTGTGGTGATATAAGCTCTCAGCCACAGGTCTCAACTGCAAATAACACATCTGGCTCACAACTTGTACATTATACCATAATGCCTGACCAATTGCTACAGCATAAATGCTGATATGATAAAAACCTAGATTATGACTCTTTGGCCGGCCTTGAAGGCATATAAGGTTAAACTTTGGGCTGCAAACACGGATCTCTTCCAATTAGTTTATAATTCAAACTCTATTACCGGGCTGTTGGCATCTCAAAGACAGGGGGGCTAGCTTTTAAACATTCTTGTTAATGAACTCTATGCTCTGCTGGCATCCGAAATAGCACATTATTTTTAACACTCTAACGTAGTTAAACTTTGTTCTGATACATCTGACTCGTCGCTGCAGCTCTGGAGGGAACAAGGACAGAGGAAGCTTTTGTATCAAACCTTATCACTTTAAGAAGTCTATAAATACCCCCACTACGTGTGTCATGCCCTTTACTCTTCCGACTTTGTATTTTCTCAACATATGATTCCGCATGTCATATTCACCCATCAAGATGAACTTAATCTCGCCTCTTTGTAGTCTCCCAACCGAGATACTTCTCATGGTTATGGAGTGCTTGGAGTCCCCTATCAGTATAAGAGCATTCGCCTTCTCCTATCCCAGAGCCTTGCACCTATTCCAGAAACACCGCCGAAACCTCTTGGACCCAGCCCTGCATGTCTTCAATTGGATATATCCAACTGACGAGCTATTGGAAGATGCCGTCCGCGCTTGTCGGTTGCGGTTAACTATGCGCAACGTGGTATTCTTAAGTCCTTCAGAAGCGAGGCAAAAGGTACACAAAGCAGAAGGCCATGGTCCTTCAAATCGTAGGGACTGGTGCAACCTTTCTCTACTCTGTGAACTCAGCAACCTGGACAATGAAAGGGACCAATTTATCTCAAGATACTCAGTCCATGCTTGGAACAAGATCCAGAAAGACTCTAGGAGGGAATGCTCACGTTGCATCCGTCGTCGCAAAGCTATGCCTTACCGACCCGTAAACCTTTCTCGTGAGGAACTGGAGCGGCTGCAGGAGGCCTTTTTGGACTTCGAAATCCAACGGCACCATCTTGCTTACGATAAGTTTCTATTGTATCAGACACAATTACAGCAAGATATGTTTTTGCCCATCTATAACGAAAAGTCTTTTCTAGGGGGGCACCACGAGGATGACCTCATCGAAGGCTCCCGCCAGTCCATCTTCTGTTTCATATTTCAATGCTATGGTAAACTCATTCGCCAGGTCGATCGACAACTTGAGCTGGAAAAGTCACGACAAACAACAGAACCTCACCACTCTGAACTCGTACTCGCAGCAAGGTTTCGTAATAGGACTCGAGATGAGGAGCTGCGTTACATTGGTCTGCTCTGTTTGCAGGGCTACGTTTGTCTGAGCATTGCGGAGAAGTATACCGATGATGAACTCCGCCTGTTCATTCTCAACAGCTTTATGTGGTTCTGTAAGGATGGCACGAATCGTATTCCAGACCCTTATGGTAGGCTACGGTGTAGCCTCGAGCGGTTCACGCCCGAGTATTACCCCAACGACGATACAGCCCATGAGCCATGGAGCAGAGGGCGATTCTTCTGGGATGAAATACGTATGTCGGAACTCCGGTGGTATATAATAAGCCTTACTAGATTCTTAATAGGATAAATTAAGATGACACTTTAAGAATAATATTTTATGTATACTCTTGGGTACTATAACTACTTACTTATATTCGATAAATAAGAACGGAGCCACTGGGGTGCATCGGGGCAGGGCGGCGCCCCCTTCACCCTTCGCCTTGGTCGTCGATAAGACAAGGGGAAAGCTCAGTAGCGCATTGTTCGGCCGCTGAAGAGGTTGTTTTGAACCGCGCCATTGTCCTTGTTTGAGATTTTGACGATTTATTCTGCGGGTTTAAAAGAGGAACGTGGGTTCTCATCCTTCACATTTTGGTATCATGCTATAACGTTGTACCGTCCCAATCTTACGGGAAGTCCAGCGCTAACTTGGAGCCATGGCTGAAACTGGGGTCTGTCGTTTAGATAAGCAAATACCGCTAAGATAAGAGACAAACGCTCCAAAAATCTCCCCTAAAGCCCACTATATCGCATTGTCGCAACATTAGTGCTTATGATCTCGAAACTCAACCAATAAAACAGGCTGAAGGCATTCAGAAACCCTGCTCGAGAATCTTCAGATTGGCCCGTAGGATTCTATCTCGTCCCTGGTGACGATACCAATTTCCAACTTCCCACTCGATCAATGGGCACTACGGGGTTGTTAAACATGTATAAATGTGACGATCCCAGGGAACTAACGATGTTTCCTGTTTCGACCTTGCCGGACCTTGGCCTGTCAACTACGCCATTCCCGCATTGCTTCGATGGGTTGATTACACGAGAATCGTTTGGGGATCTGACACTGTCTTCACACCCATGGCATCAGCTGCCAAGTATGCTGCTGCTTTTGATAAGGATGTCGAAGAGGTATTCCCGGATCCTCGAAAGGCGAACGCTATTCGAGCGACTAATGCTCGAAGTCTGTTCGGCTAAATGCGAATCCCCGGTCCCCACGAAAGCTTTGCCAAGTGGTGATTAGATATCCGGTACGAAAGTGGCAATGCTCTTGAATATGTAGTATATATATATCCTTCTCATATTTATATAATCTTTTTCTCTTCTTAGTAACCCTCTTAAATATTTAAATATGACCTCATGGACGGGAAACTCGTAGTGAAAGCTTCAGGTGTTGGGTACATGTCTGGTGATTCATAGCCATTTAATTCATCCGGGAGATCATCCTTTTCCCGCCCAATGAACATTTCCATTGGTGGATTTTACCCCAGATTTCCAGAAGCCTCGGCATTGATACCAAGAAAAGATGATCTTCCGACCCATGCCATCGGGTCAAGACAGTCCGAAGTAACGTTTTAAGCTTCCCCGCCGGTTTCTCTATAATTCATCCACGGCATTTGGCTTTAATGCTGGTGGAATCTGCTGATCCGGGTAAATTGACCTCACGTATTTATATAGCTAGCCATGATTTTTTAAAGAATTTCTGTAGTATCTCAGACGAGATCGACTCTCGAAGACTCAAGATGAAGTTAGTTAAAACATTAAACCCTGTCTTGGGCTGTTGGTATATCTGCCAGAGCAACAAGAACTAACAAGAAACTCAGGCTCAACCCCAAGCAACTCACAGCCTTTCTGGCCGCTAACTCAACTGGAGTTGGCGTTCTAGTATGCCCCGGAGGTGGTTACAGTGTCATGTCTATTGGCCACGAAGGGTTTGGTCCAGCAGAATATCTCAACACGCTCGGCATCGATGCATGGGTTCTCAACTACACCACTGCCAGCATCAAGACTCCGCCACTGTATCCTACTCCCATGGACGAAGCTCTTGCAGCAGTAGAACTCATTCGAAAGCAAAGTCCTGAGACTAAGAAATTAGGTGTCATGGGCTTCTCAGCTGGCGGCCATCTCGCAGGAACAACACTCACGACTCCCAAGGCAAAGCTCGACTTTGGTATTCTGAGCTATCCGGTCATTACTATGGAGGACGACTACACTCACGAGAACTCACGATATAACTTGCTTGGAAACAACCCAACCCGCAAACAGATTGAGAGCCTCTCCGTACAGAACCGAGTTTCGGACAAGACCCCGCCGACGTTCCTCTTCCATACTTCTGATGACGAACTCGTCCCGGTTCAGAATACATATCTTTATGCAAATGCTATGGCTAAGCATAGTCGAAAGGTCCAGGTAGTGGTATTGCCCGATGGAAAACACGGCATTGGTCTGGGTGTTGATGATCCTGTGCGGGACTGGAGACCAGAGCTGGAAAGGTTCCTCAAATACTCGATCTAGGTGTAGTTGTATCTGATAACAAGAGGTTGTGACTACGTAGAGACAGAATGAAGTCCAATTTGACGAAATTACATAAAGCCTCTAAAATGAGCCGATGCATGCTCTTAACTTAGGGCATCCTTATCCTAAAATCACCTAGCCAATGGGCCTTACCATCGCTGCCACAATATTGTCCATAAAGTCGTGAGCTTAACTCAGCATATGGATTCTGGACATACACCCATGCTGGCTTGGGTTGTTCATGCTTACTTGGGATCTGCACTCTGTTTGTGGCAAAGACTTGCTGGCCCGAAAAGGATGAGCCGTGCTCTTCATCTCTAGTGTCCGTGAATACGGCTGTGGTAGACTTACCTCTAGATCATCATAGAATTCTCCTCGAAATTCATCTCTGTTGCGGCGTATGTCTCGGTCTACGGGTTGCACATGCGTGCTGTTGAGGGGGCATTGGTCTGAATACTATTTTCGAATTACTATATCCGAAACAGCAATGGTGACCCGCCACTTCACCCTCTCTGCAATGCCTATCTACTACTTACGAGTACCGCCAAGGCCGAGAAGAGCTCTATGGTAATCCACAGGGCTGGCCGACAGCTAAGATAGAAAGGGCCTGTGAGACTTACGTATCATGATGATTGGCCTGTCTCGGCAGCTTCCAACGTAAGCAGCCCGTGAAATTGCATCCAGCGTTTTCTTATCACGTCTGCATCGGGACTCTGGGACAGGGTGTCTACTGCTCTGTATACAATGTTTTACTATCGCGTCTGTGTTTTCCGTCATGTGGAGAATTGTGAAGATATTCACGAGGCGCACTCTGCTCGACTTTCATACCATCTTGTAATAGTATTGTCATAATTTTATAAAGAATCCAAATTTATTCAAGACTCACGTAATTTCGGAAGTTTTGAGACAATCGCCGGACCAAGATTGCCAACATTTCCATAAATTTAGAGTGCTTTTTAGGCTCTCTCCCGATAACAATTGTGTATTTTGTCCTCCAGCAGATATTACCGTTGATGCGGTTCGGCTGGCTGCTGTTAGCTTTTGACTGCCACTGGCTTAGCCGTCGTCTTAGTCTGTCAAATACCACGCTTGAATCTGAGCTAGAAGAGACTATTGATATCAATGTTCGTATCTTCGCCTCTTAGCAGCTCTCAGGTGCTGAGCACTAGCCTCATTCAAGCTACGCTCCGAATTGAGGAAATTACCAACTGTCAAAGAAAATGTCCCCTGACTTAGTACAAAAAGTGCCGACTTGGCAGACTGTCGCTTTGGTCATTCTTGTGTCACGTCACAATGGCTTCCAGATCCTTGAAGAAATTAATTGCTTTCGCGTTGGTTGTGGGTGGCGTGCGTGCCGGACCCTGCAAGCCATCGCTTGGATCATCGTCCATCATCTCATCCTCAAGCACATTCTCCAGCGCGGAGACGCAGTCGACTATTGAGACATTCTCCACGACAGAAGTGCTATCATCAACTGAGACACAGACTACTGCCGACGTGTTGTCAACCACTGATACAGTCTCAACTATCGACACCCAAACCACCGAGACTCTATCAACCACTACAGCCCTGTCGACCATCGCGGAGCAGTCGACAACTGAGATACCATCCACCACCATCTTTGAGTCGACAACATCGGCCGAAACAACCACAGCGGCAGCAACATCATCCACAGAAGCTGGGTGCACAGTCGCCTGCAGCCATGTCATCCAAAAGAGCGGCGCGTGCGCAATTGGATTCCAGGTCGCACCATGGGCGATCGACGACTCTTGGCATATCGGCACATACACAGTAGCTGATCAGGCAGCCTGTGCAAATGCATGCGCCAGCGATTGTCATTGCAAGTCCTTCACTTCGTACTACACAAACTGCGACCTGTACTCTGGCAGCCAGACCCAGATCAACCCGGAATCCTTTTACCTCGGTCCTTATTTCTTTGATATGGCGAACTGTGGCGAACTGTTATGAATGCGATGATTGATAAGTGGGTATAATGGGGAGCTTGGGAGAGACTGTCTTGGGTGATTGAGATCAAACCACAAGATTCGAGCTTCGGATGATCCAATGGCTAGAGTTGTAGCCCTCGGAGGGTTCGGTCGCTGAAATAACGTCTTAAGAAGCCAGCGATGATATTTTCGTGAAACTAGAGTTAGAAACATGCGATCGACTTATCTAATACATGCTCCATCATGATGCACCACAGGCTCGCGAGCAATCACGTCCGAGTCGAGCGTGCTTGTGCACTATAGCAGGCAAAGTGGGCAGGCAACCTCTGACCGGAGCCGCCAAATTGTGTATTCTGGCTACCCAGGTTCAGGCAAGCTAGGACTCGGTCCTCGACTTACAGCCAAAGGATATCAACCCAGAGAGCGCCAGTAACTGTCACATACGACCATACCTACCAGAAAATACGGGATCCCGTCCGCTCTCCCATAGTCAAGCTGGTAAGGGGCGGATTAGTAGTTGGGTCGGTGACGACCAGCGAATCCCCGCTGTTGTATGTTTTTTGCCTGTGGCAGCTTTGCCTTCTTTTTACCCTTTCACCATTGTTGTTGCAGATGTGGTTGGTTGAAAGACAGGAAGATGGCTGGATGGGCAGACGATGCAGTCGCGTCGACTGTGGGAACATAAACCAACGCAGCGGAGCCAACGGTATTCGGGACCAACCATCCACAGAAGGTGGTGCCGCGCAGGCATCACAAGGGTCGATATTGGTAGACAAGCGGAGGCCTAGTGATCGTAGATGTAGAGCAGGGTAGAATAAGCTTGCTTTCGACTACGAAGAAGGGTGCGATGAGGTTAGTATACAACCGTCGCAACCCTGCAACACTGTGAGTAATGGAACACTCGACCTAGACTTGGAGAACGGTGAAGCCAGTGACACGGAACGTTTGAACAAGGACCGACCAAGAATCTCGCGACCCCAAGTGTCGTTTTGAGAATGTAGCCTCGGTTCACTAGAACCTGTGCACTTGGCCAAGGTGTCTGGGCTTCTGTAGTGACAGATTTGCCAACACTGAGGGGCATGAGAGGGCGCGCGAGCAGAGGAAACTGAGAAGGGCTGTGATTTCGTCATGAAACCAAGGACAACGCGAGGCAATGGGAGTCAAGATGGGAAAGGACTGTGGAAGGTGTTCAGAAAGTCGGTAGTTGATGTCCCTACAAATGAAGGACGACTATGTACAAGCATCACGGGTATCTATACAAAAGGTATTCGGTAACAAGACAACATGCGACGCTTAGATGTCAGATTTGTTGGAATATTGGGGCTGGCCGGCCACGCATCGTTCGTAAATTTCTCGAAGGAACCAGTCGGCGGCAAGATTGCGTCGCCCATGATAAGGCCATCAACCATCTTCCCATTGCCGTGTCATTGTGTTGTACGAAAAAATACGCGTCGCAAAGAAGTCGTTTGCCGCTATCATCAAGACCAAGAATCGTCCATGTAGGCTACAGACGTCTTCGGGTGCCGTGCGGCGATCGTCGATTTTGGCGAGGTCGAGAGGAGGGACCGTACTTCGAATTGCGCTCGACGGCGTGCAGAGGATCTCACCAGTCTATGAAAGAATTAGTCGGGATATACAGGATGAAGTGTGGTGCAAAGGCAGGACCTACAGTATGATGTTCATATGTGGTGCAAGCGAGCCTCTGGACTAGACGCGCCAAAGACAGGATCACAACCAAGTTGGAGGATGTAGGAACCCCTTCAGCAAAGCGCAGCTATGGCGGGCTTTGAATCTGGGCAGCAGCGGGTGGTTGTTGATCCAGCGATTTCGTGGCCGGAGGCAGAACGATCGAAGGCGAGACGGAGGCCAACATCGCGCCCATAAGAGCCGTGGTGGTGGCTGAAGTTCCGGGGAGAGCCGACGAGTCTTTCTCCGATAGATGCCACGCAGGCGACAGGTGAAGCGATGTCGGTATGGCTTCAGGCGACAGGCAGGGGCGCTATGTGCCTAGCATAGGGAGATGAATGCTGAGTATGACTTGTTTGTTGACTAGCAGTCAATAGCCCGAATGGTTCAACTTGTGAGACGTGTGACGATATCGTCGTACACATCACTGCGAACTCTGTCGAGAAATGATTGCGCTACTCCATTTTCGTCTCTGTGCTCCTGGATGGAATCGACCTTGGCATCCAGATCCTCTAGGTCGTCTCGTAGCTCAACCAGGCGCGTATCGTAGCCTTCCAGGACATCAGCGCTGTGTTTATCCTGGCCCTCAAGCTGCTCGACATCACGCTGTAGGGAGCTGAAGTCCTCGCGAAAAGTCGTTACTTTCTGTCGTAACTGGTCGAGATCTGTTCTGAGGCTTCGGTTCTCTTGTCTCAAGGCGGAGAGTTCCTGGTGAACCAGCCGATCCTTCTCGGTCCGTGCTTTTAGCTCGGCCCAAATTTGAGCGAGTTCGTCTCTTGCCTCGTCCGGGCTACTGATGCGGCGGCGCTTTCTCTCGTTGATTGGGGGAGCTGGTGGGGGAGACCCGGTCTCATCGTATGCTGGCGGCGCGTCATCTTGTGGGGAAAGATCAACGGCTTTGGACTCGGTGCTGGTTGAGGTGCTTGCAGCAGGATGTTGCTTGTGGAACGACGTCAGACGAGTCTGTTTCACAGCGTCGCTGATGGACTGGAGTTCTGCTTTGGAAAACTTTGTAGCGTCGACGTAAATACCGAATGATGTTGCGGCAGAAAGCATGCGAAGAGCATCCAAGACCTTCCCTGACTGTGTTCGGCTAGGAGCCAACGGTTCTTTGGCGGCGGTAGGAACAAAGAGCCGAATGTTCTTGTTTGTCTGGAATCTCAGGCACGCGACAGGGCACTTGAACTTCTCTTGCACCGCTTCCGGCGCCGTTGAAGCAAAAGCGAAGTCGAACGATGTGATGGAAGAGGGATCGACGGAGATGGTAACAGGTGAAATGCCCTCGACTCCCTTCAGGTTCATGGGAAAGCGCAGCTCGAAGGTTGCGCACAGTCCGCTCAAGTGAATTCTTAGCATGATGCTATCGATCTTTGGATCGGGCTTCGTGAAGCAGTGGGTTGCGCCATCGTGTTCCCACTCAACAACGGCGGGCGTAGCCTCATCGACGTCAAGACATGACGGGGTGCAAGACGACATTCCTGGGATCCATCAGCAGCACAGCGAGCATCAGACGTACCTGTACACCGTCAACAACAAGACACGAGCAGAGATAACCAGCTCCACCAACAGGCAACCTGTGGCCTCCAGCAGCGCTGCAAGACCAAGCCAGGTCCCTTCTACAGTCCCCGGTTGTTCCAACGAAGGGCGCACCGCGCACGCTCGATGGGTACAAGTCGGAATTTTATAACGGTCTGCAGTGGCGGTTCACCGTTTCTGAACGTGCTTGTCGTCGGGGCGTGGAGAGGGTCGGGCGATGAGCAAAATCGCGATCAGCAAGCCTACTTGATCTCCAGCACGCTGCAAGAACAAGAAGGGGTGCTTCTCTCGATGAATGATCGTGCCGTTGGTTGAGTGAGGATGGTGGTGATGCTGCCTTTGGCTAGAACGTGAATGCGAATGGCGTTGAAGAAATTGTGGGGTCGTCACATGATCAGGAAGAAGACAAGCAGTAACGGTTCTAGTTGGTTTCGGTGTTAAGTGAGAGAAAAGAGAGAGAAACATTCGATTGAGGAGAGATGATCTGAAGTGCTGAAGATGTTGCTTGTTTAAAAGAAGAACCACCGTGAGAAAAGCAGCCGCAGAATGGTTTAACCAATGCTGTCATTGTTGAAGTGAAGGAAGCTCAATGATTCACAGGGTATGGTCTGTGCGCTCGGCTGTTCAGTTGTTCCGCAACGCACACCCAAGGCTTGGTGCCATATCACAGTGTAAAGCACTGTGCCATTGCGACGTCAGACTGTTCGTCAATCGCCAAGCTACCCTGGACGAAGACTCCGAATCTCCAAATCTCAAGGAAAATTGACATAAATAGTCTTTATTGGTATGCTGCACCTGTTTATATCTTTTGATGTTCTGGTATCTTTCTGTGTCTACGACTAGGTACCAGTCTGCCGAGCCATACAACGAAATGTCTTTGCGATTGAGATACATCGAGAAACTGACGAACGACATTCGTAGGCGGCAACTATAAATCAGGCTTAGATGAACACCACGAAGAGCAAGAAAAGGGAAAGAGATGAACCTTGTTATATTAAAGCTGACGACTATATTCTGTAAGCATTTCATTAATACTGACCGATTTCACTTGTGTAGGTTGAATCTCTTCGTTGCAAAGTGCAACGCGAGACGTGCGCGTCATGGCTGAACGCGTAAAGTTGGTTATCTCTCTGGAATCCACCATTAACCTAAGAAAGAAATTCATATTTCATGAAAAATTTACTAATCCGTCTATCTTGTGTGCCCCAAACTATCTAATTTGTTCATATGTAAAAGTCATCAAAACCGACAAACCATACGCTCAAGATTTCCCATTCGTCATCCCCTCCCACCTCTCAAAGTTCCCAGCTTCCAATCCAAACAAATCCAACAAACGCCCGACCATCTGATTCAATATATCATCCACCGAGCTTGGCCGCGTGTAAAATCCCACAACAGGAGGTGCAATAATAGCACCAGCTCTTGTCACCTCCATCATGTTCCGCAAGTGTATCTCACTCAGCGGCGTTTCCCTCAATGACAGCACTAGTCTCCTTCTCTCTTTGAGGCAGACATCTGCGGCGCGAGTGATAAGGTCATCGCAAATGCCGGCGTTGATGGCAGCTAGTGTTTTCACTGAGCAGGGGACAACGATCATGCCATCGACATGACAAGACCCGCTTGCGATTGGTGCAGCCAAGTCATTTGGGTTATAGACGTGATCCGCTAGTGCTCTCACTGAAGCTGGCGTGTAGTCTGTTTCGTATTTTATGGTCTCAGCTGCCCATTTGCTGATGATGAGATGGGTTTCAACATTCAGTCGTCGAAGTGTTGAGAGAACGTGAATGCCAATGGCAGCTCCTGTCGCGCCAGTCAAGGCTACGATGATCTTCTTTCTTGGTGCCTCTCCCATATTGATCTCTGAAAGTGTAGAGTCGAAATGTGAAGTTCAAAGATGGGTTGGTGCGGAACCGAAATAATGAAGAATGCTCTCAGGTTCTTGAACTAACCAAGTATATGGAGCTCAGAAGTGACCGATAGGACATGCGGCTCTTCTTAAGCGATGCCCATGTCAGATCAGACCCGTCAATTTGGTAGTATTGAGGCTCAGTTCGGGGACTCTCGGTGCCTTCGGGGCCCACATTCCCGGATATTGCGGCTCGGCAGATGTGGGCTCGGTGGACTCGGGGCCTCGGACTAGCACGCATCATACGATAAACAACGTAAGTAGTATGAGATCTATGAAGATATAAGGATTGTAATAGCCCAGCAGTTGTGTCGTCGACATCCGTTTCAATTTAACAAGACTATCATCGTCATGGCTTCCAAACCTCTTCCTCATATGGACTTCCGCAGTTACGTCGAGGCTCTTGAAGCCGACGGCGACCTTGTCTCAATCACTGAAGAATGTGATCCTCATCTTGAAGTTGGTGCCATCATTCGAAAGGTTGTCGAGAACAATGACAAGGCTCCTCTGTTCAACAAGCTTAAAGGACAAGATCAAGATGGCTTTTGGAGAATATTGGGTGCACCGAACTCCCTTCGCTCCGACCCCAAGCAGCGTTACGGCAGACTTGCTAGGCACCTCGGACTTCCTACAGACTCAACGATGAAGGATATCCTGGATAAGATGATCGCTGCTAAAACAACACCTCCTATTCCGCCTACTGTTGTTGAGACTGGTCCTTGCAAGGAGCATATCTTGACACCGAACCAATTCGACCTTACAAAGCTTCCTGCGCCACTGCTTCACCAATCAGATGGTGGAAAATACATCCAGACATACGGGATGCATATTGTCCAATCCCCAGATGGCAAATGGACAAACTGGTCTATTGCTCGTGCGATGGTCTACGACCGGAACCACCTAGTCGGTTTGGTGATCAAGCCGCAACACCTCTACCAGATTCACGAGATGTGGAAGAAGGAAGGCCGCGATATGCCTTGGGCTTTAGCGTTCGGAGTCCCTCCGGCTGCCATTATGGCATCAAGCATGCCACTCCCTGACGGATTGTCAGAGGCCGAGTATATTGGTTCACTCGTCGGATCATCCCTCGATGTCGTTAAGTGCGAGACCAATGGACTCTATGTACCCGCCAACTCCGAAATAGTCTTTGAGGGAACATGTTCTATCACGGACACTGCACCTGAGGGGCCTTTTGGAGAGATGCATGGGTAAGTCTACACTACTGTATTTCTTCCTCCAGTGTTGACAGTCACTCTAGCTACGTCTTTCCCGGCGATGCGCACCCTTGGCCAAAGTACACGGTGGACCTCATCACGCACCGTAAAGATGCTATCATGCCCGTCTCCAACTGCGGAAGGCTGACTGATGAGACTGTAAGTTCTATCTTACTCATTCGAAGTCCTTGACTGATTTTCGCAGCACACCATGATAGGACCTCTAGCTGCCGCGGAAATCGGGTTCCTTCTCAAGTCGAAAGGCTTGCCTGTCAAGGAAGCTTTCTCACCTTTTGAGTCTCAAGTTACATGGGCCGCTTTGCAGATCGACACTCAAAAGCTACGAGAGATGAAGACAACACCTGAGAAGTTCTGCCGTGAAATTGGAGACATCATCTTCAATCACAAGGTCGGCTACACGATCCATCGCTTGGTAATCGTCGGTGATGACATCAATGTGTACGACTTCAAGGATGTGATCTGGGCTTTCTGTACTCGCTGCCGCCCCGGAATGGATGAGTACCTATTTGAAGACGTTGCCGGTTTTCCTCTTATTCCATACATGTCGCATGGTAATGGAGCGCCTAATCGTGGTGGCAAGGTTGTTTCCGACAGCTTATTGCCAGTCGAGTATACGTCTGGAAAGAATTGGGAAGCAGCGGACTTCGAAAACTCGTTTCCGGAGGAGATCAAAGACAGGGTTTGCAGCCGATGGCAAGCCTTGGGCTTCAACAACCCCAAGTAATTTAGGACAGCTTAGGGTAATTTGGGATAGTTTAGGCCAACTTAGAATAGAAAGTTATAGAGATCACTAGAATGTTTATAGATATCGTCATATTATTTTATCTGAACACTTTATGATAAGCTTAGTATATGATCTGATGGTATCGGAATTCGTTGTAGAGATGAGGGCCTAGAGACCAAATTCTTGTGGCACCTGGTCCGACATGATGAAATTGTATGATTCAAGGGGAGAAAATGTGTCAAAGTCAAAGTCTCGAAGCCAATCATCCAAGCTAACCATACTGTACAGAGAAGGGTCAGTACATTTCAACAGGGGTGAGGGCCGCAACACAAACCTTTGTTCCTGAGTGTTACTGAAGTGCTCTGGCAGAATAGTCATGTTCTCCGTATAACCCGCATTTGGGTGCTCTTGAGACGAATTCTCACTTTGGCATCTGGTCTCCTCCATTGACGATCGTTGGAGAGCCTGAATTGCCCTGAGCGCTTTCTTGTGCGCCGCAGAGAACTGTCCAACATCGTCACTGCGGTCAGTCAACGTTTTAACTAGTTCAGCTAGTATTTCTCGCGAGTCTTGAACTTGAGCGTCGGAGCCCTGCCGGATGAAACTCAACAAGAGTGCAGAGGCAAGACCATTGTGAACAAAGGCCCAGGAACGGGTTGCGAGGTTCGAAATTGAGCGTAGCTTGATGAAGGCGCGGGCACTTCTTTTCAGAGCACTTTGAAAGCGGTTCAAGATCACAGAGCATTCTTCTTCTGTGAACTTTGTTTTGTTCTGTGAGGACAGTACAGGCCGACAGAGGGTAGAAAGAAGGAAGTACCGGTGGACGATCAGACTATAGTGTTGCTGCAGCTCTTGGATAGAGGTACAGCGCTGTAAATCCTGTAGGTGAGTGGCTAGAGAAGACTCGTACAGGTCGAAGTCATGAAAAAGGCGGCTATAGTTTCTGACTGGCTCTGTCTGGGGAAGTCTTGGTAAATGTCTAAAGCTCAGATGACATAGCCAGTTCATGGCCTGTCGGTAATCAAGAGGTTGGCTAGGGGGATCTAGCGATACCAGAGCTGGAAGGTCTGACTCTAGGTCCATTTCATGAGAAGCTGGGGGTCTATCAAACGCTAATGAGAGAAGGGCATCTTGCCAAACAATCGCGAGCCTGTGTACAAGGAATACGTCAGTAGTCTGAAAACGGACGGTAAATTACTGAGTGACACACCTTAAATGTTGCGCTTCTGCAGGCGAGAGATTGAGAGCGCAGTGATTCAGAGGCTGATGGAGGCCAACAGATAGGGCAACGCGGACCGTGGTGCCGCCGAGGATCCAGGCTGCACGGGGATTCATGTCGTTTTGCAAAACATGACCAAGAATGAGCAATGCTTGGATTAGTCTCTTGGAAGGATTCCATAACAGGTCAAAAGACCCCAAATACCCGAGAGCGGAATGTACTTAGATTGGTGAGTTGCTTGTAAACGACTGAAAGAAGAGAGCTAATGCTTACAGTTTTGTCTGGACTTGGACAGTCGTGTAGAAGTGGGCAAGTCAGAAAATTGCGCCCCAGCCGCCATTATAGCATGAAGAAGGCAAAGGCTATGGTTATCTACCTGCTGTGCCTGAACTTCGCGATTCAAGAGAGAGCATATGAGCTTCTCGATTTCAGCAAGGTCGTCGACGACGAACTGAAAAGAGTGAACCCTATCCCGATAGAAGCCAAATAGAGAGATCATGTCTTGATCAACAGCCAGCGTTGTTTCTGAGCGTCCTGCCGGGGTGCCACGTCCACCATCGGAAGCGCCATCCATACCCAGAAGTGGAAGAATTCCTGTTTTGAACGCAGTGCGACGCTCATTGTTTGAATGAGGTTGGGTGGTATCTGGCCTTGCCACCGAGATTATGGAGTGTTCGCCTAGCAATGATGGACTTGGGTTGGATACATCGTCATTGCGGCTGACAGGACGCTCCGGTTGTGTTGTGTTGATGTTTTGATGATCCAAGTCCGTCACGGTCTGAGATTCTGGTTGGTGAGGTTGTGGAGTTGGACTTGCTGACGCCCGAGGTTGGTCGTAGAAGCAGAGATCCGAATGGCCACGCTTGACGCATGTTTGGCAGGGCTGCTGATGATTACAGCGCACCTTTCTCTCCCTACAAGGCAGACATGCTTTTCGGATACGTGCAAGTTGTCTCACGCGCAGTATGCTCTTTAAATCTGGCGGTTGGGTTGCTGTAGCTTCATTTCTCGGTGCGCTCGGGAATCTCGGCATATTCGGAGTGCGTTGCGGGGAGTTGTTCATTACAGAGTTAATTAATTGAGATTGATCTAATATATAGAGCAATCATTCAGATGTATTCAAGGCCACTCTTCATCGATCTGAGAGCCGGGGCAGGTGCTGAAAGCAAGACTCGGTTGATACTGTAGTTCGAGATATCCATAGCGCTAGTCCCATAACCTCAGGCACCAAAGTCAGCCACCCCATCATTCTGCTGGTGGTTTTTATCAACAACCGAAACATCACAGAATCATAGACTCAGGCAAGAAATTCGTGCTGGTTCATAAGGGAATGGTATATGTATTCTCACCACTACGCCTCTTGGTTGTCTCGCAGCTTTTTTTAATGGAGGCATGCGAGACCAATGTTCAAGGTAACAGACATCGGCATCGGGTATAAGTGGGCATTTGAGACAACCCCCAGACTGATTCATGCAAGGCAGATCCTAATAAAAGCACGCTTTGCAGGAAGTTTGTAGAGGAAGATTCCGGTTATAACAATGCCGTGATGCCGCAACTGCGCCGTTGAATCGGAAGTCCAGCGCCGAAAGTGGGGCCGTCTTACTCCCTCTCCGTTGCGTCCGTTCCCAGACAAGAAAGGGCCGTCATCCTCTACCCAAAGTGCGCCATTTCGTCAACGGCTACGGCACAGCCTACCAGTCTCTGAAGCTAGACCCCTTTCACACTGATTCTCGCGAAAATCAAGCCACGTCATCTGGTCAAAACACATGCAGGGTTCAACATGCATGCAATAATCTAGGGGTAGCCCAGATGACCCAATTATGTTGGACTTGGCTTTTAGAGAAGCTCAGAGCCAAGACTTGTAGGCTATTTTAGCTGTTTGTACTAAACTTATTGAAGTCCAAAGATTGGTTGAAGCGTACTGCTGGCTGAGACTATGAGCATCACAGTTAAGCCCAATTCTGAAGTTTCTCAACACGCAGTCAAAGGCGGAAGTTTCAGTATACGAGAGTCAAAGATGGAGTGCTGTTCATGTCAGATTTCTGTATCCAAATATATCATCCCTCATTTACAGGCTGCCGTGTTATCCCCCTCAATGTATGTGCAAATCCCCTCTGACACAAACTCAAAAACGCCCTGGCCTAAAACCAACCCCTGATCGGCTTGTCAATCCCGAACAAGACTCTTTCTCACGAGATGTCAAGATTTCAAGCACAGACCCCCTTCTCGCCATTATTTACGTATACACAACAAGAAGCCAAATTAATTCTCGCATCTTGCCGAGGAACCGCAGCCGCGTAATCTGCCCACGGAAACACGGCTTGCCCAAGTGGAGCAATCTATCCTGCTCCGCCTCAGCTACCCCGGACCGAATCTTACGAGTTGACCACTGACGAGACTAGACGCGCTTCTAGACCCGCGACTAGAAGAATTTCGGCAATTTTCGTATGGAGGCGTCTACGATAGAACCAATCCCAGGGTGTTGAATATTTACCGGTACTGCTCTGCCTCGCTTCAGAAGCGCTGACTTTCTCGTGTTGGGACTCTGCTGCTTACTCTGTTCATCGGTTTGAGCCGCGTGGGCAACTCTCTTTTCTAGTAGGCAACTTTGCGTCAGTGAGGCACAAATGATGCGAGGATAAATACAGAATCATGGCCTCTTCTCCGCAGTTTGACAATTCATTTCTTCTGTATACTTTTTGCTTGATTAATTGTTTTCGTTTGTATTCTCCACTCGCTATAATGTCTGATTCAGCCCATCATGCCCATCGGGTATTCGTACCAAAGATCCAAATTATCGAAAACAACCCCCTTTCACATCTTCTACCATACGGCTCCTTAATACTTACTACCAGCATCATCTGCATTGTTCTCCTTACCAACTGCCTCGAGCGATGGATCCTACCAACTATCTACAAAGACATTTGCCAAACTTTCGAACGAACAAAAGATGAAAGGCGACGGCGTTCTTTCGTCTATTTCCACGTCGGCAGCATTATTCTTTTCTGCGTTCTTTGCAGCGGATGCTATCCAATGATGTACTTCCTCATCGGCGATGCCAAATTCTCTACACCATTCACCAAAGGCAGCTCTGTCACGATCGGCGACAGTCTGCTTGTTCTTTCAGAAGTCTACAGTTCATATTATATCTTCGAAATCTGCTTTCGCACCAAGTTCGCGAGCCCACTCAGCATCGCGCACCATACCGGACTGCTTGTCATCACACAGACAGCGTTGAGTCTTTTCGCCGATCACAATAAGCATCGCGAAGCTACACTGGAGTTCTACATGTGCATGGTCTGGGGTTAGTTAATCAAGCCTCTGCAATCTCGCGAGCCGAAATATGCTGACAATGTCTTTCTTCAGGTACATTCGATGTCATCGTCGAGCTCCCAATCTTCCTCATGATGATTATCTGGCGAATCAAGCGCCACAACACTCTATTGCTATCCCGCATGGCCTATACGTGCTGTGTCTGGCAAGTCACAGGAGCTATAACCGAAGTCGTCGTTACGATATATCTTCTCAATCGGTCGTGGCACCGCTGGGGTCTCGAGTGGCGTATCATTACCCCATTGGTGTTCTCACTATGGATTACAACCCAACTCTACGGAGCATCTCGACTGTATCAGATGGGACGTGGTGAGCGACAAAAGCTGAAAGCCAAAGACGAATTGGCTTTGACGAATGAGCAGAGCGTATAACTGGATTTACTAGAACTTTGTTTTTACATAGATTTGGATTACACAGTCAAATATCATTGCTAGGCGAATATATATACCCGATATCTAGATAACATCTATGCTGCACAAAGTATCATGGTGCATTGCCTACGTCAATCACTACCCAATGACTTCTTCTCCAATGCTCTGGCCACCATAACAACGATCTCCTCTGTAGCTTTACTATCCACAAACTCGAGTACATCCATAATCCTTTCCCCACTCTCATCCGTGGTCATCAGAAACATGTACTCTCCCCGCTTCGTCCATTCTTCATCATCATCGCTGTCTCTCAGGTGCCTATGAAAGTTGGACTCAGAGCCTGCCCATACGAGAACCTGTCGTAGGGACGGATTGGGCCACGTCTGCTTGATGGTGACAGTGAATGAAGACATGACTTCTCCAACATGTTGCAGGCGAGCGATCAAACCGTGGCGATCCATCGGCCCGGGAAGGTTAGCCGAGGCTGGCGCAAATTGGTGACTATACTGGTCGGTAAGAATATTGGACAGTGCTTCCGTGTCTAGTGTTCTGAACACATCGATGTATGCTGTTGCGGTCGCAGTCAAAGTTGATGCAGCTGGCGCGCCCGTAGACTCGCTTGTGGAAGACATGGCGACGGAAGTGATGAGGGTCAGAAAGGGATAATGAGTACGTGAGGCGAGAAGAATGTTTGAGGAACTTATATGTAGTCAGCTGGCCAAGTTCTCCCAGTATACTCAATGCAAGCCAGCTGTACGGATCTCCATAGCGGATGACCTCAATTACTTGACGCCATCGGATTTAGGACTTCGAAATAGCCGATAATCCTGGCAAAACCCCTGCGTCGGCCGAATGAGTTCTAAAGCGGACGAATAGGGATCGGGGTTGTGTTCAAAATGGGAATGAAGGAATTGTTCACAACGCGCCAAGATTAAAGGGCCGCCACTCGGCCGAATCAACCGAGCCTGTACAAGCGAGAACTTATTACATGGCAGAAGCATTACGCAACTAGGTTCCATACTATTTCTTGGATAATGCCGACTTCGATGACGGATCCGAGGAGGAGTCAGCGGGCGCAGAGAATTAGGTACCCGCGATAGCATAGATACGCTTCATTGTGGAATACTTACACCCATAGCTTCCTGGACCATGAAAAAGCTAGTATACTCTTAAAAGGCCTTGATGAAAGCCGTCAACCCTGACTTAAACGATGATTATGTATCGAATAGATCTGAAGACGCGATAGTACCTGTAAAGCTAGCCGTAGTATTGATGCTGGTGGATAGAGTACTGGGGCGAAGAGCTCGCCGACTGGGAGTATGAAGTCGATTTGGCTGTCCCCTTAGTCACCTAGCTCGCCTTTGGAATCATGTAAAGTTGCCGTTCATGCCCGAGACGTAATCATCAGATGATAATAAACACTCCATATAGGGTCATTCAACAACCATCCGGAACTTTAGAAGATCCTGCTGCTGAATGCTATCGAACTTCAGCTCCAACTCGCCAACATCCCATTTGCAAGATAACCATCGCCCGTTCAACGCACCCTGTCGCTTTTCCATGCCTTCAACATTTAGCAACCACACAGAAAAAGCTCCGACGAGATCTGGGCTATCGCTCAGGACTGTACATCATAAGCTTTTTGACATGTCTCAAATTCTAGAGATAACTCACGGTGCTGAATATCCTTCGATGCTGCCCTCGAGAACTCGCTCTGCATTCCACCGGGGTGTACACTAGCAACGAAAATGCCCTTGTCGGCATATTGTGCATGTAGCATCTCGACCATACGAGCTTGGGCAAGCTTGCTGGTACAATAGTGAGATGTTGTACCGAATCCGATGAGACCTTGAGCTGAGATCGAACTGATGACAATGAAGCTGCCTTTGCTCTCCAAAAGGAAGGGTAAAAGTTGATGTGCGGCAAGCCATGTACCCAAGCAATGTGTGGCGAAGGCCTTTTGCACGTCCCCAAAGTCTTCTTCAAGAACTGTAGCCTTTGAGAGAGGACCTGAGAACCCACAGTTGACGAATACGGCGTCTAGTCTCCCGTTGAACTGGCTCTTGACAGTTGAAGCAATGTCGGCCACGCCCTCATTGGAAGTGATGTCGCACGCAACAGAAGCAACCTTGGCCGATGCATTGATATCACCAACCTCCTTGGATGTTTCATCCAGTGTCTTTTGCGTTCGCGCAGCGAGAATCAAGCCCGAGGCGCCAGCCTGGGCGAAAGACCTTGCCAGCCCGGAGCCGGCAGCTCCTCCAGCGCCGATTATGCATACAACAAAACCCTCTGGCAGTTCTGCATTCTTCGGGTCAATGGCGTCATATGGTCTGTCGTGCTTTGTCGGGACGAAGTCTCTGACTTGCTGGGCATTCGTTAGGCTTGGAGTAGACATGGCTTGGTGCTAGATACGGAATTCGCGGTGGAAAGAGAGGCACCGGGAAGTGGAGTTTCCTTGGGTTGTAGGGAATCAAAAGTTTCATGTGCTTGAGGTCAGCCTCGAAAACAAAGAATTATGATCGTGTCCCTTTAGGTCCTTCTGTGATCAAGTCAGTGATGTTGTTATACCCCCGCAATCCCGGATTTTGCTATTAATCCCGGAGTTCCTCGATCAGGCTCGTCAGCCCTGTTGCTGTATGTCAGACGAGACTTGGGTGATCAGCATGTGGCTTGAGGCTGGGTGCACGGATTTATCTTATCTCCGTGAAGGTTCAGATTCGTTGCCATCATCACCCCTTATTTTCTCTGTCTTGCTTGGTGCAGTATGTTTCAAAATATTAACTACCCACCTAACACCATCAGGAACATTTGGTTTGATCATAGCCCGAGGGAACCAACATGGAAGAAATGACCAGTCACATCCGCAGCTGGCCAATGCCACTTCAATTCAGGCAGTCATACATGAGTCATCAGAGCCGGCTGGGCACATAATTGCAACTTTGGGGGCATAATATAGTATACCCCCAGGGTAACAGAATAATGAAGCCGTCTTTTGTACAACTCAGGATGATTGAAATACTTCTATTAATGTAGAAAGGATTATGGCAACCTTGGGGAGATCATGTGCAGACAGAGCCAAGATAACGCATTAACAATTCAACCTATTTAATATTTTATTTATAAAGTAATATAGATATTACGAGAAACCTAACGTACATGTGACCGGCGTATTCTTCTGTTGCCCCAATGGATAGAGGCTGCCGTCTTCGCTATGGTACTATGTCTAGAAGAAGCTAAGCATATGTAACCTTCTTTCCTTAGTCTCCATCTTTGAAAGAGTTTTCATCTCTGCCCTCTTTAGTACAAGGAACCAGTCGATATACCTGTGACCGAGAACCCCATCTGCCCAAGCCTTGTCCTCTTCCAGCTCCTTCAGTGCAGTCTCAAGGGACGCTGGGAGAAGCTTCGTCAGACCCAAAGCCTCTCTCTCTTCATCGGAATACATCAACGTGAATTCTAAATGAATTAGCAAACATCAATTATCTCAGCTTATGTAGACTTACTAGCTGCATTTCCAATGGTGAGGGGCTTGGAGTCGAGTGCGGCCCCTATGATCCCAGCGACCATGGCATACGAGTTCGACGTGGCGTCATTGACACGGATCTCCCAGTGATTCTTGGTGACTCTTCTAACAGGCATGTCCCGATTGTTGTCACCCCAGCCGACAAGGCCGCCGGTACACATTCTGCCGACATTGACTCTCTCATAAGAGTCAATTTGGGACATTCCTAATGCCATGAGTGCCGGGATATGGCTTAAAATACCCGCCATGGCGTTATCTGGCTTCCAGTCTTTGTTCTTCTCGGTCGGAGTTGCAGAAATGTGAATATGCTGCCCGCTCTTCTGACCCTGTTCTCCATTGTACGGTGTCGGATAGAAAGTGGCAAGTATTCCATATTTGTGCGCCACGTTTTGAATGAGCTCTTTGGCGTAGTAGTAGGTATCCACAGCTTCTACGGGAGGAAGAGGAGGGAGGGCAACCTCGTAGGCCGATGTGCCGTACTCTTTTATCACCTGCTCAGCTTCAATACCGGCTTCGCCAAGGGCAACAACAACTTCGCTTAGGATAGGCCAAACCTTGGAACGGAGAGTGCCAGAAGTACCGGCCACTCCCGGCTTTGCAGGTTCAGCTACTTCAAGGGTTCCTGGAACGAGAAGACAGAATTCCAGCTCGATGCCAACAAGGAACCTCAACCCGTGAGATTCTTCAGACTTTTTGACGATATCCATCAAGTGGAGTCGGGCATCAGTATTCTGAAACTCCACGGTGCCAAAGCAATGAGCTGCATTGCCGAAACCCGATACATCATGCTTCGCAATCCGGAGTGAGGAAACATCAGGGTATATCTTGCCCTTACCGCTGAAAAATGCGAACATTTCGGGGACGAATTCAGCTGTAGTAGGTACGAGTGTATCCAACGGAGCACAATCAAGGTGGCCACCAGATCTCACGAGGTTCTTTAATCGTGAAGCAGGGAGCAATCTCGTCCTCAAGATTCCACAAATATCAACCCATTGCAATATGATGACTTGCACTGAGGGATTCTGATTCAAGAACTCATCGACTGATTCTGCAGCATAGGTGCCATACATTTCTTCACGAATGACGGTTGACATGGTGACGATCAGAGGCAAGGGAGATCAAAGAGGAGAATAGTGCAAATGGTTGAGGCTGGTTCAGGATATCGACGTGACCGTGCTTTATATATCTGGCTCAATCCCATAGCAGCATCAAACAGAGAGATAGCGATGAAGTAAGATGCCATTCTGGAAGCTGACCTGTGACCTTCCTATTCTGGTTATTGCGCTGAATCAGCCGGTGACACTTCGTGCCTTATCGAGTAAGCCCTAAGCCTTCTTCATGCTGTCAGATGGCAGAATAATCGTATTGTATCAGCTTAAGCTCTGAGGTGCTGGGTGATTCATTTTAGCCCTTATTATTTATGACACTCTTCAGGGAGTAAGAAAACTTCGGACCTTAAAGTAGGATGACCAAATAAACTCATCAAAAACCCCCTTCCAAGATTATACTGAGTTTACCTGAGTCTTTTTGCCGCTTAGGGTCGAGGTCCTTAAGTTTCTTACCTCCACTAGACAATATGGGATGAGCATAGAACGTGCTGTTCTCAGAATTCCATTGGCGTCCCATTTCCTAAATGAGCGATGCTGGTGGTCGTTACAAGTGAAACAACCATCACCGATTTGGAAGTGCATAAGCACAAAGTTGCATAGGGTCAATTCATGAGAATCTTCCTTCGTCCTGTCGCTGACGACTAGATTGAAGAGTGATGTACAAATCAACAGCAAAATGAGGGACGACTTACAATCATTGTCACATCAGTCAGTTTGATTGCAATTCATAGTCTCCGATGTATCCAGTTGATATTATGGTTTACTTCACTATGTATTCTCTCCAGTTCATGTCCATTCAATGCTGTCAATCCTCTTCCCTCCGTCGTAATGCTCACTCGACCGGACCATCGTCCCTCGGTTCCTGTCGACCCTGGTCTCTCTGCGACAGATCGGAGGCACCGGCCAACTCCGAACCAACAACATATCTTGTCTTGCGGAAGACACTCTGCACCAAGGTCTCGTGATCCTCCTTCCACTTCTTGTAGTTCGCCCAGCCAACTTGCAATTGAAGAGAGTAGTCGGCGCTCTTGACTTTGCTCTTGTAGCTAGGGTCATACTCATCCGGGTTCTTGGGGTTGACTCCCTCGTCAAATGGTACACCACCCATGACGTTTCGGAAGTAAATCATCACATCACTGAAGGTGTAGCCTGTCTTTGGCTGGGGAGAAGTCGCCATGGTAAGTGGTGGTACCATGCCGTAGGTTTGCTTCACGCCATTGATGACCTTGCCATTATACATGGGATGAGATGTCGATGTTGAATGACAAGAGGCGCATGCCGAGATGAAGTTGTCGGCTGGACCATTCATACGGCCGTTCCATCCCCATGAAGGTCGTGTGCCGCCCTCTCGGATTCGAATCTTCTCTGCTACGGGGTTAATCCAACATTCTCGCGGCTTAGCCACGCGGCCCTCGGCCTTGGTCTCCTCATAGACCTTGTTCGTTAACCAATGGTCATTGCCCCACTGGAGGCCGACAAGAGTGAGTTTGTCCCAAGGCTGAGTATTTCACAACGAGGTTAGCATGAGTGAATTTCCTCTTAATTGCTGGGAGTTACTCACGCCTTTTCCTGGTTCGTCTTTGTTGTACATGAAAGTGCCAAAGACCCATCCAATTGGTGAGCGTTTATCGACGACAGCGAAGTCGACCTGGATCAGACGAAGTGGTGATGCGAAGTCATTTCGATCTTTGCCATTCTTTGTTGACTTGGAAATGACCTGTATCGCTTGTTAGAGATCACTGTTTCGACATGATGGTCAGCACAGCTCACTGCATGCATTGTTGGGGCCCCGTCTTGAATGGGCATCTGCTCAGGCGTCGAGTTGTTCAGCAAGATCTAGTCATTGTCAGCTATGATGTTCTTCCTGTGCAAAGTGATTTGTTACCTTGAAAACACATGTTCCGACAGGAAACTCCTTGTTCTGGGAGAAATCTGGGTTATCGGGGTCCTTCCACATATCGCCAAAGACAGTAGCACCTGGAGAAATGTTAGACGAAGACAGATTATAGGATACTTGGACATACCAGTAGCGTTGTAGAATCCAACTGCCCAATTTTGCAAGGCCTCTTTTTGCGTCGCAGCAAATTCTTTGGCAGGTGTCGCTCTCTCGAAGGTGAAGCCATTGATGGGTTCGCGCTCGGTACAGCTCGAGTTTGGGTCCCGATAATGCATCCAAGGCGCATGATACCAATCTCGGATCTTGTTCTCATTGAGTCGGAACTCCGTGTCGACATTGCCATCGAAGCAATACTCCCTGATGATCTTGGCAAACAGTTCAGGGTCTTTTTCGTAGTCGACCTTGAGCCATGGCGCATTCTTGCCCTCAAAGTCATCGCCGAATCCGGGGGCAGGGATTAGTGGTGAGGGAGCATGGGGAAGGGAACCATCCTTCTGTTCCTTAAGGCGGCCCTTGAGAATGTCTGAAGTGGGATAATCGTTGCGGATCTGCCAAGGACTGAAGCCAACAGGTGTTGGGTGAATGGAGGAGGTATGGAACTGGACTTGTGCTTCAGTAGCCTGCAGTTTTTGACTGTCTTTCTCAATCAGTGATGCTGCAAGGCCTGTTCCTCCGAGAGCAACGCCTCCAGCCAAGACTTGGCCTCGAGTAATACCCGCCAAAATTCGGAAAGCCATATTTCTAATTCACAAAAGCAGAGGCTGAAAAAACAGATAGTCAGAGGCAGAGCACGCTCTCTTGTGCGAAAGCCTGGTTCTTATGTGCAAACCCCCTACAGTGATGGCTTTTGATAGAGACCTGGCCAGACCCTAGCCGCCAAGACCAGGCTGGCGACGGCTGAGCTGAACATCCCCGCCGACCACTTGAATCACTCCCAATAACAGTATTAATTGGCGATTTTTCAGTGGCTCGGCCCGTCCCCATGATTAAATGCCGTTCTGGGCCCATGAACTATCCCTTGTGGCGCGAACGTGGCTCGCTGACCTAAGATAAATCACTGCTGTTTGTGTCTAAGGAGGTTCCAGGGGTCTCAGAGCGCTGAACCCGATTGGCGGCACAAGTGCAGCTGAAGCTGCTATCACATTCACTAAGAATGTGAGATGCTTATGGGTGCCCCCTCATTGGCCAAGAGCCGAGAGCAGAGGAACTACTTTCAATAGGCATATCAATAGTTCAGTCGTATTGTTACACCAGAGTTTCTTTCCACATCGATACATACGCATGATTAGTACTACTTATGCATACTGGCCTTTCACAAGGACTACGTGTTAACTGTTTTCGTATTTATGAGCTAGGTCGCATGCCTCAAAAATGCGTATGTAAATCGTTTCTTCCCAAATCTTCAGCGTTTATGTCATCAATTTCGCGTTTCACCATTAAATGCATATCGATAAGGGCAGCAGGCTGTGAAGATGCAGAGTCAGTCTCTCCAGATGAAGACGAATCTAGGTAACAGATGTTTCCTATAAGACCTTTCAATGACGAAACAAAAGGGAAACAGGCCCATGCGGTCATTTACAACCCATTGTTCTTTGTTCAGGCGCGCATCACTTCGCCAGTGTAAGAGGTGAATCAGACAAAGGATTTCTTGAACCTCTGCAGTGATGAACAACTCAATCATCACAGATGAAAGATCGACAAGGCATACAAGGTGAATACGATGAACAAACAAACTGAGCCTCTTCACGTATTGTTCCCAGGTATAAAATCCCCTTACCTCTCCCCATTCTTGGCGACGTCATTAACCTCATCGATAACTCTTTCATCCCAAGTGCTATCTCACTTTACCAACTTATGGGCAAGTATCCAGCTCCTGGTCATATCAAGAGCTACCAACGCAGATCACATTAACATCAACTTCTCGCAAGAGCCAATCCATCTCATATCGCCACTATGGATCCGTCTCCTCCCTTTTCCACTCCTGTCTCCGACCCTGCTTCGCCCTCTGATGACAAGCAGGAGCACTATCCCAATCCTCTTTGTCAAGACCCTCACGCCCATAAGTGCGGAAAAGGTATTCGCTGCCGATGCGCGGGCTGTGGAGGCTGCGATGGGAAGATCTACTGCATCAGCAGCCTTCAGTGCTACGATTGCTACTGCAACTGTCCTGTCTAGACATTCTTTCGAGACTTGAGATGAGGTTGTTTGTTTTTTGTTTCTTCTTTTGTTAATGCGAGTTTATTGATGATGCATGTAGGCTATATTTGCTGATCTGGGTTGTGATATTTTTATCTTTAGGAGTACTTTGCTTCGCATAGTTTGTGCTGGTTTTATTCCTTGGTGTGCTTTTCCTAGCTGAGCTTAGGATACAGCTGATGGATCAGAAGATAAATAGAAAAACCTATAAAGCATATTCATCAGCGCCGTTCTCTTGTATGTGACCTGTTGTGTGATGTTAAACCCGTAGACCGCCATACATTCCAACCATCTTGATATGCCATGCATTTCGACGAGCTGTGACTGTGCGTAAAAGGAAACGTAGCTTAGTGTCAGCACCAGTAAGTTCTATACAGCATGAGGTCATCCCCATGTTCTACGTAGGACATGTGCTGTGGCAAAATTAGGTCTCAAGTATTGTGCAATGTGAACAAGTGGAACATAACGCGTCCCACGTATAAGAAACGATCCCCAAAAGATTGCAAGGACATGTTCGAAATTGTTCTGGCAAATGTACAGCGTACTAACGACCAATAGGGCATAGGAGCTCAAGAGTATTTGTACATACGCGAACAAGTGTATTACTGGCTGGATATTGAGAAATCTATCTAAAGTTGAAGTCCAAAACGCTGAGAGAATCTCAGATATTAAACATGACATCAAAGTCAATATACACAGGAAAAGGGGTTCAATTCTCCCGATTGACCTAAGTTGCATTCATTCTATCATTCAGCTCTGACTTGGAGTTGGGCGTCTTATGAAGCCATTCAAAGGGTCAGAATCCAGCGTTCAGGCTTTGGTGAAAGGTCTTGTTCAGAGCGCAAACAAAGGAAACGGACTCGCTGGTAGGGAACAAAGCCAGCAACATAGCTCATCAATGTCAAAGGAGAGTGTGAACGTGAGACAGAACACCTCTATCATGCGCATTAGACAATGAATTGGGCTGACAGCAGCCGCTGCGTCCTTAAACCATGGCCGAACACCCCCATGAACAAGTACTTCATGAGGTCGTAACGGAGTCATCCTGTTTCTTTGAACAGAAAAGGTTGAGTCTTTTTCATCGCGTATAAAGGCCATATCTGCCCTGAAATCCAGGGAGAATCATTACTCACATCACAACAACTCTACTACCACTTCACGACAATCCATCAACAGCATCACAGCTACCAACAACTTCACACGCACAACAATCAACACCAATCACCATCAACATGTATCCTTCCATTTCTTTCATCTCTGAGTCTTCGGCTCCTTCTTCACCCATCGAAGCTACTCACGGCTACTTCCCTTCTCTCATCTCCGCCGAGTTTGGCCCCCAGCCTATTCAGTGCCCCCACAGCACTCGATGCGAATGCACCGGCTGCAGCGGTTGCAAGAACGAGATTTCTAACTGGAACACCATGCAGTGCGCTAACTGCAACATGAACTGCCCCGTCTAAATGGCTTTTTCTGATGTGCACAGGTTTCATTTATGCCTTTGGTTTTCTCCTCGCGCAAAGTTCATGATATACGCCTATTCTCACCGGACTTGAGATGGTTCCTTTATTTTGGGTCTGTTCTTCGTTGATGCGAGTGATGCACATAGGTGCTATTTGCTGGTCTAGGTTGCGTTCTGATTTGATGTGCTTCGCTTCACATGCTTTGGGTTCGTATTGCTCTTTTGTGTGCTTTGCTACGGAGAGGTTAGGATGGAATGGGATGGATTGTTAGCTGGCTTGTACATGGCATGGCAAATGATAAGAAGAAGATATTGAACAGATTCCTTGGCTTTATTCTTTTAACAAAAACTGTTTATGTGATCTATAATAGGTGCCGTACACTGGAATACCTTAATATGTTTTGACTGCGCCCTTGAGATCCATACAACACGATATTGAATGAAGCTATCTTGTTTCAGCACTAATGTGTGCTGCGCGTCTGAAATCCGAACTTCAACCTCGGTGAGATTTCTAAACCTTACGCTTTTGGAATTTCGAAGAGATATGCTTTGTGTTGTAGTCAACTCTGGCTTGGAGTTGTTCGCTTCACGCTTCGAGTCTGAATTGCGACTTTTGGTGCTCAGGTCTTGCTGACATCTTATTTACGGCTTGATAGCTAGCAATTGGTCAGGTATTGTGATATAATGTCTAAATTGTGAGCTAGATGTGTTATTTGCAGTTGAGACCTGTGGCTGAGAGCTTATAATTACCACATAGAACTTAGCAGGGCTTGAAAGCAGGTAACGAAATTAGGGATAAAGAAAGAAAACCAGCATCACATCTTTCCAATATCAAAGGAGAGTGTGAATACAGTACAGGGCACCACTTCATGTACAGTTACCCAGAATCTAACTTTGTTAGCGAATCGTAGCTGAGCGTCGATAAAGTGCTTCATGAGATCGTGAAATGTCATTCCCTTGCCGCCGTGAATGTCTTTTCTCTTTGTGTATAAAACCGATGCACTATTCAACAAATCGGAGAAACTCAATACTTACATTACCGCAACTTCTCCTGCCGCTTGACTCAAAACATCAATATTCTCACGTTTATCAAAAACTTATACAAACAATAGCTATTACCGAATTGCTTAAACAAACATGCATCCTTCTGTTGTCTCCACCATCGCCTCTTCAGCACCTTCTTCACCTTCTGAGGATACAGCTTCCTACATGCCCTCTCCCTCTCCTGTCAACGGTGGACTCCAGCCCGATCAGTGCCCTCATAGCGAGATATGCCAATGTCCGACATGTCCCGGCTGCAAGAATTTAATTTATGTATGGGAGACTGAGCAGTGCGCCGCATGCTACATGGACCACCCCGCCATTGTTCTTTAAGAAATTGACTTCTACTCATATGTGTTCAACAATAGAAACATCTATCTTTTACCAGCGGTCATTCCGATTTTCTGATCTCGCGTTGTCACAATCAATTGGCCGACTCTTCTTTGGGGGTTTTGGTTTGCATTACATATTGTTGGCGACGCATGTCCCTTACAATGATCAATAGATAATAACTACACGCCTACCATTCAGAATTTGGACTTGAAATGACCAAGTGAATTACAATGGACCTGTCTGTGGGTACGAGCCTGACGGGTCCTGTACCACTGACTCATTTGGTCCGTCAGGCTCTGCAAAATTGTGCAGCTTAATCAGCAGTCCCTAGGTTCTTCTTGGGATTGCTGGTATAATACCGATTTGTCTCCCGCTTTTGCATCGAAGCCCATAAGCTTCAGATGTGATCTACCTTTTTATTCCATGCTGTTGATTTTCAGCGTTTTGTTTCAACTTCCAAACGGGGAGGCTAAGCCACATCTTGGTAAATCCACATCAGCCCAGAAAAGGGGTGTCAGTGACATCACTTTGAAACATAACAGCCTTATAATGCTGACATCATAGGTAATGGAACCTTTTTTCCGGAGAAAATCTCGTGTAGGCGGCCAAATAATCTTGCGGCTGGCTCAGTGCTGCGCCATGTTCATAGCACAGGGATGAGGCTCCTACTCTTGCAGGCGGTGTCGCGGGCTCAACAACATCGGTGATCATCAGAAGACGAGAGACAGCTTCGGAAAACATAGGTTGTTTTCATTTTCTCACTTCATGGTTTTAAGAACGTTCATTTTGTATGTTGAGCTGTTGGTCACCACTTTGTTGACATTGATGTCTCGCAAACCAATCTTACATACTCCACCACTGGATGGGTCAGAATGGCTTCTGTCATCCTTACTCCACGACCCTGAGGTTGATGCTCGGAGAAACCATCTCAATCCAGGATGAAATCTGACAGGATCCAAACACTTCAGCCACTCACTGAGGCTTGGACTCAAAGAAGCGGGACGATATTGTTATATCCCAGCCTCAGGAAATTTCCTTTATTATGGACATATCTACTTTCCACAATTCCGATAGCAATCCCATTCCTCAATTAATCGCCGTTGTAACTTCGAAACAGCTTTCAGAATATCGTGGTAATATCAGATACCGACCGAAATGGCATCCCGTCGCCCAGATCTTTCCCAATATCCCACCGGATTCACGGTTCTGCGCATTTTCCAAGCTGTACTAAACATCATCACCATCGTCGTCACGTCTTTCACGATAAACGCCGTGGTGATTCCGGGCAACTGCTTGCTGATCATAACCGTACGTCGAAAAATGTTCCGATCGTCATTGGAAATGACTTGCTGACTTTGCTTACAGAGCTCTGCATCGCTTCTGGTCTCAACATGGATGGCTTTTGCTCATATGTTCTCTAATCGCCTTTTCAACTACTTGATCGCCGCGATACTCGACACAGTTCTCACTATATTCTGGCTCATATCATTTGCCGTTCTTGCGGCGCAAACAACGGTGTTATGGGCCCACGGCACTGATTACTGCGAAAACAACAAGTGCCCCGACAACCTCAAGGCCGTGACTAGTTTCTACGGATATGTCTTTGCGACTTGCGTCGGTCTTGGTGGCTTTGCATTGTAAGTTCACGGGAAGGTTCGGGAACTAGTCCATAATGCTGACCACTTGTAGTCTACTCTCATGCATCTGCCTTATTTTCCACGGCATTGTCAGGTGTCGACAACACCGATATAACCAAATCGGCACCAATAACGTTTCCGAACCAATTTTTATCGGCGACAGACATCCCCAGGGCTCGAACGAGTATCGCCCTTTGGCATGAGCTAGTTATTTGGGTTGAAAGGAGTTTACTGATACCAATGATTATTTCTAGAGCAACTTCTCAAGTGAATCTATTTATAAACCCCGTGAAGCGCCGCGATTCTTATCGAACTAAGATAAGATAAGATAAAGACTGATCGAGTAACACAGCGCCTGTGGGTCAAGCCCTCTGCTAGCGTCTGCTAAGAAGTACCTTGTAGCAAGTAACCATAATTTTCAACTGACTTAATGTCTGGTTGTGTTCATTCTACATGATGGTAGAGATATTACTAAACAGTTGGAAGAACTCGGAATGGTAGACAATAGATCATGTCGAGGACATGATGCGATAAAAGAGCGGGGAATGTACAGTGGGCGTGCAAAAGTTCCGACACATTCCGGATCCACCCCAACTACCTCGATCTCATACTGCCATTTCGGATTGCAATTGCATGGGCAATAATTCTTCAATTTAGATAATATATATATCAATCTGTAGAGACTTAAAAGGAGATTCCAGAAATATAGTTTAATACTTGGTATAATAGCCATTTGCGTTGTAACAGGCGTTCAACCGGTCGGGCATCGATTTTATCACGTTTTTGACCACTTCATCTTCGACCTCCGACCAAAGCTCCTCTGCAGCTTCAATCAGCCGGGCCAAAGCTGCTGCAGACTTTGGATAAGCAGCAATTTCAGGATATCTATCGCATATCCTCTTCTTCAGGACTTTCCATAGATTTTCAATGGGGTTGAGATCAGGGCTGTATGGCGGCCAGTCAGCAAGAAAGACTCCTGTTCTTCTTGCCCAGGGCAGCAGCCAATTCTGAACTTTCCGGCATTTATATGTACGGGCGTTGTCGTGCTGAAAAGTCTCTCCTTCCTCGACCAGTCCGGGAAGATAAGACTGTAAACAGGATAGAATAATCCTTCCTGTTACGCCTCCCCTCTCAGACTCAGGATCGCCGGCAAGAGGGACGATCCTAGACGGCTTATCATAGTGAATTGCACCAAAGAACATCTGAGAATGTCTGGCAGGCCGTCTACAGGGCTGCACCTTATCTTGATGGAGTCTCTCACCCTGTGGTGTTGTCAAAAGAAGCTTCTGAAATAGAAGGGGCTAGACTTACAGCAGAGTAAAATGACCACTTGGTATAGTCACCGTCTGTACGGTCGATAGAGACCTCATCAGAAAACCACCAGCTATACCAAAAAGACTCATCTTCATGACGATATTTTTCACAGAAAGCTTTTCTCAATTGAGCACTTTCTTCGCTGAGAAACGGGCGTCGAAGTGCAAGCTTGTGTTGTATCTTCTGATTGATAAGCCAGCGACGAATTGTGCTTCTTTTGCAGTTCAAACAGGTGCAATCAATTATTTCTTGGTATGAGATAAAAGCGTTTCTTCCAATGAGTATTTTGATATGATTTTTATCTATATCTGATAGTCGTGATGGCCTTCCAGAGCGAGGTAAATCTTTTGCTGATTGTTGGTGACGGTACCGTCGAATGACTCCATAGATCGCGTGCCGACTTAGCCCCTCACTGTCTGCGATATCCTGCACGCGAACACCTGATTCGTACATCGTCACAAACCTCGTTCTTTTGCAAGGAGAATGATGTGTTTTTTGCCGTATTCGAGGCATCTTTTCCTATAGAAATAACGCGATGAAGTTGTGGTGTTGATGTTGATGTTTAATTGAAAGCGGGGTCCGGACCTCGGATGTGTCGGAACTTTTGCACGGGACTGTAAGTCAAGAGGATATCTCACCAGAGACATGGTTACTTCTTTTAGTGGCTTGCTCCATTGCCACTGTTTTTCTTCACGAAGCCATGAGTATTCAGACTTCACAATGCTCCCGCGTCCTGTCGAAATGAACCAAGTTTTGATGAGGCACTGGCAATCAGATAAACCACGCCATTTGCCATGACCAAGCTGTCAATATTGCGTCCGAAGCAGTCCTGTCCTGATCATCTCGCTACCGCCGACCGCCCGATGAAGTGACAGCATCAATAAACAGAACCGTCATGACAGGCAGTTCTCATGATTTCCATCTAATTTGATCGTACGATATCAGGAATATTCCAATATGTCGCTGAAGGCTATCGCTATCTTTTTGCCGCGACAACATGCTCAAAACACGTCCCAGTTCAATCGCCGAGTCGGTCGGGTCGGGATCCACCTTTCGGGGTTCAAAAGCGGAAGCCAAATAAGTCCCCGGGACGGGACAGTTATATCAGGTCAAAGTTTCCAGACGATTCGCGTCGGGCACTAAATTATTAGCATTTCTCAGCAAGGCTTTCGCAATACTACCATAGCCCTTGTATAACTATTCCCTGTATATCAGTTACGACAATGGCATCGCTTACATCCACTATTCGCAAAAGCGCAGTTGTCTTTGAAAACGTTCCAACAAAAGCTTTCACCTCGCTAGCTGGGTCTCAATACTCGAGAGGCCGGACTTATTACACTACCGCAGACATCTCAGTTCAAAGAAGAAGCCGAGCCAGCTGCCAAAAGAGTCTAGCATCGAGACAACCTTGTCTTTTAGAATCACGACATCCAACCCAAAATCGCATCATCGGCCACGCCAGATTTGCGACCACTACGACTATAATGGCAGAACCAACCGTCCACTCTCTGTTCGAGCCAGTCACTGGTACCTGGCAGTACATTGTCTCAGATCCGAACAGCAAGAGTGCTGTCATCATCGACCCAGTCCTGGACTATGACCCCGTCAAGGCTGCAGTTTCGACGGCATCTGCTGATGCCATTCTCAAAACAGTCAGAGACAATGAGCTTAAAATCGAGATGATCTTAGAGACCCACGCTCACGCTGATCATTTGACTGCGGCGTCATATCTTCAGTCAGCTCTTGCCAGTAGTCAAGGTTCAAAGCCACTCATCGGCATTGGAAAGCTTATCCGCCAGGTTCAGAACTTGTTCGGAGAACGATATTGTATCGACCCAAAAGAATATGATACTGTTTTCGATAAGCTGTGGGAAGACAAAGACGAGTTCACCATTGGCACTCTGACCGCTCGTGCTGTCCATCTCCCTGGTCATACGCCAGATCACATGGGATATCATATTGGCAGTAAGTCTACTTTAGACTTTCACCTGACAATCTTTCAACTTAATTACTAACTTGCTCCTCAGAAAACGTCTTTGTTGGCGATTCCATATTTCACGTTGACATCGGCTCCGCCCGCGCCGACTTCCCCGGTGGCAGCGCTGAAGCCATCTTCAACTCTGGCCGCAAGCTTCTTGCACTACCAGAAGATACAAAGATCTGGGTAGGACATGATTACCCACCAGCTGGCCGAGAAGCCCCGGTTCCTTTCGCGACAGTAAAGGAACACAGAGAGAACAACAAGCATCTCAAGGATGGAATGCGTGAGCATGAGTTCATTGAGATGCGACGAAAGCGTGATGAGTCACTTGCTGCACCTCGATTGATCCATCCTTCTTTGCAGGTCAACATTAGAGGTGGGCGACTCCCTGCGCCGAACCCGGCAGGGCTGAAGATGATTCATCTACCAGTGACGGGTTCGTCGTGGTAGAATGGCCTTGTAACTCAATGCCCTATGCAAGAGATGCATATTGTATAATAGCTTGGAAACGGTCATTTCATTTTAATGTTCAAGGAGTGATAGCCAGATTTATAGTTTAGCCAGCCAAAACAAATTGCAAACGAGTTTCAGCAACTTGCATCTTCCTTTCTATCCCAGGCTTTTCGGTACAGGATAACGCTTTATGGTAAATCGAAGAAAACAAAATCCAGCGAGTGTCCCGACCCCTGTTAGTTGACCAGTATGATTCTGTTGTAAAAGGGGTTTATATAGAGCGTAACTTGTCGGCGATTGCTCATCAGAACTTCGGGGTCTGATAGTTCTATCACCGTCTCGAGTGCATGGGATGAATCAGATAAGGAAAATGTTATTCTATTAGGTCCAAGAAGTTTCTAACCTCTATTCTAGCAGCGAAACAAGTTAAAGTATAATAAGATCAAGTCTAACACAAAGATTTAAGCAAAGAACAGCCCAGCCACCAATCCAGCACCAAACATCGAAGCGATAGTGGTAAAGGAACTCAATCCCATAGTCGCCATACCACTAATACCGTGACCACTTGTGCATCCACCAGCAATTCGAGCGCCGAACGTCAGGAGCGCTCCGCCAGCCAGAACCATTGGCAGGGACGCCTGTTCACTCTGTGCCATGGCCTCCCGGATGGCCGGAAAGTTAGTCAGTGTTGCCCAAGATCCCATCATTAATCCGCATGCAAAGAGAATGTTCTGGGGGATTGATTTGATACCCTTCCCACCGATAATATCCCAGAAGAACTTTCCAAACTCCTCATAGGCACCGCTGACCCCAACAGGCTTCTCGGTCAAGATAACGGACGATAACTGTCCAAAACCGATGAGAAGACCGCCGACAACCGGATGCAGCAGCGTCACACTTCTCGGGGCAACATACATTATTGCGGTAAGTACCGCAAGCATCGTAATCTCATACCCGACGAGAACCTTGCCTGCAGACAACCCGGTAATATCCATCACCGATGCATTCTCGGCACGGCTCGTCGGCGGCTTGACAAGGAAAGGCTTACACCGCACCCAGACAACGCCCGCAAGAAGCGACGTACACGCAAGCAACCGACTGGCGCCAGTACCGGCCGTGGCCTGCACGAGGACCGTCCCGGGACAGGCACCCGTTAAGCTTATCCCCAGACCTAGCATGGCACCACCAACCACGTTGCCGTCATACTGGCCCAGCCATCCGTGTGAACTTGATGATCGGGCGGGGATCTTGGTGGTTTTGAGGTTATAGAGGGTGAAGATTGCGGCGCTGGTTGCGGATGCGGTGAGGAATGTGGCGAGCATGTGAAAATCGGAGAGGCGGAATTGATTCTTTATGACCTGCGGGTTTGCTACGCCTGAGAGGGTGAGGCCTGTACCAAAGATGGCACCTGTTAACAAGCTAGTTGCCATAATTCACAAAAAAGTCTATGAAATATCTTGATAATGGTTGAGTTTGAGGCACACGGCAATGACTGAAAATCTTTTCTCTATTAATTCGCCATCGCTGTCTAAAATCACGCTTCATTACCGCTCTAGTGGAGTTTAAACATGCTACTAAATCATCTGATAATTAATCTAGTCCCCGACAACAATTAGAGTTTTAAGACGCCGATATCCACCTGATTCTCCGGATCGGCTCGGGGAGGACGGACGGGGTGGGGCTTCGGCCCCGGTAGTCGGAAACAATCAGTCATTTTCTGTTTCCGTCTCGGTACCAGAACGGCACTCGCTTCTCCTTGCATTGACCAACGCTGCCGTCACCGCTTCGTCAAGATCGGCGTGGAAGAAGGGCCTGTCGGTCGGAAAGACTGGTCTTAGGCCTTGTTTTTCGACTAGTGTAACGGGTGATGACGATTCGATTTCTGTGCTTGTTTGTGTGCCGATTATGCTTTCATCGTCTGTACTGCTCTGTCGTCTTCTATCTTCATGCTCTTCGTCGAATGTTCTGGCTAATGGCAGAATTGAAGTCCAGCTTCCAATTGAATGACCATCTTCTGTCGCGCTTTGACCAAATCCAACAGCTGTCAAAGCTCGTCTCGCCCATCTATTTCGAAGTCCACCAAAATGCCACTCGATCGAATATGGGCTCGCCCATCGATCTAGTGCATTTCTCACATCGACCAGGCCTTGAACACTGGTGATGTCAATATTATGAATTGTTGAGCAGTCGATCACGATTGCTCGTAACACGGGAAGTTCTGTGTCTCCTTTGTACACAACGGGTTTGTCGCACCAAAGAGCCTCCGACTTGTTGCCCTCCGGCTCCTCGGTCGCCCGTTTCGTGTGAGTGTACGCGTAATCTGTCAAGGTCTTGAAATGCATCGCTTGGTTGAGATAATTGAGACCTTCTGGAAAATGGTAGATCAAGATGCCTGGATGAGGGCTTTCGACTGGAATGTCTTTATTTGACGCGTCTTTACGAGAAAGACTCAAGTAGATGTCACGCGATGGTGCTTTCTCGCTCGCATTTGCGGATAACCATTGCGCATCATCGCTTGGGTCAATCTGCTGGACAGTGACCCGGCCAAGAAATTCGCCACTGGTGCGCGCAATGCGAACAAGTAGGAGAAGAAATGAGAGACCAGTGGTAACATAGATACCCGTTTCAAGTCCAGTGAACAAAGCGATCACAACTCCAGCCACCCAGATGAAGAACTCGAAAGGCGACAGTCGCCAATACTTCATCACTGTGGACGGAGAAGCAACGAGATTCGAAACAGCATGAATGATCAGACCGGCCAACGCCGCTCTGGGAATGAAGTAAAAGACCCCCGTAAGAGCGTAAAGCGCAAGCAGTAGCATGAAGGCGCTGAAGAGACCAGCCATGGGCGTCTTGACACCAGCCTTTGACAGAACAGCTGAGGCACCAAAAGACCCCGTGCATGAGTAACCGCCCAGGAATGGCCCGATGATGTTTGCTGTACCTTGAGCCATGATCTCTTGCGATGGGGCAACCTCGTACCCGTGCTTCTTACCAAAGCTTTTGGCGATGGCGATATGCTCGACGATAAGAATTATAATGATGATGGGGCTTTGGGGGAGAACAACACCAATGAGATCAGGCTTTAGATCAGGAGGGCCAGCGTGGACGAAGCCTGTGATGAGTTAGCGGACGAAGTACGTACGTTGGGCAAATGACATGCCTTGGTTAATATGCCCGACGATTCGGAATTTGCTTTCATCTTCCTTCAAATTGCGGTTGACCAGAAAGCTCACCAGCGTATACAGCAGCATGGCGAATGTGAGGCGTAGGGAAGACATGATTGACCACATCTTCTTTCGTGCAGGCTGACGAGCTTCCAACTTGGCAAAGACAAACTTCGCCAACTCAAGCAGTACAAGGCAGGTAATACCGATAGCAGCGTCCAACTTGGTGCCGCCCAAGTTTTTCATAGTCGATATGAACACTTTGTAAGGTTCTTCACGTGTATTGACACCATGAATTCCTAACAACACAGGAAGCTGAGTGCATATGATGGAGATGCTGGCTGCTGTGATGAAGGCTGATACTGGGATGTAGGGAATGACTTCGACGAGCCATCCAAGACGGAATAGGCCCATTGCGAAGAGGATGACGCCCGTCATGAATGATAAAGTTTTGGCGATCTCTGCGCTTGTGTAGGTATCTGGTCGTGATTCGTGGACATGGGAGATGACTTCTCCGACGAGAAGAGAACCGACGGCGGTGGTCTAGGAGCTCAATGTTAGCCAAGAAATAAAGATGCTGAGTGGCTGACGTACTCCAATAACAATGTCTTTCGATGTTCCAAACAGCCAGTACGTTGCCGCACCAGCAAAAGAAGTATACAGCCCAAAGTCTGGCGGTAGCGTAGCAAGAAGAGCATACGCCATGGCTTGAGGAATAACAACCAACCCAACCGTCAACCCAGCAATACTATCACCTAACAGCCATCGCCAATTATATCTCGGCAACCAATTCAGACAGGGAAACAAAGACTTGGCAAACCGAAGCGAATCATGTCGGCTTGGAACGCACTCCCCCAGCGCTTCCTTCACTGTTGGTTCAACTTCGTAATAATCGATTGTCTTCTTCATGATTACCCCGGGAAAATGGAAGGTTATCTTGAAGAAAATCGTGTTTATTTTGTGGGCCGTTGGGAAGGATTTATAGATATCAAGGGTGAGGCCGACAGCCGTGGAGGGAGACGGTAAAGTCGGCGGGGCCGCTGTGAGACATAGGTCGCCGATCAACTGGGGCCGGCGGTGACGGGGCCGATATCCTCGGACGGTCAAGAAAATGCAGGGAGAATCGAGATCGCGGCAAGAAACCTGCTGATTTTATTTGAAAGTTTTGGAGAGGTCTTATCGGCCGGTACATGCGGTACAGTCCTTCTTTGGGGAAGTCGGTGCGGAATGGCTGTTCGTTCCAAGACACGACAATGAATGGTGTTCCTACAGAAGAATGAGGTACAATAGGCCGATTTTTGACGAAGTCTACGTCAAGTAGGAGCAAGCACCAAAGTCTTACTGCTTTACGGCTATTTTCTTAGTGCGCAACAGCTATTTGTGGTCCTCGCCTTCTGGCTGTCTGATACTACGCGGAGTCTTCCGCGAAAACCTTTATCGGGGCCTCCATGAAGCATTCTGCAGCACGGAAACAACACACTTTAATAAGACATTTCATGATCTGACCCTTCAATTACTTTCATTATTTGCACCTATATAGACAAAAAAATAACTTGCTGGAAAGCAAAACCTGGGACCTGGCTCTTGCACAAAGAACGCTCCTAATTTCCTGCCCACCAAATTTTAAGAATCCAAAATGGGACCATACGCCGGAATACCACGACTCTCCAGCTGATAAACCACCTTGGCTGTTGTCGATCTGTTGGAAATGATGCACACACATTCAGCGCCGCTCTCCTTGTACGCTTGATATGCTAACTTGACCATATCTGGTCGACCCTTCTTGTCTGTATCCCAGATAATGGCTTCAGAGTCCATGGCAAGAATAGTGTCGAGGATTTCTTGTCCATAAGTTGAGAGAGGGTTCTTGGTAGACCAGACTACGTGGCATGGAACACGCCTCTCCATGATGACGGGCATACAGGGTCCGATGCCTGATCCTGTGGCGACTAGAACGACCTTCTTGAACAGCGGAGCGATAGCAAGAACACCAGATGCGGGAGTACCTCGAGTCCAGATCGATGTCGGAGGCTTCTCAATGATCCGCTTGGTCCAGTCACCTGCCTTAGACACAATAATCGAGAATCCCTTCCCGCTGGGTTCAGGAATGGCTGCGAAAGCGTGCCACTCAATCATGGGACGATCAGTGATGCGAACACCTCGTGAAGTGCAAGGTCCAGGCGTGCAGAAGTCGAAGTGAAGACGTACAGCATGGTTGGAGAGAGGCTCGGGTCTGACGTTGACGCGACGGAGTCTGGCCCAAGGCAGGGCGATGCTGAGAGTGATGAGCGACAGGAGGTAGATCGTAGGGTTCTTGGCCAATGCGTCACCCAAGGGCTCAGTGGCTGTTGCTGCTGTTGATGTAATGACATGCGTCCAAACAAGAGCGACAGAGAACCAGCCAACGAAACGGTGCGCCCACTCAAACTGGTCGTGCATCTTCATTCGGACACTGGGGTACGCCATACTAAGGATGAAGCAGAGCAGAAGGAGAATGACGTAAGTCAAGGCAAGAACGACACACTTGATGGGCGGTTGATATGTCTCCAAAAGAAAGTCCCGGCTTGTGGAGATCGTGTACATGAACCACCAAGCAGTAGCAGAGACAGCGCATCCAGAGTGAACACCACCATTGTGATACACACGGGCAAAGTGCCTTCGGATAGACAGAGGGAATGATGTGGGGACTCGGGAACATATGAAGAATATCGCGTTGACGACGTAGTCTTGACGCACGAGAACGGCGCAGAGGAGATTCGATGCAACAGCCGTCGCGACTTTGGAAGGGGAAGGGAAGAAGTTGTTGTTGCGACTTTCCCAAAGAAGGAAGATGAGAACAGTGAGGTTGGAGAGGAAGATAAGTCCAAACAGCTTGCGATAAGCTGAGAATGCAGTATGGCGAAGCCAGCGCCATCCGTGAAAGCCATTCTTATCGGGAAGTGCATACTCTTCACTCTCAACCTCTTCATAATCCTCAATAACAGCCTTAGGATCCTTCTCCAGATCTCTCATAATACCATTCTTCTCACCCTCAAAGAGCGTTCCATCACTCGAACTGCCAATCGACAACAACCGCTCATGCGATGGCCAAACCGTCTCCGGTCTAGCCTTCACAACCGCTTGCATATCACTCTTGCCCTCAGCGATCTTGTACAAAGCTCTCTTGTCAATCTTTCCATTCGGCGTGAGTTCCAGAACGGGAAGATGTTTCCAGATTGTGGGGACCGCGTAGAAGGGCTGGGTCTTGCTAACGGCTTGTTTCAGCTCCGTTTCAGCGATCGGGACGTGGGAGGAGTAGAAGCCCCACAGAGCGTTGTCGATCTTTAGGGCGCAGCCTTTTATGACGCCCGGGGTTGATTCGATGGAGCGGGATACGCCGTCGAGCTCGACGCGGAAACCTTGGATTTTGACTTGGTCGTCTTTTCGGCCGAGGGGGAGGAGGCTGCCGTCTTCGAGCCATTGGGCAAGATCGCCGGTGTTGAACATCATGTTGCTGCTCATGTTAGTATTAGTCAGTGATAGTGTGAGTGTAGGTAACTTACCCATCGTTGGTGAACTTGTCCAGCTTGTACCGAGTTGCTGTTAGTTCAGGGAGGTTGATGTATCCTCGAGAGACACCACGACCTCCCGCCCACATAACACCAGGTTGGCCAATTGGAACAGGGTTCTCGTTGTCATCCAAGATGTAAACGTTCGTGTTGGGGTTTGGCTTGCCAATTGACAGTGGAATGCCTGGTCGGTGAAGATGCGCTGTGTTGAGGACGCTGATCTCAGTTGGTCCGCAGACGTTCCAGAAGTTGACATGGGGAGCCCATTTCTCAGCCAAGGCCAAAGGGCAAGGCTCGCCACCGACAGCGATTGTATCGACATTGGGGAAGTCTTCGATTCGAGGCATGTATTTTTGAACGACCGATGGCGTAGCGATGACTGTGTCGCATCGTTGAAGGCACTCGGTCCAGGGCTCGAGACCGCTGCCTCTGATGTGAAGGGTACCGCCATTCATCATTGTACCCAAAATCTCCCAGGCGCCTGTTGACAATCCCAATTAGTGCTGGTCAATTACCAGTGTCAGATCTCACTTACACATATCGAAAGCAACATTCAGCTGCTGTGCCACGTTCCTGCCAGGTCTGATGCCCAGCTTGGATGGCTCTGCCAAAAGGGTATTGGTGACACCTCGATGTCTCACGTCCACACCCTTAGGTCGGCCTGTTGTACCCGAGGTGTAGATGACATATGCACCATCATCTGGACCGACCTCCACCATGGGATGTGAAGGGTTGCCTCTTCGCCAGAGATCTGAGTGGCTGTCCAGGTCGAGCACATTGACTATGTTCCGTCGATCATCTGGAATGCTGCGAACAACCTTGTCAAAGAACTTGGGAAGACAGAGGACAACGGGGGCATCGGAGTCGGCAATGTCAAATCCCAGTGTGTCGTCGGTAACAATACCACCATCCAATGGCACGTATTGACCACCGGCTTTGAGGACAGCGAGGATGAAGACAATCATCTCAATGCAGCGCGAGTACACCAACACAACACGATCGCCGACCCTCAAACCGAAAGTATGTATCAGCTCGTTCGCCAACATATTTGCCCTTCGGTTGAGCTCTCGATATGTGATAGTACTCCCATCATAATGTCGAACCGCAACGAGATCAGGGTGCGCCAGCGCAACCGCCTCAAAAGCGTGATGAGCAACATTGTAGGGAATAGGACACTCGGGTCCCTTACTGAATCTGTTGAATAACACTCTATCCGCCAGGGAGAGGCTCTCAAGAGAGCTGAAAGAATAGGAAGAAGACATGATGTGACGCTTTGGGCATAGAACGTCTAACCATAAAGCATGCCGTCAAGGCTGCGTCATGGCGATAACCTTAAGTATTTGTAACCTGCAAAGAAAATTGCAATTGGAAATGACGGAGAATCTTAACAGCACAGAATAACGACTAAATTTCCGCTTCTGGTTTCGGAACAAGAAACGTCTACGACAGTCAATGTATCCGGCAGCTCGATTCTTGGCAGCATAAAACTCTGAGTGTCTTTAGCATGTGGATTCGGCCGAATAAGGTTGCATTAGTGAGATCTTTTGGCTCAGATGCATAACGCTCCGTTGGGATTTCTACTCTTTACGGAAGCTGATCCGCCGCAGTGACCAAGGCAGATGAAGGCAGGTCCCTGTATGTCAGAGGCGTAACGATCAGGGTTTAGTACGAGATTCCCAAAACGAAACGGAGATCGTTCTGTTTTACGTAGTAAATGGCGAGCTTGACAGTGCAATACTACAACAGAATAGGCTTACCGTTCGGAGTGGGGAAGGAACCTGCAAGGGGCCCTGAAACTCACGTTTTGTTACGGCTTTTGTCAGTGCTTCTTTTCTGTTCTTTCAGGAAGCTGGCTAGTTGGGATACTTACAAAGAGAATTGTAATCAGAGTGGGATAACGAAAAGAGTAACAAAACCGTTGAGGCGACGTGTAGATCTTCAATTGACCTGCCCCAAATGCCGAAACGACCGTTCCGGAATCTGTGACGAGACCAAAAACTCCACAAGGTCGAAACTTGAGATTTTTCATGAGTACGATGGATCAAGGGACAGGTTGTCAATGCGCCTGACGAGGCCCTCATATATGATGAAAGACTTGAACAATTGATCTCGCCCATCTTCCGGATGCGAATTGCTTCTTTTTCATCATAACCAAGATTTGACTAAATTTCCTCGACAACGACCGTTTCAGAGACACGTCACAATGGAGAACCTCCAGGATATCAAGCTTTCCACCAACAGCGACACTGGCGTGGCAATTATCCAATTCAACAGACCAGCCAAACGCAATGCCTTTTCACAGAATACGATACACGAAATAGTCACCACTCTGGACCATCTAGACTCAGTGGATACCGTGCGCGTTGTAGTTTTGACTGGTGGACCTGAAGGACACTTCTGCGGTAAGTTCAAGTTTCTCCATCGGAAGAATAAAGACTTCTTGGTGGGATACGGTCGTTCTAATAATGCGGCTGCTAATTAACTTTCGGGAGCAGCTGGCATGGATTTAAACGAGTTGGTGGAGCTGTCGACTTCGAAAGCCCATAAAATTGAGTTTCTCAAGGATTTGACGGATGCGCTAGCGAGGTTTTCCAAGCCTCTCATTGCTGCTGTTGTTGGGTTTGCTGTAGGTGATCTACTGATCGTCACTCAGAGTTTGAACTAATGAGATATAGTTGGGTGGTGGTTTTGAGATTGCTCTTGCTGTAAGTCCAAATGCCACTGCTTTAGTTACACAAACTAATTGGATCGCAGTGCGACATCATCTACGCTGCTGAAGATGCCATGTTCGGCCTTCCAGAGGTCAAGATCGGAACCATCCCCGGCGCAGGCGGTACACAGCGCCTGGCTCGTGCCCTAGGAAAGCACAAGGTACCTTTCGATCAAACCAGCCCCAAACCATAGTGACAATCACTAACTACCGGTTCTAGGCGATGGAGTTCGTCCTAACAGGCGAGCCAGCCAGTGGAGCTGAATTCGAGCGACTTGGCGTTGTAACAAAGGTCTTCCCCAAGTCAGACATTTTCCAAGCAGCGACGTCGCTGGCTGAGAAGATTGCGCGTCTGTCAGCTCCGGTTATCAAAACGGCCAAGAAAGCTGTTTTGACTGGTAAGTCTGACCAATGAGATTCCCCGGCCTTGTCCGATGGTGATTAACCCTGTCACAGTGGAAAACTCGACCCTTGATTCTGGGATGACGCAAGAAAAGTCGCTGTACTATTCGACGTTTGGTCTGGATGATTTCAAGGAGGGCATTCAGTCATTCCTGCAGAAACGATCGCCCAGCTTTCAGCATTCTTAGTTAATTCAGTGTAGATTAAATAGACGTCAGTGTGAGATGCTTCAAGTCTTGTCTGCAATGGCAAATTACTCCGTACCTTAGATCTAAATTACCCATGTCATTGACTGGTGCAAATGCTATTTTTGTCCCCAAAAGCCGTTAAATTACTCAGGGGCCTAACGCCAGGGTCTCACAGCTAAGGCCCACTTGTGGATAGCCTCCTTTCCCCTGCCTTAGCAAAACCCACCATCAAATGCCGCTAACTTAGATCCCCGAAGATGTCAGTTCCGTGACGATTAGGCGACTGAGCTGTCACTCAGCGCCGAGGAAATACATCCTTGGCTCACGCAATACCGTAGCCATCAGCCGAAGGCTGAAACTTGGAGTCATGAAACAAGGTATCGTAAAACATGTTAGGGCGATGTTTTGCTAATTAGATAAGAGCATTAGCCTCGGCGGGCTGGAACATGATGGAGATGCAGCTTCTTCTCGGAGTTTGCCGTGAGTGCATGGATCAACGGAGGATGAGGAAGTAACAATAGCCCTGGCGATACAATTCCTGCTAAACTCAAGATCCCACATGTATCCCCAGTCGTTTTGTTGGTCAATACGAGTCTGTGACCCGTTCAACGCTGCGGAGCAAAAATTCCTGAGAGGCAGGGAGCTGATCTAAAGACAAGAAGATTTTATTCCCGTCAAATCCCCAAGGCGGAAATTATGTTGAGAAAACAGATGATTTTGCCGAGGGAACATCAAGTAATCTATATCTGTATTTTGTTGCGAAATGCTTATCAATACGAAATTCAAGGATCCAACCCGATTTGAGCTAGCTCCCTTACTCTTGTCTGATAAGAAGAAAGAAGCGAAGTAAATGCAGGTGAAAAACAACTATAACAGGTCATATTCGAAGTAACTCAAATACCTTTGCTGAGGGGGTTCTATTCTCATCGGGGTCTTATGAAACAAGGCTGTATCAGTAGAAAGCCATTCCAGTCCAAGAAGCACGATTTCCAAGTCCGCTCAAGTCGATCACTTTTGGGCCATAAGAACTATGCTTGAGGTCAAATACAGCAATCGCTGGAGCAGCCTGCAGAGCATAGAGCTTGGAGCCACTAATGATGGCATCGAAGTTGCCCTTGCCAGCAGCATATCCAGGGAGAGTCCGTCCGATGGTCATAGTCTCGGCGTTGAGAGTAGCAACGTCGGGAACGGCGACATCGAGGAGATAGACAGAGCCAGAATCGGCTGAAGTAGCGGTCCAGCAAGTTGCTATCTGCTTTGGAACGGTAATATTGGTCTTGATGGACACAGTGAGATCCTCAGCGATGGACACGAATGCTGCACCATAAGCAGGCGTGGAAATAACGGCAGAGTGCTTCGAAATAAAGCCCATTCCGAAAGCAACTGGCAGGTTCTTAGGTTGTGACTTGACGGCTTCCTCACTCACACGACCGTTCTCGACCTTGTAAGCATAAACGAAGCCGCTCTCCATGCCGTTGCCCTTGATTGTGACAAAAAGAGCCGTCTCAGAAGGGTTGAAGAGAATGTTGGAAACAGTGTTGGGAGGTCCTGTTGGAGGAGAAGTCTGATTGAAGACGGGCAGAGGCTTGAGGTTGCCCTGGGGTTTGAGACCATCGCAGCTAGAGACAGTGAAGCACTGAACTCCTGGCTTGGTACCGGTATTGGCAACGCAGGCGAGCTTGTTCTTGGGCGAGTAGGCTACGGTGTTAGGTACCGTGCCTACAGTACCGACGGGCTCTCCAAGGAGAACAGGGTGCGCTGGATTTTCCTTGGGGATATGGAAAGCGGCCAGAGTGTTGGAGCCAGCGTTTACTGTAAACAGGCGGTTTCCGCTCACAACGATAGAGCCTTGAGAGAAGAGGGGATCTAGTTGAATCGTCAAAGTCTGTCTCCATATCGAAATATCATAGAACTTACCCATCTGCACAGGGCCATTCATGTTGTTACCAATAAGACCCTTTCCACTAGTGGAAGTTCTCTGTGGCCGACCCAGGGAGCCATCCTTGGCAATGTTGAATGAGACAACAGAAGCTCCCTGGGGGTCGCTGTCGAGGAAGTATAATGCCCGATCAGACTTGTGAGGCTTAGGATGGGCCTGCGTGAGCGAGGCTGTAAGAAGAAGGGCGTTGATGAACTTCATTGTGATTTGTATGGAGTGCCAAAAGTGAGTGAAGAGTGAAGAGTGAGGGCAGCTGTGAGTTGCTTGGTGCTTGAGACGTCTTCATTGAGACTGTCAACCGCGTATCTATATATGTTTCGACTCGGCATCCCAGATCCGAAATATCTACCGTGCCTTCATCCGTAAATTAGTTGATTTAAGCCGAAAGCAATGCCTATGTACCGAACGGACCAGACGGATGAGGCTGACCTAGAACAAGAACCAATAGAACATAGAAACCACGATATTAACTGGAATCCAGCGTCATGATTGAAACAATGATCCAGTTCACATAAGCTCAACTACGAAAGCTTAGCAGAAGGCCATGCCTAATCGAGACTATTTGTTGAGTCAACAGTAAGTGCTAACAGTCGAAAGATTCGTATGCTGCATTAGAAATTAAAGAAATGATGAAGTACTGAGAGTAATTCAGCGAGCATCTTCCTAAAGAAGACAACGGCGTTCAATCAATTAAATACAAGGGGACCGTGGAGCTGCTAGTGATGCTCCTGTCCATTCAGATGCATGGAATGCGAACTCATAAAAGTGTAAGCGGGCTGTCAGTGCTGTCCAACGAATGCGTTATACCTCTTATGGAAATGTTGATTAGATGTCTGTTTTGCCGAAGCAGGGAGTTTAGTGTCATCTAAACCTAAATCTTCAGAAACCATTGGCCTAAGCATTGAGAATCCTACGCCTACCAATAAACAGTGAAAAACAGCAGCTAGAGGTAAACCTTTCTCATTCTACTACTGGTGACTATAAAAGAAAAAAAACTTTTGCTAGTAAACTACGGAACGAGCTATGTGCCGTGCATTCAAAGGCTCATTTCGTGAAGTTGCCTTGAAGCTTGACCAGATTTCCCATCCTTAGCAATTGAGGAACAAACATTGCTGCGATTTCCGTTTCTCGATTCGTAATACAAATAATTGACGAAAACCACTTACCTGATTTGCTTCCAATGGTGAATACTCAGTTGAACAGATCTACAGAATCGCAGCGTCGAAAACAGAACAGCTCGCAACAAAGTATAGGCATGTGCAGGGTAGGCAACGTTGAAGCCTGGACCCGTGTTCCGATAAATAAATCACCATAAGAACTCATCACTCTTTCTCGACTTTGCAATAGAAGAGGACATTCATCTTATATATCTTAGTACGCAACAATCGAAAATAACTTGCCAAAAACCCGTGTCTTTCATTGCTCAAAAGTTGGACCAGATCTCCAGTCTACAATTGGTCAGAACACAGCCTCGATAGCGGGGTATACTGTCTATATCGTTAGTTCACAGCCTGAGTCAGCGTCAGCAAGCAGAAACAAGGCTCTCTATTCCCTCTTAACATGCTCAACCTGGTGTTCAGAGCTGCCAATCACAGCCTGGTCTGCCCTCTGTTGAAGTTACACATAAGAAATGTCCCAAAGTTTCCCTTTAGAAGCTCACACGACTTTCGAAGCCGGCGGAGTGCGCTGAGATATTTGTCAACCATGCGCCTTATCAATGTCGAGACTCTCGAGTTGGAGTCTTTCACAGGCGAACATGGCGGATCTATACCTACATATGCGATTCTTTCGCACGTATGGACGTCCCAGGAAGTGTCACTGCAGCAGATGAGCGGACTGAGCCCCCTTCCAGAAGAGTCAAAGGGCTACCGAAAAATCGTCGACTTTTGCGCAAAGGCGAAAGCCGAGGGCTTTGAGTACGGCTGGATAGACACCTGCTGTATAGACAAGACGTCAAGTGCTGAACTATCCGAAGCGATTAACTCGATGTTTCAGTGGTACCGGAAGTCTGCAGCTTGTTATGTCCATCTTAATGATGTCAGCTCTGCCGAGAATCCAAGATTACTGGACTCGAAGTTCCGCCGAAGTCGATGGTTCACGCGTGGATGGACTCTTCAGGAACTCCTCGCGCCGCACGAAGTGATCTTTCTCGCTGACGACTGGCGCGAGATTGGTACCAAGGCTAGTCTGAGTGCAACTATCTCAGATGTCACAAAGATTGATGCAGCTACGTTGGTGAAACATACCTGGTCACACGTCAGCGTTGCTGGGATCATGTCATGGGCATCAATGCGACAAACTACAAGACTAGAAGATCAAGCATATTCTCTCATGGGTCTATTCGATGTGAATATGCCTCTGATCTACGGAGAGGGCCCTAAAGCTTTCTATCGGCTCCAAGTGGAGATCATGAAGACAACAAACGATGATTCTATATTCGCGTGGTGCACAGAACCCTTAGAAGATCGTGGATATTCTCCTAGTGAAGGAGCTTCAACGAGAGGTTTCCGGTTCCTGGGATTGCTAGCTCCATCGCCTGCTTGTTTCAGGGATTCTCATGACATAAGGGCACCTAAAGATCTCTCTAGAAATCATGCACCCTACGACATGGTCAAGCAGGACGTCAGTCTTTCGGCGGTGGTAGTTCGTCTCTGCTCACTACCAGCAGACCCCAAGCAACTTGGAAGTATTGATCGGGTAGATGTTGTTGGAACACTGCGGTTCTCCAATAACGTGAGGGCAGTAGACCATGGTCTCGTCATCACGCCAGCAAGACAAGACGCGAAGGGAATTAAGATAATGTGCTTGGTTGCTGTTCTACGCTGTTGGAACAAAGATGGCTATATTGGTATTCCTATTAAGCGTCTGGCATCTGGCGCTTATCAGAGAGTCGAGAATGGGAACAGATGTCGCTGGTTTAAGGTCCGATTGATGCCCTTACGCTTGACATTGAAGACGGAAGAAGAAAAAGCTCCAGATGAGTCGGAATACACCCTCAGACAGTTCGACTCTGAGAGTAGAGAGAAGGGACCACCTGCTGATCCACCAGAAACCATTCTCGTGAGAGCATATGTACCATTGGACCTCCCATCAGACAACACACACGCTTCTGCCAAAGCCAGTTACCGTCATGCACCTCTCCAGTTCCGGTCACTACCTATCAATAACAGCTATTATAGAATACACGCTGACAGTGCCAATAACTCTATACCGCTAGTGCCTGTGTTGCCACCTCATGCTCAGGTTGTCGAGACTATCAATGGACTCATCGATACCCTGCCGGAAATGCGTATCATATTTCGCCCCAGTGCATCAGATAGTGATCTACCACCTTTCACGATACGCACAAGAATGACAGAAAGGCCTCATGGCATCCAAGTTGGGTGCTTGATTGGAAGTGAGGCCCAAGCCTGGGATGAGACGCCAGATGCTGAAATCACCGACATTGACATGAAAAGTGTCTCCACCACGATATCTCTCACAACAGACCTATCTCTCGTGTTCCGAGTGAGACGAGGTGTTCCACAAGATACGAGTTGTTATTTGAATGTGAGCGTTGAGAAGAAGTTGTCGTGGGCGGAAGATGTAGAACATTGGCCTGCTACACTTGGAGACAAAAGCCTGTCAAGCTCGGAGATGTCGCTCAATCGTAGCTTCACAGACAATTCAATATGAGAGGTTGTCAACAACCGTACCTGCCGGTAACAGGCTCTCAACGGTGTGTTGAAAGATGTCAGGTGGCGAGGCATACATGACTTCGAAAGGACAGCAGTAAATCCAATACAGCCTGATGACCCTCAGTGTTATGTTCTGTGGTACGGACGTGAAGTAGAAAAGATAGATTTATAGTACATGACATCATTAGTCTCGTCAACGTCTTCGCTAGTCGAATCTTATAGAGCCTTCATATCTAAGTACATGCCATTTTCTGGCTTGATAGTAATCACTCCCCTTGGCATCACAAGCTTGTCATCCATCGCCAGCTTCCATTCAAACGACCGAATCATAGTCGCCAACAAACATCGCATCTCAGCCTTCGCAAACCCTTGTCCAATGCAACTTCTTGGTCCATGCAGGAAGGTGAGGAAGTTGTAATTGCTGCTCGCTCCACCATTCTGATTTGGCTTTCCATCATCAGTGATCCATCGCTCCGGCTTGAACTCGGTTGCATCAGGGCCCCAAATAGCTTCTGATCGGTTGATGTACCAGATTGATACCATGATATCTGTGCCCTCCGGGATGAACTGGTCGCCGATGCGGGTGTCGCGGATAGCTTGACGCATCGTCAAGGGTACTGTTGGGTAGAGTCGAAGTGTCTCATGCATGATGCCGTTGAGATAAGGAAGCTGCTCGAGGATACCGGCGAGATCCACTGTCGGGTTGGTGGCCAGCTCCTCTGGCAGTCCGTTCCTGACCTCCTCTCTAAGCTTGGCCTGGTATTCAGGGTGCTTGGTGAGTAGGTAGCATGCCCAAGTCAAAGCAGAAGAGGTCGTTTCGTGCCTAAATGTGATCAGCTATATCCTTGTCGGTGTAGACAACCCATCACTTACCCTGCTGCAAGGAAGGTCAGAAGCTGATCCTTCAAGGACTCATCCGAAAAGTTATTCGACTTGATGAGAAGCGACAAGACATCGAAGTGGTCGTCTCCCTTCTCGAGAATAGCTGCCTTCTTCTCCTGGATCATGGGGAAGCAAAGTTCATTCAAGGTTCCGGTCAGATAGTTGAAGACATCGTTCATCTTCCAAGGGATGAGACGAATGATGGGCAGGCCAATGGCCAGAGACAACATAGAGAATATGAGCTTCTCTCGGCTCGGCTCGAGCAAACCTTCATAGATGTCCGCAAGGGGGTCCTTCTTCTTCTCAACGGCATCGAACTTGCGGCCTAGACCAGCAATACCGATGATATCGAGCGTAACCTTGCTCGCCCAGCTGTTGAGCTCAATGGTAGATGACCTCGACGCAGCCATATCCTGATTCAATGCCCTGGCCAGCGACTGGCTCTTCTGCCACATCATGGGATATAGCTCCTTGATATGTCGAAAGTGAAACGCCGGTGTTGAGTTCTTGCGGAGGAACTTGTGAGGTTCGCCCTCAACGATGATGAGACCATCGCCGAGAATGTGTCGTAGGAAGGAGCTGATTCTCTTCGGTTTGGTGAAGTCGTAACAGTTGTGAACGAGCAGATCTGCTAACAGCAGAGGATTTGTCACCAGTATGTGGGTTCTGAATGAGTTGAGAGTGAGTAAGTCTTCACCGGGATATCGTTTCGCAATATCGATGAATAAGTCACCGGATGGTCTGTCTTTGACACCGATAGATCGATGAGCGGCGCTCAAATAGTCCTGTTGACGCCATCATGTGAGTTTGAGATCCGAGAGACATATGCCGGAAGCTTGAGGATTGAAGGACTCACTCTTGGACCGGGAATGTGTTTGAGGGGGCTAAAGAAGACTGGGTATAGAAATCCCCAGAAAACGATTCCGAAAGCATAATTGATGAGTAAGATGGTGAATACAGCAGCCAAGTGACTCTTCGAATCGTAATAATCTGGAAATACTTTGATTGCGATGAAAGACTCGATGACAGCGGCTAAGGTAAGGCTGGGAAAGCCCAGTAGCTTAGAGACGACAGCCATGTTGAATAAGCTGCAAAACTCGGATAATTCAGAATCTCGCTTCTGCAAGACTTATTAAAGTATATGTAGACCTTAAGAATAGTAAGCTGATGATATAAACGTGGTATATAAACCTAAGACTTAAAGATTGGGTAAGAATCTCATATGAAATTCTCCGGAGCCCAATGAATTCCATGGCATGATTATCTTCATTGAAGCCATCAACGCTCATGTGCCTCTGATCGCTAGCGCAGATGCCACCCTACAATAGGAATCCACCGTCGATGATCAATGTCGCAAAAGCAACCTCATTGGGTTTAGCATGCGAGCAACCACTTAGAACTAACTGGATCAAGTAAAGAGCTCGCTTACGGCTTCTGATATGCATCAAGCCCAAAGAGACGGGTTCGTAATTAGCAACACGTGGAAAGGGCGCCGCGGAGGGTTTCTAAATGATATTACTGTCGATCAGGTTCCTTCACATGTGTGAGGAGTTTTGTTTCTTTCAACACCATCGTCGAAACTTGAGGAGATTTCGCAACCTAGGCCGAAAGTAGATGAGGATCCCCCAACATTTTACAGCTGAAGCATGAACGTGAATTCTTTTCGGTTCAGAGATGAGAGGAAAGATGAAGCTTGAAAAGACCAACATGTTTGAGGTTTGAAACGCCTCAGTTTTGTTCATTTTTGTTGAGTTACGCAGATTTATCAGACTCTGCAGCATCGCCATCAGATCTTCACAAACAAACCACCTTCATGCAAACTTTACAATGGCTCCGAAGTCTATCGTTTGCCTCATTCTCAGCTGTGCTCTCTTAGGAGGCTATGCTAGTATGGGTACGTCATACCGTCACGGCCTCTTCGACGCTGTTCGGGACTGCATCACAAACGCAAAGTCGCCTGACGGAAGCTCGCTATGTCCTTTGGACATGTCAGACTCAATCTCTCGGCAACTCACGGGCTACCAGTCAATTGACGAGCCGGTAATGCTTCTCTTGGAGTTCTTCGCTCAAGGGCTCAAGAAGCATCCCGATAGCAAGGGCATGGACCTTGAGGCTCTTCTGGCATTTGTGTACTTGGCGGCACAGTTCTGTGGTGCTTGGTATCTCATAGCTCTTGAAGGACTGAGATTTGGCAACCGTGGAACAATTCTGAGCTGGTAAGACAAGAACCTGAAGCACGGATACTGGCCTCATACTAACATAGATTACAGGACTGGAAGTTTCGGTATCGTCTTTCAATCCGTCACAATAACAATCATCGCTCCGATCTATCTGACCCTACAACTCCTCCTCTCACCGACGATTCCTCAACAAGCATATCTACTGGCCGACCCGTGCGACCTGAGCCTGCTCCCGATATCCACAATCGTATCCTACGTTGTACCGACCATTGGTCTCTGTTTGCCGCTGATCTTTGATGTCTCGAGGGAAGCCAAGTTCATCGCCGTGGCTCTCTGGCAGCCTTTCCCTCTGTATCAAACTGCCATTCAGCGAGTATCCCGCTTGGTCTGCTGGTCTCGCAGGGGCAAGGCCAACAACACCGCACATATTGATCCGAGAGCGTGTAGGAAGGCTATGAATCGCGCATATCGCTTCATCACGACACTGACAGTTGGAATACATTTGGCTGTGTTTGGGACAATTCTCGCTTCTTCCATGGACCTCACAGCCAACGTTTCTGGACATCATATCCTCGCCCTCACGTCATTGACAAATCCACCGACTCTCGCTTTACTCAACCCGCCCGTTTCAGCGATGGACTCGAGAGAGATCGTGGTCTCGTTCCTGCGATGGGATGTATATTGCACCTGCCTTGCAATGGCCATATGGACCGGTTACCAACTCTATTCGGCACAAAGAGCCCCCAGCCGAGTGGTCATCTGCTTCAACACGATCTGGTGGACGATTCTGGGCGGACCGATCTACCCCGCGTTGAGGCATCTCTGGGAAAGAGATGCCATGGTGCTGGATCGTATGGAGCTTTTCAGCTCGTCACTGAAGATTGAGTAAGTCGGACAAGAGTTACGGTGAGACCAGGACATTTGGACAATTTGACAAGGGCTTCCAATTTAAGAACGAAAAACAACTATCCATGTACGTATCAAAGTAGCCTAAATCATGTGCAAATGCTGGTATCAAGATGAAAGCAAGCCCAACGCACCAGGCGAACTAAATTTCTCAGTGCAATCCATGTGCCCCGGTGACATCATAATAGGAGACGGCGTAAGAGCTTGAAATGGTTGTGCTCCATACGTATCACCAGGGAGCCATCCGACAGCTGACCTAATTCCTATAGCGGAGTTCAATCTAGCAAGGATACGAGCTGCTCTTTCAGTCTGTTCAGGCGTAGTGTAAACACAGTGTGTGACAAGTCTAATCGAGTGAACAATGATGATGGCCGCTGCACCGTCATGGAGCATGGTCGCTGGCATGCCGCTCGGGTCGATATCGCCCAGGGCGTATGGCACGGCGGCGAGCATGTCATCGACGGTTTTGTGGACATCGGATTCAAGGAAGGGAACGGTTTCTGCCCATGAATTGTAATTATACCCATCATCCTCCTCCGCTGGTAGCAATGTAGTTTGGTAGAGAAGCATGGTCTGGAGTAGGATGAGACGAGCTGATCGGACGAGAATGATAATGCAAGCTGTCTCGGCATCGTAGTGCATCTTACCGGCGCTCATCTCACCAAGGGTCGTTGGAACGCCGCGACCTTCGAAGGTGCTTTGCCAATACTCTGCTGCTTCGGTGTCCCAGGCACCGAAGGCATCGAGCATGTCAAAGCATTCCTGGATCAAGATTCTCTCGTCTTCTGTCCCTGTACTACTCTGTGATGCTGTTGAGGGACTGGCACCTTGTGGTTGATACAGCTCTGATTGCATAAGCCGGCACAGACGATGGCGGAGAGATAGAGTCCGTCCCATCATCGACAGTGCTCGAAGAAGAGGGTCGAAGATGCCGATGACGGTGGCGATGGCGCCGGGGTCGGTGTATGTATCGTCGCCATGTAAGAATGAATAGATTTGCTATCATGTAAGTCAGTGCCATGTCTTGTGAATTTGTTGTCGCGTGACTTACCAGTCGCAACAAAGCGAGTAAGAAGAGTTCGGCTCCTCTTCTTGTACCAATCTGACTTGGTCCTCGTTTCTCCAACAGATAAAAAAGCCCCGAAGCATGTTCATTCGGATCACCTAATCCTTCACCACTAAAGTCCTATCATCCAGTCAGAATTGAAATAATTGATGTCGCGTGAGACTTACCTTGTACGTGCAAAGCAGCAGAATGGTAGCGATGACTTTGTCGTCCATCGCCTGGTCATCAGACTGGATAGTCTGCTGCAAGCCCTTGATAACACGCCCATAATTCCTCAAAGACCGTGTCCGAAGTTCCTCATTGCCCAAATGATTGTACGCAGCCAATTGGGCAACACTCAATGTCGCTGTTTCGACAAGTCCATCCTTGTAGTGATCGAACAAACTCGGTAGGAAGCTGAAATGCCCGGGAAACCCATCGTCGTCGTCGGGCGACACGAAGCGACGCACGAAATAGCATAGCGACATGTTATCGTACGATTGTGTCGGATGTCGAACCATGGCTACAGATCTACGTCGAATGGGCGCTTCCAGAGGCCGAGTTTTGGGCTTGGGGATCTCCTTTTCGGGCGGTTTCTCAACTTGCGGGGGACTCGCTGTGCTGGTACTGGCTGTACCTGGCGCTTTTGGCGCTCGCGACGTATTGGCAGATGTACTTTGCGATCTCCCCTTTGGCGCAGAGTGTCTAAAATGAAACTCGTCGGTATATCCAAGACACGGCTTTCCGTAGTTGTAGCATCGTCGACACGTCGGTTTCCCCTCGTCGCACTGCCAAAAGATAACGATTAGAACATATATCGCTCAATCAGAACGACTGCATTACTCACCTTGACCTTCCGCTGGCGACACCGCAGACAACCTGAACTAAAGCGACCTGGGAATACCATCTTTCGCTAAGATAGGCAGTAGGTAGACAACGCAAACGTGGGTGAGCTGATTGAACGGTACGGGATGGAGAGTCCGGGGAAAGCAATTGCGGGATTGCAGATTACGAATTACGGAGCCCGCGGGAAGAATGGAGACAAGAGATAGCCAACGCAACTCAGGGCGGGCAGCGAGTGTCTCTTCTCATGGCACGGACGTATTAGTGTCTCGGTTGAGAGAGGGAGACCCCGCAAGAGACCTGGACTAACGAGCTGGAAACAGGGTTTAAGGTCCATGGGTTGGTGCTGTGATGACAGGGGACGCGACGAGGTCAAGTGCCGTTGAAGTGGAGAGAAGAGAAAAGATCGTCGTTGTGGCTTTTTCTGGTTAAGCTTGCGATTGAAGAGTTGTCGTTGGTTGAGAGAATCTAACCTCGGTTTCAAGAGCATCGTGATCGGCTTCATTTTTTGCCAACTTGTGATAGTTGACGATGGAGCTAGAGAAAGGTGTTGGACCTTAATTAGTTTGTATAAGACGTATGTTGTAGTAGCTTGCATGTGCAATTGAGATATTCGGCTCAGACTCACAGACCAAACTCAATCATCATTCTTCACTGTGCAAATCATCATGTCTTCCATGCTCTACTCTCCCGTCATTGAGTATGCCTCCAATGCGAGCAACCTCCTCCTATCGCCACTTCTATCCGGCTCATTGCTCGCCGCAGCAACTTTTGCTCCCGACGCCGTGAACAATGTCCTCGCCTCAATCGCCGCCAAGCTCCCAGAGCATGCTTCAAATACCCTGGAGCTCGCGACCGTCAAGAAGATTCTATACGTATGGCTCAGCTTGGGTATCGTCCGAACCATCAACCGGTTCCTCAATACCATGGCTCACAATTCATGGCGAATGAGAGCTGCGTCGGGTTGGGACTGGAAGAACGAGATCGCTGTTGTTACTGGTGGCTCGAGCGGTATTGGCCTAAGCATTGTCGAGAAGCTTGCCGCGATGGGCATCCGTGTCGCTGTCTTTGATGTCCAAGATTTGCCAAAACAACTTCAAGGAAACTCGCGCGTTCACTTTTATCGATGCGATGTTACGACAACCGAGTCTGTTGCTGAAGCTGCCGACGCAGTCCGCAAAGAACTTGGTCACCCATCAATCCTCATCAACAACGCTGGCATCACTTCCCCAATGCCCATTCTCAAGATGCCAGAGTCGTTCCTCCGCAAGATCATGGGCGTCAACCTCATGGCACTGTGGTACACCACCCAGCAATTCCTCCCTCGCATGATCCAGTTGAACAAGGGTCATGTCATCACAGTCGCCAGTATCGCGTCCTTTGTCGCCCTTGCCACAGGAGCCGATTACTCTGCTACAAAGGCTGGCGCACTGTCTTTCCACGAGTCGCTGGCCAGTGAGCTCAAGCATTTCTACAAGGCCCCCAACGTTTTGACAACAGTGGTTCATCCCAACTTTGTCCGAACACCTCTTGTCGAGGGTTTTGTGGACCGTCTGGAGCGTGGTGGTGTTCGTCTCTTGACTGCTGATGATATTGCTAAGGAGGTTGTCGCTCAGATCAAGAGTCGACGTGGTGGTCAACTCATCATTCCTAAGGCTGTTGATGTTATTTCTGGTATCAGAGGTTGGCCAACTTGGCTGCAGGAGGTTGTTCGCGATACGGTTGGCAAGACAGCAGGCAATTAAGATCAAAACAAATAGATGGCGACTGTATCTAGAAAGCCGATAGGTAGTCTGAAATTATTTGTCATCCTGGGACAAGCCTAGGAGCTTTTATGTACTCGTATAGACTCGCTTGTAATTGAACGCGACCGCCATGTTGAACACCTCATTCGGGTGCCATGCCGCCATGTTGAGTAGTGAAAGCGATGTCGCATCACACAACAATTTTAATTGCATCTCATAAAAGAAGACAATGATCAGTAAACTGATGACCGAAACACTCTTTTTGACAGGGAATACGCTGTAAGTTCGTTGACCGAGGCGGGTGAATTACTTAAAGAGAGCGGATCCCGCGGCCTCTGCTCTGCCATTTTCCCTCCACGTTAATAATCACCAACTACCTCAGCAACTTACACGAACGATTCATTCATCATGGCGGTATTAAGCACACTCAAAACGGCATTCGGCTATACATACGCTTTTATTATCACACCATGGCTTCTTTCGCGCTTTTTATTCGACATCTCCCTCTGTCTCGTTCCATGGCTTCGACCAAACAGAAAATGGACGCTCAACCAAGCCGTCCGTGTCCGCGTCGTCCGGCTCTTGCTGCTTTACTGGTCTCTCACCAAATCCGGCGACAAAATGAGGTTTGACCAAGGCAAAGAGAAAAACCGATTCGAAGTCGTCGCTCCACGATCGCCTAAATTATACAGAGGAATTTGCTCGGATTACTCGGTTCAGCCTGCGCAGTTGGGCATGACATGGACGCCTGCGCGACCACCGCCTGCTGGAATTGTTCATCCTGGCATGGTGGTCGTCTTGCACTTTCATGGCGGCGGTTTTGTTATTGGAAATGGACGTGATGAAGATACTGGATTCACGGCAAAGACTCTCATTAAGCATATGGGAGCTACTCATGTCTGCTCGCCCAACTATCGCCTATCCAGCAGCAAGAACGGCCAATTTCCCGCTCCTCTTCAGGATGCACTTACAGCATATCTTCATCTCATCAAGACAAGAGGTATTCCGGCAAGCCAGATCATCTTCTCAGGCGATTCAGCTGGCGCAAACTTAGCTCTCGCCTTGGTACGCTACATCCACGAGTATGGCCAAATTGACGAGGTCCCATTTCCACGCGCAATGGCTCTTTGGTCTCCTTGGACTGATGTCGCTGGCGCTCTGGAACAAGATGCTTCACAGTCACCCAACTACAAGACGGATTATCTCAACATGCACTTTGCGCGCTGGGGCGCAACAACAGTCTCTGGCTTTGGCGCAATTGATCCAGCCAGCCCATACTTGTCCCCTCTACGCCATCCCTTCCAGGTCGAGAAGCCGTTCCCAGTCTACGTCAACGCCGGCGGCGGCGAA